ACATAATGTTGTTTACAGTCCTTTGTTTTCAAAGCGACTATGTTCAAGAAGTGCGCTCCTGGATAACGGGTGTCGGAGCACTGCGACACTTACTAGCGAGACTATCAGAGCACCAAGTGGCTGGATTGTCCTTGAAGCAAAAGTAGCTTCACCGACTTCACCTCTACACTGGTTTGTGGGCGTACCGCTTCCACCTACCACTGCTTTTGGGGTCCTTTGCCCTTTGGTCAAGGAAACACAGGAGTCTCTATGGCATAATCGCATGTGTCACCCTGCACAAACAGTTCTCAGACATATTCGCAGATTAGGCCTTAAACAAGATATACATTTACAGGGGGAGACTACCTCTTGCAAAGGTTGCGCACAAGGCAAACTTTCTTCTGAAGCCTTTAAACCTTCTTGGAAACGTGCAACTCGACCACTCGTGTTGGTTCATGCGGACCTCCTCGAATTACCTGTTGAATCTTATTTTCGGTCCAAATATATCTTAACCCTCTTGGATGATTACTCGTCCTATGGTTTTTGCCTCTACCTTCGCAACAAATCCAACACCTATACTGCTTTTGCCAATTGGATGGTGTCTGTCCAAAATACTACTGGGCATCATCTTCTTGCACTCCGTTCGGATCAAGGGGGAGAGTTTATGGGTTCTACTTTCAAAGCGCTCCTTTCTTCATGCAGCATTACCCATCAATTGTCTATAGCCAATCAACCACAGCAAAATGGTCATGCTGAATGCTTTAATCGGACTATTTCCGAGAAAGCTGGGACCATTCGACATCATGAATGTGTTCCCAAACGCTTCTGGAACTTTGCTTTTGACTGTGCACTCCATGTGTACAATCGAACTCCTCTTAAGAGGATTCAGTTCAAGACTCCGGTTGAACTTTTCTTAGGAAAAATCCCAGACATCACTTACTTTCGCACCTTTGGCTGCAAAGCTTTTGTATGGGTTCCGAAAGAACAAAGAAAAGATAAACTGGAACCTCATGCAGTCGAAATGATTTTCTTAGGCTACGAGCCTAATACAAAAGGATATCGGTTCCTCCATGGACAGAAGATAATTCTTTCTCGTACTGCAAAATTTGTAGAAGACTCTTTTCCTTTCTGCTCTGGTCAAAAGAAATCCAAAACCTTTGACCCTGATACTGAAGACGACCATGAATCATCTGTTTCCGATACAGAAAGCCTACATTCCGTTCCGGATCCTGATCAGATCCAACCGCTGACTCATCACTGACAACCACCTCGTCCTAATACTCCACCACAACCAAACCCACAGCAGAGAGCTGTGGACCAGCCTAGAGCTCAACAACAAAGAAGAGCACCTGCTGCTGCACCATCAGTCAACCCTCGTCATCTTAGACATCCTTATCAACCAGAATTTATTCAAGGAGACTCGCACAATGTTCGCAGAGCTCATCCTCCTCAAATGACAGAGAACCTCGTCCAAAGCGTCGTTTTATACCAGTATCTCGTCCTGGAAATATTTATGGAGATAGACCTCCTGTTCAAATCGAACGAGATATTCAGAGAAATCGGGATCAAGCACAACAGTGGATTCAAATGCTGAGCAACATGCTTGTAATTCCAGAGAAGATATTTGGAGATATGCAGAAGAAAGAAGACCTCCTTCTCCGAGGTTACCTCCTGCACTTATTCCTCCTGAAGTTCCTCATCAGTGGACTGAACATCCACAAGGAACTACTCCTTCATCTCCTGGATCTCCACTCTACTCCACTCCTGGATACTCCTTCTTCACCCTAAAGGCATGCCAGACCAACATGCACAAATGCCAGGTCCAGAAATGCATCCTTTCGAGTTTGCATTGGCAGCCAGGATTAAAGAATCTCCGGAGCATTATAAAGATGTGCTAAAGTTATCTCCCGAATTTACAAACGAAAATGGTTTCAATGCTATGAAGGACGAATTAAAGTCTATTGAAGAAAGACAAGTATGGACCTTGGTGGATCCTCCTAAAAATCAGGAAACCATGTAAAGTGTCGATGGGTTTTTCGCTATCAAAAGCGATGGTCGTTATAAAGCTCGTCTTGTGGCAAAAGGCTTCACACAAGAATTCAGTACCGACTTTGAAGATACCTTCTCTCCAGTAGGCTCGCTTTGAAACATGTTCGCATTCTACTCGCTGTTCGCTGCCCAAAGGAATTGGGACACAGAAGCACTGGATGTTAAAACTGCCTTCTTATATGGCAATCTTGATGAAGAAATTTATATGGAGCAACCAGAAGGTTTCAAAGTTTCGGGTCAAGAACATAAGGTTTATCGGTTGCTTAGAGCCCTATATGGCTTAAAGCAAGCTGCACATTGGCATGGAATAAAGCCCTTCCATCAATCTCTACTCACTATGGGCTACATTCGATCCAAAGTGGATGCTGGGATCTATATCCACATATTCCAAAGCTGGAATCAGTCATCTTTCTAGTCTATGTCGACGATGGACTCTTTCTAGGATCAGGACAGATGTCTTCTTAAAGCCAAGAAAGAACAATTTATGAAGAAATGGGAATCCAGAGATCTTGGTGAAGTCAAGGAATATCCTTGGCATTCAAATTCACCGGAATAGGTCGAAGAAAGAACTTTATCTCGACCAAATACCTTATGTCAAAAAGGTTATCAAACGATTCAATATGGAGACTGCTCGAAATGTTCGCACTCCGTTACCCTCTGGATATCAACCGGAAAAAGCACCATCAGATTATCAAGCCACATCATTCTCTTCGGTCACAGTACCAGTCAATCATAGGGTCATTACTCTATATGGCTCTTGGTACTCGTCCCGATATTGCCTATGCGGTTATTCGCATGTCTCAATATATGGCAAATCCGACCGAAGATCATCAAAATAAAGCCTTGCATATAGTTCGCTATATTGCATCTACTCCAAAACTGGCTTTATATTATTCGGGACTTGAATCTCGAATCTATGGCTTTGCGGATTCTGATTGGGCTTCAAATAAAGACACTCGTCATTCCACTACCGGTTATGCCATGTATCTTGGCAATTCCCTCATTTCTTGGTGATCAAGAAAACAGAAGACTATCGCACTTTCCTCTACTGAAGCCGAGTATATGGCTTTATGTGATGCTGCCAGACAAATCAAATGGCTCTCAATGCTATTTGATGAACTACAACTCAAGACCGAAAAGACAATTCTTTACTGCGATAATATGGGAGCTCGCTTTATTGCTGAGAATCCTGTATCGGATGGTCGTTCAAAACATATCGACATCCAATGGCACTTCGTTTGCGAATGTGTTCAAGATAATTTGTTCAGTATTGAATACGTTCAAACTGACAAACAGAAAGCAGACGGTCTTACAAAATCGTTAACTTGGCAGAAGTTCGAAACAAATCGCTTGTCAATGGGTCTTGTTACCCTACCATTTTAGAGTGAGGGGGAGTGTTGGAAATATTCCTAATAGTTCCGACGTCTAGATTGATCCAGATTTACACGTGTATCAACATGTTGTTCATCACATGACATTCCTTAGCAATCAGCTCCACAATGATGTCATAATGATATCATACTATATGTCATATTCCATGACCTTCTGTGCTATTCCTTACTATACTGAGTTGTAATTTCCTTTTACGTTACTGGTCCATGCATACCTACTCATGTATATAAACTCGGGGATTTCTTCCTCAATCCCTATTGAATCATCGAATCATCATATTCGTTCTTCACTTGTCTACTCGACAACTGAGCCCCTCAACGCTTAACAAGCTTACTTCAAACACTACTACCGTTCTGATAAAAGGCAAGTGTTCTTGCCATTGCTCTTCGTTCCTCCCGTTCCTCTGCGCAATATTGGCCAGCTAATGCCATTCCTGCAGTGGACGGCTATTTGTAGAGGTCATTCACTATCGTGACTGGCTACCTGTACTAGTGAACTCATCCCCTCCGCACGATGGTGAGTAAGTTCCGGCGCCGTGTAAAAGGGTAAAAGGGAGTCTCGCGCCCAGATAGTATCAGTTTATAAGGTGTATCGACGTCACTGCAATCTTCGCCAGCCCGACAACGGCAAGAGTTGACATTCAAGGAGAGTGGCAAGGAAAAATGACGATGGGAGTTTCATGTTAAGGCTCCGGCACTCAAGCTTCATGTAGGTACAGCCGCAGGTTTATGAACATCGCACCTTATGGACCATATGGTAGAGCTTCCCTCATTCGTGTCTTGCAAGTAGTCCCTGATTACTGATACTCGGTGGCTGATGCTGTGGGTAATAGTGTCCCTGTGGCGACTGATCGCCCTTCTACTATGGCTTGGTGACTCCTCAAGTAAAGCACCAACATGTGTTATCCAAGGGAACTTCACCCCCACCCAGAACGCAAGTCGTTTAATAAAAATATATCCCGTCGGGGATGGCCGACCAGTTTCCTCCCGAACGGACTCACGGCGTGGGTGAATCACATGGCTTACTCACACTTGTTGTGTTTGGTGCCCTCCCCAGATCGCCTCGGCAGCCATAACATCCACGTTCACAACCTCCGCGTCAGGCAGATTTATCTTGAGGCGAGCTGCACTGGCGTCACTGCATCTGGTCCAACAGCCACATCTTCTTTTTTAAATACATCGGGGCTTCCAATGGATCGCTTTTTCAATACTACAGCAGTGCCCAGTGCCGTTGCCGTGTCGCAAGGCCCGTTCCAGAACCATTCCACGTAGGGTATTACTCTTTCTGCGCACTACGGTGTGACCCACCCCAGCGAATAACTGCATCGCCTCTGTGGGTGGGGATTTCCTCGGGCTTGCCTCGGACGACGCTGTTGACCTCGTCGACGAGAAGAACGTTGGCTGAGCTGAACTTGCCTACAGATGGTTACCAGGCATTCAACTTCGCGAATCCTGACAACTACACGTACTACGCAAGCACAACCCTTTGATCGTTTATATCTCTGTGGCCCAGAACTCGACGCGGATCAAAAACCTTAACGACTTCGCTTATGAATGAGGGCGCTCCAGTCAGATATGATATGGGGTGAATTTTATCTGCAGGTGGGAAACAATACGCTATCTCAGTGGATACTTGTCACGCCCAACTTGAGGGAGCAAGTGTTATGGTATCGATGTGCAAGGGAAGCCGCTCACAAGCATCCAGCGGCGGGCGCGACACGGATGCTGTCTCTATATCTGATTGGTCGAGCTTTCGGCTTCTGCCTCTGCTCCAAGACCCAAACTTCAATACTTCGAAGACACTCATCTTGGTGACCTTTGACGAGTCAGTTTGTCACCGCCGACGCGTGAATCGGCAAACTCACTAACCAGAGACGTACACGATCAACACCCAGGTTTACATTACCCTGCTCGCCGGTGTCATCCTACATTCACTACCCGACGTGAGGATACCCCCTAAGCTATGTGTGACATTGTAGTGATTCCCGCAGGATCTCTACGGTCGAAAACCTCGGCAACCTTGGGCGTCAGAACACCGACAAGACTCTAGCCAGTACGTGGAAAATTTAATATCATAGGACCGCTGATGATTATCACGGCTACGAAGAATCCATACCAAGTACTCCGTGCCGTACCCGGCACCGCACACGAGTGGCGTGGGAGGTGATGATGGATCGGCGAACGGTACGAATAATGCTCCTGTACCAGTGAACCTGGTGGTCTCGAGTACCAGTGCAGCTGTGGCCGCGGCATCCTGGGCGGTATCTTTGGTCGTTCCTTGGTATTGTGATAATAAAAATACATAACACCATAGCTAGTGAGTATGTACAGGGGATTCTAATACTCCTTTGAGCACTTGCAAGAACGTGCGCCGCGTTCGTTGTGGTTGCCGAAGCCACGCGACATGTCCGCGAGGGGTGGCGAAAATGTTGAAAATACTTAAATTGCGTAATGATAATCGACCCATTCCGATAAAAATTCGTCGGCCAATCGTCAGTTGCGTATTTCTTTTTTCTTCTTTTCTTTCTCTGAGCCCCCCTGGACTCTCTCTCTCAGTTGGCCGGTCATGGCGTCCCTGCATTCGTCGTCCCCCTCAATGCCGACCTCACATTTCAGTTCCTTTGTCGACATTCCCGTCCCGTCCTTGCCGTTCCTCTTCTCCCAGCGTGCGACTTGGCTATATACTACGGCAGCACTGGTCGGCGCGCTTCTTGTCCTCGAGCAGTCCATCTACAGGTATAAGAAGAAACATCTCCCTGGTGCTGCATGGACAATTCCAATCATAGGCAAATTCGCTGACTCCATGAAACCAACCATGGAAAACTACATGGCACAGTGGAACTCCGGTGAACTCAGCGCTGTCAGCGTTTTCAACATGTCAGTACCCACGCTTAGTTCTGTTCGTTTGTACAAACGTCACCCCCCTAGTTTTATCGTCATGGCCTCATCCAACCATTACTCGCGTAAGATCCTCAACACACCAACCCATGCTGAACCATGCCTCGTAAACTCTGCTAAACACATCCTCATGCCTGACAATTGGTATGCTTCCGTCTCCCCCTATTTACTCGACAGCCGACGCGAGCATTAAATTGTGTAGGGTCTTTTTGACTGGCAAGGAGCATATCGAGTATCGCAGAATCCTCAATACCCTTTTTACAAAGAAAGCCCTCAGGTATTCTAGATGGTACTCTGTTATGCGATTTTACTCACACATGCCCTCCAAGCATCTACATCGGCGTACAGGATGCCATTACACGCAAGCACTTTCACCAGTGGCTCGCAGATGCGGCTAAAGATCCCTCTCCAAAACCGATCATGATGACTGCTCGTAATTTGAACATGGACGCGTCTGTTCGCGTATTCTGCGGCAACCATATCCCAGAAAGTGGGGTTGTGGAAATTTCTGAAAAGTACTGGGACATCACACAAGCTCTTCAACTCGTCAACTTCCCATTTGCATTTCCTGGCACAAACGTCTACAAAGCCATCCAAGCCCGCAAGGCCGCATTTAAATGGCTTGAGATGGCCGCTGCCAAAGCCAAAATTGCCATTGCTAGCGGTGCGCAGCCGCATTGTATGCTCGACGAGTGGGTCCAAGTCTTACAGGATCCTACCTACAAGGGCCGTAAGGACTTTAGTGACCGCGAGATGGCCATGGTCGTCTTTTCGTTTTTATTCGCTTCTCAGGACGCAATGAGCAGCGGCTTGATTTATGGCTTCCAGCATTTATCAGACCACCCTGTGATTCTGGCGAAGATTCGTGAGGAACAATACCGTGTTCGTGGTAATGACACCAACAAGCCAATAACCCTGGAAATGTTGGAGAACATGCCTTACTTGAAAGCCTTCGTCAAAGAAAGTTTACGTGTGAAGCCACCCGTGACCATGGTATTTATCTTTTCTCTTTGGTTTTTCTTCTACTCCTCACTTCGCCGCCTCCCAGGTGCCTTACAGGGCGACCAAACCATTCCCACTTTCTGATAACTACACGGCCCCAGCTGGCAGCATGGTGATACCCTCTTTCTATAACTCACTCCATGACCCCGAAGTATTCCCTGATCACGACTCATTAACTCCCGAGCGCTGGCTGGACCCTAATAGCCCCGCGAACGCAAACCCGAAAAATTATCTCTGTGTTTGGCAGTGGTCCTCATAGATGTATTGGTATCGAGTACGCCACCATGAACATGGCACTCGTTCTGGCTACTGCTAGTATCCTCATGGATTGGGAGCACCATCAGACCGCTGAGAGCGACCAAGTCGAGTGAGTGTTTACATTCGACATCTGCATATAATTATTTCCTTCTGATACCCATCTCCACCACTTAGAATCATTGCAACGTTGTTTCCCAAAGACGGCTGCCAACTCAAGTTCACGCCGCGCCCCAGGCCACAGAGTGCATGAATATCCTCATCTGTCGTTTCGAATCACTGTGCTGGATACAGCTGCCTCTATGCCAGGTTAACTTACGCTCTCACCAACACGGCAGTATATTTCATCTCATTGCATGCATGGGCGTGGCAGCCACAACACACCACGCTCCTTAATGTTTCTTTCCCATCTTACGAATGCTCAAGTAACCTCGTCGCTGGACATGTAGGCACCTAAGTTCCTTGGGTACTGGCACCTGAACGTACGGACAATAGAGTCGAGTCCATCTTGGAAAGCAAATCCAGCTTTGTCTGCTCGACTTTATACACTTACGCACCTTGGATAGCAGTATCGTCATGGTTTCCCTGTCACTCGCACTTCCTAATCATCCTCTTAATAGAACCAGATACCCGTATACAACTTCCATGAAGGCCAGGTTGCCGGTGCTTGTTACCTAAGATATGATGGTCGGCGCGCGATGTCTGGACAGTGAGAACTAACTTGAAATCTCTCAAGGAATCGTCTGACGAGGTAACAAGAGAGCCAAAGTACAGGCCACAATAGTACTGACATCGCCGTGGCACACTCGATCTAGCAAGGTGTGACTGAAATGGGATCCTTGCCATTTTTGGTAGTATGTTTTAAAGGTTCCGAGTGGTTTTCTTCTAATGACCATAAAGAGCTTAATTTGCTGCTCTCCAGCCGACGGCAGGTTTTTCTGGACGAAGATTGGTGTTGCCGCCATGTGAACCAAGGTGAAGTAATGGGGCAATTCGACCCGACTTCAATAGTCGAAGTGCGACCGAAGGGAGTTCACGAGAGGCTGCAAATCTAGATGTGGCCTGACGTGCCGTTCGGGCCGCAGCTGGCCGCGCTGCCATCATGTCATCGTGCCAAGCGGGCACCGTATGGTACTCCTTGGAAAGATGTCTGAGGTGGTGCTTCATGTCGCTGTGATAGCTGCAAGTCCCGCTGTGCGATGACCAAAGAGTAGGCCAGGTATCCCACCACTAATGAAGGATACTCGTAGTCTATCGAGGGTGTGTCTATCGTCTTTGCCCTCGTGGGGAACGCTTGGGACATAAAGACAATCGGAAAGCGGATGGTACAGAGAGCGTCCTCCAATTCTGCATATAATCTCCATCAACGAGGTAGTTTCCATCTTAAAATCAACCTGGGAGGGGAAGTAAAACTAGCAAAACCTGCTAGCCCATCTGCAAGCACGTCCGACCAGTCAAGGGCCGAAGCCCCCTCCGCCACCTCAACTATCAGCAACCAGAAAAAGCCCGAGCAACCGCCCACAACCCCAAAGATGTCGAGCCGCACCTGGTCTGATGGTGGCCTGTACCCTCTCAACCCAAGATTATTGAATTGCTGTCAGTAACACGCAAGGGCAGCTGGCAGTTGTTGAAGGCTCTACTACACTCCGCGAATATACATTTGAACTAGTATGGCATGTACACTTCGAATAGCCCCCGCGAGATGAACGACTTCGGAAAATCGAAGTCTGGGCGCCGAAGTCGCGAGGTCATTTTGCACCACCTCCAACTGAGTTCAGTTCGTGCGGCAACACTAGACGTGATCCCCGAGGATCGACCCAAGAACTGAGTACGCCCTACAAGCTGTGGTGCTTCGATCGCTCCGTCTACTGATACGTCATTACATCCTAACGGCACAACCTCTTAGGCCCCAGTACCGCCTTCACGGACCAGGTTCAACCACATATACGGCGGACGCACTGCATGTTATCACGACCTGATGTAATGGCTGCTTCGCCTCAAATCTCGAAATCCACGATCTGATGGCTCATCAACCGCACCGAGGTACGGACAACCACATTCGGATTCGACCGCTGTAATCTTCCATTTGGGTGTGACTGTTGTCCTGCCTGCCGGAGGTCCTCCCGTGCGAGAATTTAACACTGTTTTTGTGGGTGAATGACCTTCATCTACTGCATGCTGGCGACAATTGGGGACGCATACGGTAAATTCCATCCGCGTAGCGTACGTTTCGTAACTTCACCCGCTTAACCTCAGTTCCAGTCAAGCTAAGCCACGGGAGTCCGAGGGGCCACTGTGCTCGCATAACTGGGACAAGCCACCGAACCCGAGTATATGAATACCTAACGAACGAAATCGATCAACGCAGCTTAGTGCGCCGAAAGGCAGAGTCATTTTGCCCAGTGACAGGCTGAAATTACCTAACGATGAGTATCGTAGAAGCTTGACTGCCCACTGCATCGTTAATGAAGGGATGACACCAACAAGTGGTGGAAGGCGTGTCAATATGGACTCATCACAGTAGTTAATGGTCATAATGAACTCCTAACTGGTTGCCGCGTTCGAAACCGTAGTGCATTTCCATGACGTATTTAAGCGTCCTCCAATGGAGGTGGGCCGTCGTCATCGTCCGATTCAGCCTCAGTCCTCCGGAATAGGAACACTTGCAGTGCCTGTATCATTTGCATCACCTCCCAGCATCTGGTGTTCAACTTACTCAGCCTATTGCAAAAGGGGACAGCGAAGAAATTGGTCACCTTACTGAAATCCATATTGCCGAATCCGCCATCCATACCGAAATGGTCGTCAGGGGCTCCGTCTTGCTCGTCCTCATCGACCCATTTGTCAAAGTCTGTTTTGACGAACGGCGTCTTGGCCTTTTCCTTTGTCAACCGAGGCCAGTATTCCAGTTTCCTGTCTTTCTTCCGGAGGACAGCTGTGAACGAACGGGAGGTAAGTTTGTGCTGAGATAGCTGGAGTACATCAGTCTTGCGCTGCGCAATTTCGTGAAGGAAAGGAGAGACAATACCTCCGGAATAATATCATTGTATAAATCCAAAGAAAACTCGTAGTGCTTGGTTTCGGCACTGGTTCACGGCGCGGGTTAGTTGATACTGTTTAGTGACTACATGAAGAGTAGCGTACTTTGCGGGTCCAGCATTGGCTGCGAAGTTGATACTTGCGGGACTCAATTCATATTTTAGTGATGAATCGTGGATATTTGGAAGGCTGACGGTCAGATATATGACGTTCTACGAAAGCGCCGTGTCACAAATTGTCTCAGATCGGCAGCGCTGCTAGGGGCGAGGGGGCAATACCTTTGAATCGTCCGACTCGCTGCTACGCTGAGCCCATAGGACCTCTGGGTGCGTTGACATCATGATGCTTCCTTCTCTGTAAACAACGTCGACGTTATATGTAAAACGTTGGGTCGGTTCGAATTATACCGAAAGACGGAGAACGTCCTCGATAACTTGATTCAATGACATGCCGATAGCCACACAGTCACGTGCTCCTGGCTTAGCAAAGCTCAGCGAACTGCCTCGCATCCCTTCGTAAGACTCAAGTATGTGGTACGTCGGTGCATATCCAACTAATAGACGCAAGAGTCGCTAACGGCCACACTGTACAGGTGCACGAGGTGGTTTTTGCCGCTGTTGCTGTTACCACTCCCTACCGCCCCCCCATACTTCTTAGTTTTGTTTCTTTTTACACTTGCGCTACACGCGAGGCCATGGTGAGTACGTTTGGGACGTCAGCAGGTCCGAAGTCTTCTGAGCTTTTTTCCCAGTTTCTATTGCATCATTCTCCTCGCTGCGCTTTTTCTCAGTTCATGCTACTGGCAGTCGTTCCCCTTGCACGCACCTCTCTCAGCTCCATGGGCAGACAATATCACGACCTTCCGCGAAGCGCTAAATGCTAGCGTTTCACAAACCCTCGACATGTATGAAGTCGTACCGCCAATCATACGGGTTTCCGACAGATGTTGGTGCGATTTTGCGTTTGGAGTCTTCGAACCCTACGATGTACAGAAATGGGAAAGGGATAGTGTGGAGAGAGCGGTGGCCGAGATAGAAAATCAACTCAAAACCCGCCTTGAAAACCGGTCAGACGAAACGATGTTCGCATCGACGTTGGACGGCGGTGAGGCAGGGTCAATGTCTCACTCGCAAAAGTCACCAGAGCAGCGTGCTGTACCGTTGAAGGAGTCTCTGTTTATCCTTCGAAGTTTGTTCGGAAGAGGTCGCTCGAACGATGTAACATCCATGTCTACCTCAGATTCCCCGCAGACATCAGAGACGACATCAGAAGACCCCGCAGAGCGACTGCCTCCTGTCGAAGCATCTGCTCCCGACAACCCCCTTTTCCCTGGGCAATTGGACTTGCGGCCTCACGGATTCGACGTCATACTTGACTTTCGATGGTCCAGAACCGCATAGCGAGTCGTTCATGTGATCTTGGGTTGGCGGTGTAATATATCTGGGCTCACTCATTCTGAGGGATAGGTCCGCATTCTGAGCGTGACGTGATATCAATCCGTACGCCCAGGGATGATTGACCTGTTTTTTTGGGAGTTGCGGTATTTATGGTGCTAGGATGTTTGGCCGGTGCATTGTGGGGCCAGAACTAGATGTATGCCATCGTAACATATCTGCTGTACTACTAATGACAGTTTACTTCTGGTCGTCCGCCGTGCCATGAATAGCAGTGGTGCTCTAAGAAGACCAGATCGATGTAAGACCCTCGGCTGAGGCTGCTACGATAGAAGGCAGTAGGTAGAGTGTACATGCTAATTATCAGTACTCCAGGACCAGTGACTAGTTCCTAGCTTATCGGCATACTATATGTCGAGCAGCCCTCAGTGTCGCGCACTGAAAGCATGTCGAGAGGACAGCGCGGATTGACACTTGGCACGCTGATCAGGGTCGCTTGCCATAGCCGAGAACAACAGTTCATTGTACTTGTCAGTCATCTAGAAAATGCGACATCCGAGCAGTCCTAATCGCCCAGGGTGCTGGGATGTGTGTGGAGCAGTCTGGTTGGTGTGTGACTTGAGGACGTCGAACGCGACGTATTTCTCAAAGGCTTCCCGTGTTCGCACCTTATCGTCGCGTGTAATAATATCACTCACCCTGCCGTCAATCATATCACCTGCCTCCTTCCTGGTCCGCTTCGAGAATAGACCGCTAGTTTAGCATGCCTAAGTCACCAAACCACGGTTTTTGAACGATACGGTGCACACGATCCTGAGCTCGGCGACGAGTGATACCTGCCAGTGTCAGCTCACCAGTCACTCTCGGAGCTGTACGGCCAAACACGTTGAGCAAACTGTTCACTGGAAATGAAGAATGATGATGACATACACGAGAACTGTGTCTGGTCTGCAACTTAGACCAGCTCTCGTGGACAATATGAGTACATTGATATTCAGATTCTCCGCATTGAACTGCCGCACGAGCACGGCGCGCTCTCGGTCTTCGTGCTTCCACTTCCATCAAGCAGATCATCTTCATCTTCGTCTTCGCGTCCGTTGCCTCGATCGTCTGGAAGATAAGGACCCGGAAGCCCGAGGCGAGAAACTGGGGTAGGACACGCGAGAGGAGTGGAGCCTCAGATGCATGGGTGAGCTTGTTGTCGACTACCTTGCCGGGGTTGATTTTACCCTCGTTGCTCTGAAGGAAAATCAAACAGGAAAGGGTGGCATGCTAGTAGAATGAGAGCATCGAGAAATCGGATCTCGCCATCCACTTTTCTGGCACTCCCGCTCCTCAGACGAGGGAGATAGTCCATATATGACTATCCATTGCAGATCCCTGAATTGACAGTCTTTGAGATTTCCATCATGTAGTAATGACGACAGCCTCCTAACTTTTTTCGATATCCGTGGGCTACGGTGTAGTGATATACCTTGCCTTCCTCGTCGGAGCACCAAATGTCACTTCGCTGGCCGGGCCGTCCTCACTCTCAATAGGGGCCCGCCTCGTTCTGTTGGGTGATGACGACTTTAGCCAACGAATCCAGTTGGGAGTCTGTCTGACGAAGGAGGTGAGTGGTACACGTATCCTTGGCCGGAAAGAAACTGGAAGTACATGAGGGCGAATAGGAGAGGAGGGACCTGGACACCGTCGTCACTCTTCAATTAGCATGGGGGGAAAAATGTCTCAGCTTGCCATGGCCGTGGTCACAATACCATCAAGCACGGGTCACTTGGATGTGAGACGTTGCGAAAACTCTGGATTCCGCAATGTCTCACTTCCATGATATGGCCTTGGGTCAACGACAGTAACGAGCTCTCAACACTAATCAAGGTGCTCTACTCATCCCTCAGTACCAACGGCTTGACAGTGCGGTTCCAGTTGTCGGCCCAGCTGCACCATTCCCCCTCCACGCTACCTGAACTTAGAAGAGCATCAGGAAGTTTCGCCGCTTCCCGAAGAGACGAACGAAGTGCCTCTAGTCGGGCAGAGTTGGGGAAGGACTTCAAAAGAGCCTAAGATAGAATGGTTAAAGATGCTTCGTATTGGGGTAAAGCCGACGCACTTCCATCTGATTCGCCAGTTCTCCCGACCCTTTGAATACCATGCCATTCCGACCATCTTTGACAAGTTCTGGGAGACTGTTGGACGGTGAAGTGAAGCCTGTTATCAACATAAAGCAACGTACCATTTGAAATCAAGGGCGCAGACAGGTAACCCGCATCCGAACATATCTACCACCTTCATCGGCAAATCCAACGCAGACGAGCTCGCATGCAGGCATATTCCCAAGTCTGCAGATCCTGAGAGATTCAATCGTTGGAACATGCGCGAACACGTTCAACAAACGTGAACTAACCCAACAGGAGCGGGTAGTCCTCCGCCTCAAGCCACAAGCTGCTACACCTCACGAATTTCCACTGTTCCTGGAGCTTCAGCACTCTGGACATGTACATCGTCCGAAGAGGGCCTTTTCCAGTGATCACCATCCATATTTTTGGGAGTTTCCCCAACGAGGAAGATTCGAGATTGTCGTTAACTGTCCGCGCGCGCTCCTCGTATAACGCCAAAGCTTCCAGGAGGATGTTGAAGTCCTCATCAGGTGTCCACGAAGTACTGCTTATGAGTAAAGCAACTCTATCCTCACGTAACTTGGGCATATTTATTTGCGAATGCAGCGACGAAACACGAGAGTCACGAGAAGGCCAACTTGTCGTCGTAAACTCAGTAGAGTATGGGGCATTGGGTTTCGGCAGAAAATCTTTCAGGACAGGATCTTTCAACGAAGGGCCGATGCGGATAAAGAGCTAATGGGCGAATGTGAGCAGTGCGCCTACCAGAGGAATCTTGTTATATACCTCATGTACTTCGGGTGGCAAACATCTATGGAAGTGGCTCGGAGGACGATCGTAAAGGACGGCCATTTTACCACTTCAAAACGGTCAGCCAACATGAAGCTATATAGACAAGTTTACGATGTACACCAAGTTCCAATCATTCACGAGGTGGTCACGCATAGCTTCAGTAACGAATAAGTGGGCATATGCAGAACGCCCAAAAATCTTCTCAAATCTGCTTCACAGTCAGCTCAGCACTCCGAATACTGTGGTGTCACATACCGTTTAGCAATCATTACAAACGGATGGGCGTGGCCCAGCTTTAGAGCCAGGATGCTATGCCCAAGATTGTGCCAATCAATGATGACTTTGGTTGCTCGGACCCGGCCTACAAGCCATACAAGGGCAAGTGTAGGGATACTGGGTGGGTTCTACAACGAAGTTAGATAGGCCTGCATGTCAGGAGTGTGGGAAGCGAACGAACCTGCACCACGATGAATTCTGGTGGATGAGTCATGGCAAACATCAGTGTGTACAGAATGCTAAATGTCTGGTACACTATCTTGACCAAAGCAGAGAGTCCGAATGACACCTTCCCGACGAACGTCGGAGGTTCAGGTAGGTAGTGGAGGTGCACGTGGGGCAAAGAAGTGAGGGATGGAACTGGTTTCGAGCCTAATCGCAGACAATCTCATTAGCTGAAGTTGTTCTCGTTCTGTTGCATACCTCTATATCCGATGAGGTAGGTTCTGAATCCGAGTTTTGCAAAGCTCTCCGCATGATACATCATCCTCGGGCTGCGTCCCACATCGCCGAGGACGATAATGGCGACAGTGTGTTGTGCCGGCCGCCGCCTCAGATAGCGAGAAATAGGAATAGCAGCTGCAATCAAAAGACTGCAGGATAAGAAGGGTGTTCATCCGAGTAGCTTGGAGTCGAGTTGAAATACATACCAGTTACAGTGTCCGGCACGCTGACGTAAGCTGGATTTAGCTTACCAACTTCAAGTTCTTAGTTCCCTCTGACTTGTATCGACATGCAGCGTTCGACGAGACATCTTAGGGCCGTTCTCAAGGCCAGACCGAACCCAAGAACCTGTCTCGCCATAAATGCGTCATGCAAAAGACACGCCTCCTCGGCCACACGTGCTGGCCCACCGTTGGTAACACTTCCCCTCGGGATGCTCACACGAAGTCCGACGTTCCCATCTAGTGCAAACTTTCAGCAAAGTGAAGATTTTCACCTCCTTCCGGGTGTTATTAACTTATTTTTTTCACTAGGACGTTCCATGTTCATACAGACGGAAACGACGCCTAACGAAGATTCGCTGAAATTTATACCAGGAGTGAGTGTCATGGGCGAAGGAGCTGCCGAATTTCTCGACACCCGATCTGCTATAAAATCGCCTTTGGCCATTCGGCTTATGGGTATCGAGGGTGTTAAGGGTGTGTTCTACGGACCAGACTTCGTCACCGTGTCAAAAGAGGCGGAGACGACGTGGTCGGTGATCAAGCCGGAGGTCTACTCGACATTAATGGAACACTTTTCTTCCGGCATGCCCCTCTTTCGGACGCAAGAGGACAGAGACGAAGCTGGACCTCAAGATACACGGATCCTCGACACGGACTCGGAGACCGTGGCGATGATCAAGGAGTTGCTAGAGACACGAGTACGACCCGCGATCATGGAAGACGGTGGAGATATAGAGTATCGTGGTTTTGGAGAGGATGGATGCGTCAAAATCAAATTAAAGGGAAGTTGTAGGGGATGTTCTTCAAGCACGGTGACGCTCAAATCAGGGATAGAGAGGATGTTGATGCATTACATCCCGGAGGTGACAGGTGTCGAACAGGTGAGGGCGCCGAGCGGTCTGTATGTATGTGGTACTGAGTGTTTCTAGGTGCTGGATGAGGAAGAGATCGTCGCGCAGAGCGAGCTGGAAAAGCTAGAGCAGCGCCTAGCTAGGGAGAAGGAGAGACCGAGAGAAGAGCACGAGTAGGTTGGTTAACGTGTTGTGTTGATCGTAAGCTGATGAGTAGGGACAGGATGGCGAAGTATATGTCTGTTTAATGGTCTTGTACGCATACATGCCCGAATGGGTGTGATCATCGAGGAATGAACGTCCTGAAACCTGGGGCAGATCAGAGATGTTTCGTGAGAGTGGACTGTAGATCGCCGTCTTTGAGTTGAGGATCGCTTGGAAGCAGCAGCAGTAGGGAGACGGGGACGACGCCCTTTGTCGGGGCGAAGATTTTGCTTTTCCAGTCCTGTTGCGACATTATGGCTTGTTGGAGTTCGAACACCTGTATTTGGGATGTTGACCTGGTTGGGCGTGAACGACACGTCCCGGGACTGGTGTAGAGCAAAGGGGTTCTTCGCAGCGGCAGTCATATACATATGTCAAACCAACGCTATGTACAAGGTGATGAATGTGGCCGTCTGCAACCGATAAAGGTATGTAGGCGGGAGAGTTTCATGGGGCAGTCCGTGGTGCTGTTGAATGGAATACGATAGATGACCAGGTCCAGGACAGATCAAGCGTTGCCTGGTGCCATTCCTGGCCATAAGAGTTGGGAATCGGCAGGGGAGACAGGAACGATCTCGTAGAGCACCACCAACCCATCGCCAGTAGCCCAGTTATGCACTTGATAGTATTGTAGGACACTCGCAGGCATACCCCGTGGCGCATGCTGGTCATTTGGCGTGTCGCCTGTAACTCTTGGCAGATGTTTCTTGTACTGTCCGATGGCATCAAAGTGCCAACTCTAGTCTTCCATCAAAGGTCTCGAGCAGTTCCTCTTCAGATGCGGCATCTAGGCGGGCCGGTCATCCCAAAAAGGGAATGCCCCTGTCCCATCGGAGTTTGAATAGTACTTGAGTGAGTGTGGCACGTGATGAGCGTGGTCTTGGTTATCCCGTCGTGGTAATGCAACCGTATGGCTTCTGGCTCCAAGTCCAAGTCTGCTGAAGATAGGAAGGAACCAGTCTATACGGCAGACGGACATAGCTCCTCTGCAGCCTCTCAGTCTAAACTAGCATTCATGTCGAATACCCTCCTCGCTCCCTTTGCACACAAGAAGGCCGACTCCACGCGCATTCTTTCTGACCGTGAGCTGGTTTATATTCAGTGTGGTCATGACTTACCTCTTTGAACTCGTGACTTAGTTGCTCCGGTCATCATGACACCGCGGATGATGAATGCAGCGGCGACAGTCACTTCCCGCTCGCGCGGGGGCATTAATGGTGTTCTGAAAGGAAGCTCTCGCGTGGACTTTGCTGCCCTCGGGCGCGCCCCGATGCGTCTAACTCTCGGTGCCCGCCGCGTCACCTCACGCGACCTGCAGATCGTCGAAGCAAAGGAAGAGCTCCTCGGTGCTGAAGTACCCGAACCAGAGGGCATTGCGTCAGACGTGAGCCTTCTCCGTGGATTTAATGCAACGATTCCGAGCTCGGACAGTAATAGAACAAGGAGACGACAGGTGCGGAATGTGGATACACGCAACGTCGGATTAAAGCGGGGATTGTTCACGAGGGGTATTACCGACGAGGGGGGGGAAGCACCGAGTGCGACTAGCGAAGATGGTGCTCCAGTGGTTGGTCCTGGGAAGAGGAAGTCCAAGAGGAGGCCACGGGAAAGCTTGAGCACAACAAAACTGCTCGGAAAGGACGAGCTCTCACGACAGGCGCAGGAGATCGTCCGGGACAAGGAAAACATATATGTTCGCCGGGTTAGTAAATCTCTATGGATAGTTGCACTTTGCTGATATCGCGAACAGAGCCTGATCACAAGTGAAATCGCCGAAGTAGACAGCAAGATCACGGCTCTGAACGAAATAAGACACCAGTTAGAACGTGACCTTCTGAAGACTCAAGAAGATGAATTGGAACTTGATGATGAACGTGTGTCCTTTCAGCTCACTTCCCTGTCCCACGTCTTACTTTTAAATCAGTGCAAGGAGTACGTGAACGCTTGGAGTTCGAGGAACTATCGTCGAAGCAACAGAAAGCTACGCCTGTTCATACTACGCACGTCGCTCCCTCGCGCCGTCGCAAAGGTATAGTATCTGGCTTGTCGTAAACGTCCGTATTCATCAAGTATTATACAGGCCCTGTCTTCCTGCCTTCTGAACACGATGAACTGCCACCGGCCGTGGCTTTCATGGTATGCAACTGACGTCCTTTTTTATGTATTTTTAAAAATCTGTTCATTTTTTCCAAAGACTCTCGAAAGCCACATTTCGCCTGTAACTGCTCTCGATTTCTCAGAACCATATGGTGTACTCGTCAGCTCTTCCCAAGACGACACACAACCCCGCGTTTGGGATCTGATGACTGGCTCTGAGGTAGGTCGGCTACGAGGGCATCGTGGGACAGTGAAGTGCATACAGGTCGAGGATAATCTCTGTCTCACCGGTTCGGATGATGGCTCTGCTCGGTTGTGGAATCTTAGAGCTGTCGACGATGACTGGGAAGAAGCGACCTTGAGTGATGTGGCTGAAGAAGACGGAGACAACGACGGAGAACTTGTCGAAAAACCCAATAGCATCCGGTGCAGTAACTCGAGTCAAGCGAGTACAGACGATGACGGTCCCTGTTTACGTCGTCTAGAAGGACATAGCAAGGCAGTCACTGCCTTGTATTTCGAGGATGACTGTCTGGTACATCATTCCCTTGCTTCTCTCTGTGTGGGGAATGTGACTGATTTGAAATAGGTTACTGGTGCATCGGACAAGACACTGCGCCAGTGGGATCTGACCACAGGACAGTGTGTTCTAACAATGGACATTCTTTGGGCGATTTCGCACTCTTCAGTTGGTGCAGCTGGTGTCCTGTCTTCCACTCCACTTTTTCCGGGATTGGCGGCAGCGGGGGCTAATTTCGCTGTCCCCACGCCGCCACATGCGGATGGTAGCTGGGAGATGTACGAAGATTTTGTGGGCGCTGTACAGTTCTGGGGGTGCGCCCTCGTAAGCGGCAGCGGCGACGGTGCGGTAAGAATGTGGGACAGTGAGTCGTCCGCCCAATTGTGACGCACGTGGATAGAATGACATGATCGATTGTAACAGTGCGTACCGGACAAGCTCACCGAACACTTACAGGTCACACCGGGCCCGTGACCTGCCTGCAATTTGACGAAGTCCATATTGTCAGTGGTAGTCTTGACAAGTCCATACGGGTACGTGTCCAAATTGCGAAGTATGTAAAGGGTGATGCTGAAGGCATTGACAGATATGGGATGTTCGTACTGGTGGCACGTTTGAGACGATCGAGTATGATCATGGGGTGAGTTGCTTGCAGTTCGACTCGCGCAAGGTTATTGCTGCCACCGGTGAAAACGGCATCAAGGTAGGCACCGTTCCACGAAGTGTTTTTTTTTTTTCACTCTGTAACTTCCTCATGGCAGATATATAACCGCACGACGATGCAACATTCAACGTTGACCACTAATGGTCACACCCGGCCCGTCGAGCGGTTACGATACATGGACAGGTATCTCGTATCAGGTGGGCGTGACGCTACGGTCAAGGTATGGACGCTTTGAGGGTTTGGTTAATTTAACAGCCACGCCGCCACTACGGAGTGTGATCGTGAATACCATTAAGCAGTTTATCTCTCGGTAATATCGGTAGATCTGCAATACATGTAGCATACACATTTGACTTCCCTGGCTTGTCACGTGAGCGCGCCGTCATCGATATGCCTCACCGACCGACGCGTTCGCCGCACACAACTGTGTTTTATCTATGCTACCTGTCCAGGACACCCACGGGAACGCTCGTTCAGGCATTCCGATGCCATCTACAGTGAAGAAAGCGCCGCCGTCGTCAGTACGGATGAGTCTGTCTGGACCAGCGTTGCGCGCGCCATACTTCCCTCCAGCGGGTTCCGGTCCAAGCTCGAATCCACGACACTCTGTCTACAGATCCCAGAATGCCAACCCACTTTTACAAAGCACCTCAAAGCCACATTACGGAAGAACACCTCTTCACAAGTGAGCAGCCTGTCTTTGATTCTGTGTGACATCGCGTTCATCCACACAATCGCGTACTCCGACTCCATTACACAGTTCTACGCGGCGTGGATCGATATGGACAGGCAACGCTGTCCTAGCCGCTCCGTCTGGGAGCCAAACACTGAAAGATCCCCGGCCCATACGCGAACGCGCCTACCAATCAAAGATGCGTCAAGAGATTTTCTCCTGGCTTCACGCCACGGGCTACGAGATCTCAATGCAAACCTTGACGAGCATCACTGGAAAGGACTATCGTGCCATGTTTCAACACCTCGTGAATCTCATCGACCCCTGTTATCCATTTGAACCCAAAGTACGATTCGAGGACGAGTTTCAACCGGCGTTGAGGGCACTTCGGTATCCGTTTGTCTCACAGATAGACAATAAGTGGCTGGCGGCACCAGGAAGCATGCATTCGTGGCCTGCACTTCTTGCAGTACTACATTGGCTGGTGGACACAGGCAAGGTGCGGCGTGTCTGTTACTTGTTCACACCCCTCATATGAACTCCACGCGTTGTCCCAGGCACGATTACAGTACTTGGAAAGTGACGACCCGACACTCCAAAATATAGAGAGAATACCGGAAGAATTCCACGAGCCTATGCACCACCAAGCACTAGCTTTCGAATATTTTTCCGAAGCGTATATCGCATTCTTCCACGGCGCAGATGTATTCACAGAGCAGGACAAAGTACTCGAAGCTCGCTACGGTGAAATAACTGGTTCCGTTGCCTGAATCTCGTTCTCATGCGTTGTGACAGCAAAGAAGAACGAGAGAGTGCTGAATGATTTGGAAGAACAAAAGGAACAGCTTACTCAACTGCATGCGGAGTTTGCTCAGCTGCAAACTTCAGGGGTAAGGAGAGTGATGCTCCCTGATACTACTTCCTCACAAACTCTTCCAGGCACCTCTGGAGAAACTTCAGAAGACCCATGGCTACCTGGTCAGCGATCGAGCTAAATTTCATGACGTTCTTCAGAGGTTTGAGGGCAGGAAGAAGCACCTGATCGACACCATCGCACACGAGAAAGAAGAATTGAACCTGCGAAGTACGGTTTTTCATTGCCCCTTGTGTTTTCACTAACCCTTTTCGTAGTCGCGAACCTCGAACAACTCGAAAGCGAGCACAACAAACTACTTGACACTGTGAAAGCTCAAAATCTCACACCCGAGGAGGTGGCGCGTATGAACAGCGATCACGAGACGTTATCGCGAAACCTCGTAGAGCTTAAACAGAAGATATCCGAAACTCAGAAAACTGTCATGTCGTTGGAAGTGAAGATGACGAACCACGGAGCAGCCGCAGAGGAGGCACTGGACCTGTATACAAATTTATTATCGTCCCTTGGATTATTCCCACCGCTATCGCCCCCCTTCGAAGGTGTCGACCTCACTCTCCAGCTCAATCTGGCAACAACAAACGTGTCACAATTGTTGATTGGCGAAGATATACGCAAAGTTATCAAACCTATGTTAAATGCTGTTGCGGAACTGAAACGGACAGAGCGCGCCGAAGTGGAGAGCGAAAGAATCAAAGTGGACAATGATCTCGACCAGTTGACTTTGGAATGCGAAAACATACACGAAGAAGTGAGGGAGGTAGAAAAAAAAGTGGTGGTTTTGAACGAGCAAGCAGACGAGCTTCGCGATGTGAGTGGGGCAATCTTGCTGTACGTCTTGACGCCCATAATTTGGTTAAATAGGCTGCCCAGCAAGAATCGATGGTTAGCAATGCAGAGGCAGCTCGGCTGGAGAGGGAACTGGCACACGCGCGCACAGCGGCATTATCGAGCGGGATGGGCGTGAAATCTCGGTTACAGGCGTTACAATTTGAGTAAGCGATCTACTTGCACCACTGAGCTGGCTTCCTCACTGTCTGTTTAGCTATCGAGAGCAACAAGCAAAGATAGCACGCCTCAAGGACGAGACCATTCGGGCGATCGCCAAGAACAGCAACGAAATTGCTTTGTTTAAAGAGGAAGTATCGTCACGCCTGAGAAAGCTTAGGGACTTCGTTGAAGAGGGAGGGTAAACCGCAAGTATGATAGGGTTCAGGGTTAAGGGTTAAGGAACGTCGTTCCCACGTATGCCGCGACAGTGGGGCTGGTTGAAACAGCCATCACAATCGCTGGTAAGCACAGCATGGCAGGGGTGGGTGCTTCATAATCGGCTTCGTGCTTGTTCTTAGAGATAAGGCCACATGGGGACAACATCCCACCAGCGCCAGTCAGAACTTGCCTTGCTTGGCGGCCCCTGACGTTCGAAAACCCTATTAGTGCAGAGGGCAACCCCTTAACAGGAACTTGATAAGAGAAGAGTGGAGACAGGTGGGGGACACTACAGTACTGTGCCAAGTCGAAGTGAGGCGTCTGCATTTGACGCTTCTTACTAAGAATTACAACCATAGTTGGTGGCTATGAAAACTAAGTTACGCGGCGACTTCCGACACAGCGGTACAAAGGCCTTCTTGTACTACCCGGACAGCGGGCGTAGTTATAATGCCGGTAACCCTTCCCTAAGTGATACGTTCACCACAGGAACAATTGCATCTCAGCGCTGAGCTCTTTATGCGAGCCGTGTATGGACGACAGGGCCCCACAAACTAATTTTGGGGGACTCCACTTTGTTATTCCCACCCGAAGGTGCCCTCTTTTTGGGAGGCTATAAAGTTCTCATGCCTGGAACACAGTGCCCAACACGCAGCCGTCCTCTATCTGCTGATATACGATGAGTTCACTCTGGAAAGGCGTGCGCGCTAGAAACATCAACGTTGGTATGTCTAACTTCCGTCTTGGATGTTTTCGAGTGTGGAACTCAAGGACTCTTATCCATGTTTGGACCTCTTCAGGCCAGTGGGGCTCTTGTCGCACAGCACTCTCGTCTGACAACGGGCGCATCCGCGCGTTCCACTCCTCCCCACGTGCCCTTACTCCGTCTGAGTCCTATGCAGTCGACGATCACACCGTTCCAGACTTCTACATTAGGCACAAACTGGGTCGCAAGGGAAACTCTAATCTGCCGTCGTCCTCTTCAGCAAGTTCAGTATCCCAGACTTCGTCGTCTTCCCAACTTCGAACGGACACGACTGCGGATCCAGCATCCGTTACCCAGCACGACGACCCATCAAGCCTAACCACGCGTTCAATCAAAGCCCGCGAACATGAGGAAGCTGCACTCATGAAACAACTTTTTGACTCGGTGCTTTCCGATCAGATTCTGGCAAGCACTCGTCGGCTCAAGGCCAAGATCCCGGTCGAGCATTACGACCGCACGCATGACCTTATACGTCACCCAAGTGGATTTGTTGTTCCAGGCAACGGACATGCCAGTGCCAGCGACGCTGCGCGCGCCAAGGAGCACGCTCGGGACGAGGTAGAGGACCGCGCTGTGCAAACGACCAACGTCGCAGAGCGTGTGAGGGAGTCTGACTTGGACTCTGTGCATGCTGCGTGTGCGAGCACCCGTCCGCGGATGAGCAAAGTACCTTGCGAGGTTCGCGAACCAGATGGCACGTTCAAGCATCCCAGTGGATTTGTCCCCCCCACTTCCGTTCAAGAGTTTGAACGCGTTGGCACTGCGCCTCTGGGAAATGGTACCTACGAAGTGGTAGTCAGACAACGTATCCTTCATGATTCAGGTCGCTAGATTCAGTTAAAGTTACATTTTATGTCAATACATTAGTTTATCAAATTACAGCGTCACTTGTAGTCGTACATACTTCGTCCTGCAGTCCAACATAAAGGGGGAGAAACACTTCAATGTACATTACTGTAAACGCTCTTGAATTCACTCATTTTTTTTCGCTTTGTACTTCTGGAGGTCATACCCATAATGGAAGTAATATTATTGTGCAAACTGTAGACGAGCGAAAACATACCACTAGGGCAAAGAGGATCTGAGCAGTGGCAGACAAATATTCAACTGAGGCGTAGAGAAGACTAACAAGCTATTTATGGTACCTGCTATGGCGAGGGAAAGCACACTTGCCAGAGAATTTCAGAAGCCAGTACTTTCAGAGTGGCCTGTAACTGTTGCCGGAGTCTCGGCCGTTATGATAGTAGTCCCTGGTTCTTCCACTATCCCGCACGGATGCCGAGTGCCTGTCGCTCGCATACCCATTTCCAGAGTAGTTGCTTGAGTTGGAGTAGCCACCAGGTTCATACCTCGAGGAACGAGGGCTGAGAGAGCGACGGCTGACGGGACATCGTCAACTTGCGGAAAGTAAGTCGTTTAGACGTCCACCCACCGATATCGGACTGTTTCCAAGCTGCGGCTGCGAGCATAATCGACAGAACGAGGTGGGGTAGTTGGCCGACCACGTTCTACACGTTCCGGAGGTTCAAAGCCGCTACTAAACATGTTAACTATTGGTGTGTGCAGGTCACATCAGTCGTAGCGTACCGCGAAGGCCGATCGTAGTGATCCCGACGACTTGGAGGAGGGCCAGGAGGCGTCCTGGGCCGGCCGCCAGGCGGCTCATACCTGTCATCTACGAGTCTTCTTTCGTATCGATCATAGTCCCTAGGTGCGGGTGGATTCATCGACGAGTATGAGTCCCGGTCGTATCCGGATCGGTCGTAACGCGAGGATGGCGGGCCCCTAGTCCTGCAGTCGTCGTATTCACGCGAGGACCGCGGAGGTGGCATCGGATAGTCACGGTGGTCCCTTGGAGGGCTCGCAGGGCGTCGGTAATCCCGCGAAGGTGGCGGAGGGGTGTCATAATAGCGACTTTCTCGAGGTACATACCGACTAGGGTCGTCGCGGTAAACAGGATAGTCACGTGCCGTTGGGTAGTCCCGCGGATGTAGGCGATCAAGTAGAGTCGATTCAGTTGCTGCGCCACTGCGTCTAGAAAAATGGGTATGAGCGACAACACAAAGAGAATGCCCACAGCTTAGCCTACGAGTGCGTAGTTTGGCGAGAACATTCCCTGTCAAACCGCCCGTGAGTAAGTTCGCACCTATGGTGCTTAGAGCGTGCACACTTTGCCCAGTGACCATTTTCTCCACATTTAAAGCAAGCACCAGGATCTTCTGTTCGCTTCGTGCCACGTCCCTTACCGTGCGCTATCTCGACTCGCACCTTGTTTCCCATGAAGTACCCCTCGTGGTACTTCGCAACACTTTCTTCTGCTGATTGGCGATTGTCAAATTCCTAACAAGGACGTTCGATATCATCTACCAACGGGTCGATACTTAATACACTCACCACGAAGCCATAACCAGTCCTGAAGAAAAGGTAAAGAGAAAAAGGGAAGAGTTCAGAAGTGCGCTGCTGAGGATAGAAAAAAAAAAGTACGGTGACCTACTTCAACTCGATATTAACGATTTTCCCTAATTTCCCGAACCCATTCCGAAGGTCCTCCGGGCGTGTGTTTTCCGGGAGACCGCCGATGTATACTTTGTTCGGCTGCGCAAGACGCAAACTGAAGTTCAATACCAGGAAGACAGGAGACAAGAACAAGGTAGACAAGGCCGGCCGTAGAAGTAGAAGGCTCCTGCATGAGACGGGAAGTGTAGAGGGGCCTAGCCAGACCTCTTAATAGACATGTGCATGGCGACCCAGCCTAGTAACAGTCAAATCAACAGGAACCACCGGCGCCACGTAAACATCAAGCATCCAGCCATGAGGCAGCGAGGAGTGGCCAAGCAACAGCAGATGACTCGCCACGACGAGCGAAGGCAGAGACGCAGGAGAGACGGAACGGCAAAACAAGTGAATTGTTAAGCACCTTGGGTGGTCTGTCGCGAGCAGCGTCGTCCCTGGGCTTGAGGGTGCTGGTGGAAATGTCTTCGCCGTTGCCGTTCACAAAAGCAGAGGGGTCTTCCGCAGCGATGGCAGTCGGCAGGTCGTCCATGACAGTATCATGGTCGAGTTTTACAGGGCCCATATCGTCGATACCTTGGTCGTCTACTGCGCCCCACCTGTCCCTGGTTTGGATGTCGTCCACAACACTGGGGGAGGCAGCCATCGTAGTGGAGGAAAAAGGAAAAAGTTGTCAAGCAGGCGCCCACACAGGGGAATGACCTCAAAAATCAAACTCCGCTTGCTACGTAGCCAAATACAAAAACAGTCCAGTAAGAGAATAAAAAAGAAAAATTAGGAAGTAGGTCCATCCTCAAACTATATACCCTACTACGCAAGTGTCATGAAACCGCTGACCATACTCGTCACCACAAGAACGCCGACGCCAAAGAAGACCCTCGCATCGAAAGCGGCAATCGGAGCGCCGCCTGACGATTTTCCGGATCCCGATCCGCTAGAAGATCCAGCTCCAGTAGGGGTCGTTGAAGCCACTCCGCTGGGCAACGTGGGCACGAAGGTGCCAGTGGCCGTCGCCAAGCACGAAGATGCCGCCGAAGTAGGTGCGGATTTAGCGTTCGAATTGACGGTACCGTTGCCACCAAAGCTGCACGACTGAGGGTTGTTGCTAGTGGCGCTGTAGTACTCGCTCATAACATATGACAACATGACAGCTAAAAGAAATAAACGTCAACGAGCATCCCTGTTCGCATGGATACAATACGTACTGGGATCACACTCAGAGACAAGGCCATATGTACCACTCGTGCCATTGGCAGAAATATCATTGCAGGAGCCTCCGGACTGACCGAGTAGGCTGCAGGCGTAATCCAACAGGGAACCCAGGATCGAAGTATAATTGGATGTCGTAGGAGTAAATTGACAGCCGAGATTGTTCTCTAAGCACGTGCATGCTGATAGGTTGGGTGTTGGAGGTAGGGTAGTCGAGGCTACGAATGTGGAATTCTGTTGAGGGCATGAGGGGTAGCTAGTCGAACCGGCGGAACTTTCCGACGGCGAGTTCGGAGGGGACGCCTGAGTGTATTGTGCCTTGAGATTATCAAAGTCTTGACCAGTGGTAACAGTGCTGCCGTCAGACGAGATGTTCACCATGCCGAACTGGCCTTGAACACTGCTTGCCGGGAAGTACGAAAATGCAATACCACCTGACCACTCGGGGGACATCTCAGAACTGAAAATGGCGCCGACTTCGGTCCAAGGACGTGGAGTTCCTGCTGTAATACATCCGAATTCACTGAAGTAAGCCGGAACGTTGTAACCGGCGAAGTTGCCCTCCGTGCCCGCATAAGAAGCTTCGAAGGTGGAGTCGCCACACCACTCGCTAGAATATAGAGTGAGTCGCACCAACCCAATGCACCGACTAACACTGACTAGTTGTTCAAGCCATAAAGATCAATGGCTGTAGCACCTGAATTCGAACCAGACGGATCACAGGACAAGTAATTAGCCAGAGGAACGATCCAGGATGCATCTCCGTCTATAGCTGCATAACCAACGAGAGCGGATGATTGGATGGAGTTGCTGACATGATGCATTAAAACGTGTTGGCCAAAGTAGGAACGTTTGCACTGCTTACAGGTAAGCCTTGACGTCACGAGCTGCGGCTTTGACGAATGTAGCTGCGCCGGTTTCGTTCGCCGCCGTGACAACCTCGTTACCAACATTGTAGGCAAGCACGTTGTCGTACTTCGAAAAGGTGTTCACGGTCTCGAGGTAGAGATCCAAGAGATTCGTAGTCCATGCAGGGGAGTCGCGGTTAATAGACCCATTGACTGGCAGTGACAAATCGATGCTGAAAAGCTCATGTTCGTCGGATAGCGGAAGTACGAGAGACAGGAACTCACATAGCGTATATACCTGCGTTGCTAAATAGTTGCATACATGTGTCGTGGTTGAGACTAGAATCGACGCTGTAGGCTCGAATAGTATTGACTCCAAGTTGCTGGAGGTAAGGTAGGTCGCGCTGGCAGTCGGTTCCGTTGGCGAGAGAATCGATATACGTAGATGGCTCCAAGAACGGATTGCTAGTGTCAGCCACGACAGCACCTATTGAAAACCCATCGACCCCGAACGAAGACGGAACATGCACTACGATTCACGGACCTTGCTGCTGATACGCGACGCCCTTAATGTAAAACCTGTTTCCGTCCGCAGTATAGAGGTATCTACCAGCCCTTGAGACTCTTTGGATGGCATGCACGCCAGAGACAGCAAGAGCTGCGGCGGTGAGGCCGGCAGCGATGCGATACAGGGAGCGCATAGCAGCCAGCTTAATAGTTTTGTAAAATTGAAAGGGAGTGTAAGTGAGAGGAACAAAAAAAAATACTGAGCGGGTGACTTGCGTCCCTCTGGTTCGGCAACGTTTTATGGACTAAAGTGATTAGTAATACGTCATACTTTGACTCCCCGCAGCAACTTGTCTTCCAGATCTGATTATCGGACACTCAAGCTCAAGGATGTCGTGCTAGAGTATTAGACAAACCCCTACAGCACTGAAGTGCCGAAATTTCCTGCACTGGTGGCTGAACTCGACACACACCGGGAGCTGTAGTTACGGGGTCCATGAGATACCTAACCCCAGCAAATACTGTAGCATCTGTCGGTCATTTCGCAACTCGCACCTCCATACGTCCCTGACCCTGCTTTGGCAAGCCTCGAACGTGGCCCACTTAAGTGTACGATGCAGCACAGTCGCACTAAGTGACAAGCTGCTGTCTTTTGTGCTCCAATGGAGCGCTTTAACGTCGCCCGCCTAGCTCAATCGGATAGAGCGTCAGACTCTTAAACCTAGGCGATCTGAAGGCTGCGAGTTCGACCCTCGCGGTGGGCTATGGAGCTTGTCTTTTTTTGTTCACCTACCTTTCGCCACAAACGGTTTCGTCTTGAAGCTTGATCCTCAGAACTGATGTTAGCCACAGGCATCCTAAAACGTCTGGTTACCAGGCCTACTCAGGTCCGGAAACATACATACAAGGCTCCGTTAGCTCCGAGTCAACCATGGCATAAAATTGCACAATAAGTACAAAAACGTAGTGCTGCGACAGTTTAAACCATTAAACAGAACATTGCTTTAGATGATGGAGAGACCAAGATTAAGGCTATACAAATGCGACGGAACGGTGGGGAAAGTAAAGTGTTCAGAAAGCAAGCAAAATAGTACTGCAGGGAAATTGGTTGTATGCCGGATCAATGTACAATTGCGGTGGTGGTATTGATCGAAGCCGGCCGATCCCTTTTGGCGTAAGTACCTCCCAAACAAACCGCCAGCTTGAGCGAGCCATGCAACGCGAATGAGGTATCGGTCGTCAAAATGCAAGGGCCATAGAATATACATAGAAATAGGGAATGGTGAGAGCCACAACGTCGACCGAATTGAATCAGTGTGCAACTCAGCGGACCACCCTTTCACATGCCGTAGCCGTAGTTCTGGTAAGGATCATTTAACGACCCAGTAAGGCCGACGTTGCCAAACGCGCTCACGCTAGCATACCCGGAAACGCCAGAGTACCCCCCACCGTGGGTGTGGGGTGGAGTCAACCTGGAGTTGTGGGGAGAATGGCTTTGCAGAACGTATTCATCAATCGATCGTGCTCCGAGACCGTGCATCTGGGGAGCCAATGGACCATGACCATACGATCCTTGACCTTGCATCCCGTAAAGGCCAGGTTGAGAGCCGTACAAGTCCGCCATAGGCATATTTTGGGGAATGTGACGTGTAGCAGGACCCAGATGACCATGTCCAAGTCCAACGGCTTGATTGCCGAGGTTCATGTTGACTATCGCCTGGGGACCCTGGTATCCACCGTTGAAATTGTCAACATGTTCGCGTTGGAGCTTGTTTTGAATCCGTTTCCCATAAGGGGTATTCCGAATCAACGGCAATACAGGTCGAATGCCTTCGACCAGTAGCGCGCGTTGACCAGGGTCCGCATAATCCAGGGCAGTCTAGAAGAAAGAATTCAACGAAAGCGGACGGGCTAGCGCACACTCCTCACTTGAACGCAGTAGTTGCCGTACGAATCGCGCAGAAGTTTCTCCAAACGCGACCGGTTGAGGAGTTCTTCGATAATAATCTTCCTGGTGCTGTGCTCAGCAACCCGGATGCACTAGGTGATGGATGAGCAATACAAGAAAGTACCAGATGAAGACCAACCTTCTCGATGACGTTTGAACTAAACTTCTGTACAGATAACGCGCAAATATTCCCCGTGAACTGACGGATGACTGCATCACTGAAGCGATTATCGTTCAGATCCAAAATATATTGCACGACCTGAGGCGCTGGTGAGCAGTCGCAGTCAGCAGGGCGAATATAACGACTCACATAGTTCCCATATGGATCTTGAACCAGGGTAAGAGCATTGTAGGTGATTTCATTGACAAGCTGGATACGCTGGTGGTCGGAAGCATGATCAATGCACCGCTGTAGTACACAACATCCATGACGATGAGTGGCAACTTCCACACAATTTGCAGCAACAGCATTGTAAATAAACTTTCACAACGTCAGATAAACTACGAGGGGATTAACAGCTCCGTACCTGATTGTCCTCGGGAACAAGCTTGTTGAGGCACTTTTGTATGACATGATTGCCGTTGAGGTCTTTGATTAGCACAACAACGTGAAGGCTAAGCGCAACAATGATCGAGTGAATCTGTATATCGTATCTTTGATCAGCCTACACTCTTGCCGTAAGTGTTGAAGTGAAAAGGCACTAGAATCTGACTTGCCTGTCGTCTAGTTGACAGGAAGTCAATCATTTTTTGTACAGCACGAGTACCGTGCATGTTCAGCGAGATATTGACCAAATCCTGGGCGACAGACTCGCAAATCAAGTTCCGTTGCTCGTCCGTCGAGTACTCTAGCAATTTCTGACACAGGTAGTTGCCAAACGGATCTTTGCAGCAACACGTAAATGCCTCCGCAAAAGACAGAGGAACGAAGAGACATACCCGTCATCAGATCAGCGAAGTGACCGAACGTTTCGCGAAATATCATGTCTCGATGTTCTGGTATGCCCTCTTCCAGTTTCTTCTGGAGGTAACGACATCCATGTTGATCCTTGCAAAGGGCGAGAATCTCTCCTTGTAGGTCCTCCAGACGAGTCCCAGCGAAACGGTTAACTACAGAAGACACTCAGCCACGCCACAGCAAGAATACAGGAAAAACTTACGATCCATATCACCTCGCTTGTGCTTGGGTCCATGGAGTCCGTTCATCTTACCATCGGGGCCACCGCGACCCATGCCGGGCCCGTAACGCGAACTGTTGTGATGATAGAGAGCGGTCGGACCACTAGCAGCGCCGTTCACACCGTGGCCACTTCGAGTACTGGAATCAAAACCGTAAGTGTTGTAGCGGGTACCATCGAGCTGGTTGTTGAGATTATACACCGAATCAACGCTGTACTGCTGCAATGGTATTGAGTGAGAAAGAATAAGGAGAGCGCTGTCCTCGCACCTCGAATGACAAGGCGGATCCGTCATATTGACCCGACGATAGACGCGACAAAGAAGGCTGAATATCAGTTTTAACCTCGCCACCCAAGTGCTGACTGCCTTGAGCAGAAATGCGACCACTCATACCCTGAGTGTCAGGAGTGAGCGGAGTCCCAGGGGCTTGAAGCATATGAGAGCTCCCATTCGTAATAGAGAGAGGCGTAGCGGGCACTGATCTCGTCGAAAAGCTCTCCAGAGCCCCTGCAGGAGAACTCCTGCGAGACGAGGGCGCCGCACCGAGGGTAATCTGAGGATGTTGGCCGATTGGTGGTGTCGACTGCTCCGGTAACTATGCTAGACAACTTGGCACTGAGGTCTAGGGGAGATGATGTAAGTGTAACCGTCGGCGTTGTGACGGTACGCCGTTCAGCACGTGAGGCGAGGCTTTCTGGGACGCGGGGATTACCAGTGAACTGCGGCCACTCAGACGGCTTGTCGCGACCGGTAAACGAATTACGTGGGGAAGTCTGCGACCGGTGCGCAAGATCCAAAGCGGCAGACGACGTCGATATCTAACCTAATATATGGGCTCGGTGGGGAATGTAGACTAGAAGTGCTCACCTTATTTGCATAAGCTGCAAATTTGTCATCGTCTGACGTTGGTAAATTCCTCATCGCATCTTTGAAATGTAAGGAAACTAGTACAAAAACGAAAAAAAAAGAATGGCTCACTATGCATTTCCTGGTCTAACTGTTCGTCGAGCATCATGCCAAAGTTATATTGTTGGCTGGTGCGAGTGTGGTCCTCCTCGCTGAAACGTGCTCTCGTCAACATAGACTGAGCCACGGGTCCCGGACTTGGAGAAGCTCCAACGGGTCTTTCACTGGAGAGGGCCATGCCTCTGAAATGTTCAGCAAGTTCCTCGTCGTGACTGCTTGTGGACGTGCGACGACTTGCCGGCATACTCTTCGCCCCTCCGCGAGCGTACTGGCCGTTGAGCACATGAGCCGACCCAAGTTCGGGGGAACGATCGACGGAGGGTGCATAGGTGACAGACTTTCTCTTGTCGACAGCAGAGCCAACGGCTCTCGACAAGACGTCAGCATCGACTGAAGAATGAGATAATGATGACTTGGCGAGCCCATCTCCTTGCAAGATAGCGTTTACCCGGGGAGGTGTCGTCGGGGCAGAGACAGCCAAATGAGCAGAAGTCATCGACTCGTAAGGGATACTGAGGAGCTCCTGCGCTTGCTGGTGCTCCAACGCACGCATCTGGTCTTCGAACATCTTCCTTTGCAATGCGCGCTGACGTTCATGTTCCAATCTCTTTAGCTCCACGCGCTTTTTACAAGTATCGAGGTTGAGATGGACAATCTTGTGCGAAGGGTTGAACACAAAAAACTCACCGCCGAGATGTCGGGCATATTGGTACCCAACCTCGCAGCCTGCCACGCGTCGCAGTCACATTTTTTAAGAAAAAGCGTTGCTGTATTAGGGTGTTGAACGTACCGAGTCTGCGAGGTCGAGGAAAGCAGGAGGGCTCTGCTTTCTGCCATCGGACGTACGATTATCGGCTGAAACATTAATGTTTTCTGCAGCATTCATCTCGAGTAGCGCAGGCCGACAACTTTTCTTCCAAACGTTTGAAAAGAGGGAAAAGGTATGTGACGAAGCGAAAGAAGATTAGAAAACGGTAAGGGTAGTCACACAATGGCAATCCTGCATTGAATCGACGCGAGAGATCAAAAATTGCAGAGACCGGGATATATGTGCCAAGGGTGTCTTACCTGCAAGCCAATTTAAGCCCGTCTAGTATATTGGTGATGGTACAATGGGGGTGTATGGGCTGCTGCGGGCACGATACGAGGTAAATGAGCGTCTGACGTCGTGTTAGATGGCTCTGAAATACCTGTTGGGAAGTGTCCAGATTTTTTCAGAGCGCAATGCGAGGGAGGACGCTGATAGGCTTGTGTTGTTAGGACCAGCGAATTTAAGGCACTTCGGTAGCGCGTGGGGGGGTGTCAAAAAGCCCGGACTTGGCCTTATTTTTCAAAGTCCGCCTATTTTTTGACTTCTTTTTTTTTTTGCGTAAACGCCGATCGTCCTAATAGTGTTCTTTTTTTCTATTCCCCGTCCCCGATCCCTGCTTTGTATCCGTTTATTTGATGCATGTATCAGTATACTCGGTGTTCGGACGACCTTTCATGTTTGCTGTGGGATTTTATGCATTATCGCTTGTTTTGTGTTTTTACGGAGCAGCCATCATTACAACATGCCGCAAAATGAATTGACTCCAGCCCTTGAGTTCGATTCGACCGGACGTCTATTATTGCCACGGATATCATTTTTTTGACGTCGCATCGGCTATGGCAATCGTCGGGGTTCACAGACAAGCGTTCACTAGCAACCGCTCTCATATACATGAACGACAGTAGATGGCGTAGTCAACGACGATCCGTCAGTGAGCTTCTCTTCCGTAGATGGCTCAGAAGGCACACGTCCATTCATCACTTTACCCTCATCTGTCTGCTCTGTATGGTGAACACGTACACCCTTGATCGTCCGCCGATCGTCGTCATCTTCACTTCCAGTCTGCCTGACTGATTCCTCAGGACCCGACGAACTTGCTGTACTCCACACAGCAGACGACCGTGGTCCTTCTTCGGTCTGTTCACATGCAGACCTGGGAGAAGAGCGCAAAATAGAAGCCGGGTTTCGGGGACGTAAGAAGCCCGTTAGAGGCGGAAAACCAAGCGTAAGCTTCGAGTACCGTGAGTGCGTGGTACCCTCGGTAGGTGTGGTGGTCCCCATTCCTCTGCCACTCCGGGGAGGCGAGTCGACCTCCGGAGGCAGCTCTGAATTGACAGAGTGCGGACTCCGGCCCGCCTTGGGCGTATCGGAAGACGGATGAGTAGGAACAGACGACGGCGACCCAGGAGGCGTAGCCAATCCCGAAGTAGCCGGGGAATCTGGTATCTGCGAGTATCTAGTGAATAGCACCGTAAACCGAGCCGACTCTAAAAAGCACCGAACGAACACTAACCGGAGGTTTGCACATTCTCCGTCAGTAAGTGTAAGGAGTAAGTTCTTCAAATTAGGTAAGGTATGTCGCATATCAAGGGCTCGTAAATCTCGCTCTGCCATAAGCTTCAAAGCAAGTTAAGAACTAGAACTCAGCCACAGAGTATGGCTTACCATCTCAATGTCTTTGTTCAATAGAAATACACCATATTCAAATCTGTAAGTATCAACCCCTTTGGAGAAAAGAGGGAACCTTGAGCAGACAATCAGTGTTTGTGTGGGGACCCAATACACGACATTACCAACATTCGTGGACCAACCATAGCGGAGATATTATCTTTGATTAGACTCCTGCTTCCAACATAGGTGACGGGATACACCAGTCCTTTTCCCATGTACACAGCAAGCAGCTGGACTAGGTGTGCGGCGTAACCCAAGGCCGTGGCGACCGCATCTTCCGTCACTTCCTTGTGAGACGGGAGCGAAAGCGGAGGCGCTGGCTCATTTCCATTCAGAGGAATGGGCAAAGGAACGCCGAGAATTGTGTACAGCAAGTCGGAGGGAGAGTCAAGCTCGATCGGGTATATGGAGGCCAATACCGAAATCAACGATGTCCGGGTAGGTGGTATACGATTGCGCGTGGCCACAACAGCACTTCTAAAACAACCAAGGAGCGTTACAGACGTGTCAGTGTCCGCACGTTGAAACTCACCTTTGCTCAGCAACTCTCTCAGCTTGAATTGAAAGTAAAATAGCACTTTCAGCATGTACAGCCCTGGCTCTTTCGAGGCTCTCTCTACGGGCCTGTATTTGTTCACGGCGCGTAACAATGTCGCCACGCACTGCGTACGAAAAGACACGTGAGACACGTAAAGCGTAACGGGTCAAAAGCTTACAGGAACTCATGTGCTCGATAACGGTACGGACCTCGGCTTGTCGGTCCTGAATGCGCACCTCGCGCTCACAAACTTCCCGCCTCTGGAGGGGCGGACCCGCGACATGACGTTCATGGGTCAGTTCAGTGTGCCAGGTACGTCAAGGTCAACATACCAGAACCATGACATCGCTATTTTCCAATAGTTTATCAGTCCCCTTCACAACAGCACGAAGCGACTGCTCGGTGTCTCGAATGCAAGACTGCAGAGTCGCGAGTCTGTCATACTTTTTAACTTGCCGGCTCTTTGATTGGAAACAGAACGGTAACACACTGAAAGAGTTCCTGAAAGCTGGCAGTCCTTGCAGTGGACCTACGAGCTCTGCGCGACAAGCTTAATTGCGAGTAACTATCGGAAGCGTGCGTGGTCTCAATGGGGGTCGACGAAGCGGCGTGGTCGAATCTGCGAATCTCGGCTTCCGGGTCAGTGTTGTAACCAGATGGAGATACAGATCGGGAGCGGGAAGGACCCTGATGCCGGGGTTGTGAGACGGGCACATAAAAACTCTGTCCGGAGGGAGAAAAGGTTATGACAAGCGAGTTCGAAGGCAGGTAGGACTGGCGATTTTCGAGCTTGGAAAAATAGAAGAAGTGAATAGACTTGAAGTTAAGCACGGTCGCCGAATCTTACCTCGGGCGGGAGTGGTACCATGTCTGACAATACTACGTTCCATTCGTCAAGAAGCTTCCACTCCGACCCCTGTGAAGAGACGTCATTTTGGCTACTGATTTCCTTCTGCTTTCCTTTGGAGTTTAATGACAAGCTTCTTTCCTCTGTCTTTGCCCAAAGTTCAATCCTGACGGTGTCTGAACTCAGATCAGTACCCTGAGTAAACTCGTTTGAACCGGAATCAACTGCAAAGATCGGGTTGGTCGAAGGGAGATGAATAGGAGATATGTAGTTGGGTACTTGTCTCGTTCTGACTTCTGGAGTGGCGGGTGGCGGTGGTTGGCTGTTACCCTTCTGCGAAGGGAAAGAAGATGAAGGCTTGTGTGTCTTGAATGACGATGACGCCGTAGTGGGCTTAGATGGAGCATGAGCTTTACGGGTCGGGGCAGCAGTCGGCCGCGTAGCCGTCGCGGTATTAGCACGCGTTGCAAGTGTTTTAACTGCGCCAATACTCGCTGAACGAGAGGCCCGCGGCGCCTTAGGCAAAGGAGGAGCACGCGTATTGCTGGATGATGACAAGGAAATAGCTGAGCCTGCAGGTGGACCACTCTCGGCGCGAAGCCTTGGGTTGGGACTAGCCTTACTTGACATGGACGAAGGAGGGGCTGCAGTTTCCGGGACGGTGACTGTGATGAATGTTTCTACGAGTCGCGACTTGATAACTCTCTCCAGCATACGCTGGGAATTGTCGAAGGAAAAAGTAGCGGTTGGATGGGTCGGCACGCTTGCGGAGACGGAAGCCAAAGCTCCGTTTCCACTGAGACGTGCAGGGCCTTTGCGGCGGCTCCTTCCTTCGAGATTGCCTCTGGCTTCGTCCGGGGAACCAGTAGCGTCGTCAACTATCAAGTTCTTTAATGTACTACCTGAAGCGGACGATATTCGACGGGGTCGTTTGCGAAGGAGCGTCAAGTCGAGGTCATCGGAGAAGTTTCCAAGTGGTGTGAACTGAGAGTGGGCTGCGGGCTGTGACAGAGCAGTAGCAAACGCATCCCTGATTGGAAAAGGCGTCAGGTTGACGACCTGGACGGAGGTTATGTGACGGAGTCGCCGCTGAAGGCATGTCTATCAGAAGAGTGTGATTGTCTCTGTGCTGCAATGGGGGGTCTGCTCACCACTGCATGCCACGGAGACGGCGACGGCACACGTCCATCTGGCAAACTGGGCGTAGGTGCTTCGTCCTGACCACCCGCCGACATGATCTGCGTTGAGGTCGGCTGGAGCTCTCCGGCGAACAGTACCACTGCTTGGATCCATGTCGGTGACGATTTGGCACTTCCTTTCTGGGAATGTGCTCCTCGTGGAATCATGTCGTCTGCGACGAGTGACCCGCCTGGAATTCTGGTACCCGAGATCGACGCACTCACGACCGTTCTCAAGGTAGATCTTGTCTTGATTCACCAGTGAAGACATTCTAATGTGCGACCACAGAACGCCGTCTTTAAGACAGGCCAGATATACGCCTTCCACGCTGATTCGCACAGACTGTGAGCTCTTTACTTGTATCGCACTACCACTCAGCTCTCTTGTGAAATAGTGGTTTGCGCAAATATGCACCGCACCCGCCCCGCGATTTAGCAGCTTCCCTTGGTCACGAACTACAAAAGTACGATCAACTGTGCGATGCTATCGAAATACGTGTGGTGCGTAACAATCTCGTCCATCCTGCCTCATCGCACCATCTCAGAGCCGCGCTTCCGATAGCTGCACGCCATATCTGTCCTGAAACGAGACTTGGCCCGTGAGGAGTATCGCACCAGACAGGCGGAAATCGCTGCTATAGCAGCCCAGGCGCCGCCGCCTGACACGGGCTCAATCACAGCGGATACTACCATGCAGCCCCCTCCCACACCTATACACGGACCCGCTCAGGGCCCTACCCCTTCCCGCCGCCAATCCGCAATCTCCTTGTCTTCACTTCACAGACAACCCTTTCCCCTCAAATTGGACTTGTCATCGTCGTCCATGCACATGTCAGCCGAAGAAGCTGCTCTTTATTCCAAGGGTCTTCTCGCTTCTCCAGTATCACTCGCACCTAAGTCAGCACGGCCAACCGGTACCAGCGACATCGACTTGATGGCTGCATTTGCCTCCGCTACCGCAGCCGGTGCGTCGCAGCACGTGGATATCGACTTAACCGTGGATGACAGTCCTCCCACCATGATGTCAAGAATTAATGCTTCCCTGGGTAGCTCCGCTGACAAGCCAATCGAACTCGACTTGGAGGGTATCGACATGAATATGCCAAGCATGACAGATTTATTTGGAGACGGTCCAGAATCGAGCTCGGGAGACGGACAGACGGGTATGGATGGTCTGTTCACACCCACCACCACCGAAGCTGGAGGTGACGTGCATCCTAAGGATGCGAGATCAAGCAATGCCGTGGGCATGGGAATCCTCGATGCCTTAACCGCCGAAAGCAGTAATCATGGATCAAACTTGTTTGAAACTATTCAGAGAGGCTCCAGTGGCCAAATGAACGACGGCGGCCAACAGGCAGCGCATGGAAGTGACTCTCCTGGATCGCTTCTGGCAAGCTTCACCAACCAGTCGCAGCATGGCTCTGGAGCGGAACACATGCAAACGGACTTCGACTTATCGTCAATAGACTTTTCCAATCTAGACTCGGCCATATTTGGGGGGCAGGGCATGGACATGGATACTCTCCTAAATATCCATCATCCCGGAGCCAGTTCCGATGTGCAGAGGTCCAATCCATAGCTAACTTTTGTAATGATATGTCTGCTGCGAGTCAATGTGCACTAAAACAGGAATGATAGCGGTGATGTTTAACTGGGCCATCATGAAGGAAGATCTCTTGCCAGAGTTTTCAGTTTCTTTCGCAGCGAATGGGTGTTGTGCGCTCCCACAGCGAGTAACATCTCGTCAAGATCTGAGGCCAGACCTCGCCGTGTCACTTGATCCACCCCTTGCACTTCCAAAACTTTTTGTACAGCACGAACTAGCCGACCTTCGGGACGGCCCATCTTGGGTTTGGTGACGGACGGCGCTCCTGCTCTCTTCCTCCTCTTCGTTTTTGGGGCAGCCAACAAGGGCTCGACGAACTCAGTTCGGAACCGTCGCAATGCCAACGCTTCTATCGTGACGACGCGGTCCAAGGGACTTGCTGCCTCGGCACATAACTCCGCCAGTGCAAGTTGCTCGGGCGATCCGCCATCCTGATATCCCCACTTCTTGATTTCCTGCATACGCTTCCTCTTGAGTTTTTTCAAAATTTCCTCTCGCGTAACACCACCCCCGTCCTGAATTGACTTGGCGACTGTGTCGAGCATATCACCAAGCGTTAGCCATCCTTTGTCTTCGTCCACAGCTCGTTTCACGTAGTGCCTGTTCACGTAGTTGAGAAGACGGTTGATAGAATGTGCGCTAACAGTGTAGCGCTTGAAACATGGAACGAGATACTGAATCAACGTCGTATCATCCTCCGGTGCACCAAGGTGCAGTTCGCGCACGAGATCTGCGAAAAACTGGTCCAAGTGCATGTACAGGTCCGCTCCCCTCACCATCTGCTTTTCCCTGCCGCTGGCGGTCACGGTTGCTGTTGGGTAGGTGCCAGGGGTGCCATCCCGCAGTGTAGTGAAGTAGTCGTAAGTCGCGGTGTGGATACCCATGCGATACGAAATGTCAATACCGGGCGCCTTTTCGAAGTCATTGGTGGGGGAACGGGCTATGTGGTTGAGCGCCGGGAGGATATAGCCCCACAATGCGGGAAGCGAAGCAGACGGGTTGGCGCTCCCCACCGACGGATTCGACATTGTGGGTAGCAGGAGCGACGCTGGCAACGGCTCTACGTGCTTGCCTTTGTTGACCGACATTGGCATCTGGGGCGCGAAAACCGACATTTGGGCCACACTTTTGTAGGGTGGCAGGTGGATCAGTAAGTATTAGCGTCGTGTCCCTAAAAATGGCACGTTGGGACCGAGGCCTGGAACACCAAACATGCCTTGAAGCCAAGATCTGATGGTCTCGCAAAACATCCCTGAGGGACATGTCAAACCGAACCTGTTTCCGGTAAGAATGCAGACAAGTATGTACTAAGTAGGGTAAGTACAATGAACCTGAGTAAAATCAAGAGGGAATGTACATCCTAGTACATCGAAAATATATCCAGATATTTGCCAGTACTTCATATGTACACCTCTAAACAACGCCAAGAAGGACGGTAGCTCGTAAGCTTACCTCCTTTGGTGTGGGGCCAGACCGTTTCGGTTGGTCATCCTCACCCCCGTCGCCTATATCATCACTCCGTAGCGAACTTGACTTCCACCCCCAACTCTGGCTTACGGAAAACACGTCAGGGACGCTGGTGAAACGGGTGATCGAAGAGCCCGTAGAACTCATGCACGAGACAGCGAAGTAAGCAGCTACGGATGGTCTAGGATCTCTGTACGGCTGGACAGGAGCTATAGGTGGTGCTGTCGCAGGAATCGCATTGCCAAAGGATTGATGCGCCTTGTCAGACCCGTGTGAAGCTGAGGGTGCTGAGTTGGGCGTTATGCTTCCGGAACGGGGATGTATTGATGGGGAGTAATGAACCGTCGGTGAAGACACCGATGTGGGGATATGGTGTGGAAGGGATGGGACCCTGTTGTGGTTGCGTTCCCGTACACATTGCACGGGAGAAGATGCGCCAGGGATAGGATCCACACTCGACTGACGATGAAGGTATATTCCAAGTTGTGCGCCTTTCTTACGCACCACCTGGACATAAACATTGAAGAGATTGCCAGCGTACCAGATCGTGTGTGAGTGGAGCCGAGATTTCTCCTTGAGAGCGTCGATGTCCCAAAATTCAACCGCAAAACGGCACGGGGGGTATTGAGACCAACGAGTTTTGCCGGTCGAGTCAGTGGCAATACACTCCAATGCTGTCTTGCGCTCTGTTTTGAGACCAAAGAAATTCGCCTCCGAAGTTGGAGTTGACTTGCTATCGGACAATGACGTGGTGTGTTCAAATAGTTGGTCCATGGATGCACCGTCCAATCCACTGCTGTCTCCCAGTCTCATGGACGAGTCCTGGGGAACAGGATGGTAGACCTTTTCCTTCTCGTCGTCAGGGACAGCTTGTTGCTCTGATGGTGAGAGGCGCGAGAGAATCTGGGCCGTAGTTAGGCATAGTCCAAGTTCCTTGTCACGCATTGGCGGGCTGGGCGAAGGCAAGGATGTGTTGGTAGACGATGTTGTAATGTGACAACGCAATAGAGACTGGTTCCAATGTGCAGCTTGTAATACCGGCGTCGGTACGAATGGTCGTCCGGTTGAAGGAGAAATATCCTGTGATATCGCGATGATATCCTCAACCAGCTATAAAGCGAGCACGATGTCAGCATTCTGGTCTAGGGGAGATAAAAGGATCTCAAGTACCATGTTAGCATAGTAGATTCCTTCGGAAAACATTGTTTCCCAGTCTTTTTCCTCATCCTCATCAATGCCCTGTTTCCTCCTAAGTTCGACTACGGCTCGCGCCAAGTCATATCTCTCGCGTTCCGCTTTGACGAATAAGCTATCCGAAGATATCAACTCCCGTATCCACTTGGATGTTAACCCACCTCTGGCCCATATTGTTGGCAGGCGAGGGGGGACATGAACTGCGGCTTCTTCTGACGGTCGGGAAGGTAGCGTCTCTGCTCTTTTCCTGGTAGAAGGCGCAACAGCGGGTGGTGAGAGAGGGAAGTCTCGCCCCGATAGTGCCTTCTCTTCGTATACGAACATATCCGGACCCCATCTTGCCAGCCAACAAACAGCTGCTTCGCCTATCTTATTCGACACAGCCCCATAATCAAAGCAAGGAGTATATCGTGGCCGATCCTCACCCTCACCGTCAGACCGGGTATCAGATTCACCAGGATCTTCTTTCTGTACAGCCAGCCCGTGGAACTTGTCAGTGAGTAAGTCTCGTGGCTCAGCTTTACTGGTATCGTGAGAAGTTAGTGTGGAGACGGAGCTGCTGCCGGGGCTGGTCAGGACAGCGATCCTTTCCAGGCCAACTGCGGCCTCGGGCTCGTCGTCGTCCGATGCTTCTATTGGTACACCCGTAGCAAACCGGAGATAAGGCAGAATTGTATATGGTCCGACAGTGTTCAGAATGCAGCTGAGCGCATGAGATGCAATGGTAGGAATGCTCAGGTAGACCGCGGTCGCAAGCAAGGAGAGGAGAAATCGGGGTGTCGCTGGATGATGGCCCTTTGGGAGTTCTGAAGACGATGAAGGAGAGGAGAATGACGGCGTGAGTGGTTGATTCTGGGTCGGGATCAGGGAAGGACAGACGTGCAGTGGTGGCCCACCGCCATACAAACGCGCGATGCACACTCTGCAACATAAATTATGTCAGACAGCACCATGCCAAGCCTCGACAACGTACTCGAAAGCTGGAGAGCATGTGATGTCAGGGGATGTGGTAATAAGCTGTGGATGACGGACGTGCCTGCACGTGTAATGTTGCAATCGTCAAAGACGATGTTAACGTCCTGTTGTCCTGACGGGCTACCTGATAGACTAGGCGATGACTCGAGAAATCCGGCAGTGAAGAGCGAGTTAAAGAATCCCTAACTGGTGCATGAGCACGTACAGGACGACCGCGGTACCGTCGATAGCACTTACTGCCTGGATAAGAACGACTCTGTGGAGCTTGTAGACGGCTTGCCATGTTCCCTTGACATGGAGAGCGACATCTGCTGTGCGCGATTCCAGCAGGGAATTGTAGATGTGTTGTTGAAGATCTGCGGGGGAGGAGCTGCTGCCGGTGCCTGGGTTCATAGACGGTCGATGCGTGCCCCTAGAAAGATCTGACCCAAGGGAAACGTTCAATCTGAAGGCTGGCAGAGACGCAGACGCACGCAGAACGTGACTGGGAGAAGGAAGAGGAGCTGCCGGGCGGGTGTCCATAAGTACTTCGCTTGGCTTCGGCCTCACTTATGTCACGCTGGGCGCATTAATGTATTGATCACGTGCCCATACCGACATACTATATCACCCCCTGCACTGTTGCACTGGTAGCACTAGCGAGGTGACAATGCAGCAACCCCATTCTCGTTTCTCGGTGCTGTCAAACTCTTCCTTGTCTTCAGCGGACCTCCTGTCCCCAACAGGCTCGTCGCGTTTCTCCCTCCCGTCTGCCCCGTCGATCAATGCAACCCTCGGCCAGACTCGACAGCGTCCCAACATTTATGACAGAAACCTCAACAAGACCCGATCATCAGAGGTATCGGCTTCGGCATTCGCGTTCCTTTTCTCAGAGATCGTTCAGTACACTCAGAAACGCGTCAGCGGCATAAACGATCTCGAGAGGCGGTCAGAGTCATCCGTTCACTGCACGAGAGCAACTTGTTTCATTTCCCTCTAGGCTAAACATATTGGGCTACCGCGTCGGAATGCGCGTCCTAGAGCTCATGACATGGCGCACTGAATCATCGTCCAAGGCTCCCAAACGAGAAATTCGCTTCCTCCCGGCTCTGATGTCCATCCATACTCAAGTCTGGAGAGCAGTATTCGGAAGACCGGCGGACGCCATCGAAAAGAGCGTGGAAAACGAAGATGAATGTCCGTTTCCCCCTTACTTCGCGGTCGGTCGTTGAGCTTTTATCTGGCACAGACATGATTATCGACAACGATCCCCTCCCCGAACGACACATATCGGTACCAAGAGACATGAGCCAGCTCAGTTGTTCGTCCTTCACAGCGGGTATTGTTGAAGCTGTTCTAGATGGACTGGGGTTTGTAAGTCACACACGCACTTTCGCTCAGGCTATGCTGCTGAGGGCAACGTTAGCCCGCACGCGTAACCGCCCATAACACTCCCACTCAGCAGTACCCATCGCGAACGACCATCCTTATTAAACTAGAAAAGTCTGTATTAGAACGAGAAGAGATTGTAAAGTGATGTACGCTGGTCATGTACCTCTCGAGGGTTTACCCCTGCTTCGTTATCTTATCATCGAATGCTTATCTGCCCCGTGCATGTAACATGTAACAGCAGCTCGAAGAACTTAGATACTTGCATTCACCAACACAACATACCGCCGTCGCCGTGGGTCCCGTCGATGGTCAGGGTTCGGGGAATAGACGTTCACCCTCCGTTGCTGAACACATCCTGCGCCTGGGCGTCTGACCTGCAGCAACTCACAGCACTCTATGATTGCCTGCATACGGGCGCCGTGAGCACACGGACAGCAACGTTATCTGGATTCAAGGAAGACTCTTCGCATACTGTTGGTGGGCGACTTCTCGTTGCAGCGAACGTGTCCGATCTTGAGGTTGATCTGCCAGGTAGCATTTCTAGCTGGCTCGTTGTCGTCGATCAACTCGTACGGGTACTCACCGCACCCTCTGTCTTCCTATATAACATGGGTGCGAATGCTCCTCGAACGGGACTCCCTATCTTCGAAACCCTTCATTATCAGCATCACGGAGTCTGATCCAGAGTCTCTCCGCAAGATGATGACGGCCATTCAAGATCTGCGCGCTGCACACCCCTCCTGGCACGCCCGGATAGCCATCGAATTCAACGCGAGCTGTCCAAACATCAAGGGACACCCGCCTCCTTCCTATAACTTCTCCAGCCTCTCTCCCTTTCTGGATATCTTCGCGGAACACTTCTGGGCTGACCCCACCTTGACAATTGGTCTCAAGCTACCGCCTTACACCATAGCCACTCAATTCGACGACGCCATCAGTGGTATTACGACGTACACTCGCCAGCGCGGACCTTCGGGACAATATGTGAATCCACTCGCGTTCCTCACCTGTACAAACACCCTGGGGAATAGTTTGGTATTCTCCGATCAGACTGTCGATAGTGGGGCGGATGCATCATCCTTTGCACTCCCTCCTGGCATTGGCGGTCTTGCGGGAGAAGCAATACACTCGTTATCTCTTGGGAATGTGTATTCCTTCTCACGGTTGCTCACAGAGTCGGCTGATCCGGCACTGCGGGAGATCGCCATCATCGGCGCTGGCGGTGTTACTTCACCAGAGGCTGTGGCACGCATGCATCGCGCTGGGGCAAAGCTTGTCGGATGTGCAACGCTCCTTGGGGCACTCGGTATCGCGGCGTTTGCGCACCTCAACAGAGAACAGCTGAATGCAGCAGTCGATGGATCCAGCGACTCCAGCAGGGACAAAGCGACAGGATCATGCATTCGAAGGAGTTGAAAAGGTACTATGTGGATACAGTGGCAAACAAACTCGGTGAAAATGCTACATGAAACAAATAGATTCGGTGTACTGGAGTCAACCAAAACAAACTAAGTGAGGAAATAAATCAATATACATGGGCCGCCGCTGTCCGTCAGAGGTATGAGGAAGACGAAGAAGAGCTGGTAGTGGACGAGAAACTTTCGTCGCCCCACGAAAATTCAGGCGACGACAAAAAGTGTCCATGGTTGGCATAGTCCATGAATGGCTGATATTGATCAGCAACGGGAGTCAAATGTACAGGCGGCATTCCAGTCCTAATGCGACAGTCATCCCAAGGTGTCGTCCATGGTGCAGAATCGACGGCAGGAGAGACGTGAACGACATGCTCTTGGTAGTCACTAACTTGAGCGTCGGTAAGATGGAAGACCGGCGCAGAAACGACAGGATCAGCAGGAGGTAGTAGAGGGCTGCGGAAGGGAGGAATGTTGGAATCCTCCGAGTCACTAAGTTGTGACTGCCAGTCATGGTCGTTCACTGGTGACTCTTCGGCATCTCGAGAGGCGGCGTGATCCAAGGCTTCTGTCTTGAGGGAGATGTCGACCTGCTTTACAGCGTCCTCCAACTCTTCGCCCGACTTTCCAGCGAGTAGCAGCTCTGCCACTTTCTCGCAGCGTTTCTTGTCTTCGATTCCGTTGCGGCGAACGTTCCGTTTGATTGGCTTCGTGGTTCGCCCGATAGGTGAGAAGCGGTAGTTTGGGTACTTCTCAGCATGCAAGGCCTTTTCTGCAGCAGCCTTTTCACGCCACACCTGCTTGTCGGCATCGGAGAGGCGGTTCCAGCAATGAGCTATGATGCGCGTGATGTGGCGGTTGTCGTGCTCGACGGTGGTTCTAATCTTCTGAGCTGCTGCGAAGGCAGAGCGGAAGAGCATGAAGGCGTTACGCGGTCGGGGAATGTGGTTAGGAGACTTGTTGCGCGACGTACCGCGTGCAGGAGGGATGGGCATACTTGCCAGCTCTGCGGATGAAGGGAAGGCGTGGGATTGGTCTAGCATGTCAGGAAGACCGTTTACTCCAACAGCAGGTGACGGAGATGACTGAGTGGATGACGACGGAGAGGTGGAGGCAGATGAGGGGGGATACATGACGGGGAAATCCAACGACGGCCATTGGTGATCGGGCGGGACCAATGGGGCGTCAAAGATGGGCGGAGAGATGAAGTCATGCAGGAGCGCGGTGTGGATGTCCGCCCCGTCGCCAGCTGCTTTTATGATGCTTATGACCGACCGCGTGCCACACGAGACATGCAGGACGTACCGTAGATGGTGCTTGGAATGGGAAAGTGGATGAAGTGAGTCTGACTAGACATGGATTTAGTAGGGGACAGACGGGGTTGGAAGGAGTGGTCCTGCCAGTGGACTGCAGAGCCATTTTTATACGAGGCGAGTTATCTTACAGATGTGACTGCCTGGAAGGAGGCGATCAGAGGAACCCTTCCAACAAGTCACATCGTGGCAGCCATGTGCATCCACCTGTTCTCTATTTGGAAGCAACCCCTTGCTGTGATCACAGCATACTACCCGAATGGGATGTGACGTCGTCGGAGAGTTGCGAGTTCGGCAATCCCCTGTCCACGTTGCACGCTACAGTCGGGCATTGGCGCACCCGTCAAACGATCCTCCTCGGAGAATGGAGCCAGCTTCCAATTCGTCCGGATGCCCGCACCGACCTGTCGACTCGGCTGTCACCTGACCCAACCGCGGATGTCTTGAATAACCGAATGGTATCACTGGTCACGCGATGTACAGTCAAAACATTTCACGTCTGTTCAATCTTTATTGGCGTCTAACGACAGCCATGGGTGTCAAGGCGACTAAAGACATAGGTATGAATCAACAAGCTAAATGGCATGATGCCAGCGTTGTACTCGAGAATTTGCGAAGGTGCATATGCATCCTGGATGTCACAATGGTTCCGTATATATAACGAGGTGAGAAGTAGTGCGTATCTTTCTCGGACAGTCAACCAGATCTCCTCTGCAGTGAATATCTCCATTCCAACTCCAGATGCAGCAAATCGCTCGAACGCATAAACGAATGACGTGCCATACTGGATTTTCCAACCTTGTGAAGTCCTATTTTGTGACCCTCATATAAAGGCGAGCGAAGACGCAAAGGTCAGCCGTCAAGCAGCCATAGCTCTTCTTGGAGTATGGCGAAAATGAATGTTAATCTGCAACAGTATTCCCCCGGGGGGCGTACTTGGTGTTTGCGGTGATGCATGTGTATTTGATCAACTCTCGCTCTAGTTGTTGCAAAAGCCTTACCTGTGCCAGCTCATCGACACGCCTCTTCTCGGTATTTGTGGAGGCGGGGGTGCCGTCACCAGAGTACGGTCTTTCTTACGTAGAGATAATCCAACTTCAGAGCGAAGAAATGAAATACAATGAAACAATACTTCCAATCTAATCCAGAGCTGTCGTTAAGAACATCCTCTGTACTCAACTCGGCACAATACTGGCAAATATGCTCCCAAAGCATCGAAACATCCATTGCACACGTTTCAATCAAATATCCAACGGCCCAAATGTCGAGCGCTCTTCTTTTGCGTATGTAAAAAATGCTATTCTAAGTAAAACCCTAACCGTGCGCGTCCCGAAAATCATTGACACCAGACGGAACGAGGTTGGCCAGAAGGGGGAGAAGAGGTGAGAGATTGATCAGGTGCCGTACGTTGGCAATTCGATCCTCCTTTGACTTTAGATCGACGGTGATTATATCACAGCGCCCTGGCTTCTTTCCTTCGGCTGGGGCCGTAATGGCAGTGAGAGTCATTTTAGTTCCGACACAATAATAGCCTATGAAGGGAGTTCAGATAGCTATGTAACTGAACGTAGAACACTCACCGAGCATGTAAGGGGCAGGGTCATACCTCCATATGAACTTATCTATCAGCGCCGCCTTGGGGTTATTTGGGAAGTCTAGTGCCGTCTCCTCGCCACGAAACGGGCATACGTTTTTCAAAATAAAAGCGAATCCGGGGTGCGTCGGGCCAGAGTGGAGGCAATCACGGATAGCTCGGCCATACGGCACGAGGATCTGGAGGATGGAACGAATATTACTGTCCCAAAAATGAAGCAAGCCATACGCTGTACAATCGTCATTAGGCGCAGGCTCAAAAACGGCATTATAATTAGCCGTGCAGTCTGTGTTGAAGTCGCCTATTTTGAACAAACTGCTGGCCGCATCCATGCTACACCTGCCACGGATATGTTTGCCAACGAGAAATTCAAACATCGTCTCCGTAAGCGGGATCTTCTCCGACTTGTCTAGGGCCTTCTCGACCAGTTTCCGGAGGTGGCCAACCGGAAGGAACGTCCGTCATGCACCGATTGGTCACCCACGTGCGAACAAGATCGATGCGGTCGGCTATGGCACGTAGGAGATCAGTGGTCCAGAGGTACATGGGCATTGACTTACGTCGGGGTCGCTTCGCAGACACATTGAACAAGATAATGACGTGCAACTTCACATGATCCATATTGAGGGATGATGTGGGAAGTAAGGGGGAAACTTTTCCTTCCAAAAATTCTTTGTCTATCGGCCCAAGCTGGGCCTTAACGTCATTAAACGACCGTTCACGCCAAATGACAGGATTCAGCAGCTGAATGAAGGTGAGTAATGGAATGTATTGGGAATGCGAGTTTACATGCCTTGTAGGCCTTGACAGCAACCTCGTCTGAATCCAAGAGTTGATAGGCAGCGTCAGAGGCGTGGTCAAGCAACTCTTGGACCTCCGAGATGTCGTGGGTGATCTGAACGTCATAGATTTGGTACACTTCGGATGATTTCTGAACTAGAAGATACACAACTCTGGGCATAGCGTTCAGTAGTGGTAGTTCTGGTACAAGGGTGGTGGCACACCTCTTAGGGGGTTTACGCTGGAAGCCCCTATTTCTATCGGGGGTCCAGCCGTCTTGTGCGGTGATTCGTCAGCGCTTTGATCTCCATACCTACGTAGCGGCAAAAGGAAAGCGGAACTGAAAGGAGGGACCAAGTGATTTGGTGATCGCCTTACAAGTTACTACTGATCCCCTACTATCCCGAAGTGTTGCCAACGCACTGGCGGTCAGGAATGCGTCGGGGACTCGGGATGCGGCTGACTTACACTGCAGTAGGTCACTCTAGCAGAGCGAAGCATCAACGCAGCAACGCTAAACGGTGTTCCCAAGAACAACATCCATTCCCTGTTCTACTGATACTGCCCACCGCTGACTCTCTGCAAGGGGACCAAAATCGGGGGGTTAGAAACTGAGTGGTAGACGATAGTACGCTGTAGACATGCAACCTGCACGTGGGTAAGTGCCATCCGGATTGGCATGTCGCAAACACTGGTGACTGGCCAGTTGGTTGAGACATAACCCTAATTTATGTTGTCCCCCGCATCATGACTGCAGTGAATGGGTATCTTTGGTCAACTTGGGTTTCGTTAAACTCGTTCTGATACGGTGTACCTGGGCACGAACTTCGTGTGTAATATATACCTGGCCATGGTTCCAATCAAGAACTTAAGAACACAACCAAGTTTTGTAGATGGCACAATTTACGGAGGTCCTTGTATCTGTAAGCAGCTGACTGAGCGTCTCCGTGCGAAATTCGCCGCCCGTGATTGGCCGGCCACCGTCAAGCGGCTCTTTCATGCTCTTTCATGTTGACTGCACTGGCACGACGACGCCTCCGCCTCCCAGCATTGTCCCTGTGTCGTGTCCGCACGGTGGCGTCAGAAAGCTCACGATCACCACCAACACCACCAGCAGTACCGCCGGGCGTGCAACGCACCCGTCCTAGCCCTCGAGCTACCAAGGCAGTGATTGCTATTGTACGTTGACTTATCTCCCCATTGCAACCAACCTTCGTTAACGAATCTCAGACCCCTCATGCCGTTCGAAGACTGCAAGATTTGCTCCACGGTCCTACACCTCGACTCATTCGGATCGGGGTGCGGAACAAGGGTTGTGCCGGGCTTTCATACCACTTGGACTACGTCGACAAGCCCGGGAAATTTGACGAAGTGGTGGAGCAAGATGGCGTTAAGGTGTTCATAGACAGCAGGGCGTTGTTTTCTATCATTGGTAGCGAAATGGACTGGAAGGAGGACGCGCTAAGGTGAGTCCCAGACTTTCTAGTCGTTTGAGTTTGTTAACCAGGGCTGGTTGTGAAGCGCGAAGTTCGTTTTTAATAATCCTAATATCAAGGACGCCTGTGGATGCGGTGAATCATTTACAGTCGGCGCACAACCCTAATCAGATGTCGTTAGGCCGTCAGGTCAAACACTTTATATCACTACAGCCCACTCAGACAATTCTGTATTTCTAGCACTTCATGCTCATGCAAGTTATAGATGAAGGTTGGACACGTTCGACTTCACTGCCGTATTACTTTACATCAATGATACGGAATAACAAAGTCCTTTGTTTGGAACCTGAGTCCATCGCTGCTGCGTTCCTAGACTGTGGTAGTGCTGTTCATCAATTATCGAGAAATTCCTTTTGAATATCTGCGAACGCAGCAGCTCCGTTACCCAGCAAGGCCAACTGAGTGAGGCATACGGCGGTCTGGCGGTATAACCTGTCCAACAAGGGTTGTGTGGGGTGTCCTTGGGATTCTTTGCGGTCATCAGAACTTACACATCATCAGGATCCCGTTGTACGTACGCAAAATAGCTTGATTCAGCTCTGTAGCAAGTGCCACTCTTGCAGATTGTCCGGCGACTTCGGCCGCATCACCTCCAGCCTCAAGAGGGTCATAATAGGCCATGATTACGGTCATTCGTTTGAAAATCGTCCGGACCTCCGAGCGATGTTTGTAGTCTGCTTCCAGCTGCTGCCCGTACGTTACGGCCCTTTCAAGGGCAGCGCCATACTGGGCAGCCGTGGCGGCTGCCGAAGTGGCAGTCGAGGACGTTGGAATAGGAGCCGCCCGTGCAGTCCCAGGACGAACATCAGGATAAACCCTAGACCCGTTAGCAAGGCTGTCCATCCCCATTCCCAACATTTCATCATCCACGTCCATGTCTGTGCCCTCTTCAAAGGTCCTAGTGTTGCTACCATTCAGTGCATCGTCGTGGTGCGCGAACTCGACGCTCATTCCACATTCCTCCGCTCGCATTTTCTTCTTCATCTCCGCTGCTTCTAACACGAGCTCAACAAACTTTCTGCAACGGAGCTTAAAAAGCATGATTCCACTGTCCGCTTCAAGAACAAGTGGGTAATGTGCTCGTGTTTGCGCTAGTGCGGTATCGATGTCACCAGCTATAACGGATTGTACGATGTGTGTGCGGACCTCAATGTCGTCGGTTGTTGCTAAATTGGAAGGTCTGCGGGTGGAAGACGCAGCCACAGAGGTGTCTTTCCCCATATCCATTTCCATAGCACGGCCCTGGGTTGAAGTGGATGGTACCACTGGGACCACTGGCAACAGTGAGGCTGATAGCCCTCCCCTATTATTGCAGCTGGCCTCGAAAGCGCGAGCTGTACGAACGTAGCCATGATGAGACAGATACGCAAGTACAAGTTCATTTATCGACATCTTCACGTCCTCTTCGGGAGTTTCGTGGGAAATACTTTCATTGGGCCATTTGAGGGGAGCAAGCTGGATCTTGGTCCAGGTTTGGTTACGCTGTTGCAGCACGTGGTCTTCTATGTCGTACTTGAAAGGATCCTGACCAAAGTTTGCTCGGATGGATTCTCCGGTGTGGCACAGTCCAACAGAGGGATAGACATCGCCATCCTTTCCGACATTGTCAAATACAGTACCTGGATATCAAGATGAAAATATGACAATGCTAAAGACGGTAAGATATTACCCAACATGGAGCCGTTCTTGGTGTAAAACACCTTATTCTGGCAGAAGTCCATACCACAACCAATGATATCTCCCACTGCTCGAGGAGTCACTGTCAGTTCTCACGCCTATGAGGAAGGTCTGCGCACCTCCAAACGTAGTTCCAAAGGTCGTGCCATTCCTGTCCCCAGAGCATATAGTGCCACTGTCACCATGATATCCCCAGGAATTCTTCTCCCACCCTGGTAAGCGGGAAAGTTTGACATCGCGACCTACAAAGCTGTACGTCCAAGTCATTGATTAACCCCGTGTCAAGACACGTTGAGATGCTAACCCAATGCTGACACGGCTGTGCACACGACCTCAACAAACGCTCATAGAACGAAAGTACATCCACGCACCTCTTTGAGGCCTTGCCTGTCAACTCGATTTCAAAGTAATATATGCCACATGCAGAAGGGACGGGAACAATTGTACGAGCAGTGGCAGTGTCTTTCTCAGATGTGGTTGGGGTTCCTAATGAGGGGTAAATCATAAAGCTACCTGTCTACATGTTTCAGCTCACCCTGATAAACGAGGTCTCTTCCATCGCCCGATACGCTGAGGAGTGCGTTCCTGTACTCGTCACACCACCGGGTGGGTAATAACAACGCAGGCAGGGATGCTGAAACTACGGGAGGTGGGCTTTTGCGCAATTCCCTGGGTGGGCTGGAGTCCTCTTCGTCACTATCGACTGAGGGAGATCTGCGGGATCTGCTCCCACTAGATGAACTGTCCACTCTAGTAGTCGTCTGTGATCCGCATGGGGGAAGTAAAGATGGAGCTTCCGTCTGTAACAGGTCGCGCAGAGCAGAATGTTCTAGATAGGCTGGGCGAGGAAATGGCACTGGCTCTGAACTGGTGGTGAGATACGGTGCAGAAGACCTCTGGGTGCTTGGTGCCCTGGATGGGCCAGCACCACTTGGTCGTCGAGCACGAGGTGACACCGACGAAGATGACGGACAGGTGGCGTCCGCATTGCGAGCCCCGTCAGCTCTAATCACGCGAGGTTCATAAGTAGGATAGGGAGCAGTGGTCCCTCGACCGGAGGAGACGGAATGTGCCAAAGGCAGAGCACCAGTCCTTGTCGGCAGGCTTGATGCGACAGTGTTGTTCCGGCGTACAACGTAGGAAGCTCCGAGAGATCTTTGTTCACCCACTGAAGCGGTTCTTGGCGACCATGCTTGGGTCATGACCCGAGGGCGGGGCTGGCCTGTACTGATGGAGGAAGGCATAGAAATCACAGACTCTATGTTGCGAGCAGGAGAGGAAGTGATTGTGGCCCGAACTGGGATACTAGAAGACCTGGAGGGTCTATTGGACATGTTAGCAACTTCCACGCCAATGATAGTCCAGGGATGGATCCGCGAGTTTACCAGAACGAAGTGGTCTGCGTAGATCGGAAGACAGGCAGCTTTAGACGTTGGACAGCAGATGGAAACAAGCAGAGAGGCGCGCGCTCCGTGTCGTGTCGACAGTGCCCTTGGCTCGGACAGATTAGAGTCACGCTGTGGGGAAATGTCACAGAGTGGTCACATGTCACACCCAAGCACATCTGTCATGACGCGTCCACTGACTGACACCCATCCACCATGGTATGTCTGGCAGCATCACGTCGGCGCACAGATGGTTGACTCAGGCCCGTTCCAGGAACCGTCTATGCGCATCGTACCACCCGCACCGTCCAAATCTGCGTCGCTGAGGGACACCGCTGGCAGTCTTGGTCTGCATGACACGCTGCAGTTTGGTCCGCGAAGCATCGTAGCTGAGACCAAGTCAACTGATGGTCTTCAACACCGTCTTGCTCACGTACGTCCTTGGTGTTCCTACCCTACTCTATTCTAGTTGATCGGCTCCTCGAAGTGGGAGGAAACGCAAGACAACCTGAAGTTGACCATGTTGCGTGATCTGTATGGCCTTCATGCACCCGCTCGACTTCTTATGGAGCGCAGAGCGGTGTCCACAGTAGGTCTCTTGTATATGGTCGTTCTGCCGCCCACCGATTGGCTGTCCTCCTAGAACCCTCATATGCCTGCCTTGCAACGTAGCAACATTCACCTCGACATCTTGATGGGCCGAGATGAAACTCTGGATCCATCAGACTTCTTCCTCGGTACGTCTCCGCGATGTTTTATGTATTCATGGCTGACGTACTTCAAGGTATGGAGTCTGGCCCATCTCTCAACACTCACATGGAGATGGAAAGGAAACTGCAAATGTAATCGTAGATTTCTGTACACACCAATCTGATCAGCACGTTATTTGGAAAACTTGGTCGTGTTCAGTTGAGCTCGTGACTGAAATCATGACCAGCTATATATACACGACGAAGTTTATACCCAAGAGCTTCCGTCCATGCAGTGGGCCACCACCAACTACGTAGAGCCGCTTCTTTTGAATAAATCATGAGTGGGCATACCATCAATCAGACGGGTATGGTCAGCATAAGCAAACGGCAAGGTGAACACGACGAAGAGACATCACTAGATCTACAAAGCTGGTGTATAGCTTACTGTTGTCAACAATGAACAATGCAGCCCCAGGACCATACAACTTGGGGTTGGGCCTAGAATAACCGACATTAGCAAAGTACAAAGACTTTCTTACATGGCGATATTCCAACTTCAAAGTGAGGAAATGAACAATACCTTCTGTTAAGAAGCATAAGAACATCCTCTGCACGCAACTCGGCAGAACACTCACAAATATGCTACCCAAGCATCCTCAAATCCGCTGAGGTATGCACAGTTGCACACGTTCGAATCAAACGTCGACCTCTGGTCCGTGACTGTCTTCAAATATAACTGAGGAGTACTCGTCTTTAGGGAACGATACCATTCCAAGCAAAGCTCTTACATACCTCCACACCTCTTGGAGATCATCGACAGCAGACTGCACGAGCTTGACCAGGAGGGGGAGAAGTGGTGAAAGACTGACCAGGAGCCGTACGTTGGTAATGCGATCCTCCCTTGACTTCTGATCGACATTGATTATATCATGAAGCCCTGACTCATCTCCTGCGGCTGGAGCCGTTATGGCGACGAGCGTCATTTCAGTTCCGATACGTTAGTAGCCTATGAAGGCGGTTTGGATAACTGTGCAACTGAACATAGAACACTCACCAAGCACATAAGGGGCAGGATCATACTCCTATATTAGCTTGTCTATCCGATCCGCGTACCGTCTCCTCGCCGTAAAATGGGCATATGTGATTCGAAAGGAATACAAAGTCGGGGTGCGTCAAGGCCAACCGGAAGCTATTGTGGATTGGTTGGCAATCCGGCAGGAGGAACCAGAGGATGGAACGAACATTAACGTCCAAAAAAAACCCAAGCTATAGTCTGTGCCACGGTCATCAGGCACAGGGTCGAAAACCGCACAATAGATAGCCACGTAGTCTGGGTTGAAGTCGCCAATTTTGAACAAAGTTCTGGCACCATCCACGCTACACGCGCAGCAGAGAATGAGACCTTCAAACATGGTCTTCGTGATAGAAATTTTCTCCGACTCGTCTAGGGGTGTCTCGACCGGTTTCTGGAGGCGTTCAACGGGAGGAACGTTCGTCCTGCATCGACCGATCACCCACGCGCTGACGCGGTCAACTATGATGCATGGAAAATCAGTGGCTCGGAGGTACATGGGCATTGATTTACGCATGAGTTGCTTCGCAGACGAATTGAAGATGACGATGACTCGCAACTTCAGGACACCCGCCTTGAGGACGGATAGGTCAGGTAATAGGGTAGGAGTTTGCCATCGGAAAAACGCGTTGTTTATTGGCCCAATCTGCTTCTCAACATCACCAAGCGGCCGGTCATACCACTGAGTGACAGGATTCAGCAGCTATATAAAGGTGAGTAGTGGAAGGTATTGGGAATGCAAGTTCACATGCCTTGTATGCCTTGACAGCAACTGGAACTGAATCCAAGAGTTGACAGGCAGCGTCAGAAGCGTGGCCAACCAACTTTTGAACGTGTGAGATGTCGTGGGTTATCTCAACCTGCATCTAGTACACCTCGCATGATGTCTGCGGAACCAAAAGATACGCGGTCCGGGGCATGGCATTTTAGCGCTTGGCGTAAGTGGTACTGAAGATTCTCCATGTTCCACACCCTGGGGGTGGCGGTGGAGATCCTACATGTCGAGGTGAGGATTCCTCCTAAAGTTCATGCATATCAGGCAATCCATGTTTCAAGAACTACAGATGGAACATTAAATTTCTGTACCGATCAGATGAACGCGTTATTCGTAAACTTGGGCGTGTACTCGGACTCTTGACTTGAACCATAGCCAGGTAGGTCATTTGTTCCGACAAAACAACCAGGTATATTTTACACAACGAAGCAGGTAAACGGAATGAGTTCCAAAATGAAATCCAAGCTGACCAACAATATCCCATTCACTGCAAGTACTTCGCCGCCTTGATCAGCTCCAGCATCCATCCGAGAGCTATGAATCCGAAACTCTGTGGCCCGTACGAAGCCGGGTATTCGCGCAGTGCCTCCTCCGCAACGTACCATGCCGCACATGCACGACGGAAATGGTTGGCTATCACCCGGATCTCTCGATAGAAATCGTCTTCATCCTCTTCCTCATAATAGTATTCATCAAAGTCTTCCTCCTCGTCAAATTCGAGCCCTGTTTCTCTGGCTCGTAGTTCAGCCCGTACAGCGCGGACAAGCTCATAGGTCTACCGAACATGAGAATTGTGTACAATGAGGATTACAACAACACTTACTTGCCGATTCATGGCTGCGACAGCTTCTCTACGTCGGTGATGATCCGACCACGTAGCCATGAGTGTCCCACTGACGAGTTCAGCCTCTGTAACCCAAATGTCTTTGTTTTTAGAAAGAGTGTGAGACTTTGCAATGGCGCTCAGTTGGTCACAATACTCGTCCAGGAGGTATCGCATTTCATCGTATAGCTCTGGAGGTGGTACCTGCAAAGAAGGAAGACCAAGGCCGTACAGTCCAACTCCACGTAACGCCTGTTCGATCATATCTCCTTGAGAGGGAGAGTCTGCTTGATTCCATTCCCGGGGAGTCCATGGGTTAAGAGGGACCTTGCGATACAGCAGTCCGAGAAGTTTCTCGCTGTGGTAAAACTGGTCGGTCGTCGAATCCCGGCCCTCATGTGCCAGGAAGTCGGGCTTGGGCACATCCTTGAGTCGTGGTATGTCCTGGAATCTCACAGGTGTTCCGGTTTTTGGAAAGTCGACCGCGTGAGAACCATGTTCTGCAAGTTTCAGGCATTCTTCGCAGCTCGGATCCTTGAGATCGGCAAATCTTAAATGCATTATCGAGATCTGTCCTACTAGGTCTGACTCGATCTAACAAAGATTGAGTACGAGACGGGAAGTATATATCAGACTCACGTAGTCGAAAACAAAGTCTACAACATCCGAAATTCCGCAGGGATGCGGCGTCTGTTTGATTCCAAGCGATTGATACGCTCCGGGTATGCATTGTATCACGGGAAGCAGAAGAGGCTACGAGACTCAGTGAGCGGCAGAGTTTGAACAGACGGCGCCTAAGACATACGTCTAGGATGACATTAAAGTCGTCCCCATCAAGGTCTCCGCCGCCCAGACAAGAAGCCAGTGGTCTGTCACCCCTGGACATTGCTATAGTCAATGATACCCAAACATACGGAGTACTTACTTGCACGAAAATACAACTACGTTCGTCAAGTGCTCCAATTGCGGGCGCCTAACTGCAGTTACGAGCTGGACATCGCCTGGATGGATTTGAGGGCTACGGGTTATGGCAACACAACCGGTGATCTCCGTCCTGGTGCCCTTCTTCTCATCCAAAACAGTGGCATATATCTCGCCTTCGTCCAGGCAATTCCACTCGTCTGACACCCCATAAAGCGTAAATGAACCGGGCACAGCAATATGACCCCGATACTTCAGTTCGCGCAATACGTGCGTTTCAGCACAGGCCAACGAATTGAGCAGCAAGTCACTGTGGTAACCTTCTTCTCCATCTTCCGTCTGGAAGTCTAGATAAAGTACAGTTTTGATGTTCTGGACTAACGACGGGAGTTTAAAAGAAGAGCCCAGCCCATGCTGCTGAAGTACTCTGGATGCGTCAGTGAGCGAATGGCGGAGGGATTGAGCTTCGGAGATGGCATTTGATTGCAGTCGAAGAATGTGCTCGGAGCTCGCACCAAGGTACTCCAGCAGGGCAATGAGTGGTCGGTTGAGGAACATGGCCTTTGGTCGCAAGGAGGTGGCTTGAATATCGAACGTACGGTTTTCCGGTGCGTCGAATTTGATCTGAGAGGGGCGAAGACAGACCACTTTACCGACCAAAGTGGGATCCTCGACAACCATTCCCTTTGCACCCCCCAAGCGAAACTGTAAGGCGGCAGGACGAGTACATTTCGAGCCGTATTTCTTGTTTCGCGAATACCCCTTCCAAATGTCACGCAAGAGATCGGTGGATATTGGACTGCATCCATCCGTCATAACAGTTCCCGACGGTGACCTCCTGTCGTCAATTTTCAGAATCTCGTCGGGTTGAATAACTACTGATGGGTCGGTAGCGGAAAACGCCTGAGACCAGCGGGCTCCAAGTCTCGCCGGCTGATATAGGAGTTGCGAGAAGTCTCCCTGAAAGAAGTTATGTCAATGGTGTGGTCAAATGGTACTTGGAAAACGTACCAGGCTCTTCCTGATAGCCTCAGCGTCCCATGATTTATCATCTACATCTTTAAATGGTACGACAAACCACATGGAATGTTCGCGGAGGCCGCTCATCGAATAACCAAGGAATTGAAACGTCCGTCCCGCTACCCGACAGCCGTTGAGCAGGACCGGGCGGTAACGCCTCGCTAGTAATTCATTGATGGACGTTTCGAAATCTCCTCGTAGCTTCGAACGGTTCTCATCTTGGAAGGAAACACGAAGGAAATATTCACTGCTTCCGAAGCGGCGAAGAACGCTGTTTGACTGATCAGCAATTGGACCCTCCAAGATGTGTCTAGTCGGCGTCAAAACCAATTGGAAGGTGTACGAAGGGGCAGACTTCGATGGTTGAAGTCTCCCCCTTGGTCTCTGCTGTTCTGCGATGTAATCAAGGCGAGCTTGCCTGAGACGCGCAGCCAAAGAAGGGTCAGCCGCATTCCGGCGACGTCTCCTACGACGGCGGCGACGTGCCGAGCCCTGTTCTTCCAAATCAGCTACAAATCTTCGTAGTATGGTCGCGGCGTCGTCCTGGGAAGCCTCGGAAAACTCGGTCAACGGATCCTGCAGAGACATCGCTTCCCCGATGGTAATAACACGGTTTGTAATCGCCTTCTCTACCTCAAAGGCGACTTCGAAAGGAAGACTCGCAAGAAAATCGTCGAAAGCACCCTCGCTGTATGAGGTATCGCTTTGAATGACGGGTACGTCGGATAATGGGGTGTAGTTTATTCGCAGCCTGTACTGGCAAGCGTGGAGAAACGCGTTGCGATCATTGCGACTGTTGAATGTACACATCAAGCTGAAACAGCCTGGAGGCATCGCCTTGTCTATGAACAGGCCTTGGGCGCGTGACACCTTGGTATCACCCAAAAGCCCCGTCTTCTCCACTTTGAAGAGCGGAAACGTAGTTGCCCGAAGGAAAAGCACGAGGGAGTCCGTCGTATCACTTCCCCGGATGTCGCTCAAACAGCTAGGCGGGTACCAAGCAGAAACTGCAGCATCCGATGACAAAGCCATGCCTAGCATCGAGGCGATGTCGTCAGAGTCAGACCCGGGATGTCGTCGTTGCTTGCGAAGTGTTAAGCGAATCTGACGTCGCTCCAGATCGCAAGCAACTTCGGCATCCCCTTCCGCTGTGCATTCGGCAACGAACTTCCCATCTGCAAGAAAGTGGCCGAAAGCGAACTGAGTCAAATGATACGGTTTTCCCTCGTCTATCAGTCTCTCTCGTTCCCTTTGCAATTCCAGCGGGTCTTGCCAAGGTGTGGAGTTGAGCTGAGTGATCTTCTCAGGGGTAATGGGCTTCGTACTGTGTTTGAAACGAATGCGAGCACCTTTGACAGTGACTCCGGACGAGCCGTAGGAGCGCAGGAAGGTCTCGCCGGCTGAGGCTGTTGGGAGAGCAAGAATCCCAACGCGACCCCGTGAGTCATATTTGGGGAAAATAGTGATGTCGAAGTTTAGAGGGTCTTCGGGAAAGGGTGGCTTATGAAGAATCTTTGCCAGCTCGATTTTGACGTCGTCTGCCCTTGCAGCCAGGGCCACTTGGGTCATAAAGATATTCATCTGGAAGATGGTGTAACGAGGAGATGGCGTCTGCTAAGGTGACACTCACCGTATCAATCAATCACCAGCGGTACACGACAAAGAGTCGTGCTACGTGGGCCTTATAATGACCCCCGAGCCACAGCATTTTCTCCACTGATTAGAGATGTCGATAGGAGATAAGGTTATCGATGGGATGACAGAAACCTTCCAGAAAACGCGATCGGTCCACAGCAAAGGGAGTAATAAAGGTGCCTATTAATCACTTACATGAGATATACAATCACACAGCGGATTATTGTAATATAGCTAATCTAGGCGGCGGCGCTTTGTGCCACAATCATCCCGGGCGTGCCCTTGATCCTTGACTGTCCGGCTGGCCCCGTATGGCGAACTAGGCGGTGACTGTCGTCTCCGAGAACTCGGATTATAGTGCCTATCGTCACTATCTAGACGCCGAACTTCGCCTTTCTTTGTCGGGAGACGATCGTCCTCATTGCGATCACGATCACGCCTGGCACCTTGATGTCGCATGTCGGGTTGACTGTAGGTCGCCAGTCCTCGCACAAAGCTTGGTGCCATGTTTTGGGGACAGTCTGCCAAAGTAAATCTTAGTGAGAGTCGGAAGCCCCATCACAGAAAATTTGCTCTCACCCTTTTTAAGATGTGGTCCACCACACAGAAAACAGCCACCCCCATCTGTCGAAAAACCACCTGACCTGATCGAACCTACCCCACCAAAACCACCGGCCCCTGCACTAGTATCTTGGTCAAGAAGATGCGTGTATTTGGTCCGGCTGCGCTTTCCGAAATTTTTCACTTGCATCACCTTGGGCAGCATCGATACGTCCACAGTAGACTCCGTAGCTTCCGTGTAGTCGTGTCTTTTGAGGATGTCATCATCCTGCGAAGTGGTATAAGGAATTGGGCTACCGCGACTCCTAAATGAAGGCTCTCACCTGGTGGAATGCACCCTTATGCCAATATTTTTGGAGGAATTTCTGTTTTCCCTGTGGCTTCTCCTCCCTTGACTTTTTCGCCCGCTCCAGATCTTCCTTCAGTCGCTGTTCCTCCGGTAGGGCGCGCCTCCGTTCGATCTCTTCCCTTTCCTCTTCCCGTCGGAGTTCCTCCTCCTTCTCCTGCCTGATCCTTCCAAGTTCCCGCAACCTCCACGCCTCAAACTCTCCCTCAGGGTCGATTCCATCAGTATCATCGACATCAGGAACGCTGTCTTCTTTCTCCCCTGCAAGTATGACACATAAGCGTATGGAATAAACCGGTGAAAAAGGGTCATACTTTCTGCCAACTCTCGTTTGATGCTTTCCGCAACAAGGTCGTGACTTTCTTTCTTCCTCTCTTCTGCAGCCAGCTCCCGTCGCCGTTCCATCTCCTCCACTTCTTGATTAATAGCATCTCTCTCTGCTATTGTGGTCCGCCCCCGTCTGTGATGCACGATCGGTTAGTAAGTGGTCCGGACCGACGAACGAGCACCACGTACTTAGGTACAAAGACCGGTCTGAATATAAGCGCGGGTTTCTCATCCTCTGACTCTGATTCTTCGCTAGACTGAGAATAACTTGAGCATGATAGCAGAGTTCAACGACACAATGGTCACCTCTGATACCTCTTCTTCTTCGATACTTTCCTCCTCGAACTCTTCTTCGACTACACTTTTTATGTATTCACGATGTAAAACATTGGTGACAAGAACCTACCCGACTCCACGCGATCAGCAACAATGACCTTTCCGTCGCGTGATATCTGAACGTCTTTGAGAGCTACGTTGATTTTTGCGCTCCTAACTACAGAGGTCTTGGTCGGGAAGCTGTCGGGTTCGCTGTCCTCGTCGCCAACCTTTGGGGACTCATGCTCCCCGGCGACGGGCACATCCTGTTCTGCCTGTTGTTCCTCATCTTCATCCGAGTCCGAGGCAATTTCAGCACCCTTTGGTGCCCTGCCCTTCCAGTATCGCCCTGCCGCCTTCGCTGGGCCCTTGGCGTGCTTTCTGACTTGTGTTGCAAGGATAGTGGACATGATCAGAGAAGATTGGGATTGAACGGCTGTGTACGTAAGCAATTGTGTTCATCAAAAATACACTACGCAAGCTGCTACTACTAAGGACCGGAACCCTTCAAGGGTTCGCCTGCATGTGCAGTCACTCTGCACTCAAAAATGATTTTAACCGCTGTCAGCCATAACAGCCAGCATAAGGGTCTCCACTCGGCCCTTCCCCTTACATTCTTTCAGTAGCAAGTCATTGAGAACTTTGAACTGCGTTGGATCTATAAGCATCACCTAAGTTTTACAAACCATCAGTGCTGGAAAACCAGTGAATTGTGCGGAAGAAGATACCATCTCCCAAATGTCGTCACGCTTCTCTGCTCGTTCAACGCGCTCTGCAGAAGATTTGATCTGCGGCTCAAGACGTTCGCCATCTGCGGAGGGGATGACAACTCGCACTCGCATCCGTGCACGTTGGATAGGCAGTTTCGAGCCAGCTTGGATCAGTCGCAAAGTCTCTGCTACCTAAGAAGTGTGAAACGAGTTTAGTTGCAAGGCAGGCAGATAGGGGTAAATGCTGTATACCTGGCTTTTGGCATTCTTGCCAACCTTCACACTCACTCCGGCTTCCGTCATCGCCTTTTCGATCATACCAACCGGGTAGGGTCTCTGGGTAGCGGGGTCCACGCACTTCTCGGCAACCATGGTTGCAATTTCTTTGCGCAAAGCTGTAAGGTCGTGTTCGCGCTCTTTCTCGCCCACCTGAACTTCTCCTTTTTTCAATATCTGAGATGAAGGTAAACCATAGGTCCCCAAACAAGTGATCTTCACTTTACCTCCTTTACAACGTCATCGACGGATGAAGTCCCAAACGCTTTTTGGAGGTCATTGAACTTGGCCACTTCGCCTTTAGATACATTGATAAATACGTTCGAAATTTGGAGAACATCATCTAAACTCGTCTCGCTGAAATTATTGTTAACCTCCGAGCGGGAATTGGAACACGGATGTCAGGCGCACACCCCGTTCCGCCATTCTTGTACTTTGTTCTTATAACATGCGATCTGGTAACCGATGTAAGGATTATCCACGCCTGAAACGTGGTATCACTTGCCTCAAATCGCTTTCCCCCTTTCTTCAGACGAACGACAGAAACGTTCGTAAGCCTGAACAACCGATATGTTTGACCACGGAGTAAGAAGTTATGATACGGTACTCACTTGATTTGATTTGACGGCTGTTGGATGGGCATGGTAGCGATACAGATATGTCAATTATGAACACAGTCTTGAGAACGATACAACAAGTTATCTTTCGGTTTATGGCACTTGCCACTGGTGCACTGATGACTGGTGTCGATGCCAGACCTTCCTTGGCTGGTGCCGCAGAGTTACGTAAGCAACGCTATCATCCGGGTCCCCTAAGGACGCCGTCGTAGTTTGACCATCGGTCGTATCCCATTGATCCTCGCCCAGGCTTCAACCACGCGAAGTACATTTGAGCCCCACAGCTGTGCCTCTGCGCAATGAAAGGCCTAACCAAGGCGATCAAACGGTGAGTAACTTCCTCTTGCCCCAAGACAAATCGAGCGCAGCCTCCTGCGTTCGCCCCAATTTTCTGTGGCGGGGTTACTCGCGGTCTCTGACAATTTTTCGTCTAGAACACCACATTTCGTGACGTCAAAAACAGGCTTCTCGAAGAGTGAGCACGATTCTGTTGTCCTACCCCTGGACATCACCAAGTACGCTCTGCCTTAGCATCCTCCGATCCCGAGTTCGATGACCTCAATCGTCACTTTCGCCGTTCTCGAGCAAGCCACAGAGAAGCTTTTGAAAGATACCAAAGCCTTCACGGAGGCAGTTAAAGGTAAGCTTCCTCCTAGTACCTATGTAAATCTCTTAGCTATGTCGCTCCTGTCAAAGCCCTCTTTACTTCTGCAAATGCCTTCGCAAACCACTTTAATTTCCTCTTCTCTCCGATTTCGGGCGAACTCAGCCTCGCGAGCAAGCACCCCTCCGCAACGGACACGATCAACAACACACCCGATTATGCCAAGTACATGGATGAACTTCGCACGACCCTATCTCCAGAACTTGAGTTAATTGACAGTCGCGTCGTCGGTCCCCTGAAGGAATTCCAGGGCGTGCTCAAGATCATTCGCAAGACAATTACCAAGCGCGATCACAAGCTTGTCGACTACGACAGGTTCAATAACTCACTCACCAAGCTCAGGGACAAGAAGGAAAAAAGCTTGAGTGATGAGAAGAACTTGTTCAAGCTGGAGCAGGACTATGAAGTTGCCACGAACGAGTATGATTATATCAACAATACTCTCAAACAAGACCTCCCAAGGTTCATGCAACTTGCGACTCATTTCATCGATCCTCTTTTCCACTCGTTTTATTACATGCAGTAAGTCAGCCTGCAACTCGTTCGGTCGATGCGGAGAATTGACCACCGGCGTGCATCCTCCTCCAGGCTTAACATCTATTATCTCTTTCTCGAGAAATTGAACACATTTGCTGAGGGTAGATACGATGTCAGCACCGTCCCTGGGTCCCAAATCCAGTCGGAATACGAAAACAAGCGGACGGACGCGTGGAGCCAGATTGAAGATCTTAATATTACGAAGAGAATTATCTCTACCTGTGCGTCGGCGTGCGTCTCTCTTTAGCCTACTGACCCCGTTTCAGCGAAGCTCGTGCAAGCGAATCGATCTACGCCGACCTCATCCCTTGGTCGCGCTCCTAGCGTGATGACCACATCCAGCACAGCCAGCGCAGCTGCTCGCAGCATGCCATCATCGTCACATCCGGCACTTCCCCCATCATATGTCAAGAAGGCACCTCCGCCGCCACCTGGCCAGCAAGCCGCTCCTCCACCGCCATACACACCTTCCTCATCTGTCACTAGCAATGGTGCTAGCACTGCAGCAGCAACGAAGCGACCTCCACCGCCGCCACCACTGAAACCGAAACCCAAGCCAGAGCCCGAGTATGTTACTGCCTTGTATGATTTTGATGCGCAGGTGAACCCTCTCTCGTCTTGCCGTACTGACCAATCTAATGCATCCCAGGCGGAGGGTGATCTGTCGTTCAAGACCGGCGATCGCATCGAAGTCATTGCCAAGACAGAAAGTCAGGAAGATTGGTGGACTGGTCGCCTCAATGGCGCGCAGGGTGTCTTTCCTGGCAATTATGTGCAGTGATCATTAAAGGGACCAAAGCAAATGTAACATTACATAAATTACAGGACGTCGGCACGGACAGAAATTTGCTAAGAACAACCGGACATAAGATTCTCGACTTTGACATACTCTCTCTTGATCTTCGTTACAGGGCCAGAGTTTCTTTCACAGTCTTGAAGTGGAAGCCCGGAAATAATTTGTTTGCTGATCCCGCAAGCTCAGGATCGTCTTTGCCCACGGTGATGTCATAACCTGTGCTCATCGCGCCTTTCGCCGTATAAGCCTGTAACCATTCCCTGCCGTCTGCACGCGGAATATCCTTGGGAATGCTTTCGACAAATTCGACAGGCGCATCGTATAACTTGCTGAGTTCCCGCAACGTAGAGCGCTCGCCTTGAATACGCAGCTCAGCGTTGCTGAGTTGCTCAATCGGAAGGGTTGTGAGGACATATGCAAGATATTCTATGTTGCGGCGCGGGCAGGATAAGTAAGATGAACGGGTAGAGCTTAGGTGCGGAGTTACCTCCGACGTCAGGTATGGCAGTCAGAGAAAGGGGCTCATTTCCACTCCCCTTGATTAGAAACTTTCCGGCCTCCGGCACACCAACCATGAACGGGAGGAATTCTTGGTACAGACCATCCTGTCCGGAGGACGTTGTGTCAGCTGCGTGCGTCTTTCCTTGCGCAGACATTATCCGTACGTACGTAGATGCGGGTGATAGGTAAGCCAATCGACTGCGCATAGGCTAACGACCACATGGGTCATTCACCCTGTCCATGACATCGATGGGCAGGCACTCACCTGCAAGTTTATTCTTCTCCCCCAACACTCCTTCTGTTGCGCCACTTGTCGGCATGCCGAACTCGGAAGGCACGAATAACTTTACCCCGGCTGCCTTGGCTGCGTCTGCTAGCTTGTACTGTGCATTAAACCCATCTCCCGACAGCGTAGAGATGACAACATCAACCGCATTCTCTCGGAGAGCAGCTGTAAGTGCGTCGTGGTTGAAATAGTCGACAGGAACAGCCTTAGCACCCTCCGGGAAGGTCTTCTTCGAAGACGGGCGAGTGAGAACAATGACTCGAGCATTCCTTGCGAGGAGAGACTATAAAAATGCGGATAATACGGGTTGAGCGGCAGGTGAATAGCTAAGAATTGGCAAAACTGTCTACCTTGACTATGGGCAGCCCTACTGTATTTCCTACCCCAGCGACCGCGAACGATTTCAAGGTATTGGTCGACATGATGAGGGTTCGGACAAGAAAGAGTGTCGCCTCTACGTCATCAGGGTAAAGCCCCTCTTCACTTAAAACGACGATGCGGCGCAAGTTTGCATCTGCTTCGGCAACAGGCTACGCTCGACTTACTAACGCTCGAACGAGTACGTCGTCGACGCGGTACGCGTCTGGAGGTAAAATATCGTGGAACTCTACGACCACAGAAACATACGTGGAGAGGCGTGGACGAGGTCTCGACACCATTACCCACGGTAATGACTCCAAGAAGGCAAACGTAAAATCGTTCCCCCTCCATCAGACAAACGGCGATGCCACGTGAAATGACATATGCGTTTCTCAGGTGTGACGTCATGGCTCCTTGACGTCTGCTTAAGAGCCTGAGCACTCGGTGCTGCTCCTCACAACTCGTAAAGGTGTTGGCATCTCGTTCTATCTATTACCTGCCGAATGTTGCGAACGAAGCTACACGGCGTTGCACGGAGTGCGCGCGCTCTCCGACCAACCATTCTATATTCTTGCCAGATTCACGACACTCGCATAGCATCAAAAACAGTCACAGAGAAAGTTGCAGAAGTCGCCGATAAGGTACCACCATGTACGAATCATATCGAATTCTCATCGCTTACTCTTCTATTGCGTCAGGTCAACATGAAAGTAGGGAAGGGTTTAGCATCCGCGATTGAAGCCGGCGAAAAGGCCACGGAAAAAACCAAAGAGACTCTGGGTAGATAGAGATTTACGTCACTCTCGGATCCTTACTCAATCGTTCCCGTTAGCAGCCTCGTCGGCAAAAGCAGAACGTGTATCACAGACCGCACAGGAGAAGGCTGAGAGTGCAAAGCGAGCTGGACGTGAAAAGATTGAGAGCGTGAAGAAAACCACTGGAGAAGCAACTGAGGAAACCAAATGCAAGGCCAATGAGGTCGGTGATATATATCCCTGAAGATATTGACATGACCTGGTTTATGACAGGCGGAAGGTAAAGCAAGCTAGAAGTGGGGTATAGCTCCCCTCGACTGTAGCTAACCAGCGACGAATTGCCGTTCACCTGCGTTTGTGATATGACCGTTCGTCCGGAGGCTCGTCGAACGTTATGGTGACGTGTCTCCCAGTATGAATACCGTGCTTGTACTTCGGAGATCGATGTAGTCACTTTCCGTATCGTACTAGTATGGACAACATTGCTCACGAAGTGCTCTGCCAAAACACTTTACTACTACAGTAAAGTATTACCATGCATGACCAGCCCAGCATCAGGTGAATTCACTAGCTCAGTTCAGAAGTTGATGTCCGAGTGCAACAAAATCTTGCGCGCAAGACAAATCGGTGTGGAAAGCCAAAATCAAGTAGGGCGTCACGAATGATGTATTCTTGTAACGAAGTGGGTGGCACGGTAGAGATCGGATGCAGAGCGTTGCTACCGGGCGTTGTAGGAACAGGTTGAAATGGATTTGGCTCGGTAGCGACTAGCGGATGGGTTGTGGAGGAGGGAGATGAAAATCCCATTACAAATGGAAAAATTCATGTGCTGCTCAGACCCGTCGCCTGTCTCTGGTTTGATTTGCCTAGGAACCGGTAGAACAAAAGGACATCTTTTTGCAAGGTTCGTCATCGTACGCTTCGAGATCCAAGGACAAGCAAACATCCGCCCTGCTCGTTCCTCCAGAGCCGGTGGGTGGTTTAAAGCGCAGGTATTTGTGGTGGCGTATGTGGGGTGACCAGTAACTTGGCGACATTCAGGATGCAGGACGAAAGTAGTTAAATACGAGAATGATGCAAGTTAGTCAAGGAACACGATTCCAAGGCGCAGCAGGACGCAACCTGGTAACCGACCTCATGCAAGACTCATGAATTGTATGTATCTTGATTGAGAGCTATCCTTTCGCGGGCTAGGGAAATTCTTTGTCGTGGATTGGGCAACTCCGAAATCGGTTGCCGGGATGGTCCTGGAGTAAAATCGCCGCACAATGGCAGTATCGGCTTCCTCCTTATGTCTGCGAAGAGATTCCTGGCGGGCCTGTACCTTCAGTTCATCAAGGGCCATACCTTGCTAATACGCTATGCCCATTCTGTTGGTAGGGAAGGGTTTAGCATCCGCGATTGAAGGCCACGGAAAAAATCAAAGAGAATCTGGGTAGGAGATCATGAATTATGTCAGTCAGATCCTTACTCAATCGTTCCTATTAGTAGGCGTGTCGGCAAGTGTAACACAGACCTTACATGAGAACGCTGAAAGTGCAAAGCAAACCGGACGTGAAAAGATTGAAAGCGTGAAGAGAACCCCGCAGAAGCAACTGAGGAAACCAAATGCAAGGCCAATGAGGTCGGCGATATATATCTCTGAAGATGTTGACATGACCTGGTTTATGACAGGCGGCAGGTAAAGCAAGCTAGAAGTGGGGCATAGCTCCCCTCGACCGTAGCTAACCAGCGACGAATTGCTGTCCACCTGTATTTGTGTCATAGCCGTTCATCCGGAGGTTCGATCGAGCGTTGTGGTGTCTCCCAGTATGAATGCCGGTGCTTGTACTTCGGAGATTGATGTAGTCACTTTCCGCATCGTACTAGCATTGCTCACGAAGTGCTCTGCCAAAAGGCCCAGTCATGTTTCTGTTCAACCCATCAGGTGTAATGAAGTGAATTGGTGGTAGCCGTTCATTTTGACCATGGTGCTTTCAATTTTGCGTAAGTCCTACGTAATGTAATGGTGACGATCAGCCTCCCTAAAGGTAAGTACCAGTAGGAATCAGAAGTTTGGCAAAGTCAAGGACAGTGCGGTTCAATCCCTAGAATTTTACCAACGCGATTAACGCTCCTCCGGAGTAAGCTGCGGTTCGTCAACAATTCCAGTGTTCTTCTCGTAAATTATCTCGAGGGCGGGATCTTCCAACCGGAGGCGATATCCGTCCTTCTGGTGTTCTGGCAAGCCATCTTTACTACCGGCTGTAAACATCTCAGACGTAGCCGAATCAGCCTTGTCATTGCCCAAGGCTGACCAGTCGTGGAAGTGTCTCCGGACTTCAATGTAATCGTTGGCGAACTCGCCGATCTGCAAGCAAGCAACTTAGCCATTCCAGCATTCTTAACAATGTCACGAGACGGATACAACCCACCTCGACCTCATCCAGACCGGCCGACTCACCCTCGGGTGTCGTCCTGAGATGTAAACCGGGTATCATGTCGATAGCTTTGGCAATAATAGCCGTCGCTGCAAACGTATACACGCACGCCGCGAATGCGTAGTTAAACTGGATATACAATTGCTTCCAGTTGTGATCGATCCAACCACCATTAACGTTAGTGTTGATGCCATCAAGAGCAGTGATGGAGTGAGAGGCAAAAATGCCGTTAAAGAGAAGACCAATAATGCCGCCCACGGCATGCTCAGCGAAGAGATCCAAGGCGTCGTCGATACCCAGAAGGAATTTCACTAGTTTGCGTGGGTTGTCAATATCAGCAATCGTCGAGGTTTCCGTGACTTACTCTTCGTTGCGTAATTACACACTGCACCGGAAACGATGCCCATGATAACCGATGCCCACGGGTGTATGTAACCGGAAGCCGGTGTCGCAGCAACCAAACCAGCGATAGAACCGGAACAAAATCCGACCATACTGTATTTGCGTTCCAATCTGTAGTCAATAAGACACCATACAATACCGCCAAATGCCGGGGCAAGCATGGAGTTCCAGATTGCCATTATGGCACGAAGATTGACACCAAAGGCGCTACCTCCATTGAAGCCGAGCCATCCAAACCAGAGGATGAAGGTACCGAGGTTCACCATGGCTACGTTGTGTGGTCTGAAATTAAGTAACTCCTTTTCATGCCGCCGACCGAGGATCCATGCATATGCAAGGCCTGCAACGCCGCTGCCGATCTCCACAGGGCCCCCACCTTCAGGTCGGGTGAGCAAACCAACTGTTCTCGGATCATGAATGGAAGTGCTCCGCACCTGCATAATCTAACACGCCCCACTTAAAACCCCAACCATTAATATTCCAAGCCCAGCAAGCCAGCGGACAATAAACAAGGGTCATCCAGAAGAATGTAAATACCATGGCTGGAAGGACCCGACCGCGCTCCGCGATACCTCCTACCAAAATCCCAATTGTTACACAAGCAAATTCCATCTGATAGAAGCTATAAAGCAAATCTGGAATGAGGGGCGAACCAGGAGAGGGATCGCCGAGCACGTTTAGCAGTCCAAAATTGGCAAGATTGCCAATGAAACCATTGGTGGCAGTAGGTGAGAAGGCGAGAGAGTATCCCCACAGGTACCACTGGAAGATACAGACGGCATTGCTTGCAGAGACGGCCCATATCAGAGACAGGGCAGATTTCCTTCTCGAGAGACCGGAGTATAGGAAAGCTGAAGATATCAGGATAGTAAGGTCATGGCAAATTAAAGTTGCGAACCTAAACCCGGTATCATGAAAGATACCATCGCGCCTGCGACGATGATAAACGAGACATCCCCACGATCGAATCTGGGGGGGATAGCAGAACAGATACGGGTGAGTTCTGACACGGGAGGCGTTGGCTCTCATTGGCTCACTGGCCGGAGTCCCCTGAAAGCAAGATAACGAGCGCGCAAATCAGGAAACTGTTTATCTGGTGTATGGAACACTCGTGAACGTACTTTTCAGCAGAGAGGGTATCGCAGAGAAGTCGCCGAACTTCATTTTCCACAGCTCTGAGAGGTAACAAGTATGAAGCAGAGCTGTCGCTCGCGTCTTCCACCGCTGGTGTCAGTTTTTCTTAGGCGGCCTAGGGTGAAGAGAAAGTTGCGCTGGTCGCGGTCTCTGTATTCATACTCGGGTGTGCATGTCCTGAATAGATAAATCCCTGCTTGCCCATTGGTTGATAGCAGACACTCGGTAGGTTATGTTTCATGCGAAAGGGATCAAATAGGAGAGGATACGAAGTATACGCGGGGAAGCCTCGTTTGAAATGGACACATTGTACTCGTTCGGGCGGGACTGTTGTCAGTTGGTAACTGGCGCCACGTGGCAACCGGATACGAATCGAAGATCGACGTGGACAGCGTGAACCCACCGACTTCTAAGTAGTGTGTCACCGCTGGAGTCGAGGCTGTCGAGGGCCGATTTGCACTTCAAGTTGTTCATTTGGTGCAGTCATGTACTTCCGACCCGTTCTCTCTTTCACCAGAACCACCGCTCGACGTGCTCACCTGACGAACTTCTCTTGGCTTAGACGGGTTCATACGCAATCAGACGTATCTGAATATGATATCAAGTATGCGGACAAACTCCATCAAAAGGCAAACGAGTTAGTGGCACCTTCCTTTTCGTGCACTGGAATGACAATTTCTGACACTTCACATAACCATACTTTCCCAACAGAAAGGGTGTGGCTCTTGACGAATTGAAGGTACAGGCCCGCCAGGAAGCTCGTCGCAAACAGAAAGAGGAGGCTGAAGTTGCCTTAGTGCGAAAGTTTCAGTCCGAGACCATCCTGAGAGCCGATGGAGTTACCCAATCCACAGCAAAGAAACCCCTTCCTAGCCCGCGAAAGGATAGCTCTCCAATCAAGGTACATACATTTCGTGAGCAGTGGGTTGGCTGCGCCTTGGAATCTTGCTCCCTGCATAACTAGTGTTCATATTTTGATACTTAGCCACTTTCGTCTATCCTGAACGTCACCAAGTTACTGGCCACACCGCATACGTCGTCACAAATATCTGCGCTTTGGACCGCCTACCATGCATCCCGATCCGGAGGCACGGGTAGGGGGCACATCTGTGCCTCCTTGCCTCTCGATGCGTATGACACGATGACGAACGTTGCAAAAAGATATTCTTCTTTCGTTCTACCGTTGCCTAGGCAAATCAAGCCAGAGGCGTTGTCAGTAGGTGATACGTCTGAGCCAGCGCACGAATTTTTCTATTTGCAGTGGGATTTTCATCCCCCTCCATCGCAACCATCTGCTACCGAGCCACATCTATTTCAATCTGTTCCTCCAACTCCGAGAGGTACCGCTCTGCCTCCGGTCTCTACCGTCCTATTCACACCGCTGCAAGAGTACAAGAGTCGTAATTCATTTGCGACGCCGTATTTGGTCTTGACATTCCACACCGATTTGTCTCACTCGCATGGCCTCGTTCTTCTCCGTGGAGAAATAACACCGTCTGCTGCCATGACAAATGGGGAACCTACGCAGGACGTGGCAGGGCGTTATCTGCTAAATCAGGTAGATGCACAACTGCTGGCGATGGGTATACAGAAATATTATCTGTGGGGTGAGAAGAAGGGTGCGAAAGCGAGTGGCTCTCCTGCTGAAGAACTGTTAAGGCGGTTCCACGAAAGACCAGACGATTTCGATTGGCAAGAACTGTTAAAGCAATCGGAGGTTACGGTGTAGTACAGCTTAGGGGGGCAGAGGGTGTGGGGACTTAAGTACTACTGTTCGTATGACAAACTACTGAGTTATCACGGAGAAGTCACAAGCGGACGAGCTTTCACCCACTCCTTCTTGGTAAGTTCTTGTAACACGAATGCCACAAAAGCGATTCTCGTCAGACTAGTTGTAGTCTGACCGTCACCGACATATCCAGCGACGAAGGACTCGTTACTGCCACTATTCAAGAGAGGCACGCGAACGATGGTCCAGTCGATGGTGTCGCCTTCCCTGCAGATGGTTTCTCCGATCGCTACGATGTCCTTGTATGCCGTACTGGCAAAGGTTGCCACGCCGCAGACGATGGTGGACATGACTAGACTATGCTTGTCGTGGGGATCTTTAATGCTGGGCGTGCCCAGCGCGATGAGCCGGGAAACTCCACGTTCCTTCATTACTTTGATAATGAGTGAATACGCATGAGCGAGGGGCTCTCCTCTGGGATGAAACGGTCCGCGAGAGACAGCGGGGCCGAGCGCAGATAAGACAGTATCGACGTCCTGTAACGCATCGGACAAAGACTCTGCATCCGTCAGCTGACCCTTGCGAATGATGATCTGGGAGCTGTCTCGGAGGTTCTGAGGGAGTTTCTCTGGGGAGCGGGCATAGACAACAACGGTGTGTCCGTCCGCGACAGCTCTTCCGACGAGGAGCACCCCTATACCACCTGTTGCCCCGAGAATAAGAACGCGCATGATGGAAGTCTGAATGAAGCTTTCAAGCGCAGCTCAAGGCAGGTTGGAATGTCAGGACCGTCAACGTCATCGAACTTGACTGACACAATCGTGCACTCCCCCACGGCATCTGATATGCGTCCTTGGTTCTGTTGTAATTACATACTAGTGGGGTAGCGTAGCGGGACTCTTTGGCCAGTCTCCTGCTGCCAGTGCCTCTTCTTCCAAAGCCACGATAGCTTCCCCAATCTCACCAGCAGACTCGACCCTCAGCCTTTCCATATGTCTGCCGTACATCGTTCCGAACGCAGCGATTATGCCTTCCACCATATCATCAACTCGAACGGCCTTCCCGGTCGCCAGCTCTATACACCCCGCTTTCACCTCCCCAAGTCCACAAGCCACCACCCTGTCGAACCACGCCAACGGTTCCTTGGTTACGTTCATCGCAAATCCGTGCATTGTCAGTCTATGGCGGACCTGCACACCAATACTAGCAACTTTCGTCGTAGCGTCCAGGAACACGCCTGTGTGCTCTGAAGGAACATTCCGCAACCCGTGTTCCCCTGCAAGACATGCTTGTATCGCTCGTTGCATCCGACATATGTAGTCCCTAGTTCCCATTGCCGGCGACGTCCGACCGAGATCGAGAAGCGGGTATCCGACGAGCTGACCGGGTCCGTGATACGTCAATTGACCGCCACGTGACGTTGTAGCAAAGTCGGCGCCGAGCTGAGTGAGACGCGTTCTTTCGGCAACGAGCTCTTCAGCGTTCTGCCGACGCCCAGCCGTGTAAACGGGTCGGTGTTGCAGGAGCAGAAGGACGTCATGATGGGATGAGGTGCGACGAGCAGAGAGCTGGATTTGGTGCAGTCTCTCTTGTAAAGCGAGCGTTCTCGTGTAGGGTAAGGGCGTTTGGAAATAGTGGTAAAACACAGGAGGTAATGACATGGCTTTGAAGTCTCCCCGCGTTGGCACGACCGCCTATTGTGCGAATTTTTGTTAGCTTGGGCTCAAACAGGCTCCATCGACATTACGCGGACACCACAACATCAACTTCATAATAATAACATGAACACATGGTAAGTATGACCTTATGAAATGTGCAAGAAAACGGATACATTTGTTGGATCACGATTGGGGTCGGGGGCAATCAAAGGCTAAGCTGAAGCCCGGTCGTACGTGACGTTCACTCACAATAGTCAGGAGCTCTCGTCCGAATTGTGCGATATGCGCATTCTAGGCTAATGGTGAAATTCAATGTATGCCCATGGAGCATGTTCTCGTTTAGCTGGAATCTGTGACGGTGAAGCCATAAGCAGTTGTCTTTGTTTATTTTATTACTACACTCAACTTACTACTTACACCACAGAACTCCCTCCAGTTAGTTCCAGTTGTTCCGTCATCCAGTCGCCCATACCCACAGTGAGAGACCTCATCGATCGTTCAGAGGCGAGAATAGAGCGAAGACCTGTGCTTGGACTCACCCTTTTCCTCCGAGGTCTGAATATCGGAGTCTGGAGGCAATGGTCTCCTCACGTGAATCCATAATTGTGACTGTCTTACTACGTGACGAAACCGGGAGCGTCCATCGAATGGCACGTATATTGTTGTGATGTGATACGTGCACTTGTGTACTTGTGCAGTATCAAACCAAGTCTTATCTGTTCACCAGCAGGACACGTATATCTTTCCTTTCTTGCACAAACACATGCGCTGACGATACTCAGTTCGCAGACGTACGTACTCTTCCATCGATCTTGAATAGAGTCATATACTGCCTTCTCAAACGACAATTATACCTGACAATGGTGAATTAAGTAAATCCTGTCTTTTTCTGTTCTTTCATGGTGTCCAATGACACTTCAGCAGGTTAATGGTGTAGGTCGCCCGCGCGGTTCTTGACACGTTTGGGCAAGGGACCTTTGCCTTTGAAAACTGTGGGGGGGTCCATCACGAAACAGAAGCGCCTGTACAGCTCAGTGCAGGTCTACTGAGGCTCCTTCATGTCTTGATCGGGGGTGTCGCGTGTTTTATGGTTTTCCACGTGTTCATGATCATATGCAACAAGATTCAATATTGGCTGTAGGAACGACGTACACCTTTACTTTCATTGCAGAATGAGATGAAGCATTCTGTGTTCTGTTTCACGCTCTTCTGACTACACCATAATTACTGGGACTCAAGATGATTGTGGATTACGATCGAGTGTTGCCGTGGCATGCAGGCAGACATCGCCATCAGCAAATGGTGATTCGACGAGATGTTGTCGACTCTGCTCTTCTCCTTGATGTCAAAGTGCGGAGCGCGGGGAAACAGCGTTGGCGTTAGACATCGTGCGCGGATGTTTTGGTACCTGAACAGTGAGTGTAGTAAATGTTCCGAGGTTTTCTCTCTATATTTCCTGGGAGGTAGGTACTGTACACCTCCAGGGTTCAAATTCACTACGTTGACTCTGCGTCAGATTTCAGATCAGTGTGAAATGAGAACGGTTGGCATAGCACGAAGTGGGTATAATCGCCTCGGCATCGTGGCGCATGACTATCTAAACTATGGTAAATGTCCTAACTTTGCTTTGCAAGATACTGGTGCAGTCTACGGGCTGGGCGATGGTGAAGGTGGAAGACGCAATCCGTTTATATTCGTTGTGAGGCAGTTCCACCAACAGAAGAGCGTTAAATGGCCGCTCCAACGTTGACAGCAGCCGCTGTGCGGCCGTGGGGTCTAGCCTGGCAGATGGACCAAGTAGCTTCGAATTCCAAGGGCGAACAAGCTGCAAGACACCCGGTGACGTTCCTACATTTTCTAGCTCCCGTGGCAATGTAATCTCGAGTGGTCTCAGACCAGACGCCTCAATTTTGTATTTAACGTGAGAACCTGACTTTTTCACTTGAATCGCCGTAACACGGTAGGCGAGGCATGGCAGTATGAGGCGTCGATTGATAAATCGTGGGAGAGATGACTTCGCGAGCGAGCTATAAAGCTTTCGCAGTGCTCTATTTGACGTAGCCTCCTGGCCCGTCGTCGATGCAAGTTCCTCTGCATCAGGCTGGGGGGACGGCCGTAATGGCAACCTTTGGTATGAGGCGACGTGGGCTGGGAAACAGCTATGAAAATGCGGCGCCTCTCCTACCCAATCCAGAACTGAGATTTCCCCAGACTGTGCAATGATTTCGGCTAGCAGACGACCCAGAGCCTCTTCTGGAGGTTCGCCATAAAGAACGGGTAGGTGGAGACCGAAGATCCCAAAAAGCGAATAGGCGGTATCCTCAGGACGGGTGGTAAGCCGTGACGATGCCCACTGCAGTCTTGAACGTGCGTCATCCATGCCTGGAGAAAAGTCCGCCAGGAACCGAGACGCTATTCCTGTTGCACTTTCAAGCTCTTCTAGCACGATACTATCTGATTTGTGATTTGGAGACCCGAGGTTCTTGTAGAGCGACCAGTTTTGGGTGTAGAACAGTACAGTGCGGGGAGCTAGCAACTCCTGGAGGGTCCACCCGCGCTGGAACCACTTGCTGCTAACAAGCGAATCGTGTTCCAAAATGTCGGCGAGGTACACGACAGTTAGAGCGGACCTTCGATACCATGCGAACATCGATCCTATCGCTTCCTGCAACTCGGCACTGCTCTCCTTGTTAATGCAGCACGTATCGCTCCAGGCCCACAAGTACCCCCGCCTGCAAGCAACAAGACAGAAGTCTTGAAGCTTTCTGAGACCCGCCTTTGGCACCACGGCCATGTCATATATGGAGGAGCCCTCGACGTCGCGCAACGATGGCTCGCCATCACCCCAGTAGTGAGAAAGAGTGACAAATTCAAAATATAACAAGACGGCAGGACGAATGCACTCGAAGTCGATGTATGGATCACATGTTGTCACTGACGACAGGAGGCGGTGGTATTGTTGGCTGTTCACGAAGTGGGATTACCTGGACGTCCCGGCTGCACAACTTGCCGGTACGCGTGTGTAGCAATCTAGTCGGCGCGTTTTTCAAGGCGTCAAATGCGACGTGCCAGATGAGTTGCTCGATGCCAGCTCGTTCAATGCCTGGAGTACCAGAAGTGATCATCCCCATTGGCGAATGGATCTTCATGTGCAGGTAGGTTGTAAGACGCTCCAGGAGTAGGTCATAACCCGGGTCTCCGGGCGTTAGTAGGTCCGTGGCTGCTTGTTGGAGTTCAATCGCCTTGTCTAAATCAGCCCTTGTAGCGTTTTCACGAAACCTGTCCACTAGGCATAGCGCGAGGGTGTGAAGAGATGAGGCACGGGCAGGGTGTCGAGCTGGACGGAGTCGGATTACTTGCTGAAGTGCCATAACAGCCTCGTTTAAGTCAGTAATGTCATGGTGGCTGCAGAACCTGTCCCGAAGGAAATTCGCGAGGATGTGTAGATAGTCTACCACTCGCCCAAGGATGGCAAATTCATCCAACCGTTCCACCAGGGCCAGAGATTGAGCTCGTTGATGAATGAAAGGGGTTGCGGGTCTGATAAGGGTTGTGCCGCGATTTGGGAGTCGGAGCTGCAAAACGGTGGTCGCAAGACGAATAGCATCGGCTAAGTCGACCGTTGCGGCTTGTTGCAGAACCGAGTGCCGAAGGTACAGTGAGAGGTTGTGGGGTGACGAGGTAAGGACAAAATGATCTGTTGAATGGGCCCTCGAGAAGGTTTGACAAAGAGATTGTGCCTCGACCGAGCTGAGCAATGCGAAGTGTCTCAGAAAACTCGCCCAAAGAGGGACAGCAAGATCATACAGATACTCGCGACGGTCAAGATGACCCATTGGATGGAGATCGAGTAGCATGTGCCTAAGCATCACAACCTCCTCGAAGTCAGCAGTTGCCTTCTGCCTGTTAAACCTTTCGGTAAGACAGGCAGCAAGCTTGTTGAGGGTCCAAGGTCGATCAGGATGTCCAGAAGGACATTGTTCCAATGCTTCACGGGACAACTGAATTGCCTCTTCTAAATCATGCATCGTAGCCTGCTCCTGGAAGCGTCTCCTAAGGTAATCAGCAAGAGTGCCAAGAGCTTTGTGACGACATGGATGCCCTGGTGGACGGAGTTCTAGTACCACATGTCCGAGCGTGATGGCTTCTTCCAGGTCCGCAACTACCTCCTGAGCATCATATCTATCCCTGAGATAGAGGGCGAGGGAAGAGAGCAAACACGACCGATGAGGATCTGCAGAGGGACATAGATCCAATGCTTCACGGCGCAACTTGATTCCCTCCTCCAAGTCACACATTGCGGCTTGTTTATGGAATCTCCTCCAGAGGAGAGAGGCAAGGTTCCCGAGAATTTCGCCACGACCAGGATGCCCAGGTGGGCAGAGCTTGAGCGCTGCACGTTCGAGGGCTCCAGCTTCTTCTAAGTCAGCAACCTCCCCATGATTGTCATACCTACTCGAGAGACAAAGAGCAAGGTGGTGGAACATCGAAGACTGATCAGGATGCGCAGGCGGAAGTAGTTCCAGTGCTGCACGGTAAAACTCAGTTGCGTCTTGCAAGTCACATATTGCAGCTCGTTCCCAGAACCTCTCCCAGAGGTAATGGGCAAGATTGTAGAGACATATGCCGCGACCTGGATGCCCCAATGGGCAGAGTGCGAGTGCTGCACGTCCGAATGCAATAGCTTCTTCTAAGTCGGCAGTTACCCCCAGATTGTTGTATTTATTCGAGAGATAAAGAGCAAGCGAGTGGAGCGACAAGTACCGATCAGGATGTCCAGATGGACGTAGTAGCAATGCTGCGCAGTGCAGCTCAATTGCCTCCTCCAAGTCGTGCATTGTAGCTTGCTTCTGGAACCTTGTCCACAAGTCACAGGCAAGAGCGAAGAGAGCTGCATGACGATTTGGATGCCCTGGTGGGTGGAGCTCGAGTGCCGCACGTCTGAGGGTTATGGCTTCTTCGAGGTCGGCGACCACCCCCCCCCCCGATTGTCATACCTACTTGAGAGGCAGAGAACAAGATGGTGGAGCAATGGAAACCGGTCCGGAAGTCCAGACGGAAGTAGTTCCAGTGCTGCACGGTAGAACTCAATCGCGTCCTCCAAGTCACATATTGCAGCTTGTTCCTGGAACCTCTTCCAGAGGTTATGGGCGAGATGGGAAAGAGTCGTTTCACGACACGGATGTCCTGGTGGACAGCGCTCGAGTGCCGCACGTCCGAGAGCGACAGCTTCTTCCAGATCCGCTAGTATCCCCGTATTGTCATACCTACACGAGAGGCCAAAAGCAAGTCCGTGAAGTGATCAGGGCCGTTCGTGACTTTCAGCCGGTCGGAGTGCAAGGGCAGCGCGGTACATGGCAATTGCCTCATTCACGTCATCGATTTCCTCCTCATTTAGGAACCTATCACAAAGGGCCTCTGCCAGGTTGTCAAGTGCAATGTCCCACTCCTCATGCCCTGGACAGTAACGTTCTAACTCTGCTCGTGCATGCGAAACGTCGTCTGTCAAACTCATCGAACACCGTTACACTGGGAAGATAAATGCAGTGAAAATGGTTTGTCTTTCGGAGTTGGTTGGGCAATCAGCTGCAATAAAACAGGAAGGTGAAACCATACATTATCTCCAAGCACGAGAAATCAATGGAGCTCAAGAAATCTTGAACGCCAGAATGCTACTTGAATCAGCGAGCTAGGTGAACTGAATACCATATGTGAAATTACTCACGGGTAAGGATGCCAAGTATATAATTCTAGAGAAATCTTGGGTATCGGTGAGAACAAAGCGTAGATTTGATATACTCGGAGGTCAATGGACACAACACGACGATGGCCGATAGGGAATTCACCAGTAGGTGCGAAAAATGCAAGTTGATAGCGGATTTTAAGTCCGGGAAACCGCCCGTCAATCTACTAGACCTGGACGTCTTAAATGTAGCAGATAGTACAGGATTACTGCCCACATCAGGGGGACAGGGAACAGTGGAATCACTGCCATGACCAGAAAGGGACATCTATTCGCTTACTGATGTGCCCCTGCCCTTGGCCAACACGAGTCTGCCGCACTCCGAAGCTCCTGCAATACTTATCCTAAACAGAACAGCTTTTACAGTAATGCAGATAAAAAATGCAGATGCACATGAATAGGCACCACCCCGAACAAATGCCTTCTCATAGCGGCTTCGTAATTCGTCCAGACATCGCCGAATAAGAGCCAGTGAACTCTGGAGTTCTCGAAATTAAACTTTCTGGCGGAAAGGAACGATGATGGTATCAAAAATCACACATGCCAAAGCTCTGGCGCTTCTACAGGGGGTGACAAAAATTTCGGGTTGTTCTACCCATGTGGTTCTGTTTATATATATATCAGCACCACGGATACTACAGTTGGTCTACGTACTAGAAACCACAAGCCCTCGAGATCACAGATCACCAGTGAAAAGGCAGAACCAATCTGACTCTGGGCAATTCCCTGCTACAGGAAGTGGCGTCGCGGACTAGCAAAACGAAGGAACTTGTGAAAACCTGCATAGAGTTGCGTAGGCCCTTCTGTTTTGCCGACGGGCAGCTATGGGGAAGGCGACGCCGTCGACTGCACGGTCTCCCGCGCGCCTCTCTTGAACAATAGCAGCGGTGACTCCGTCGTTGGTTCTGTTGGTAATGATTAGATCGCACCTTGTCAGACGAGAATTGCTATTATGTTACAACAACTTTCAAGGAGCGGGTGAATGCTCGTCCGCTGGTAGCTTCTCTGTGAATTGCTGCGCAATTGCGCGTCAGTACTTATTATAATTATAAGCCTCCACATTCCCTACCTGTACTCACCGATTGCTTCAACAGTTCTTGCCAATCGAGATCGTCTGGTCCTTCGTAGAACCGTTTCAACAAATCTTCAGCAACAGGATCACGCACTTCCGCACCCTTCCTTTTACCACATGTGTGTGTACCTATCGCCAACAGTCGCACGTCCATTTCATTCAGCACATAACGGTCTGCAATGACCCGTCCGAGTTACGCATCTGTCATGGTAGCAGGCAGCGCTATTTCTCCGCGGAGAGAACACAAGTCTTGTGCACAAGACAAACCGGTGTGGAAAGTCAAAATCATGTAGGACGTGGCGAATGATGTATTCTTGCAGCGAAGTGGATAGTACGATAGAGATTGGAGGCAGAGGGCCGCTCCCGGGAGTTGTAGGAACAGGCTGGAATGGATTTGGCTCGGCAGCGACTAGCGGATGGGTTGTGAAGGAGGGAAATGGAAGTCCCATTGCAAATGGAAAAATTCGTGTGCTGGCTCTGAACCATTGCCTGTTTCTGGTTTGATTTGCGTAGGAACCGGTAGAACAAAAGAACATCTTTTTACAACGTTCGTCATCTTACGCTTCGAGATCCAAGGACACGCAAATACCCGCCCTGCCCGTTCTTCCAGAGCCGGTGGGCGTTTTGAAGCGCAGATATTTGTGGTGACGTATGTGAGGTAGCCAGCAACTTGGCGACATTCAGGATGCAGGATGAAAGTAGTTAAGTATGAAAATAATACAAGTTAGGCAAGGAACACGATTCTGAGGCGCAGAAGGGCGCAACCTGGTAACCAACCCCAGGAGCACTAATCGTGTGTACCTTGATTGGGAAGCTATCCTTTCGCGGGCTAGGAGAATTCTCCGGCCAACTCCGAAATCGGTTGCCGGGATGGCTCTGGAGTAAAATCTCCGCACAATGGCAGTATCGGCTTCCTCCTTCTGTTTACGAAGAGACTCCTGGCGAATCTGTACCTTCAGCTCATCAAGGGCTATACCCTGCCAATACGCTATCCCCTTTTCTGTTGGTAGGGTATGGATACCAGCGAGCACGCCATCGTTACGAAGTGTCAGAAATGTCATGCTGATGCACAAGAATAGGAAGGCGCCTCTCACTCCTTCGCCTTTTGATGGAATTATCCAGGCATGTCTGATTGCGTATGAAGCCCTCTAAGCCAAGAAAGGCTGGTGTAGTTTGTCAGGTGAGAACGTCGGTCAGCTCCAGTGAGAAATGAGCAGGTCGGGAGAACATGTCATGAAGCACTGCATCGAATGAACGACGTGCAGTGTAAATCGACCCTTGACAGTCTTGACCCCAGGCGCGATAGTACAGATAGCATACTACAGTGTTACACTGTACTGAGTGGGTCCATGCTGTTATCATGTCGACGTCGATCCCGGTCAGATTCAATACAGAGCCGGTGACCGGGTCGCCAGGTGACACCACTCACCGACCGACAGCGAGTTCAGTGAGGCCCGGTGCCCACACCACCTGCTTGAACGAGTAGATCGCTGAGCACGGATTTCAAACGAGACTTCTCCGCATGTGCCTTGCATGTCTGTCCTATTTGATCCCTTTTCGCAATGGACCAAAGGGGCGGTTCGAGCTGTCACTAATCACCACGACAGCCTTTTTTTCGCCTGTCTTCTCCGACCCTGGTGATTACATAACCGACCGAGCCTCGCCTCCGCTATCGACCAATGAGCAGGCAAGTATTTATCTGTTCAGGACGTCCACACCCGAGTATGAATACAGAGCCCGGGGCACCACAAATTTCTCCCTCGTCCTGGGCCAGCTAAGAAAAACCGACACCATCGGTAGAAGACACGACGGACAGGCCCATTTCATACTTTTTACCTCTCAGAACCGAAGAAAATGAAGTTCGGCGACCTCTTTGGGACCCCCTCGTTGCTGAAAAGTACGTTCAGGACCATTGCCTCCACCAGATAAACAACTTCCTGATTTGCGCGCTCGTTATCTCGCTTCCAGGGGATTCCAGCCAGTGAGCCAATGAGAGTCAACGCCTCCTGTGTCAGAACTCACCCGTTTCTGTTTTGCTATCTCCCCCAGATTCGATCGTGGGGATGTCTCGTTTATCATCGTCGCGGGTGCGATGGTATCTTTCATGATACCGGGTTTAGGTTCGCAACTTTAATTTACCATGTCCTTGCTATCCTGATCCTATTCCAGCTTTCCTATACTCCGGTCTCTCGAGGAGAAAATCTGCTTTGTCCCTGATATGGGCTGTCTCTGCAAGCAATGCCGTCTGTATCTTCCAGTGGTACCTGTGGGGATACTCTCTCGCCTTCTCACCTACTGCCACCAATGGTTTCATTGGCAATCTTGCCAATTTTGGACTGCTAAACGTGCTCGGCGATCCCTCTCCTGGTTCGCCCCTCATTCCAGATTTGCTTTATAGCTTCTATCAGATGGAATTTGCCTGTGTGACAGTGGGAATCTTGATGGGAGGTATCGCGGAGCGTGGTCGGGTTCTTCCAGCCATGATATTTACATTCTTCTGGATGACCCTTGTTTACTGCCCACTGGCTTGCTGGGCTTGGAATATTAACGGATGGGGGTTCAAGTGGGGCGTGTTAGATTATGCAGGTTCGGAGCACTTCCATTCATAATCTGAGAAACGTTAACGTTCTTCCCGCATCAACAGGTGGTGGTCCTGTGGAAATTGGTAGCGGCGTCGCAGGCCTTGCATATGCTTGGGTCCTCGGTCGGCGGCAAGACAAGGAGTTGCTTAACTTCAGACCACATAACGTGGCCATGGTAAACCTCGGTACCTTCATTCTCTGGTTTGGATGGCTCGGCTTCAACGGAGGTAGCGCCTTTGGTGCCAATCTTCGTGCCATAATGGCAATCTGGAACTCCATGATTGCCCCGGCGTTTGGCGGCATTGTGTGGTGTCTTCTTGACTATAGATTGGAACGCAAGTACAGCATGGTCGGTTTCTGTTCGGGTTCTATCGCTGCTTTGGTTGCTGCGACACCCGCTTCCGGTTACATACACCCGTGGGCATCGGTTATCATGGGCATCGTTGCTGGTGCTGTTTGTAATTATGCAACGAAGCGTAAGTCACGGAAACTTCGACAATTGCTGATACTGACAATCCACGCAACCTAGTCAAGTTCTTGATGAGAATCGACGACGCCTTGGATCTCTTTGCTGAGCATGCCCTTGGCGGCATTATTGGTCTTCTCTTCAATGGCTTTTTCGCTTCGCACTCCATCATTGCTCTGGACGGTGTCAACACTAACGTTAACGGAGGCTGGGTCGACCACAACTGGAAGCAACTTTACATCCAATTTGCTTATGTATGTGCGACGTGCGGATATACATTTGTGGCGACGGCCATCATTGCCAAAGCTATCGACATGGTACCTGGTTTACACCTCAAAACGACACCAGAGGGCGAGTCTGCCGGTCTGGATGAGGTCGAGGTGGGTTGCATTTATCTTGCGGCGGAGTTGGAGACGGCTAAGCCGATTACTTCCAGATCGGCGAGTTCGCCAATGATTACATCGAAGTCCGGAGACACTTCTCCGACTGGTCAGCCTTCGGCGATCGTATGGTTGATTCGGTGGCGTCTGAGATGGGCGGCTTGCCAGATCTCCAGAAGGACGGTCACCGCCTCCGGTTAGAAGATCCCAACCTCGAAATTATCGAAGAGAAGAACAGTGAAATTATTGAAGAGCCGCAGCCTATTTCGCAGGAACGTTGATGTTGCGGTTGTTCTATTGGGTCCGAGCAGAAGCCGAGACAAACTTGGTTTCATTGGGTGTTTCCCAAAACTCCTGGCAATTTTGCGGTTCAGTGATACCTTGCATCACATACAACTTAATATATGATTTGCTTATTATCTCGGTGCACTTCTGTATTTCAACTGTGTGTTCCAAGTATCGTACCTCTGCCCTTGAAGGGCACCTCGAAGCGTTCAGGATGAGCTACGAATGTTGCAACCGTATTTCCTTGCGGACTACCGGTGTCATGTCTCGAGGTTGAAAGGTGATGTATGCCTTCATGGTGGTTGTAGCAGTGCGGGGTGTTACTGATACAGAGCCGAACGGATCGGCATACGCTCTGTACTATATTTGCTCGCCGGGAGCAACCACACTTTGAACTGCAATATTCATCGATACCTATGCATACGAACAGGCCTAAAATCAAGTCCACTGCCCACCAGTTTTATGGGACATTCGTGATGGACTTGGGAGGGATACTGGTTGTTACTACAACTATACGATTTACTACTCTCATGATGCCTGCTCTTCAACTTGTCTGGGAGTCAAGCTAGCACTCAGTGTCGCGTCCGCCAGTACGTTTAGGGGCCTTCAGACCTTACTTAGTCCATATCATTGTTGACTCTGCACGCGTCAACATTATTACAACTGTTTTCGAAATGGTATCGAAAACTTACTGGTTGAGAATCTCAGTGCTCGGAGAGGTTTCCAGTTCAGCAGGTTCTCCTGGCTGAGGATGAACTTGTGACCTCTGGACTGACCCTCCAGCCTCCAGGTTGAGAATGAGCGGGTGAATGTGGCGAGAGCTGGATTCGGTTCCTGTTTCTGGGTTTGGCTAGGCTAACTCCTCCTGAGCTAACCTGAGAGACCAGGGGCGTCTTTGAGAGTTACGGTCGTCCATCTCATTCGTCCACAGAAATACACACATGACAAGCTGTGGGGTGTTGGTAGGCCGGTGTGTGTGGTAATTTGGTGTGAACGGAGCACAGAAGAAGACAGGAGTTGGGACGAGGCAAATGAATGGAAAGGACATCCCGCTTATGGGCCATTGATGCAGAGAGCCCCCACATCAGCATTCAAGATATCGGGGTCAATGCCGTCATTGGTGGAATGAACATACTGGACGATGACGGTGAGAGAAGGACCTCTCGGAGTCTTGGCTCTTAATCCAATCTTTAGTGAAAAAAAGCAGTGGTTTTGTGATTTGCAAGAGTAATCGCACGAGACAGGCACCCCGGAAATAACTGAGTCCGTCTCGAGACAATTACATAATATTCGCACCTCGCCAACTGCGTCAAGGCGCGTCTGTTCTGTATCATATCTGCGTTTAGCTGCAATATCTTGATGGTTATGCTTTTGAAGTGTCCAAAAGCCGCTGCGATTTCGTCCACCCTGTCTACTCACTTTCGCGAGTGGTCTTCGACAAACCGTGTCTCACTTCAGCTGAAGTCGTCAAGGTGCCCCAGATATGGCAGATTCAATATCCGAGGGCACCCTCAAGTATTGCTTGAAAAGAATCCGTGACACTTTCGAGGCCGACAAGGACGGAGATGGACAAAGTAAGAACTGGTAATAAAGTAGTTATCCAGCAGATATATACACACAAAGTTCCCGGAATGCCTAACAATCCCAGCCAAGTACGAAATCTTCAGAACCTCCATCGTGTCCCGGGTTTCCCTCGCTAGTCTCAGGGCCAGAAAGCTGTGAGCCACATATACCGCTGCCAAATTCTTCGTGCAATAAGAGGTCAACAACGTTGCGCGACGCAATAGTTTCAGTTTCCATCGTGGATATGAACCTGCGGTGGGGACCTGAAGTAAGTATACCCGAATACTGTAAGCGAAACATATGACGCACGGTTCGAAGGCGTTCACGTAGTAGAACCCTTGTTCAAGCCTCATAGGGGGGAACTTGGTGGTAGGCGGTAGAACGGGGTAAGCATCCCACTGAGGTAGACTTATTAAACTTCGAGTACCGTGCACAGGAAGAGACCAACCTCTTTCCGATAAACCCACCCAACGTGCCCGAATACTTTCTCCAGCCATTCATCAGTGATACGCTCTTTGGAGAATATTTTGACTTTCCACTCTGGTTTCTCGTCTGCGCTTCCGGGAGCTCTCTGAATTCGTCCATGGACGGAAATGGAATTAAATTCCGGTTCCACACCGCCGGCGCGTGCACCCTCGTGTGTAGTGAGTATCACCTTTGGAACTTTTTCGCCGGGTGATAAACCGAAGTAGGTTGGGTTTGTGCTCTCGGATCTCGTAGTCAGTAGCGTGACGTGGAGATGAACGTAGGGTTGCGGAGGAATGAGTTCGGCGAGATCAGAGGCAACACTAATATTGGTCTGGTGGAAAGGAGCGGCCAAGATGACAGCCTTGTAAATTCGGGAACCAGAAGAAGTGTGGAGGATCCAACGTGATGACCCCGGGACGCGTAGAATGTCTCGGACCTACGGGAGAAGTTTTCTAGGAAGACAACCCTAGCATAGCTGAAAGACACATACCTCGGTATTTAGATAAACATTGGCGCCAGAGTGCTTCAGGAAATTTTCAAATATGAGGAAGTTCCCATCGCGGACGCCAGATGCACCGGTGGCTGCCAAAGAGCAAGTGCCTTCCAAAGCGTGGATTTTGTCCACGTCCTACATACATGCTGAGCACCAGTGTCGCCTGCCGATAATCAGTGGCGCGGAGACCTACCTGTCCATAATTAACCCGAGTAGCAGCCTCGACCATTTCTCTTGACCACTTCTCTGCAACGCCTTTCGAAGAAAGATATTCGAGAGTCGTACTATTTACAAAGTCGGTCCAATTCATCTTCTCAACGAGGTCCGCGATGCCATCCCAACGATGTGATGTCGCCGTGTATAACGAGAGATACTCCGCGATCATATTCTTTACGCTTCAGGGCCGATCGTCATCGAGTCGCAGGTGATGCCAACGATATTGTACTCACATGGACTGCGTTTTCACTGGCGCTGAATAACCATAACGCCACAATACCTTCAACGTAGTCCACCAGCTCTTAGTATAAGTGCCCTCATTCAACTGGTGAAGCCTCTCAGCGAGACTGTCAAACTTGCTGATATAAATTACATACTACGATGTCGAATTTCTGTCCGTCCCATAAGCCGGTGTCGGAGAATTCGTCGATGAAATCCTTTAGGGTCAGATTGAACTCCTTGGCTGCCCTCATCAGGTTTTTGTTTGCGTCAACAAAGATTGAAGCTCCAAGCTCCATTGGGGCGAGCGTGGTGTCATTATAAGGGTATACAATAGTGCTGCCTGGATAACGGAGAGCGATGAGGATGCTACCCTAGAAACAGTCGAAGGGATCTACAAGCACTCACGTCCACCTATGTATGATGCACGTTCGTACACGTCTATTTCTACATCGATGCCAAATCTTTCTTTGGCTTTAGAGATCCAGAAAGCAGCAGAAGATCCTGCGGCACCTGCACCGACGATAGCGATTCTTGGGGTAACCTGAGGTGCTACTTGGTTGTCCGTGAGGACATCGACTTTCTGTTTGAAGAAGGGTAGCTTGAACGGGAACTGGAGACAAACAGCCGAAGTTGCCAATAACGAATACACCGCGACCTTCGTCAGCGAAGACATGGCGGTCGTCGTCGTCGTCGTCGTCAGCAGACGTCTAGCAAGTGATGGGCGTGCACAGGTGTCCAAATACCTACAAACAAATATCTGAGGTCATCATTTAATTCATTCAAATAGACTTGGTTGCACTTCCCCTGCCCTAATACTAGCCTTATAGGCTGACCAGGGATTTGGAAGAACTGCGCACGTCGTACGTGTCAGTGACTCTAATAAATTGTGGCATATGGGTTTTCCCTTCCTGTGTTTGATCTACACGGTGTAGCGAAGCCGCTTTCCCATTTAATTGGAAGAAGCACAACGTCTTTTCCACGTCTCTTCTTAAGCCAACCAACGACGGTGGATCCTTCCCACCCCCCCAGGCCGGACAGTGATGAAGCATAGAAATGGGATCCAATCTCTGTCGCCAGAGATCATCGAACACGCCCTGATACATTGTCACCCCCGAGACGTGGCAGCTTTCTCTCAGACCTGCCGTGCTGCCCGCCAGCTCGTGTACCACAACAAAGATCAGTATCTCTGGCGCCAACTTTTTCTCTCTTGCCCGTTCGATGACCCTGGCAAAGCACTTCAGGGGCTTCATGGGTCCTTCGACTGGAAAGGCGAACTCCAGCGAAGGGTCTGCGCAGAGATGATAGCCCATTCATCCCGTGCTACAGCTGAAGAATTGACGGGTGCCCTCGAAACATTTCTTAATGTCGTGCGCACGGCATCTCCTGTCACACAAGGATACGAGCGGGTTCCCTCGCAGAGCTTGTTATGGGTCGTCGACGTACTGCAATCCAGCAACATGTTACATACTCCTTTGTTTGACCACTACAACACGTCCCAGAATCTCGCCCACCTGCGATCCTATCTTGCTCTCACTCTGGATGATTACGACAACGATGACGACCTAGTGTGGTATTGAGTGGATGAAAGTATTGCGGACCAAAAGTCGCTGCTACGTGTACGACCTCAGCAACTATTGCAGGGAGAATGATTGGGGCCCCTTCCGGAAAAATGGACGTGTCAATTGGGTTCATGTGGAGAGTATCATAAATGTTTTGTTGTCAAATCTGGCGGAGTCGTCCGAACCGTCTCAGATGGATATAAGGCCCCCCTGCGGACTGGAAGCGACACGGGCATACTCTGCGCCAGGCGCGACAGCTCGTAATCCAAAGGATTGGGCAGGGGTTGAAGGGACCTGGGCACGATATGTTTCGTTCTTGGACCACCGGTGAGCGTGCCTCATATATGTTAGATCATTGGAAAGTTGATCTGTTGATTTCTGCATAGCGATTTATATGGTAAGCCATTACGAACCTGTGGTGGTGTTGACTAATTTCCTTTCGCCAGCGTTCAACGTAAATTCCATTCGAGCCATTTCTTGCCACCGGCTGACATGCTTTGGGTAGGCCACTACGAGGAATTTCCGTCTGGACGGTGGTGCTTTCTTCGACGGAGCACGCTACGGGGAAGCCACTTTCTTAATTGACCTCAATTTATACATCATAGAGCCAGACTCCATCCCAGACTATTATACTCTGGAGAGATTTCCCGAGTCCGATAATCATCTTTATCCTACTCTGTACTTCTCTGGGACATCCATTGGTATTCAAGGAAACGAAAACCAAATTATCGGATCCGTGTACATGAACGAAGACGGAGTGGTGCGGTGGCGATTCGTGAGTACAATTGTTATTCTATTGCTTAGGATATAAGCTTTACGCACTTGAATCCAAGGCCTCTGTGTATAATAACCACTCGCGATGGAGGTGATTGTCCGACGAATTCTCGCTATCTAGCTAAATGCTCATCTTGTCTTCAGCTCAGAGGGAGTTCAAATGGGAAGCATAGCTAGTGCAGCTGGCGTCGTCGGATCGTGGACGAGTGTGTATCACGAACATGGCACGTTAACTCCTTCCGTGCTCCCTCCCTAACTAACCATGCAATTTTTAGCGGACCCTGTTGGTAAGAATGCAGACCTTCAGTTATTTGCGTCAGCATGACACTTGACAGGTCCGTTCTGGCTCTGGAAAGTATCCAACCCAACGTAATCAAGCCATGACTCAGAACTAGTTTATGACCGCAATGATCTAACTCACGACTTTTCTGCTAACGCTCCAAGTAATCATGTCTAAATATCATTGCGTATACGCTCGATGTTCTTCACGAAGGAGAGATATTGAATGGTCACAATACGCAGTAAATTTTCTCTACTTGAAACGGATAACACGCCTTCCCTACCGTCACCCATTAGATATATAGCACTGAAGTAGGGGGGAATGAGGGACAGGAGGAGATAACGACGACTACAGCTGACGATAACAACTGAATCTGCCTACTCTAACACCACTTCGACATCACTAGAATCTTCGGTAGGGAAGGAAAACTCGGGATCACTTGCTGAAGCCTCTTCGTAAGGGATCTCGGAGTCGCCCTAGATAGAAACCCCCCGGAACTGCAATCCTGAGGTCCCTGATGGTTCACACTGCCCGCCTATGGGTATATACTGATGGCGGGGATTGCGCCTTCCGCACGGATGGCGGATGTTCCTTGTTTTCGATGGGTGGCGCGTTCTACACGGATGCGGTCTGTTGGGGTTTCCGAGCCTGTGTGGGTAAGTTGTTACTATCCGTCTGCGCCTCCTTATGTTACTTATAACTGCCGTTGTGGGTTGTGTTTCTTTTGCGGCTATGTCAGCGACTACGGTGTTTAGCTTCTTGGCGTTGTCGTTGTCCGGGGGTCAGCGTGTCCAAATTACGAAGGTAGATGGGTTTGCCACCCTCTTCACTAACCCTGTCGTCGTCGAATTCGGCTTCGCCTGCCCGCCGTAAGAGCAGGCCGCAATTGCGGCGCTAGCCAGCCAGACCTTAGTCGGCAAACTTGGGCATGCATTCTGGGAGGCCTTTCTAGGTTCTTCGACGACAAGTCCTTCATTACACCTCGCCCCTACATCTGCAGCTATGTGTAAAGAGTGGGATGCCGAGAAAGTCCGCAAGGTGGTGGACGTTGAGCCTGCGCAAAATGTCGTACAGCCTGTTCCGTCGGCATCGGCATCCTCTTCATCAGCCCAGCAGCCGAAGGCGTTTGAGTACCTGTGGCTGCCCTCGACGACAAACGTCGGTGTACAATGCCAGACGGAGACCAATGGAGCGCACGAATTACGAGGCGAGACAGCGTCAGTTTTATTGTGAAAATTGGTGATTTTCGACGACAAACCCAACGTTTTGCCGAAGATCGGGATGAGCAGGTCACCCGTGCAACGCAGGCAGTATTTGCAGCTACCCAGTATAGGGCAGAGGAGCTTGCAGAAGCTTTGGGACAGCTGAAACGGGAGAACGAAGCCAGTGAGTAACCTATGGTGTTGTATTTCTCTTTCCCGGGGATATTATTTCATTCGCCAGAACGCGATCGTGTGCGGCTTATGCGCACGACGCGTCATGCTTGGCATTGGGCCCGTAGGCGTGCCCTCCTCAGCAGTTATCACTCCTTTCTACACCATGAATCACTTGTCACACGCAGGCTCTCGCTTCCAAGACTCGAATTTCTGGAATTTTAGTCGAGCAGACATTTGTGCCGGGGTCGCTACAGAGGGAATGCCAACATGTGTTGCTTGAGACTTGCTTTGCAACCCTCGGCGATGATTTCAGTAGGGGACACGTAGGTTTTTCTATTTGCAAATGACTTCACGCATGTGTCCCAGGCCATCCTGCCACCTGCTGATTTCAGTCATGCCTACCGTTTGTTTATATATCTTGGACACACAGGATGCTGAAGACAACGATCTTGACGGCCCGTCAGGGTATGAAGAGATTCCATGCGATGAGAGTGGTTGTTGAAGAGCTTGAGGAAGCCGGCGTCGCAGGCAAGTGCATGGGGACATCATCAAGCCCATCTTTAAACCGTCGTTGTGAATCGCTTGCAGAGGAGGCACTCAAGGCGCTACGGCTTACCCTGGTGGAATAGTCGCAATGACGTGGATTGTTAGCCTACTCGTAATGGGGAACTCATAATACATCAGGAAATTAACACTTTACTATTTTTGACCTTTTGTGACTTTTTTTGACTTTTTTGTGACTATTGTGACTATTTGTGACTTTGTTGTGAAGGAACCTACTAAATGGACTTAGTTCGAAAAATTTGTAGGTGGCGATGCCGTGGGAACTTCCTTAAAAGGAAAAGCCGCCCTCAGGTGGGTGGGCGGGGAGGGGGTTCGGGCATTCGAGTGGGCCTGCGGGGCATCACACCGTCAGGGCTCGGGCGGGATGGCTCGGGAGGTTGCCGAGGAACTCTGTTCACGTCCTACACATGTTTATCTATGCTCTTAACCAACGAAAAGTGGGAAATTTGCATCGGGCATGGGTTGCAAAGTGCAAAATCCATTGTAAACTGTGCTAAGTGACTTAGCACCGGGAAATTTGCAGCCAGATAAGCAAATTTTCCCAGGCGGGAGGGCGGCCCGTGCCAATTTTTTTGCGAGCGCGCGTTCGCACGCGCCACATGCGAGGCGTGATCACGTGACCGCTTCCCGCGCCCGAACACCACTCATCTAGCAAATTTGGGCGGGTCTCTTCGCAGAATACCCATTTATTTCGTGAATAATTACATGGCCGACATAGAGTGGCTTCCAGTAGCATTGAATTGAGTACAGATGTACAGGCAAGGGTTGTGCACAGCCCGCAAGTCTCCCGACCCTCACTTTCTCGCAGGCGCGCCTTCTGCTTAGTCAGCGAATTTGCAGTGGCTGTAAGCACAGCCACCTGCAAATTTTTCGGAATAAATGGACTTTTTTTTTGACCATATACAGCATTTTGAAGAATGAAAAGAGAACAGAATCTATTGAGACAACTAAGTGATGATATATCTAAGCCAAGAAGACTAGAAAATGTCTGAAAATTCAGAGATATTGAGCCATTGGTGTGATGCACACTGTCTGAGAGAAAAATCACAATATCTCTTTGGAACCTCCATCAATTTGAATGTATGTGGTATCTACTGAAAGCTATGAATTAGGTGGTTTGAACAAGACCAAAATCAGCAAGAAAAGTGCAGCCATGCCTGCAGGACATGGGGAATGATAGTAGATTCCTTCCCAAAAAGTCACATTAGTCACAAAAAGTCAAAAATAGAAAGTGTTATTTTCCTGATGCTGCTGGCGCAACAGCTTCTATTTTTCAGAGTGGCACACCTCAATCCACGCCAACCCTGCCTACCACGTATGCTAGTTCCTTGAACCTTCAGTCCCAGTGAAAACTGTGTAGGATTGGGTGGGATGGGAGCTGCTCCAGCCAGATTTGGTCAGAATTCGTCTGTCGGAATTGGGCGAAATAGGATTCTTGCCAACAATTTCATATTACATGTAACACTTCTGTAACACATTACATGGTCGTCATAACACAAGAAGTACTCATACAGCGCGATTGCATCGATAACACGCACTGCACTGCGTGCATTTGTTACATCATCATATGACGCATTGCACTGCTCACTTTGTCTTGTCAATGTAATGCGATGTGACGGTACGTACAAGTCTTGGAAGTCCTGTAAGGTACTAACCATATGCTCTGCAGCACTTCCCAAGTTGACCAGATACCGAAATCCAAGCATGCTCGGCAAGCTCACCATGCTCTAGTAAGATCTGGTACAGGTGTAGCAGATGGAGTTCGAGGACGCACTAAATGGGCATGTTCACACCAGGAGGTATGTCTTTTATATACTCTTCAGCTATGCTTGGTTTACAGGCCCTTTAGACAGACGCTTCTACCAGCACTGGTTCAAATACACCTGGAGAAGTGAGTATTCCTGTTTTATGGTCCCAGATTCTCACTGACTCCTGCAGATGGGATGAACTGGTCTTCAAATCTCCCAACAGGATTCTAACTGTGAGAACACCTCTGTGACAGGACCAGCTGACGATAACCCACCTCAAACACCTCCCTGAGAGCCATCTCCACCCCCCCTACCTGGAGAGCCAGCAAACTCTCCTCCATGGGTGCCGTCTCTGCCTCCTTCACCTGGAGAGCCAGCAAACTCTCCTCCACGAGCACCGTCTCCACCTCCTTCACCCAGAGAGCCTACAAACTTTCCTCCTTGAGTGCCACCTCCACCTTCCCCGCCACCTGCTCATCAGAATCTCTCTACCTCCCATGCGACTATTGACATTGATGCTCTCAGGTGCCTTGCTATCAATCCCAAGCAAACAGATGCCATCAAATTCATTGATCTTCTCACTGAAGCTTCGCTGGACAATCCTGTCACAAAATTAGATGATGCAGCTCTCTATAGGCTACACAATCCACCCCATGCTCAACTCACAATAGATGATGATGCTATCTGTTTTGGGATTGAAACATACTTCGCACTTGAGCACTCTGCTATCAGTGCATATGAGTCCATATGACAATCAGCAGCCCAGTGTTTCGATGGGACTGCCACAGATATTCCTAGTCATCACACCATTGAGAAGCTCATTGCTGGGTACATGGGGGTTGACTCAATTGAGCATGATATGTGTCCAGATACCTGCGTGGCCTTCACTGGCCCATATTCTTCACTTGACATGTGCCCCATATGCGGCAGAGATTGCTACAACCATATCAGACTATGCACTAGTGGGGGGAGGTCTCGCATGGCCCATCAGAAATTTGTCACCATACCACTTGGCCCACAGTTGCAGGCTCTCTGGCGTGATCCACAGCATGCCAAAGATATTGGGTATCTGCAAGAGGAGATGTGTTGCATTCGGGAACAGATGCAGGCTAGCAGTGGTTTGATTGAGTTATTTGATGACTTTTGCAAAGGCTTGGATTACCTTGAGGCCATCCAGCGGGGTGACATCAAATCAGATGACATGGTTCTCATGATTTTGCTCGACGGTGCTCAGCTCTATGAAAGCAAGGAGTCCAACTGTTGGATATACATCTGGATCGTTATGAACCATGCCCTGGACAAGCGCTACAAGAAGCGCTACATCCTGCTGGGCAGCTTTATTCCAGGTCCCAACAAACCGAAGAACATCGACTCCTTCCTCTTCCCCAGTATCCACCATCTCACTGTGCTACAAAACAAATGTTTATGCATCTAGGATGCATCTCGAGATATTACCTTCCTGTCAGACCTGTATCTTCTCTTTGTGATGGCCGATGGCCCAGGACTTGTCTACTTCAATGGGATGGTGGGACATAGCGGCCGCAATGGCTGCAGACTCTACTGTGGACTCCACGGATGCCACAAGGGCAATCACTACTATCCTGCACTACTCCTCCTGAACAACTACAACGTGGAAGGTAGTGATCACCCTGACTGCAGTCCGTATGACATCCAACAACCTGCAACATCCGAATACTTCAAAAATCTCTGTGACTTGGTCACCGCCTGCAATCCAACACAATACAAGAAACTATGCATGGAAACTGGGATTACCAAGCCCTCGATCCTTCTCGGTCTCTATCCTTCCCACACACTGGGCATCCCAGACTGCCTTACCCCCGATATCATGCATCTCGCAGGACTACTCTCAGATCTACATCTATCGTTGTGGCGCGGTACCATCGACTGTACACCCCCAGACCATGTCTCCCGATGGCCATGGGCCATCCTCAAGACCTCCAAAGCCTGGGAGACACATGGTGCACTTGTCTCGTCTGCCACACAGCACCTTCCCAGGTCATTTGATCGGAAGCCACGCAACCCTGCTGAGAAGATCTCTTCTGGATACAAGACATGGGAGTTTCAGCTGTATATGTTCTGTCTCGCACCCATGCTACTTTATGGAGTCCTGGGGGAACTGTATTGGCGCAATTACTGTAAGTTGGTTTGTGGATTTCAACTCATATGCCAGAACAACATCACCCAGTCTGAACTTTGTGATTCTCATCTTCTGCTTATGGAGTGGCCACTCGATTTTGAAGAACTCTACTGTCAGCGCTCTCCCTCTCGACTCCACTTCATTGGACCATGCATACACCAAGTCGCCCACTTGACACAGCAGACGGTCAAGAAAGGACCTCCTAGTTGCTATGTGCAGTGGGCCATGAAGCGAACGATTGGCAACTTAGGTCAAGAAATCCGACAGCCATCAAATCTGTATGCCAATTTGTCTCATGAGGGAGTCTGGCACTGTCAAGTCAATGCACTGAAGGCAATGGTACCTAGCCTGTGCCCTGACAAGCCATCCTTTCCATCAACAGCTGTCAAGCTAGATGTCGGATATGTCTTGCTCCACAAACGTGATCCACGTCCAATCTCTCCAAAAGGGCTTGCAGCAAGGGCAATCTCGCATTACTTAGGATGTGCATCCGACATCAAAATACATCGTTGGGCCCACCTGTGTCTACCCAATGGACAGATTGCCCGAACAGCATGGAGAGAGCTATGATGACCACTGGAGCAAATATGTCCGGCTTGCTTTGTGAAGGTAAGTATCCACTCATTTAAATGATCATATGCCCTAATTATATCTCGTAGTTCTTACTCGAAGGAAGTACATATGTCGCTGAGGTCCAGTACTTCACTCGCCTCAGAGTTCAAAACGAAGATCCCAGCTGCACATCTCGTTGGTTTTGGAAGAATGTCACCATCATTAGAATGTTCTCGCCCCCCGATGCAAACCTTTTCTCACTCTCGTATCAGACAGTCTTTGCATGCTGCCCTCTAGATGAGGATGTGCATGTCATCGAAGTCAAATCGATCACAGGTGTTGTCGGGATGGTGCTGCATAACTTTCAAGGATTAGGCCATTGCTTTTTTATGGTAGAGTGACCCGGGCTTGACATCGCTACATATGGTGTTCCATATGAGGGGGAGGGCGCACAGGAGGATATGGCCAACAATAATGATGACAATGAGACAGATTCCATTGATTAGTACTTAGTGTTTTTAGCTGCTGTTACAGTCCTTATAGTCCTCATCAAAATGGATGGCTTCTTGTTCACTTTTTGTGTGCCGTATCACTTCAGAATCCATAAGAAATTGACTAACTATCGTTACAACACTTCCTCTAGTTCACTCTTCCAATGGCATATCATATCAAAATTCTTATCTTTTCCCTCCCAGTCATACCACTTCGAATCCTCCTCTCGTGAGACATACTTCCAATAAATTGAGCCAGGAGGAGGTGGGCTTGGAGTGGCGAAGATACTTTTGCGAATGGGCATAGGTTTCTTGATCATAATCGCATCAGTGGCTGGACATGCCGTCGAGATGTCTTCCGTTGGTGGTGGGGTTTGGGTGTGCACTGGCACATCCGACTCAGACTCAGTTGTCGAACCTGGAGAAGGGTGCTGTGCTGCGGTTGGGACAGTGGGGATGGCTGGCCAAGGGGTGGAGATATGCTCCAAGCCTCAACAAAGGGCTAGCTTATGATTAGATAGAGATAGTCTTCCATGTACCTACCTGGATCAGACTCTGGCTCTGTCATCAAGCCAGGAGATGGATGCTGTATTATAGTTGGCCAGGGGGTGGAGACATGCTCCAAACCTTGTGGAAGTACACTATGGCTGGTTAGAGATAGCAATCTGTGTACCTACATACCTGGATCAGACTCTGGCTCTGTCATCGAGCCAGGAGATGGGTGCTGTGTTATGGGGTGTGGTGTCTCTTCCACTTGGCAGGTCGATCTTGTGCATACAGGTGGGGGGTGCTCGAACCTAGAGTAGAATGCCTACAAATCAATTGAAGACACAATATCCAAGCGTACTCACAGTGCGTCCGTCCAGTCCGTATCAGAGGGGGTTCCTGGGAGCCTGTATGGAAGAAAACAACATTTAAGTTGCGCATATTGATTGGGGTGGGTCTGCTAATATTCCGGGTCAAGAAGCTGATCATCAGAGGCAGTTAAATGGGGGCTCGTGCTGCTCTCAGTGATGGAATCACTGAGAACGGCATTGTCGAGGTTGATATCGGATGGGATATCGAAGAAATGCTGGACGGCCATGGGTAAGTCCATCACAAAGTTTATACTTAGCCAGACTTATTTGCATGAAGTCAGTGGTAGCACGGTGTAGTACGGAGGTCACGAGTTCGTGGGAAATGTCTCAAGCTGGGTGAACACCAACTGATCATTATCTCCATCTCCCTCCTTCTCGACAAAGGATGGACCCGCTTGCCAGATCACAGTCTGGCTTTCTGAGCAGGACTCCATCGAGTCTTTTAGATACCCCTGACATCTCTACGCAGATTGGGATGAGTCGCCAACAGAACCAGTTCAACACGCTCAACGAATCGCAGTCGTTCTCGCACGATAACTTCTCTTCCCATCCATCTCAGGTGTGTTCAATCGTAAAACATCTTTCATTTGGCCCAATTGATCGCTTGATTTATGTGGGGTGCATATATGCGCCATGTAGCACCAACAGAACGCCATTTTCACGTGCACACACATGATACACGGTGCAATGTATGAGACCAAGATAAATGACTTACAGAACCAGTTGACCAAGGTTACCGCCGAGCATGACACAATAAAGTAAGTAACAGATGTACCACTATCATTGTTTGACTTGTTTCTTTTCAGGGCAGCGTTTCATACCCTCGCATCTGTGCTGAAATTGCCGGATGACATGGACCCGCTGACATTCTCACTCACGGACATTGACTTGCAAACGAAAGTGAGCAAGGATAAAGGCAACCTCAGGGAAAAATACCCGAAGATCCGCTTCTGGTCAAGGTCCGACTACAAGGCTTTCGTGCTATCACCGGAAGCTCAAGGCATCGACCGTGGGAAAGCCCCATGGCTAGAACTAGAGAACGGCGACCCTGTTACAGCAAAGACACTCAAGGCCATCTGTGCAAGCGCTCGCAGTATTTGGGCTGAGCTCGTTCAACAACAGATTGTGCCACTGACATGGACCCGAATAAGTTCATCTGTGAAGGCTCTTGTGTCCAAGTATATGCTCAAGGAACATCCCCTTCTCGGCCTCGATGAGGATGGCTTCAAGCTGGAGATGCTCTGCATCAATGACTATTCAGGGTGGCGCAAGAACCACTTCACACCAAGCAGTGAACTCAAGGGCGCATCATCAACGAAAAGCGAACCAAAAGAAGAACCTAAGGAGGAGTCGAATGATACGATATCACCACTTGCTACAAAAGGTAATAAGCGCAAGAGCAACCCCGCCCATTCCATGAACGCGCATGTGAAGTGGCCAAAAGGTGTGTTACTTCATCCGATTTGTGCGGTTTGGGCTGATCACAACAATCCGAGGATGCAATATTACTACAGAATTATCAGCGGAAGAGACGCAGAGCCTAACTCTGAAACCTAGCAACACAGACATAGGTAGGGTGAACGCAAGCATAGATGGGGTGAACAGCAGTATTTATTCAGTGCTAACTTCACTGAAGCGACAGTCGATGATAATAGCGAGTCAGCGCGACCTCAGCCAGATCCCGTTTTTTCCCAGCCGCAAGACGAACTCGCGATGATGCCTGTCGTTCCCATGGACGACAGCCTATTGCTCCAACCATGCTGAAGTCCCCCCAATATTCCCCATGGTGTTTATTTACCAATGCCCCACCATAGCCATTCGTGGTCCTGATCAAATTCCATCACACGTGGTGAGGCGTCCAAGGCTGCTGGTCCATCCAGCCTGTCTTGCCATAACTCAAACAAAGAGAATGAGTTCCCACTCCAGAATCCTCTGTAAGTGTTTTTCATCACACAGATTGTGAACTGATACCGTTTTCAACTCAGTATGAATGTATTTGGTCTGAATGGAGTCACAAAGAAGGTGCCACTTGCACCTTCTCAGTCAAAGACGAACATGAACATGGAGTCGTTGACGTTGACCACCTCAGTAAAAGGGGAAAAGAAAACTAAGATGCGACCTGGCACAGCAAAAAATGCGAGGTATGTCTAGTATCTATCTCGTTACAATACTAACTATACATTTTCTAGAAACCTCTGCACACTTAGGTGGCACAAACATATCAATTCGACTGGGACGACCGAAGAATTCCGTGTGTACTGGGATGGATTGACAGCGGAGACACGAGAGAAGTATCGCCTTGAGGCTGAGCGCCTTCAGAAGGACAGAACGTGGACAAAACCATCCGACCCAGCTGCCTGCAACGGTACAATATTTTAGACGATGCAGGTGCTTCTCACTTTCATTCGTGCTTGGCTTAATGTTGTCGCAGGTGTCTCTCAATTGTCGCCTGCACCCTCCGTCGCACTGTTTCGCTGTACCCGCCATTCGCAAGTTCTCGACTGCCAACTCGATGCCTCATTCGCGCTGCTGCCCTGCTGTGGCTGCCGTTTTATCACCCGCTCTCCTCCGTTGTTCCGTTTCGCTGTACCTTCCATCCCGGGTTTCTCGACTGCCAACTCGACGGCTCGCTCGTGCTCCTGCTCTGTTCTGGCTGCCGTTTTATTACCCGCAGGTATTGGGGCACGTGTACCGTGTATAATATGGGCACGTAGTGTTAATTGTATTATTGGACTGCACCCGATGGGACTGGAATGGAATTTGTTGCATTCTGACCCAATATGTGTGAATCTGGTGAGACCAGAATGAGAGAACCCTAATCCAATCCAGACAGACGTGCACCGCTGTCATCATATTTATGCTACAGACAGAGAGGTAGCTACTATCTGCTGAGATCTGTCAGGATCGGATCATGAGTACCAAAATCCTACATCACCCAATGTCGGCCTGCCTCGCCGTGCAATATATGCGTTGATTCCAGTTCGCACCTGATCAAAACGGATATTTTGCTTACCAATCGACCCCGTCAGATCTCGCCCGACTAGAGCCGCCCTCATCCTGGTAAGTTTTGACTGGGCTTCAGTGCTAACGCATAAACGCCCACTGAGTGTGCAGTTGCAAACACGGCGCTAGGTGCCGGGACTCTGGTGGGTACTGCAAAGGCTGCGTACATGCCAACAGCGTGGCCCGCTGGAACCGTATGGGTCATGTAACCGCATATGTGCGGTCTGTGATGTCGCCCACCGTACAGACTCCGGGCGACTGGGACATAACCCATAGGATACGGATCTGCAAGGTATTCCGGGCCGTACCAAGCGACACTTCGTCGCTGCAGCCATGACATGACACTCGTAGTAAACCATTTGACGTCAGCAACTTGGAGGGAAGTACCATCCATTGGGACGGGACTGGTCGTGGAATGCCAATGAGTTGTAGAATGACACATGAATACACTCCTATCCAAGCTCATATCGATCGAGCGTTCAAGTTTTTGCCTCCAAGGGTAACCACTCCGAAGTGAGCCAGAACTCTGACGGGGAGAAGAATTCCGATCAACACTAGTCCGGGTCCGTAATTACAGAAGTTTGAATCGAAGGAAAATAACCCAAAGCATAGTACATATACACGACAGCCAACGTCGACAGCATATGCAAAAAGAAAATAGCTGCAATACAATGCTCATGCTCATGCGCTATCATGATTCATCATACAAGCTCCACGAAATTGGCCGGAAAGATGCCTTCCTTGCCATTAACTTTCCCGGTCCACCTGTAAACAGTCACCACAACCAGTGGAGTCGTCAGCAGAAGTACGACAAGAAATAAAAATGACTTACCAGTCGTCCGTGCTATCACTCTTACGAGTGACAACGATAACATCTCCTTTCGAGAAAGTAAGATCACCAGCCTACCCCCCACCAGATCAGAAAGAAAGTTTAGCCCGACGAGAAAGCGATCACGCAAACAAACACACACGCACCTCGACGGCATGAAAGTTAAAAAGCGCAATAGCGCGAGCGACTCCCTCCTGAGGAGAAAGTGGTTGAGTCAGTTCTCGCTTAGCATCGATGACAAACGGCTGCTCGAGACCATCCGCTGCTTTTCCAACAGGAAGAGAATTCTGATAATGCGGAGGAACATCAGAAAATGGGTCATCATAATTCGGCACAGTGTTTGGCGGTTGATGCGTGGTGGAGGGAACACTAAGTGAACGGTAATGTGAAACTGCCAGTCCCCCAATGAAAAAAGTCTCGTAATCAAGTAAAGAAGACGCACGGTCATTGCCAGATGTTGATCCAATGTGCCGCCTATCCAAGCTAATACTCTGCGAAGCGCGATGTCGATCCAAAGGGCGAGACGACAACGTCGAGTCAAAAGTCTCGGGAGGAGGGCCCAAGTCACCGGTGGTGTCAGAGTACGAGCTATAATCATTTGACGTGACCCAGTGTCGTGGAGGGAATTCTAGACCTTTCTTCTTGCCAAAAAGCGAAGAACGCTGACGTCCTCCTGTGGGTGTGACCTGAGGCGAGGCAGGTTTACCGCCGGGAGCCGTAGTACCGCCACTGATATCAAACGGGTATGAAGATGGTTCATCAACACGGTCATCGATCCATCTTCTCGTTCCCGGAATGCCAGTACACGCTTCGAGAGTCCTGACTAGGGAAGACGCCCACTCTGGACGAGGAACGGCACCACTAAGAAGCATCTTAGCCGTGACATCTTGTTTGTACGCAAGCGCATTGGCATCCTGGCGCTGGACGATGACAGACCCTTCGACGGAGACTCCTCCGAAGAGCCCCCTTGTCTTTGAGTAGCTGTACCTAAAGAGAGTTCGATATATTATATCGAGCAACACGCGCAGTGATGATACTACACAATACGTACATTGCAGCAACTTTTCCACTAGAGTTTACGGAACCAAGTGCTTCGCCGTTGCGGCCTAGAGGCCCAATGGCGACACTCAGATTTCCACCAAGCGTTAACGACCCGGAAGACATGAACGATTTCTAACGTTTCATAAAATCCGTTTAGATGAGTTTCGTCCGCATATATGTGTTACCGACACCTACAACTGCCTGGGTATGGACTGTCAGTTAGGTGAGTTCGTGGCGCAGACATTGATGGAAACTCACAGAAGTTGAGTTAAGGATAATCAAGAAATCCGTCAATTCTGCACCAACCTGGCCTCCTACACCCAAACCGGCACATCCAATTGCACTGGGGGCAGACCAGTCTGAAAAAAAAAAAGCGAGATCGTTTGGATGGGGCTAGTACAGAACTGAAGAGGAAGGGACCTACTTCCATCACCTAACTTTGCGATGACGATGCCAGTGCCGGCCCTGGCTGAGAATAAGAACCCGGCCTTGAAGACAGTAAAGATAGCAAATCCTTTGGCATTCTCAAGTACGTTTCGCGGGATGACCTATGTAGTAGCAAAAGAGCGTTAGCAGTGGATCTTGCAATGAAAGCGAGCCCACACGAACGCCATCGAGACCGTTATTCTTACTGTCGACGAAGGAGCTAACTGCAAGAGACGTGTGTCACGGGTGTCTGCTTATTATGACGTATGTGTGTGAGAGATGGGTGGGCTCTCTGACTCACAGATTCTGGCTGCTTTCTCGCATTCCTTGGGCAATGTTTGTGGTAGGGCAGTATTTATAAGCTTCATCATGTATCGATTGGCGTGACGGGGGAAGGATGGCCACTAGGACGCTACCACTCTGTGACGAGTCTGAGAGACTTTCGAGTAGAGCGGCACCACCGCAGTAGGAGCAGGACATGCAAAGGCAGTACTGTCCCCTTGCGCAGTAAGACTAGGACTCATGGTAACACGGCACAATCCGACTCGAGCTCACGAAAGCGGTATTCGCGTCCCAATCGCACACGAATATAGGAAAACGCAACTACATATCCTTCGTTGCTCTAGGAAGATTACAGTAATTTCCTAGTCGTCCTATGAGACCACGTTTGTCTCAAGTTTGTTTGGGTTTAGACTTCTTTACACGACAAGAGTCGTAGCATAGCCACCTCTGGCTTGCCTGTGCGTCATTGCTCACGTCGTCGCTGCAGGCCTGGCAGTTTCAGGGGCTAGGCTGAACCCTCCTGACCGGTTCCCTCTTAATTTCCCGTAGTCTTTATCTTCTTTTCTGACCGGTTCTCCCCATCTTGCTAGCGTAGCATTTTTGAAGAGCCCAACCCTCCCTCCCGCTTTTTACGCATCCTAGAATAGCGTCCATCTCGCGTGTGGTTTTGCGTTTACTGATGTATTTGTATGGCCGTTTGTCCTACCCTACGGTGCTCACATTTTCGAGTGCTATGCTATGTAGGGCTGTGCTTATTGCGGCCCCGGTTTTTGCTATTCTTGCCCTCCTATCTGAAGCCGGTCAGCCAGTCATAAACCAGCCCTTCCTACGAAGGTCCACATCCACTCCGATGACTGACTTGAACGCATACGTTGAACCCTCTCTTGAACAATGCAGGTGGCTGCGGAACCTGACTCGAGCTTGTGGCAGCGATCGGTTGGTCTGTATCGATAGGAATCGCTCACCGGGGTTTACTACAGTGGATCGCGATATTTAACACGGCTTCAGCTAGCTTCCGCGATCGGAACGTCACCCGAACATACATATCGCACAGCAGAAAAGCTCCCGGCCCCCAATGAGGCCTGAGGCAGGACACTGTTCGGCGTTCCGTGGGTGTCGACTGCATCCGTGTCCTCACAGCCACCTAGAGAATGAGACTATAGGAGCCTGCACCCGCAACCGACTGCACCCGTTGCACAGATTATGCTGCACAGCCTTTATGGTCATTTGTATGGGTGCGTTTTTCGGCAGATTGATGCAATCCCTTGTCGCGACCGGTCCGCTGCACGTTGCCTACAAAAGAAGGGCGTTGATGGTCCATCATCCTACCCCATCACGTTTCCTATCCCTTCATCCCGTTGTCTTCGTTGTCCTAAAATCGCGGGTGCACATCCCAAGCAATGTCTCTCGATAGCCAAGGCATCCTCGCAGCAGTAACTCTCGTCATCTATCTCCCAATACTCTTTCTCGCGGTCCGCATCGCGATCAAATATGGACTCCAAAATTGCTGGGTACTTCTCATCATATTTAGTTTGAGTACGTCTGCATTTTCCCGTATTTTTCTCATCGACTAACCATGCCATACCATAGTACGGATCATCGGAGGGGCGTTACTAGTAGCTGCCGAAGAAATAACGCCGGCTGTGACTGGCCTCTATATTGGAGGATATGCCTTGGAGGCATCTGGTTTATCACCGCTATTATTGTCCACCCTCTCGTTGTTGCAGCAAACGTGGGTCTGCCCTGCTAACCATTTCAATGAACAAGGCTGACTAACTCGTGCACAGGACACAGACTCCGGATGGACAGTTGAGATATGGCCGCGTCTTCAGGTTACTGCACTTGGTGGGAATGGGTGCCTTGGCTTTGACCATCGCCGGCATCTCAATCAGCTCGTCATCGGGAACTACTATGCGTCGTGTAGGTGTACTTCTTTTTGCTGCGCTGTGCATCATACTTGTCGTCGGTGCCCTTGCCCAATGGGCTAAAAAGCAACAGGTCATGAAATACCGCAAACAGGTATGTCATAATAACCTCTCCGTAGATAACTCCTTTTAATTCACTTTGCGATACTTGAAAACAGCTCTTGATCGCTATTTCGGTTGCTTTACCCTTCCTTGCCGTCCGCACACTATACAGTGTGCTCTCCACGTTCTCGTCGAGTACATTCATCGTCACAGACTCGACGACGACGACCACTACGTCAGATGGCGCCCTTGCCAAATTCAACTTGGTCACTGGCGAATGGCAGATATTCTTCGCAATGGACATGCTCATGGAATACATTTGCGTACTTATTTACGTTTTCGCGGGCTTGAAGCTGAAGCTGGACCAAGACTATGAGCTGCAGGACCATGATGAATACCCGCTTTACCACTCCAAACCCTACTAGAGCTTGTAACATTACGACCTTGCAGAGCATTACGACGATTCGATGGCCGACGACCATACCATACATTGTAAATGTTACTGTCACTAGGGATAACATATATATTTGTTTTATGTAGTAGAGGATATCCGTCAGCGATGTCAGAGCTGCAGAGTCAAGCCCTTCCCATGCTGCCTCTAAGGGCAGTCGCCAACGGGTCTGGGAAGCGCTCCGGCTTAGTTGAGCTCCTTGGACTGTCCGTCTTCCCTCCAAACTGCATACCCGTAGCCATGCGCAACGTTGCTGGCAGAGAGTTGCTCCGTTTCCTATGCCCGAAGCCGAGTGGAGGTTTGTGAAGAAAACCTGCGAACTTGCCACGCGTGGACAACCAACGTGATTACATAATACACAATTCAACCCCTATCTGCAATTCTGCATGAGCGTCAACGACTCGTTACGTATACCAGACCATTTAATGACCCTTATAAGGAAACGCGCAGGCATTGTCAGGCGCCTCGAAAATTTGCGACAGGGAATGGCGATCTTTGCAAATACGGAAGAGTTCAAAGATGTAGTAGTTACTCGACAGCGATACGAGGGGTGGGAACTGGAATGCTGCCCAATAGTCCACTTACGAGTGTGTAGATAGGAAGTACTCGCAATAGTTTGATCTTCGGGCCCCTCGCTTCCCCGTCACACTGGAATTCGACTAGCCCTTCATGATAGGTTAAAAATCGATGCACGCGTACTGTCCTAAGGTATAGGTACGAGTAAGAGTGAGTGTAACACGTGTAGAGCGACAGAGTTCATAAGCAACAGGTCGACATCGAGTGTGCAACTGGTTGGTTGACTTTGACGGATCCGTCAGCATTTGTAGCACTACCTGGCGAGCCAGCGACGTCCGCCTGCGAGTCGATTAACCTCGTTTTGCACGCCCTGTTATAGGGTTATACAATGTGACAAAGAGAGAAAAATACAACGAACCGTGCGAGAGTGAAAAAAGCCTCTTCGACGCCGTCGTTCAATTTGGCGGACGTTTCCATGAACCCGATACCCAATTCCTGGGCTAGTGCCAGCCCCTGCTCTTTGGTGACGACACGTTTGTCGTCCCAGTCTGATTTGTTACCGATGAGGATTTTGTTTACACCTTCTGACGCGTGCTGTTCTATGTTGGCGTACCACGTGCGAATGTCTGTTTAGGGCATCTTGTTTGGAGAAAATTCAAAAGATAGCTGTACGGCAACTTACTATTGAATGAGCGTTCGTCTGCGACGTCGTAAACGAGCAGGATGCCCATAGCGCCGCGATAATAAGCCGTTGTGATGGTTCTGAATCGTTCCTGACCAGCGGTATCCCACTACAAATTCCTATGTAAGTTCGGCAGCGTAAGATGCGCACGACGGAATGCACTCACGATTTGAAGTTTGATTCTCTTTCCATCTAACTCAATCGTGCGAATCTTGAAGTCGATACCGATGGTCGTGATGAAAGATGGAGTCCATGCGTCGTCGCAGAAGCGGAGAAGGAGACAGGATTTGCCAACACCTGTTAAAGGAGCATGAGATGGTCAGACCTGTAAGGGGGGGGGAGGGGAATACTCACCTGAGTCTCCAATGAGAAGGAGCTAAGAAGGTGTTAGTATGTATTTTGTGACAGGATAACCGAATACAAGTGGCGTACCTTGATGAGAAAATCGTAGTGTGGAGGAGGCATTATTCTGCAGACGCATTTGGTTTCAAGTCCTGTGCAACCCGTCCGCCGGCTGACATAATCAAGGAAGAGCACGGGGTCCCACGGCTCAACCCACCCTGGACACACCCGCATGAGGGCATTCCCACAAGAGACGCCTTGCTTCGCTCTGGCAGTAGAGATGTTGCATATCTGATATTTCAAGCTGCAAATTGTGGCGTCGGTGTCTCCCCAAGTGACCCCCGGGCTCCAGTGCCATTTTTTGAATTGCTTTTGGTTCACGCCGCCGCCATTCTTCGCATTGCTTTGGGGCATGTCTCCATGCCACCATCAATGTAGCTCATACGGTATAGTGAGCACTGTGACATATCTAATATTGTAGCATCTATGACAATATCTACGAGGAACATCCCAAATGCACTTCAAACATTTGACTGGGGCTCAACGAAAGAAGGAAATACACCACTTGCAATTCACAACTAAACTAGCAACACAATAATTTAAAAAAAGCTAATGAGAAAAAAATCCATCAGACAGACACCCAACTCGCTGGTTCTGGTTCACTGAACTGTAAGCAGCCCAACAAAGCACAGAACCAAACGTCCTCAAGACCCCGCCGGAGCGAAAGGCCATGTTCTCTGTCGAACGAGTAGGCGCAGATGTCATCGAGTGGATTTGAAGGATGTGGCATGTGTAAACATGCGAGACTCGAGTTAGTTTCTATAAAATAGATCCTAGCTGAGTATGTTCTGAGGAAACAGGTATGTCGGGGTGGGGTTTATATACGTTTCAGAGGTGGTCCGTGCGCACGGACACGTGATGTCTTTAGGGCTAGTATGTAGTATTGGAGGCCAGGGGCTAAGGATAGCATGTGAATTGTCTATGCAAGTTCGCAAGTCCTAAGTAGCTACGTCATCAAAGCACCATCTCTTCGAACGTGATATTGGTGGTCACTTTTGGATCACATTCCATCCCATTGTTCGTACAGATAAAGAGTGCGATAGGGGCGGTAGAACAGGATGGGCTGCAGTTTTGGTTGTTCGTGCAGGTCATAATAGTACCCAACCGAGGAATTCGCTGCTATCAGTCATCTTTCTGCAAGATGACAATATTTGGGTGGGTCAACACTGTGCAAGGTCAATCAGGATGTCCAGAGGGACATAGGTCCAATGCCTCAGGAGACAGCTCACTTGCCTCGTCTCAAGTCATGCATCGCAGCTTGTTTCCGGAACCGCCTAAGAGGTCACAAGCAGATTTCCGAGAGTTACGCAGCTCCCCCTTGAGACAGAAGGCAAGGTGGTGGAGCGATGAGCATGTCCAGAGGGACATGGCTGCAATGCTGAAAGGACGCACGCTCGTCACCTACTTGTAATTCATCATCCCAAGTCTTCAGAAGGACACATTCCAACTGGTGTTTTAATCCGCAGAGCTACGAGCTTGCTATCTACTTCGGCGATTTCACTTGTGATCAGGTTCTGTTATGAGATATCACCATAATGCAATTAGCCGTAGGGATTTACTGAGCAGAGGAACATGTAAACGTTCCTTGTCCCGGTTGAATCGATGATCCGCTGCGACTATCGTGAGAGCTCGTCCTTGCCAAGTAATAGTTCCGTTGTGCTCAAGCTCTCCCGCGGCATCCTCTCGGCCTTCCTCATCCTCTCGGCCTTCCTCATCCTCTCGGCCTTCCTCTTCCCAGGATCAACCGCCAGAGCACCTCCGCGAGCCAAGCTCTGTACTTCCTCCCCCTCTTCCCCTAGGTTCGGCGTACTCCTTGTGGGCAACCCCTGCCTTAATCAGGGTTGCGCGTATCCACACCCCGTACCTGCCATCTCCTCATTTTCTTCCTGTCCGAACTCCGAACCGTTGCATTGAATCCGCGGAGAAGGCTCCCTCTGGTTCGGGTACTTCAGCACCGAGGAGCTCTCACTGCGGGAAGTGAGGTCAGTTTTTTTTCAGTGACTGAGACGCTGATATCATATATTTAAGGGAGAACTTTGAGTATATCGAGTACATATTTCACTAATTTTGCTCAGTTTATTACTAAACTAATGGGTCGATGAGGGGCACTTCAACCCCTCCACCTGAACCTGGGCACCCATATCTTCGAGAAACGCACAGAGACAAGTCATGCAAAGGCTTTCTCTCATATCATGGAACATCGACGCCTTCTCCTTGCGGGCCATCTCACGCACCAAACTCATCCTCAGCCATATCCTCGAGGGACCGAAATCTCCTAATATCATCTTTTTCCAAGAAGTCACGCCCGATGTTCGCACCTCTCTCCTGAAGGATGCGAGAGTCCGTGCTGCCTTCCTGGCGACTGATGCCGAGGACCAAACGTTGTCCGAGAAAGTACCCTTTGCAACCATGAGGTTGCTGTCCCGCGCGCGGTTTACCTCTGGCCTGTATTTGCAGAAGGAAGATGATGGGATCGAGGGAGGGGAAAAGTTCATGCTCGGGCGCATCTCCCGAGTAACACTCCCGAGCAAGTATGGGAGGGATGCGCTCTGTGTGGAGATCATCCCCTCCAAGCGCGCCGGGCACATTCTTCCGTCTCATCAACGTGCACCTTGACTCGCTCGGGGATACGCCACATTACCGCGCCCAGCAAATGGAGATACTGGCCAACACCCTGCGCAAGCCAGGATGCGGTGGCGGGATCGTTGCGGGTGACTTCAATGCCATCAGCCCCGAGGATGATGGGCTTGTCGACAAGAACAAATTGGTAGATGCGTGGGTCGCATTGCATGGGAGGGGAGACCCTGATGGAGCTACGTGGGGTGTTGGCGTGGAACAGCGGGACGGACTGGGGTCAGGCAGGTTGGACAAGGTTGCAATGATGGGCTTAAAGGCTAAGGAAATGGAAGTCCTGCGCCCTGGTCCTATTGAGGTGCCCAGGCCGGGAAAGATACCTCTCGAGATCCCTTGGAGTGACCATTGCGGCCTGAGATGTACCTTTACCATCTGAATACTGTCAAGTAGGTTTGGGCTGGTATCCTCATTGTCGAGTCCCTGAGACATCGACATTTCAGTCGTGACAGATATATGTTCTTTGGACATCGCTCAGTTCGCGTGGTTATGTAGAGTAGTAAAGTGTTGCTATGGGATTTAAATACAGGGGGAAGCGATGCGAGGGCGGGTGGGAGCGCCTCGCAGGGCGGACGTACCGGCGGGTTGTGCTGACGCGCTCGGGACCCCGGGAAGTGACTGAGAGCAAGACAACTACGATCATGATGCCAACCTCAGTCCCATTTGGACACTAGGACACAAAGTGGGGTAGGGGAAAGCATGACTTGATTGGTATTCAATCACACCGCCTCCCATTGAAATGAGTTCTCTGTGGCAAGCCTGAAAGGCAGAAGGGGAACTATGTATGCAAACGAAAGATTTGCGCTAAGCAAGTTGGCATCAGTCAAGTGATCTTCCTTTGTTTCAACGATCTGCAGCTCGCGTAAGGTGACGCGGCGAGCACCAATAGTTAGACGCATCGCGGCACGTCCGATGGTCCGTTCAAAACACCGTTGGTGACCGGAGTAACTAAATAGCATGTTAGCAGAGTTGTCGCGTGGCGGGAAAGGAGCCCCGTCCGTTTGCCATATATAGGTTCCCTCCTATCTTCAGAAAACTTGGACTTGGAGGTGGAAGCTATACCGTTGCGTCACATGGAGGTATCCAGTTGACTCACTATGACTCCGATAGATTATATGACAATACTACGAGTGCCTCCTACACTCCTTCATTCCTCCTTTACAATGTCTCATGTCACCCCGCCGAAATCTGAATTCCGTGGTGCATCCAGTGGTAAGCTCTAAGTTGTGTTAGCCACCCGTTGACCCATCCATCGATCCTAGGGTGTAGATGCAGTACCCGCTAAGGGTCCACTCATGTTGAGCCGTGTCTTCGTTGATGACTATCAGAAAGGTAGGCTCTAAGCTCTGTCATCTACCCGCTGACCCACCCATCCATTCCCGTGCGTAGATGCAGTACTCGTCAAGGGTCTACGATTTGCATCTGGTATCGATAGCCATCGAAAAGGTAAGCTCTAAGCTGCGTCAGCCACCCGTTGACCCACTATTGATTCCCATATGTGGACGCAGTATCCGCTAAGGGTCTACGATTCACATTTGGTCCAGACTCTATTGATGACTACAAGGAAGGTAAGGTCTAAGCTGTGTTAGCCACCCGCTGACTCACCCATTCATTCCTGTGTGTAGATGCAGAACCCACCGAGGAGGGTCCGCCCGAACAAGACATTGCGGTAGCGTATGCGGATCTCCTCTCTGTCCTCAATCGTTGACAGCCGCCGGTCACGTCAAGTGTTCTACAGGAACTGGAGAGGGTTATACAGGAGATTTATGCATTGCGCCAAGACATCTCTGCGCTATCGTGCAAAATTGACGAATACTTCAGACGTGTCGATAGCATACAAAACCACTCCCATCCCGAGTATTCCCAAATAATAACCATGTCGTCCTTGCTTTATATGGCCAACTTACATAACTTGACTAGCTGTTGGTCTGTCCCAGCTCAGGGACGACGAGCTGGATCTGCATGTACAACATTTCATACTCTAAGACGACGGACTGGGACACGAAGCTTTCTTCCCTACTGTCTTTTATTGGTTCAACCTAGTACAGTAATAAGCAGTACTAGCTAGAATGTATGTATTTACGTGTGCCATTCTACAGCCTATTCACATTCCTCACAATTCAATCTGTCCCAGTCCCCCACAGTCGCGCTGAATAGTTACGACAAGAGGTATTGTCACGACTGCGTCGGAGACGGTGTTGCTTGGTACGCCCCATAATAACCTGCAGATCCATATCCTGTGGGATATGGCCCAGCCACAGCAGCAGGAGCCTGTGTAGTGGCTGACATTACAGACCGCATATGAGGCGGCAATGCCGTTGCGGGGACATAACCCGTACCAGGCGCGGGGGTTCCTGCGGGCCACGCTGCTGGCGCATATGCGGCCTTCGCAGTAGCACCCGCCGCAGTCCCAGCAGCCAACACTGTGTTCGCGACTGCACGTTGACCGGGCGTCTGTGCGTTAGCACTGAAGAAACTAGCGTATGTGGTGGGCAGGGTTGGTGTGGGTTGGGACGCGCCACCTTGAGCAGTGGAAGTCGTTGTGCCAGCAGCAGCAGCGGCCTGGGCCTGAGGAGTGTACTGGTACCACGAGTAGGCATACTGTTGTTGTCCCGTCGGATTATAATGCTGACCTGGGTAATACTGGGAACCTGCCTGTGTCGGCCCTGACGATGTCTGGGGAGCGTACGCATTGGGGTAGTAGGGTTGCGGAGCTTTATATTGATACCCAGGGCGGAAGGGTGCGGCGTAGTTGTACGAGTAAGCCGCGTAGGGCTGGGTCGACGGGGTGGCCGTCGTTGCGGGACCCGTCGTAGTCGGCGCAGGAGTGGCCGCGGCAGGGGGGTTAGATGGGACGGAAGTTGCGGTCGACTTAATATAAAGGGTCGAGTCGTCGCGTAGGGCGGTAGATTGGGTAGACGGAAGAGTGCCATTCCAACCGGGGGTCGGGGCTGTGGGTAACGTTCGGTGAAGCTTGCGGAGCACGGAGGCAGATGGGACCAGCGGCGGAGTATCGTTGCCCGATGACCTCGGCCGTAGCGATGCGAGAACGGCGAGCGAATCGAAGATGCCTTGTGCTGTAGTAGGACATGTTAGCAGGCAGGGCACATGTGATCAGGGGGGAAACAGACCAGTTTCCCACTCCTCTGAACCTTCCTCGACTGGAGTGAACCCGCCAGGCTTTGTCAAGCGTTGGATCTGGAGCTCTTCGAGCCGTTTCAGGGCCCGCGCGTTGCGCTCCAACAATTCCTGAACAGCACCCTCGACCTCGAGGCTGCCGAGAGCGTCTTTCAAGAGTCGTATTTGGTCCTTGGAGAATAAACCCTCGAATGAGTCCTCGTCCTCTAGGACTCCGTTACTTAGGGAGGGGTCGACAGTGTGCGTAGTGCCGGCGTCCGGACTATCCGATACCGGCGAAGATACATTGTCCTCGTTACTATCGGTTGACGAGCTCGAGCACTCCTCCGACCATCTCCTCTTGCGCTCCTCCCAGCTACGATAGACTTCGCCCAAAGTCCATCTGCCGACTTCTACACCGTCTTGTTCGAAGGATGGGCCAAAGCTAGCATAAGGGCCGTAGTCCAAGAAAGAACCACAGCTCACACGACGTGGCCCAGGAAGTTTTTGTTTTTGTCCTGGTGGCTTCTTGGCACCGTAAGTACCTAACGTTGTGGGCGACGGCTTTGCCTCTGCGGTATATCCTTGTGGTGGCGTAGTCAAAGGGTCGACGTTGGATGGCGCGGGTAGAATTGCAACTAATTCTGCGTTTGCAGTCTGAAGATCGGTAATGGCTTTCTCGTCAGAGGGAACGAGGTCGGAGCTAAGTGACGTCCACCATGTTGATCCAGATGGGAAGCGCTGCATCAGCGCGTATCTGCATTTCTGGTGGTGATGAGGCGGTTTCTTCCAATGGGAGGGTTCGAATTCGCCGTTTGCAGGTGATTCGGGGACATCGGAGAGGATAGTTTCGATATCGAGGGGTAGTGGGACGGAGTGGAAGGATGCCTGGTCAAGGAGAGACTGTGCTAGGTTGCAGAAGCGAAGTTGCTGTGTTGCAGGGGAAGACGTCCGCGAGCGGGGGTTATATGATATGGGGAAGAGGTTTTTAACGGCAGCCTGAGCGGATGTCCATATGTGAGGGGGAGAAATGGCGAGAGAAGAAAGTACATACGCGGAGTAAACGAAGTGGGTGCTGGGATGATTCTCTGAGCAGTGCGCGCAGAGAGTAAGTCCCCGACTGAGACTTGGATGTAGATGGCTCGGAGAGGCTAGAGGACGGTAAGGGGAACACACGATCCAGCAAGCCTTGGGTGTCGACACTGCAGACGATGAGTGACAAAGAAGGGATGGAAGGGATGATGTGACATACAGCTCGAGGATGTCGAGTATTTGCTGGGCGTCGGAGGCGCGGATTGGGACGTCTGCGGCGAGGTCGAGCTCAGGCAAAGCTCGGATTGGGGGTTGTTCGTCGTCGTCTGGGATTGCCTCTTCTTTTATGCCGTTCTCGGGGTGGTGCTGCTTGAGAGGTGGGTGATCGCCGCTGTCTGCAAGCGATACGCGTTTGCGCTTCTTTGTGGATTGCTTTGGACGGGGTGGGGCCGAGGCAGCAGGATCAGGCTGTTTGTCCTTTTCGTGAGCAGCGGCTGAGCGAGTCGCACGGGCCATTGCAGCGCAACTATTCTACTAATTGGCTTTGAATTGGCTAGGATTTGTTGTGTTGCCGAGTCGAGTCGCGTCGCGTCGATGATCCTACTCGAATATAGCTTTTCCGTTTCGCTGGGATTCACGCGTGAGTCTCACTCGGGGCTGACGTTGGCAGCCAGAGCCAGTCCCCCTTTCAGTCGCCGATCCAATCCCTCCCCCTTCGCTTTCCATCTCCGACCCAAATCTCCATTCGTCCTCTCTCCGATGGCCACGCAGCACCTATGGCGAGCCCAGCTGCGCTCATACCCAGCCAACGGGCACACCGCGTTTCTCCCCCAGATCCGTAAGGTCGTGCTCGAGTTCTGCCAGCACTATCCATCCTCAACCAACACCCGCACCTTCATTTCAAACCACCTCGAACGCGTCGCACGCCAAAACCCTCACTATCGAGTTTGTCGTCAGGCAGCGCAACGGTCATGAGCCCATAGCACGCGGCTTTTATGGTATATCCATTGTACTCAACAACCCCCCGGTTAGCTCACTCGCCCGCCTAGCGAACGGCCGTGACAAGGTCATTCCACTTAACAAGCTGGAAGTGACCGGCATCGAGAGAAAAGTCGAGCTGCTGATGGACTCTTCCGGTGCAAAAATCAGACCGCTAAAAGGAGCACGGACGGTGGAGAGTACCACCGAGTCTGCCAGGGGAGTGTGGAGTGGACTGCATGTCGACACGCCATTCACCATATAGTCGGACCTGTACGTATCTATATATCGCTGGCATTCTTTCTATACACTACACCCGTTCGGAACGACTTCGCTAATGGACTCGACCCACCGGCCGAGCAGCCCGGAAGAGCGAATTAAAAATAATGTGAAACCTGTGCCTCGTTGCACTAGTGTGTCTTGTCTTGTCACGAAACACGCCTTCGCCACCTTGCAAATGCCCCGCCCAGCTTTTTGAGTATCTTCATCTTCCGTCCCTGGCTTCCAGCCCTCTCTACACGTGGAGCACTCATATACCTCGAGACCTCTCGCACCCATGGTTCCTGGCTTCCCCTCGTTCTCTACGACGATCATGTCCACTGCCTCATCCTCAAAACCCATCGTCGTAAGTCCCTCATTAACACTGGTGTCTTCGAGAACACACGTACCTTCCTTTCCTAGTATCCAGAGTTTGAAAAGCCCGCATCTCCGAAGAGCGACGAAATCCTGCGAGATTGGCTTGATACGGAAACAATCGTGAATGTAAGCTCCCTGCCGTCCCATGGGTCCCGATCATAACGCCCAACCCAATTCCACTTCACTGCTCAGCCCACTCCGGACCTTTCCCCAGTCACTACGCTTAGCGATCTCGCCGTGAGCTCGCCTCGCCATGTCAACACCCGGCCCCACTGACGTCCATCGCCAGGACGTCATCCCGGAAAAGGACGAGTATCGTGCGATGCCGCACAGCCTGCGTCGTGTCCTCGTCAGTCCCGTTCTCTCTCGTATTGTACCATGCCTTGCTCAACCCTCCCTTGCCAGACTCCCCCCCAAGAAGATGACGAGCATGCTACCCGCCAACGTAGCGTTCTCTTCGACTCTTCCGTTTCGCCTCCCTCGTCACCAACTTCCCCAGCGTCTCCGTATTTCAGACAGAAATGGCCGCCAACGCTAGATCATCCCACCAACAACGGCGTCTCCCGTGCTAGGCAGAGCGTCTCTTCCATTGGCTCTTGCTCCACCGTGCAAACCCGGACCGCACCCGTCAAATCTATCTTGACGAGGCACGATTCGGGCATATCAATGGCAACGACGAAGACACGACGAACAAAAAAACGCTCTCCACCGTCGGTCAAATTTGTGGACCCTCTGACGGGGCACAATAATGACTCAAGACTTAGCTCCCCACCATGCTCTCCCCCATTAACGGCTTCATCGTCCAGTCGACGCAAGCTGACACCTGCTGAATGGTTTATGAAATGGTGGAGGAGAAAGCCAAATCCACCCCCACGACCGACGATATCTGGACCATATCGTCTGTCGCAAGCAGCATCACTGGCAGAGTCGCGCGCCAAGTCCCGGAAACCGGAGCCAGGGAAGCTTAAGCGTCTTTGGCTACGCGTAACCAATGCTACAGGATAGCACGGGCTGGCCGCAAGTGAGGGGTTTTTGCGGTCGTGGTGCTCCCTAGCCGCTAACGCCTCATGCTATCCACCATACGCGCTACTCACGCATCTTCACTATGAACTCTCAAGGCCTTTCTTCTGCGAGGCTGGGTATGGCTATGTTTGGGGCCATGCAGCTTCTGCGTTGTTAAGCTTTAAATCCGCAACCATCCGTGGATCGTCTGGTTGTGATTAACCGAGCCGCGGGACGCTCGTGCTAAGTTATGGATGCATAATCATCCATCGCTCATGATATATGCACATGCCACGTACATAAATGTCATCATCATCGCATCTTCACGATAATGCAACGCACGCACGCACGCACGCACATATCTGTAGTCTTACTTGACATCACTCACTGACTGTTCGCCAATAGGCTCTTACATGTATTGACGATAGTCGAAGTAGCCGAGTGAGATGATCATGAATCCGCCGATTGTTGTCGAGCTTTTTCTGCCTCCCAGCGTGCTCGCATGCGCATAGCCCCTTCGTAGCGCGAACGTACGAGAGGGGAAGCAAACTGCATCGATAAGGGTTGCAGATGAGGAGGAATATCTCCCTCATTCCGAATGACCTGATTTCGCAACAGACATGCATTTACCTTAGACCACGTAAGTCGTTGTTGAGGGGAAATACACGTACAGAACCGATAGCAAGGAAAAACGAAAATGTTGCTGCACTGCTGATCATGTACTGAGAGAGCGTAGCCAAGAATCCTCTTGGTCCTGCTCCGTTTCTGTCAGGTGTCATTGGTTTGTTAACAAGCTGGAATTGAGGCCCACTGGACAGGACATTGGACTGCTCACCTGAGGATGCTATACGAACCGAAGATGAATCCAATCGTCAGACCGACGCCTCCTCCCATGAGGGCACCCATCCTGAACAAAAAAGTGGATCCTTGGCTAGACTAAGGTGAAATGTGCACGGAGACATACTTTACTGCACTGAGTGTCAGAAGACTTGCGTTTCGAGAAACGATCCATATATTTACTCACACTTCTGCCATACTGAAGGCTCCTGCATGTGTCGCACTGGTGTTGCCATATGTCTGAGTATACACGGGGTGAACGGGCGACTGAGTGTTGTTGACGGAAGAAAAGTGTGGTGTCGGGTGGAAAGCTGTTTGACCAGAGGTTACGGCACAATATGGCTCATCGACATCCACCAGCGTTTCCCCATGCTCGACAAGCTCAGATCAGTGGGTCTTGCATTACTTTTACACACGATTTCATCTCTGACTGCATTTCAGTCCGCGCAAACCAGAGGGATTTATTTCATGTAGTTTCGTTGAAGGAGCAGGTGGAAAACGTGCTCCGGTCTTGGCTTGGTAGGGCCCTCACTACGTCATACATCGCCGTCTAAGCCACTGCTGAACGCGCGCAGGGACCAGACGGTTGATGCGATGGGACAAGGAAGTCGAGTTGATGGTAAAGCTGTTGTACTATGGCCTGTCCATGAGTAGAGGTGCGTTCTCGCGTGTTAGCGACTAGTGTTTTGACCCGGTCCTCTCGCAGCATTACAGACCCTTGGTGAAGAGTATACAGACATTTGGGAACGTTCTACGACAACCGGACGATCCCCGTCCAGGGTTACGCGGATAGCACTAATCCTTCTGCCAACCCTACCCTCTTACATTTATGCCAGGTCGGAGTCGCACTTGGATAAGCTGCCTCCCAAACTCGCCTGGATGTTGCGAACGTTGCCCACGGTTTTGGAGGTGGCGTCTGATGTGAACCTGGCCATATTTTACCTGAGGGGAACATATTACGACCTTATCAAACAGATGCTGGGTATTCGGCATGTCGGTTGTCATTTCATTATTCTGCAACACAGACCGAGGATGACTATTTTCCTTGTGCATAGATTTCGTCCACACCAGAGAATCCGCACGTCCGACCTCCTTCGTATTCGCTTCTTGGAGTCCTCATCATGATCAGACTGCTTTATCGACTCACTGCTCACCTCCGGAGTAGGTTATCGTCGGAGCCATCAGCAAAAACACGTGCTGCAGATGTTGGTGCACGCGAAATGTTTATCGATGACCGACCCGTATCTACCATGCTCGATGCAGGTGATTTTGATGCACAGCAAACCAAGTCAGCAGAGGATGACCAGAACACGGTCCTCGACATTAGTTCATTGCCGCCTCGAGTGAGGGCGGCGAGGACATGCACACTGTGTCTCGAAGAAAGAACTGACGGTTGTGCAACCGAGTGCGGGCATCTATTTTGTTGGAACTGTATCATGGGATGGGGGAGAGAAAAGGCAGAATGTCCACTCTGTCGACAGGCGTTGAACCTTACCAGACTGTTACCGATCTATAACCTTTAGTGTAGCCCAGGAGATTTCACGCCTTCGCATTTATTATACAATACATGCATGTCCGGGCGTACGCAGGGGGGGGATCGTTTTTACAGATCAGAGTCATCGTCATCCGACGATTGGCTGGATAAGAGTGATGTTGTCGCCTTTTAGCAGAATACGACCTAAACCGCAATATCGTAACGGTGAAAAGTTAGCACGAGCATGGGGGGAAAAAGCGCTCCGGATAAGATACGATTCGTACCGAGTTCTCGTCGTGGTTTTGCATCTTTAACGTAGACCTCTGTGGCTTCGTCCATAACGAGATTCATGAATTCGTCGAACCCCTGAAGAAGATATGATTTCAGTAAAGAGGGGATACAGCGGCAAAGTAGGTAGGCATATGACAAGGGGTAAGTAGCGTGCAAGTGGGTCAAGGGGTTATGACTAACCCCACAGACATATATAACATTTCAAGTGTGTGCGATCCTCAAGAACCAGAAAACACGTACAATGATGCGTCCTTCGATCCTCATGTCTATATTGTCGTAAAGCCATATGACGACTTTCGTTCGCTGTCATGTATGATTGTGTATGTGGTTAGCGATCGCTAAATCCACGAGGGTTAAGGTCTGGCTCCAATATGTACCTGCTGCAAGTTTTTGAAGATCACGTTCTGGGTATGAATGAGAAATAGGCTCTATATAAAAACTGCCAATTTGGACGTACGATGGGCTGAACCATCACTCTCTGCTGTCGGGACCCCATGGCTGTTGTGTTTCTGTGAGGTGGACGCGACTACCAAGGTGATCAGTGTGTTGTCTTACATAATCACCGCCCACGCGTGCTATATACGCGCGGTCTGCCATCGAAACCAGTTGCAGTGACACGATGGAGGTGAGAGACGTCGACGACAACTGCAATTGTCCGAACTCATTTGTTGCAGGTGTTCAGTCCCTCCAACTCATCCACCGCAGCAGCGGTGACGTTCATCACTTTCGTGCAGGACCTCAAACGCAAGACCAAGACATGGGGTCCCATGATAGAACTTTGCGCAAACGGAGAGAAGACACTCGAACGCTTTCGATTCCAGTTCCCAGATGACTGGCTCTACAGCGACCAGCTTCGCGGGGAATGGAGTGCTTATAATGAAATACTGAAGAGGAAGAGCGACTCTATTCAAGAGCAATTGGGTACAGAGCTCCGTGTTCACGCCGCTTGCTTTTTGTTGATTTGAGAAATTGTATAGCGGGTTTGCAGCTGAAGATTGTTGCAGAAGATAAGATCGTGGAAAACAAGATCAGCGATATCCTTACAGAATGGGAACAGACGCGACCCGTACAAGGGAGCATGCGCGCTGATACAGCACTGAACACGATCAACGTATTCGAGGGGAAGCTGAACCGTGTTCAGGAAGAGTATGATCTCGTATGCCGAGCGAAGGAGGCCTTGGACCTCGAATTGACGCGTCATACCCGACTGGAACCCGTTTTCGAGGAGTTGCGTGGCCTCAAAGCGGTCTGGACCGCTCTTTCTGGTGTCTGGAACCAAATCGGAGAACTCAGGGAGATGTCGTGGTCCACTGTGCAGCCTAGAAAGTTAAGACAGCAGCTCGACGGATTACTTTCTTCCACCAAGGACATGCCCACGCGTATGAGGCAGTATGCCGCGTTTGAGTACATACAGGACGTTCTCCGCGGTCTCTTGAAATCAAACCCAATTATATCCGACCTCAAGTCCGAGGCTCTCAAGGATAGGCACTGGAAACAATTGTTCAAAGTCCTCAGAGTGCCCGCGCAGATCAGTCTTCCAGTGTAAAGTGGCCCTCGTTGATTCCGCGTTATCTCTCGCTGATTCAAGTACAGGATGACCCTAGGGCATGTCTACGATTTAGATCTCAAGAAGAACGAGAATCCTATTCGCGAAGTCATTGTCCAGGCGCAAGGAGAGGTGAATTCGATCAATGTTATAATTGGTGCCCGCAATTGACTGACATGATTTCAAGATGGCGTTAGAGGAGTATATCAAACAAGTCAAGGAGACCTGGACCAACTATACCCTAGACCTGGTTAATTATCAGAACAAGTGCAGACTAATCAGGTATGCTGTTGCTAGGATAGTTTTGGTGTGGAGTTTACGTTGCGATTGTGAATTTACAGGGGATGGGACGATCTCTTTAGCAAGTGCAGCGAGAACCTCAATTCATTGACTGCAATGAAGCTGTCACCCTACTACAAAGGTAGGTCCAGACACTGGCTTGTAGCAACCTGGTCCTAACTTCCCTGCGCAGTGTTTGAGGAAGAAGTATGTTCTGCAGCATTTATTCAACTAGCTGTTAACATTTGGTAAAGGCTGGCTCGTGGGAGGAGAAACTCAATAGGATCCATGTGTTGTTTGGTGGGCATCGACAATACCCATTGATATCTGTTACTGATTCCCGTACAAGATGTCTGGATCGACGTGCAACGTCAATGGGTCTATCTCGAGGGTATATTCTCCGGCAGCGCCGACATTAAGCACCTTTTGCCAGTGGAAAGCGCCCGATTCCAGAACATTAATGCGGAATTCCTCACTGTCATGAAGAAAGTGTACAAGTCTCCCTTCGTCATCGACGTCATGAATATCCAGGGTATCCAGAAGAGTCTGGAGCGATTGGCGGACCTTTTGAACAAGATCCAGAAAGCTCTCGGTGAATACTTGGAACGCGAACGTTCCTCCTTCCCTCGTTTCTACTTTGTTGGTGACGAAGATTTGCTGGAGATCATCGGGAACAGTAAAGATATCCTGCGTATCATGAAACATCTGAAGAAGATGTTTGCGGGCATTTCAACCATCAAGCTGGACGACGACCTGACGGAAATCCAAGGGATGGCGTCACGCGAAGGCGAAGAAGTGACGTTTAGCGAGCCTATTTTATTAAAAGATTATCCGAAGATCAATGATTGGCTTGCACGCCTTGAATCTATGATGCGGCTTTCGCTTGCGAACCTGCTCTGTAATGCTGTCGCTGATTTGCAGTCCTTCTATGGGACCGGATCTTCTCTCGATCGAGACCAGTTGATGTACTGGATGGAGAAGTACCCTGCACAGCTTGTCACCCTCGCCATTCAGGTCGCGTGGACCACGTCAGTGGAGGCCACACTTGATTCGGGGATACTTCCTGAGGAGCCTTTGGACACCATTGGTCAAGCTCTGGACCTCTTGGCTGATGTCGTCTTGCAGGAGTTGAAGCCGGTGACACGTCGCAAATGCGAGCATCTGATCACGGAACTTGTCCATCAACGTGATGTTACCCGTACCCTCATCCAGCAACGAGTAGCGGACACCAAAGCTTTCACGTGGTTGTCCCAGATGCGGTTCTACCTAGAGCGATTGACGGAGAATTTCTTGGACCGTCTTGTGATTCGAGTTGCGGACGCCACCTTCCCCTACGGCTGGGAATACCTTGGTGTACCCGATCGTCTTGTCCAAACTCCTCTCACCGACAGAGTGTATCTTACCCTCACACAAGCACTGGATAATCAACTTGGAGGCTCTCCATTTGGTCCGGCGGGAACAGGTTTGTTTTTTGTGGTTTTTCTTTCCCCAGGCGCATGCCTTTAATATTTGTTACTAGGCAAGACAGAGTCGGTCAAGGCTCTTGGTGTTCAACTCGGTCGTTTTGTGTTGGTATTCTGCTGCGACGAGACCTTTGACTTCCAAGCCATGGGCCGCATTTTTGTCGGTCTCTGCCAAGTTGGGGCATGGGGATGCTTTGATGAGTTCAACCGACTTGAAGAACGCATTCTCTCTGCGGTTTCCCAACAGGTACAGAGTATCCAACAAGGCTTAGTTGCTCTAGCGAAGAATCCGAACATTGAGATCGAGCTGGTTGGAAAAACACTAAAGATTAACAAGAACATTGGTCAGTTATTGCAGTTGAATCCTGACGACCAATGAGACTAATCTTCGTTTGCGGCAGGTATTTTCATCACTACTAATCCCAACTATGCTGGGCGGTCTACACTACCCCCCAATTTGACAAAGCTGTTCCGCCCGTGAGCAAACACCCTCGATTTGCATGATTTGGGCCCTAACTAGCTATCAGGATGGCGATGACGAGACCCGACCGTGAGCTGATTGCCCAGGTCATGCTATTCTCTCAAGGTTTCCGCACGGCGGAGTCACTGGCTTCCAAGATCGTTCCGTTCTTCAACCTCTGCGATGAGCAACTGTCTCCTCAACCGCATTATGACTTTGGTCTCCGTGCGCTGAAAGCGGTTCTAGCTAGTGCCGGTATTCTCAAGCGCGAACGCCTTCAAAATACTAAATTGCAAGACGACGCTGGTGGCCTCTCTGACACCGTGTCTGAGCAGATTATCCTTATTCAGAGTGTCACAGAGACCATAGTGCCTAAGTTAGTTGCCGATGATGTGCCTCTGTTGACCAGGTGAGTTCTCAGTACGCTTGCTGAGGATGGTGGATATTAATGTATCATCAACAAGCCTCTTGGCTGATGTCTTTCCCGGCACCGACTACGTTCCCGTCGATTTGGATGCATTACGCGAACAGATTATCCAGGTTTGCAACGAGCGCCGCCTGGTCCCCGGCGAGAAATGGGTGGCCAAGATCCTGCAACTATACCAGATTCAGAAGATCCAGCATGGTCTCATGATGGTCGGTCCATCTGGAACTGGAAAGACTAACGCTTGGCGTGTTTTACTGCAAGCGTTGGAACGACTTGACGGTACGGAAGGTGTCGAATACGTTATTGACCCCAAGGCCATGCACAAGGATGCCCTCTATGGCACTCTCGATCCGACTACTCGGGAGTGGAATGATGGTCTATTCACGCACATCTTGCGCAAAATCGTGGATGATGTGCGTGGTGAAAGCTCTAAGCGCCACTGGATCGTCTTCGATGGTGATGTCGATCCTGAGTGGGTTGAGAACTTGAACAGGTAAGGGCGCTTGTCTAAGATGTCCTACGGTCTGATTCTGAATTGTGCGCAGTGTGCTCGATGACAATAAGCTTCTTACACTGCCTAACGGTGAACGCCTGAACCTACCACCCAATGTACGCATCATGTTCGAAGTAGAACATTTGCGATACGCAACTCTTGCGACCGTCAGTCGTTGTGGTATGATATGGTTCAGCGAAGATGTGATAGAGCCTTCGATGGTCTACAAAAATTACCTTACCACCCTCTCTTCCATACCTCTGGACGCCGACGACGAAGATGCCACAGATGTACTCGGTCGACGCCCAGATGCTCTAAGCACAGAAACATCCGGCGCCGCTCACGTTATTACTCAAACTCAGGTCGCTTCCATCCTGGAACGTTACTTCGCGGATGGCGACCTTGTGAGCTCTGCTCTCGAGTTTGCAGAATCCATTGATCATATCATGGACTTCACGACTACACGTGCGCTACATACGCTCTTCTCTCTTCTCAACAAGACGGCACGAAACATCATTGAATACAATATCCAGCGCCCAGATTTTCCTCTGGCACCCGAGAAGGTGGAACAGTACGTCACGAAGCGTCTGCTAGTTAGCATAATTTGGGCCTTCTCTGGAGATGCTAAACTAGATCTGCGCGCGGAGCTGGGAGATTTCTTGCGTAAGCAAACCGGAACCGACCTTCCTCCCATGGCTCCTGAGAACTCACTTATCAACTTCGACGTCCAAATTGCAACTGGGGACTGGGTTACATGGCAATCGAAGGTACCTTCCATCGAGATCGACGCACACTCTGTTACGGCATCGGATGTTGTCGTCCCTACTGTGGACACAGTCCGCCACGAAGAAGTCCTTTACTCATGGCTATCGGAACACAAACCCCTCATGCTTTGCGGTCCCCCGGGTTCCGGAAAGACGATGACCCTGTTCAGCGCACTTCGCAAGCTTCCGGATATGGAAGTTGTTGGTCTCAACTTCTCTAGTGCAACTACCCCTGAGCTGATCTTGAAGACCTTCGAACAATATTGCGAGTACAGGAAGACTCCCAATGGTGTGGTCCTCGCACCTGTACAGATTGGACGTTGGTTGGTCATATTCTGTGACGAAATCAACCTGCCTGCCCAGGACAAGTATGGCACTCAGCGAGTCATTTCGTTTTTGCGTCAGTTGGTTGAGTGCGGAGGTTACTGGCGCGCGAGCGATAAAGCATGGGTTAAGCTCGAACGAATCCAATTCGTTGGTGCATGCAACCCACCCACAGATCCTGGCCGTGTCCCTCTCAGTCACCGATTCCTTCGTCATGCTCCACTTGTCATGGTCGATTATCCCGGAGAAGTCTCTCTCAAACAGATTTATGGCACGTATAATCGCGCGCTTCTCAAGGTCATACCGACGTTACGGGCATATTCTGAGCCGCTTACAAATGCCATGGTTACCTTCTACTTGGCTTCTCAGAAGCGGTTCACTACGGATGTCCAGGCCCACTACGTCTACAGTCCTCGTGAACTAACCAGATGGGTACGTGGTATCTACGAGGCCATTCGTCCCCTCGAGATCCTTTCAGTGGAGGGCCTTGTACGAGTCTGGGCGCATGAGGCTCTGCGTCTCTTCCAGGATCGTCTGGTTACGGAAGAGGAGAAACAGTGGACCGACGAACACATCGACCTCGTCGCCATGGAGCACTTCCCAACTATCAACCGTGACGAAGCACTCAACCGCCCGATTCTGTTCTCGAACTGGACATCCAAAGATTACATCCCTGTGGATAGAGAGATTCTCCGCGAGTACACAAAAGCTCGCCTACGTGTGTTCTACGAGGAAGAACTTGATGTACCTCTGGTCCTCTTCAACGACGTTCTGGATCATGTCCTTAGAATAGACCGTGTCTTCCGTCAAGTGCAGGGACACTTGTTATTGATCGGTGTCAGTGGGAGTGGAAAGGTGCGTACACAGATATGCACAACTACATTCATTGCTCATCGGCTTTGCAGACGACACTTTCGCGCTTCGTTGCGTGGCTGAATGGGTTGAGCATATTCCAGATTAAGGTGTCCAACAAATACACCGGCGATGACTTTGACGACGACCTGCGGACCGTTCTCAGACGTGCTGGTTGCAAAGGCGAGAAGATTTGCTTCATCATGGACGAATCCAATGTGCTTGACTCTGGATTTTTGGAGCGCATGAACACTCTTCTAGCCAATGCCGAAGTTCCTGGGCTGTTCGAGGGCGACGAGCACGCAGCTCTTATGACTGCTTGCAAGGAGGGATCGCAAAGGGATGGCCTTATGCTAGATTCTCACGAAGAACTTTATCGATGGTTTACCCAGCAAGTAGCGAAGAATCTGCACGTTGTCTTCACCATGAACCCGCCGGAGAACGGCCTGGCTTCTCGTGCTGCTACATCCCCCGCATTGTTTAACCGTTGCGTACTCGACTGGTTCGGTGACTGGTCTGATCAGGCGTTCTACCAAGTCGGCATGGAGTTCACCCGCGCTCTGGACTTGGATTTGCCAGCCTACTCTGTCCCTGCTCACTTCCCCATTGCTTACCGGGAGTTGTCTATGCCTCCTACACACCGCACTGCCATCGTAAATGCTCTTGTCTACGTGCACATGTCCATGTATCAGATCAACCAACGCATCAGTCGTCGACAAGGTCGGTATAACTACGTCACACCCCGCCATTATCTGGACTTGTAAGTCGATTCAGAGAAGAAGAAAGTCAGTTATCTGATGGCTTCCACAGCATTAATCACTACGTCAGGCTGTACAATGAAAAGCGCGACGAGCTTGAAGAGCAGCAGCGGCATCTCCATGTTGGTCTGGACAAGCTCAGGGATACGGTGACTCAAGTGGAAGAGCTGCGCAAGAGTCTTGCCATCAAGCGTTCCCAGCTTGAGGCTAAAGATGCTGAGGCGAACGAAAAGCTGAAGCGCATGGTGGCAGACCAACAGGAGGCCGAGCAGAAGAAGGCTGCCTCCATTGAGATTCAAGCTGCTTTGGTAGAACAAGACAAAAAGATCGCGCAGCGTCGTGCTGTTGTTATGGCCGACCTTGCAGATGCAGAGCCTGCCGTCTTGGAGGCACAATCCGCAGTCAGCAATATTAAGAGACAACATCTACAAGAAGTTAGAACGATGGCAAACCCACCAGAAGCAGTCAAGCTTGCTATGGAATCTGTCTGCACCCTCCTCGGTCATAAAATCGATAGCTGGCGTACAGTCCAGGGCATTATTCGCCGGGATGACTTCATTCAACGGATTGTAAACTTCGATACTACTAACCAGATGACCAAAGGACTTCGCGAACTCATCAAGAAAGAATTCTTGAGCAGACCTTCCTTCAACTTCGAGACCGTCCAGCGCGCCAGTAAGGCATGTGGCCCTCTCGTCAAGTGGGTGCTGGCGCAAGTACGCTTCTCGGAAATTCTAGATAAGGTCGAGCCATTGCGAAACGAGGTGCAATCCCTCGAGACACAGGCCGAGACGACGAAGAAGCAAGCAGCCCAGATAATCACTATCGTTTCCGAGCTGGAGTCCAAGATCGCCAAATACAAGGAGGAATACGCCCTGCTTATCAGCGAGACTCAGGCCATCAAGTCCGAAATGGAACGTGTTCAGAGTAAAGTGGACCGTAGCATGAAGCTTTTGCAGAGCTTGTCATCTGAGAAGGAAAGATGGGAGGCTGGTAGCCGTACATTCGAAGTGGAGATGAGCACCATCGTTGGAGATGTCCTACTGTCAGCAGCCTTTCTCGCGTATGGTGGCTTCTTCGATCAACACTACCGGGAAGTTATGTGGCAAGATTGGTCGAACCACCTCATAGACGCCAACGTCAAATTCAAACACGAACTGTCCTTCACGGAGTATCTATCTACTGCTGATGACCGCCTGAACTGGCAATCCAAGTCTCTACCCGCGGATAACCTTACCACCGAGAACGCCATCATGTTGAAGCGCTTCGACCGTTATCCTCTCATTATCGATCCCACCGGCCAGGCTACTACCTTCCTGCTAAACGAATACAAGGAACGAAAGATCACAGTCACCAGCTTCTTGGACGAGGCCTTCCTGAAGGTGTTGGAGAGCGCTCTTCGGTTTGGAAACCCGCTTTTGATCCAAGATGTCGAACATCTAGATCCTATTCTCAACGCAGTGTTAAACAGAGAAATCCGCAGAACTGGAGGACGTGTCTTGATCCGCATCGGGAACCAGGACATCGACTTCTCTCCCGCGTTTACTATGTTCCTCTCTACTCGTGATCCTTCGGTGGAATTCTCTCCCGATATTTGCAGCAGAGTCACTTTCGTGAACTTTACGATGACAAGGAGCAGCCTTCAGAGCCAATCGTTGGACCAAGTCCTGAAAGTTGAACGTCCGGATACTGAACGCAAAAGAACGGACCTGATGAAAGCTCAGGGCGAATTTCGTCTTCGCCTGAGAACTCTAGAAAAGCTGCTTCTCCAAGCCTTGAACGAGTCCACAGGCAATATTCTCGACGACGACAAGGTCATCAGCACCTTGGAGACGCTAAAAAGGGAAGCTGCGGAAATTACTTACAAAGTGGAAGAAACAGACATCATCATGAGGGAGGTAGAACAAGTTACGGCGGAGTATCTTCCATTAGCGCAAGCTTGCAGCTCTGTGTTCTTCATCCTAGAGCAACTCAACTCGGTCAATCATTTCTACCAGTTTTCCTTGCAGTTCTTCCTTGATATATTCGACTACGTGCTTCACCACAACCCCAACCTCAGGAACGTCTCCGATTACAACCGACGACGAGACATCCTTCTCAATGATCTCTTCCTGGTCGTATACAAACGCACATCGAGGGCATTGCTCCATCGAGATCACATTATGCTTGCTGTACTCCTAGCTCAAGTCAAGCTACGCGGGACCGAGGACATTAGTGAGGAACTTGAATTCCTGCTGGAAAGTGGTCAGGGAAGAGCTGCTGCGCCAACCAGTTCTTTCAATGGACAAAGTACGACTGCTGTGCTCTCCCCCGACCAAATAACAAACCTCGAAACCTGCGCGAAACATAGCTTGTTCAGACCCGTTTCAAGTCACATCTCTGAGAATCCGGACGACTGGCTTCCGTTTTTGCAGTCCTCCAATCCTGAATCAGTGGTTCCTCTCCCTTGGGAGCCAAGTACGCGTAAGTTTGTCCTCGTGTAGTCTTCCAATTGAGTCTTGGCTAACCTCGCCTCAGCCGCCGTTGAAGCCCTACGGTCTATGCTTGTTATCAAATGCCTTCGTCCAGACCGCTTGCTACAGTCTACAGCGCTGTTCGTAAGGACCGTGTTTCAGAACGAGCTATCTACCGAATTGGATCTGGGGGCTATGGTTGCAAATGAAGTTCCTTCGACTACACCTCTGGCTCTCGTTTCTGTAACCGGTTACGACGCCAGCTACCGCGTGGAAAACCTCATACAAACCGTCGGCGCGCGGTCGTCGTCTGTCGCCATGGGTTCACAAGAAGGTTTCACCCTAGCGGACCAAGCAATAGCCGCAGCGTCCCGCCAAGGGACTTGGGTTCTCCTTAAAAACGTCCACCTGGCTCCGACGTGGTTGGGTCAACTGGAGAAAAGGCTGCACACTCTCAATCCCCATCGTAACTTCCGCCTGTTCCTGACTATGGAAGCCAATCCAGCGATACCTGTCAACATTCTGCGCCAGTCTCGGATAATCATGAACGAGCCACCACCAGGAATTAAAGCTAATCTCCTTGACTCCCTTCGTTCCATTGCACCGCAACGTCACTCCCAGGGCCCTGCTGAAAAGGTCCGCCTTTACTTCCTCTTGGCCTGGTTCCATGCTGTCGTACAAGAGCGTCTGCGCTACGTACCACTGGGTTGGAGCAAGATTTACGACTTCAATGATTCCGACATGTCGTCTGCGTTTGCAACTATCGATACTTGGCTTAACAGGGTTGCCAAAGGCAGAACCAACGTTGATCCTGCGACAATACCATGGGATGCTCTCAGAACCCTTATCAAGCAATCGGTTTACGGAGGTCGAGTCGACAGTGACTTCGACCAGCGAATCTTGGATGCTTTTGTTGACAAACTCTTCACTCCGGCTGCATACAACGTCGATTTCAACTTGGTGCCAAGTGTCAATGGAGGACAAGTTCTCGAAGCCCCCGAAGGCACAAAATTGGAGCATTTCTTATCATGGGTACATGGCTTACCAGATCGTGAACCGCCTTCATGGTTGAGTTTGCCACCGACAGCTGAGCGAGTCATTGCAGTGGTGCAAGGTAATTTGCTTCTTGACATTTTGTATCATCATATTTATCACAAAACACTAGGAAATGAGCTCCTGGGCAAACTGCGCAAGATGCGAACGCTAGCGGACGACGACGACGAGATCTCGACTTCTGGTCCCTACAAGAGTCAGACGTCTCAACAGCCTGCTTGGATGCGTAACCTGCACGAAAGGTGCCGCGAATGGCTTACGCAATTACCACAGGTAATTATTTGATTCCGTTATTGGTGAGGAAGCCACTGACCCTCTTTGAAGTCAATCAACACGCTACGCAGGCAGGCTGGTGACAACACAGATCCGCTATACCGTTTGTTCTCCCGCGAAGGTGCTATTGGCCACAAGCTTCTAGACCAAGTTCGCAAGGACCTCGCAGATGTGGTCAAAGTGTGCGAAGGTGCACTTAAACAAACCAACCATCTTCGTACTTTGATGAGCTCCCTGACCAAGGGTCGGTACACCTCTGGAATTTCCCCTTTGCTGATACTAAGATATGTTCCAGGTACCATACCCACGCATTGGAAACGGTACAAAGTTCCGAAAGCCATGTCTGTATCTGAGTGGATTCCGGATTTGGCTCGCCGTCTGGCTCAGTTAGACGGAATAACAGCAATGCAGCCATCTTTGTCCGATGTTGAGGTTTGGCTCGGAGGACTGTTCTTCCCTGAAGCATACATCACTGCGACGCGGCAAGCAGTAGCACACCGCAAACGATGGAGTCTTGAGACCCTGCATCTTAGACTAGACATTGGTCAGATGAATGATCCAGAAGCTTTTATTGTCGATGGTGTGTATTATATCTACAAGCACCCATATCCATCAGCTGACTTGGTTGTTCCCAAGGTTTGATCCTCGAAGGTGCTGGCTGGGACGCTGAAGTTGGCAAGTTGGTCCTCAACGACGGCGAAGCAGTTCACTTGGAAGCATCCCAAATTCGATGGGTGCAGGATGACGAGGATATGCACGACGAGAACTTGGTGACACTTCCCGTCTACCTGAACAGCGACCGGAGTGATGTCATGTTCACCGTAGACCTTCCCTTTGAGGACAGCTCAGCGTCACTGGTGGCCATGAGAGCTGTTTGTCTAAATGCACGAGGATAGGCACAGCACGAGGAACGAGTGTTATGATTTATGATACTTACTCCATCCTTATCCACGATGTAATAGTCATGATGCATACCTACCATGAGAACAATCTATTATCTCCTTCTAGATTCGTACATTGTGGCCTGCACGTAAGGTTAGACCCCCTTGACCTCACTTCCCCCGACTACCTCAAGGAGTTTCCAGTCGACTTGTATATTCTCTTCCGCAAAAATTTCGCTTGCAGATTCTGCGATAGCCATGAAATTCTGAGTTGCCAGCGCCAGGATCGTCGGGCCAGCCCCTGATAAACAAATCCCAAGCAAGCCAGGGTGTGACTCGGGAGTGATCAATGAAGTCACTGCAGGCAGTCCGGGAATCTTCCGGAATAAATTAGCGTTCGCTTCTTTTTAAATGTTGCAGTATGCTCACCAATGCTTTTCGGTACGGTTGGTGGACGCGATCTTTCATCGCCTCGTATATTAGTTCTGGGTCTGGTGGTGACTGCCCTAACGCTGTTGACAGTACAGCCAGACGTTGCATGTTGAAAACCTTGTCAAGGAAGAAACAAAAAGATTTCAAGTATTGCACTAAAACCAGACGGAAAGCATTGTACCAAGTCTTTTCTGGAATACTGCATTGGCAACGCCTCTCTCGCCTTTGCAGTACTGAGCTCAAACCGAGGTATAATTGCGACAGCCTTGATGCTAGGGTTCCAACTGAACTTTACGTAGTGGCCAATGCCCACTGGAGGGAGTGGGGGAGACAATCCCCAATCTTCACCTGCGTCAGGAGGGTACTCGGGTAAGACTTCGGAGAGAGGGACTTGCGATGCCACCGTTGCGGCTGAATCAAGCTCCCTTAGATATGACCCGACGAATCCGCCGACAAGTGCCGCGGTGACGTTGTCTGGATGGCGCTCGATCATGAGTGCGTAGTCCAGTAATCGTTCGTTCGTGAGGTTGAGTTTTCCAAGAACGTTTCCAAGAAGGACGCCGGCAATGACTGCTGCGCCAGACGAGCCGAGTCCACGGCCGAACGGGATCTGATTGTCAGCATGGATACTGACAAGGTCCGCCGGGAATGAGCTTTGATTGTTGCATCGGAGAACGTAGAGCGCAACACGGGTTAGGAGGTTTTGGTATGGATTAAGGGGGACCTCGTCTGCGCCTTCACCGGAGTAAGTGATCGTGAAAGGCTCCGAGGATGGCGAGCCAAATTTGACGGTGAGTGTGAGGTATAGGGACAGTGAGAGACCGACGACGTCAAATCCGGGGCCAATGTTGGCCGATGTGGCAGGAACTTTGATCTCAACGGTTGGTCGTATGTCCGACATGTTGGTAATTACGGGCTGCTGATTGTGATACAAGCTAAGAACTTCCACCAATAAGTCATAAACGATCATCATGACCACCGATGCAATACTGAAACTTGGTCACTTACACGTCTTCCCCAGATCGCAGCTCGGTTGACACGCTCTCGAGAATAGATAGATCGCTGACAATCGCTACGAGAGCAGACCTCGGGTCCTCCTCGCATCGTGATCTCATCGTGATTAGCGACTGCCTGCCATATCAGGAAAGTTCAGGGTCACTGAAAGTTTATGTATTACTTAGGCAGAGTGTACTACATGCTGGCTACGATACAGGCGATACATTTATATCATAATGACAATTCGAGGAACGACCTTGAGCTGATCAACAGCTCACCGGATGTCATACTAGAATACAAGCAGATCATGCCTAACAATCAGTATCGTCAGCGCCAGATGGTGTAGGTGAAGGCGTAGCAGAGGTAGGTTCTGCAGGCGTTGGCGTTGGCGTCTCTTCCCCACAACCAGTGTCGTCTGCAGAGGGTGTTGGGGTGGGCGTAACGGGTGTCAATGTATTCACAGTGGGAGTTGATGCCGACGGAGCAACCGAGGGTGTTTGTGAAGGCATGGCGGAAGGTAGTGTAACGGCTGTCGTGTTTGAAGTGCCATTGTTGCCACCAGCAACGACGGAGAACTAACAACGAAAGATAAGTTTTTGAAGACATCGCGGACAGCAGAGACTCACATATATGGCATCATCTAAAGCGCCACGCTGGACGACAGGTACTAGCAAAGGCTGATGATTCATTGCCGCGCCGATCGAGGACATCCTGTATGAGCCTTCAGGTAGTCCGCCGGTGATATTGGTATACAAAAGACCCTGGGCATCCGCCCTGCCATTCAAAGCAGAAAAGAACGCAAACTTGGTGGGATCAGTAGGTGTGGTTTGTGTGAGATTGTCGAGCTGTTCAATAACGATGTGGGCGTGGCCCATAATTTGGCCAGTGGTCATGTTCAACTGCTGGGGAGCGGCAAGATAATTGGTGTCCGCATTGGCGAAGAACCCGGTTTCTAGACCCTGAACGGCCAGAGCAACCTGAAATGTGGTATTGGGTGGGATGACAGCCAAATTACTGGGCGAAACGAATTTGGCGCTCGGCATGTTTGAACTAGACGGGATGGCGCCCATGGGAGCTGGGTTACAAAAACCCGACTGCATTTGAGTGCCGTTGGTGATCGTCAAATTGAGCGTTGAACACCAATTAATGAAGTTGTTCTGAGATGTTAACGACGGAGTAATTCCAGGCTCTGAAGCCATTGCCCGTCGTGCCATTGTTTGCGAAGGCAGGAACGAGAACGGATTGAATGAGCGTAAGAGAAGCCTGCGAATCTGTCGTGTTGCCGCCCGAAGGACTGGTAGAGTTGACAGGGATCGTGGAGTTAGCGGGAACGGTCGTGCCATTTGTGCCGTTGATTGGACCACCCGTGGCATCAAGATAGGTGTTGTAGAGGGCGCCACGCCGCGTCAGACTTGGTCGGGCAGAGACAAGGGAAGTGAAGGCAAAGAAGGTGAATGTACCGAGTTTCATTATTATATCTAGAGATTTTTCAACAAAAATGAGGGCGGGGTTGGCCCAGGGAGCGAAGGCAACGAAAGACACAGACTCCGGGTCTGGATGAAGGAGAGTGGAATGTTTAAGTGTGGCCGGGTTGCTTTTATTGCAATCCTCGAAACTGGCGTAGCCGTAAACAATGGAATGTCATGATTCTGTTTATTTATTTAGCCCACCAGCACAATAGACAACTCGCCTGTAACCTCCGACACGGACCTGCAGCTATTTATATGACCATGCACGAAGACATGGAAGCCAGGTACGAACATTACCATGGACACCACTCACTGAGTGATGGCCATCTCATCTCTTCGAAGTCCCGCATTGTCCACTACAATAGTTGCCAAAACAGGACTGTTCCTGATTACGTCATACGTCTATAAATCTAATCTTATCTACGTACGTTCAAACGGCTTGCTGATCAACGAGCCTGCGCTGGCTGTCTCAAGGTTGGAATGATACCCTCTACGATCTCTGCTGAAGCCGTACGATTTCATTTCATTTCATTTTCCCTTCCCCCTCACATATTTCTTTCAGATTCTCTTCGATCTGGATGGGTGCGTGCAGACTGGCACTACCACAAGTCCCACGCAACAATCTGACGGATAATTACTTACCGCCTTAGAACCCTGATAGATTCGACACAGGGTGTGTTTAATGCTTGGGAGGAATTCGGAAAAAGACATCCTTTCATCGACGACCTCGGCTGGAGGGATGTGGCGCATAAGACCCATGGACGGCGGCTGGTCGAAACGCTGAAGCACTATTGCAACATCCCGGACGATGAACTACAGCAAGTTGGCCCGTTTCGAGATTCGTCTTGTTACGAATTGTTGATTTCTCCGATCAAAGGCGGTTTATGAGTTTGAAGATATCGTCATAGATCACGGTGGCGGACCTGAAGTGCTGCCTGGTGTACCTCAATTGTTGAGCGAGGTATTCTCGATTCCGAGCGTGAATGTTCAACAGCCCTGAGTGAAACCCTAGCTCAATCGAATCATACCCGACGGATGGACTATTGTAACCTCTGGTCAGTCTCAGTGACATGCTTTGGCTGGAGGTGCTTATCTTAGGAGTGCTATAGCTTCTAGCAGATACGCATCAGCTGCTCTTACCAGGTGTAACTTGCCTGTTCCAAGTAAAGGTTTCGTCACTGCGGATGACATAGCACCCGGACAGGGGAAACCCAATCCTGCTCCGTATCTCGCAGGTGCTCGTAGGATTAGCAGCGAGGATGATTTCATTACTAAATGTTGCCGGGTCTTCTCTCCGAGTTTATGGGGCTGTTGACTGACCGATGGGATCTTGCAGGTCTTGTCATCGAAGATGCTCCATCAGGTCTCACCGCAGGACGGAGGGCCGGTGCTGCTACGCTTGCAGTTTGCACCAATCATACCCGTGAATTCTTAGAGACTCGGGCCGGTGACGAGAAGCCCGATTTCGTCGTGGATAACCTCGAGCAGTAAGAGCACTACTAGTGCACGAAGATTTCGTCGACTGACAGGCATCCAGCTTAATTGTCCAAGTTCTTCCATCGGGAGGCTTGTCGTTAACCATCGACTGAGCAAGCGCGAGCTCTTTGGTGCCAAGCCTGGAGCAATTACACCATGACACATGAACGACATTCACAATCACTAGGTTGGCGAATGTCTATTTATGAGTAAATACAATCTGCCCTTGAAATATTTCTACGTTCAAAGTATTCTCTTAAGTTCCTTCTGGGATTTAAGTGGTCGTTTCCTCCCCATCTGCCATGGCATACAGTACATCTTCGTCGCCGCTCTGATCGACGAGGGCACGAAAACTTCCCCGCTCGTTCTGAAGTAGTTCTTTGGGACTCCCAAACTCGACCTATTAAAGTATGTAGTCAGCCATGACGAAGTTAGTGTGCTTGTTCGACGCACAATTCTTCCCGCGTCAAGTACCATCTAGGACAAATGCGAAATTATAGTTAGAGCTATCGTGGAGAGATGGGACTTCAAGCTCACAATTTTGTCAGCGTCCATGATAGTCTGCAGACGATGCGCAATGATCAGCTGGGTAACGTTCCGCATCTCATGCCGGAGAGAAGTTTGGATCGCCGTGTCTGTCTTGTAATCTATGGGGGGAATAAATGCATAATGAGAGAAGCATTATAAACTGAAATCGTACCTATGGCAGACGTCGCTGTTGTCGTATGTGTTTTGTCGAAAAAAGTCAATCGCCGAACACAAGCATTCCATACAAACATACCTTCATCCAGTATAAGCAACTTGCTTCCTCTGACCATGGCTCGTGCAAGCGCAATGATCTGACGCTGGCCAACGGAAAGGTTGCTACCACCCCCTGCGATGGCACTATCAAGAGTCAGTCTACCATCGTCCAAATCATCTTGGATGGCGAAGAGGCCAGCCGAGCGCAGTGCATTGTTAAGGGTGGCATCGTCATGCTGGTCGAACGGATCGAGATTCTGGCGAAGGGTTCCGCTCAGTAGTTCGGGCTACTGGAATGTTGAAGGTCAGAAACTAAGAGATAGATACGAGTGACGTACGATCTGAGGGATGATCGTGATGTTAGAGCGAAGGGCATCAAGGTTAATACCGCTCGTAGGGATCCCGTTGTAGTAAACATTTCCTTCGGTTGGGATACAACGTAATAGCGACAGGGTTAGCGAACTCTATAGGCCGCCTGAGTGATGCGATAGATTTGGAACTTTTGTGGCTAAATTACCTTTCCACTTCCCGTCCTCCCAACTATGATTAGATTTAGAAGTGGACTACGCAAGCAAGGCATACGATACGCACCAATACCAACTCTCTCTCCTGATTTAACATGGAAAGACAGGTCGTGCAAGACTTTCGGGCCATCCTAAAGAAATGAGATCAATGTAGCACGTGGATTGGCAGCCAGAAAAATCTACTAACACCCGAGTAGCGAGCAGAGAGCATTTCGACGGTGAGGTCACCACCTGTAGGCCAGTGGGCTGGAGGCTGTCCTCCCTCGATTGGCTTGGGTTCTTGCTCTATGTTGATGTAGCTGTTGATACGCTCAACGCTATAGCGCGGATTAGTTTCCCTGATTCAAACACACACAGAGAGCCTACCTGTTGCCTAGGCATCGAATAGGGGTAAACAGTGGATCTAGTATGTAAATGATGACCTACCGTCTACCTCAGCATTGTTCAAGATGCGGACCCAGAACAATATCATGGAGCTGAAACCAACTACGGCACAACTAAGAGATCGAAACGGCTTAGTTAACGGAAGATAACGGACCAGCCATGTTCAGAGAGAAACCGACGTTGCCAGCTTCGGAAGTGCGCCCTGTAAACAAGGTAGGCTGCAAGAGCGCTAGTAAACAGTCCACCGATGAAATCGATACGGATGCAAACCCATCTAGTCGAGAAGTTAGTTTCTACGAACAGAGCATCGAAGTTTTGCTTTACCGGTTTAAGTTGTAGAACATGCGTGCCGACCTCGAGTAGCAATCAATACGGTCCAGAGACTGAAGCCTGAAAGCATCTTGCGCTCCATAAGCTCGAATGGACGCTTAATAGGAGGATGGGAATAAAAGGTCAGCGTTGAGGGTTAAAGGTCTTCAAATAGGCAATCACTCAATCCTGCAATAGCCGCGCCGAAATGGCCAAGAACGGGCGCCTTCGCATTGCTCATCTCCCGTTTCACCGACAGTTGAGCTTTCATGTAAATCCGGCCAACCCATGTACCGACAACGCCCACAAGTACCCCTGGCAGAAGGAATAAAGGGGTAAAGAGAACGACTGCACCAAGCTTGAATAGGAGGCTGATGGTGAGTTCCACGACCCACGAAAGTTCCTGAGCAAAGGGTCCATCGGCTGTAAGTACGTCAGTAAAAAGTCACCGCATTCGAGTAGGCCACCATACTTGCGCGAATGTCTTGTGTACAGCGAGTAATGACGCGCGAAGTGGGCGTAGTGTCAAGCCATCTGTAATGCGTCAGAACGGAGGATACGTGTGCCTATATATGGGGTGGACACACCTTAACGTGGTACCCAAAATAGCTTCAACGAGTTTCTTGTGGATTGCCCGCGATGCCCTCAACGTGCCCCGGTAGTACAGTATGAACCCAGGGATATACAAGCAACAGCCAAGCAGAAGAAGGGCGCCGTACACAGACAAGTAGCTAAAGCCGTTGAATATACGTCGGGCTCAGGGAAGATCACACTCACAATTTGACATCCACCTCGGATGGCAACCTGTACTCATACTGTGAAGCCCAGTAGCCAAGGAACCAAGTTTGCACTACGCCTACAACTTCAGTTGCTGACATCAAGAACAGAAACGCGAACCAGAACAGCATGGTATGACCTCCACCGAGACCGGCGAAATAGAGTTTTACTACCGGTGGTATGAGTTCGACATCAGTAAAACGGGGTAGACACGTACGCGCAGACCAAGAAACGCGTCCTTCCAGAATTTCCTCTTCCAAGACGAGTTTTCCTTCTCCTTTCTTCGGCGGCGCCTGCTCAGCGCTGACGATAACTTCCTCTTCTATTTCCAAACCTTTCTGCTCCTTTGCAACTTCCGCAGCCAGTTTGTCATCTGTGGCGATTGCCTCCGAAAGAGTTCCTTGGCTAGCAATGCGACCATTCGAAGCGAGCGACACCACAAATTGCGCCACCGGGCTGACCATGGCTACGTTGTGAGTCTGTATCGGAACCTTAGCGAAGTAAAGAATGTTAACATTGGAATTCTCGAACCACAAGAATGATTGTGCGATTTTTAACCAGGTCACCAGCAAAACACTTCCCAACAATCCACTTAGACGTGTGAACGTCCAACGCAGCTAGAACCTGCATCAATCAGTCCCACCGAGCCAATTGCGCCAAGTTGTTCATGAACTCACATCGTCCAAAAGCAGAATTTCTGCGTTACTGTAGATAGCTCGAGCAAGCGTGACCCTCGCCTGGAACTAGTAAGAACCTTGGTCGAGTAGCCCTCACGTCACTCACCTTCTGGCCGCCACTGTAGGTAGGGATGCCATGAGTTCGTAGGTTTGGTTAACAATTTTTAGAAGTCGTACCTCAATGTGAGCCCCTTTTCACCCACTTCGGTGCAATCGCCGGCTTCGAAGAGCTCCAAATCACGCTCGAGTGCACATTGATAAATGACTTCAGCGCATGTAAGATACTCCAATACGGGAGGTGGAGGAGTCACTTTCACCTTTTTTATAGCGTGCTTCATTGTAAGGCGCTCCGAAAAGGATATTATCCTTGTGGAATGAAGCATTCACCAAATGATGATGCATGCTTTCAGAGTTTACTCACTCTGATAGTTTCATTCTGCACCCATGACTCCTGAGGGGCGTAAGCTACACCCCCCTTTCGTGGAAGATTATACCATGAATTGGGACTGGAAGGCACGAAATGCATTTCGCCTAGGAAAACATGAGAACAAAGAAAACCAGAATTGCGCGGCAAAACCAACCAAGCAAAGCCATGAGTAATGAGGTCTTCCCTGAACCTGTCGGCCCAACAACGATATTCATGCAACCTCGCTTGAAAAGGACCTCGCTGCCGGTCCGCAGCTTGAACTTGCGCCTACTCTGTGTCAATGTCCCGTTTGATTCATTCGACCAGGTGAAAATCGCGTCTCGGAAACCTATGACTTCTGAATTTTCGTCCCTGATCTCAGCTGGGAATATCTGGGGCTGGTCTTCTCCGTGGGAAGCGTATTCATCCAGAAGCTCGGTGTTATTGAGGAAGTCATTGATACGACCGAGTGAGACCTTAGCTGTATTCCAGACATCAGGGACCTCTCGCCTGCAAATACTACAGGGTGCTCACCTTGTATGATGGGGGGTAACATCCAGAATATCATGGCGAGTTGGCCTCTCATAATGTCAAAAACTATAGAGATCGAATTGAGAAAGCCCGAGTCCCAAAGCACTCAACTACTAACCTGTCATAGAAGAGAAGACCCGTGATGCTAAGCACCCGCTCAGTAACGGGGCTAGACTGCTACGACTAAGTGGCCATACCGGTTAATTGCTTTCCCATGACAACAGTCTGGGACGGTTGTCAAGCAAGATAAGGAAGAAGGTTCCAAGAAACGTACGTATGTTGTATAACAGGCCATCATGGTGAACAAAGGAATAACGAAACTGCGCAGCTCTGGAGTGATATCATTGGAATAAGCATGGCACTTACTTCAAGGTATTGTTGGCGAGGTCCAAAAGTCGGTACTTCCATGTCCACACGAGCTCAATCTCTCGTTTTTCGCAAATGCGTTCGTTCATTTTCTTCTCCCAACCGAAGAGTTTGATCATACGTAATGCATTCATAGCTAGGGAGTTCCTTATGAGATGTCTTTCGTCGAACAGCAGGCTACCCACTTTCGGTGACAGTCTGCACTCTCGCATCGGTCTTGGTAGCGCACAGTATTGCTCAGCTACATGGGATTGCTCGCGCCAATGGACTCACCTTTTCCATTTTAGTCCGCTGGACACTCTGTATCTTTTTAGCTACCATGCCAGGCAGAGGGAACAACAGAACCATGACAGCAAGACCAACGAAAGCACTAAGGAAGCATGAGGGAGCGAGAGAGGAAGACAATATGGCCGCACCTCCAATCCAAAATATGGTATAGGAACCAAGTACATAAGACCAGTTGCAAAGGTACATAGGGAACTGAGAGAGAGTCACGTTAAACCAGACAGAGTAAATGATCCAGACTCACAGAAAAGGAGGAAATCACGTCCGTCTGTGATGTTGCCCAGATCGGTGGTAATGAGGTTGTTGATCTTGCCAACGAAATTTTCCGTACTCGATGCAGACTTCTCGCCACCGGTATCTCCTCGTTTGCCTTCGGACTGTGGCTTTCCATTCGTCACTGACGCCGCTACGTCAGTCGTAGAGGATCGACCCTCGTCAGGGCTGCCTTCACGGCTACTCTCCACAGCAGTAGCAGACTCCGAAACGGAAGCGCTATCTGGAGTAGTTACTGTGGAATCAGCAGAGCCTTTGTCAGTATCCGGAAGTTCAGCTTTCATGCGAATCCTCAAAGCATGTTCGAACACGAGTTGCGTAATAATGCATTCGGCGCGAACAATCGAACGGGTCTGTAATCACCCATTAGGGAGTACGAACACGGTGGCATGAGATAAACCCACAGTCAGGAATATATACCACTGGAAGATTATGGACCCAAAGAATTGCCCAGCAAAAATGGCTACAATCCAAACCCATGGGCGGATAGTGGCACCTACGCCACCAGTCTCCAAATATCTACATGTCGCGCAGTTAGTAGTGTCAAGACAATCTAATCCAATGATTTACTCAAGAAGCTTGTTAATGCTAACGGGGGCAGCGAGTGTGGAAATGACCTGACGAAAGAGTTGTTTAAGTGTCCAGGTGCGTGAGATGCAAGGTAATGCCTTACACGGAGGACAACCAGAAACGTCATGATTGTATACTCGGTGCCTTTGGAATCAAGGTCATGAGCTATGGCACTACGGAAGATAACTTGGAAAACGGACGGAACACCCTCATAAGCCCAAAGAAGAGATGTCGCTTCCCCCCGCCAACGAAAGGGTCCAAATGCTAACGCCACAGAATAAGGCCAATAACTTTTGCCAAGGAAGGTTGGGACGTACTGGAAAACTCTGCTTTCTTAGATTGCGAGCGTAGTCGTAGTCAGCAAGAGGCGGCAATTGGTTACGGGCCAGATGTGTTACGCGCTGCGCCTTGAAGACGATGGGGTCTAGCCAAGTGTACAGAGAGAAGGACAACCAAGATGTTGTTTGTTCGGGATGAGGGAACTCGGAGGGATACTAAAACGAGTAAATCCGCCAGAAACCTGAGAAACAGGAAAACATACTTTCGGGTCAACAGGAATATACTGAGTAGGGCACATGACAGGTAAAACGATACTGGTCATCGTCAATATGACGAGTTTGGCCCAAAGTAAGCGGCCCTCTTGCGAATCCCGTGGCTCCTCTGTAAACGTTAACAGGGGATACAAATCCCGGTGGGCATACACAGAAAATAACGCGAGGAGCACGACCACAAGGTGGGCAGAAGCGGCGCGACTGTGGTTAAGTTTCGTCGTAACCGAGATCAATCCCAAGACAGAGGCGTATGCCTGCCAAACCATGAAGAACTGACACAAGGGAACCCACTTGTCGAACTTACAGCGGTTGCGCAGACTGCGAGTTGTGGTTGATCCAAAACTTTGAGTGCCGGAGAACTTTGTTCGGACGATTTCAACAAGGAGGCTATACAAAGCCCCAGAAACGCCAGACAGCCGAGAAACCTCGCAAACTTGAAACCGTATATAATGGGACCTCCCAAGGATATGATGAGGGGTTGCTCAGGACATTCGCTGAAGTCAGGACCTCTGTCCACGCAGCCTGGTTGCCTTGGGCACACGATCCGCGCGATGTATTTTCGCAATGCCTGGGCAGGAGAAGTAGAAGCAACTGCACTGAGGGCCAGAAGCACTGCAGACGCGATCGCGAGATAAGAGGGCATGGTCAGAGAGTCACCCAACGCGCTACCACACCAAACCCTAAGTCCGTGACTGTGGGGTACGAGAAGGCAATAACTTACGCGTCCGTGGAAATATTGAGCGCAACGAAGGGACTATTGGGCAAGACGACTTGCCAGTGTCCCGGGCCACTGAGCTGAGCTGACCAGGACATTTTTTTGCGGTGTGGGTTGCTTCCGCCCTCAATGATGGGCGAGAGCTGACTGGTCACTAGGGTCCGCTAAACGGGTTAAGTACCCGGTTATCAGACGCGCGTCCCACATGGTTCGCCGAGCCGCTTATAATTACCTGAGGCTGGGAGAACAGAGTTTTTGGGGTCCTGTTTGTACGTGTTTGGATACGTTGCAGATTCAGGAGGCAAGGGGCGATCAGCGTACGAACGGGTCAACAATGTCGAACACACCTTCGTCATAGTCTGCCATGTCTGCCATAACCACTGATTCTGCACGACCTTCGACTTCTGAGGCCCCAGCTCAATCGGGGCCAGTACCACTGTTTGATCAGCACCTCAAAGTTCTCTCAGACTCATATCTCAGCTTCTTCCAGGACAGGTACGCACACTGGGTATACCTCCATCATTACTCTGACCATCGCCATGTGTCACGCAGAAAACGTATAGAAGAGGTTTAGTAAGTCCAAATTTGTGCAATTCTCCGTCGGTTGTATTTAACTAACGCATGAAAGTGTCGAGTCCTTGCTCAGATTGCATCGCAAGATTAAGTCAGTAGACGCTTGGTTAGACGATCGCAGCACTGAACTCAGTTCTGCACGTCGTGCTTGGAGCGAAGTCGTCGATAACGTTGAACGAGGTCAGGATGGCCGTCTCTGACGTCTGGGTGCCTGACCAATGACGTGTGTGCAGAGGCCCAGACAAGACAAGCTTTTTTGAGTACTCTGACCGAAGACGCGGTAAATGCATTGACCACATTGAAGGTATGTTTTCTTTTTTGGATAAAAAATAGGTATCCCATGAGGCCGAGCCTCCCTCCATCGTAATTTAATTAGGAAACTCAAGAACGGACGCGTAAACGGATAAAGGACGACATCAAAGACTCTAACAATGCGTACGCGGACTACGCAGAAAACACCTTACCCAAGTTAAAACGTACTTATCTCAGGAAGTGTCAAGAAGTGGAAGTGCGTAGCTTGCGATTGTTGTGATTCGTCTTCCGACTGCATTTCAGGACCTCAAGGCTGCCGCTACAGCACCCGCCCCCAGTGTTCAGAACACACCTTATATGGATCAAGAGGGAGGCAATGTACCCAGTTCCCGATCGAACCCGAACTTGCCTGCCAAGCCGGTTGTCACTGGGCCACAAGTCCTTCGCCCTCTGGATCGTAGACCCTCTGGAACCGCACCTGGACCCCGCAACCGCTCGCCATCTTCTTCTGGCACATTTTCTGATTTTGCTCAACATGGTAATTAAGTGCTCTCGTTCTTCAAAGGCAAGCTCATCCTGAAGCCCACAGGGAAAAAGCAGCTTAACCAGTTGATGACATTTCTGGACAAAGGTGGAAATGTCAGGGAAACCCTGGGTGTGCGTTCAGAAAATAGTGCTTTGCGGGCTGTGCGTGCGAAACGTGAAGCCGATGAGGCTGGTGAGAATGATTTTCATACGCGCATTTCATCTAACTCATTAAGATGCAGATAAGGAATACAGAAAAGGTGTTCATTGGTTAGAAACACTCCGACTTCGCAAGACAAAGATCCTCAAAAGTGCCTACGCTGTCCGTAACTGGCTTCTTTGACGTCACGGGTGTTCTAATATATCCTGCAGAGTCTGGAAACTTTTACCCATGAATACACAAGTACGGTGAAGATCGTACTCGAGAAATATGTGGACAACTTGATGTGTGGAAATAGTCTTATTCTCCAGCGCTTGGACTCATCCTACATACTATTTTCAGGGCGACTACCGTGACCCAAACACAACTATCCGAACACGCAAGGGCGGTGATTCAAAAGATTTCACCGGAAAAGGACTTAGCCCTAGCCACCAACCAACTACCCCGTTCCATGGCATCTTTAATCCAGAAGCCAATACTATACTACAACTACAATGTGGGGGAATGCAACGATTTGATTTTCGGTGTCAGCTTAGTGGACTATGCCACATCGCGAGGTCTGTCAGAGGGTGTGGTTCCTAGGATCGTGCAGCTCTGTATAGCAGAGGTAGACAGGAAGGGACTGGAGACAGAAGGTATTTACCGAGTAAGCATTACTGTTCCATTCCAAACGTTTTTTGTTCACGAAACGATTCAGGTTTCTGGCCGTCACGCCGTAGTTCAGGATGTAAGGAATCTTACCTGCCCGTGCGTTCCCCGTGTAACTGAAATATCTCAGCTACAACACAAGGTGGAAAGGGACGAAACCAATTTCAAATTCAACCCCATTACGGACGATGTGTATGCAGTTGCCTCTTTACTCAAGGTATGTGTTTCATACACCGTGGCCAAACTCTATAATGACACAAAGTGACAGATGTACCTCCGCGAACTGCCGGAGCCATTGTTCAAATATCCCTTACAGGACCGCGGGGAGTACACAGATGCACGGGGTATGATTTTCCGACTTATTAGCGGGGTAAATGAGTCACCCCAGTTGCCGCAGAACACAGCCAACTTTCTCAGATGCGTTCTAAGATCCGAAGGTTGCCTGCTATCCACCGGGAAACGCTACGGACTACAGTTGAACACCTCGCCCGAGTGGCGGAACATTCGGACAAGAATAAGATGGACATCAAAAACCTTGCTATCGTATTTAGCAACGTAATATTTGGTGAGGACGAATTACCAAAGGGCGGTGATCTTCTCAGCATGCAGCATGTGAAGGTATGCACAACTACATCCTCTGTGACATAGTTTGACTCTAATTTGGCGCCAGGATACACGTATGGAGGATTTGATTTTGAACGCTCCCCAGCTATTCGAAGAGCACCCACTGAGCAGCTCGCCCCCACTGCCTGCAGCACCGGCAGGAGAGGTCCCACCTGTGTACCAGTACGGTTCGTCCCACACGAGGATCGCAAGCGTTCCGCCTGCCTTGCAATCCCCAAGACGAGAAGAGGATTTCACGCCAGTCCTCCCCCCACGGCCGACGAGCAGTATACACCCTTCACTTCGCGCTAATCCTGTTTCTCCTATCCGGGCGACGGCAGAGATACCTCCCTTACCGCGACCGCACACGCTCGAAGAGAAGCTCTCGTCTCCCAATACCCGGTCTCAGATGAATGATCAGTTGATATCCGATCCTTCCTTACCACTACCCCAATCTCCCCAAGCCAGTGTCATCTCACTTCCCTCGAGCGAGTCTCCTACATCTTAGTATGTCGTTGTATGTATTTTCTGCGTGTTTTTCGTACTGCACTAGGGACGCCTTGAACTCGTTGAATGTGGTTTGTATTGGTACGTATAGGTTTAATATAATGGACACCAAATATCAGAACGTGACCCTGAGGGCAGACGGTACCGATCACAGCTAGTGCAATTTCAAATGACTCGCAGTAGTCGAGAAGATCAAAACATTCGGATGCTGCGGGGTGAGTCACCCCTGCGGGTGTTTTAGTATTCACCGAGATACATGGATGGCATGTCGGAAGGTACAAGGGAAGTGATATGGATCATAGCATTTTCCATAATCTTCATCTTCGAAGAGTCAAACTAAGTAGATCATGCGATGCCATGCAACACGAAGGGGAAAAGACAAAGTACAGTGCAGTGTAGAGATGTGCATCTAGTTCTTCCGGCGGAATGACGAACCTGACAAGCATTTATCAGCACCGAGTCATCCAGCTGTGGTGAGATACGGAACCTTCTGTCAACCTTGCCTTACCACCTGTGGGCTGGCAGAGCACGCTTGCACACGACCCGCAGAGCACTACCGACTGCGCATGCGAGAAAACGGTTGTAATAGCAAAGCAACCTGACAAATGATGTCTGAAGTGACTAGTCATCCCACCGAGCAAGGACCTATACACACCTGGACATTTGACGTCCATAAAGTAAGAGTTAGGTGACTGCACAAGACGCTTGAGCTTGTGCTTTTTGTTTTCTGCCTCAGCTGAGGGGTTCAAGAGGTCGATGACAAGAGGCTGGGCGCAGGATTGAGATCTACAGCCCTACGCCTCAAACAACACAGCGCACCATTTTGGCGTGTTAACAGGTCGTATTTTCGGTTTGGTTGACGATGTGCGACGACGAGAAAATGCGAAAACGCTGAGTGTGTGGTATGCTCAAATGCGACAAGCGAGAAGTTGGGGCAGCGACGGTATGGCGAAAATTAGGTTAAGGTTTTTTCGGAGTATGAAAGTTTATTTCTCCGCCAAAACTCCTACCGGACGGCCGATATGATCTCTAGCATCTCGTCATTGACCCCTGTTGCCAGCAAACTCTACGCGGGTCGTGGTCAGTGGTTTCAGCATTATAGAAGGCCACTGGTCACTGATCACCAAAGAAAACGTACGAGTACCTCCACTGTCGACTATCACCTACTACATTTCGTTATTTGAACAGGTGAGGTATTCGATGGCAGGTCGATGAGGTTCTCCAAGCGACTGAATAATGGTGTGTGTGTGTGTGCTATACGTATCGGACACCCGGTAGGAGCTGTTGTACTCAGACAGTGTCGATGCCGCTTGCCAATGGAAAAAACTGTCCATCATGGTGAATAACATACCGCAAGAGACGCCTCACTTCACTCCGGCAGTAGAAATGTATATGTAGTATTGGGGGCTGAGGGCTAAGGATAGTGTATGGACCGTCTGTACAAGTTCGCTAAGTCCTAAGTAATTGCATCTTCAAAGCAGAGGTCGCTAACAACAGAAGAAGACTGTAGGTGTGCTGGTATGTTTTGCAACGTTGGAGTACTCGTCCAGTGGCGTGCGTTGATTCACATGTGAATAAGCGCATGCCACTGGGTGGTAACAGCGCTCACTGCAGCACCGCTAAGCCAGGCGTACGCCTACAGCTGGAAGGCACACCACCAAACGCCTCATAGTGCTGTGGGGTAATCCTTGTGAACACCCTCGAGTTGCGGAGACTAAAGGCTTGGACGTCCTTCTGACCCGATCAGCGCGTGAACCTCTTCATTCGATCAATGGCCAATAGCTTCGAGGTTATGAGTATGCTGGCATATGCTGTAGTGTATCGTCGATTCATCAATCATGTCGAAGATAGCAGATCCGCTATAAATATACTAGGATATCAGCGAGCAACGATATTCTCCGAAAGCGTATGGACACTGAAAGCCATAGAACAAGGAGTGTAGTTTGTGCATTTTGAGGATCACTGGATTGCGGAAGGCGCAATACCTGCACACTAAGGCAAGTCAATACTACTGAGGCACGTCTCCCCAGTATCTCTCGATCATGAAATCTTGGTCCATCTCATCATCTATACTACCCACCACCCATTCGTCCATGTTCGGTTCAACCATCCAATCCAGTGCATTGTCAGTTTGGCTGACGTCTGAACGTTTCTGATTGCGCAGTTTATCCCACCATTCAAGTACTTTGGGATGCGTCGTGACTCTAAGTCCATATTACATCATTGCACTGGTTAGATACAAGTCAGCTCACCTCCCTGGGTCGAAATTTAGGATCTCAAGACCGTCCATACTTGTTGCTCTCGACAGAGCGACATAAGCTGGAAGATTACACTACTAAGTCTTGATCAATTAAAGGCAATTAGTGTGCAAACCTTGACCTTTCTCAAAAATACGACCGAGATCAACTTTAACTCGAGAAAGGGTTTGACCTTGGGACTTGTGAATTGACATGGCGTATGAAAGAGCAAGTGGTATTTGTATCCTCCGTGCCTCGATGCCGCCCTTTATGTTTTCGACAGTAAAGTCCGTCGGAGCACAGAGAAGCTGTTTTTCACCAAACTTGACTAGTGGGAAAGCTTCACCCTTGCAAAATTCATGCACTGTATCAGCCGGAGTGAGTGTATGATTTGGAGGCAGCTCCCGGTTGCTCATGTCAGCAATATCGAGGAGGCGATTCCGGGCTTCTCGTATGGTAATAAACTCCATCACCCTCCCAAGCGACCCATTTACAAGGTCACCCTCGGGTTGGTTCTGGTATCCAGTCATTCAGTAGGGATTAATAGGGTCTAGTGAATCCAGCACAGACACGAAGTAACATCACTTGGGCCCCTACCTTGGAAGTTGGATGCTTCAGCAACACCTTCTAACAAATGAGGGAAACTCACTTTCAACGTCACTACCTTGGCTACAACTAGCCTCTCCAGCAACTGCTCACCCAAGTATGCCTCAATTGGCATGTCGTTGATGTCACGGCCATACGAATCCATTGCTCTGAACACGAAAGCTTCTCCTGGCAGAGTGCGTAGTCTTTCGTGGTTGTAACGCTCTACGTCTCCTTTCCGAGGGAAGCTAGCGCATTTAGTAGTATCATTCGCCCAGGACACCAGCAGGCCACGTACAGCTGGGTTGGCTCGATGCCATCCACATAATGAAGGGGGCGCGACAGCTTGTAGAACTCCTCGATTTGCCGCCGTTCCAACTTTCCCACTCGCATGGCAGAAAGCATATCAATGAATTCTGTGAACAGTATCCCGGTGCGTCCATGATAGCATTGCAGAAAACTCACTATCGTCCTTCTGTCGAAAAACCTTGCTTAGCTCCCCCATGAAATCGATACACCGGGACCAGCATTGTGCTTCGAACGCGAACAGTGCAGGTATTGAGGTGGTGGAGTCTTTATCGCTGACAGGAGGAAGTTGGAAGAAGTCACCTGATATTACAAGCTAGATGTCAGGGAATTTTCGGTGAGTGTGGCAACGGGAAGATCAATAAACAGACCTGTATCCCCCCGAAAGGCTTACTCGATTCACAAAGAGGGGGATCTTCCCCGCGAACTAACCGTCCTATGTGTTCCTGTCAATGAGACACCTGTTTCAAACAAAAGTATATTCATCATGAAATGGTACTTACCAATTTGTCGAACAGATTGCCGTCCAGCATGGAGACTGACACCAAATGGTTTACGGTAGTGGATGACATGACAAGTGGCACGCGTACTTTCATCAATGATTAGGGCCTTCGTGGACCTCCACCGCCTTTTCTTAGACATTGAGAGTCCATTGTAGAGTCTTTGAACAGACTCTTTCCCATAACCTACGCCCGCCCACGAATGAATTGTTCTCCCGCCAATGTTGAGTCCAGCCACACCCGTAGGTGCGGTTATAGCAACTTCCTCAGGACTATACATATTCGTAAGAACCTTAATAATCTCCCGAAGTAAGACAGATTTCCCAGTTCCTACAAAATGGTATCAAGGATGCTTCGTCGATAAAACAGATCGAAGGCCGCACCAGCAGCACCTGTGAAGAAAACATTCTTTCTTCGCCTCACCAAGTCCAAAATGCTCTCCTGTTCCTCTGAAAGTGTAACTTCCTGCTCCGGGGGAACAGGTGGCGGAACCTGACTCGGAGGCTGTTGAACGTGCTGAGGCGGCATGTGTGACCCCATATGTGTGTGATGCACTGGCTGCCGGGGAAATGTACTTGAACCGTGGGTGACCGACGTTGTCATTGCTGTCGCAGCCGTCGAAGATGTCTGTGCCCCTGCGCCAGGCGGTTGCATAATATTATTGGTGATGTTGACCGTCACATTGATATTTGTATCTGTACCTGAGTGGAAGAGCGAGTGAGTGGCAGTACGGAAGGATAGGAGCTCTTAAGCCACAGCACGAGGTCGAACGTATGCGGGTCGAAAACGACTACGAGAGTGGCCCTCCACCCCACAAGAAGATGGGAGGACGACACTACTCACGCATTTGCATCGCGGCCATTCTGCGGAAATGCATATTTAACCACTGTTGAGCCTCCTCAATCGTGTCAAAGCCTCTACCACTCGCTCCGCTCAGCCCATACGTCTGGGTTTGGTAACAGGTCAGAGCTACCGCCCATGCAATGTTTCAGCTCACTTACCGCTCTGAAGAACTAGCAGTTGACACGTGCATCCCCAACCTATGTATCGAGATTGTAAACGATGATGAACAAAGAGGGCCGCTCACCTTAGCGGAGTTATCATAAATCTGCGTACCCTCCCTCCCAACCAACACAGCATAATAGTTGTATGGCATACCCAGGTCAAAAACTCTAGAGGTACAGATCACTGTGGTCGAAGAAAAAGTAGTAACATGTGTCGTAACGGGGAAACATTGAACAAGTACTCGTGGCGACAAGCTATGTACGTAACTGGATCACCGGTAGCTCCTGATAGGGGTAAAATTCACTCGTTAGATCACACTTGCCAACTCAATGTGCCCTCCTCAGATAAGTGTACGCTTTTCACCGTCACAAGGACGTTCCACTGTCACCATTCCATTTCTTCTTCTTCCATCTCGTTATTCCACTCCAGCACACGGCGATGCACCATGACCCTGGATCTTAATATCAGTCATTCAATCCCATTTCTCTTCAAGTTGACCCACTTCGAGGCATGGAAGTTATAAACTTCCAAGGCATTGATGCTCGTTGCGCGCGAAAGAGCTACGTAAGCTACAGCCCGTTTCAATTATTTCGGAAAAAGCATCAGTAGAGACACTGGCCTTGACCCTTCTCAAATGTACGACCCAAGTCCACTTTGACGCGCTCCAAAGTCTGACCTTGTGACTTGTGCACGCTCAGTGCCCATGCGAGTATGAGGGGGATCTAAACCAAGTTTTTGTTATTGATCCGCAATTAAGATAGACCTCTTCAACATACCTGCCATCGGGTGGCCTCCACTTCCCCATAGGCATTGCTGACAGTAAACTCAGCCGGTACGCATAACAGTTCCCTTCCATTTGTAAACCGCACCACAGGCCACTTCGCATCGGTGTATCTGGTCACGTCTCGTAGCGCTTCGGCTTTATTACCTTTTAGACCCTCCTCCGTACCAATATCGATTGGGCTTTGCGATGCTTCCTGTGGTGTGCAAAACCCAATGACTTGGCCTACGCTACCGTTGACTAGTTGACCTTGGACCAGGTTCTCAAGAATAATAGCGTCACAATAGCTCTATCAAGGCAAAAGCCGACCTACCTTGATGAGCATGACCTGAGCACCAACCTTCAGAAGAACAGATCGAGGAGCTACGAGTCGGTCCAGCAAGCGTTCCATCTGTGGAAGGCTTACTCGCTCTCCATAAGAATTGATTCCCGGGGTGTCGGTAGCGTCGTAACGGGTCCCTGAACCGGGCAAAGCATCAAGTCTTGTTCGATTTGCACGTTCAACTTCTGCTCGAAGCGGGTATCTGGATGGTGTTAGCACAGAGATTCGTCATACGAACGAGTACTCACAACTCGGTAGGGCCGATTCCATCAGTATAGGGAACGGGCCTTGCTAGGCTCCTAAACGTCCGGACTACTTCGCCACTCGTTTTTCCCCAGCGCAGAAGATTGAGCATGTCAACAAAACCTGGGTACTGGTGAATCAATGTTGTGTAACTAATGTCATGAAAACGAACCTTGCTCCTTCTGACGGAACACCTTCGTGAGTACGACTGGTCGAGGAATACACCGCCTCCAACTCTTCGCCTCAAAGGCAAAAATCGCTGGCATACTGATGCCATTCTTGTCGCGGTCGGGAACAGGAGGAAGTTGGCAGAAGTCACCAGAAACCACTAACTGACAAGACACAAGCTGTATTTCTGAGTATCTCACGTGTGAGTGAATCGAAGTTACCTGTATGCCTCCGAAGGGGCGTTCATCTCTTCTCACCATCCGAGCAATGTATTCCTGACATGTGTAAAGCCCTGATTCCTCGCCTCGATATATTTGTGACTCACCAGCTTGTCAAACAAGATACCATCGATCATGGAAACTGAATCACGTTGAATGTCAATGAAACTCGAGTGCTCAGTCGGGGAATCCGGCCACTCACTTTCGTCGATAATTAGAGTCTGGACTTTACGCCACCGCTCGACGACGCTCTCAAACTTGGGCTGACCAAGAAACTTCCCCGCCAGCCTCTTTGCGTCTTCTTGTCCCAAACCTATCCCTGCCCATGAATGTACAGTGGTACCGCCAATATTTATGCTGGCTATACCCGTCGAAGCGGTAATAGCTAAGCGGCCAGATCCACGCCCTCCACAGACTCGGATGATTTCACGAAGCAGGACCGATTTACCGGTACCTGAAAGATGAGATCAACTGAGCAAGGTAGGAATATAGAATGTACGTTTGCCTACCAGCAGATCCGGTGAAAAATACGTTCTCACCCCCTTGAACCATAGCCAACACTCTCGTCTGCTCAGGGGAGAGAACGATATCTTGCGGCGGTGATGATATCGATGGCGTCTGGCTCCGCTCGGCGTTCTGGTCATCAAGGGTGATGCATTTCCCGACGGTCGCTGGCGTTGGTGTGGACGCGCCCGCCGGAATGAATGGCAAGTTGGCAGAAAAAGTAGCTGTGTAAGAATAGAAGCACATTCGATCTCTGCTCTGTCTAGATATATTTGATGTCAGAACCTCACCTCGTCTGGAGGGTGCTGCCATCCATTGCACTGCATCTTCTCTGGAGGTAAAAGATTTGTATTCAGCACGGGGCCACCTCGAAACCTCAACTTGAGGTCCATTTCACTGATCTCAATTTTTTGTAGCAAGTGAACTCACGTTAGCGTGGCACTGGAATAGGAGGTCAGTTACCATCGAGCACGGTAACAGTGACGCTAGCGAACTCGCCTCCGACCAAGTATCATAAATCTTCGGACCCTCGCGTCCTTCCCTCACTGCGTAATATTTTCTTCGGGATGAACTTGGCATATCTGTTCTGTTTGTAGTTTAAAGTCGCCTTCAGATGTTGATAATTCGTTGTAATCCACGCCACTGCAAATGGCTTTGGGAGTTGAAGCTTGAAGCCCCGCGATTCCCCGCCCCGGTGGTGCATGTACCAACCATCGAAGGTGGCATTAAATGATAATGTCTTGCCCAGAGAAGCTTCGGAGACGCTCTTCTTACTTGAAGGACTTTCCTCAAAAAGCAGCTTCTATGTGCGGTCACGACTCCAGCTTCTTCGACAGTTTGGGTCGGCAGTCGAACCATGTATGAGCTGTCGTGCCCGACGAGTTCCAAACAGCTACGTGGATGGAATTAACGGATAGGTAGGAAGAAACAGAGGTAATATATCTATGTGTCGACGATAGGTGTGACCAACTATCTTTATATGGCACACTCCATTCCACTCCAATGCGTATATGTATAATAACTTGATCACCTTCCATACAGGCATTTGTCTCCCGAGATAGGAATATCCAGACGTACTCTCTTCTGGTTTGACTTCGGATACACGATCATTTCTTCAATCGTTGTCGGGAGTGGGTATAGGCGGCAAGCATCGGAATGCGGAGCAGCGTCGTCACCACACATCTCTGGAAACACCGTGTCAGTTTCAGAGACGTCTTCTACACCCGGCGGTGGCCTCCAACCCAACCGTGCAGTCAGCTGTTCCGCAGCTGTGGGATATGAGAGGTACCTCGGCCCACGGCGGGTACGAGGGGGTTCATCATCATCAGACACTATCTCGTCTCCATCTGCATCCAAGTGCGCTGTGTGATAGTGCGCTCATAAGCCAGAGATGTATGAGTACTCATAACCAAACTTACCCCATCTTCTTCGTCGTCTGGTTTGACCAGGCTGTTGTTGTGGAGAGGATGTGCGTTCGCTCTGCCCGGTACTAACATTGACATTGTGATTTCCCCGTCTGGCCACTTCAACTGTTGGATGAGTTGAACGGTCGGGGCGCTCCCGTGCGAGGAGGTCTCGTAGTCTATCTCTCACTTCCACTGGATTATCAAGATCCAGGAAGACAGGTAAGGCCACCGGAACATCAGGCGTACCAGAAGCAGTTCGGTCAGAGCCAGGGGCATCGGCAGCAGAAGAAGTTGTTGGCAGAAGACCTGATGAAGATGGCGGCGGGTCGGGGTGTGTTGTAACATCGACACCCCCAATTCTGGATAGTGGTGTCCGCTGGGAGACACCTCTAAAGTGACGCGGCGATGCCAAATCATTGGGAAAAGGACCCAAACTAGCATGCGGTGGCTCATGACGAGTAGATCCGTAGGCTGCAGTAGGGACAGCCAATTGTCCAGTCCTACGTGCAATCAATCGATCGGTCATATTCTGCAGCTCATGTGCAATCTGAGCTGTCTGTGCCTGTAACCTCTGCTCCAACGAGCGAAACTGCGAGGTGCCATGCGAGTCGTCTGTCCAACCCGCAGCGACCCGAATTGCAACGCGTCTTCCGATCGTCGTGCTTGCTTCATCCAAGTCACTGCCCAAGAGTTCATGACGCATGTATGGGCGCGGCTGCGTGGATGTACGTGTACCTGGTACCATGAGATCTGGCATCGGTGGCGACCGGGAATGGAGAGGCGACACCGTCGTTGCTTGGAAGGAAGGGACATCATTTCTGAGATACCTCGGCCTTTCGCCGTGTAAAAACCTCTCCCATTGGAAAGGCTCCCTCCTGGTCATTCGTGTCCTCTCGAAGTCCTCCAGTCTCTGCCGAGCAGATGGAGAGATGAGCGTCCTCAACCTCTCCGCTCGTAGATTCAGCTCTCCTGCAAGTTCGCCATTCGAGAGCATTATTGCTGAGTGATCAGGTCCCATTCCTGCTTCTGAACCTCGATAAGGTGGTGATTGAGGAGTACTCCCGGGTGGCACTCGATTTAAGAGGCGGTTTATGCTAGTCCGTAGTTGAGTTATTCGCTCATAGGCAGCGTCTAAGGCTACCGAGGCTTGCCGCAAGCTCGCCTCGCTCTGAGCGTCGAGGTTTGGGGGTGATGTCCAGGTTCCGCTCGAAGACGACTGCGAAGGACCGTCGAGCGTCATCTCGCTACCTGCCGGAGTGGAGTCCACTCGAGAGACATCCGTCGGCGGTGGAACGTCACTCTCGTCCGGGTCCATGCCAAGCTACAAGAACGATTAAGACGACATAATCACTGTGTGACGAGAAAGTAGGCTTCCACCTCATGAAATTACCCTGTCAACTTTCGAAAGGGGTGGCGTAGGGGAATTCCAGGAGATGGGATAGCCACGGGACTCGGTTACTATGTAGTTATAGTAGTATTAACAATCATCATGCACATTTGTAACCCGGGATGCTTTGTACAACCAAACGCGGCATTAAAGTACTTCCTAAGAAAAACAAGGAGGGATTCTAGGCTATCTGACCACGTAGGTATATATTATTGAAGAGGGTCCAAAAGCTTGACTACGGCCCAATCCTACTCTCGCGCAGGTGGCTCCAACGTCTGTTTCTTCGGCGGTGATGTTTCCTGATCATTAGATGCAACGTGGGGTCGGAAGACCTTTGAAAGCAAGGGATCCGGCCCCGTATAGCAGAAGGCGAGTATGATGCACATCATAATTAGTGCTACCGTTATGACACAGATCGCTACCCATCCACGCCTGACATGGTCGTAAATCTACCAAGAGTCTAGTCAACACTAGCCAACCGTCAGAATGTGGACGCATGCATACCTGTCCGCCGATCACAGGGCCAACTTGGAAAAAAATCAGCCTCGTGAGAACAAATTCTGACGTACTGTTCTCACCTGCGGTGCCAATTCCGAATGCAAGATTGAACGCTCCATATACATGTGCATCTGAATCGTGAGGTTAGCCTGGACCCGCTGAAAGAATCAGAAGCCACGCACACCCTACGCCCTCCATGTTCCGTGACACGGCAGCCAGCTCGGAAGTGACTGGTGGGACAACCCCACCGACAAAGAAACCTGACATTTGGTTCACAAAGGACACAGACACAGAAATGGCAGAAAAACTACTCACTTTGTATAGCCAAAGACGTGATAAATAAAGCCAAGGATTTTCGCAGTGTCAGCACTAGCCACCATGGCGCTGTAAAGGCTAAGCAGAGTACAGTAATGTAGTCTGTTCCTATGCGGTCAGCTAGCCAGCCGGCGATAGGCGACGCTGCAAGACGAAGTCAGAACGTGTGTAGACAAGTGAGATATAACCAACAGATCAGAGCTGGTATGAAAGCAGCGAGGTACACCAGACCAACTTGACTGGAATCAAGGCCCCATACAGCTTGTAAGTGTAATGGCAAGGTTGGCTCCTCCATGCTATTCACAACACTGCCGAGAAGATGAGTCGTGAAACTGGGAAATGTAGGTGATATTCACCCATAAACCAACGACATGAACAGGGCGGTGAGAGCACGAGGCGACCGCAGTAAATCGGTAATAACAGAAAGCAGAGAAGAAGGTTTCCGCACAAGGGCGGCTTCGGAATCTTGTAGCATCCCAGCCAACGACCGACGACGTGGTGATTCAGGTGTGATAAGTCCAAGTTCCAAAACATTTGTTTGGTCAGATATCGCTGTCGTCACCGTCAGGACAGAATCTGATGGCATGGAAGTCGGTGGACGTTGTACGTCTGTTACCAAACAGGCCGCCGACGCCGATCCAGCTGGTGGGTGATACACAGCCCATGGATCGACGCCCCATGCAATAGCTTCATGTCTTTCGATCACAAGAAGACGGGCAAGGAGATCCAATGCCGCGCATATTGATCCGAAAATGAACGGTCCGTGGAAGCCAAAACGAGAATAAAGTGCACCTCCCACGGGTGAGCCAACAAGCAGGCTAGTCACAAGTCAAACGACGACAGTCAATGCTGATTGGTGGAACTTACCCCACAGGCAAGCCAGTCATCGCGATGCCCAGTTGCCCTGCATGGTTGTGTTATAACCAGCATGTCCGGACGATCAAAGACTTACTTCCAACCTTGTGCTCCGGTGTGGTGTCGCATCTGATCGCGGTTGAGCCCAATCAATCAATAGCAGAGTGGCAACTTACAGTAGAGCGAGGCCGACGACCCATATCATGGAGGAACTGATACCCTGGGATACTCTGGCAACAGCCATAAGGGCATAATTTGGCGCCAACATCATGAGAATTTGAGATATGATGAGGGCGATGAGACCGATAGTGAGGGGTATCCTCCTACTACTGCTTTTTTCGGAATAAACGGCAATTGGAATTGTTGCTGGTAAAGAGGGTGGGCAAAGAATATGAGCTTAACGAAGGGATGACCTTACAGAGAACGAGGCCGGCGGACTGTGACATCCATGTCAATGACAGGGGCTAGTCAGAGAGGAGGAAGGATACGCACGTATGCGCACAGCAACCATCCTGTGAGTGCAGATACGCTCTTATATTGCAGACGCTGCAGTTGGAAAGGGATGACTGGAATAATGATCGAATAGACGAGTAGGTCCGTCGTGATACCTGATGCGGGTCAGGAGAAAAATATAAATATGAGGATGAGAGAAAGACAGACCAAGACTGACGACTGTTGGGCAACACTGTCAGCGGGAAAGAGGGGGCGCGAATAAGGGCGCAGCGTACCGGCGGTGACAAACCATACAGAAGACCGCCAGCGTAGTCCCCAAGGTCTTCTTGTGGCCACAGTGATCCTCGGCAGAACAGGCATTGTGGGAGGGCTGCAAAAGACAGCCTAGCGGGTCGTGAGGGAAACGGGGGGAGATTAAAGAGAGGAGTTGTTTTTGCGAATACACGGTCTAAGTACTGCATGGATGACTGCAATTGGTGCTTGCGCCGACTCTATTAATACTGTCTTATATATACCAATTTGGTTCCAAACCTCGAATTTCCCACTGCCAGCTCAGTTCCATGCCAGAACTCCCAGGTAAGCCGTTGATCTCTACCTCGGCAGGCTGATGGGACCCCACAATCTGGCTGGCTGGCAATTGCAGAAGTAGAGTATGCCGCTGCTCTCATCCGTGAGCATGCAGTGGGGAAATTGATTCATCACGTCGACACGTTCGATGACAGCCTCGTCTTCTCTGGCTCTACCCACCAGGAATTTGTGCGTCTCTGCAACCCACGTTCCTGTTCCTCGGCTCATCATTTTCGCCGCGCACCAGGCGCGCGAAATCACCGGTCGCATCGTGGATGATGCAGCTCGTTACGGTAATAGTTAGCGTCGCCTCATTACAACGTCGTACGATTTCTTTCCTTCTACTTCCCCAGGAAAATATTTCTATATTCAACTGCAAGGAAACGGAAGGATGCCCGTTCTCCACTTCGGCATGACTGGTGCTTTACAGGTGCGAGGCTACCACGTGTGACGTCACTGTTCCCGTCAGACACGTATCCTACCAAGGTGAGAGGCCATGCCACGGTCAAGTACAAAGTTGGCGCCACCAGCCCATCCGATGTGTGGCCGCCACGTTACGTGAAGGTACAGCACACCTCTGTCTTCACGTCTGTCAATGATTGGTGATACTGTATCCCGTCCCCAGTTCATCCTATACATCCAGAATGGCAATTCTGCTACGTACTTCACAGAAATTGCATTCTCAGATGCCCGCCGCTTAGGTCGCATACGTTTGGTCGTGTCCCCACTCAATGAGCCGCCTATATCAGAACTCGGTTTCGACCCCGTGTTATCTATGCCTTCGCTAGAGGATTTCCATGCTTCCTTGTCTAAGAGGACTTGCCCAATCAAAGCCCTTTTATTAGACCAAGCTTTCAGCGCCGGCGTCGGGAACTATCTCGCAGGTATTTTCACACAGGTATCACTTTAGACTGCCATTTACTTGAACCCTATTCCCAGACGAGATCCTGTATCAGGCCCACGTGCACCCAGAACAGAGGTGTAACACTCTAGATAGAGATCAGGTTATCGCTTTGCACCACCATGTCGCTGACGTGTGCCGTATCACGGTTCAGGCCAATGCTGACAACAGCAAGTACCCTAAGCATTGGCTATTTAAACATCGTTGGGTACGTCCAAGCTCTAATCACCGCGGTCAGTACGAAGACTCGCGTGCGCTAACAGGGGAAAGGCAAGAATGTCAAGACAACCATGACACTTGTTGTACCCTCTCCTGCGTGTCATTAGCTCGGTCACTGACTCATCGGTAGCCGTCGGGTGAGCCCGCCACGATCAAGTGGATAACCGTAGGTGGCCGCACATCGGCGTATGTCGCCGAAGTTCAGAAACGTTTGCCATCCTCAAAGGGGAACGATCCCGTTGCAGCTGCCGTATGTCGTGTCACTAGTTACATGAGCCGTATTCAGCGATGACATTCACTTTAGGCAAGCGACACTGTTGCAGATCATGACGACGTTGCGCAACGCAAATCACGGGGACGACAGGTACGGTGCTTGGAATGCCCATTGCATCTGGTGGTAATCCAACTATCCCACAGTCCAGACGTGTAGATGACGACATCGTAGAACAAGGGTATACAGTGCGTCCGAAGAGAAGACGGACCAATACATAAACGTCATGATCCCTGTCGGGGTGAATACAACAGGGGACTTCGTACGTATACGGTGACATAAAATGCATCCGCTTAAACTCATCGATCGCGGCAACGCCATCAAGCGTTGCATCGAGTAAGGCTGATCGACTATGCCCTAGCGACCATATCAATGGTAACATACATATGTCCTAGCAATACTTCTGAAGAGCAAAATCTAAGTCTGGGCCTCATTGAATGTATCAGATAAAATACAACTATGGTAATTACTGTAGTACAATTCAGCGTGTATATGTGTACCTACAATGCGTAATAAATGCGACAACGCGAAAGAGAGTTGGACACCGGATGGTATATGATATGTAGTGATATATATCGGTGCATAACCGGACCTCGTCTCAAGCTATCAGTGAGGGCTTACAGCGGTGGCAAGGGGAGGACCGAACATTTCTAATAGAGAGGAAAGATCGGCTGGAGAGGACTAAATCAGCAAACAGTAGCAGCATAAGACGAGCCAACTCAACTCTTCTTCAGTGGCTTACTCAGGAATAAATTCATCCCGGCACTCAGGCAGAACTGCTTCGTAGATTCTTGAGCATCCGCGCTCAAGGCAATGACTGTCAACAAGAAGTAAGTAGGGTGTAACAGCAGAGCCTCGTACAAGTATGTACCTGGCAGCGAGATTGTGGGACACCTAACGCTCTCAAGCTTCCTTAATCTCCTGGTCGCCTCGACACCATCACACACGGGCATGTCTGCAAAATCGAGGATGAGTCACACCTACGTATATCAATCGAGAAGAAATCGCTAACGGTGATCGAAGAGAGCAAGTGCAAAGTAACCAGGTTCACGTGATTCCCATGCTGCACAACTGGTCAACAAGTAGCTAAGCCACCAGGAAGCTAGACAACCTTTCAGAGCCTCAAGACCGTCACTTGTCGCAACGACTTTGAGTTGGTATCGTTCAAGCTGTTTGATCAAGAGACTCCGTGCCACGGCATTATCTAATGAATGATCGGTAAGAGAAAATGACAAGTATGCTGCAGATCGATAATCACCTTCGGCTATGAGAACATTGCCAAAGAGCGTCCTTCGTGGGGTTTCCGCCACCGGGGATGTCGTAACGACAGGAGACAGAGGTGCAGAGGGAGCTACGACGCCTCTCAATTCCGCAAGAACTTGAAGAATACGCATTTTGCGAGCGGGCTTGATGATCTTGGCAACGTTTGGATTCCCCTCGATGGCGGCTGATTCCGACAATGATTGTGAGGTCGGTGTGTAAAGGTGAATGATCTTGGTTTGGCGAAGTCCAGGTGTGTTCGACCATCGGAGGATCTGTATAACATCTACGACTTGTGTTTGGCCCTGGTCGTCGAGTATCAGGAAATCTAACCAATCATCCTTTTGATATTGCCCCAAATGGGAATGCAAGGCATCCAGGTCAGACAAAAGAGTGACGTCAAAACCTTTCAGAATGCTGCGCAACAACGCGCGTGTCGCAGATGAGACAGCACAAATCACGACTTTGCTGGGGCGTAGTCGAGTCAAGGCATTCCGAAGATGCTCGATCTCTGAAGAAGCCTTTCAAAAACCATGGATTACCACAGGTCGAGCCTCAGCAAGTAAGAATAACTAACCTTCCGCGAATCTTCCGTCTCACAAGTTTTGACGGGGATCGTGAACCAAAACGTCGATCCGACATCCGCATTAGACTCCACTCCGATAGAACCACCAAGCAGTTTGACTAGCTGCCGCGAGATTGACAAACCCAAACCAGTCCCTCCGAAACGCCGTGTGGACGAATTGTCGACCTGTTGGAAAGGCACAAACAACATTCCTCTGGCATCTGGAGACAAACCAATGCCCGTATCCCTAGTTGAACAATGTGAGCCCAAACGAACTTCACCCAGAGGAAGCTCCCTACTTGACTGAAAACTTGATAAAGACTTGTCCCGAACAGGAGGGTACTGATTCCTTATCGACAGAACATAGGACGGTCACAGATCCGGACTCGGTGAATTTGATGGCGTTCCCAATGAGGTTCATGAGGACTGTATCTCGTCCGTCTCAGGGAACGGAAACCGGCAATGGGGCACCCACCTTGACGAATGCGTGTATGATCCGATAGGATCCCTGCATCAGCTTCAGAAAGTTTCCAAAAAAAAACAGTTGAAGACTAACACTCTGGAACGTCCTCTTCGATGTTATATGACAAATGCAGCTTCTTCGCGGCAATCGGAAGAACTAGCTCCAGGCAGTCCTGGAAAATGCGGGAAGATAGTGAAGATGATTGCGACTGTTAGGCGAAAATCATTTACCGCAATGACATTCTCAACAGGGAAAGCCGAGAAATCAAGTTTCATAGCTTGAATAACAAGTCAGCAGAATCCACGAACGATATAGGGAAAGCATAATTACCGGAAGCTTCGAGCTTGCTGTAATCCAGTATGGAATCTATGATCTGCATCACATACTAAGTAACCTAACACATCAAACCATCGCGTTTCGCCCACTTTCAAGAGGATTTCACAAGACTGTTTTGCTGTGTCCACTGAGTGCAGTTGAGAACTGAAAGGTCATCCGAGGCAAAGAGAACACCTGCCGATTTCCCTTTGGCCTGCATTGAGTTCCGTCCCGCTTAGGAGATCAAGCAAACCATAGAAAGAACTGTAGCGAAGGAGATCAGCACCCAGAATAAGGTCAAAAACACGCATCCAACCTAAACGGTGTCCGCATCTCATGAGACATGTTGGCGATGAAGCGAGATTTGACCTAAAAGACCGTCCGTAAGGACGCTCCCGATCAAAAAAGTGCTTAATTACCCTCGTGGCACGGATGGCATCCTCTCTGCTCTTCCGTGCAGCTTCTAGGGCCTCTCTTTGAGAAGCTATCATCTTCAGGTTTTCTCTGGTACCCGCCTGCACTGAGCGGAACAAAATCGCACTAGATATGCTGATATTTGCTTGTTGGCAGAGGACGTTCAGGGTGATCACAGTAGTCTGCGATAGAACCCTTTTGGTCGAGACGTAAAGCGCTCCGAGAATCTGGCCTCTGTTACTGAAGATTGGTAGACCGATTTCAGACAGAGGCTCGTCATTGTTGTGCTCCTCTTTATGGTAGTTCTGTTTTGAGTCCAACACTTGTACCTAGTTAGCATGGCCTCTGTCGATACATTTAGACGACTCACCACTTTGGATGGCAGTTATTTGTGACGACTCCAGCATTCGCAACGGTTTCGGATTCCTAGTACCCGAATATTAGCACCTTTGCAACTATACCAAAATCACCATGATCACGTACTCAAATACCCGGCAGAGTTCCGGAGGTTGGAGAATTGTCGCCACGCCATACTCGCCAACCTCAGTCATGATTACGATACAACAGCAATGAGACTGACACATGTCTGGTTTTGAAGTCAGAGCACAGCGGGAATGGTGCGAGCAGCATACGAATACGAACCAGCAGTGATCTCGGTCAGTCTTTGCAGAGCTACCACGTAGTTAATTACACTACACCAAGGAGATCGAGGAAAGTTACCCGACGACAGGCTTATGCAGTCCGCTATTTCTTTGCTCCTCCTGATAACCAACATCAGGTCGGACGGAGGTAGAGACGATATGCCGTTCAACTCGTCAGTTGCCTGGGTGTCCAGAGACATTGTCCGCGAAACAGACAAAGGTGAGTTGTCAACGTAGATATCTGTTTGAACCGCTGTGTTCACATAGGACACAGAACGCCTGGGTGGGGGCCGAACATGTGGATCCACGATAGCTGTTAAATTGCGGCTGCGAGATGGATAAGAAGTGTGAGTCAATCATGACGCTAAGCGCAACTTACACGATGCCATATGCGCCCCATTGCATTTCCTTCGCTATTCCTTGCTGCTGTAACTCGGCTCCGAGGCCTTCGACGCCAGTCCGGACAAGATGACTGCCTTCCTTCGGGGACGTGAGGCGAAATCAAATTGAGTGAGCAACCTTGCGCACCAGATAAAGGGCCAACCCTTCCTCAAGGACCCACCCATGGTTATTGGCCAATCTAAACGCTGGTTAACACCAAAATCGCGGTTCTTGCGGTTGCACGTACTTGACTGCCATGTCGTATAACCGCAAGGCTCCATTTTCGCCATTTAAAGAGGCCATCTCCGCTTCCTGCGTAGCATCTCAGGCAATACCGATGAAGTTAGCAGTGGAAGCGATGCGTACAACGAGAGCAATCCAAGTTCCTGTGTTTACCGGGGTTGACGCTAACCACCTGCGCGCGATTAAGAGAAACCAACAGTATAAAGTGCAATTTGACCCGTACCTGCGAATGTACGCTTGGTTCTTTATTACTTGGTCCACATAGCGCGACCGAGTTTTTGAGTCGAGGTCTCCCCGTCTCAGACAAGCTATCAGGGCTAGACTGTGGAAGAACGTAGAATAACGGGCGTGTCGATGACTGTACTGAGACGTCAGAATCTATACCACGCTTCGAGAAAATCTCACCGACTTCGGGTGACATCCACGAGCATCGTAGACCATAAAACCGAGTTCGGCGGCGGCATCGACGAAACCAGTACAATATAAGGCAACGACCTATTGGGATAGTTAAGTAACCCGCCTACTAGGTGAGCAACAAAATGGGAAGACCTTGAATGCATTATACCTTCGAATAGTGGATGATCAAAGCTTGGACGGCAGGACGTATGATGCCACTCACCAGCCTAGCGACAAGAGACTGTTACCGGTGATCTGGGTAATTCTTTCCTGATACTCTTTATCGTCGAATGCGTCAGTGTTGAACACAGTGTCAATAGACGATGCATCTGTATAGCCGCCCATCGCCCTGACGCAGTTAAGAAGACCTATTTCAACTCAGTAGAGAGCCGTTTATTGCACTAAGACAGACAGACCTTGAGCCAAAATCGTTCCGTCGCTGTTCGGCGTCCACGCCTCTACGTCGTTAGAGCACTGTATCCATAGTGAGCCAACACAACGGATCAAAACAACTGTGCGGACCTCTTCTGCAGCTACCACCAAGTCGGACACTGTAGTCCGTCAGTCCCACTTATGACTATATGCATTAAATACCTACGGTGTTCACACGTGTAAAGCCTGGCAAGTACGGTATAGACGGACACGAAGCATGTATAGCCGCTGACGTCGCTATATGAGAAACCATAATGAATTGTGGTTGCCTTCGCGACTTACCGATCACCAGAGCTATGACCATACTTGAGCCCATCCTCTAACAAGGGAATGGTGTGGCGCATATGAACGTTGTCATAGGGTGCCACCAGAGCAGAATACAACAAGGTAGCACGGCTGGCAAGATTTAGTCAGCGAAGATGGATCCAAGGGCCACACACTAACCATTTTTCCATCCCCCCTCCATGCAGATATGCAATGCGTAATGCCAACTTTCCGAGGTCAACAGAAAACTTGAACAATTCTCGCTTTTCAGCTGCGGCTATGTGAAGAGTCACCCCACCACGTGGAGGATAGGACAAGAGAATAATCACCTCCGATTGCCCAGAAGAAACCTAACGATGTCCCCGGAGAAAAACCAAACCTACGACATCGTTCAGCTCTCCAAACGGCTCGATCATCAACACAGTAGACTTACCTTAAGGCAAGATTGATTGTCTGGTCGGAAGGATGCCTCAAAACGAACAGCATTGTTTAAAGTAAGCGTGCCTTACAGTCAGACCTATGACATCAATCATACTCTCCGACAGGGTCCAGTAAGCATTGGTTCCTTTTTTCGGTAAAAAGGACATCAGCAAAGTCTGAAATGTCAACAACAAAGCCGCCTACCAGCGTCATTCAGAATCGATACTGCTAGATCTATTCGTGGGTTTGTTGCCCTTGGTATCTTGAGCATCTCTTCGTACCCAATAGCAAGAATCCGGCCTTTGACATCCTCAAACATCACATCTGCAACCTCCTGAGTAGCAGATGATCCATTTCGACACCTAGAATACGCAAAGCGTGAACGAGCGTATCCAAAGCATTACTAAACTCATTCCGTAGGAAATGGTTGTTGGCTCGTATTCGGAGAGCGCGAGCTTGATCTTCAGGAGATTGAGCGTGCTGTATGTATTCCGCTATCAGGCTTTCCGACTTTGTCAAGTCGCCTAGCGAATGTTTAGAGCAGCCCACACCACGACAACCTCACGTTACCTTTCCAGGTACAAAGTCTCAAATGCGGAATAAGCATAAATGAGACGGCGCATGATACACGGAACTCACTCGGCCAATTTAGAAAGCAACAAAGAGGATCGCTTGGGATTGAGGGTCCAGTGATCCGTACTCAAAAGGCTTTGGGCACTGAGAAAAGCCTGAAACGCAAGCTGCGAAGGGTCGATCACTCCCATTATACATAGCAGATCGCCATCATACTATACCTCATGTGCCCCTCTTGCCCAAGCAGATTCACCCGCGTCAATAAGCACGTCCAACAGTTGTTCGCGGTTGGGCTGCTTCAACAGAAGGGGTATACATCTATAACCAAGAGTCACGAAATTCATTTGTCAAGTCTCACTGCGCGACGAACCGTCCAGCATGATCGACAATCTTATGCACGTCCGGAACCGCATCGTGCAGCACCGCCAATATGATCTTTAAGATTATCAACGTCACATGTTACGCAGGGACCGGCACGATTGACTTACACGAAACGACATCTTCGATAACACATTCCCAGGTAGAGCTGCCACTTCTTGCTGAACTGCAAGTCGATACTGGTCATGCGCAAAACTGCACATATCACGTCCCTTCTGGACAAGCCATCCCTCGTTGATAGCCCCTTGAAGCCCTCGCATCGAGTCGCCAACACTCGAGCCGCGGTTTTTGAGGATGGATATGGCTTTGGACAAGTTCCACACATCTTCGTCTTCGTCTGAACTGCTTCCGCTACTGTCCTCCCAGTCGATCAGGAGTGCGACTTCATTGGCCTTAAACCTGGAAGTAGCATGTCAACGACGTGGACACTATACTCGCATGGGGTCGCCACTGACGTCGTTCCAAAAAGTGAAGCCCACATAAGGTACTTCTTCGTGGCTTCAGGAAGCTCACGAAAATTCTCAACGAGGAAGGACTTGTCCATCGGGTCCGAAGTGGTTTCCTGATTTACCAAAATAGACTCGATTGTGGTTATGTCAAACCTGTCACAATGTTGAACACCCTCGGTCTGGCTAGACCTATCGCATACTCACTGCCAGTGATTCCGAGCCCAGTCGAACGTGATCTATGGCCGCCGTGAGCAAAGTGTACGAATCTCACGCATACACCCACGTGGTGATGTCGTTGCATGGCATTCAGGAGGCTTCTGGCCAAGAATGCATTACCCCCAGAAGCCGTGTACACTAGTCTTGACAGACGCGAACATTCTTCTCTAGGTCGGTGCAATGCTTTTGCAACGAACGACGATATCGCAGAAAACGGCAATTGTTCTAGGGTAATCCAGGTCGCCCTTGCGCGGTGAGAACACATCGAGCGTATTCGGTCCATTAGCTGCCTACATAATGCACGTCCATCTGTACCGTCGGGATGCGAGGTCGTAGTAGGACTTACCCCTCCGGTTTAACTGTAGCGAAGACAAGCTGTGAAACCCTTAGTTTACCGAAATTATCCACTAGAGAGGGTACGCACCATGCGACTCCTGGAGTTGATAAGGGCCTCCACGAGATCTAGGGACCTAGCGCACACTTCAGCTGGGACACTGCCACCGCACAGTTGCTCGACGTACGCGTTATCTGCTTCATGTAGATCATCCAGAAACAATGCGACGGGTCTGGTTTCAGTAATGACGCTAAAGACACTTTCAACCAGGTTCTGAAATCGTGCGCTTAGTTCGCCCGTTGCTAATCTGGCCCATCCCCCCGGTTCTCCAGAAGCTTTTTCGATCGCGTTTTCAATTCCGTTTCCTAAAGCGGCAGTGTTCATTCCCCAAGCCTCGAGTACAGCTTTGACAACAGGAGATCCTGCGAAAAGCAAGGGTAAATTGGCTAGTTGGGGGCCAAGGCGTTCTGTTAAAGTTCTAACGAAATGATAGGCGTCAGCCGGTTTGAACGTCAGCTGGCGAAGCGCGGAGGACAAGGCAGAGAGCTGTGATTGTTTCAGCGTCCTGAACGTTACAGAAGAAGTAAGCTACGTGCCAAGGCCGCGAAAGGTGCTTTGTCTGTGGTCTGAAACTTAGCCTGCGCCCATAATCCATTTACTGTTTAGTAATCAATTAGAAACCAGAAAAGTGAAAGGATTGCAAACTACCTTTCCACTTCGATTGATTGGCCATCACTAGTGAGCTCTTTCCCACGCTGAGAGACATTACAGAAAAACGGTGATGAATTGGAATACAACACTCACCCTCCATCCCCAACGACTACAATTGCATGAGTCTTAATGCCCCGCTCCTTAGTCTGTAACGCGGCTCTCCGCAAACTTGTAGCTACATCAGATGTCCCAGTGGGGGGCGGAAACACTGGCTCTCTGGCATCACGCCCGGACTTCGCAGCCGAGTTAATGGGCGACGCGGTGGCTGCGTTCTGACCGACTGGCAAGCTGTATACGCCCTCTACCTTGGCGGGGGCTAGTTTCGGACTCTCCTCGGTACTGACAGCAGAAGAGGATATTGCATCCTCGTCATCGTTGTCTGTCCCCGTCCCTTGAGAGCTCGTGGAGGAGACGGACGGGGGGGTCAAAGCTTTCATTATCGATGATTGACGGGAGAACGACGTCAGGCTATGTCTGATGACGTTCCGGATGGTTTCCAGCTCCTTGTCACGACCACACTGCCCAGGCGGATGACTTTATTTGGATTGTGCAACGAACGGCACGACTCACCAGTGTATGTGGAATGATAAAGGTCTACAATAACTCAACAATGAGCAGCAAGAAGCGTAATTCAGACTCACCGAATATTTGTCTTCTTGTCCAATTTTAAACGCGGGTATGAGCTAGACATAGATCAACGTCACATCCGGAAAGCACCAGCAGCTTGACCTGCCTCGGTCGATGGCTCTAATGAAGATGTCGACACACTCGACAGCAAACGTTTTTGGCATTCAAGCAAGTCAGCCTTGAGCCCATATGCACTCTGATATCGCGCATCGGGCGACTTCGACAGGAGCTGAAACGTGGTGAGACACGAAATAAGAATATATAGGATCTTCTCTCACTTTATCGATGATGTCGCCGATAACAGTGGGGACGTCACTTCTTACTTCACTAACGGGAGGGGGTCGTTTGGTTCCCAATGCTGCCAAGACCTCCGCAGGACTGACGTTGCCATGATTGCTTCCGCTCAGGGCAAAAGGTAATCGACCTCTGCCCACAACACACGTCCAGAACAGCATGCCAAGTGAATAGAGGTCTGCGCGATGATCTTCCTGGACAACTGAAGGTGAGGAAGAAACTTGTTCGGGAGCCAAGTAATGAAGTGCTTCGATGACCTTCTCCGGGGATATCGATCGAGATACTAAGATGGTATCGCTATAATTAGGGGATTTGGACGTGGAAATATCGGGTGATGAAGCGCTGGCCACCAACTCTAGTGACGAAGCTGAAAGGCCATAATATGGATGAGAGTAGTCGAGGACAAGTTGTGTTGGACCCCCTGCTTCCTCCAAAGATACAGAGCGGTTTCCGAAGTGCACGATCCGCACAACACCCGAGTGGACGTTAATGTGGAAAGCATTGGCACGAACTGAACGGATTTTCGTGTGAACAATAAAGCGACGATCATCACTGGATAACCTACCCTCTCGATGAACGAAACCGAGCCTTAAGGGGACAGTCAGAGTACTCCTTTTATATATAAGACATGATCGCACCTATGTACCATGTCAAGACAATGGGTTGCCTGAATAGCAAACCTGCAAAAAGTCACGTTCGCAACGGTAGGTTATGGCATCAGATGACGCACTCTAGGAACGAGGCAAGATCCATCACATCATATCTCTCCTCCTCGATGTCCTCTACGTCGTTGAAATCCAAGTTGTCGAGGGGTAGAAATGCACCATCGTAAATGTCATCGTGTTGTTCTTCTGTTCTCTGCGTCTCGTCGGTACCCCCGCTGACTGTGGATAGCTCCTCTGTGAGAGAAGTGTCTGGATCACGATGGGCCTGTTGTGATCCTTCAGCCTCAGCTAGGAGAAAATCATTCACTTTGGATGGGGGAAAGTATTTCGGCAGTAGGTTTGCGCCAGGATGCACAAGCAGCAAGACCACACAATCCCCATCAACACGTGGTAGTACCAGAAATTCGATCAACCGCAACGTGGTGCTTAAAGCCTCTGGAGACTCTCCGAGTTTACTCAAACTATACGAAATGGGAAATGAGTGTTTGAAATTGAAGCATAGGCAAAAAGTGTTCACATATGGGCCTCGCGCTGGAGACATATTGAAGATGCGGAATGTGCTGGGGCCATCTTCGCGAGGACGAGAGCACCATCCTTGAGACTGCGACCCTCTGCAATGAGAGTAGAGCTGCCAGTGTCGTTCCATGGGTAAGCCTGGCAGTCAGACGGTAGTTAGAAAGATTAGATTGCACAGGGGTTCCGACGAATGGAAACTGACTTTCTCGAATGCGTAACCTGGCACAGAAAGTATGTTATCCTTGAAGTAGAGTGTCGAGCTGGACTGGGAGGTGTCTGCTACAGACATGGAGGATACGGACGAGATATGAATGGACTCTGTCGTGGAGGAAGTCGGGCTACGATCGAAGCCCGTCAATGACGTATCAAGAAGGTATTAATGGTAAGTCTCTTCCACGAAGATCGAGGCAGGAGTGGCATGCCAAGCCTTGTCGTCACCCACGACACGAAATTCTGAGGGGTTTTCTGGTCGCCCACTGGGCCATGGTCATATACAATTGCGCAGGATGTACTTGTCGCCACGCCCAACACCAACTGGCGTCGATAACACTCCATTTCCCCACCAATCACTATAATAATCAGATCTGAGAGCTTGGTGGCCATGCATTATTACGTATCTCCGCATCGCATGCGGTCGCCGTCTGCGCAATTTTTCCTCTTTTTTCCCCCCGTCAAACTTGCGACAAGTACTGCAGCACGTAGTCACTCGCTTTCTTCACCTAAACTGACCAAGGACAGGAACTGCAAGTCGCCAGTGAGAGGAGACCAGCAAGCTGGCCAAACAGAAGTTCCGCACCCTTCCGTGCTCCAAATCCTTTAAGGACAGCAATATCTAGTGGTTGGTGATAAATTAGAGCCTGGTCATGTCCAATTATCCATTTTGGTGAGTGGAATCATCTGGTATAGCTTTATCATGTGTGTTCACCAATGATGACAAGGCTTGGAGGTTGGTCACTCGTTGTCGCTCAGAAATCGTCTAAATCAGTACCTTACTCAAGTTCTTCGGGCACGCAGGCATTGCTGCTTCCAGTGTGTCGTGATTTATCTGGCTAACTGCTCCTGCTCTCATGTAGACTCTTAATAGTGGCAGCATCCATCACCCATCCATTGGACCTCACCAAGATGTAAGTTCCGTTGGCCATTGTCCAATAGCACTTGCTTGACCATGGCAGCCGCATGCAAACCCTCGGCCCAGCAGCACAGCCGCCCTCCATGATTGCTGTAATGCGGGCTTCCCTGGGTGAAAGTGGCTTGAGAAGCTTTTATACCGGTCTTTCTGCATCTCTTCTCCGACAAATGTCGTATACGCTCGTTCGGTTGGGTAGTTATGAAGAGATGAAACGAAGAATGTCTCTAAGAGGTCCACTTCCGACCGGAAAGCTCCTTCTGGCGGCTGCAGCAGCAGGTGCACTTGGTGGTGTTGCAGGAAACCCGGCAGGCATGTTGAGGCGTAGAGACTTTCGTTTGCAGCTCTTTCGCTGACTACGGTGTAGACATTCTCTTGGTACGGATGACCAGTGACTCTTTAAAACGTCCGGAGAAGCGTTACGGGTACCGTAACGCTCTGACAGGCCTCGTCAGCCTTTTGAAGGAGGAAGGGATTAAAGGTATTTACAGAGGCCTTGGGACCAATACGGTGCGTTTCGACTTGTAACTTTACGATGGCCCAGCTCTGACTGGCTTCAAGGCACGTGCAGTGTTGATGAATGTATGCTTCAATGAGTTGCTTTTCTTTCTCCGCTGATATAATGATTGTTTTCGCCCAACAGATATCTCAAGTGGGATCGTAAGTAGGGCTGATTGCTCGCAGTGATTGATGCTATTCTCACGAATCGTCGATCTTCCCAGGTATGACTTCTTCAAGGCCACGCTCCTTAAACGTCGTTTACCTCTGGTAAATTATCAATTCCAAGATAACTTCTCGCTCCACTCCGTAGCAAGCTTCGCAGCAGCGACGTGCGGTACAAGTGCGTTGACCGCGCTCGCGGACTCATGAATCGATGTTGACTATAGTACTCGAATTCTAGCTGTTTGTTCACCTGCTGACGTTATAAGAACGAGAATTATGGCCTCGGTCTGTCTGAACGCCCCTTTGACAGTTGCATATGTTGATTGTCCTCCAGTCGGCGCAGGCGAGCCCTATACGCATCGTCATGCGTTCTTTACGGGAAGAAGGTCCGATGTTCATGTTCAAAGGCTGGTGTCCAGCCTTCATGCGCTTGGGACCCAACACAGTTCTCATGTTCGTTTTCTACGAGGTGAGTCTAAAACAGCGAATGGATAATTTACGGCCCTGATGTGGCTGTACAGCGACTCAAACGCTGGTGGTCCTCTATTGGCCACACTCGGTAGAAGTGGTTGTCGGGTCTCCTCCCTAGAGTTTAATTGGCGCGTGCCATATAGTTAGCTGCGTTGAGCATTTTACACTTCGTTTTGTACAAGTTTTGCGTCACGGCACTGATATTATACCTTGACAAGACACATATCCCCGATAGTGGGGGAGGGTTTTCTCTGCGGCAAATGGTCAGTGACCCTGCAAAAATGGGTTAATGCCGTGAGATTGAGTCGTGTTAGCAACTACAAATGATGCATATCTCACCCTGGAGATGGCAAAGGCAAGAGGAGAGGAAGACAAGTGACAAGCTGCCTGTGGGGTCTCCACTGAAGAAAGTTGCTGTCATGAATGACATGGTCCCCATGGAGGTGACTATGTAGTTTCCGTTCTGATTCGTTTCTTGGTGCACCAGAAGACCAAAAAGTTAAACTTAGTTCGAATTGCCTTGTACTACATGTGTTCTCAGCAATGCATCCGTGGCTCGGGCACATAGCCTTCGGAGACCTCGATAATCACGTCCCTCACCCCCATGACCGACTCCTCTCTCGCGCGAATCAACGGCAATTGGCTGAAATCGGGATCTCCTGCAATCCGCCACACGCTCTCGGATTGACGAACCGAACGCTCTTAACACCCGTCCAGTAACCTATCATCCCGATGCACACACGGAGACAGAGAGATCACTCCACGCCCCATTCAGCAAGCCTAACGGCTGACGATTCAGTGTAATTAGAATACCACAATTGACAGAAGTCTTAAGCTGTCCCTGCTACTAGGTGGAACGTCTGAAACGGCCGGCGGGAACGGCGGCCGAAGGCCTTGCCATATAGTGCAGAAGTCGCTCACTAGTAGGGAATGTGCGGGTTACGGGGGGGGCCTAGTCAGTACGCTGCTTAGGACGACAAGCCCTAATACACTTAAAATGCGAAAGAAAGTCTTTAGGGTCGGGGACTACATAGCGCCCACGCTGCTATACTAGATATTAACGTAGATATTGAGTAGATGTACCAGAGCGTGAGTTTGAGTCTATTTGGCCAACTACCCTGCTTTTGGTACGTGCGGATTTTAAGACAAGAACTGCACTCATGGATGCCTTTCAACTCCTTTCCCGGGGGGGAGTACGCTTTGACAAGCAAAGATTCCAGTCGGATGTACGGCTGTTCAATGTAAGTATGTACAGCAATCTTCCATACACGGTCTCAGCCTCACGGTTCACGTCGTTTTCTTTGGACGTGTCAGAAATCGAATAACACTGAAACCAAGGCTGCCGTGTCGGTTTCGCTGGACTCGCAGTTGCCTCCAGAGCTCGATTTTTTCAAGTATGCTACGGGCGGACAGAGCAAAAGAAAAGTAACGCATGACGAGAGCGTAGCTGGAGCTTCGAGACCGGCGGACCCCTCAGGCAGTATTCAGAAAAGGCGAAAGGTCGATGCAGAGGATCAGCTTTCGGATGATGGTTCAAACGATGAAGAAGCGGACGGTACTCCGGCACGCAAGCATCGCGTGGTGTCAAAGGGTTCAGATGTTCCGATGCCTGCAGATAAATTTGAGGAATTGGCGGAGCGCTATGGGATGGCTCCCCGTCTTCTTGCAAACCTTCGTGAGCATAATTACAAGCACCCAACAGGTGTACAGGCACACGGAATACCAATATTACTTGAGGTGAGCCCGTGTGGAGATATAATCATCTGGCGTTTTCATTTGATTCTCTGATGCAGGGGCGTGATCTTGCTGCCATCTCGCCTACGGGTACCGGAAAGACCCTTGCGTATCTACTTCCCGTGTTTTCGTCTTTACGTGCCCCAGTAGCAAGTCTGAACGATGCGGGGTCAGGCGTTCGTGCTCTCGTACTCGCACCCACCCGCGAACTAGCTCATCAAATACATAACGAATGTTTGAAGCTAGCGACTGGCCGCAAATGGCGGCTAGTTTTGTTCAACAAGGCTACCGCTAGTACCTTACGCGACAAGAATGTGAGAGATAAAGTAGGTAAGATTATCCAGATCAAAGATAGATCTCCAGGAAGATGATCATTGTGCGCAGACATTATTATAAGCACACCGTTACGTCTCGTTGCTGCAATCCAGGAAGGTAGCCTCGAACTCAACAAGTAAGTCACTGAACTACAGTATCTGGGGTTAGCTGACTTGGGACAGCGTTCGACACTTGATACTGGACGAAGCAGACCGCTTACTCGACAACGAGTTCATTGCCCAGGTCCAGGAAGTGGTGGCAGTATGCACGTATCCTGACGTGCGCAAAGCCGTATTCTCTGCAACCCTACCAGCTGGTGTCGAAAAGCTGGCAATGGGAATGCTTCGCAATCCAATTCGCATCGTGGTTGGCTTGAAGTATGTTTATCCTCCTTGTCACCTTACAGTTAATAACCGCGACACAAGGGATACTCCTCTTCCGTTAATTGCCCAATCTCTCACTTACGTTGCTGACGACGCGTCGAAACTTCCGAGTCTTTTGACCTATCTCGCTCAGCCTTATAATCCCCCACTTCTGATATTTACTTCAACGCAACCCCGCGCTAGTTCACTGGCAGAAGAGCTCACTATGAATGGGGTACCTAACATAAATTGCTTACATGCGGGAATGACAAAGAAAGAGCGTGACGATGCGGTTAGCCGCATGCGCCGTGGAGAGAGTTGGATTATGGTAACTACGGAAGTTATGGCGCGAGGGATGGACTTCAAGGGTGTAAGAGAGGTTATCAACTATGATTTCCCGATGAGCGTGCAAAGTTACATACATAGAATCGGTCAGTGTTCTCTGCATCAAGCAAAATTTATGAACTCATCATTCCCAGGTCGTACTGGTCGCGCCGGTCGAGAGGGCAAGGCAGTAACGTACTTCACCGATGCTGATGCTCCCTACTTAAAATCGTATGTCTTCTTAGTTATAGCAAGAGATTGCCACTCTAATCGAGTTCTTCAGAATCGCAAACGTTCTGCTACAGTCCGGATCCTCGGTGCCGGAATGGATACTCAAGCTGCCCAAGCCCTCGCGACTGAAGAAGAAGCAGATGGGGAGGGTTAAGCGTGCCGAGACTGTCAATCCTGCGCGGAAAATTGGGCGACGGGATGCAATCAGGAAAAGGTGAGGTTTTCACGAAAAAAAAATTCGGGGATACCAAAGGTGTTGATTTAACACCTCAAGGGACATGGTTACTGCGTCCAAACGGCGGAAAGAGAAGGAGCAGGCTGTTGAATGTGTGGATTCCGCAACCTGACAAGTTTTCTTTTATCGGTAATAGTAGTGCGCATGCAAATTATTGCCCCCGTAGTGATTAGGTACTGGGCATCAAACACTTACTTACGAAGGAAGTGATTGTGAAATGTGAAGAGTTAACTTCGGTTTCACAATCACTCACCGCGGATCGGCGGCTGCTTTTGCAGCTTATGGTAATGAGTACGACTCGGTACGGGTGGCACAGACAAGAAACATTTACAGCAATCCGTGACGGGTGGCATGTTACTCGGTGTCATGGTAGATATCCGTGGACCAGAAACAACAGCTAGAGAGTAGCAAGTTCCAGGAACGCCTTGGAGAAAGCCCAAGCGGACTCGACCGTGGACCAAACCTGTCTGTATTTTGGTTCCGTCTCTGTTGTGACGGCACAGCCTATCAAACAAGCAAACTCGTGCAGGGGCGATCGAGATTTAGCGACATATATGGTTGATCACAAACACTCGGAAACCTCGAGGCTGCCTCGAGGTGACGCGTTGAAGAGGTCCTACCCTCTTCGCAGAACAGGTCGAATTTGGCCTTGCACTTCAAAAGGAACCACAATCTACTGCGAGATGGGCCGTGAATCTACTAGTGGCAGATTACCGGTGTTCCCCCCAACTCGCTTAAGACCCTACTCTACTACGTTGTTCTCTCCCTCCTTGCCTTCCTTGCACTCGTCATGCCCGCTCAACGGACTACGCGCCGATCCCGTCGGCTGTCCCGACGTTCGCCAATAAATCGTAAGCCCGGATTTATTGTTTTTCACGGCCATTGACCGTGATCGTTCTCCGTTTCTAACACACCTTCCAAATTCGGTTGCAGTCGCGGACTATGGCGTCTACGAAGATTCCCCTGTTGCAGATCACAATATTCCGTCTCTTCACGGGGGTAGTAGTAGCAGCAGTATTGCTATGCCCATTCCAATCCCACTTCCACCGTCACTCCCGATGTTCACAGCTAATACATCCGACGATGTCCCCTCTTCTTCACCCTCGCCTACTATCGCCACACACCTCCCATTTACCCCTGGTTCGTCTCATACCAGGAACCGCAGGAAGGGTCATATCCCTCGTCCCCCAAATGCCTTCATGGTTTTCCGCTCCTGGTTGTGGAACAAGGACAACCTCAAAAATGTCGAAAGAGATAACCGCAACGTTTCTCGTATTGCAGGACGCCTCTGGAACGACCTCTCCGAGGAGCAGCGTGCTCCTTTCCGGAAAATGGCTGGAGAAGCCAAGGTGCGCCATGCACAGCTCTACCCCGAGTACAAATATACCCCGACTTTCCGCAAGCCCAACAAGTCCTCTCAGCGTCTTCCCAAGCGTCGTCGCGAGGGATCGACGAAGAAGACCCGCATTACCGTACCGGTGGTACCTCAAGTCAACTTCCAGGTCCCACCAATGGCGCCTAGTTCTCAAACCGCCGCAATTAATATCAAGCAAGAAACGCCCCCTCTGTCAGACTTCCGTACCCCAGATCTGGTATGGCCACTTGAAGAACCAGAAGAGTTCGTCCCCACCGAGGATATACCTCTTCTTTCACTAGACGACTGCTGCGTCATGGTAACTATCCCCCCACCTATTTAAATGACTGTCGTTCACGTCACACCATTTAGACTCTCAAGATGCCCGAAGATTGCCCACTGCCGCGGTACGTAGACCCCGCAGTTGATAGCGCTCTTTGCGGTGTAAAACCAGAAGCCGCACTTTTCGTCGACGAATGCATGCTCACTGCCTTCAATTCGTATTCCCCGCTGCCTTCGACGTCTCTTTTCGCCCCCTTCGAACAATCCCAGTCGTCTACCTACGATGGCTTTTCCTGGGGATCCTCTTCCCCTACACGCTCTCCGATCATGTTCTCAAATCCGTTCGAATATTCATCAGACGAGAAGTCCTTTTCACTACAGACCCTTGATCAACTCTTCGACCAGTCCATATCGCCCATCACTCTCATCCCCCCTCACATTAACCACTGGTAAACGAGATGAAGCTAATTTTCTCACTGGCTGGATCCCTTGAGCGCAATTGAACTTTTCTTCCATTCCCCATTCTTTTGTACTACGCATCGCCAATACATACTCGGCGTTTGATGGCTCGCATACTTGTAAATAGATTCTTGCGGGCCACTCATCCTCCACGCATTCTGTACATCTTCATTCACTCTCTTTGGCACTAGGTCCGCAACTGATCCCCAATACCCCTTTTCCCGCTGCACATATCTCCACATTCCCAACCCCATGGCTTTTGTATCTATTACCTGGTACTGTGAACTTTTCGTAAAGGTAGACAGACGTGTCTCGTGGATACTCGTGTAGATAAACCGCTTGTATGATAATATGACAATGTTGAAGCAACAGAAGAACGGACAGGCATGAAGTTGTTAAACCCCTCCCCGACATTGAGTTTGTCGCTTTGCTCTCTTTGACGTTCCACCTTCACCAGCCTGAGTACGTTTACTACCTGATGTCGACTCTATCAGTGCTTGTACGTTTATTCGTCTCGAGTTACACTCCTCCTTAAGCCAACTCGCGCATGCAGCCTTGTCACCTTCGGGGTGCTCAAGTTGCCACTCGAAAACTTTGTCAAGTACATTTTTGGTCCAGGGACCCGGTTTGCTTTCAACCAGGTTGGTGACTTCGTTGCCCTGACGACAATGTCTGAGAGTGTGCAAGAAGCCCAGCGACTTACTTACATCAAGTAGAGGTTTGGCGTCTGCGATGTTACCTAGCCCTAGCTCATCGATCCGCTTCGCGAACGTGTTGTATCGCTCGATACATTCTTTGGCCGCACCATCTACGTGCGGGATGTAGGTCATCGAAAGGGGGGTAGCATTACAATGAACTCACCATTGGGTAGATAGCCTAAGCGAACCAACTCGCAGACAAGTGAGAATAAAAGAGAAGAAGTCCAGTGAGTGCCCGAGTGCGACTTGTGTAATTTCGGATTTCTCAAAAGCAGTCCTGGGAAGATGAATCAATCTCGGATGGGCATATTGCAAGGGAGGCCATATCATCATACCTAAGGAAACGCGTTCCGAAGGATTTTTGAATCTATCCTGACCCAGGGAAAGCCCGTTGACAAGCTCGGATGCAGCGCTATAGAGTGCTGGTATTGCGTCGAGGTAGTAATTCTTGTTTCCCAGCTTTAAGCCCTCGCGGATGACAGCTTCGACAAGATGATGGTCCTTTTGTTTCTGATCCTTGTACGTGATCCCATAAAGAGGAAAGAGACTAGCAGCCAAGAAGAGACGTGCTTTCGTTCCTGGGTCACGCGATATGTGGGACAGAAGCGTAGGGTGCACTGGCACCAATGGCTGATTGGTAGAAGAGGATCCCGGGGACAAAATGTTCTCGAGAATTGTGCACGCAGTAACGGAGGTCTCTGGAGAAGTCGAAGGACAAGATGCCGCAGCAAGAATATTATCAGGGACATTAAAAATGCAGTGGTAGAGAGACAGCTCGTTTATAAGCTGTACCGCGCGAAGCGGTTGGACACCTATGCGGAAGTCGTAAGACAAGTCCTGATCGTCGCCGGGGGAAGGAACTATCACATACCCTTCATCATCTTGTCGAGCTCCTCTCCTATTCGTTCACGGCTGATTTTAGATATCAGTGCTTCCTTTTTGGTTGCGCATGAGCACATGGAACACCGTCATAGTTGAGACACGTTACTTGTATAGAACCATCTCGTGCAGCGTCCCGTAATTCAGGAGTCATCTCAAACCCGAATCGGCTAGCGAATCTGACACAGCGTATAACTCGTAGCGGATCATCACGGAACGTCTGCAGGGGAGGTAGAGGGGTCCTGACCACCCCGCTCCGGAGATCATCTAATCCCTGTCAGAGTGGCCATTTAAAAAAAACCAATACGTCTGACTGCGATTGATGGCACCTTCTCGGTAAGGTCTTCGACGGCTCGTGTGTGGACGTTGTAAAACAGTGAGTTGATCGTGATGTCCCTTCGCAAAGCATCTTCCAAGGGAGTACCGAATTTCTAGGAAAAGTCACTGGTCAATTGGATAATCTGATCCACTCTCCCGACCAAATGATGATCGAACACGTACGACCTCCGTCGGTATGCGACTATTTTCAGTATATTCTTCACTCCTAAGATTGACAAAATCCAAGTCGATATCGAATAAGGTCGTCCGTGCAGTTTCTAGGTGTTTTGATTGACCGGGGTTACTTTCGATCTTAGCAATCTTGTGCACGGGGATGTGCTTCTTCTCGGACAGGTAGGCCACGAACTGCTCGACGAAGGGCATGCCCATCATGTCGGATAGACAGATGTCTACATCATTGCTATCTTGACCTAATAACTGGTAAACGAACAGGACAAATTCCAAACATCAGACCCGTTTTGCTTTCCTCCAAAGGAGGTCTTATGAGAAAAAAGAAAGAAAGAAAAAGATTAACCTTGTCCCTGACCCAACCTCCGCTGATCCGGCATGTTGTCCTGACGCCTTTTTCCTTCTCAAGGTGGCCCGTGAATTCATCCAGTAGGGCACATAGTCGGTCTTCGGCATCAGTCAAGTCAATTTGTTCTCGTATTTGGGGTGCCATGCGATTCAAGCTCAGGTTTGAGAACGCTCCACCCGGAATGAACAGTACTGACTTGACAGCTGCGAGACCTTTTCAGCAACGACGAGCAGCGCAGAAGCATCCGCGGCCAAGCCAAGTCTAATAATCCAATATATCCACCGAGTCACTGACGCGGTCAGGGGGAGATGAATTTCACGCGGAGTTTAAACTGCGCCCCACCCATGTGCCGTGTTGCCGGAACTACTAGTACTTGCGACTTCATTGCTGTGACCGAACCCCTGCAACAGTCCCGGACGACTCTTCTCAAACGACAAGCAAGCCTTTCATTCAACAGTCTAAATGGGTCGTGTACTTTTAAAGGTTCGTACCGCCACATTGCCCTGCCCCAGCCAACCAGTCTGACTCCGCCATGTGTACAAGGTCATCATTTTGGGCGACAGTGGGTGCGTTACCTCCTGACAGGCGGGTCTTCCTACATGGTCGGCGGCGCACTTATCCCGTGAATTGGTTCTATTCTCCTGTATAGGGTTGGCAAGACGTCTCTCATGAATCAGTACGTGAACAAGCGATTTAGCAATCAATATAAAGCCACCATTGGAGCCGACTTGTGAGTGTTTGTGTCCCCTCCCAAAGCGCTTATCGAATTAATATTTGTGACCCTTGGTACTAAACTAGCCTAACAAAAGAAGTCATGGTGGATGACCGCCTGGTAACAATGCAAGTACGTGTTCGACGGTTATGACGTGAACCGAAGTGGCTGTATCTCTCAACTTCGTCATTCCGACAGCTTTGGGACACAGCAGGCCAAGAACGATTCCAGTCTCTCGGAGTGGCTTACTACCGAGGCGCAGATTGCTGTGTGCTCGTGTACGACGTTAACAGTGCCAAGTCGTTCGAGACGTTGGATAGCTGGCGGGACGAGTTTCTCATCCAAGCTAGCCCACATGACCCGGAGAACTTTCCCTTTGTCGTTCTCGGAAACAAGATCGACGTAGAGGAAAGCAAACGGCAGGTACGTGATCCAATAGAGAAAACCACACGAATACCATTTGCTGAAATGGACGTGTAGGTAACGCAGAAACGTGCAATGGCATGGTGTCAGTCGAAAGGCAACATTCCATATTTCGAGACGTCTGCCAAAGAGGCTATCAATGTAGAGCAGGCCTTCCAGACGGTGTCGAAGAATGCGCTACAACAAGAAGCAGAAGAGCAATTGTGGGTGCCATGTTCCCTATGACGTATCCCTTCCCTACAACTCACCACCCTGCCCTGCCCTGCCGTAGGTATGTTGACTACCCAGACCCCATCCAAATCGACCGAGAGGGAACCCAGAACTACGGTTGCAACTGTTAATCTATTAGACCACGGATTTTTTGTGATATTTCTGTGATCCACTGTTGGCAGCGGCGACGGGCCGCTTGTTACCCATTTGTCACGACGATGAGTGTTATCTTACCGCTGTTGCCTTATGCACATATTTCACTGCACGTTTTACCGGGTGAAAGCGTGTCATCATCGTGAGTGCGAACAACAGCGTATCCATATCTGAAGCCAGTTAGGCATAAGTACACCCAATGGTCGTACAACTAATTACAACATTCCAATCTCTGCCTCATTCCACTCTACCGATCACATGCTGAAGGACGATTTGGGGTACTGAAGCTTCGCCGATGCACTGTCATCCACAAACCAGTACAGCTGGCCTGGATGGACAGGTCTCACCCGCGAAGCAGGAAGCCCCTTTTCTGGATGGTCCAAAATCATGCTAAGGACATCCGCCTTCCCTTCGCCCGTCGCGACGAACGCGACACGGGCAGCATGGTTAAGGACAGGGTACGTGAGCGTAATACGTTTAGGGGGAGGTTTAGGTGAGTCGTCGAGGTAGGCGACCCATGTGTCCTCTTCAATGAGTAGCTCGTGGCCTGGGAAAAGCGAGCAGGTATGACCGTCTGATCCGATGCCCAGCAAGATGAGGTCAAAGACGGGGAAGCGAGCAGAGTCCTTTGGTGCGAACTCGCGAATGAGTTCTTCCTCGTAAGCAGCTGAGAGCATTTCGAGGTTATCTAGATGCGTGGGATCGAGCGTGTGAATCGCAGGGGGGTTGGGTAATTTTCCGAAGAGCTCCGTCATGCAGAGGTTGTGATTGGAATCTTGGTCATCGAGCGGGACAGCGCGCTCGTCAGCATAAAAGACCTGCCTGTGGCGGCATCGACAAGTCAGTCAAGATCGGATGCGAGTACTAGAGGGAGTTGTCTTTTTGAACTTGCCATTTATCCCATTTGACACGTGGGTTGTCGATGAGGTCCTTGAGTTGCTGGGGGAGAGAACCGCCCGAGAGCGCGATCGTGAACCTGCCCTTCTTATTAACCGATTCGTCCTGAGCCTTGAGGATGAACGTGGCGAGCGCTGAGCTGAGGCCGGTCCTCAGGGAGTATACGACGGGTGAGTTGGGCGGCTGGTGCATCGTTACCGTGGTTGTGGTCAGGGGAAAGACTCTACGCCTTATCGTGCAAATGACGTCGTCGGTGCAGCTGCGATGGAGAGTACACAAACACGCACAAATCACTACACTGCCTAGTACTTGTCTACTAGACTAGATGGCGTGGGCATATCCTCAGCGATGCTTTCCACGTCGCCTTCTCCACCCTCGAGACTCTCCGAGAGGACACCAGGGCTCACTGTCTCCATCTTGGACGACGACCCTTGCATCCCTAACTCAGGAAATACAGTCAACAACACGGCATCAAACAAAAACACGACCAGATGGATGTTGCATGTGTTGTCACTTAAGGGATCGATGACAGCTTCGAGTGACGCAACCGGTGACGATCCCAGGAGAATAGTCGATACGGGAACCGGCAACATCTCTGAGACCCTCCGGATCAGCAATCGACGAATCATGGCTTGTTCTTCCGGCGTTGGATCCACCGGGGGCGGTCCGGGATAACCATTTGGGAACAACGTCCGCTTCGATAGACGAACGAGCGATAGCATGGATGAAAAAGATAACACCTGGCTGTACAACATGTAGGATAGGAAGCTGAAAAAGCAAAATACTGAGGGAAACGTAGACGTCGGTCAGATATGACGCGTACCTGTTGATAAACGTCCTGAAACAAGTACACAACATGAACAGAAAGTTGAAGGCTACTGCACTGGAAAAGCGCCAATGCATCCTGAATATTTCACAGAACATCACTAGCAGTCCCCGAATAAAATCGTGAGGGGCTTCGACAGCCGTGGCTTCGGGCAAGCGCTCAGGGGTATTCGTCGAGGGAACAGATGAGGAAGACGACGTGCGAGACATCGGTATAGTACAATTTTGACGTTTTGAAGGCGGCACCTCCGGTCTTGATGCATTTGATGTCGCGTTTGCAGCCCTCGGGTGTTTCGTGGCAGTAGACTCGTTAACAAGTTTGATAGTAGATATAGCTTGCTTGTATACGTGGATAAGGGCAAGACATGCACCGGACAGGGACTGGATGGTCGAGAGGAGCAGCACGATCAAGTTGGATAGCTGGGAGAAATGGCCATGCGAACTGGAAGATGAAGCGTGTGGGGGCTGTTGAGGTGTCAGTAACAAGGCTCAGCGGATAAGAACGAAATTATACTTGGGAAGGCACGTCTTTCTCTGGAGGCGGTCCGAGCAAGTCGAGGACGGTTTGTTGGATAAACCAGGGTTGCGTCACTCGGGGGATGATGTCTCGAACAATGAGCTTGAGGAGGACTTCCCGGATGATATACCTTTCGGCATCGGGTGCATAATCCTCGGGAGGCAGGCATATTTTGAGAACGAGATCGAGAGCATGTCTGAAGTACTCCTCGTCTATGTTACCCTCTGGAGAGACAGCCAGGTGGGGTTGAAACAGATGGAAAAGCTGAGGTACGGTGTGAGCGCCGCCAGTCGCATAGGAAGTAGACACCTTAGAAGCGGCATGTCGGTAGTCTATGAAGTGTTCGGTGACGAGAGCTGGGACGTCGCAGAAGACCAGGGTTGACAGATCTGCGCTGAGTATACGTTGTTCGAGCACCCGGATGACATGGACGAGTACGTTGGTGAGTTGGGGGAGAAACTCCTTGTCGTAGCGGGTGATCTTTGTCCACCACGTGTTGACATATGCTCGCAAAGACAGCGCGATGAAATCGTAGACCTCAGCATGCAGTTCAGGCGGACATGTGGGCGACAAGAAGAGCGGAGGCAGGTCGGAACCAGGTGGGGTGTTGGGGAACAGCAGTCGTTTGGCCAGACCAGCCTGCTGCTGTTGCCTGGCATTGGTGGACGCCAGCGACGCTGTTGTCGTCGAGCGTGCGCTGTGTGTCGGAGGCCCACGGCGCAGAGCTGCTGGCATCGCCAACGACAAACGTGCGCTTGACGTCGATGGCGACCATAATTGATTAATTGATTACCACCACCCCTGACTACTGCTATGTAATGGCACTTGACGTTTCCATTTCCTAACCTTCACCTTTACGGTTTTTTTCTCGATGCACAGGGAATCCTTGTAAGTTAGCCCGGCACCGTTGACACACGCTCCTTTTCTCTGTAGACCAACGCTCGTTACATCCCGACACTCCTTTCATGTTCCTTGTGGTAGCCTGGCAGCCAACACACCCATGAATGCAGTTGCTGCTCATTCGCGACCCCGCAGGCGCTTCATGCTGCCGGGCACCAGCCAGACAACGACCATTATCGTCGTCGTCGTCTGTGCCATCGGCGTCCTCACACTTTTGTACGTGTTCTTCCGCATGACGAGACGCTGTTGGGGTCGCAAATCGGTGCCGCTGCCTCCCGTGCAGCCAATCGCCTACCAAAGACAACAACTGGCCCAGCTTGCTGAACGGAACGCTATGTCCCTCACGCCGACTTACCCGTCGCGTTTTTCCACCCCGGAGGACTTCTCGCCTTGCGGGAGCGATTTTTCTCTACCACCAAACAGGGAATATATAGGCTCCCCCTCTTCCTCCTGCCGGCTCTCCCCCTTGCTTGATACCTTACCTTCGGGCAACGTTATCTTGACCGATTTTCCGACCCTCTCACCTTCAAATGGACAAGCGGGCGAACGTCTCTTACCAAGGGCCTCGATGTACGACGCTCGGAGGAACAGCGGTAGTTCTGTCGGTTCTGGGTCCCTGAGGCCACCATCGACGATTCACAGCTCGACATCTCCTTACGGACCTTCTCGTGTAGCCCGTCGCAGTCATTTGCAATCGATAACTTCACATCATAGTACCAATACCAGACATACGATCATTGGCTTACCTCACAGCCGACACAGTCCTGTGCAAATCGTCCTCCCCACACCTCTAGCACCTGCTGTGGCACCATATCTCAGCGGGTCCAGATCAAGCGAAAATATTCGGGATTTAAGTGCTGCTGAAAGTCGAGGTCGCACGCGTCTTAGTGTTGCAGACCCGTGGACCCACACATTACACCAGTTCGGAAGCGATGGTCACCTATGTAGGACTCCCTCCGAGGCTCACCGATAATGCGTACTGACTTCCGACTCGAGATTCTACCCGCGCCGCAGTTCGTCGGCCAGCTACGGCGTCGCTGTCCCGTCTAAAAGTTCCATCTTCAACCCACCATATCACACCTGGTCCGAGAGATCCGCCTGTTTTTCCTTCGTCCCCCTTAGTCCCTGCCGAGCACAATGCAAGGGGCCCACCATGAGATGTTCTCGTGTCGCATGCCCCGACACTCTAGCATCTTTACCATATTTATTGTTTATTTGCAAGACTACGTATTTTATTTTATCTTGTCAATTGGTCTCGGACGGTATATGGAGAAATAACGTGGTCATGAGGAAAGTAGTCGATATGATCGGGTCCAGATTACTCGGGTGTTTATCTTTGCTCCGTTTATGTAGTGACTCGAGGCGTATTATAAAAAAAATTACGAGGCGAGGTTGTCTCAGCAACTGTCCCTTCTAAATCGCTATCAAATGCTTCTGTCCCGACTTCCTTCGGCGCCTCTGCGACCTGCAACCACCTCGTCAGCGCGTCTTCCATGGCTTGTGGTCACCGCAGCGAGGAGATACATGTCCAACGACGTCGGAGTAGATTCCACGACGGGCGAGGCCATCAGGACGGACTCTGCTGATATCGAGGTGCTTTTTTTTCTTCGTCCACTCCTTCCTCGCAGACGATGTCTGACTCCCGTTGCAGCCGTCCCTACTCACCATAACGCGTACCATGGCACCCAGAGAACTCCCTCCATCCTCAAAACTACTCTTTGGCCGACATTTTGTACGTACAATTTTCTCTCGAACGCGTGTCCAGCTTACACGCGGTCCTCCAGTCGGACCACATGCTGAAGATCCGGTGGACTGAGGCTAGCGGCTGGGATGCACCTTCCATAGAGCCATGTAAGTGATCTCCATCAGTCTACCACCCACTGTGATGTGCTTATCACACTGCGGAAGACGCCCCCCTCAGCATATTGCCAAGCGCAACCGTACTGCACTATGCTCAGGCCATATTCGAGGGCATGAAGGCATACAAACATCCAACAGGCACTGTCACCATGTTCCGACCTGACATGAACATGGAGCGGATGAATACGAGCGCACGGCGTTTAGCATTACCTGTCAGTCTCCCAGACCTGGGTGCAAGGAGAGCGCGTTTAATGAAACCTTTATTCAGACCTTCAATGGGAACGCTTTCATCGAGTGTATGAGACAACTCATTGCCCTCGAACGCCGTTGGATACCGACGGAACCAGGACATAGTCTATATATCCGGCCCACTTTGAGTGCGTGTCCATTCTGACATCTCCTGACGACGACTTTCAACCAACCGGTGATATTGTTCACTCAGTCGGAACAAATGGCACTCTCGGTGTGCAACCGCCCACTGAGGCTCTACTCTTTGTCATTTGCAGTCCCGCGGGCCCTTACTACCCTCAAGGTTTCAAGCCAGTGCCTTTGTATGGCACAACGGAGTATATCCGTGCTGCCCCTGGCGGTCAGTTCATTGGTCATGTAGTTTGACTGTTGTCCCACACAACCTTGGCCTTCCTAACGCAGGCACCGGTGCTTACAAACTCGCTGCCAACTATGCGCCAGGCGTAATGGCACAGAAGATGGCTGCCAAGGCTGGCTATGCTCAGAATCTCTGGCTTCACGGGCCGGAACATTACCTGACTGAAGTGGGCACGATGAACCTGTTCGTTGCTCTCAAGGGCGAGGACGGAGGTGAGTTCCGGTGTCAACCCGGTTACAAATATGTCGCCCTCTGCTACTCTAACACGCATCTATTCAGTGACTGAACTCGTCTCGCCACCGCTAGATGGGATGATCCTTCCGGGCGTGACTCGTGACTCTGTGCTCACGCTCGCTCGGAACCACGTCTCCGGCAAGAAACGACTTCCTGGGCTTCCGGATAAGCTCAAAGTTTCTGAGCGGCCGATTACGATGGGTGAGGTTAAGACCGCAGCTGAGACTGGTTGCCTCGTCGAGCTCTTCGGGACGGGTACTGCATGCGTCGTCACTCCTGTGGAGAAAATTGGATACCTCGGTAGCGACGTAGTCATCCCTACGGGCGAGGACGGGATGGGTCCATTGTCGAGGCCACTCTGGACTGAGCTCACGGGCATTCAGACGGGTGAGATTGAGAGCGAGTGGAACTTTGTGGTCACCAAGTAGAGAGATTGTAAATCTGATTGATCAGCTTGGGATCCATTGGTTCTTGGTGTCTATCAGCTCATAGCTTTTAGGGCAGTATGAAGGCTCCCCTATCGATTCGAGCATATCCATATGCCAGACGAGCGCAGCTGCTCCCCAGGCTATGTCCGACACCGTTTCGCCAGCTGTTCTCGTCCTTGTCTCGCGATGTTGAAGCTGCGCTAGTCGCTGACCAGCGCCCTCCTGGGGAACTTGGCAGATTCGTCAGAGAGTATGAGCAACGTTCTGCAACAGTCCTTCAATCCCAGTTGCCGATAGAACACATCCCTTGTCCGACCAGGAAGGTCGACGTCAGCTCACCCGACTCCGGGTCGGTGCTTATCGTGCACGCGTTGGACTGTGGTCGGGCTGGTGTGAAGAAAACAATCGGAAGTGGTTTTGCCATACAACCACGTCCTGCCAGTTCGTTGGGCGAGGACACAACGGTGCTGACTTGTGCACACACGCTAGAAGAGGTGTTTTACAGAGCTGCATACGATCGCCCTAAGTACTGACTTGGAGTGTGTTAGATCGTTCAAATCGCGTCTTCGCACTCAGAGTCAGATCAGGATCGTGACGATAAACACCCGTACTCTCGCTCAGGCAGTTGGGTGATATCAGAAGTTGATGGACAATCCACTATGGAACCTCTCCGCTCCGTACTGTCTGCTGTACGGCACGCGGATCTCCTCCTCCTATCCGTGCGGAGTCGCTTGCCCCTGCGTACCCTCCCCGTCTCGCCTTTCCCTGCGACCGTCGGCTCGACTGTGTACGTTCACTTTGTGTTGGCCGAGAAACCTGAATCCGTTGACCACGAGTGGTTTCCCTGGGTCGGAGGAACATGGAGGACTTGGATGCCCTGCACGGTGACAGGCTACAAGGACCGTCGAGGAAGAGTTGCCCAGGTATGTTTCCAGCAAGCATTTAGCTCACGCTATAACCGCAACTAACGATGATATATTGTCCTGAACCCAGGCCGGAACGTACGACGAACTAACACAGATGACCTTCCACCCGGCGCCGCCTCCAGGTTCCAGTGGCGGGCCCATCGTCAACGAGTGTGGGACTGTTGTTGGCGTCACGCTTGGATCGATGAGAGAATATGGCCAGCCGCAACACCAAGGATGGGGAGTGCCAGCGCAAGATATTTACGAGGTGAGCCAGATCATCGTTGTCCGTGCGTGAGTTGAATAGTGCGCTAGATGTTCACTCTAATAGCGAGGTAGTCGGGTATTACTTAGTGTAGAGTAGCACTTGCTTAGTCATGTATTATCCGCGCCACTCTCGAGAAAAGTCAGCGAAACCAAAGTCAAAGGCACGCTCGCCATCGTCGGCGCCGTTCTGCTCGTCGTCCCAGCCCCCGCCTAGTCAGCCGTGTGCACAGTCGCAGTTGGGTACTGGAAGATGCTCTCTGATCCATCTACGGTGCCTCACCTCAGACAATGGCTAGTCAGGACGCTCGAACCCATGTGCGTGTTTGCTAGCAACCGGTGTGCTTTCGCTGACTTGGATAATGTTGTCTTGCAAATCGCAAGATGTGACGCCGAGCCAGGGGCTCTTGCGGATTATGTTCTTGCTCTGCTCAAACACAATGTACCAGAAAGCGAGATGCGAAAGGAGCTTACCATACAGTTGGACGAATTCCTTGAGAAAGGTACGTAGTCCCCCCTCCCCCCTTCCTCCTACTTGTATCGTCCGCTCACACATTCTACAGAGGGTCCTCCGTTTATAGATACATTATTCACCGTCCTTCGGACTAAATCTTATCTTCCTTACGACAACACCCTTGCCTACCCTTCCTCGTCCACCCATCACCCCAACGACGTTGGAATTCCTATACCGCTTGATGGCTTAATACAAAACAACTCCACGTCCCCAGAACGAGGACAGAAACGCAGTCTCGAATACGATGACCATCGTCCCGTCAAAGGACCTCGTTTAAGTGCCAGCGGCCCGTTCTCGCGCTATTCCGACGTTCAGGACTACCGCGTTTGGGAGGACAGGAGCGACAAGTCAGGTATGGGAGGTGTGAACGGGCAGCGAATCCAGTCATACCAACCACCCGACCGGAGGGGGATATGTCGAGATTATCACAGTGTGTATATTCCTTACCCTCCTGCGCATCCTCTCACGCGCTTAACGCGACCTTGTTCTTCTTCTAGAAAACGGGTACTGTGCTCGTGGTGCCCTTTGTAAATACAGTCACGGTGATGACGCCTTTGTTCCTTCCCAATTGTTCCCCATGAATGGGTCAGGTCCACTGCCTTTCTTGCCTATGTTCCCGCCGTTCGCGATACCTGGTCCTAGCGCAGCTTACGACCCGCACGAGGCACGCATGGACATGCGACCTGGCCCCGGAATGATGGATATGAATGGTCGAGCTCACCAACGTCCCCCACTCATTCCTAGAGCACATCAAGAAGAACATTCACGCTCGAAAAGCACTGGGGAATTGCCTGTAATACAGGATCTCACGCCTCAAGACGCTGCGTTATTGAAAACGTCGCCTCAACCGGGACAGAGCGCCATCCAGGACACCCTCTCCATGCAACAGCAAAGCGAGGATTTGGATGTGAACATGGTCCTAGAGGGAGACACGACAAGTCCTTCCGCGCGCGACATGCGCAGTGGATTTGAACCTAGAGGTACACGAGGTGGGAGGGGAACTTTCGCGGGGAACGTTCAAAATTTCCGTCCAGGAAGACGAACAGATAAAACCCTCGTCATCGAGAAGATCCCACACGACAAGCTGTCGCTTGATGCTGTTAATAGTTGGTTCAAGCGGTTTGGAACTGTAACCAACGTTGCCATCGACGTGCACAACGCTAAGGCGCTTGTCAGCTTCTCGGAACACCACGAGGCAGTTGCTGCATGGAAATCTGAAGATGCAGTTTTCAACAACCGATTTGTGAAGGTATTCTGGCATAGGCCATTGGAAGGTCACGGTCAGAAAGGTACACGGATGTTGGCAGCATCTGCTCCTCTCGTGGCGAGCATCTCCAGTCGACCATCAGCTTCGGCGAATGCTGCTTCCCCTCCTGTTCAAGCGGAAACACCGACACTTGCGCCTGCACCGACAGCCGTCCCCCCTCGCAAGCTACCGGTGTCCAATACCGCATCAGACCTCGCCACAAAGCAAAGACTTCTCGAGCAGCGGATCGCAGAGCAGAAATCTCTGATGTTGGCATTGGCAACGGCAACCTCGGAGGAAAAGAAGCAAATCATGGCCCGGCTGCGAAAACTTGGGGAGGAAGTACAGCCGGGGGCGACCCCTGCTTCAGCTGCCGAGATACCGCAGTCACCGTCGCCCGCCGCAGGACGAGCGACCAGTGCTACTGCTCAGGCATCTGACCATGAGCAGAGGGAAAGGGAGCAGTTAGACAAGGAACTCGAACTTCACAGTGCAACCTCTGGCCGAGAGTCCACGGAGGAGTTGCAGGCTAGGCTGGCAAAACTGAGAGAAGAGGTATGAGTATATTCACGTTATGTTTACATGCCGTTTCTCACTCGCCATGTATGTAGGCTGCAACCTTGGGCATAACGGAATATGGGTCTCCTGTGCCTGGAGCCTACCGACCTTACAGGGGGCGTGGTCGTGGAGGTCGTAGTTTCCACCGGGGTGCGGGAAGAGGCGGCCCTCCTCGAGGCAGCATGAAACTGGACAACAGACCCAAGCAGTTACTCATAAAGGCTGTTGCAGATGATGCAGTGCCAGCAGTACGTAGTTGGTTTGAGGTGAGGATACTCGTTCCCTGATCTGAGCCACTACCATACTGAAACTCTTGTGGGTCATTACCAGACAACTGGTCAGTTGGAATCCGTTGATACTGTGGATGGCAACGTTGTCGTTGGTTTCCGCACGAGAGCAGCGGCGGAACAAGTACGTTCGGGTCTGACTTCCATCTTTGTGCTTCCTCTGAGCAACCGTTTTTTTCTCAGGCTCTTGCCAAAGGCAACGACATACCTTCCATCGGCACCGTACAGATCATTTGGCATACTGCCCAACAACGGCCGAGTTCTGGCTCGCAAGCGCCGGCGTCGTCTGAGCAACAAACCGACAAAGGTACTGGTACTGAGGAACCTATACGAGATTCCCCTCCGTCACCTCGCCCGCAAGAGGAAGAGGTTGTTTCGAGTGGATGGGGTGATGCTGGCGAGGATGGCATGGGATTCTAATTGCATCGTAGAAAGAGTATCTTTTGCTGCGAATATCCTTATTTCTGCCCCTTCCTATGTGCATATCTGGTCTGCTACTTTGTTCTCTCAGCTCACAGTTTATTCTCGGCGTGAGGTGGACATCCATGTTTCCTAACACATCAGCTGCGGAGCCACCAGAGCGAAAGTTGAACATGTGTTCCTGTTTTAAATCAATTACCAGCTGCATCAGTGAAATTAGATTTTGGCCTGTCTGGCATGAAGGATCTACCATAAGAGCCTGGCATTTCACCATGGTCACAGTGAAATGAGACTGGAAACTAGCTAGACAATCACACTTCCATATGGCCAAGATTGGGAATTTTTCTAGTGGCAAGATGGCTGTGCAGCACATATAGTTGAACCTCCCTTAACCCATAATTCTTACAAGAGATGCCTTGTAGGTAGGTAGTATTGGAAGCTAAGGGCTAAGGATAGTGTGTGAACTGTCTGTAAAAATTTGCCAAGTTCTAAGTAGCTATGATATCAAAGCAGAACCACTTTGATTATGATGGTAGTCACCTTACCTCCAGGGTGGAGTAAGATCCATGCATATTGCTGATGATGGATATGAATAGTGTTATGTATAACTGTCCATGAGCATCTGTAAAATGGCTGAATCTGCCAGTGTGCTGCAGGAGACCTCCAAGACAAAAATGGAATTTTATGATTACGAGTCAATTTCCTGAGATAAACTGACTTGGTGAATCTGTCATGAAACAAATAACACCTGAGAACACAAACAATGTCGGGCTGAAACCCTGCACTCTCCCCTCCAGGGTACAAAGTCCAAATAGCACTTGGCTAATTTGCTGAGACTGAGATGGACCTTTCCTCACTCTCCCTCTTCCCAGCCACTCCAGAACAAGTTCTGATATCTCGTAGGCGAACATGGCCCCAATGGGGTGGTAAACTGACAGAGGAACAATATCTCGAAAGGGACAGGCAGATGGATGCCATGGAGCATGCTTCACGTTCCAAGCTAATAACATGGTAAGGTCCCAGCACCCCAAGCATGGGTGAACCCCTTGGTATATGTTTAGAACTTCAGGGTCTTAGCGCCAAGAGACAACCCAACGACTCTGAACTTCATGTGCTCCTGTGAGACGTAAGTGGGTCCCACAGGATATCTGGTACACTTCATGGCAAACTTCCTATCTCCAGCTTTCGTCGTCGTGGATTAGTTCGGTACCTCGAATCCAACGAACAACAGAGCGGGATACAGGAAGTCACCTGCTACGGAATAGCCAGCGTGTACACGCTACTTGACAAGCGAAGGAGGGGATATGCTTCGCATATGATGCGACTCTTGCATTGGGTACTATCTGGTCGCGGCAAAGATTATAACCTACCTAAGTTCCCAGTGGAGTGGGGTCAACCACCCCCCGAAGTGGAAGAGGCCGGGAAGGGGCTATTTTCTGCGTTATACAATGACATTGGGGGGAAATTCTACCAGACGGCTGGTCCTGGGCTCGTTGATTCAAGCGGTTGGGAAGCGAGGGATCCCATCTCCACAGTCTGGGAAGTACCTCAAGAACCTTTCGCCTCGCAATTTTGTTCAGGTTTCACGTGGCTCAAATATGAGGATCTTGGCCGACTGTGGGCGAAGGATGTCCAACTAATCAAACGTTCCATAGCGGACATGCCAACCTCGGCAGGTTTGACTGCGCTTGTATCCTTCCTACCCGATGAGGGAGTCGCTTCTTTCCAGATCAACCGCCCGATTGTTGGAACTGAGAAAGACGTGTCTATGGACGTTTGGGGGGTCGAAAAAGACCATACAAGCACTGATCGACCCACGTATGCAGTGTGGTCAGTCGACACACATCTCTCAGTCCCAACGCTTATCGTGATTTGCCTGCGTGCAACGGAGGAGACATTCCCCGATCTCATTCACATGATCCAGGAGGCAGCTCGTAGGCATGGGGTATGGAAAATGGAGATCTGGAATTTACCCGAACCTCTGATGGGCCTTGCTGCACACTTCGGGGGGAAAACCTTTGAAAGAGACGAGCATCTGCCGTTCATTAAATGGTACGGTAAAGGGGACACTGCTGATATCAAATGGGTTTTCAATGAGAAGTGAGTCTTGGTGTGTAGAATGCTCGGACGTGGGTTCGCGCTGACAACGCTTTCAGGTTCTGTTGGTGCTAAAAACGTTGTACGAGCAGTTGCCTTTCAATCAGCAGTGTCTACACCCCTTTGCACCTGTCTTCATTTAGCGACGCCAAAGCGATACGGAATCCGTCAATACTATTAGATGTTACATTACCGGCCACTGCGGATAACAATAACCAACTTGGAATTCATTCGAAAGAAAGGTCCGCGTCGTCGGCTACAACAAAACTGCCAAAGACGTACTCATCGGGCTCGTCGCTCTCCCTCGGAGGCGAACTCGAAAGCACAGGTTGACGTCGCGAGTGCTCGCGTGCCGTTATGAATGCACCCTTCTTCACTGGCTTGTTTGCGAAAACAGGCAAGCTTTGCGTCTGAGGAACTTGAGTGAGAAGACTTCGTCTATAAACCTGGAATTGGTCGTATGATGGCGAAACCTGAGTGTCCGGTATATCTTTTAGGAACTGTCTGTCGGACTCGCTTTCGACATCGTCCGCCGAATGGGATGAGCCGTCGCTCACTTCATCTCCGGAGTGTTCCGCTTCTCCGTCCAACCAGGGGTTATGGCGAATAGAGACCATGGGTTTTCTCCGTTTCTTTGGCTGAGGCGGTGGTGATGGAGGCCGCGAGGCAATCTCAGTGTCCTTCCTTACTAGCCTCCGGTTAGGTGAAATAGCTGGTGAGAGTGGTTCCCCATCTTCGATTGCACCGATGTATCTTTTCTGGAGACGCTTGCCAGCTGGACGTATTGCGAATGATGCTTCAGGGACATCTACATCGGAGGACCACGATGAGGATTTTAGGTCACCAGGGGAGGGGGGTCGCGCCACAAGAGAACTGCGATTATGCCATGTCTTGGGCACCAGAGACGACCCGGTTACGCCGATGTCGAGGTCGTCATCGTCATCGTCATCGTCATCCAGTAGCCATGATGCAGCCTGATGGATGTCTGGTGGTGGCAGGTCACCATCGCATGCAGAGGGTTCTTTACCATCCTGCTCATGCAAGATTGAACGACTAGGGGAGGGTGACAGTGGGAGCGACGAAAGGGGCGATGGGGAAGAGGTTAATTCAATCACTTCGCCTACAGCTGGCTTGACGGATGATGAACTGGGAATAACCGCTGGACTAGCAGGCCTAGGTCCGAGTTGGGGAGAACAGCGCCGAATGGGATCCAACTGCTTGCGACACTTTATTGGCGCTTCATCAGAGGCAGGAATCTGAGGTTGCAAAGGAGAAGCGCCCGTAACGATTATATCGGGTGATGACATCCTAAAGGCGGGCGAGCCACGAGATGATGGGGTTATAGAAGAGACATTAGAGGAGCGGATGGCAGGAGATATGTCGGGCTCAACGTCCATATCATCACCAGGAACTTCGCTCTTGAGGGACGGTTGGCTAACAGTAGACCGTCCCTTGCCTTTCCCTTTCTTGCTAACGGAAGCTGAAGCCTGTTTCCTCCCTGGATTGTCGCTACGGGCTTTGCGTATAGAAGTTTTTTTCTTCGAGTTCTGCTGGGCAGCCGCCGACTCGGATACGCTACGGCCTGTGCACATGAGATTGGTCTGCAGTTCCTATATCCGTCGAATCGTCTTCCGCCAGTGTCTCGTCGAACCTCCTCGCTTTGGTTTTTTTCTTTTTCTTCACAAGCAAGTCTGCGACGCTTACAAAACCTTTGGTAGCTTCAGGTGGGATATTGCGGTCAATGTCATCATTTCGTTTTCGCTTCTTGCCCTTCGCAGCTGGCACGGCCTTCGTTTTGACACTGTCGGGCTTCTCGCGGCTGTATTCTTCGATCTCCATCTTCTTCTCCAAGACCTGCGGCCGCGTGTGATCGGGCAGTAACCGGGGAACATCACCATAAAGTTCGAGCTGGTCTCCACGAACAATACACCTCTGCATCTCTCCGTATGTGTCCTTCGCTTTGTCCCAATTAAGTTCTTCGCGAACTTCAGCGAGGAGGACATGAACGTAACCATCACGTTTTCGGCCCGTACGCCCAACACGCTGGAGCTGGAGGAAGGTCAGTAAGGATCGATCGATAGACACGTGGCATGTGGCAGCGGCGGACGGAACTACGTACCATTCGAATCGGTGTCTTTTGGGCGTCATAACATACGATCATGTCGACTTCGCCGATATCAAGACCTTCTTCACCAATTGAAGTTGACACCAGCACATTAAATTCTCCAGCCTTAAACTTCCTTATGACCTATAGATCAATGTCAGACAGAAGAATGGAATTCTACAACCAGACTGCACCGTACCTCTAGTTGTTCCTTTTGCGCAAATCCCTTGCGCCCTTTCTTGTCAAGACCTTGCCCAACGAACTTCGTTGCCTTTAACAGTGGCCTTTCCTCGTTGAGCATAGCTACTATCTCGTCCACGCATTCGCGATAGGTGACAAATACCATCGCCTTTGTGTCTTCGCTCGTTTCCTCACCGTCAGCCATGCGCGAGCCGAAATGTTGCATCAGAAGCAGCTTAAGGGTCTCCATTTTAGGGTGCATCCCAAACCCGCCTGGCCGACCCTTATGACTCTCAAGCTCGGAGAGGAGCTTCTGGAAGGTTGGATCATTCTTCAGAGCATTTTTTGGCCCTTTCTTTCCATCGTGATCTTTTTCCTTCTCGGTGACATACTCCTGAAGACAATTCATGCACATCTCAGTACTAGCTTCCATCTGGTTGCCATGAGCGTCATGTGACCCCTTTTCAGCATGCACATAGCATACATACCAGGTAACCCATGGCACGAGCCATCATTCCCAATTTAGAAAGTACCCCCAGAGCCCACTTGTGCGGATGGTTTCGCTGGCAACTAATGCGTTGTTGAGTTGCTAATGCACGGTACGGGTGCATTTTAACTACATCGAGTGGTTCGATGACACCTTGTGCGATAAGAGGTTTCAGTATGCCCTTGGTGTGACTCATATTCAGGGTCGGGTCATGGAAGGTGAGATACCATTCACGAACCTCCATAACGGTCTTCAGCAGTTGCTGAAAGTGAATTATCTCGTCGTTCATTTGAATAATATGTTGTTTGATTTGCTGTTTTAATAAAGCATTCAGCGTGTGAACGCCTCAGCAGTGTTGACAACCAACCTTTTTATGCATATACTCTCTCAAATCAAGACTCCGCTCATCCCTAATTTCGATCCTACTTATGTGCAACGAGTCGACGATTGCTTGCACGGCCTCCTGTGAGCTCCCTGGCGTGGCAGTAAGCGCAAGCACGCGAAAGTGGGGATTCTTCGCCATCAAAAACCGTACGACCTGTGCGTACGCATAGTCCCCTGTGCCCTTGTGTGCTTCATCTGAGGGAGAAATGCATACTGCTAACTGCAACGATCGTATGACAGACGTACCAATAACAAGAAGGATTATGTCTCTCGGGTCACAGTTCTCCGTGACGAGGTCATTCATCAAAGTTTGGGGCGTCATATAAAATACACGCTTCTCCGTCCACTGCAAAGAGCCTGGTTAATGCCGAAATGCACCCAATACGCACCTACGCACCATTTGCGATCGATAGGTTCGGGAGTTATTGCCTGTCAATTCTACAGCATCCCTGCCCGGAATACCGCACGTCTGGTGGCAAGCGGTGATTTGTTGTGCGACAAGGGGTTTGGTTGGCGCAATAAAAACCACCTTCCCATCAGGAAACCAGCGGTAATCTGGAAGAAAAAAAGCTCATGAGATTAGTTGGAGCGAATCCACCTTGCTTACAATTGAGCATCACCACACCGGCAATGAATGTCTTTCCGAGACCAGTCGGTAGGGCTACGAGAGTGTTGTCGAATAAACAGCGCTGTACGATATTGAACTGGTAGTCCCGCTTCGGCTGATTTAGCGGGTAGATCCAATGCTTAGCCTCTAGCAGATCTGCTTTAAGTTTCAGAGGGGGTGGCTTAGGAGTATGGGTGAGTTGTGTCTTGGAAACTCGTAGAGAACGAGCGTACTGGACTTTGATAGTGTGCGAACGGAGGCTGGGTCATCAGACATTCTATGCGCTTTCATAAAAGGACATACCCGACTGTATCATGAGTGAGTACGGATATGTGACCATTGAAGGGGAACGCACCTGATACAAACGGCGCCGGAAACTGTTCAAATTCTATTTCTTCTTCTTCTTGACTGTCATGAGGGTCTGCGACACCTTTCCCCTTGCTTGGCTTGGGTTTTTTCCAGCCGGATTTTGCGAATGCGGTATGGTCCCACATCTTCGTCTTAGGGGCTGGTCCACCAGCAATATTTCGGGAGTTCGGTTTGGTAGAAGTCCGCGCCACGTCTTTAGCGCGACTCGTTGATGGAGTAGGCTGTAGTACGTCACCGAACAGTGTGGTTTGCAACGACAGTCGCTGGGAACTCGGCTTTGATGAACTGGTTGGACCAGCCACTGCAGCTGGTTTCCCCCGGTATGCATCATTAACGAAAGAATCCAACCGTTGTAGTTCTGTTGCATCCAATTCCAATGAGAGGTCAACGTATGAGTCGTCAGCTTCGAGTCCTCTGGGTTGTTTCGCCGAAGCAGGACACCACGACTGTGGATTCGGCTTTGGCGGAGGTTTAGCGTCTGCACGGTGCGCAGCTTCTATGACATCAAGTTGCTGTAAGACACCAGAATCGAGCTCATCGTTGAAGTAGTAGTCGTCAGAATTCATCGCTGGGGAGTCGCGACTAGCCCAAGTCCAAGAGACGCGACCTTCCGTGTTCCACTGGACTCGGCGAGACGCGTGATCATGTGATCTATGACGGCTTGTCCCAAGCCAGCAGACTGACAGCCTGTGGCCAACACAACGACCTCTTATTGTTCTTGTACTGCCAGCAATGTCAGAACAGTCGATTGCTCGGTGGAATGCTATTCCTATGGAAAGACAAGAGTTGGAGAAGGAACAAGGCCGGGGTTCATCCTTGAAGGTACTCTGCCATATTTTTTGGGGCCATTAGAAACACGGAATACTGCCCTTTACTCTTCCATTCCCCCCATCCAGCGATCACGCTCAGATCCAGATGACAGCGTTGACGAAAGTGAAGATAATGTCTCGCTTGTCTCTCGTAGTCCTTCACCTCCGCCACGAGCCATGGATATCGACAAATATGACGAGTACATCCGCGGAGCCCCAAGAGAAATAATCACTGTCGAAACGAAGATTAAGAGCACAAACAAAGGGTTCGCCATGCTCGCCAAGCTTGGGTGGTCGGAGGGCCAGCCGCTGGGACTCTCGGGGGATGGTACGCACCAGAACCCGTCGTTTTTCTCTAGAAATCCCTCACAAGTTCATGTACATACAGGACGCACCGACCCCATTCCCTTTCATATCAAGAATGACTTAACTGGTCTTGGAAAGACAAACCAGGACTTCCGCATGATCGAAACGACAGTCGCGCAGAGGCGCGTGCTGGACTCAGAGAGGCAGCGCAAAGAAACCGAAGATCAACGCAAAACACGAGAAGTACATCCGGCACTTTGTGGGTTGGAATTTTCGCCCTAACTTGGAACTTAGGACATCGTGGCCCGGCGTGCTGCCGTGAAATCAGAAATCACCGACACCTTGCGTCCCTTTTACTGCGCTCTCTGTGAGAAGCAGTTCCAGAACGTGGCTCAATACGACGAACACACCAACTCTTACGCACACCATCACAAGGCACGTTTGAGGGACATGCAAGCCAATGCACGTCCGATGCTTCAAGAGGAAGTCGAGAAACGAAAAGAAAAGGAACGTAAGCGTGAAGAGAAGGAGCTGAGGAAGCTTGCAAAGGCAGCTGGTATCAAAATAACTAAGCCACCCCCTGCGGCGTCCCCCGCTTCCTGTGCTTGCACCGGCTACTAGCTTCGACACCGCAAACATCAGCGAAACGAAATCGAATGGGTTCAAGAAAGCTGGCTGGACTACCATCAGCACTAGTGAAGCCGATTTCACTCGTACAGGTCGGTCTGCTGTTGACCCGGCCACTACTTCGTACAGTCGTCCACCTTCACTGCCACGACCCACTCCACCTTCACCCCCACCTCCCCGCCAGTCGCCCGCTGCACCGTCTTTCAGGGCAGGTGGTTGGACAACGCTGGACACTGGGAATTCGAAGTCATTTCCCTCGTCACCGCCTCCTCAAGAACCATCAGCTCCCCCTCCATCCCCACCACCTACACTGGCGTTTCCACCGCCTCCGCCTGCTGACGACTCACAGCGACCTCCCCCGCCTCCTCCGCTCTCTGGTCCAGGGTTTGCCAAGGGTGGTTGGGCGCCCGTTTCGTCTCAGCTGACGGGTGGTCCTCCAGCTTCTGGACATACACTTACGTCTTCGACTGGCTTGGCTGAGCGTGTTTCTGTCCCACCACAACCTGCACCTCAGGAACCAGCCAAGTTAGGCTGGCAGCAGTGGAAGCAAAACAAGAATTTTAGGCGCAAATAACATGCTGAAGCTTTTCCAGTTGCTCTCGTATGATCGCTTGGTTATGTAATACCTCGTTCGTTGGGTTTTCACTTCCCTGACATCGCACAGGAGCGCTGCTACCCGCGTTTCAGGTGACTAGAGGTCCCAATAGACCACAACTCGCTAGCTAGGATTAACAGTAACTACATTGCTGTTCTTTAATTTTAGTGACAGTATGTATGTACGCAGGTGCAGAGTAGAAAAAAATAAGGATGAGCGATCGGTTCAAAGGAAAGTGATAAAAAATCGAAAAAAAGGCCACGCTACGAGCATGGTTATGTCGAAGAGTGGGGAGCCTGACACCACAACCGCAGAAAGTCCAACGCCATCTATCTCAGGAAAATATATCGCGAAATGCATGCCTACTCGGACTCGCTGCCCGAACTGTCATCTGAACTGGAGTCCGATGAATGTTCGCTATCGTCGGCTCTGCCAGCAGGCGGAGGGGGACCGGTCGTTGGTCCGGAGCTCGCCTGATCGAAAAGCCTCATGCGCTCCTCCAGTTGCCGAATCTTCTCCGCCTCGATGTTCTCATCCATGCTCTTCCGCTTTAACCCTCCCGTACCAGTACCTTTACCAGTGCCGCGACTGCGCTTTTGAGCTGGCTGCCGTAGTGGCCGTATGACGAAGTTGTATAGCTTCGTCAGCACATGTGCAGGAAGAAGATCAATTTCAAGCTCAATTTCCTCGGTGCTCTACAAAGGTGCATGTAAGGAAACCAATATATCGAGGACGAAGATTGTCGACATACGTCGCGAATCTCGGGAACGCCCTCGTGAATGATGTTGATAACCTTCTCGAGTTTGGACTCGTCCAAATTCGAGATTGCCTCGCTCAGATCTTTCTTCTGCTCAAATGTGAGGATGTCGTCGTCCTGTGTTTGCTTCTTTGACTTCTTCTTTACAGCGCCGTTCGCGGCATTCGCGGCTTTAGATATACGTGAACCCGACGCTTTCGACGTTGAGGCAGTAGACGGCTTCTCTTTCTTCTTCTTCTCCTTCTTCTTCTCCTTCGCAGGTTGGTTTTTGAGAGCAAGCAAATTGCCCCGCATGGACTCGATCTGTGCTTCCATATTTGCAATCCTGCCTGAACGTGGCGACCAATCAGTACAAGTATACAACCGTGAAGGCAAGAACCTACGCTTCCGTTCCTCCTCCGACTCATTCTCTTCCTCTTCTTCCTCCTCGTCACTCGCCTCCTGCAGTGGTGGCAGATTCCTCCACTTCTCATCAAAGAGCCGCTGCAACTCAATGCCTGCTTGATTGACTGGTGTACCGGCAGGGTTGAAGGTGAAACAATTGCGAATCATGAGTTTGAAATCCTCGAAAAACTTGGTGGCGTTCGCATATTCGCCGTTGTCGAGTTTCTTTCGCATGGTCGAGAAATCCATCGGCTTCTTGATGATCTTCGGGTACGTTGGAATGTCGAGCTTGACAGGATCTGCCAGGAATTAACCTCCAAAACACGCACAACTGGCGACGGACACGCACCAACTGGCTCGTAAAACGGATGCGCGATTGCCCAGTGCTGCTTACGGTGCAAATCATTCAGGATTTTGGCACAAAACCTCAGCTGCTCTGCAGTGCCATCATCCTTGACCTTGGGTTTGCGCAACCTCTTTGGCACATCGGCATATGGCAAATCCTTGGGCGGTGGTGGATGGATCTCTCGCTTGGGTCGCGCAATTGCCGCGTGTTCACTATCGTTGCGACGAATAACAGGAACGGAGGTGGAGGCGCGGCGCGGGGGTGCAGTGGCTTTCTTCGGTTGAACTGGTTGGGGTAGAGGCGGAGGCGTAGCTGCCTTCTGAACACTGGGCTTCGCCTAGCATTATGAATCTCGTTTACTCAGATTACAAAAAGCGCACCAACATACCGGTGCAGGAGGCGGGAGTTGTTTGATCTGTTTATCAAACACAGTTTCTAAATGCTTTCCTGCTACCGAAATGACGTGATCGGGACCGTTGAAAGTTAAACAATTCGTGAATACTAGACGAACATCCGCAATAAATTCGTCTGCGCTGTTATAACGAGGATTATTTGAATTTGGGTCTGGTTTGGCAGGACTTGAGGACATGAGTTTCCTTTCGATGGTACCCAAGTCCATAGGATTCTTAATGATGCTCGGATAATGAGGAATATTGAGGGCGATGGGATCAACGGGATGCAGGAAGGCAGAAGCGTCCTTCAGCTTCTTCAAGGACCGTATCGTCGACAAACAGAAGCGGTGCTGTGCGGCGCTCAAGGTCGAGGCGCCCGAAGGGGCAGGCAAGGATGGAAGAGGAGTTGGGCTTTCAGCAACCTGATCACCCTCAGTTTGGATGGACGAAGCTGTCACTGGCGGTGGTGAGGCCGTCTGATACGAAATATATTAGCATACACAAGAACGAAGAGAATGGAGAGTTCCTACATGGGCAACAGAAGCCTGATCCGCATCAGAGAACTTGCGCGCCCGTTTGGCAGGGGGTGGTTTACTATCATCGTCCGTCTCAGGGTGGGATGGGGAAGCCGAAGCTGTGGGTGGCGGTGACATTGGAGCAGTGGGAGATGGACCGCCCTTTGTGTCCGTCGAGTCAGCTTGGCCGTTCACGAGCGGCGATGGTTGTGTCATGGTAACGTCGCCGTCGGCATCGAGTGAATGACCGTTGATGCCATTGGTGGTCGTGGTAGCTTCACCAGGGTCGTTACCGTTGGCGGTAGGCTCCGAGGGAGCCATGTCAGCCACCGGTGACGGTTCGGCCATTGAGACATCTTCAGACGGATCGCCCTGTGCTGAGGATGGGGTTGTGATTGGACGACATACATGAAGGGACGCTGCTCAGATAAGACGGTGGTTGTGCAAGGGACTCCACCTACGGACCTGCATAGACTTTGGGCGGGGCATCCATGTCAGAGACAGCGTTGGGCACTCCGCTTGGGGACTCGGCGTTTATGTCTTTGAATTATTATTTTGCATAAGAAAAAGAATTATATATATAAATAAAAAGTCGAGTCACGTATACCTGGGGCGGGGGAAGGATTGGGAGAGGATGCTTTGTCATGCTCGCTGGTGGTGGGCGGGGTGTGTTGTTCAGCGTCGGTCGCGTTCATCGGGAGGCGCGTGACGTGTGAGTCACGCAGTGTGACGTTGGCAGAGAGGGGAAGGGAGATTTTGGATTTGGGGAATCGGACGCCACCCATTGGGTCTTTATAGGCGACCGGAATTAAGGTTCGATCTCAAACCAACGCAAGGACCACCGAACTCACTCACACCTCATCACTCACACAGACGTCTTTGACAAGCTACAATGAATCCACAGCCTCCAACGTCGCCCAATCCACACGTTCTCCCTACTTTTCCTCCTCCTCGTCCTCGGACACGTTCGCAAACACCGGCTTGGGTTGGTTTTGTCGCCACGCTGCGAAAAAAAAAAAAAAATAAGTTCAGGTAAAACCCGCCACGTCAGCCGGCCGATCGGAACAAACACAGCAACACAAAACTTCAGACTCCGCTACGGCAACTTTCCTATTGTTGACTCCGCAGCGGCGAGACTGGAAACACATGCAAAAATAAACCATCCACTCACCTGCAGTCCAGACTGGATCGTCTTCTGTGAGCTTCGCATACTTGAGAAGCGCCTCTCGAGGCTGTCACGCAACAATGTAGTGTGAAAGAAAGAGGAAACATTGTCAGTCGCTCGACATCATGGAAACCATCAGAAAGAAAAGAACAAAGGGTCACGTGCCACGACCCGATGCCCAAACTCAGGCACAGCAAGAGCAAGATAGGAGATATGATCAAACAGAACACTCACATCTTCGTCTCGTGTGGTGTCCCGTACGAGGTTCTGTACAATGTGCTGTGTCGCACTTGCACCGACGCGACCTCCCTTCCCTGGACCAGTGACAGGTAACTCTGGTTTTCTGCTCTTCCTGGGATCCATCCGATCTTTCTCCCTCCTTCGCTTTGTTCCTTTCACGACACCGTCACCATCCCGGAACATGGGAAGCGCGTGTGGCGTCAAAATTGCAGGCGCCGCAAGCGCGTCAGAGAGATCTTCCACCGTTGGCCGCTTCGGTGCTCCCTTCGCCAGCAACAACTTCGCACCATTGATCGACGTCACCGGGGAGTAGAGCACTGATACTGTGCCGTTCGAAAGTCCGGTCAGAATTTGATTTATTTTCGAGTGCCAAACCACTTTGACTGGCGTCGTCTCCATATCCGTCTCTTCTACAACGCTCAAATCTGAGCGCCGAAGAAAGACCAGCTTTCCCCGTCCTCCCTTTTGTGATGCGCCGTCGCTTGTGAGAATGAACTTCTCGTCCGGGCTGAATACAGCGTTCGTGCCCGGATATAGCGTCGCTAGGCCTGAACCCACGGCAAGAGGTTTTTTGAAGGAGCGAAGATCCCAAACTACACGATCCATCAGAAAGGGTAGCCCCTGCTTTTCGAACATCGGACATACGTTTAACAGTCTCATCCCCCCCTCGTGTGAGGACGATTCTCCCATCAACGGAAAAAACGATCGAACCGACGTCGCTTCCCTTGGTGTGGGCGCCTTCGACGGTCATATTTGGCCGGACGAAATTTGACGATGCATTCCACATGTGCAAAGATCCGTCAAGGCAAGCTATAGAAACCTGCATTAGAAGTCGGTACAGATCGTACACAGGGACGTACCTCCACTAATCAAGTTTCCATCAAGAGAGTAGGCGCACGTGGTTACCTTGGTTCTGGCACCTCTCTCCTTGGATTTCACAACAATGACACTCTTTTGCTTTCGCTTGTTCTCCACATCCCATATTCTCCGGAAGTTTAGTCAGACTAAAAGATGAAATCAAAGATGCAAAATACCTAATCGTTGAATCTGCAGAACTAGTGATGAAGTATTTCCGATCTTGTGGATGCCACGCGCATGCGGACAACTCCCCAACGTGACCGCTATCGTGTGTTCCAGTCAAAGTTGTTAGAACACAAGAAATACACTCACGCAGTATTCTTCATATCCCTGATATACATATCGCCCTTGACGAATGTTGCCCTGCGGTCATTCAAGCCATTCTGCTCCCAAACGAAACGAGTCAAACTTACTTTTCTTCGCCGTCGCGGTCGTAAAGTTTCGCTTGGATCGTGGCTGAAATTACGAGAAATTGTTGGCCATCGTTAGAATATTTAAGGTCGTTAACCTGGCCAAGTAATGGATGTCAGTTCCACGTTCTCGCCATGTCCTACTAGGCACGAGGACCTACATAATAACTGCCGGCTGGCTCCCAAGTCTTGAATGATCTTGTTTGAGTGGTCATACCACCAAAGTCCCAGAGTTTGCAATCATAATCGTACGACCCGCTCAAAACACGTGCACCACTGGGGTCGAGCGCCAATGCCGAAATGACCTTCGTGTGCTCCTTGAGCGTCGCCTCATGAGTGATAGGAAACTCAGGCCCTGAGGGAAGTGATGGGTCGTACTCGGGTTCGTCGTGCGCCGCGTCATCTTCCTCTCCAGATACCTCACCACCATCGCTTGCTCTCGAGGGACCCTCCTGCCTGGAGGTTGACGGTTTGGAGTCGTCCATTTCATCGTCTTCATCTTCCGATTGCGCAGCGCGCACACCAACCTCGGAGGAGGGCTTACTTGGACCTGGTACAGGTCTGGATACGACAGATGGAGGTTGGACATGCGACGGCTTAGGAATGGTTAACACGCGACTGCGGTACGGTAGCTAAGCACCTTACCACGGTAGAATCCACCCTCTTCGTTTTGTCGAATCTGGAGGGGTCTAGTTCCCGCTTTTTCGCAGCTTTCCCAAAGCCTGATATGCCCATAGCAGCGAATACGTCCATGTCCGCCATTGTAGCGAGTGTCCTGTGGTTCTACCGCTGAGATGCCACCAGCACTAAAAAGCCTCAGGGTATTATTACGCAAGGAGTTGCCAATTTTGGAAAGTCCATATTATTATTTATTCTGGACCAGGCATGAGAAACAGCCTATGGCACAGACAAGCCACACGCTGACGCAACTACATACCCTTCCTACCTGACGAGCTTACTTACCCAGCGACATGCTGAAGCGACAACGACCAGTCACGCCTCCGCCGTCTTCACTTGACTTTCCTACGTATTTACCGGACATACTGGCCAAAGGGCCACTTCCAAGTCCAGACCTAACCTCGATAAGCGAGTCCTCTGGTAAAAGGCGACGGTTGGAGCGGCCAGACAGGGAGACGCTGAGAGGTTGGACACTGCCATCATCTGACGTTTCACACGGAGAGCACGGCGACGGCAAAGAAGACGTCGAACGATCGAGCCATGGTGACGGGGCAGAGGGGTTATATGATGGTATCCCTAACCAGAGCATATTATCCCCGGGAGACGGGGGATACAAACAGACGAATAACATCCTCCATGAAGTACATGTCCTCAACCAGCACAGATTGGTATTCTCCCCTTCGGAACGCCCACCCCAAAGTCATGCACCCGAGATATCTCCACACTCCGTCCATATCCATCCAAACTCTCAGGAAGCTGCGGAATCTAGTTACGGCCTCCCGTCGTCAGCTTACAGGAAGTCACCAGTGGGATCGAATTCTTTCCAGCCTGTACATCGCATCCCGGCAGGCCAATCATGTTCTGCGAACGTTGCAGACGACCATGCTGACCTGCAAGAGGCGCAGGCTGTGTGGGAGCACTATGGAGGCACAAATAAGCAAGTCTTCTCTGCCGTGTGTGGCTGTTGCACGTGCGCTAATGCACTTTTCTTTAGACTTCTGGGTTCCCTGTTCCTCTCTCGCAGGCGTGAACTTCAAGGGGCTTTCTACACCCTCGAATCTTAGCGGTGCAATTCCTTACGCTGCTCTGCTTTCTTGGCGATCTCAAATCAACATGCCCCCTTGTAGCAGCCCTATCCCGGTTTCCAGTCGTGTGCAATGATTGTATGTGTTGTTCTCCTTTCATCGGATGGAGCTTATCTTTCACTTCGCATGTTATCTTCATTCTAGGGCTCTACCCATCCATTTGAGCGGATCAAAACACGCACGCACGTTTCCCCAATGACATCGTAGATTCCACTTTCTGGCTAGCGGCAATTAATTGGCTTTCCGATGCAATGGTGAAGCCCGAACACTTGTGTCACATCTCGATCCACATGTATTTTATCCATACCACGAAAATTGCCAGATCGTATCTATTTAGGAACTACATCACGCAATGTTTAACTGCTGCTCGAGATGGCAGTCGATTCAGGGCGCTGGGTGCTCCCCTGACGTGTACCTGTGGCTTTGCCTCACGGTGGGTGGGTTTCGCTGCGACTCCCTGACCAACCCGCTCGATAAGGAGTTTCGCATGGCCATCTTCGCTAGTGATCGGCCAAAATTACACAGGCATCTCCCTCTTCATTGCTTGGATCTTGCGTTGACACGGAGTGCCGCTTTCGCCTCAGTCAATTTACTCCCATGAATCCCCCAATCCCAGAGCAATCTTAACAGAACGGTGCTGATGTATGTATTGTAGTTCATGCGAGGCTCCCGCCGGCCATGTTGCCCGGGATATTGTGCACTACCACACATAAGGAGGTATGTCTTTCATATCCAGTTGGACGGGAATGCACTCCTTGGACTGATCCACAGATTGTAAATGCGTATCCTGCGCATTTATTGACGTTGGTTCCGACTGGTACTTTGCAGTGGATTGCTGGATCCAGAAGTGGCAGCTCGACTTCGATCATAGTCACATCGGAAATATAAGAACCATACATGTTGGTACAAGGCATCGGTCCACCACTCCCTTGTCGGTATCCACCAATCCCTTCAAGAGTAAGAAGGATCACTCCTTACACCTTGTGACTCCAAGACATCTCGGACTGTTTCCGGCCAAGGCTTCGAGGTGACCACGGGTTTCTGCTGGAGTCGTCTGTGGAATAACCGCATAAGTTGCACTTTGACTCTGCTCGAGGCACTGTTCAAATTTTGCTTGTTCCCCATCAAAGCATTCCAAGTATGTCCTTTCCAAATCAGTTCCTTATGACCAATTTTCGGAAACTTGTTGTGTCGTCCTAGGAACGCTTCCCCTTGACTGATAGCTTTCTTCCCTTAAGATGTCGACAAGCGCACTGTTCGATGTGGGTAACCACAACAAATGATCCTACAGTAACGCCGCTGCGCCCCCAATGACGGGAGCACATGTCTTTGCAATTGAGGTTGGTCCGAATATTCTTCTCTACTGAGAGAGCAATGCATATGTAAGCCTCGTTTGAACGGCTAGTTGGAATTCCATCTGCTCTACTGAGTGAAAGACAGGTTTTGGCCGATATCGTCTGAATATAGGGGTGCAATGTCTCGCTGCCTTTCTGTTGACACTTCTGCCGTCACAAACACCCTTCCGGCACCACGCTCACGCTCTCCAGGGACGCTGTCGGATTTCTTGCGGTACGCACTTCAAACAGGACGTGTAATACCCTCTACGAACAAAACTCACTCTCGCCCACGGGATGGCCATCAATCAACCTCCATCCGGGTCACCTGTAATGGACGGTCGCGGAATCTCGACAATGTTTATAATCGACGTGGACCGTCATGTCCTCTTGTGTACTCGACATTATCATGTTCGTGCAAGAGGACCGTCTTCTGGCTACAGATGCCACTTAGTTCTTCTAATAAATGGTGCAAGATGATCTTACCTCGCAACAATCGCGCCTTTCTGTCTCGTAATCGCACCGATGTTATCATCCAAAATGTCTAGGGTAGTAGCAACGGTCTCCTCTATCAAGTTCATGTCAAGCATTTGAAGTTTGGTTCGGTCGGGTCGCCAGAACCAATTTCATTTCATTTGGTCTCGGTTCAGATTTGTGAATGAAAGTAATGTATGCTACCACGCCAAATAATGCGAAAGCCTAATTGCCCGGATATTGACTACCAATACGCCGATCGCGATGCACACGGATGGCGTCGCCGGAAAGGCGGGACTGCGCGTGGACTCGTCGTAGCGGTACACCTGCGTCAGGGGCCCCGCTTTTCTGTCCGCGGGATGGACGGATATATTTTACGTCCATCGACTGGTTGAATTGTGGCTTTTTGGCGCAATCTGGAAGGGACACGGAATTGCATAAGATGGCCCGCTGCTGTGAAAAACTCGAGCTGGTTTCGAGGACCAACATGCCAAGTCATTACTCGGCGGCGGCGTCAGGGCAGCCCACGAGGGATTCACGTGTAAGAAGCGACTCTGTCGGATGAGAAAGCGTTTGGACCCTTTCATTGCGGTTGTAGCTATGGATTGGAATGATGGCGATCACAGGCGAGAGCAGCCAGGATCTACCGAGTGACCCATGATGAGTATGCAGGGACTACACACGCATGGATTGTGTGGGTACAATTATCTTATCTGTCATTTTATGTACTTCATTCACGCACCTCGCGTTTAGAGGGACCAAAGACACGGGGTTCACGTTCAGAGCAAAATAGGGCGAGAAGATGGTGACCGGTGGATCGTGGCGATTGCGTGACCTTTCCATGCTTCAGAGGCACTGAAGCAAGCTGGCGACGGTAGAGATAATGCGTACATACGGTGCGTGAGGTGGGTCACTTAAGGGAAGGCGTGGGTCTGGAACGGAGGTTGCATGCAGCCACAATATGATGGAATCTAATATGTCAGTGCTTAATGACGGGTCGGGTAAATATTGTGTGAAATGAAGCAAAAATGGGGGATCAAATTCATAGCCGAGATGGTACTACCGACCCACACCTCGACAATTGCAAATTGGCCAAGCAGCGTAAAGGTCATATCACTACTCCTGCCCGAGGTGCCGCATCGGTGACCGAGGCATTCTCCTGGGGTGCGGAGGAGACGGTGGGGGGCGTGTATACAGTCTGCACCACTTCCACGTGGGGGGTTGCAACCCGGCGTTTCTCGATGTCGAAATCTGCAGCATTTCGGAAAACGATTCCAAAGGATGTCTACGCCAAATCAGAAACTCGACCTAAATCCAGACGGACATCACGTCCCAGCATTTCGCTTAGTTCACGTTGCAGCAACATGCCCAGCTCTTCTCCGTCCCTGGAATATCGCCAATCATCCGTAGCTCTGACGTAGTCGTACCGTTTCGGACCGCTGTTCAGGATAATAGAAATATAGGGGGATCGTGTACATCCGCGTTATGTTCAAATTCACGTAAGTGGGTAAACAGCCGATTTTCAGCAGAACATGTTGCAACATGAGTAAGCCGAGCGGGAACGTATGGCATCGATGCACGAAATTGAACAAGATGTCATTCAGCTTGGAACCGTCCCACTCACCTAAGTGGCGAGGAAAGCCAAATTTGCTTGTTGGGAGGCTGCTTGTTGATCACGTACGTTCCGTGCGGTCCGAGCTTAAGCGTCAGCACACCGCTCTGAAAATACGTTAATACATCGCGCGTGGCTGCATTCTATACCCATATTTCAGGAGCATTTGCTTTGAACTCACATGGTAATCTACTTCCGCGTCGTTATTGCCAAGCCCGTCAAGCAGGTCCTCCAGTCGCTCGAGCAGTGTGGTCATAGTGGCATCTGAAAGGGTATGGTACTCTTCTATGTGAAGCTCACTGCGGGTAAGGTGCAGGTTTCATAAGCACCCATGACCTGTCGGGAAACTGAACAAGAGTTTCTGACCTGAGGCCCGTCTGTGGTGGTGTGGTTAATGACCGTTTGCGCATGTACAGCTGAGACCTCCCATGACGTGCCTCTCCTCCAGAAGAGAAAACAAGCGAGGAGAGCCTCTTTGACGACGAAATCAAAGCGCTGTGCGCACAGATAGCTCCAATCCTCGATGTACGCTGGCAAAGCGCTCGTGAAAGCATTGGCAGGGTAACGGATGAGGCGGGGAATATTTGTGTACATGTGATTGCGCAAACACCCCGTTACAACGTGCAATAGCCGACAGAAAACATATACGTGGACACTCGGTTACAGTAAGATAGCAATCAACCACAGCGACAATTCAAGTACGGTAACATGGTACAGGGAATCTTTATTGAAGACCATCGCGGAACGTACGATTTACAACTCCTGATGACATTACCCCACTCAATGAACGGAGCACACTGCGAAACTCCCAGTCAACCGCCATTTCCACTGGATCGCAAAGTTCAAGGTTTCTGCCCACCTTCCTTTGCGACCCAGTCCAGCCACGACCCTTCGTAATTGAAAAGGCTTTGCACACGTCAGCAGCGCAAAAATTAAATTGACGGTTGACTCACTTCTGGTATCCGTGCCTCCGCGCGATATCACATGCAGAAGCACTCCTCTTCCCACTCCTGCAGTAAAACACAACTTCTTGCGTGGTGTCTGGTTTATCGAAGCCGTATTTCTCACGAAAATCCTGCGGCTTGAGATTCAGGGAAGTGGCAAGTGTTGATAGAGGAAGGTTGACGGATGAGGGAATGGAGCCTCGGATGACCTCGTCAGGCTCGCGCACGTCAATGAGATATGCGTCCTAAATAAATAAAATAAAACCACAGCTAGTGAGGAAGAGACCAAAGATCAAAGTGGAAAAACAAACATCGCTTGGCTGTAGAGTTTTTGGCTTAACCTGTTCATAGGTAAGAATAGGGCTCTGCCAATTCCTCTGTAGGGCGTCTTGAAGCTTGCGCGCAGCCCTCAAAGCCTCGGGATCAGCAGGCTTAGAAGACTCATATCGTGCGAGCGCTTGGAAGGAAGGTCGGAAAACGTGAGTAGACACATACGCAGACCGCAGCGAAGTGCGGGGGGTGCTAACTAGTGCTGCTCGCAACATCTCTCGTGAGTGAAAGTCAATTGCAAGTCGGGGCAAGCCGCCGTTGCATTTATGGAACTGCTTGCAAGTACCCGTGCCAGCAAAGCCTTGCTGACGTGATCCGATGTAATGTCGTCGCTGAGCACGTGATCGTGAGGATAGCTTGGCTAATAGCGGTGCTTCCGGCAAATTTGCCTCACGCATACTAATAATTGCCGCATCGACCGTCTCCATGGCGCACACGACATCCACCCTCCAAGTCGCTCGCCTCCGACCACGCAAGCTCAATCTGTATGCAGTCGTTGGGCATGGAATAGCCATCTACCCATACCTCAATGTCAAGTTCCATCTGCTGGCGAGCGCTTGATGGCAGATCGCCAGACAGGTGGGAGCGTGGTTCTCAACAAACCTGTCTTGCGATGTGTCATCTTTTGCTCTCAAAAATTCTCCTGTGGATATGTGGCGTCGTAATTGTTTTTTATTTAAACGGTCGCTCTGCGATTTTCTTCGTATCAAATCGCAGCGACAAGCGTTACAGGCGAACCCAATGTGTGATTACAAACTTGGAACCTGTAGAGCTACTGAACCTTCCAGCACACAAGATGGAAGTATGTAACGCTCTGTCATGGTTGTGAGTCCCTCTTCTTTCTTGTTGAGAATGTGTCATTATTGCGTATGGGCACAATCATTTAGGTACAGTAATTGACTCAACGATCCTAGGGTTTCTGCACCGCTCTGATGACGAATGTCCGGTTGCGTTTTTGGCAAGCTCGATTGCTAACTTTTCGAAACATGTGAACTTCCACGTAATGGTACCATCGTACACCTATCCTGGCGTTCGCTGTTCTTGATCGTTCTCTCGCCGCGTCGCATCGCTCATTGGAGGACCATCGGAGAACAAGGTGGTTGTGCACATAATGGCTACCAACTCATCGACGGCGGTCAGTAGAATGCTTGCTTTTCTCCAAACGCGGCGGCGCGCACGAGATCATCATCTGCCTCCAAAAGGCTGTAAGTATCGGGGAAGTTGTGGTCTAAATTTTGTGCCTGACTACCCTGAGGTCCATCCCCCACTTCATATCATCCCATGACACCCCCTCGTGTGATATTTCACGCCATTCTGACGCTGATAGTCATGTGGGCCTAGCGCTGTCAAGATTTACTGAGTCAACCCGCCGAACTAACTTCTGTCAGATGTTCAGGTCTGCCTACATTATTCCGGTCATCTTGGGACTGTGTAGGGGTTCCGTTTGGAGTACTACATGGCAAGTACATATGTGCCTGCTTGGCGCGTCGGGTTTATTGGGCCCTCAGTTATGCCCTCTCCCACCATCAAGTACTGTGTCCTTCAGTACCGTCCATTCCTCCCAGCAGGTGAAGCTCAAGTTACCTCAGCGCGGGAGGCCAATGTATCGAATCAAATCACTCGTACCACGAGATACATATGCTGAAGGCCTACCGGCTGTTTAGTGGCAACTCAAACTACTATTGCTCAAACGGACACGATTATGGAACCGGATGCCAAGCATCCCTACTTGACAGATGATAACTCAACAAAAGCAACGTCGGCCGCAAAAATACGAAAATTTCCACACCCTAGTAACAGTTAAATAAACCAGTATATCAGCCATTTCTTCGTCCAGACTGAGCAGTCCCTAACGTGCAATACTTAAAAGCAGTCACCATGCTACCAGCGACTCTCTTCCCTCTGGTGCTTGCTGCCGTAGCAAATGCCCATTTCCAACTTCAATATCCTGCTCCTAGGGGACCATTTGTAGCCGCCCAGGAGCCCACGTTTTGTGGTAAGAACTTCACGACCCTTCTTGTATGTACGATACAGGCTACGATCACACACAGATGGCTACACGGATGCCGTATCCAATCGGACAGTATTCCCTCTCGCGAATGGGGTGGTTAACTTCATCAGCAAGCATACGCAGTGGACTGGTATGATAATTAATTCGGTTGGTGGCAGTGATCATTCTAATTAGATCGGTCTGGCTCGAGCAGCCGGCGTCATTGTATCCACGAAACAGAGCCCTGCGTCCTTCTCCGACTTTAACTCTTCTTCGGGATACCAAATGGCTGTCCAATTTTTTCAATCAAGCGGGGAGGGGCAATATTGCTTTCCGATGGATCTAGCAACCTCAGGTGTCTCAGGAATTCAAGACGGTGCCAACGTGACCATCCAAGTTATTTACGACGGTGGTGATGAGAACCTCTATCAGGTACGTATCATTACTTCATTCCTATCACTCAGTCGCGTTCTCAATTTCTTCAAATTTGATATTGCGTATCAAACCAGTGTGCAGACTTAACTCTTTCCGCAAATGCAACGGTCCCAAGCAATGCGACCTCCACTTGTACAAATGTCACCGCAAGTGCGAGCGGAACTGCTTCTGCTTCCACTTCGACTGCAACGCATACCAGTAGCGCCAAAAAAGATTGCGCAACGGTTTTTGGGATTGTTGCCGCCGCGTTTATGGCCTTAGGGCTTTCGTTTTTCTGAACTCCCAAGTACATAGTTGGCAAAGGCGACAGTGAACGTCGTCACGCTGAAAGGGCGTAGCTACTTCCAGAGCAGTAACAAGGACGAGTGCGCGGGAAACCCACGATTCACGCCAGGGATGCATCGGCTAGCCTCTGCATTGCTGGTAGCATGCTCAAGGAGCCTCAGGAGTATGAACATTAACCACATCGCCTGAGTTTGACGCGCCAGACAGGCTCAGGGCTGGATGCATTCTGCTTCTCTGTGTCATGGTTGAATTCAGACATCGTCCAGTCGTCTAGACTGGTCAGTGCATAGTGACGTCGGGACCCATACACACGTTGGGTTAGGTATGGAAGCTCCAGTGCGAATGGTTGAAAGGTCAAGAAACCCGCGCGCAAGCCGCAATGAAATGCGGGAAATGTGCACTAGCACTATTCCCAACATCTCTCGTAGATGAAGTCGACGTTGCAATCGCAGGTCGGGGGCAGGCCTAATTGCTTGCGAGCGCCGCAAGCCTTGCTGAGTCATCCAATTAACACGTGATCGTGGGTATAGTGTGTTAATGCTGCGATGCTTCTGCCATTGGCTGAAAAATTGGCTCAACGTCAAAGAATTGCCTCACTTCGTTTTGTCTGCACACAACGTCCCCCCTTCAAGTTGTTCGCCTCTAACCAAGCAAGCTCGATCTCTATGCAATCGTCGGGAACGACGCATCGCGTATCCACATCTCCATGTCAAGTTTCATCTGCTGGTAAGTCCCTGGTAGCACATCGCTAGACAGGCGGGGGCGTGGTTCTCAACAAACCTGCCTTGCGATGTGTCATCTGTTCCATTTAATTGTTCGCTCTCAAGTTGCTCCGATGGACATACAGCGTGGTTGTTCTTTTTGATCCAAGCAGTCGTTCTTCGATTTTTACGATATCAAGTCCCAGCTGTCGCGCAAGTGTTCCAGGCAAACCGACGCGTGATTACACATCCAAGTCAAAAGCTGTTGGGCACGCACAGAAGGGAAGTGTACTGATGTCCTGTCATAGTTTGTCTCCTTGTTGACTATTGGGTACGTGTGCCTTCACCTCATTGGTCGTTATGCATTATGCATCATGACCTCGTGTGAGATAACTTCCAAATAATGTTCGGCAATAGCCGAAAGCATCCGTACTGTAGTAGTTAAGGTTGTCTGGACATGTTCGACAACCATACTGACCATGAATGCCTGGTTGCATTTTGGAAAGAGCGATTACCTGCTCTTCGAAACGTGGAGACCTTCGTCTAATGGTGCCATCGCCGGTACATGTATAGCTATCTTTGCGTTCGCCATTTTCGATCGCTCTCTCGCTGCATTGCGTCGCACTCGGGAGGATCATTGGAAAACAAGGTTGGTGCATACACATAAAGGCTTCCAACTTATCAACGGTGATCATTAGAACGTTGGCTTTGCTGTCAAAGCAGCTGGCGCGCACTCCAGCATTATCTGCGCTAGACGGAGGAAAGGCTGTAGGGACTGGGGAGGTTGTGGGAGAAGTTCTTTCGACCGACTCCCCGCACGACGCCAAAAATATCTCCCGCGCTACCCTGAGGTCCATTCCCCCCTTCGTACCATTCCATGACATCCCTCGTGGGATTATTTATGCCATTCAGACGGCGTCTTCTTACATCCTGATGCTAACAGTCATGTGAGCCTAACACCGCCAAATTTCACCGAGTCGGCCCGCCAAACTGACTTCTGTCAGGACGTTCAATGCGGCCTACATTATCTCCATCATTTTGGGATTGGGTGTGGGAGAGGTTTTGTTTGGACGTATTGCGCCTGGGCCAAGTACCCACCCGGCACATTAGGTTTATCAGGTCCTTGACCTTAATTACTCCCTTAAGTACTCTGTCGTTAAGTGCCGATATAACATCCTCCCAAGTAGGTGGAAGTCCGACTTACTTGAGCACGGCAGGTTGATGTATTGAATCAGTTCAAGATGGAGGCAGCTCAAACTACCATGCCCATGGAAAGTTGTATCATATATTTGTCACACTTACATAACAGATGGTAACTAAACGAGCCACGTCGGCCGCGAAGAAAACTTTTTCGCACCGTAGCATAACAGTTAAATAGAGCGAATCGGCCGTTTCTGTTGAGAGTGAACAGAAACCATCATGCAGTTAGCAACTTTCCTACCTCTGGTACTCGCTACCGTAGTGAATGCCCACTTTCAACTTCAATATCCTATTCCAAGGGGACCATTTGTAGAGGACCAGGAGCCCACGTTTTGTGGTGAGCGCTTCAGACACCCTTCTTGCAGGTATGATGCAGATTACGATCACCTACAGATGGCTACACGGATGCTGTGTCCAATCGGACAGTGTTCCCTCTAGCAAATGGGGTGATTAACCTCAACAGCGAGCACCCGCAGTGGGCTGGTATGATCTTCATTTGAGTTGGCGGCACCAGTGGTTGTGTTCTAATTAGATCCCTCTGCTTCTTATAGTCGGCGTCATTGTATCCACACAACAGGATCCCACATCCTTCGCCGCCTTTAGCTCCTCTTCGGGGTACCAAATGGCTGTCCAATATTTCGAAACTAGCGGGGAGGGACAATATTGCTTCCCGATTGATCTGGCAAGTTCAGGTGTCTCAGGAATTCAAGACGGTGCCAACGTGACCATCCAAGTTGTCTATGATGGCGGTGATGGCACCCTCTATCAGGCACGTATCACTGCTTCGTCCCCATCGCTCGGTCACATTTACAAATCTTTCATTTGATATTCCTTATCAAAAACAGTGTGCCGACTTAACTCTATCTGCCAATGTGACGGCCCCAAGCAATGCGACTTCCACCTGCACGAATGTCACCGTAACCGCAAGCGGAACTGCTGCTGCCGCCGCTGCAACTGCAACAAGCACTGGTGGCGCCAAAAAGGATGGCATAGCAGTTTCTGGGATTGTTGCCACCGCATTGATGGCCTTGGGGCTCTCTTTTGTCTGAACCCCAAAGTCACGACAGGGAACGTGATAACAGAAAGCGGCGGATGGATGAATGAAAGTAACTACGCGGCAGTAACAACCCAAGTGTAAACATGTGTCCCATTTGTTGGGAGGGCCGAGACCTAAAGACGTCTCCGTGAATGAAACAGAACCCTGCAGAAGCAGGAAGATGGAATGGACTAGGCTGTCAGCAACTGTTATTGCGCTATTAACGGTCGTCCCGCGACTGCGGGGGGAAGCACGAGGAAGCCTCGCAGCACGCCAAAATAACACTCATGAAACGACTTATTTTAATTCATATGTATAGAGGAAAAGGCCGACTTCGCTCACGAGTAGAACGAGGGGTTCTTGGCAAGGGTGTGTCTGGTTTTGAAGGTGCCTCGCAGACTCCAACGTTCGGGGCATCCGATTGCCTGGTATGGTCATGATGCTGGACTCACGCACCTTGGCCGCGTGGTGCATTTCAAGAAATGAACGGAACAGATAGCAAAGGCACATATTGGTGGCACTGCGACTGAGTTGATGGTATAAAGATGGAGGGCACTGACCTCCAGCGATGACCTTGAAACCCGAACAATACCATCAACCACTGATCGTAGTAGTTTTTATTTGATCGTAGATACGAGATATTGACAAGAGGTTTTCTAAGCGTGTGCTCATCATACGAGAGAGTTGTACGCACCACATTATGTCCAGGGGGGATCCCAAGCACGAACAGCCATACGTCCGAGGATGGAAATATTAATATAATGGGTTAGCTAGTCACCGTGTTAATGAGCAGATGGATTCCTGTGTAAGGCGCCTCCATTATGATGGCAATAGCTACGCGGACCTTCCTTGAACATACCGGACGAGGATGTCATTGAAAGGTGGAACAAAGCTACATTGTGTAACTACTACAGAAGCCTGCAGTCTGTCGTCCTAACAGAGACAAACACCCGCTGACCTCATTGCCACGCTAAAAGTCCGTGTCAGGCGTGGGTAGGCCCTCCACATACATTCAAGGTCAGTAAAAGTAGACGACCCGCCGCCGATCTGCGACTTACATATTACAGGAATCAATGGCGGCTGACTCAGTTATGTATAATAGTGGGCTATTCCAGTTTTATTCACCAAGCGATGACGCGTCTCTGGGGACCTTCTAGTCAATTGCCGATAACGGACATGCCAGTGGGACGCGTGTCTGTTATCGGCAACAGGCAGTGAATCGAATCACACACAGTGGGACTTCTCAGGGCAAGGGTTCTTGCTACTTCGTATTGGAAATGACTGACGAATCTGTGTTGGCCGGGTGTCAGCTGGTATCAGCAACCGTAATCATCGCAACAATCGCTGGTACGCTTTACCCAAGCCTCCCGATGGGTGTCTTTCCTGACTTAACGCGGGTTATTGGCCCATCACTGTGGTAGGCGGTTTGACTCATGCCCATCTTATCTGAATCAGCCAAACTTGATGGCGCCCAGCCACTGCACTGTAACAGAGGCTTACGTCTCATCTGATACCGCCTGCGCCTCGTAGTGGCGGTGCCGAAGAGGCTTCCGACGGGGCGTCTTTAAGTAAACGCGAAAGACCAGCGAATATCTTCGTCCCTTTTCTTCCCGGGCTGTATTGTACTGGAGATTCGCCCACCATGAAGTGGTTCCAGCGGCGGCGTCGCGAGGACCCTTGGGAGGTTGTCGGATGTGAAACCGTAAATCCTGTTTTCATGCTCGATTCCGGGGACGACGATGGTGTTTACCCCCTCAATCTGTGCTCCCGACCGCGACAATGCTAACATTTTTGTCATAGATCTAATATATGTACATGAAGGGGACACGTGTGGGCGATACATTTTCGACTTCACGAAGCAGGTTCCCAGTGGGGTGCACTGTGCCAGCGCGCTGCAGTTTGCGAGGCAGCAGCTTCTACAGCAAGTTACTACAAAGGGTTACAACATCTTGCTGGAAGAAGGGTGAGTATTTCTCCGCTTATACCGGGACGGGATATGACTCGCCGGAATCTGAGATTTGCCTCCAGGTGGTCACTGACCCTTTTGCGGCGAGGAGAGCGTCATCGTATACAGGTCGACTACACAGGGAGACCCGGCTGCATGTCAGGGAAATTACCTCCACTCCGAGCACCTCCTTTCGTCGCCCTTTTAGAAGGGAAACATATTTTCTCGTAACTTATCGATCGTACGTGCATCCGACCACCACCACTCATCCTTGTATCTCTACCTTTGTAATTATTGTCAAGCTCCATCCGTCTATATCACGCCTGTAAACTTATGCATACTGTTTTTCAAATTACAAGATCCATTAGGGGTACCCGCGACTGCGAGCCAGCTCGTTGGGCACGTTCAGATCACACGCATCTTATCCAAGGAAGTATGATCGTGAGCAAGTGATATTACATCAAGTCCTTGTTATTACAATGCCTCGTGTAAGGGTCCTGGTTAGCAAACGGTGAAAGCCTTTCACATCGCTTCTTTCAGTGAACCGGGAGGATGAAGGACAAAGAATGCCGGACTCCATAGCATATAAAGAGACCTGGGCACAACCATCCAGGATACTACAAGCTTCTCCAGCTTTCGTCTATTGGATGTACTTGAAGCTCTCTCCCCCACGCGATATGTTCGACTACTGCCTTCACGTCTTCTCGAGCCTTTGTAGCAATCAGTTCGCCCTCTGTCGCAAGCTTCGCGACGTCGGCGGGGCGGAAGATGATGACTGCAGTGTAAAGAGTTCATCCGGACCAGCACGTACACATGCTATCCTCGCCGACACCAAACCCGTCAAGGTCGGCCCCCGTGTAATACACACGGAGCAGTTCATCTGCAAAGGAGGTGTCGACACGGGGAGGCTCCTCGACATATCTCGCAAGAAGCTTTATACGACTGCCAAAGCAATGGGCGGTAACGTCCTTCTTGATGAACAGTAAGTCTTGTTCTTGATCGCCCCCTCTGCGGCTGCTAACGGAAAGGTTGTAGGTGGGATTGCAGCATTCGGCATCCTAAACTTCAGAAACATGAATTTAAAGTTACGGTGGGTAATTTCCTTGTAAAATCCGGGTCATGGAAGTAATATAACGTTTCTTACAGATTCGTTACTCCGCCACAGTAGCACGGTCATTCTTCCCAGACGGCCAACGGCCAGTGGGTATCGAAGCCGCCAAAGGCATCAAGGGCCTGATGACCGTTTTGGATCGCCAAGTAGAGCTGTGGTGTTAAGGCGGATGATACACCTAGTCTTTCCTTTCTTTCTTTTTGGGTTTCAAGGGTTTTTCAGTTGGTATTTTATGACTCAGGGATAACCGCTTCCACGCGCTGTAAAAATAGTCACATCATCAACTACGCCTACAAAATAGGGCACACGGAAAGCTTGCGATGTTGTACGACCACTTACGAACTACGATACCAGTTCAATTAGTTTTTCTCTACCTACATAGGTTGGAATCACCTCTATACAATCAACTTCAGGCAGATTTTTCTATCCGACTCTCGCTTCGGCTCGCGTAGCCAGTCCAAGACTACACCGCCAAAATGTTCATCATCAGCAGTCAGTCAAATGAAGATTGACGACTCACTTCATCATACAAGGAAACGCTTTTGGCCCCCAACATTCTCAATCCCAGCCACAAGATACCAGCAGTCATGCCGCTTCCGCAGGAGGTTGTTATCCTCCGTTTGCCGGAAAGGATTACCTCCACTTGTTCGGTCCCTATGGCATCAACAAGTGCTTGTCGTAACTCAGATATAGGAAGGAATGTGGTATACTGGGTAGATGTATTAGGTATAGTGTGAGTCCTCAGAAATGCGTTGAATGGGAGCGAGAACGAATGCGGTATGTGTCCTGAAGATAAGCCAGGTCGTGGTTCGGGATCAGTACCCGTGAAGCTACATTGTATTAATGACGAGGAGTCAGTACAATGTGATGTGGAGCGGTAGTCAAAAGGCGCACCGGCCACGGGAACGTGCGTCCACCACCAGTTCAGCTGAGGGGTCCAAGGCTGGGTCCAGCATGGAGTTCTCCACTACCTGCTCGTATGCTATCGCAGACCCTGAGGATCAATAGGATTGGTAGATAGGGAAAATGAAGGTCTCTCACAGCGGACAACGGTCCTATCAAGGATAGGAGTGGGATACGTGGACTTTTTCCGGTCTACTGGTGGTGCATCCTCCGTCTCAAAGCCCCCTGTCTCCCAACGCGGTAGACCGCCGTCCAGGATGCTGGACTTGCTGTGGCCAAATGCCCTGAACATGAAGAGGGCACGAGGCGAAGAAAAGACGCCATGTGTATCGTATCTAGGGAAGAATGGGGTGGTTTTAAAAATGTCCTGTTCATTCTGCGGAAGGTGCCTGTGCAACGCACATTACTACATGTGAATTAGGTTCAATGCCGAATCCCTCTGGCACGGGGAACTGGGTGTCAATGAAAGAATGTGGGACGATAGCCTACTCCACTGACCGCACGCGGCCGCGAAGACGCTTTCGGAAGGCATCATGTGTTTGAGGCCAAGCTCATGAGGGCTAGCCACTTGGTCTAAATCCAAGAACTGTGCGCCAGGAATCCGCTTTTTGTTGAACTCTTCCTGAGGTTTGCGGGGGGAATTTGGCATGAACCAACTAGCGTCCAAGACCGATACTCCGCCAGAGGACTGCAGGGACTCATGCAACTGCGACGGCGATATCAAGTACGGGGTCGTAGCCATTGTGGACATCGTGGACGACCGAGACCGCCTGAAGGAGGTCCTGATCGTAACGTTCCGCACGCCAATCCGACTTGCTACGGGCAACATGGCCGTCATTCGACGAATGACGGAATTACAGTAATTATTATTATTAATAATATTAATACTTACACATTTGTGTAAGCCCCGATTTGGCGCTGGACTCAGCAGCCCTCTTGAACGAACTTGCGTGGAGGAGGCTTCAAGCAGAGGCCAGGACAGGACATGCCATCTGATCAGAGCACCTGGTTGATTGCTGTTCCTCATGATGGTGATGCAGAAGGCTTGTTGCCCGAAATTGCGACCAAACTCTCCCAATTGTCACGATCATCCTCGAGCACCGTGGCAGAACTGGGTATACCTTGTTTCAAGGTCTGTAACCTTGTTGGCCAGCTACAGGCTTGCACACGCACACGCACACACTCATATATTGATGCCGTGCTGGCTGTAGACAGGAACACTAGACTCCCTCATTGCGTTGTCTGAGGAGCTCCCAAAGCAGGACGCCTTCTTCACTTCCGTCGTTGCCAAAACCGTCGAGGCTCTGCGCAACCTCCTCAACAATGACCCTGTCAAACTCGCGCAGCATATCGTGATTGATGAGAGAAGCGTTGATGACTACCTTCTGAAGGGTTGGAGGTGGAACGAGGGGAGATACAACATACAGCGGAGCCTCCGTGAAACCGTCGATCTTCTGAACAAGGTTTTTCTTTGCCATTGCCTTTCGTAGTGGCGGAAATCACGCTAATCACGCCATTCAGGAAATGGCCTCTATTGACAGCATGATGAAGGCCAAGCTAAACAACTACAACCTTGTTAAGGGTTCCCTCGTGCAGATGCAACGAAAGAAGACGTGTGTCGTACGTCCTTTGCTGTCGTGGAACCAGTCATTGAGATTTCCTCCCTCAGGGGAAACCTGTCTGTACGGTCTCTCGTGGATGTTGTGTCCAGGGAATATATCATCCAGGACTCGGAATACCTTGAGACCTGTTTCGTGGCGGTACCAAAGTCAGTTACTTCGTTTCTGCCACGGCTCCCCGGCCTTCTTTACTCACCCTCTCGATCCTTAGTGCTCTGAAGAAGGAGTGGAGTTCGAGATATGAACGACTAACAAGTATGATTGTACCACGTTCGTCGATGTGAGTCACGAGTTGTTCCATCGACGTGACTACAAACCTTGACCAAGTTACCACATGTAAAGGCTCATCGCCTCCGATGACGAATATAGCCTTTTTGGTGTCGTCGTGTTCAAGAGGGTACACGACGAATTCGTCCAGAAATGTCGAGAAAATAAGTGCGTCTTCTCTAGTTGACCGGCAACGCCACTGTTGAGACCCCGTGGCTAGGTTCATTGTGCGCGATTTCGTCTATTCCGAAGAAAATATATCCAAAGAACGCGAAGAGTTGTCTGTGGCTGATGCAACCGAGAAGGAGCTTTGGGTATTACTTTTACTTTTCCTCAGGGGACGTTTTCCTTTGACCTTCTCGTATCCACTCTTAGACAGAGCTCCTGCGAGTGTCTCGCACGAATTTCTCGGAGTCCTTCCAGATTTTGGTGCACCTTAAAGTTCTACGACTCTTCGTAGAGAGCGTTCTTCGATACGGTCTACCAGCTGACTATATGGGTCTAGCCATCAAGGTATGCGGAGATCTCATTTCTTGCTCCGGGACCTGCCCAGCGCTCTAACTGCCCTATCCGTGCGCGACGGCTATGCCATCAGCCCGATCCCAGATATCTCAAGAAAACATTCAACGTTCTCACGAGTCAACTGAACTACCTTGCACCTCGTTCTGGGCGTTCCAGCAAGAAAGACAAGGGAGGTGGCGAGGAGTTCATTGGAGAATACCAGGCGTTACTGGAGCAAGAATTTTACGACTTCGTACTGTATGAGGTACCATGGATCATTTATTGATTGCAGAGCTTTTCGCATGGCCGATTTGAAACGTGGCTCTCACTCACCAGTTTATTGGCTATTTTTATCGACATTAGTTGAGGGAAGTACCCCTTCACCACGCCTGCCACAGTACTTTTTGAGCATATCTGTTGGTCTCACTGTTCGGCCAGACTCTATCAGATGGATTGTGCTTTTCATTAGTGGAAGGATAACAATATGACCAGCCCACTACGGTAGAAATATCAATTCGATTGTAATGTACAGAAGACCGAGATGAGAGACATCAGATTGACAGAGATGAAGCGAGCAAGAAAGAAAAGAAAAGAGAAAAGAATGGGTGCTGTAGTGAGATTGTGGAAGGGAATGTAACACCGGACCGGCAATGAGACACCAAGAATCGGGAGATAGACCTTGTGGAAGAATGTAGCGCTAGTAGTGACCGATCGTTACTGGAAAAACTGGGGAGGGGGTGACAAGTGCAGGTAGCATTTGTGTGGGTGACAAGGGTGAGAGGGAGGAATGGCTGGAGTTGACGGTTGACGCAACAAGTGACATGAAACTGTACTGATGATGGTTGCAAGCGAGAGTGTGTGGTGGAGCATAGATCGTTCGTAGTACAAACCCCTGGATAAATAGGAATCCTATGTTTGGATGATAACGGATGCGAGGACAAGATGATGAGACAAGAAAACGAGCTACGGGTGACCCTCCGTAGAGGGTATGTACACATGCAGGCTGTCGTCCCTCTAAAAATTTTCACTGCGGCTCCTTTTTTTTTCGTTGCTTCAAGAAAAGACCTTGGTTCAGAGGCCAAGGTTGGACATAACTCGCGAAACCTCGTCCGTCACGTCCTCAGAATCTCTCACTCGTGCATTCCGTTGCGCAGATGAGCCGATGACGGATCGCGGCCCATACACACTAGGGAAGGACGGAGCGGTAGCCGACGTTGGGCTAGAATTGCCGCCTGTTCCGCCCGTCGACGTAGTCGGCGACTCAGGCGGCGGAAGACGTGCGGAGGCATCAGTCAATCGCGATAGTGAGTATGTGAGATCAAGGGACTGCGCGCGGTTCTGGAGGGATCGCGGCTTCGAGATTTGTTCCTTGATCTTGGACTCCAGCAGCGAATCGGAACCGCGCTTCAGGGCGTCTTCCGTGTTGCGGGTACGTGTGGCAATGCCCGTTCCCTACAGATGCGCGTTTGCGTAAATGTCGGGGAATCACAGCAAGAAAACATCACGTCAGGGTTGAATGAATGCTACTCACGATCGGGGGTAGTGGTGTCCAATAATCGAGCCCAGCAGATCCCGGAGGGCCATACGCAGACTGCGAGTCCTCGCGTTCATCCAAATCGTAGATGTAGGGTGGTGTGTTAAACAACGCCTTCACGTCGGGTGAGGAATTTGCAAGCCTAAGCCTCCGATCGCCGAGGATCTCGGATCGTGACAACTCGACAGACTCTGTTCCTATGTCGTCAGAGATCAAATATGTGGGACGACAACTAATAGCCCCCGACTCACCGTGCCGCCTAGCTGTCAACACTTTGCTGTCAAAGTGGGGGAATGCTTCGGCGAAAGAGTCGCCTCTCTTATGTGTATGCGCCGTTGCAGACGGGTACACATGCACATTGTGATTCAACAAAAACTGCTCGAGCAACTCCCGCGCTGCGAGCAGGAAATCGGTATTGGATCGTTGGCAACGGAACTTGAAGCTGCAATCCCCTGGTGCTCCCTGGGCCTGTGAAGATGACTGGCCGTGATCGGCAGAGCTACTTGACCCATTCGTGTGCACGGGAGCTGTGGATTTAATGGTGGGCATGATGGAAACCTGGAAGTCCCGTTTGATGCGTTCGATGAATGCGCTGAACTCCGCTGATGCGCAGACCCTGGGGAGATCAGGGCTCGGGGGAACGGCCATATCTGCCTCGAACGGCACGTGTTCCTACATAAAGATCGTTAAGAGAGTACACCAGCCGTCCGAAAACTTGCAACTCACCAGTAGCATCGCAGCAGCAATTTGAACCTGGTTTTCCGGTCCAAAGATGACTACCAGGTCGGACGCTGTCTCCTTGTCCGGGAACCGCACTCTCGAATTTGTCTTGGTCTCGATATCGTGAATGAAAATGCCTTTCTCTCCCAAAAGCGTGCGATGATACCGCCTTGGGATGGAAAGGGTTTCGTTGACGTAGTCCTTATCCTACAGGGCACTCTCGGCAAATGACATCGTACGCGCACAACCAGTATACGCACCTTTGGGTTCACGATTTCCATCACTGACTGCTTTAGGTTATCCAAATTGACCGCATTCTTGGATGGTGTCCGTGCGACCACATTGTCCTCATTGTCGTTGTATCCGCCCAAAGCCGCGAACTCCTCTGCATTCGAGAACTTGACATACACGCCGTATTTCTTCATGATCCGTTGAATATTCCGCCCGCCAATACCGATTATACGCTTGTGATATGCTTCGGGGACGTGGAAGGAAATCTCTGCGGGTAGTTCTTCCTGAAGCAATGTCAGACCTTGGATCACAGACGCGTCCGAGCCGGAAAGGTCTATCAAGAAGTTGTGTTCGTTGAAGGTCTCGAATTTGATCTTGACCCCCGTGCTTTGCATGATTTTGTTTATTTTCCCATTTTTCTTACCCGAGATGAACTCGCGATGTTCGTTGGCGAGCTCAACCTGGAAGCGAATCTCGTGGTGGAACGGCTAGAAGAACCTGTCAGGATGCCACGGTACGGTATCAACGAGGGCCTCTAAACTTACCTTGACGATATCCAAATCAAGGATGGTGCTAACGGCAGCTCTTACCTCGTATTCCAGTCCATGAATCTCGAAGCAGTTACTCTTAAACACAATTTCCGCGCCAGTGGTGAGGGAGATTTGCTTAAGCAAAGTCGCGACCTGTGCTGGGTTTAACGACGACGGCGGAAGGAGGACGTTGAATTGCATGGGGAGGAGCCAAAATGATCCAACGTAATGTTGGCATGCCTGATAATCACAATGGAAAGCATCAAGGAAACGGACATAAGAAACCTTGTTGGACTACGTACGAGTTGCATGATGCTACGGATCGTCCGCTGCACGTTGACAAGATGGTCACCATACACTGCTATGAGACTTGTGCTACTCCCGATGGGTGGAAATTGAATAAACGTCGCGTTGTCTGACATGATGGACTTGAGGTCGTCGGCGCGGTCGAGCACCATCCAGTCAAGTTTACGAGGTAGAATGACGGTCTCGCGGGATTGAATCGCTTTGCTCTGAAGAGTGTACAGTTAGCGTATGTATGCGCATGAGAGGAGACGTCGTGCGCACCTTTTGGACGGAGAGTTGGAATAACATGTCCTTGGCTCTCTGCACCCCGAAGAACTCGCCTGTTATCCAGATCACGTTCGGACTGTAAGCTTGTGCCTGAGCTGGACCAGCCTGCACGCCTGTGACATGTTGTTGACCGGGAGTCTGCGGAAGTGTGGCGGCCGTGATGATTTCGGGACCGACGAGACCTTGTAGCGGTGATGGAAAGTAGATATTCGTTGCGGTGTCTTCCTGTACCTTCTGGAGAACATTGCGCTTGCGCCCTGCGGTGATTGCATGTAGTTTATGGTCGATTTCGCAGGGTTCGGCATGGAGTCCACTCTAGGAGGATAGTGAGCACTGGTGAGGGGGTGAGATAGACGACTGACCAGTTCGTCGAGCATGACGAGCAAGCGAACGCGGGCCAGCTCGATCGCGTCGCTTGATCCGGTAATGACGAGTTCGCATACGCGTTCTGTCTCAAGACCACTCCAACCTGCGGTACTGGATACGCCATCTGGAGGGGTACGGGAGGAGATGGAAAGGGGTGAGTTTACGACGGCGATGTGTGCGTAGGTGAGGGAGGCGATTTCGTCCAGCCGACGACGGACATCTTGCTTGAGGACAGGTTTTGCGGAAGGAGGGTCGAGGATATCTGTACGGGGGACCTTGATGGTGGTGCGATGCTGAGGAAGGGGGGTGAGCAGCAGGGGACGATGCAGAGCAAGGGGTACACGGACCTGCACGGGACTATCTTTGAGCAGCATTCCTCGAGCCTGCATTACCTGTGGATACGCCCCAGATATGTGGAAGTTCCAGCTTCTGCCGCCATCTGCGAGGAGCCAGGAGACCTGGACGTTGAAGAGGGAGGAAGCGAGCTTTGTGAGCTTTTCTACGGTGTCGTTGTCGGCCTGGTTGGCGACTGGGTGTGTTAGGGAATGTTGGAGGGGGAAGTGTTCAGAGTTGTTTCTCGGATGCGGGTCGAACGGGACGTGTTGTTGTTGTCTGGACCTGCGTGGGTGGGTGAACGAGACCGAGTAGACGTCCATCGTGGACGGGTATGCCAACGCAAGGCTAGTAGTGCTAATCGTGTGGGTATGCAGTCGATCGCTCGCCGTGCTCGTCGTGCTCGCCGCTGCCCGCCTTCGTCGTCGTTGCTGTCGATGCCAGTCGTTGGCTGTCAGTCTGTCAGTCTGTCCACTGGCACGCTGACTTTTAAAAAATGCATGACAAACTGGTCGACGCCTGTGATTCTATAAGTAGTAGTTCTATTACTATCAAATTCTAATTAGCATTAGGCGGGTGCCGTGTGCGGGCCATCCCCCGACCCGCCCGCGCCTTCTCCTCCTTCAACTACCCAACCTTCCACCGCATCACCCGCCGTCTAGATGTGAATCATCGTTCGCGACCCATTCAAGTGCATCGGCTTCGGCAGCTGTCCAACACGGCCTCAGTGCACACTCCAGGTTGTCGTCCAACCCACACTTGCCATGCACGTCTCTGTCACGCTCGAGATACCCACCCCAATCTCTTCCAGCTTGCCAGAGCATGCACCAGGGGGAGGTGATGCGTCAGTGCAGACGCCGCAAGGTACGTCGTCTGTCGCATGCCTCCCCCAAACACCTTGCGGAACCACCTTGAACCCTTTGGTCCCCACCAGACAGGAGCGCCTGCGATGCCCAAGTCAGTCACGATCACTTATCCATCTCGTCGCGACGCACCAAGGCCCCTTGAGAAACACAAACTGACAGACTCGAATGGCTCGCATAACCCCTTCATCAAGGGACCCGTCACTACCGCAACATGCCAAAGGCGCACACCATCAAGGTGTATAATGATTCCCTTTTCTCGTGCGTGCTTCGGTGCGGAATCACGGTCCCGTTTAGCGTATTCTCCAGGGAGATAACGCGCGTAGGTGCTCTGTAAAATTTGTCATTATGACGCAGCAACCAAAATGACATGTCGCATCCTTACATATGGGCATCAGCTCCACTGAAAATTCGGGGCCCAATGTCCTCCCATGCAGGGTGATATGAAACACGGATACACGATAGCGCTTTCTGTTCATACCGCAACACTTGCCGTTTTCTGGGAACACGGGTGTGACGTTCGCCCCAGAATGAAAAGCTTCCATACCGCGGGTCGTTAATATCAGTAGCCGAGACTCTTGCTATCTTGGCCTACCGGTACACATGTGCCCGCGCCATCACACAAAACAGGATAGGGGGGCTGCTGCAAGTGGGTTCGAAGTGCCACTTGATTGCACATCGTCCCAGTTGGCATGAAAAGTCCGGCTTCCTTCCCGGTCAGCCGAGCAACATGTGATTCGACCGCGGCCGTTGATGGCTCGGACAATTCAAGTGGAGATGAGTCCTATCTGTGACCGTGTCTGCTACATCATGTCGCCGCTTTAACTTCAACTCGCCACCTAAGCGCGCCACTCACAAACGAAGGTCCTTGAAATCTCCACCCTCCTAGCATCATTATCTCCGTCTTGAGTTTTGGAATGGACATCACACCTTGACGTCTTCAGCCAATTTGGCGAGTCTGGTCTCCGTCATAGGCAGCATGACAAGTTCTTTGGTACGTCATCGGTTCATCCATTATATCTGATAAGGCTGAGTCAGGAATCAGTTCCCGCGAGCGTAGAGTATTCTCTGGTAATGACATCACTACATATTCTAAAATTACCCTCCACTACGCTGTCGGATAACCCCTTTCCGCGTCTGTGCCGCTCGGGCCGACTGGTAGGTCGGGCGACTGTGTGAAACCATCTTTCAGCTTGTTTTCCTTCAAGGTTCGCAAGACAGCCAAAAGATCATCTATGGCCTCGGTGGTCGTTTGAATATGCACCACCAGCCGCGGTCCCATGGCTATTATTGGCTGCGGGAGTGCTGCAGCCCTGTCTTGAATCTCCTGATATCCGATCCCAATAGGCGACGGATCATAATACAACTTTTGCGCAAATAAGTTCTCATTTTCTAGGAGGTCGGTTCCTCTGCTCACCATGCAAGTCTCTGCAGGAGACAGGATACGAACACCGAGGTCCCGTAACCCTTGTTCCAAGCGCTTAGCCAGCGCGTGCACCCTCGGCAGCTGAGGGAAGTTATGGGTGAGTGCATAAGCTATCGCTGCAGCGATGATGCCAGTCTGTCTCATGCCACCGCCCCATGCCTTGCGAAACCACTTGGCTTTCTGAATAAACGCTTTCGACCCGGCGAGGCAGGTACCCATGGGAGCACCAAGTCCTTTGCTAAAACATAAACTAACCGAGTCGAGCGGCGCACACAGTACCGACATCGGGATATATGTCGTCGCGGCGACATGCCACAAGCGCGCACCGTCAAGATGCACCAAAATACCGTTCTCGTGGGCGAATTTGCAGATATCGACGATGTCGCTCTGGGGAAAAATCAACCCATCCAGGGTGTTCTCGAGGCATATCAGACGCGTCGGGGCACTTATGGCCGCCTAAATAGGATGATTTGCAGGTGAACAAACCTGTAAGCTTACCTGTGTATGTCCTCCCCTAGCACTACATGAGGTCTGATGTCCTTGAGGGTGAGGTGGTGGTGTCCTGAAGCCTCCCATTACGGTCATACCAGGAACTGACGAAGGCGTAACGTACCGTTTGACGGCATCAAAGGGACGGTGTGAGCGCCCGTATGTAGTGCAGCTCCACCGGATTCAGATCTACGAATAGAACGTCAACTACACGGCACGACGAGTGCACAGAAACAATAACTGACTTATTAATATGAGACCGTCCATCACAGATAACGGAGAATGGTGGCTGGTGCAGATGAGTTCGGACCGCAAGCTGGTTTGACATTGTTCCACTCGCGACGAGGAGGGCCGCCTCTTTTCCGGTCAACTGGGCGATGTGGGCCTCCAGGGCCTCTGTTGATGAGTCATGCCAGACAGCGTCGCCAACGGATGCCTTCGTGGCATACTCATACATTTCCTTGGTAGGAACTTGACAGCGTTATGAGCTTCATTACTGGTATCAAGGATACTAGCCAATGATTACATGCCTGTAACCGTATCCGCTATCGTGCAACAACTCAGGATCAGCAAAGACTGACAGACAGAGATTAACTTACTCGCAAAACACCTCGACACTGCTTCTAACTGCTTGGCATTATCCAAGTCGTGCGTGGGGGATACGGCGTCAACCTTGATTTGGTTGATTATGGACTCGAACGATGGATCTGCCGACATTTTACGAGGTAAAAGGGGGAGAAAGAGAACGTTAACCGCAGTTACCCAGTTCGCACGGCTGTGCACATCACCGTTGGGAGAAAATCCTCATGAGGTTAAAGCGTCAAGAAGTTTGGAGGAGACGACAAAGTTCTGACAATCGTTGTAATACTGTACCCTGTCGCTCACACCTGATACGAGTCTTTCCAGATGGGTCAGTCGACCCGTTGCTCATTCTATGAACATATGAGATAGCAGTGCACTAGCAAGTGCACACGATAGTATCATAGGCACGATTTGATTATGACACACTAATCTTGTCCGTATTGTTCCATTTACGCGATCGACACTTCACTTTCCTGGCAGCTGTCTTGGGTTATAGGCTGATACCCTTCTGGTGCCTATGACATTAGGGTGCACTTGCAACTAGTATTTGCATTACATAATACTGTCCTCGTGAAGGTCTTCTCCGTCGCCCACAACCTCTTCTACATCGTGTCATCGTCATCGTAGCCAGTGGATACCCAATGGGAAACGCAAGTGCATGTCATTTTGAGTTCAACACGCTCGAGTCTCATTGCCAGAACTCAGGGCGCCAAGGCTGCTCAGAAACGAGAGCGCAATGCTAGCAAACAAGCTGACAAAGGGCCCACCAGCCGGCTCAAGGTCAACGAGGCTGCCAAGAACATCGTCTGTCAGATATGCAGACAGACCTTTGTGCGTCCTTAATACGCAGTTTGCATTCTAATGGCCTGACATCGTTATCGTTTTATATAGTTACTGACCACGCGTGCACCTGCGTAAGTCCTTTCGGCTCAAAACCTCACATTTACTCTATGCAACTAAGACAAAAAAAGTTGCTAACCGCGGTGTTTATGTGTGTATACATTTAGGTTGGAGGAACATGCGACGAATAAGCACTCCAAATCACTAGCTGAGTGCTTCCCCGGCTACACTGGCAAGTAACCCTGATAACGCGCGGCCCACGTGTGTTGTATGGATAATTTCAATGACGTATCTTGCTCTACGAGCGCACGCAGCTGCACGACTCCTGAAATGCTATCATGCCGAGGTAATTGGTTGGATGAGGGGTGACGAGACTACCATACAGAACTTACCATGGTAGGATGTGAGCATGTCAATGCCTTAGGTATCATAGTGAGAAACTGGTAGAACCCGTGGCCTGCGCATTAGCCCCTGCGCTCTGCATTTTTTCGCCGACCTTTTTGTTGACTTCGAAAAACTTGGCGACACATCTATCAATGCAAACGCTCTCCCCCTTGTTAAGGTCACCTTCAGCGTATCGTGGACTGATGCACTTGCTGTGGCAGGAACTAGAGAAAAGGGTGATTGAGTTGACAACACATTGCTGTACATACAACATGGCTCACGAGACGATCCGGTTGAACACGTCAGACACCATATCGATTCTGGAAAGGGCACGGTTTAATTAACGAAGTGAACTGAATCGAATGACGCACTCGTTGATGGCCATTTCAATGCGTTCTTGATTGACGGCCCCAGAAGGGGTTGGTGCGCCACGCCCGAACAACGACATCTTCGAGGTCGACGGTGGGGAGGTATGGGGAGGTGTACGTCTGAAGTTGGAGCCCTCAAAGACCCGGTGCAAAATAACTTGTCCGTCTTCCGGAGCCACGTGACCATCGACGACACGTCCCAGAAAGGCAGGCGGGCAAGAAAAAAGTCCAAGTCGAAAGTGATGTCCATCGTGGACGACAAGGCATCGATATGAACGATAATCCAACGCCCATTGCACTGCATCGGTGCAGATTTGTGGACTATTCGCCGTCGCCGATCACTGCGTTGGCTTTCCCCCCCTTACCACTCCCGTCTCTGAGAACCAAGAAAGCAGGAAAGGAACGTGAGCGCGATCGCGTGCAGGAATACGGAACACTCGTGGTGGGACATGCGAACGGGAACATCGATCTTCTCGAGTGGACAGGCGAAGATGACGAATTGCAGGCACGACAAGCCTGGCAGCTGCGCAAGGTGGGCTCGCTGCAGTGGCCTTGACTCTGTGTCACTTACACTCTTCCCGGTAATAACAGACACTGCCTGGACCGAACCCTTCAAAAGTGGATACTTTGGCACTCACCATCCGATTCCCAGACACCTTTCCGTCTAACAAAACTCCCTCCCTATCTGACCTTCGCTTGTTCTCCTGCGGCGGTGGAAGCGAACTCCTGGAGTGGGATACGGCCAGGGGCTGCGTGAGGGTATGTCGTCCATTTGTTGGCGTTGCTTTATGTGAACTATCTCACTTACTAAACAATGCAGCGAACTGTACCCTCACAAGGCGGCTCGATATGGAGCATGGCAGCCAATCCCGCGTCCACGATGCTTGCGTTGGGATGCGAAGACGGAACTATTCGTCTTCTTTCGCTCGCTGCAGATACGCTCGAGCATTTCCGTCGCTTTGATCGTGTCAAAGGCCGTCTCTTGTGCATTGCATGGGGTCCTCCGCTACCACGACTATCGAAACCAGCAGCCGCAGAGAAATCGGATCCCAGGGATGATGATGATGATGCTGAAAGCGATGACGATGACGAAGAAGAATGGAGTGACTCTTGGCTAATAACTGGAGGGTCAAACAGTTGTTTGCAAAAATGGGATGTTAGAACTGGGAGACCTATCGATCGCATGATTACAGACAAAATGAAAGGGGAGAGGACCTTAGTATGGACTGTGGGCGTACTAGCGTGAGTCTCTCCCCTGTTCATTTGCGGTCGCTTTTCGTTGAAGGGAACTTTGGCAGAGACGGCACAATTGTATCCGGGGACTCTCTCGGGACGGTGAAGTTCTGGGACTCGATGACTTGTACTCAAAGCCACAGTTTTTCAGCCCATGCAGCAGACGTTCTATGCCTGACCATTGGACCTGAAGGCACTACGGTCTTCACCTCTGGCGTAGACCAAAAAATCGTCCAGTTCAGCTATGTGTCTGGCACACCAGAAGCGCCATCCCCAGCGAAGTGGATACAATCGGCCTCTCGGCGGGTCCATTCGCACGATGTGCGTTCGCTTGCTATGTGGCCCCCACACACGCCTTTGGCGGCATCCTATAGACGGAAACCTTCCCCTGGATCACCATACATTGCACCAGTCCTTGTTTCTGGTGGTTTGGACATGTCTATTACCCTGATCCCTGCTCTCCCTGCTCATCTAACGACATCTAATGTTGCTGCCCGTGTTATCAATCCCATAGCAAGCGGTGTTGCGACCACCTTTGAGGATTCTTACTATCGCCGTATTCCATATCACACTACGATGTGTGTCGCGAGGAAAGCGCGTCTCGTCTTGTGTATGTATGAGACAGGGTTGAGAATCTGGCGTATCCTTGACATTCCCAATGCCTCTACGGTAATTGATGGAATGGACAACACCACAGATCCGGAAACCAGAGTTGGTTGGGAGAACGTACTGGAAATGGAATTAAATGTTCATACCAACCTGATATCCAGTGCGTTGTCGGACGATGGCCAATGGTTGGTTGCCTCAGATTTATACGAAACGAAGTTATTCAAGTTGACAACAACTGTGAGTGCATTTGCGAGTATGCCAACGATATTCCTGAGATTCAAGATCCAAAAATTTAGCCGACTGGAGCCGTGAAGCCGAAACGCGTTCGGTCGTTCACGCCTCTACTTCAACAACAGCTTTCCGTAGCGGGTTCAAAAGAACTACCATCGACGGGAGGGAGCAAGTTCGTGTTCACGCCTGACTCGACCAAGATGATTATGGCCTCCGCATCTACGTCTATCATTGTCGCGATCGACCTTGGGCCTGCCGAACCCACTGTCCTTAGGCAGTTTGAACATCACCGAAAGATCAGCTCTCTGAGTGGTGGACGGGTAATCCGAGGGTCCAGCAGGGGCAAGACAACGCATGCAAGTCATCAAGACGAGGAGCATGACGGCACGGACGGGATGAGCAACTCAGGAACAACGCCATCCATACTTCAAATGGCAGTCAGTCCAGATGGACAGTGGCTTGCGTCTTCGGATGAATGGTGTCGGACATTCATATACAACCTTGATTCTATCCAGGTAACGTCCCTTTCATCAACCTTCAGATTCCTTCAATAACACGTGTAAATGCAGTATCACATCACCATTCCTTCTTTACCGCACCCTCCAAATGCCATGGCGTTCGTTCCCAATAAACCACAAATTCTCTTTTCCATCTTACCTAGCAACACGATACACGTATACGACGTTGAGACCGGGGAGGTCCCTTCATGGGCTCACGACCTCAATTCTCGTATCCCACAGCAAATCTTCAGTACACCCGACCCCGTCCTCGGAGTGCTCTTTGAGCCTGTGGAGTCTCCGCAGCCTCTAGCCAATGGTGATGTCATTATGGCGGATAGCTGTCAGGAGTCCCCCCGTAGTACCTCAGCCCTACCACCGACCACTATCCTGTGGGGCTCCTCCTGGTTGTGTAAACTAAGGCTCGATTGGCTAGGCCAGTACAGCAAGCAACGAAAGCGACGAAAATCTGAGGTAGAAAAACAACACCTTCCTCCCGTATCGGACATCCAAAACAGCGCCAGTGAAGCACGCAATCTGCGTATCATTACACACTACCGAGCCATTCTCGCCATGGACTTCCTAAAGTCCCGTGAGTTTGTGCTCGTCGAACAACCATTAGTCAACGTACTGTCGAAACTGCCACCAGCTTTCTTCAAGCCCAAGTACGGTCGCACATAGTGCAGCCCTTTGGCATCGTACCTGCACAGCTGCATAACTTATCTAGTAATGCGAGGTACAATTATCTTTACATTGTATGCATCCAACGCAAAGGGACAATGCCAGAGGGGCTCATCAATCGTAAGACCTATTGACTTGATTACAACAAAAAACCCATGGGAAGGTAGGGAAATACTACTATACATGCTAGGGAAAACAGTCTAAGGTAAATTGTCAAGAGAGGAACGGGTAAATGTGGGAATAAATGGATCTAACGGCATCTAAAGGACCTCTAAAACGTCTACTGGGTTTGATGGATTGTGATCTTATGCCCCTGTTTCTCGTCTTCCCTGTAAATTGGTCAGGCAAAAAAGAACCTCGATTCGATACAAAAGACCTACTTCGCATTCAGCAAGGAAAGGTATAACGTCCAGAAAACACCACAAGTCGATTGGAAGGGGATCCTGTATGGTAATGGCGCATACCGGAAGTTTATAAGCTGTTCGTCCGGACATGAATATGCGATGAGAAATAGCTGCGGAAACGTCCCGAAGGGCTTACCTGCGCCATGGGCCAGACCTTCCAGTTTGCTAGTAATGCAGTGGTATACATGTCGCTGTATCTCTCGCGTATTTGAGCAAAGCTTCGGCCTTCCATTGCACCCATACAACCGACGAACAACACAAGCTATGGATGAAACGAGATGTGATGGAACCGACAGTTGCAAGCCATAACTACTCACGCCGAAAGGTGCCCTAACCCAAGAAGCCTCAGCGCATGATTAACACAAGATACTAACAGAAGCTCACATTAACAGCTGATCTGCAGCTACGCGCTTGGAGAGAGCCCAAAAGTTAATCTTGTGGCTCCTCCGTCTACACAATGGAAACCTGCGCTCAAGGACGACATTCCATCTGCCAAGTAGAGGGCCTCCGAAGAAGCGGGTTCAAGGTTCGCCCTCGTTAAGAAAACCAAGAGACGTACTTATCCCAAATCCGAAACAAAAGAAACGCAAAGTCCGTGCAGCATCCCATCCCGGTCTGCGCTGGTGATCTTCGCACAACTACAAGATCGTAGCATGGGTGTCGAATATGAGATTTACATAAAAAAGAATAATAGCACAAACCGTATTCTGGGACACCTGCGCGACAATGTCGCCAACTGCGTTAAGTATTCCGCCTGTGAGGGCAAGAGTGCCGTTGGGGTGAGTATCGAAAAAATGCTGATAGGCTCGAGTAATCGTTAGGGTAGTCATGGAGGAGCGAATAGCCTGGAAATATGGGGGGGGAATGGCAACCGTTATATCATGGCCGTGAAGCTCCAACCCTTTACTCCAAGAAAATGACAGAAGATTCAAGACAGCCTATTACGACGCCGTCTAGATCAATACATGGAACTCCGCGTGACTGACATAATACAAATTTGGAGTATTGCACATGATTTCCTCGCGTTTCGAGAGAATGCAGCCCGAGTCAATTACTGTAAAGTAGGGATGCCAGCATCACGGGGGCGCACTGTCTATGTGCTCCAAGAAACGAGCTTATGACGGATCCACATCGGACGCAAAGTGAAATACGTGTAGGAAATGAAGAAAGTCTACATGGTTCGTGGTATATATAGCACCGACTGTACAGTGACCTAACCATACTATAACAGTTGGCAATAGTGACTATAGCAGCTTGAGGTGGCCAGTGACCTGGTTGATCAAGTCGACCGGTGCTGTAAAACGTTAGCCATAATGAGCTGATAAAGTCTAGGTCCCAACGTACCCGGACCAATGCCAAGGACAGTCCGTGAGCCCGCTGCAATCTGCGTACGGCCACTGCAAGTTGGTTGAATTCAGCCTGAGCATAATTTTTGTCAAACAGGCCAACTCACGCGTCTAAGATGGAACGGGCACAGAGGTTGAGGCTCTTTGCAATGGCCTCTAGCTCTAGTAGTTCGTCCTCTGACGAACTCCTCAGAGCAATTTTCGCCTGTCTGTTGTAGTTCATCAGCCATAGGCTTAGAAGCAATTCCAAGTAATAATTACCCCGTTCGTTCCCAGTGCTGGACAAGCTGTGTGTATATCAAACACTTAGTCAGCTCTATTGCACGGAAGTTTGGTATCTTGTTTCACCCTTGGATTGGTTTTCATGAGAGCCTTGTAACATGCCAGAGTCGCATGACTGGAGACGTCAGTAGCCACCACCGAGCTCTGCAGAACGCGGGAATCATTACCTACCCACACCTATGGGAACGGGGTTATATATTACCAAGCCCAAGGGTGAAGACGTACTGAGCCGCGATCTTTCCTGTTGTCATCCCCAGATCCGTTCGTACCACAAGCACCTTGTATTGGCATTCATTTGCATGTGTAAGCAGGGCGAGTTTCAGGACTTACAAGTTTGCACTGTTGCAGCATTCCTGGTTTGATAGCAGCCAAGTCACCATCTGCCAAATCCTCCTCTTCCTCCTCCCCGTCTTCCTGATCACCTTCCGGTTGATGTTGTGCGACCGAGAGGGAAGGCGCTGTGATCGAACTGGAGCGAGATCCTATGAAGTAGCCGAGTCCCACAGAAACCCCAGCGACAACGAGACAAGACAGCGCTGTAATGTTTCGAACTGAGAACGGTTGTGCATGGGTAATGGCAACTGTATTCCAAAAGAATTACACACTGACCTGACGAGAACATAGAATGATTTTGAGTCGGAGTTTGCCGAATATCCCCGTCCTGGCATCCCATCAGAGCCTTAACACGAAAATACTAAGCAGATGACAACGGAAAAATCTGCTACACCAGCCACGGATCGGCAGGATGCCGCAAACCGCGAACCGTTCTCTTCGCTGGATCTTTCGCCGCCGACAAGCCGTGCTCTCAATGACATGGGATTCGAGACAATGACGCCCGTGCAAGCTAAGGCGATCCCTCCGTTACTTGCAGGCAAAGATGTCCTAGGCGCGGCACGCACAGGTTCGGGGAAAACACTCGCTTTTTTGGTTCCTGCTGTTGAGCTGCTGCATCGGATGAAGTTCAAGCCTAGAAATGGTGTGTTCGTCTTCCATGCCCTGAAAAGCAAGCATATGTAACTGCGGGTGATGCAGGGACAGGTATCATCATTATCTCCCCCACACGAGAGCTGGCACTACAGATATTCGGTGTTGCAAAGGATCTGATGGCGTATCATTCACAAACTTTCGGTATCGTTATTGGTGGTGCGAATCGGAGAGCTGAGGCGGAGAAGCTTGAGAAAGGGGTGAACCTCCTTGTTGCAACTCCCGGCCGGCTTCTTGACCATCTAGAGGTACGTATCTCATGCATGAAGCCTGGAATCACGATATTCATTTCAAGCAGAACACCAAAGGTTTTGTGTTTCGCAACTTGAAGGCCCTTGTGATAGATGAAGCAGACCGTATATTGGAAATCGGTTTCGAGGAGGAGATGAAAAAAATCATGGCCATTCTTCCAAATGGTAATATGCTCCCGGTATTTGAATGGTCACTGGCTGAATCTTAGCCCAGAGGGACGGCAGTCTATGCTATTCTCCGCTACACAAACAACAAAAGTTCAGGACCTGGCCCGTGTATCACTCCGCCCTGGGCCCCTCCACCTTGACGTCGACAAAGAAGAATCGACAAGCACTGTCTCCACCCTTTCGCAAGGTTACGTTGTGTGCCCGTCCGACCGGCGTTTCCTACTGCTATTCACCTTCCTAAGGAAGAACCTCAAAAAGAAAGTCATAGTATTTTTCTCCAGTTGTAATTCCGTGAAGTACCATGGAGAACTACTTAATTACATCGACGTCCCGGTACTGGACCTGCACGTATGTCAGATAGGCTTGATTTTTTTTAAACCCTGCTTACATGGAATCATGACAGGGCAAACAAAAGCAACAAAAACGCACGAACACATTCTTCGAGTTTGTTAATGCAGATTCTGGTATCCTTTTATGTACGAATGTTGCAGCTCGTGGACTGGATATCCCACGGGTTGACTGGATCATCCAGTATGATCCCCCAGACGATCCCAGGGACTACATTCATCGAGTCGGTCGGACAGCACGTGCTGGGAAGGTCGGGAAAAGTTTGTTGTTCTTACTCGAAAGCGAACTCGGTTTCTTGCGGTACCTTCAGCAAGCCAAGGTGCCTCTGAATGAATATACGTTCCCAACGGAGCGTATTGCAAATGTGCAGAGCCAGGTAAATATATTTTTCTGATGTTTTCGGCGAGATTCACTTTGCGTTGCACACAGTTGGAGAAACTTCTCCAGAAGAATTACTTCTTACACCAGTCTGCACGCGACGGGTTCCGGTCATATCTTCAAGCTTATGCGTCATATTCATTAAAGCAAATTTACGATATCAACAAACTTGACCTCGCCAAGGTTGGAAAGTCATTTGGCTTTGCAGTGCCTCCGCGGGTGAATCTGAACATTGGTGGGGGAAAAGTAAGTTCAGGGAAGAAAAGGAAACGTGAAGTAGATGAAGACGATGAGGAGTGGGAAGACGTGCCCTTGGGTGAAGGTGCGGAAAGTGAAACGGAAATAGATATCGTGGGGCAGGAAGAGTCGCGGAGTACCTCACGACGGCAAGGCAAGGGTCGACGGATAGAGACACTGGGGAAGAAGACGGTTGAGAAGGAAGTGTATCGGAAAGGCAAGACAATGCATAAGGCTAAAGCATCCGGTCAGCAATGGAGTCGGTGACGAGCGCTGTACTACGGGTCTATATTCGAGTACCTATGGTTGTGCAGCATGTGTTGTGTATACCTCCTGGATTCCTCGTGCCTGTAATCGTGTTGACACGAGCTGCTCACGTGTTCACCTGCCCTAAACCAAGCAGGAAGCATACGTCGTTCACGTTTGACCGACCTTGCAGCCAAAATTTCTATCGTTACTTGTCTTCTTCTTGCTCAGTGTAGAATTCCAGATAATGGCGACGACGCAGGTACCTCTCCGATGCAATTCTTCATGGAATCGGGCTGTATTGACTGAATCTCGCTGCAAAATATTACAGCACTACGTCTGGGCTGGCGGTCACTTTTTACTCCTCGTCTCAGCTCTAAGATACCTCGTCGCTTATGTCACGTTCAAGACTGTGTCTCCCTGGTGGTACAGAGGTGAGCCGTTGTATTCCCTCCGGTCTCTCTGCGACGTTGTTTAACCCTGCGCAGCAAGTTTCTTAGGTGCACTTGTCAGTTATGCAATCGTATGCTAGTGAGTACGCCGTTTTGCGTAGAAGCAGGACAGACCGTAACCTATTCGGCGTGCTTTTATCGCGTTGCGCAGTAAATCTCTCGGTGTGAGTGCCGCACTTCTATCGCGTGTGATACACTGCTCACGTGTGGGGTCCCTCAGTCGCCTCAACCCACTGGAACATATATCAAGAAGGCATTGATGGACGAGGTTCGATATTCGCTAACTCTGCTTTGGTAGCTGTGGACGCCGCTGAACTTTTAATCTCACGTCAAACAGAACGTCCAGTACTTCCTCCTCGCGTCCTTCTGGTGGAGTTCCAAACCAGTCCCACGTACGTTGTTTTCTTTCGCTTGTGGTGTATTTTGTACTCACATAAGTGCAGTCGCATTAATACCGTTTTTCATCTTTTCGTTGTTCCACGTCTTGACGTTTACCCGTACGACTCTGATGCCTCGCTTCCTTCCTCCTGGCCCTCCCGCAACTGCAGGGGGAGCGCCTCAACCTCATCCTTTGGCCAAACGATTACAGTTGTGGGTTAAGGGTGTGTGCTCACGAATATGTGGACGTATATGCCGACCTTAACGTTCACCGTGTCTTTAGTCAACTATGACAAGGCGATGCGCGTTGTTGCCTACGCTGAGCTTGCTATCTTGGTCCGCGTTGTGTTCGGTGCCATTTTCTTCAAGAATTCGTTTATCGCGCCGTTAGTCTTCTTGCACTTCTTGCGGCAACGCTACTATCAGTCTGCATTCACGCGTGATGCGATCGCCGTAACCGATGCTCGCGTGACTGAGCTCGTGCGTCGCTCGGGCAATCCTGTCGTCGCTGAAGTATGGGACAAAGCGAGGGAGCTATTTGCACGGTGGGCAGCTGGTCCAATCCAGGCTGCAGGTGCTACAAGGAGAGATTAGTTGGCGAGTGGTTCAAGGGTCAGTCGGGATATTGTGGATTCTCGCTGGGTGGCGAGCCGGTTATCGATATCAGCGACTTCCGTCAGATGAAACGGGTCCATTTTGACCACATCGTACTCTACTCGTTTTTTACCAAGCTCAGTTTTTGTGATCCCAGTAACTGTATTGATTTGTCGTACCATAGTTAAGATATGAACGATAGATTATTGTTGCCTGCGTTTGTGAGGTCACTCCAGGCTCCAACTTATGACGCACTTGTGATGCCACTGGTCTGCAAAGGGGTATAAACCAGCTGCCCCCGGGAGGCCAAGGTTGGACCAAAAGCCTCATCATGACAGCCTCCCTGATATCGCCCCTAACAACCTTCGGACACTCGCTCGCTTGTATTGGCGCGTCTCTGGCACACTCGGCTGTGTTGGTGGCTAGTGCAGTACTAAACTTTGCGATCACGTTGGTCGAATCTGTGATCCAATTCGGGAGGAGTGTCGGGACTTTGTTGGTGGAAATGTTCCAGAGCATATTGGGATTTATAGTCGGTAAGGGATTGCGAAGTTGCTGCACCGTGCCTGTCATCGAGCCCCCTGACTGAACTACCCCGATAGCAAACTTTGCTGCCATCGTTATCATCGGTTCTATCTATTACGTCTACACCCGTAGGAGGCAAAGGGGAGTCACAGTTCCAGAGTCTCTGAAGAAGATACGTTGAATAGGGAGAGGTGCAGAACATGAATGTTGAGAAGAAGCGGGTTTGTGTGAAGCTATTCAGAGTGACCATGTATTCTTGCGGAATTCCAATGCGGTATTTCGCCCCCTTCTACTGGAAGATTTCCTGAGGGACCACTAGGGATCATAAAGTAAATACAGGCTTCCAAGCTTTGAGCAAAGCATGGTAATGGCTGGTAATAATGTTTTCCTTGGCGTTCTCTGGGGTCTGACGGCGCCACTGTGATCAAACAAGCACAAACAAGGTGCTCCCCGTTCTCCCGAGTTTGGCTGCCGTCGGAAGAATTTTGGAGAGTTGGATTGAGTTGGACCAGAGTGACCTACGCCGGCGACCCTGCGAACATCGCGTCTGGCAGGACTGACCCACATTATATAAATTCCTTTCTGGTTTCGGATGTCTCGCATCCCCGTCCCAGCTCATTCTCCGTCTGTCCAGAAAACACTTGACCGTTCTTCTCCAGTTCCTCCTCGGCAGCCAAGTACCATGTCTGCGTCGAACCTCTCCCTCTCTGATACACGGAAGAAGCAGTCGAAACGTGACGAGGTGGGTGTCTCTGCAGTTGTTTCGTTCCGTAGGCAGCAGTAGCGCCGCCTTGCACGCACTTAATCACTTGAACATTCGAGAGACCGGAGACGCGTCCACCCCACTTACAGACTTGGGTCTAACACTCGTGACAAGCAGCTAACCCTTTCTCGTAGGCCATTCGCAAAAAAATCGAATCTGAGCTCGCCCGCAAGCGCACTATCTCAAGCACTCATCATACTGGCACGCGCAGCAGGCGAACGGCAAAACCAGCTGTTGCAAAGGGGACCGTCGCGGCTCTCAAACCAAGTCCGGCACTCACTGTTCCGGATAACATTACTGTCGCCGAAGCCAGTCAGCTTTGCGCCGCCAAGCGTACGGATTGCGTACTCGTTGTCGACGATGAGGAGGGTCTTAGTGGCATATTTACAGCCAAGGATTTGGCCTACAGAGTGCGTCGTCTACCTCTCACTTTTTAAAGCTAACGCAGCGCAGGTAACTGCAGATGGGCTGGATCCACATCACACACCCGTCAGTCAAATAATGACACGGAATCCCATGGTCACTCGTGATACGACGAGCGCGACCGAAGCTCTTCAACTCATGGTACAACGACACTTCCGACACTTGGTATTTCGTTTCTTGTCTTTTTCCCCCTCCGTCAGTACGTATTTACCCGCGAAACTAGCCTGTCTGCAACGAAGAGGGCAACGTCGTCGGTTTATTGGATATTACCAAAGTATTCCATGAGGCTTTGGATAAGGTCGAACGCAGTTCGTCCGCATCCGAGAAGTTGTACAATGCTCTTGCCGGCGTACAGTCCGAGCTTGGCCCAGGAGTAACATCCAACCCTCAGGCCGCGGCTATGCTTGCATACGTCGATGCTTTGCGCGAGAAGACTGCCCTACCAGATCTGTCCACGGTGATGGATTCGCGTACCCAGCCAGCAGTTGTCTTGCCAAAGACTACGGTTCGCGACGTTGCGAAGCTGATGAAAGAACGCCGGGTAACTGCAGTTTGCGTAATGGAGAATACCCCCGGCCCCGACAGCGCGCACCCCAAGATCGTGGGCATTTTTACGAGCAAGGATGTCGTTCTTCGAGTTATAGCGGCGGGATTAGATGCGAATATGTGTAGTGTTGTCCGGGTAATGACACCACATCCGGACACTGCTCCTCCGACGATGAGCGTGCATGATGCACTCAAGAAGATGCATAGTGAGTGTGGTAAATCAGGGAAATGGCTTTGCGTTTTGATGACCTGCTCGCAGATGGTCACTATCTCAACCTTCCAGTCGTTGAGACGGACGGCCGATTGGTAGCCATAGTTGATGTCCTCAAACTCACTTATGCCACCTTGGAGCAGGTTTGTGTCGGTTTTCGTCGGCAGCAACTGTCATTCATACCCGATACAGATGAATGCAATGAGTACGGAGGCGTCCGGAGATGCAGAAGGTGGACCAATGTGGGGTCGCTTCTTCGATTCCATTGGTGGACATGAAGATACGGAATCCGTGCTTTCTGGCTCGCACCATCACACGGACGCTCACTCTCTTTCCACACGCAACTTGTCTTATCTCCATCAATCCCCTAACTCTGAGGTTCACCCCAACGACTCTGCTTCCGTTGTCGATGACGACTCTGCCCTCGAAGGATACCCAAGGAAAAAGGGTGACATCCCTGCTATATCCGGCGCGGCGTCTAGCATTCCTGTTGATGATGGTACATATGTATTTAAGTTCCGCACGCCAAGTGGGCGCACGCACCGCTTCCAGGCCCGTCACGATAGTGTGGAGATGCTTCGAGAGATTGTATACGGGAAACTCTCCACGGATCCTTTCTTCATCGAGTTTAGCGGGAACTCAGAGGATAAGCCGGACCCTACTGATTTTACTTTATCGTACACGGATGCGGATGGAGACACGGTGCTAATGACATCCGACTCTGACATTGCGGATGCTGTCAAGATTGCAAGGACGGGAGGTTCGGACCGTGTCGTTTTGTTCATCCAAGGTGGTAAACATTGGATCGAGGCTGGAGCAGATAAGAGTGAAGATGGGGCTAAGGCAGCTGCAGAAGCTGCAGAGGAGCAATTGAAGGCGATGGACAGAACGGAGTTGACTCCTGAACCTGCACCTACACCATCACCGCCATCGAAGGTGGTCCTGCCACCAGACCAGGAACTCGTACTGGGTATTCCCAAGGACCTTTTACTCCCTGCAAGTATAGGTGTATTGGCGGCGGTCATTCTTGGTGTGTTTACCATCTCGCGTCTAACACGCGATTAACCGAAAGTTGTGAGGAAGTAGAGGTCTGGCAATGTCATACCATCTTCCACTTATTTGCAGAAATCTCTTTACTTTCATGTTATCTGCTTCATTTACTTTCTGCTACGTACAAGGTGTCATTGCTGGCTTACCCATCGTCTTCCACTCGTTTGCGTATACAACGTGCCCTTGATATGATACCTGACGACCTCATGCATTGTCTTGATTTACCGGAATTCAATAAAGGAATTTCATCGCGATTGGATTGCTACCTCAAAAGTATCCCCTTGTGTTCGCTCTAAGATGCTCGCTTTATCTTCAGGCAATAACAGTTCCGAAGTCACGTGCTGCCGCCGGAGGAGGCCTTGCAATCGACTCTGAGCACTGCCAGTGTGTATTGTAATTTCAGACTTGCAGAAGGAATGTCCAAGTCAGAGAGGGAGGACGTCATCTCACATTTGGTACGTATGGGTCATTACCGCAGTCCGAGTTCTAACCACCCCTCAGGCAGACAGAATATTCTCTGCTATGTTGGACGAGCTAACAATGGATGCCGCCCTCCGGGGCCATCGCGAAATAGCTCGAAATAGGTCTGTTTGTCGAATATGTCATACCCAGTGAGAATTCTGTTTAGATTGAATGACTTTGAGCTGCCGACTCATCTGTATGGTGCAGCTGTGGCATGGGTGCGACCCTTATTTGATCGATGTGGTTCACCAGAATTCACAAAATGTGATCCTGTCTCTATGAAGCCCACGCCAGTAATGGCCACCAACAACCTCAAAAGGCCCAGAACGACGAGCGGTCACTGCTGGAAGGGAAGACCGCATCGAGCACCGGTACCAATACGCCCACCAGTACGAAAGATGGGAATGTACTGTTCGAATGCACTGTGTGCAAACGTCAAGTATGTATTTTTTATAAGGGTTTCCTCGCGTTACACTCCCATCTTTCAGGTTGCTTCGAATCGGTACGCACCTCATCTCAGTGGTTGCATGGGCATAGGAACTGGGTCCAGACGCACGGCGGCACGCGGGAATCTCAAGACAAAGTAAGAGGCGATGGAATAATAATAATCCTTCTTGCCTCACCAATTTCAGATTACCTATCGAGACCATCCGTGCGGACTCACCCCTGCAAGGTTCAGAAAATGGTAACGCCTCTGACGACAATTCGGGCGGGAAAGTGAAAGGGAAGTCAAAAGGTAAAAACACCGGTGAATGGATACATTGTCGTCTCAGGGAATATATTCTCATTGCCGCAAAGATGACGATGAATTCAATCTCAAGCGCAAACAGGCAAGCCAGGTGTTCGTTGCGAGAATTCGGAACATGTATTCACCACCATTGGATATCCTTCTTCATAGCCGCTTTCGCCACAAACCTCCCCCGCAAAGAAACAGAAGAAACAGAAGACAACAGGCAAGTCGCCACTACTTCCATAACGCTCGTTTGCATAATTACCCTCCCAAAGGTTCAGTGGCATCGCGTCTCAAGGAGGGTACAGCTACGGGAAGTCAGGTTAGTCGTAGTCCTTGTGTCATATTCCCTGACCTTGTGACCCACGTCGTTACAGTCGAAAATTCCTTCCAAGTTGCGATCCTCGTCTACAGCCTCATTTTTGGACCGAGATCGATCAGCAACGCCCGCTTCCCAGTCTTCTTCGAGCACGCCCATCGCGACCTCTGTCTCCTCGGTAATATCGGGTCAAAGTCCTGCCGGGACGGGGCCACCAAAGCGTGGTCGCCCGAAGGGCAGTAAGACCGGGATGGGTCGTGGAGCGGCTGCTTTGGCTGCGCAGGTAAAACGACCGAGTCCTCCGCGACCACCACCGCCTCCGCAGCCCGATTACCTCATAGGTATGTTTCCCCCCAGCATACTGCTGTGTCCGCGGCGACGTTGCTGATTTTATTTCTGCAGACGTTGAAGGAGACGAAACTGGTTCATCGACAGACACGGACTGAGGATTTATTTTACTTCCACTTTTGATCCGCCGACGGCCCGTCGCGTGGTCGATACGTATGCGTATTGTTTTAGGCGACTGTACAATACCCTTGTTGAAACGTTGAGCTGTGATTCGGGTTATATAGAGTACATAGAAACTTTTGTAAGCAATTCCACAAGCGAAGAGTCTAGATGGGTGGCATTCTTGGCATGCTATAAAAGGTAGTGTTTTCCCGCCATCAATGTCGGTGGGTGCGAGGTGTCGGACCCTCTGCAAAGTACTGGCACCGCTGTGCAACGACTCTCTCGACGACCAGCAGAGCCTGACAGCCCTTCGCGCACTCCTTTGTCTTTCGATACCACGCTCGCTCGCAGGACGAACACATTCATTTTCCAACTCCCTTCGTTGACGCTCTTCCATCTCAAGCCATGGCTCACCAATATACGAACCATGGGGACCGCTCAACCGACTACCTCTCCACACTCCATGCCAACCCGTCGAACCTAGACGAGTTCAAGTCATCATACGACGACCTCATAGACCAGTACGCAGAACCTTACTCGAGAATATCAACCCACCAAACCTTCCGGGTTCAAACCGACCTCACCAGCGATCTTGACTCACGAAGGCCGTCGTATTCTTTGGACAAGAAAAATCCATACAACGTGGGCAAAGGGGAAGAAATAGAGGACGACCCCGCTCACTCACTACCACAAGCTTACCCTCCTAGACAAAAGCAAGAAAAGATCGTGGACAACCGGAGCTTTGTTTCAAGAGTAGGCGCACGTCTTGGTATGCCCGTTAGTTAACACCTCACAATATGATAGGTTCTTCCGGACTCTTGGGCTTGCCGACTCTTCGTTATCACTGTCGTCGTCGAAACGGCTATAGACCTTGCCATTGAGGGCGACTTACTCGTACGATTACAAGACGGAGGCGATGCCGAAAGTGAAAGTGCGAAGAAAATGCCCGTATACCTTAGCATCTTTGCACTTGCGCAGTAGGTTTCAGTCGCCACATATGCATGAACGAAGCTTCTCACAGTTTACAGCATTTTTCAGCTTGTTCTTGCTGTGGATGCAGTGTATGCTCGAAATACGCTGCAGTTTATCTGTCTCATGTAAGGGTTGTTCAGCGCTTCTTTACGATAACCTTCCAACATTTTTCGTAGATTGTTCAACCTCCTCTTCCTGATCTACGCCGTCATCCAAATAGGGGAAATACAAGGCTCGACGACGACTTCCGATGGGCCCATTCACATACCAGTGAACGTGCTTACGAACATAATCCCTGGCGTAATATCGGCTGCAGAACTAGCGTACATCGCCCTCGGCTGGAAAATTTACAAAGAATTCGGCTGGAAGGTATACAAGTTTCTTGGTGCCGACCGACGCATCAAGAAGATGTATGCCAGTTATCAGATCTTCCAATGTCTCGTCAAATTTGATCTCTTCTTCTGGATCGGATTCACCGTTCAGTTTCTCTGGCTAGTCCTTGAAAAGAGTGACTGGGAATACTACGTCACCCTGGCCGCTTTGCCACTATCCATCATTCTTCTCATTGAGGGTCACCTCGCAGCACGCTACGAGAACAAGTGGATGATGGCAACTTTCATGTCAGGATGTATTGGGGCTTTAGTGTACTTCATTTACAAGGTGAGGTGACGTCTAGACGTCAGGTTGTCACGCTAGCTGATGCTGTGTGTCAGCTTTACAAACTCTTGAAATATCGCAATACGGACTACGCTGACGTATGGCACTCGCTAACCACCTTCTGTATGTACTTCCGAATCTGCTCAGTTTTGTTTATGGCCGTGATTCGTTTTGCAGCTGCCATTGCCATCTTTTTACTTTTGATAACGATTGCTTTCACCATCATCGTGATGCGAAACTTTGGCAGAGGCTTGAAGAACTCAAGTAAGCAGAACTGTGAATTTTGGCACTCCCTCGTCATTGAACTTACCCCTGCTATCCCCACCCCCACCAGTTGCGAGAAGCACAAATCACGCGCGTACAGGTTCTCAGCCCTTCCACCGCGGACCGATGAGCATGAATCCCAACCGGATGAGCATTGACTGAAGGCATAATTTTGTTTGCCCATTAAATGGACCTTGTGTACTTTATAGGCGTTATCGCCATCTTGTTGACTCATTATGGCGCTCCTCTTCCCTCTCCCTTGACCAGCATCCATAAGTACTCCCCCTTTTTCGGCGTCCTTTGCGCATATTTCTCCATGATACATATATACCGTCTCACCCTTGCCTCCTTTGATTCTTGATTTATAGGTATTAGTATGATATATCCTCACGCTTGATGCGTTTTTTGTTATCATATTTGTGAAGTTCATGCCAGACATTGAAATTTGGGCGTGTAATATGAGCCTACTCACTGCTGATCGTCGCGGGGCCTTGAGCTGAGCTGGTCAATTACCGTTCTCAAGTAGACGCCGGTTCCATTTACTTACGTGGCATCCATTGTCCAGCAACCCGGATCCAAAGGGGTTCTCCATTACGCGCTCGCAGTACAATTTGACTTTGCAGAACTTCGCCAAGCATGTCCCAACGGTGAGGTCGATTCGTACCGGCCAGTATGGGCCCGGCGATAACACACACCCAGCAGATTTCGTGCACCCAACACCCTGCGCGACCGCTCTGCGTTACTTGGCGTTACACCTCCACCCTCGGGGCGTTCGTCTCCTTTCGACCAGTCGTCATACCAGCCTTCGGGGCATCGTTATGCAGACGATTTGGAGAACCAAAACGACGAGGCACTGGAGGGTTTGTCTGCCAAGGTCAAGCTTCTCAAAGACGTGGGTCTACGGCTTTGTTGGCCGGCTATAGAGTCAGTTCTCATGTGTTAATTTCTGCAGATCACTATTGGCATTGGGAGCGAGGTCCGAGAGTCTACTATTCAGCTTAGCCAGATGGTATGTTTCCGGACTCTCATTTTCTTTCTCCTGTCCTTTAGATCATGATATATCATCTTTTCTTCCAGAACGATGCGTTCACGGAGACAGGTGGCATCCTTGCAGGGACATTCCGCAGAATGAACAACATGGCAGAACGACAAGGATGTCGTTGGCTGTGGTACATCGTCTTCCTTATACTCGTCTTTTGGTTCTTTATCATTGTATGGTGGTTTCGAAGATGATGTTTACTCTTCCACCATTATTTTGCTGTGAACAAAAATGGACTTAACCCAGCCCTACAGTGAGTGTCTTCAATATCATGCGCATGCTGGATGACAACCAAACGATCAAGACTCTCCCCCTCTCCCATCCAGTATCATTATACTCGTACCGAAGGCAATTTAAACTATTTCCAACTTGTCGATAATGAGGTTGATATATGGTGCACGTTACAAATAATAAGACACATCTCAACGGCGGCGGCCGAATGCTATCGCCAGTCCAGGAATTCTGCGTGTGCTATTTCCCATATCATTCGCCGTCGGAGGCAAGTCATGTCACGCTGAGAAAAATTAAAACACTCCTCTCCTCGAGACAACGATTCCAAGAATTGGCACGTGAAGACACCACAGTCGTAACCATTTTCCTGTTGTGGCGTGTCCTGCGAAAACAGGTGAGTAGAGGGGATGGGCTAAGAGAAAGACGATCTTACCTCAGGATCATAATCTATCCAATCCGTGAAGTCAAATGGTTTCCCTTTCTTATTTCTGTGTTCCAAGTCAAGATACTGGCGCAGTTTCTAATGACTGGTAAGTGATTTTGGTGCAATGCACGGAGAGCTGGGAAGACCCACGTGGAACACCAGCTTCCGAGGCACATTCATACTGTCGTACGATTCTATTCGCTTTTCACGGAAGTTGATGGCAGCTCCCGTCCAGTGCATGTTATCGTGGTTAATAGGGATAAGGATAATGTCCTTTGCGAAGATATCGAACTTGACAAGTTATCAGCGGTGGATGAATGGATGCCTGAATGAAATACCTTTTTCGTCCATTTTGCAAGTCTAGCGCGTTCATAGCCCTCGCTCAGCAATTTGGTCCAGAAGAAACTACTGAAGTAGTGTACATCCAAAATCTTACTCTTCTTGGTACCATTCAGTGGTGGCTTGTGTCTAAATAATTCGGAACGTGACAAGATCATGGCGCCGTAGAAATTGATAATCTCATCGTTAAGCCACTGGCACGGCTGCAGACGCGAGATGTCTTTGTCGCTGACTTGCTCCCGTGCGATCTTGGAGATGATACCTCTCTTGCGCAAAATTACGTTCACCTCGGTCTCTATTTCCGGGGGCAACGCCTTAGGAAGAGGGGGCCGAAGGAGTCTGTTAATAGCTTCATCCTTCCTACGAGCCGCTTCGCGCAGGCGTTCGTGACGAGAAAGTAGGGGTGGCGGGGGTGGGCTGTGGATTGCTCAGTCTGCGAATTACGGATAAGCTGGCCCTGAGAAACCTACGCAGCGAGAGTCGACTTCGCTTTTTCAAGGGCGCGCTTTAAAACTTCAAGGCTAACTAGCTCGTGTCCGTCCACGCGTTCCTGGCAGTGGTCAATCAGACAAGGCGCGTAATTGTGCCAAAGAACCCCTCACTTCTCCATGTGAGCGCCTGCGGGGGCGAACGGGTAACCGCTTCTTCTCGCGCAGGTCTGACCATGATTGAGATGCTGGAATGCATGACGCCGGTTACGACGGAAGTACTGAGACCGTATGCAAAACAGATACGCACGCGTAATTCCGCGCCTTCTGAGCTTTTCTTCGTATCCAAGCAGGGCTATAAGTAGAGATAAGCAAGTAGCTGCGAAACGAGGAAATGTCACCTACACTCCAACGATTCGATATTCGAGGTAAATCCTTGCCAGCCGTGAATCTATCGCATCCAAGAAGACAGACTTTGAATACCTTGTTTGCGTTTGATTTCGTGTAACTCCTCCAGCATCTTTTGTCTATCTTGTTTCCGTGTTTCTCGTACCCGCGTTTCATGCTAGAGCACGAGTCACGCGATGCAGTTAGGGCGACAGCGCGAATGCCAGACGCAGTTAGACATACCTGGCGCTGATAAATATGAGGCTTAGTTGGGAGGCGTGCCAACATGGTCTGAACGGAATGGTTCATTTGACATTGGTGCAATGAATTCGCAAGCCCGACATCCAGCGAATTGCTCTGAGCCGTTGGGACCGGTACAGACTTGATGGAGGTGGCACTGGTGGAGGTGGAACAAGGTGCACCATCGGTATCTGACGATACGAAGGACGTTGAATTTGACGGGACGGACAGGTCATTATGGGCTGGGGGCTCATGCGATTCTGGTGGTGGTGATGGTGGAAGAGGAAGTTGAGACGGTGAGGAAGCTGCATGTGGAGGTTGAAGAGGTGTCGGATATAGAGTCTCCTGTGCATGATTGCCAGAACCTGAGGGGGAGTCCATCGCTAAGTGGCCTCGGGGGCGGAGTGGGAGAGACGTACCAGGTATAAATTGGATCACAGTGTCTATCGCTTTGGCTGCTGTATCGCATATAAGCTCGTAGGCGTCCATGGCGAGGATGCACCAGGCAGCCCGCAAGTGCGTTCTGGGGTGTTTCGGAGGCCTGTGGGTTGGCAGGAGTGAATCGGGCGCCTTCCTCTTGCGAGGATTCATCACCAAGGTATAAAGAAGGTTGGCGACACCAATGCCAGCGAGTTTGTGCTTGAAGAACAAGCGACGATCTGACGAGGACCAGTTGGACTGTCTGAGACGAGGCGGACGAAAACAAAGTATCACCGGGAGTAGCGCTCTGCCCCACGTGACAACCACTCTCGGACGTCCGTCGACGGGTTTCACACCGACGCCCGCTTGGCTCAGTTGGCTAGAGCGCAGGTCTCATATCACATGATATGACGTAATCGTGGATTGCGTAATCCTGAGGTCGCAAGTTCGAGCCTTGCAGCGGGCATTCTTTTTCTTTTCTTTTGCATTTTGTTTTATTTATATTTTCTATGTCCTTTTGTCGCATGTTTCTCTGATCCACGCTATGGGCACCAGTCCGTCCCTCCGCGACCTGTACAGCCCTCCCGCTCATTCCTGGACATTTGTCCCTCCCAACGGCGCACCTTCAAAGCCGAATCCCTCCAGTCCTTCATACCAATGGAATGCCCGGCCGTCATCACCTCACATCCTACATCTATCGCTGGACACCGGAACACCCCCCGCACATATCACCCTCTTCTTCCGCTCCATCGTAGTGTCGGCTCTGGTGCACTATAGTAGCACCGCACTCGCCATGCCTTTGGAGGTCGGAAAGCTCCTCCTGCAGATTCAGTGGGTGCCCAGAGATGCTCTCTCCGCGCCGTCAGACACCGAAGAACAGGGAGACGATGGGGAGGATGTGAGTGCCATGGGCTACCCCCCTTTCACCGTCTACTAACATGTCGGTAGCTGAGCGACACTACAAATGAAGAAGATTCCTACTTCGTGGATCCCGGCGTTGGTCCCACTCCCAAGTACCCAGCGCCGAAGCTCGTCGACGATGACGGGTACGTGGTTAGGACTTCTGTCATGGAAGAAGGCACCCGTCCAGAGTATATCATCCCAGTTGGCACCGCCAAGAGTACGTGGGCAATGGTCAAGCGTCTTGTCAGCTTCCGTGGAGAGGGATGGTTCTCCCCTTGGAAGGGTAATTGTCAATGAGCTCCTATCTGTCGTATCTCATGTTTAGTGCAGGTTTGTTTACGACCTGCATACATGACGTCTTGCTACTCAGCATCCAACCATCCGTCGACAACGTTTTGTCTTCGTTTTTCCTCTCCCCGTCCCGTGGATTTTATAGGCCGCCCTTGTGGCTCCCGGTGGCTTCGCACGTCGTCACTGGATTTGTTCTTTCCCCTTTAGACCTCGTTCGCACACGTCTCATTGCTCAGTCCTCCATGCCTAGATATAAGAACTATACAGGCCCCCTTGATGCCCTCTCTCAGATCCTCGTCCATGAAGGCGGATTGAAAGGGGTATACTTCCACCCTCACCTTCTCCTTCCAACTATTCTCGATACCGGGCTGCGCGCTTTCACACACGTCCTCCTGCCCTCCCTCATCGCTCCGTATTTGGGCTTTGGACCTCATGTTGCTGCAGATACACATCCAATAGCATGGGCACTTGCAGAAGTGCTTAGCGGGTGTTTGGGATTGTTGGTTACCTTACCAATAGAAACAGTGCGTCGAAGACTGCAAGTCCAAACCCGTGGTGCAGCGAAGCCTTTACGAACATGCGTGGAAACCCGGCCAGTCCCATATAACGGCGTCGTCGACGCATTGTGGCACATTCTGACGGAAGAACGGTCAGACCTACCCATCAGGAAGCCACGAAAACATCGAAGAGACGGGCCAGGAGGGTCGGGAAGCGACGAGGCAGAAGAAGAAAGTGATAGCCGGCTAAGACACACGGGCATCGGACAACTTTATCGTGGGCTCGGTATGCGCCTTGCAGCGAATACTATTGTATTCCTATTGGCTTCCTTCGGTGGTGAAGAAGTAGATGGTGGATGGGCCGAACTTGTAATGCCCTGTATCTTTTGAATATACGACATGGATTTCCCTCTCTTCTCAACATCGGCGCATCGAAACCCTTTTTTCCCCTTCACGGGATCATCGATGCCGATACAGTAGTTAGGAGGGAATTTGGCCACGGCCTCCCTGCGACGAACGCACCGTAACACGAATCCGGACACCAAAATTGTCAGTGTTTCATCTGTGACCAATTGGCTCGCGTCCAAAGAACGGTACTGGTAGCCATGCTGAGGTAGTAAGGCACAGTTTGGATCAACTACCTCAACCATCACTTTGCATTGTTGTCATCAGTACGTTGTTACATCCATCAGCCTAGCTGGCCTATCGCGTTACGACGGCAGACATTGAGCCAGACTACTGAAAATACCTTCACGGTGAATATGCTACCAGCGTTGCGGAAACATTGACTCCGCACCACAGGGATCCAGAAAGCCCTGCAGGAGTACACGACTACACAACGAGACAAGAACACAGACTATCATGATGCGGAGTTTTGTATTCACTAAACAAGCAACCATGCATGCTGCTACGATGCAGTGTGGTTCGTTCGAAGGTGCAAATCTTCAGTTGAGGATGACGGTGAAGAACGAGATTACTCCTATCAGAAGAGCTAGCGGCATGGATAGGGTCTATGTTTGCATGATCTAGGATCCATGATGTGATCTCGGAAAGAGAAATACGAAGGGCACCTACGTACAATTCCGAGTTTTTACACCTTCTGTTCTATAGATAAGATAACCACGTGACATCTGGAGCACGCCGATCAGCAAGTGTCGCCGGAGCAGAGCGAAGCTTTGCAGAAGGGATTTATGTCTGCGCAGACACTACACCAGCTCCAGGAGCCCCCAAGCACGAACCTTGCACACAAGGCGGCCGTCGAAGTTCTCAACGCGAATTTCGCCGACGCAACCCACCTTGGAGACCTCGAACACGTGTTGCGGGACACGAGTGCAGGACAAGCTATAACGAAACAACAGGTACGCACCTATGGAGCCGTTCATGTCTGCTACATACTGACAACGGAATGGTTAGCTTTTGGAATCCGAGAAAGCTCTAGGGTCATTTATCACCAAGACTAGGGTTGAGGCCATAACCCAGCTCGAGAATGCCCGAGACCTCGCCTCTCAACGAGATGGAATAGAAGATGAACTTTGCTTACCTTTCCCATTGTCTCGTTTCTTCCCTTAGTCCTACAACTGAGGACAATGTCGCTACACTGCTAGAGGACATAGAAGTTATGCATCGTGCCTTGAAGGAACTCGAGAATGTCCGTGCCTATGTTGCAGTCGTCCAACGTGGTCTTGCACTGAGGTAACTGCATTCTTGATTACCTAGATACAAAATTATTGTCCCTGACATTGGATAAAGCGAAGCAGCGGTGTCGCAGTTGCATACTCGATCCTCTCCTCTCTCTGCTACCTCAGTCTCTGAATATGTCGCCTTGCAAAGTTTCACTGCCGACGTTACTCGGACATGTAGAGCCGTGGAAGACCTAGGCAACTCCCATGGTTCCCTTCACCTCCTATCATTCCTAGAAAAGCTCAGCGAGAAGACTTGGACCGACATGAAGGCGATTCTATCTGCGTATGTACTGAACTTTGGTTTCCCCAGGCCCGCTCGGTTTATGACCTCGTAGGACGCTCGTGTCTGCGGCAGAAAACGTGAATTGGCCGATGGCAATTGACTTCTCCGCCGCAAGCGAAGAAGTGCGTTCCAAGTTCGACTCGGCTTTCTTAGACCTATTGCAGCTTCAAGAGATGTGAGGCTGTTCATTCCATTCTCTCTTCCATCCGTTCTTACTCTGGTCAGTGGACAGTCATTGCAGTCTTCCCAAGAAGACGAGAGTCTGTATCCTCTTCAGGCATTGGTACACCCAGTAACGTTGCGCTTCAAGTACCACTTTGATGGGGAACGGGAGACAAACCGGCCAGACAAGGTGACAAGTTTTGCACATCACACACATTACATGTTTACATTGTGACCATATCTAGCCTGAGTGGTACTTCACTCATATTGCTAATGTCGCTCACGACCATAGACCATTCATGGAAGGTGTAGTGCAAAGATTATTGATCGGAACCAAATTCCAGAATGTCAATGCATGGGTCTGCACATTCTCACAATTTCGTCATTTGCATAATAATAATCACCTCTTTTCATAGCACCAATATGTCAAGCTCCTTTTAGGCATTCTCGAACGCAAAATCAAGCGTTCCGTGCCGCAACTCCTTGGTAGTCCTGCTTTATTGGCACACACAATCTATCAGTCATTGCTGTTCGACTCCAGTTTGCGCGAACTGGGTTATGAATTCGTTCAAGTAGAGGGCAAGAGAGACGAGGAGGCTGAGAAGGGGGGTATCAGCAGACTAATTCTCGACGAAAAGGAGTGGTTTGATGCATGGATCGAAGGAGAAAAGAAATGTATGTCTCATCTTCTTCCTTTCAAGTAAGCTTACCAGGGGTATGGTTAGTTGCGGATGACCAGTATCACGAAATAATCAGCGCCACCGACGCATGGGTTATTGTTAATGATCACTCAGCCGACTCTGGAGAGCTCACCCGTTCAAATGAGAGTGATATTAAAGCGACGAATTCTGCTCGGAGGGTAAAGGCTCTGGTAGAGCAGATTACAGGTAAACAATCCTACTTATGTCTACTCGTTTCGCTGACATTCTGCCCCCATCAGATCGCTACATGCCTCTACCTTCTTTCCGTCAACGTTCTCAGTTTCTCATCTATGTTCAAGTTCCTGTACTCGAAAATTATCATTCACGAATATCTTCGTCTCTTGATGCGTTCGAGACCCTTTCATCCGCTTTCGTCCGGGCAGTGCCAGGTGCTCTCGGAGTCGATACCACAAAGACCGATTCCAAAAGACTTACTGGAGGTGTGGAAGGAAGTCAGCGTCTATGCAAGGCACTCCTGAGCGCCCGCTATGTCGACAGCGCAATGAGGACATGGGGAGAAGAAACTGTGCGTAAGATACCCTTGCTGTCGGCTTACCTATGGTTGAGACGTCGCTTTGGTACTACAGTTCTTTTTGGAACTTTGGGCCGAAATTAACCGGCGTGCATACCTCCGTACTAGAGTTGGTGCACATCCCTCCTTGCCGCATCCAAACACGTGGAACGTGCAGGGAACACCTGAGGGTACGATCTTCGAGGAGTTGGTAATGCAGTACGCAAAACTCGTCTCGCGAGCTGAGGACATGCTCATTCAGCAAATTTATGGAGAATGCGAGGCTACCTTGAAAGCTCATTTCAATGCCTTAGCTAGGTGAGTTTGCATACCTTACTCCGCATCCTCTCTCAAGGGTGGGATATCACGCGTTACCGGTCAGCCTTCCGAATAGCACAGAGGGAACTGCAGACAGCATAATGATTCCCCCAACGCTCTTTCCCTCGGTTGCCCTCCTCTCGTCCCACCTGACCTATCTTCGCTCTACGTTGCCATCTTCCGCCGTCACTCACCTATATCGGCGCATTGCCTCCCGCATCTCCGAGCACGTCCTACAACGTGAAGTACTCTTTCGTCCCGGCCTTGGTCGAACCTCGACCTGGCCGCCATGTCTTCACACGTCCCCAGGCCTATACCATCCAGGCAGAATGCGAACTCTGGGTGGAGACCTGCCAGGGGGCGCTGAATACGTCACATGCGCGGGCGGAGAAGCCTTGGGGTAGGCTACTCGCAGCGGGAAGGTTGTTGGCTGCAGAGGTGCAGGGTCACGAACGAACGTTTCAGACGTTTTCGAGCGAACGTTGGTGGGAGGCAGATGAGGATGAAGATGTTTGGGAAGATATATTGGATGACTTGACCGGACTGGGAACGGGAGGCCTACGGAAGGATGAGGTGAAGGCAATTTTGAGACTAAGGGATATCGATACCCCAGTGAGTACGAGTTCGGTAGCTTCTTTTCACTACATTGTACCCCTTCTACCCACTCTCCCGCTCTCACTCTCGTGAAGAACGGGATGTCACTGTCACTGTTATCATGCATGCAATCGAAATATTTTCTGGCTTCCAGCTGTAGGACACGGAATCTGGAGCTTAGGTAGTTGCCAAATACCTGCATCACAGGCGCACATTAAAACTATGAAAACTACAAAAAGATACATGCGTGGGCAACGATAAATAAACCTACAAAAGGATGCACGTGGTCCAACGACCCCAACGACGAACCAGGGGTGTATACAAACACTGAGATCTAAACTTTGTACACAATGCCTTCGCTTAGCATAAGCTCGTCGGAATTGCTCATGATCTCGCATATCGTTGTTGCCTCAAGGGTTCCGAACAGGGCGTCCGTCGGCAAACCGTCGTTAATCATCTCCACAAGCTCATGAAGGAAAACTTGTTCTTCGTCTTGGAGGCGTGTAGCGAAGATATTGGCTAGTTTTGAGCGGAACAGTTGTATTCTGTGGTTTTAAGTGAAGTTATCGCCAGATATACAGTCAGAAGTAAAAGGCGTACCTGTCAGGTTGTACACCGTTGACTGGGACAGACCCAGAGGCGCTTGTCTCAGGCACTGTGGGAGTTACGTCTGGCATCTGCAAGTCTTGACTGTCATCTTGCCATAGAGAAGATCCCTGACTGGCTTGAGCCTGATTAGGGGCCGGGGCCGGGGGGGGTGGTGCAGGCATCTCCATTCGCTTAGTTTGCGGCGGTGTCGGGTCCTCTTCACCATCTTCATCGCTGCTGTTCTCATCTGAGCTGTCTTGCGAACCATTCTCGCCATGCTTTGCACCTGGAAGCTTGCGCTTCTTGCGCTTCTGCCGACGACGCTTTGCGACCTCTTTATACAGAGCATAGCGCATAATTTCTTCTGCCACTATGGCATCCTGTTCTTCTACTTTCAAAGAAAGCCGAGATTTGGCGTGTGCAGTCGAGAGGCGGATGAGAGTTTCGAGTGTACGGGCCGTCAGTGGCGCCGTCTACGCGTCATAAAATAGATCGGGTGAAAAAGTCCGTGCCACTATGAGAGAAATTCAGCCCACCTTCTTCTTGTTCGTTTGTCCCTCGTCTTCATTCCGCAGGTTGGCATATACGTTCACGATGTGATTGGCAGCACCACTTGTGAGAACGGGGACAGGCCGGTTCTTGGCGTACTGTATGTACTTTTTGATAAATGTTACACTCAGCACTTCAACCTTGACCTGTTTTCCCCGACGTGTACGTGACTTGGCAGCAGTGAATCCAGCGTGTAGGAGGGGGTCATACTTCTCGAACGGGCTCGTCTCTGCTCCTCCACTGCCATACGCAGCCACATCCGGATCGGCAGGGGGGACTCCGGGGCCCTCGATCGCGAGCGGCTGCGAGAGATTATCATGGACGGGCGTACCCTCCTCGAGGCCAGGGGGGAGATACCTGTGCATCCGGAGAACATGATCAGCGATCCTGCGGTCCCGTTCTTCATCGACATCATCTGTCACGACAAAGAGCAGGTCGAAACGGGAGAGAAGAGAATCGGGGAGGGCAATATTTTTGTGTGGGTCTTTATGGATATCGTACTGTACACAATAGATGTTGTCATTGAACCTTAGTGCTCCCTGAACAATATACATACCTGTCCATATATGGGGTTCGCGGCTGCGATAACGCTACACCGCGCATTCAAGCTCGTGTGGATACCCGCCTTTGCAATGGTGATAGTTTGTTGCTCCATGACTTCATGTATGGCAACGCGGTCAACGTCCGACATCTTATCGAATTCGTCAATACAGACGACACCTCTATCCGCGAGGACCATGGCCCCCGCCTCAAGTCGTCGTTCGCCTGTGTCTCTGTCGGTAGTGACAGCAGCAGTCAGACCAACGCCGGAGCTACCTCGACCTGTGGTTGCAATTGCGAGTGGGGCAGTGTTTAAGACAAACCGCAGGAGTTGCGATTTGGCTGTGGACGGGTCGCCAACCATGAGTATATTTATGTCTCCACGTATATGCGTGCCGTTGGGCAAGTTCTTTTCTGCCCCACCCAATAGTAAGAGAAGGATTGCCTCCTTTATTTTATCATGGCCAAATATCGAGGGTGCAAGGGACTGCGATAAAAGTCGAAATATATCGCGTCGCTTCGCAAGCTGGTTAATTTGACGGATATCAGTATCCGTGAGGGGAGTCTGGGCGACTCCGCCACCTATTTTGGAGGATAGTAAGTTGACATTGTTCGCAAGGATGAGGGACCTCATAGACAAAATTCAGCGTCTCTCTAAGTTAGGAGAATACACCGATTGACTTACTTGAATGCGCCAGTTGAACCACCTCCGACGCTGCGATACAGACCAACCATCTGCACACGGTCACCAGGCTTACACTTGTCCACGAGGTCATCGTCAAGAATAATATCGGTACTCCGTGGCAGCTGCCCAGGAGGGGCCCGTTCTGGCATTTCCTGAATGCTGATCCTCTGATGGTCCCTAAATACACAAAGACCATATTCCATCTGCAAAGGACGACCATCATCGTCTTGCTGCGGGGTTACCGTCGATGTCGGAGGCAGATTGGATGTCGAAGTAGTCGAATCCCTGTACTCTCGTGCATGGAAAAGCTTGGTCTCCGGACAGTAATGTACCGACTTGAGCATTTTGGGTCTCACAAGTGAACACCGTGTGATGATGCCCTCAAGGGAGATCATCTTTCCGAGATGTTCAGCGCGCAGTGTACGCGGGCTGACGTGGTGATCTCCGAATGATCCACTGAATCCGACGCGGTAGCTCTTGCCCTCGAGCGTGTGCTTGTCCGTATCATGAACTTGGGTGACAATGTTAACAAGAGCATCGTCAAATGCGGGAAGAAAGTCGGTGGGTTGCTTGAGAAGTCCATCCGCATATTCACGGTTGTAGTCGCGAAGGTCATCGATATTGACGATCAGGCGGGTCCGGTCGGCGCGCAGCATGCGTCCAATGTCATCGCGATAATTGTAGATTGGCGACTCGAAGGTGAGGAACTCCTCAAATATGCGGGTGCGGTCCCGCATGAGATCATCTTGAGGTATTGGCTCGTCGAGCATCGACATCGTGGGCGATGGCGTTGGGCGTCCAATTGCAGCTAACGGACGCGTTTTTCACGCAAACGCGCATTGTCTTGCCCTAAATATATCACGTGACCCGCGTCTATTCTATTCACAGGCACCAAGTTCATGATAGAAAGGGCACTCTTGGGAAAGAGTACCACGTGAAGTCAAAGGGAAAAGGAACGGCCAACCAAAAAGACATATATTGGTCATTCCTGGTTACATGGATGGGGATGCAATACCATAGCGAATAAGGAGGACAGGGAATAGGTACACTTTTTGCAGCCAGCGGTCAGGGATGTGAGCAGAAGGATTCGCGAACTATGCAGGAGGCCGCGGGACTACGACGGGACCGCGCGAGAGCATGGCTGCTGTCCGCATATGGCAGTGGAAACGACCTTGTGCCGTCGCTCCCGCATGCTGTTCGTTGAAGCCCCCTTACGGTTCCGAGAGTGCGCTTTCCCATAGTAATATCTCTCAGCGACTGCCTTCGCTAACAAATGCATAATACGATGTCCTGCGGCATTGGATAATAGGTGATACGTGTACCGGTACAGTCATTAGTCCTATGGATGGAACGTTCGTGAAATGTTCGATACTAAATTTAAGCGACTCACCCATAACTTTATCAATCCATCCCATGACGCCGTCACAACCTTGGACTACAGGTCGAATAGTTAATACCATGCACACCCACGCGGGAAAGCACCACCTACCTGTCTCATGTGGTAGCCACTCGTGAGCAATCACCACCTTGCTATGAGCTTTTAGCCGCGACTTGATTCGACCAGTCTTCCAATCCCAGAATATTACATCTCCTGTACTGTCTCCACTACTAATCCACTTCCCGTCAGGCGAAAACCCAACCTGGCAGGCATACCCAGCAACAGAGTGTCCAGCGAACCGTTTCTTGCGGTTCTGCCGGAAATTATCCGTACTGTAAACAAGAATTTGGTTGTCCAAGGACTGTGCCGCAAAGTACTTTTCTATTTGACAGAGTCAGCGGTAATTTTTCTGAAAGGTAGTGTGTCAACCCACTAGATGGATGAAGAGTGACAGCAGGCATCGAATGCATGTGGGGTTCAGCAATGTACTTGATCACCACTGGAATATCAAAGTCCCACGCCCGGATTGTTTTGTCATCCGAGGTAGTCACAAACCGGCGGTTCTCATCCACGAACGTGATCGTGTTGACGGGTCCCAAATGCTGATCATACTCTTGTGTAATCTCCCCCGAACTTATATCATACTACTGCCTCGTCAAATGTGGTCATCGCAATCACATGGAGCTCCTTACCTGGATGATCTTCTTGTCCGACATACCGGCGAGGAAGATATTTTGTTTGTCGTCGTCGGGGTGGAACCGGACAACATATGGCGTCTTGCCGTTGCTAAACCGCTGAAGACATTGGCCCGTCTCGGTGTCCCAAAGTTTCATCTGGCGGTCATACCCGCAAGACAGAAACCTCCTCCCGTCGTTCGAAAAGGTGACATCCTTGACGGCTTGAACGTGGCCATGAAACGTTCTGAGACAATTTCCATGCGTGTAGATGTCCCAAAGCTAAACCAACGATGTGGTCATTAATTACGGGATACAAAGGCTATACATACCTTGATTTTGGTGTCCATAGATCCGCTGAGCAAAAGGTGACCTGTGTCCGGGAACAGGCGTATGACGGACACGCCTTGCGTGTGCCCCGTCCACGTATGAATGCATTGCTTGGGGATGAATGTCTCCTGAGATCCGGCCTCGTTTGAGAGGTGGGGAGCTTCGGCAAGGGGGGCGTGCATGTATGTGCGTCCTTGGTAGTCCGTCATGGACTTGCCATGGAACACGGACATTTCTTGGCCCACGGCCCCACGTTTCGGCCTAGCCTTTTTGCGGGGAACAGAAGATTCTGGTTCCTCTGCCTCTTCGGTTTGGCCTTCTGGTACCTCTTCGACACCGTCGAGGAATCCGACCTGCTGTTCATCGTCCCAGGATGCCCACGGGCCAACGTAGGCACCCTCACCGTCAACAACATCGACGTCACCCTTGTCTTTCCGTTTCCGCTTAAGTTCCCTCTTCTGAGTCCTAGTTGTTCTGAGAGAGTCAATGGTAGCGAATCCATTCTCGCGGGCTTTGTCTAGGGAGCCGACGATCGCCGGAGCACTTGGGTCCATGGATGGATTTGCGGAATACCCGAGAACAGCATGCGTGAGGTGCTGTGCCTTGAAGGCGTGGTCGGACATGGCCTGTTCCTCAACGTGTCCGGCAAGTGCGTTTTGGTTGAGGAAACGGTTCCGATCACTAAAAGGGTTCTCGGGGCCTTGAAGGGGCATGATCATGTCGGCGTAGGGGATGTTGACATTCATCTGGGTGTCCGTTGGTCGTGTGACGAGCGAGGTCTGGTGGAGAGGATCCTGTCATTGGCCTGGGTGAGTCTGACTGCGGTGAGTTGGAGATGACAGACAGACATCCATACCTCTGCCAGGACGTGAGGTGCGGCATCGGCGACTATCTTCTGCTCAGCCTCGTCCGCACGGGCTTTGTCTGCGAGTGGCAGACTTGAAATGCCGAATGCATCGTTAGTAACAGCGACATCCTCGTCTGACGAGTAGTAGCCTTGAACGAGGGACATGCTGCTGTTCTGTTCGCAAGTTGACAGCACTAGTGGTGGAAAGGGCGTGTACGGCATTACATAATCAGCTGGTACAGCCCAGTTGAGGTCGGTCAGTAGCCGCTCGGGACTTGAAGGCCTTGTTTGGTTTTTTTTCACGTTCCGTTCATTCATTCATAGCTGCGTGCGCGGGACACTACTGACTCGAGAACGGGTGATGCGGTATTTGCCAACGACGTCCTCGAGGCACAGATATTCATATTAGCCATTTTGCTTAAATAACAATCGGGGCCCCTCCACCGCATCAGAAGATCTACCAGACAAACATATTGGCTACATGACGGCAGAGCGCAGCGTAGGACGGCCGTGGACCACGCATGAAGACGAGCTGTTGGCTCGAGCAGTCGCGGAGCACGGAGAAAATGATAACTGGAAGCGGGTCGCGGAGTGCGTCCCTGGACGGACGAACAAAGCCTGCAGGAAGGTAAGCAGGTATGTGACGTATGGGCTGCGGAGCTCTAATGAATCATCAGCGTTGGCTGCACTCTTTGTCGCCGGACGTGAAGAAGACAGCCTGGACCGCAGAGGAGGATCGGACGTTGCTTGAATTGTACGATATCCATGCCGGTAAATGGGCGGCGATTGCAAAACACATCCCTGGACGAACGGACGACGCGTGTTCGAAGCGTTATCGAGAAGCGCTCGATCCGATGTTAAAGAAAGGAGAGTGGACACCGCAGGAAGACTTGCAATTAATGGAGGCGTACAAGGAACTCGGTGGACGATGGGGACAAGTCGGGCAACGTCTGCAACGCAGTGGGCTTGGCTGCCGTAACAGGTGCTTTTTTTTTGTTTCCTTTGCTTCGATCGCGTCGGTGTTCACCCCATTTATGCTCACCAATTAGATGGCGTCTATTGGAACGAAAAAGATCGACAACCGCCAATAGACAAGACTTGCCGACGACCGACTTGAACATGTCACAGCAGCAGCAGCAGCCAATCCACCTCAATCCCTACCACACTTGGGATGATATGCAGGCCGCAGCTGCTTCGTTCCAATACGGTTCCTCGTCACTCAGCTCCGCCCTTGTCGCATTGCCACCCACAACACCGGAGCCTTCTCTCGCTCACTACGAGTATTCCTCCACGTCCACCTTCGCTGGCCTGCCTAGCACCTCCACCTCCCCGGCGACCCATTCAATCGAGTTCGCCATGACCAACGCCGCGCCAACTTCTGTGTACGAGGACGATGCAAGGCAATATGATCAGCTCCACCGACGAACACCGCCCCACGATTACTACATCACACCTGCAACACACGAGGATCGGCGCATGTCACATTGTCAACCTTCTTATCCCCATCAGCACCCTGAACGCGTTCCCCCCTCGCTCCAAAGATCCGATCTCTTTTATCAGCAGCAACTACAGCAAACTAACCATTCATACTCATCACGTGATCTTACCCCTCAGCACACCATGATCGTGCATCAGCCTCGCGCCCAATACTATCAGGACCCGCATCCCGATCAGGACAGCTATCCCTCACCAGCACGCCCGCCGACACAACATGACGTTCATTATGCCCAACAACAACAACAACAACAACAACATGAGAACCTTGTCAACCACTCTCCACGCCCTTCGTCCCAGCCGGATCCTGGGTCGTCCGCTGATCAAAGCTATCCGCCTCCGTCTCAAGCACACCCATCGCTTGTACACCGCTCCACACCCACGCTTTCGATGGCTTCAACCACGTCTCCATATCCAAAACCGTCCACCTTGTTGGATGCTTCACAAGTTAACCAAGAGGATCCTAGTACTTCTAGCCTACGTCCGAAACAACGTACTCGGACACCTGCAACGCGAAAACGTCCGGATAGTCAGGCACCGTTGCGCTTATCATCCGATCTTCCCGCTACGTCCGAGTACGTGCTGACGTCTGTTCGTGATGTCAATGATGTATTGATGACGCTCACAGCCCATCGATCAAGCCATACGCTTGTGGTCACGAGAGCTGCTGGCCAGCTAACGCACTGACGAGTCGTGCATGTTACTCCACGTCGCGCAGCCTTTCTGATCATAACAAGGCCGCCCATCCTGATGACGTAGGTAGCGATAGACCTTATCGATGTGGACTTGAGGGGTGCGGCAAATCTTGGAAGGTAGGCGATCAGATTGTAATCGCATACCTCATGGTAACCCTGCCGTAGAGCATCAACGGATTGCAGTACCATTTACAAATGTAAGCCCGTCTCTACGCTAGAATTATGTTCATGCCTGACATCCCGTTATCTGCAGTTCAAAAGCTCACTTCCAACATGCCATCACATCCACCTATTTAACCCCCTATATGGAAGGTTTATCTGTCCCTGCATCAGTGGAAGCATCAACGTCCGGTCAGACGGAAACGAAAAAGAAGCAGTATGCATGCCCACATGAAAACTGCCCTAATCGGTACAAGCAACTCAGTGGGCTGCGATACCATTTGGCACACGTCAGTCATTCCGTTGTTCTGATTTCCCTACTGACACTGCCCTCCTTCCCCCGTCCTCTCTTATCTTTTTAGGGCCATCCTGCCGACCTCCCTGCGCAACTCGATCTCGTACCACCTGCGTTGAGCCGAAAACTAGAAGAGAAGATGCGGATGCAGGGCCAAGCCCAGGGCTCTGATCTTTCTGCCGGTCCCTCTGCGTCGGCGCATCAGCAACGACCTTAGCAAGTGAAACTGTCTCTCCTGTGTCACAAGTAACTAGTGGACAGCCTCTCCCTTGACGGCGGCTGATCATCCACTGCCAGCTCCGGTTCAAGATTTACTTTATGGGCCCCTCATAATTAATAAGTCGTTGCTCTGTTTATCAAGCTACCGTTTCTCCTGTCTCGACTGATCGTCGTCGAGTTGTATTAGGCGCTGGTCACGGATTCTTCATTTTACTTCCCCGGCGTTTGGTGCGTCGTAGCTAATGCCTGCTTGCCAAGGTCACTGTCATTGTAAATAGCTTATGCCTAACTATCTCACTTGCCTTGGTCGTCCTTGACTCTTCGCGGTACGTATGTATGTCTAGAGTAGATCTAGCACACTTCCTTGATCCACACCTAATCGTCTCGGCTTTCCCTTTCATTTATTGTATGTAACGTGTGCATATAGTATTGTGGTGCAGACCAACAACTCTCCAAAGACAAAAATCATTGTGTTACCTGGCGCTGGAACCTTGCAAACAAAAAACTCTTCATTGCTCAACGGGTACCACCTGAACCTGCGCCAAATTGACTAGCTCTGTAGGACACGCGTAAGTACGAAAGAGGGTAACCTGACGGAAAATGAGACGGTTACAGGTTGCGCATAGTTGGATCAGACATGAGTTCTTCCATGGAGGGAAGGCCGCCGCCGTTCTGTACACGATTCATCTGGCAATCGTGATCAGTGCAAGAAAACCATATAGGGAAACGGATACGCACCATATTTGCCACGGATGGATTGGACATCATCCGCTCGAGTCCGCCATTTGCCATGAGTTGCTGGGCCATCTGCATCATCATTGGGTTGTTCATCATACTTCCGAGATCGGGCATGCCGCCACCTTCTGCCCCACCAGCGCCGCCCATGTTGCGGAACATGTCTGCCAGACCGGCCATGTTGGGGAGTCCACCTGTGCCTGCTCCACCGCCTGCACCCCGGGTAGACGCTGAGGAAGGTGAAGAGGGTCGCAGTTGATCCTCTGGAATTAGTGGAGGCGGAGAATCGTCGTCGTCTGACACGCGGTCAAGCGCGGATTTAAGTCCGGATTTGAGGTTCTCGTTCGTCGGATCTAGTTCAGTACCCTTTTTGAAGGCGTCGGCTGCAGCACGATAGTTACCAAGCGTGTAATGTGCATGACTATTGGGAGAGGTCAGGATTGTGCATAGGCAGGTGGGGAAGACTGCAGTACAGAGGACACGCACCCCAATCTCGAATACGCCTTAACGAAGTTCGGATCAACCTCGATCGCACTCTCAGCGTCGAGCACCGCGGCAGCGTTATCGCCCTTGCTCGTGTGTGCAGCGGCGCGATTAGAGTAGAATACGGGATTGGAAGGGTCAAGGGCGATTGCGCTCGTGTAAGCATCTATTGCAGCGGTATAATTCTTGGCATTCATATGCGCGTTTCCTTTAGCTTTGTGCGCCTCCGCCTGTTTCTTAGCTTCTGCTGACGGTGGAGAAGCCTTTGTGGTGGAGGGGCCGCCGGACGAGGGAGCGGTAGACGGAGACACCTTACGGCGCGTCTTGAGGAAGACCTCGAAGATGGACTGGAGTGTTGCGGGCTTGATGGTGAGCTGTTCGCGTTGCCTGTCGTCCGACGGATCGACCCCAAAGGCCTCGCCGATACACTGGACTGCATGTTGTTGGTCGGTGAGTGATATAGACGATTAGATATGACGGTCGCGACGTACTTGCTACCTCCAGCCCTTCCCTGTCGTCCTGCTTGATGGTTCCATCATCTATGGACTTGTTCAGGAAGTCGATGATGGAAAGCACCAGCTGCTGTTTCCTGTCTGCCATGCGATTGCGCGTCTTATCCTAATGGCACGAAGTACGAGAGGGAACGCCAAACAAGACACAAACAAAAGAGTCGACACAGCGCATCTCCCCCCGCTTATAGTCATCGACAACGACGAGATGTACTTCTGCGGTATATCAGGCGAGGCACCTCAGGACCCGGTCATCTCTGCAAAGTCTGGTCACGTCTACGAGCGACGCCTCATCCTCAAATACATCACCGAAAATGGCACAGAGCCGCTCACAGGTGACAAGCTGGAAGAGTCCGACCTGTTGACCATAAAAGCCAGTGCGTGTCCCCCCTCGCCGTATTCATGGTTCCTACACACTGACACGCCACTTGAACGCAGGTCCAAAAGCTGCAGCACCGCGCCCACCAACCGCGACCTCCATTCCTGCTCTCCTACACACCCTCCAAAACGAATGGGACGCGCTTGTGCTCGAGACTTTTGGCCTCAGGCAACAGTACAATAATACTCGACAGGAACTTAGCTACGCGCTTTATGCACAGGATGCTGCTAACCGCGTAATTGCACGACTCGTTAGAGAACGCGACGCTGCAAGAGAGTACGTCTCGCAACTTTCCCTGTGACAAACGACCGGTCTCCTTACGGGGCATTTTATTGCTTTATAGAGCGCTTTCCAATGTTCAAGCTACCCTTACTGTGACACCCGCCCCTGCAAATGGTGGAGACGTCGATATGGCAGAGGAGGGCGGGGAAGCAGCACCTCAAGAAGGTGTCCTCCCAAAGGAAATCGTCGACGAGATCGACAAGACACAGCAGGCCCTCTCCACCACGCGCAAAAAGCGCAAGGTCCCGGCTGGATACACCTCTGCGGCGGGCGTGAAGACGTTCACAGCAAAACACACTATTGCCTCTCTGCACTCCCCATCCCCTGCCGGTATCAACTCCATCGCCCTCTCTCGGTTTAATCTGGGTCGGTTCGTCACGGGCGGGAACGACAAGATTGTACAACTATATGATAGGGGGACAGATAAAGTTCTCGCTACTCTCAAAGGGCACACGAAACGCGTTAACCAAGTCGCCTTCCGCGAACGCGAAGGAGATCCCACGCTCGTGCTCTCCGCAGGCGCGGACAAGATTGCTAAAATATGGGCGCATGACGAGGCGTCTGGGGAGTACCAGCCTCGCGCAACGATCCGGACGCATAAGAGTGATGTAACAGGCATCGTTGTCCACCCAACCTCGACGTTCGTTATGCTTTCATCCCTCGATAAGACCTACTCCGCGCACAATCTCTCAGACTTTGCCCAAGTGTACCACTCGGCGCCGTCTGAGGATCCTTTCACTGCGCTTGGTGTCCACCCCGATGGAGCGCTGTTAGCTCTCGGAACGCCAACTTCGAAGATCCAGATATGTGACGTCCGTTCGGGAGAGGTTGCAGCTTGCATTACACCACCCGAGGCAACTACCGGCCCATTCACAATCAATACCCTGTCCTTCTCTGAAAACGGGTACCATCTGCTTGCTCCGGACAGTTTGTCCTCCGTTGCGATCTGGGATCTCCGGAAGATGAAAGCGACCCACTCAATTGCACTAGGCGACTCATTTAAAGTTAGCAGAGTCGTATATGACTGGGGCGCGCAGTATCTCGGCGTCGCTGGGAACGAAGGCGTTCGGCTGTATGCTCATAAGACGTGGGAAGAGCTCATTCGATTTGATGATCTGGCTGACGTGACGGATATCGTGTTTGGCGAAGAAGGGAAAGAAATCTGGGCGACTAGCGGGAGGGAAGTAAGAATTTGGGGCGTGCCAGAGTAGGTGTACATACATCTGTCCGTAATTCTTTTCTATCGTCATAAGATTTCTGCCTTGTGCGATGCGTTTGTAGGGTCCAATTACTCGTGACGCATGGCAAGTTCAACGTTCAACAGTGACTTAGAACGAACTAATCGTTCAAGGACATTCAACTGAGTAGGTAGAACGTGTCCCGTTTACTATTAGCTGACCCTGTTGCTGGACTCGTTGATCCGCTCACTAATTGGGCTTCCTGCAGGGCTTTTTGCATGCCTAGCTGGTTAGTGAATGGATAACAGGTATCCTTGCTCAGCAAGATTTTTTGACAATAATCCATAGATGCAAGGCTTTGCATAAGCGGGGCAAGAACGCTTTGGTAGTGGCTGTAAATGGATTGCAAATAACCAGTACATAGTACATTACGATGTGCACGGCTTTCAAAAAAAAAAAAAAATGAATGCGAAGAAGAAGAATAGTAATGCGAAGGTAAGTATGTATCCAACAGTTGATATGAAAGATTGTGAATGCGGTCGGAGCATAAGGGCGCAGGAATGATGAAAAATAATTGATCCACTACAGGCCACCCATTTGTCAAAGAAAAGAGAATCTACAGCTCATAAAAAATACAACACTGATCATCCACTGAGAAAAAAATTCGTTGCATACTCGGCCGGACTGACTCAGGGCGAGATGTGTTGCGATTCCAATTTGTTATGACACTACCACGACGAAGGACCAAACGTCTGGCCCTGGGCAACGGTGCGCATTGGCGTACCAAGGGCATCGGCCGTATTCTGCCATGCGACGTTGCCCCACCAATTGAGCTGGATGCCACCTTTGGGCATCTGCAGTGCGAAGAATATGAAGAGGATGCCGATAGCGACGCCAGCGTCGAGACCAGCAGAGAGGATGTAGTTGTACCGCATCCACCAACGGAAGTGATATCGGCGCATGAACCACTGGAAGATAAAGCCGACGAGGACCCAAGAGGAGTAGTTGATTCCGGTTGCTGGGGGGAACGCCCCAATGCCTGCGAAGAGGACAGGAATGTTGATGTACCGCCAGTACGAGAGGGGGAAGCGACGAGCAAGATAATAGAATGGAATCGGCAGGACAGCACCGATGAAGAAGAACCAGAGCAAAGGACTGTACATAGCACCTGGGCTGAATAGGCGTTGCGGCCCGATACCTCCCCAAATCAAGGAGGACGTGGCGAATACGGTAGTGGATGGGCAGGTAAAATAGTCAGGTTGGTTCGGTTGGCAGATGTCAACAATATTGGTGAACATCCAGTTCTGTACAGAAATGACCACGAGACTGCTGACCAGAGCGGCAATAACTTGGGCAGTGAACATAAGCCGAGGTGGAATCTTCATGTAGTGACCGAGCTTCAAATCACCAGAGAACCCAACTGCTTGGGTGGTTCCAGCGAAGGCAGCAGCCTTGAAGATCATAACAGCGATCGGCTTTCCAGGGAGGAGATAACCGCCAAGAAGTTCGTACATGACGTTTAGCGCGATCTGCTGGTTGGTAATGGCCTGAAGAATGCCAGCGGGGACTGACATCAATGCTGCAAGAAGCAGGGCAACACAGAGGGCCCAAATCGGGAGGTCTGTCGGGAAAACCTCAACGACGATAATAAAGACGAGAAGCATGACGATGCCCAGCGTGGCATACCACCATTGCGGGACCTCTGGGTATGCTTGCATAAGGCGCGAGTGAACATCGCGTTCGTCACGCAGATCACTGCGGAAGCGCCTGACGATATCGCGGCGGTACCACACTGAAAGTAATTCAAGTTAGGAAGCGTCATCCAAATCACCTGAAGACACATACAGAGTGTATGCACGACCACAGATGCGAACGCAGCGAAGGCCACTCCATACGCAATAGCTAGCGTTGATGGCATGAAAGCAGGAGAGTAGGCTGCGTACTTCGATTCGTCAAAGGTGCCATTAGTGACGATTTGGGTGGGATCGTAAGGCATGCCCGTATTGTCAAATGTGACGCTAGCTGACATCGGCAAATATTGCATATACCAGGAGTTCGTAACTGAAAATCTCATCAGGAAAGGCAAATACTATCAACGTGAAGACACCTGCAGTAGACGATCGGTGCAATGATCCAGAAGCAGATCACCTAAACCAACAGCGGTATTTGCCTCAGACCACCACTGCGACAAAGACGTCAGTGTGCCGTCATGCTAAGCTCCAACATCGCAAACGTACCGGCGTAACTAGAGGACTGCCAATATACGAAATCATAGACCAATCGAAGGTGAGAAGTCCCATCCCCAGACCAGTGGAAGTGCCAAACAAGGAGTTGACCGCTACGTTGGTTGGGACAATCCAACATACCCAGTTGAAGACGCTAAGTCCCGTCCAGAGGTAGCCTGGCAAAAAGTACCAAAGGAAGCTACACGCAACAACGATTGCAAAGAATTTTCCTCTGGAGATGTGACGGCGCTCTGGTTTTCCGTACGTTCTGTGTAACGTGTTGAAGAGAGCAGAGTTCACTAGGGCTCCAGGCCAGATCATGCTGCAGGGGTAGACAAGGAATCGTCGGAGGAGACCGCCCAAAGAGAATCCGATAAGTTGGGTGGCTAGCACAAGGAAGTACTGATAAGAGTTGCTGAGTGACTGATTATAGAAGCTGCGCTGTGTAGCGAGGATATCAGTAGCGTACGCGCCATTGACGACAAGATTTGCCATAACAGTGATGACGACGTGTTCCTTGATGTTGAATGGACCAGGATTGAGTGACCAAGTGTAGCCAAGGGTACAGAAGCGGGTGGTTGGCAAAACACGTTCCAAAGCCCTTACCCAGTGGTAAGGCGGTCAACTGAGCCACAATACCAGTGATGATGACGAGAGGGATATCGCATTAGAGAAGAATTGATTTAGTCCAGATATGAGGACTGCGTAGGATAACCCAAGGAACCACATGCGGAAGGTATTCACAGGCATCGTTGGATCATCGACGCTTGATACCTGCAGCCCTGAACTTCGGGGTACGGGGACTCGCTATCGATGCTGTGAGTTAACTGATCAGCTCGGACGGCAGGTCCACTTACTCATCATACTCAAACGAAGACGAAGGTGTGTCTGTCCTGGACGCTGTAGAGTACCTCATGGAGCGGTGTGAATGTGACTCAAGATCGGAAGTCATAGTTGAGTAGGCGTCCGCAGTTTTGTTGTGCTCCAGCTCGTATATCTCGGTGCTGGCGTCCATGCTGGAACGAAAGTCTGCACCGTAGTCAAAATTGGGGTCATTCAAGTGCTCCATGAGGAAATCCACGTCCTCCGGCACATCTGGGATGCCCCGATGGCGGACGGTTGGAAGGACTGCGACATCTGTCGCAGAGGAATACGCTTTCGGCTCCATGACACAACCAGGTCCAGGAGTAGGGTATGGAAATCAGTCGGAGATGGTGTGTATGGGCAAACTGGGCGTTAGGATGGCAGGGGGGAAGGGGGGAAAGCTCTGACCTTCCTGCCATGAAGTTCCGTGGCCTTTTGAGGACGCTCGGTTGGAGATCGCTCGAGTTCAGGTTTTCGTTCCACACCACCAGGACAGGGTGATTCCTGGTATGGTAATGCCGACACTCATGACACGGCACAAGACAATAAGCCCAATTTGATATGAACCAGGCTGGAACAAAAGGCTGGGAGAGCTGCTAGATAGAACTCGGTATCTCGCAACTACTCCCTAAAGGATTAGCACTGACCCCGGCAGGATGAAACCAAGTATGAATGTCCTTTGCGCACCGAAAGTTCCGGCAGATAATGCCTCTCTCAACCGCCAACTAGCTGTAATCAGGTGACAGATAGTAGCAGTACTAGCGCATAGCAAAGCAACTCCTCGGTGCGGCGGATCACCGGGAACGCCTATTGTGTGTCCATGCCGGTTTGAGACATGTACTATTGTCTCGGCAACGTCAATTGGGTTCTGTCCTAAAATCGTAGGACCTTGAAGACAATAACGAGTTTTACTAAGGGTCCGGAGATTTACACGGAATGCCGGCCCTTTCCGTCTGGTCATGAATTAATCACCCACCATTTTATTCTCCATTCAATTTCGTTTCGGAATCATATAAGTTCTCCCCGGGTGATAATACTATTCTCATCACATGTTCATGTTCTTCAAATAAAACGTCACTCCTCAATGGATAATGTATGATATGACGCTGCATCTGTAACATTAAACAAACAAAAATAAAACAGTTGATTGCGCGACTTTTGCAGCACTGTTCCTGCGCAACTTTTTATACTACCCCTGCATAATTTTTAACACAGCCACCTTGTACCACTTTGCACTAGCTAGGAGGGCAGATAAAATAGATAAACGTAGGCAGGACGTGAACGCAGTTCGTCGGCACCCTCCCCAGTCATCCCGCCCAATCCACGAGGCCGTGATGCCCCACAGGGCCCGCTCGAACGCTCGACCCCCTCCCCCGCCCCTCCCGCCTGGTGGCGGGATTGCTCCTTCGGGAAATTCCCACGGCATCGCCACCTGCAAATTCATGTGACCGCACTCCGCGCCACAAGTCATCACTGGCCTAGCGAATTTAGGCCCATTTCTTGGCAAATACCCATTATTACATGGGTTATGTACAGTAGCATCGAAACGAGTCCCGAGGAACGGGCGAGGAGTGCGTGTAGCCCTGACTCACTCGCTCCCCCGTGCACGTGCCCTGCTTTGTCGCAAATTTATTTGGTCCATTGTCACGTGCCCCCATTGTAAGCAGCATGTAATGGACCACTTGCCATTATAATGGTCAGGTTTGGCTAGATTATAGCAAATATGTGATATTTTATCTAAGATATAGTGCAAATGTGTAAAATATTATGTACAAATACCCATTTTTGGCAATCTTTCAATGACACATGGGTGGCATTGGCATGGCTTATAACGGAAGTGTGAACAGCCACCGTTAACATGTATTATAAGGTTCTTATCACGTGCCCAAGAAATTTGCGACATTAGTCAGTAGCTGTGGGCACAGCCACCTGCAAATTTTCTGCGCATTACTGCAAAAGTCGCGCAATCAGCTGTTTTATTTTTGTTTGTTTAATGTTACAGATGCAGCGTCATAATGCAGCGTCATAGGGGAGGCTAACAAGTTGGTAAGCGATAGTATGTCGAATGGTCAGTTTTTTTCCTGACGTTTTGTTGCTCTTCAGCCCTACTAATCCACCCGTATCCTTTACTTAGCTGAAGAGGTTGACCTTCCCGTCGAAGAGAACCTCGAGGACTACGTGAACACTGCCCGGTTCGACCAGGAGTGCTCCACAAAGGCACACTTGCACGCCTCATCCTCGGATGAAAGCAGTGATTCCTCCGACAACGAGAGCATCTGGTCTAGCTCCACCAGCGAACCCACTGCTACCACGGTTGAAAGTGATCCCTACAAACCTTCCAGGATCGAAGCTCATCTCTACTATGCGGGTCTCCGCCCAAAGGGTCGCGGGCCCAAGCTCGTCTATAGAGATTCCTCTGACGTCTATGAGGAATTCTCTGGCCCCGAGGAATACAAGCGACTCATGAGACTGGTTGCCGTTCCAGACGATCCGAGTTCGGGAAGGATGGCTTGTGGGATAGGGTCCGTGATAAAGTGCGTGGCCTCCTCGTAACGCAGCAATTTGCCTAACGTTCGTTCTAAGGTCGTGGAGCTACTCGACGCAAAGAATGTCGAACCCACATGTGTCGACTTTATTCGATTCACCTGGCTCAACAAGAAGAAGGACCGGGAGATCGAGGAGGGCGAGGACGAGGACGAGGACGACAACGACAACGGCGATGAAGAAGATCTCGACTACGACGCCATGGCTCCCATCATGCCTGTCGAAGACGGCGACCGTTACACCACCAACCCTACCATCTGGGTGGGTGTAGCGCCCGGTGCTCTCACCGCTACCGCTGCGTTCGACGTAACCAAAGATATTCGCGCCTTCCTTGACGGTCTCAATGTCACCAAAATCGACATCGCATATCGCGAGACAGTCCCCAAGTCCTCACCCGGTCACGGGTCAGCTCTCTTCCCTACCGTCGAAGACGGCGAGCCTCTCAAGGAGGTCATCGACAATGTCTCCGTCGCGCTCAGTCTTCCTATCTCTGGTCTGAAGACCACGATGCAAGGTACTATGGGACCTTACTTCCACGCCGGCAACAGGCTTTTTGCCGTCACCATCCGTCATAACCTGTTCCGTCCCGAAGCGGGCAACGCGGAATATAGGTACCATGGTACGTTTGCTTTTGACTTGAGCATCTGAGATCTTTCTGATTCTGGCCATTCAGGATCTGGACCCAAGAAGGATGTCGTTCTGATGGGCAACCCTGCCTTCACGAATTACCTGGTCTCCATCCAGGCACATATTGGAACGCTCCTTGAAACCGTCAAATTTATCGAGAGAAAAATCAACACGCTCACAATCAGGGTGCGGGATCGAATCAACCTCCCAGAGTCGCAGACCAGGCTCGACGAGAACGTGGCCGAGCTCGAGAAGGTCCGCACAAAGATTGACGTGTTCAAGGATTTCTACGTGAACATCAAGAAAGGGTGGAGTAAGATCAAGCAGCGTGTCATTGGATACGTCGTCTGGGCGCCCCCTATCGGTGTTGGTGTTACACCTCACCAGTACACGCGCGACCTTTGCGTCGTTGAGTTGTATAAAGATAGGTTCATGCATCTCACCGGAAACGTGCTCAGTCTTGGTGCGGTGCTAGTTCTGTTTCATTAAATGCGCTAATCTGAAATGTACATCTCTTCTAGGTCCCGAGCACACCCCATTCAAGCTCAAGGGGTTACTACATGAACGCGACAATGTCCCGTCCGGTTTCAAGTACCCTGAAGATGGTCTGCTTCGTCTCCAAGGCATACTCACCGCCGAGCAGGTCAGGAACCCTGACACGAAGAACCTCCAAGGCGACCCCGTTCGTCGTGTTCTCAAGCGTGGCTTCACTACCAACACCACCGTCGGCACAGCCACCAGATTTATGTCCTTTGTCCGAAAATACTTCCCCACCGGCAATCTAGAGTCGATCGAGTTGCCCATTACTCCTCACGAAAACGAGACTGGCACGTTCTCCAAGGGAGGTGATTCTGGGTCCACCATCGTCTCCCCCCTCGGCGAGTTTGTTTCCTTGCTCACCGGCGGGACCAACAAAGGCACTGACGGCTCCGATATCACTTACTCTACTATGTTCGAGTGGGTGTGGGAGCTTGTGCTTGCGGAGTTCCCTGATGCAAACTTATACTGGGACGACATTCCGGCCTTCTTGGCCGCAGCGGCGGTCTAGGTTCGTCTCTTTCTTCCATCTCTATCCTATCATACCTACCAGTAACTAACAGCCTTTACGTCAAGGAATGGCAACTCGACCCTCGTCCTCAACTTTTCTGCGACCCCTTTCCTGTCTTCTTACCCCCACGCTCACTACCAGTTTGTGACTCGTTCTGCGGTTTCGGTGCTCGCTTCTATCTATTGGATCGTGATTATTGGTGCAGATAAGATTGCTTTGACCGTTGGGCGGCTGAAAAGGTTCGTCTGCTATCTTTGTCTTGTATTCTTTTGTCCTCATAACTGACGATGTCGATAGCCTGGGCATTGGCCGAGTCGTTCCACATTGCCTTCTTCTACATCCTCTTCACCTCCATAAAGAACTCGGGCTCGCCTCGTTCATTGCGAAAGACACCAACGATTAGGTCCTGCGTTTTATTTTGATGTCAGTCTCGACATGGATATAGGGGCTTGGGAGCAAACTCGCGCTGTAAGGAAAACCTCGACCGCTCCCTTGACGGGCAGTGGATGGTGTTCTTCCAGTACTGACGAACAGTCTTTAAGCATGCCTTCTCGCCGTTATATCTGCCATCAATAGCATGGGCCATCATCCGCATGAATTCTTCGGGCGTTTGGAAGTTATCGAGCTTGGCACCGGGTTCAAGGTCCTGGTAGCTGTTGGTCACGATGAGTACAATGGGTCTGAGGCTATAGGAGACGTTGAGGAGGTAAAGTTGCGCTCTCCGTGTCCCTAGTGCGCGCTTGTAATTGGTTTCGGTCCCGGATGCAATAGGTCTCCGTTCCTGTTTGTTGTTGACGATGCCTTTCTCGTCGGGCGGACTTCGCTCTGCGCCCTTCTTGAGGAACGCCTCAAACGACTTGGCTTTGGGGGGCATGGCTGAGAGCTAAGAGTGGCGAGACTGTAATAGAGATCAAGAGCTGGGCCTAGTCAGATCGGCAAGGACGTGAGTGGGGAGTGTGTAGAGCATCGAACACGAAATAGGACCTCCTTATATAGGGCTAGGAGCATAGCCCCCTCGACTCAAGGATCCCATATCGGCTTTGGACTTGGATAAACGAAGCTCATGGACTAGGCGGTGACGACAAGAATGGTCACGCTTACGCTGTGATATCCCGGACACAGGATCGCGTCGTGGCCATATTTGGAAAGACTCACCTCCAGATAGGCGCTTGTTCATGTACAGACCTTGGACAAAAACGGACACCCAAAGTTCTGCGACCGTCTATAAGAGTATGTACTGTATTTCCATAGGCTCACCAACAATGACGCCGTACAACGAATGGTGTATTGCATCGCCCTCGCACCCCATGGTACGTGTAGCCAATTTAGAGCTATACCAATCAATGCGATCCCTTTCACTTTGATCCAAGTAAAAAATTGACCAGTGTCCATTGTTTTCCAAAGCTCAGTCAAGGCTGCTTGTTGCAGGATGCGCACCTAGTCATCGCGCCTGCCGGTCGGGTATTACTATCCCGCAGCAGAGAATCTGAAGCGTCAACTTCGCCGCTGAAGACAGTGCCATACGATATGCTGATTACCTGCCGGTGAACATATAGCATTCCATCTCGAGTTTTCCCGCTCCAGTTGGGAACCACGAGCACGAAAAAAATCCCTGAACGACAGCTTCCATCGCGTTGGTGCCACAACTTTTCGCAAGACGCACATCTCCCTCTAACACCACCCGAGTTCACCGTTAGTGCAGCTTCCGCTGCACGTTTTAGGACTGCCAGAAGTATCATAGATTCCAAGTTTAGGCACCAAAATCCGCGGAGTTAACCTATGTAGAGCACCTCAACAGCAGCGAGAGCGGAGGAACGGTCTAGCGCCTTGGAAAAGCTATTGACCTGGGCCATACAATGGGAAGGGGCCGTGGGGAAAGGGATTGTTGACATTCAGGGATCAATCGAACCTCGTTCATCAGAAGCCAGAAGTGTATCCGGAGCGGAGAAGATAACCCCTAAAGATTCGTGAAATGTGTCCATTGTTCGCGCGTGGCATCTGCAGTTCCTGTATGCTTGATGAATACTCGGGAATCCAGGTTTTGTATACAAATTGCATCTGCCCATCCCAAAAGTTGCACCATCCGGAGTATGTGTCGGCATTCTCAGATTATAACTAGAACGAAAATCGTCGAGCATTCCGATGCTTTCGTACAACCAGTTATCTGGGCATTTACACTCTTCCTTCTCTCACAGCCCGTGATTAGTAGTGAATCGCTTTACATGCGTCGACACGCAAGAAGTTCACCTTACTTTGTGGCCCTCTCGCACGCTCTCGATCCGGTACATTATGATGGTGAGCAAGTGAACATCTACCACTTCGGAAGTCGGGGTGATGCTACGCGGGACGAACTTGTGGAACACCCATTGTCAATTATGTCGACAATAGGTTACACGACGCACCGTTGCTCTCAAAGTGTCTTGCCGGGAACAAGGAAGCGAGGGAGGACGCTGGTGGACAGTAGGTGGAGGCCTTGGGCTGTACAGTATCATGAAAACTGCTCAGGTCAAGATACGAAACTTCGCAATGATACAAATATTCATTTTGGGAGAGTTGCCGCGAGCTGGTATCACCTCTCGAGCAGAGCACCCTGCTCCACCGACCAGCAGCAGGATACCGTGCTCTCCACCTGAGTACAGACATGACAGTTAGCGGGCGTGTTTGCTGTGTGCACGTAAAACGTACTATGCAATAGGGTCTTTGGATTGTAAGGACATGTGCAATTGCAAAGCAGTTGCAGAGCTGTGTAGAGTGGTGTTTGTTGTCGGCTTTCCAGTGCGGGTACGGACGGGCGCGGTCGCTGTTGGCACGGGTTGAAGTCATATCGCGCTGTACCTGTACCCGTGGGCAACCATAAAAACGCTTGCGTCCAGATTCCCAGAATTTGACGCACGACACCTTCCAGCATGTCCAACAGTGGAGCACTCTACCTGGTGTACTGTGGGGTTGCCGTGTCTGTGCTCATGGCATTCAACGGTGAGGTCATGGACCCCTACATGGTGAGTCCTGCATTTCCACCATTGCTGTATTGAATTACACCCTACAATCACCCCCCCAATCAGGACGAGCCATTCCACATCCCGCAAGTCCTGGCGTACTGCCGAGGAGAGTGGTCTACTTGGGATCCAAAGATCACTACACCACCTGGGCTGTACGTCGACACGCTTGCCGGCGAACGGTGAGGTGAACGCGGTGCGCTGACCATTGACAAAAAATAGATATGTCCTGAGCGTCTTGATACATCGTATCTTCGGGTTTGCTTGCAGTCTATGGACGTTGCGCGCGACTGTAACCCTTACTCTCATCACTCTTCCACTTTTCCTCACCCAGCTTCTCGCGTTCCATCAACGACGCCCTTCTTCTCTGTGCCCTACGACGGAAGCCGTAGTGCTGTCTACTTTCCCCCTCGCTTGGTTTTATGGCTTTCTATATTATACAGACGTCCCGAGCCTCATCTCCGTACTTGCGACCATGTTGTTCTCGACTCGAAGCCAGCATAGTCTAGCTGCAGTGGTACGTGATTACTTGTCAAAGAACCAATCATCTTGCGTGAAGAAACTACGTAGTTTGGCGTGGTTAGCTGCTTCTTTCGCCAGACAAACATCGTTTGGGTTTTGTACGCGTTCTGCGCAAGCCAACTTCCTTGTCTCCACCTAAAACGCGGAAAGAAACCACTGTACGACCCGCCCGCATTAACCGCTTGCCCAGGTAAGAAGCACAGTTCCAAACTTGAGTCCATGAGCGAGGCACTGAACGGAATTGTAGGAGATCTCGTGAGATCGATATTCAGTCTGTTCGGCAAAGTACCGCAACTACTCCCACCGTTCGTGCCTTACATGCTTGTACTGGCCGTTTTCGGTGGTTTCGTGTTCTGGAACGGCGGAGTCGTGTTAGGTGCGTGTATCTGGGGTAGGTGCACAACCGGACCTCCGTTAATCTGCGTGATTCTGTGTTGCAGGTGACAAGGCCAACCACGTTCCAGCGATGCATGTACCCCAGCTGTATTACTTCATTGCTTTTGCGACAATATTAGGATGGCCTGCTGTTGCCCTTGCTCAGGACGGTCCCCGAACGCTGATGTTGGAGGTAGCGGGACGAATGTTCGGGAGCACACGGTTCGTGGAGACCAATTTCTGGGAGACTTGCAAATGTTCCAAGTTCTAAACAGGAGAGTCATTGTAACTGCCTTCCTTGCGGGGATGATGGCAATATCAGTGAACCTTTTCACGTGCGTCCCAAACTTTGGTGTATGGTTATCTCATTATAGAACGGGTGCTGGCAGGATTCATCATCCATTTCTACTTTCCGATAACCGCCACTACACGTTCTACGTGTGGCGCCGGGTATTCATGCGACATCCAATCATGCCATACTTATTCATACCAGGGTATCAAGCATGCGCCTGGGCGTGGTGGCTTCGAGTTGGTGAGAAGTAAGCTTATCATCGGCACATTTGACCCTAAACGTCATAAGCCAGCCCGTAACCGATCGTTGTTGGAAACTCTGGTGTTGCCTCTGGCGATAGTGCCTACCCTATTGCCCACACCACTTTTGGAGCTGCGGTACTTTTTGATACCATACATTTTACTGCGATCGCAGGTGGTGGGTGTTGGTCGTTCTGGACTGGTGGTGGAGGGACTGTGGTATGCAGCGGTCAACCTTGTGACTACGTATGTCTTTCTTTACAAGGAGCGACCGGGCGTAGGTAGATTCATGTGGTGAGGGGACAAACAAGACCACACGCGTTCGGGGCTGCCACTTGCGCGCGAAAAAAACAAACACAAAAAAGGGTGGTGTTCAGGTCCTGACGACCACGCAACGTTCACGAACTTGACAGACTACAGTAGTGCAACCAAACAGTTCCCATCCTGGACACTTCCTCGTTTCTTCTCATTTGATTCTTGTCCTCATGTCTCCGGAAACTACCTCGAAGCCGTCTCGGCCTGCCAAACCAACCACGCGCGCATCGCTGCGGCAATCGTTAAACTTCACTTCAGTAGGCAAGGCCCTAGCGGACGTGATTAACAAAGATCCCCGTGAACGCGAGGAGAAAGCCCCCAAGAAGTCAAAGGAGTCCTCTCGTCGCCTCAGTGCTCTCATGACTACTGGCACAGCGATGCCGAAAGCCACTGCTGCTAACCAGAACTCAAAGTCTCCTAACCCCACATGTATTAAGGGGGGCGAATCCCCCACGAATAAGACTCTCACCCGTAGTAATAGGAGACAGTCTGGTCTGTTTAAAGGCACATCCCCTTCAGACGAACTTGGCATCAAGGTCGCGGATGCTCGTGCGGCGAGTCCTGTCTCCAGACGCTTGTCCACCCTTCGTCCTAGAACAGCGACTGGGAGTGCTACTTCTGCCCTGCCCAAGTATCGGCCAAAGTCGGTGGTCGTCGCGAAGCCCGCTTCTCCAGCTCATGCAGGATCAAGGAGGCGTTTAAGCACCTCTGAAGAAGACGACGCAGAGCGTGGAGAGTCCCCTAAGAGAAAAGGATCTTTACGACTGTCTGATGCAAAGACTAGGAGGCCTGTCAGCCCCCTACCTCACAGGGCGTTGTCGGTGAAGGTCAATTTGCCCAGCCCTACGAGACCTTTAACCCCCCAGAAGAGCAAATCTACCCTCTCCAAAGACAGGCCGAGTGGGTCTCCTGCTCGTAATGACTCCGCACGACCAAAGAAATCCTTGAAGACGGGGTCCCCATCGCCCTCGCGATCGACTTTTGTGCGATCCGCCTCGTCGGCTTCATCCACCAGCTCCTCACGGAGCCAGAATTCTCCGTCGACACCATCATCACTTAAGAATCCATTCGGGTTCAAATGTTCAAAGGCTTCTACCCAAGCTCCGAGCCCGCTACGAAGCGCTGGTCGTCCTATTCCTGAATCACCATTTGCAAGCCACTCCCGACACGGTTCCAGCAGTCTTGGATTAGAGAATACCCCCACAGGCGCTGCCCAGGGCGGGAGTGATGATAGTATGGAAGTCGGCGAGGTCGATCTCCTACTTGCACCTGTTGCGTCACTGGCGGTGCCGACGCCAGCAATTCCGAGGATTCAGTATCACCAAAGTGATTCTCAGCCGCACACTCCATCCCGGCCGCCCAGCCTCCTCCCAACTCGCGCAAATCTTTCATATCTGTCTCCCATTCCCCCAAGTTACGAGAGCTCGCCTGCCTTGCGCCCAAAGGGTGGTAGTCACGACCACCACCATGGTTCTGTTTTCTCATGGGACCATTTAGCTGATCAATCGCAATTGCTGGCACAAGATGAAGTAGAGAGTATGTTGGCCGACGTGACGGCCCCCTTTACTCCCGGAGGGGTTTCACCCAATGTAAGCGCTATGGGCTTAGAAATGCCCGATAGCCCTAGTCTATCTGCTCTACCCTCTCCTGCCGGCTATGGTTCCATATCGCAGGTCCTACTTCCTGATGTTACTCCTTCACCCTCTGTTCATCATCTGACGCAAGTGTTCGAAACTTCGACCGAACTTCACGTACCTACGGATTCTGGAACTGTCGCCCTTCTTCGTCTTCAAGTTGCGCAAGCTGAGAAGACTGCCAGAGAACGTCTCTCACTAGTGCATGAACTAGAGGAGCAGCTCCACAGTCTGAAGCAGTCTCGTTTGAAAGAGACGGAGGAACTAGCGAAGCAAATATCGTTCCTCGAAGAGCAGCTCCACTCGAGCGTCCAAACCAGAGAGCGGATGGATGAAGAGCGTGTGGCGTTTACTGCATCATTGCAGGATGAGTTGAGGCATGCGGAGGTTCGGCGCGAGCAAGCCGCTCAGGAGGCATTCGTCAAAGGACAGGAGGAAACTCGCGCCTCGTTGGATACTTTGCTCGATGCGTTGCATAAGAACTGGGAGCTTTCTTCGGCAGCGAGGGAAGCCAGTTCTCTTTGGTCATTTGTAAGGGGCCAGGCTGAAGAGGAGAAGAGTAATCTTCAAGCGAGTCGCGATATGCTACGCGTTTTCTTGGCTATGCTGGACAGTAGCGAAGACCAGATTCAGGAACTCCTTGCCTGATTCACGTATGTATTTCGTTAATGGCGTCTCCCCAAGTTAGATTGCTCATCGCTCGCCATAGGACATTTATGATATTCATACCAACGTTTGAATTATTGTACTCCATACCCTCAGTGATTACTATGTTCACTTTCACTCCGTTCGTTTGTTCTGTCCACTGTAATGGTTCTACGCAGACAATAACGCACACCTCGCTACGACCGCTGATGTTCACTACTTATGACGATACAAATGCATTGCATTATGGATGGACGGCAAGGATCACAACAGATGCGCAAAGTACAATAACTGGCGTAAGGCCAGGATGCAGATCGAGTAGTAAGATACAGCATGCAATTTCATCTGTGTGCGCTCGCGCTTAACTTGCTCGGGCCATACGCTTAATTCTCGTGCTTTTGTCTGTTTTCAGCTCCATCGCTCCTACCACCTGCTCTACCTGCTCTTGTGTGATGACGGACTTTGAACCTAGTTGTCTTGAAACAACTATCAGCAATATGCGTGCGCTCATCAGGACGCAAGGCATCACCTTTTCTTCTTCTTCACGGCGTCCAGTTCACCCTTGCCGGGTATATAGACGACTCCTGTATCCGTACCTGCTCTCCTGTTCGGTACGATGATAATTGAATCATCAACTTCATGGTCCATGTCGACTGTCTTCGCAGATGTAACAGTAAGAGGCATGTTCTCGTCACTCTCGCCGACTAACATTTTGCTGTCTTCCATGGTTGCACTAGTTTCACCCGATCTTTCGTCGGCCGGTATCGACAGCAAGGTAAACTGTTTTGTTATGCTTCCAATAGATTTTCCAAAATTCGCTTTTCCATCAAGTGGTGAGGAAGGCGGGTCAGAAAAATCTTCCGCCACGCCACAAGAACCCTATTTAAAAATGCTTAGAGCGTACGGACCGAAGCACCAGATAACCCACAACATACGTCTTCATCCAACGAGATCGAACCATCTATCTCGCTTTCTGACACAACAGGTTTCTTCGCCGTACCAAGCAAGCCAGCCTGGTGTAGCATATCGATCTTGGCATCCATCTTCCGTTCGTTTCGTTCCACCTGATTCCGTCAGCGCCGTCAGCAGTTACAACATGCTTAATGTCATTGATCTATACCTCGCTCATTAGTCTCTGCGCGTAAGTTCTCTCGACTTCGCGCATCCTCTCTTCCATCTCTTTCATGACTTCCTCTCTTGTCTCGGCCTCTACAACGGCACAGCGGATCTCTGCTTCGTATAACTGAAGATGTGACCGTTGAAGAGACGTCCGGTGTGCGACATTGGATTTACCTTCAGCCTGAGATTTTCTATTTCGTCGAACAGCGCATCTACTAATGGATTGATGGCTTCGTCATCGGATTCATCCTCCTTTCCGTCCGACTCTTCGTCCTCTTATATTCATACGGCGTATTTGAGCGTGAGATAAATCGCAGACGGGTTGAAACATGCCTTCAAGTATAGTTAACTGGGCTTCGCTGACTTTCTTTCCTGGTCCAATACTGGAGATTGTCACCTTGCGTACAACTCCTCGCGGTATTCTAGAAGGGTTTAGCCCAACATGCAGTCCCAGCTTGTTAGGACTGGATTGCAGTCGGGGCAATGGAGCATTGTTAACGACAGTGGAAACCTCTCTAGCCAACGCAGAGAATTTCATAACATGGGAAATTTCTTCGAATCCCGTGTCGTATGGATTAACATTGACTATCATGACCTGTAATGAGACCTCAGTAACAATTGAGTCAGCAACCGTAAGGCAGTATCATACCACTTTCCCATCCCCTACGAAGTAGTCCATTAAGATTTCTGTGAGTTTGCTGTGTCTGAAGGGTACGATCGCTAAGGCCTTCCTAGGTTCCTGAGCATCATGTCCTGGAATTGCCGAGCCACGAGCCAGGCGCTTTTGGTTTGTACGCATGGCCTAAAGTGACATTAAAATAGAATAAAAACAGCGGGAGAATTTCAGATACCTCCATGCATTGACCAAGTATCATGAGAGATTTATTGATGTTTCCAGCTTCCTTTAGGCGGTCACCACTGGTTTGTGCGTTTTTTGCACGTTCCGAACCGGCGAGATCAACCACAGACAGTCGTGACATTTGCAAGGAGGTAGGATCCTGAACTTCCCTCTATGAAGAGGGATATGCAAGAGTAATTGAGTTGGGGACTCACGTCTCTTTCGGCACGATGTCCTTTGAGTACTCTAATTGTAACAATGCTGTGACTGCGACTGCTCTGGCTATTTGCCAGCGTGCCAAAGACGCGTCGATGGAGCTGGCCAAGTTTGATTAGTGCTTTTGCTTGCAGAGCGTCTGTAACACGGAATTGTTTCAATCCGGATATATATCGCCCGGTGCTCCCACTGTCGATAGTGTCCGTTGTGGGTGACGGCTTCACCGTGAGTGCCTTTCGCTTGAGCAGTAAGGGGTGCACACCCTGTTCTTGGTGATACCCAGTGCCTTCTTCATTCTCGTCTACGGATGCCAGTAGGTCATACACCTTCTCATTGTAGACCTCCACATAGGAAATCCAAATAGAATACTCATAATTGCGATCCACTTTGATCACTGTCGGGTCAGTATTGTCAGTTGGTTTATCTGTAGTTGCCAGATGTTCCTCCAGAACCTGGGCGAGAGCAGGTCCATTGGGAACGTCGAACTCTGTAGGTGGAGCGGACTCCGAAGGGTCGGCTTCTTCGACACCATAGAGGCGCACTGGCCGATACTGCGACATCCTTTATGTGTATACACGAAAGGTGTTTTTTGGGTACTTACTCGACCATCACTATGCAAGCCATCGACGCTATTGAACAGCACATCCAGAGTCCTGGGCAAGATGCCAGCCGACCCAGGTTCACTTCCACCCTGAATCGTGTATGTCTTGCCCGAATTTGTTACACCATATGCGAAGAGAAGCCCATTTTGACCATCCAAAAGATCCCGAATGAGAGGGAGTGTTGTTGTTGCAAAAAAATCTTCTTGTGTCGTCGAGGGAGGGAATACGTGCGAGAATTTGTATACAGAGGAAGGCGCGATGACCGACACCCGACAACCAGATTTTGCGCCACCTTGACGATCGATGCTGGGATCCGACATCCTGACTGATGTGTCTGACAGTGACTCCAGATACGGCATTGCCATCGGTTCGTCATCTCCCAGGTGAGGTCTGATACGAAGATACGCCTGACATACTCGAGTATAAGAAAAAAGTACTGGTGCAAGACCCGAACTGGACATACCACCGTCGACTCGCGTTCCACATACGTTGCCTTTGTCGGCCGAGGGCCACCTCCAGCTCCAATATTTGGTGCAGTAGAATCGTCGTCAGGAGCATTGGCCTTGTTAACAAACGGTTTACGCGATGCGGCTGTCTTTGCTTTCGACGGTCCTGTTTGACTTGCGGTTCTGCCCTTTGCCGTCCTGACCACGGACGGCCCTGTGCTAGGAGCAGGAACAGGTGTCTTAGTGCGCGTTGAGGCACGTGTGGCTGGGCCAGCTGTATTAGATCTTGTCGCCATCACGTTAGGATGTCAATTGGCCTATGGCAATGGAAAATAGTGACCACTACGCCGTGCACCGAGCAACTTCCTTACTGTAAAAGACGCTCAGTTGCAGCAGGCACGGGGTGTGTAATAGCAATAGCAAACTTAGCCTGACATGAAATCTTGAGACGCGACGCGCTGTCAAGCCACGTGATCCTGAAATATAATAATCGGAATTTCGAGGCTACACACAGAAGCGTCATCTGAGGACGAGTTTCCACGAATGATCCCGACGCCAGATCTTTCACATCTTACAGATCAAGATAAACTCCACGTGTATGACCCTGCCGGTACGCGTTTTGCCCATGCTCACCGGACGGGAACATCTCACGTTATTTAGAGGACACATTCTTATTCCTTGACGCGCTCGAACAAGACGCCGAAGATCTCAAAGGTGAAAAGCCGTTGATCTGCCTTGAGATAGGGTACGAGGGACAGTTTCCTCGTCTTCGCTAACATGTGACGTTCCCAAGATAGCTCAGGATCAGGATGTGTCTCTGCATTCATAGGTTCAATCCTGGGATCCACAAATACACGTGAACGGGTTCATGCTCTCGAGAAATGCACTCTCTGAATCGTTCTTCAGTCTATCTCTGCACGGACATAAACAATCGTGCTTCAGACTGTACTCACAGAACTGGTCGCCGTAACAAGGTATTGTTTGCTGAAGTGAAGACCCCTGCCGACCAATTCACGTCCTAGCAATCTAGATCCCACTAGATCCAATCACATGTGATCTAGCTCGACCACTGTTAAAGCGTTTGCAGCGCTCGGTCGATATCATCTTGTTCAACCCGCCCTATGTGCCAACGGAATCAGAAGAAGTATTGTCTGCCCAGTTAGATCGTGGCATTTCTGGTTCATGGGCAGGGGGGACCAATGGCATGGAGGTAACCAGTCGCTTCTTGGAAACCGTCGAGGTGCGAAGCCTTGTGGCATTGAACCAAATATCGTGTTTATTTAGTTGCCAGGCACTACTGTCCGAGCGGGGCAAATTCTATCTCGTCACTCTGGATGGTAATGACGTTCCGGAGATCCGCGAGAGAATGTTTCGTGCATTCCGTCTGCAGTGCCAGGTATGTCTCTAGACATGCAATAATCTTGAGTTGACACTTGCCAGATCGTAGCGCAGCGGCGGGCGGGCATCGAGAACTTACACATCTTGCAGTTTTCACGGGTGAATCGGTAGTGCCTGCTGAATCCAGGCAGCAGCGATCTGGTTGACTTTGCCCTATTTGTTGCGAAGTATGCATACGAAGTGACTGCAACAACAATTTGCTCTTATGAGTTGCAACGGATAAGCTTTCCACTATCTGGGGAATATGGCCAAAGGGCTGGTTCCCTCCTGCTGTTGTTGACTGCGAGAACTGACTTATGTATGTCACGCTACCAGCCCAACTGTGCAATCGCAACCTTCCCATGGCATACCCACCTTCGTGATGCTTACCGTTGATACCAAAATCTGACTGGCATTGATATACTATAAGCTCCATACATCATTAGGATAACAATTCGAGCGTATCGACTCGATCAAGAAAGTAGCATGAATGTAACAGACGGTTAGCACGTGCCAATGCTTCAGCTGTCATCGGTCGCGCCAGGCCGTCGACCTCGAAGGCTGAACCTCGAAGGTGATACCGGTGTTGGGCGTTCCAAAGAAGTGACTGATGGGTCGTGAGCGTGCGCGTTAGCGTCGACATCGAATTCCAAGTGGAGTCGGACTTGTCCTCCTTCTCGTAAATCTGCAGTGAGGTCGGCGACAGAAGACTGGCCCGGTTGGAGGTGTCGCCAGATCTAGGTGCCAGAGGCTGAGTCACGATATTCGCTATACAAAAACCACATACCTCGACCTCTCCTTCCCCGAGTACCTTGTCTTTTCCAAGGGTCTTGTGGTCGTAAACCCACACGTAGAGTTTTTGTGTCGACGAACTGGCGGGAAAAACAAATGTTTCGTTCCTGAAAACCAGTTACTAGGCAGTAACACTTGGGGGCATCGGATACGTACCATTCTGGAGTAGAAGTCTTGCTGTGGCCATGCTTGGTTTTGTGCTCCTTCTCGCCAACCCGAACAAGTGCGTAAGGCTTTGCTTCGTTGGTGTGAAGGCCTTTCGCACTGAGTACCACAACCTTCAACACACCAGGATCTGAAGGTGCGCCACCGGTTGTGTGAAGGGATTCCACTGATCGTGACGCAGCGCCTCCGCTTCCCAGTGACTGGGTCGCTGCCAGAATTTCTGGATGTGAAGGTAGACTATTTTCCTTTTCGTGATCCCGTTTGAATATACTTCCGACACCCTGCAAAACACCTCTCCCCGCTTCTATTGGCAGACTGCCAATATGAGTCATGGCACGACCGGCGACAGAGAACGTTGAAGTGCTCTTGCGTGCCCTAGCGATGATTTCGGGTTGGAATACCATGCGCAAATGAACAGCCCCTTTCTCTCCGTGTTTCTCCGACGAGAGGGTGACGAACCGCTCTGCCGATTCCAAAGGTTCAAGGTCATCAAGACGGATGCGACCAACACCGAGACTCTTATCTTGCTCAAGCTGGTTCCAGTCGAAGACCTCCACTGTGAAGTCGGCGGCAACGCGGGAAGGCTAGAGGGGCTTTTCAGCGACAGGGAGTGAGCAATGTCGTACAGCGAACATACCACATTGATGTTGAAAATTTCGTTCCATTCCGGATGCAGAGTTTTCTTCTTCGTTTGCGACTTACACTCCTTCTGTCCGTTAAGCGTGAAGACAGCGTAGGGGTCAGATTTGCCTACGATGAAACATTAGCGGAACAAGCGCTACAGGGTATCACCACGCACCCGTTCTATCAGCGGATCGAAGATCTTTGGCACCGACTAACTCGACACGAAGCACACCCTGGTCTAATGACAGTGTCAGAGAACATCCATTGGGTCAAATCCATCAAACTAACTGTTGATACTCTCCCTGGGCTCTAGTTTCACGGGGACCGGAACGTAGCGCGTCTCGATAACCACGGTGGAAGTTTTATCTTCGTCGTTGGTGAGGGTGTAGGTGCAACGACGATCCTACAAAAAACAAACATCATAAGCACCTCCCTTAGCTTGTCGCGTAGAACTTACCAAAGTGGCATCCACGAAGGGTTTTGCGTTGCCCTTCCATTCTGCAATGATATCATCTTTGTCACCCTCCGCATTCTCGTTCAGTCTTAGCCAAATACGTCCAAAGTCCAGTTCCTTGATGAATGCTTCGCCAACGTACTGCCATTGCGCACGCGTGCTCCGCGCTTTAATAGTGCTAAATGCCGGCCAATAACCGTCATCCAAAAGTACCTCCAACCGTGCCTTCTTGTGTAGTTGCCCAGATAATATGTGGAAGATGATGATACCAGATTCTGTGGGTAGATCAGTTGAGGCTCGTAACAACAAGTGGCCCAATACACACGATGCTTCAAAAGCTCTTCTTTGCCGAGCTCCACTCCTGATATCTCCTTGTCTTTTGTCTCATCACCATCAGGATCGCCCTCCACCTTACCCGCAACGCCGTTGCCAAAGGCACCTTCACGCTCTTTCCCTTGCACACCATCCATGGGTGGACGGACCGTGACGTCTCGTTTCTCGTTGCCAGAAGAGTCGCCGATATCGCTCACACGATGAGCCACTTGTTGCATTTCATTCTCATCCGCATCAAAGTGCACATTCTTGAGGTTAAGGCAAGGTATGAACTCGGTAACATAGTGGAGACGGCCTTGGAATGTCTGTCCGTTACCACCGTCTAGCTTGAGGGGGTCTTCTGCCTCCTTCTTTCCGGTAGATTCGTAGCGGTACTGAGTGTCTGTCGGGGACTCCCGAGCTAGCTCACTGACATGGAGTTCCACGGAACCAAGTGACCGGTCCTACGGAGAGCCAATTTCGTAAACACCGGTCAAGAGAAAACAATTTGCTCACCTTCGTCAAGTGTTGGTAGTCCATAACTTCCATGAACATGGACTGTAAAGCGCCTCAGCATTTACTACCCGAAGCAGTAACATCAACGCAAACCTCTCTGAGTGAATGAACTGTAGGTGAAAAATCAAACGGTAATCAGCCAACTGCCATCTGGATGGACATACCAGGAATATAGATGATTTGGTCCCAGTTCGGGTTGAGGTCTGCGAATGCTAAATTCCTAAACATTTCTATGTGTGGACAACGGCTTACTGTTGTTGATGACTTCCGTCCTCCCCTTGATGACGTTGTTCACCAGTACTCGTACATAGGGGTCGCTCTGCATGCAATACTATTAGTCCATGGGGACAGCAGCAACACCATGCCGATTTCACCTTGCCACCGAGAGCCGCTTCAACGTTCCTAGACCCGGCGGTCAGCACATCACCTACCACGAGTCAATCTACAATCACTTACTTGACATCCGTCGCTCTCTGCAACCACAATCTGACGACACCAATGGGAGGCACATACTGGTCCACACCACCAAGTACACCAGCCATTTGAAGTGGTTTCCACTGCAAGCTGATACGAATCTTGCCAGATTTGCATGCACTGAGGGGCCACCAGTCACGTCCTTCCGACATACCCACGAGTAGATCCTCCAGCCGAACAGACATGTACCCGATCACTGGATCCTTCAGAATGTCGCGGTCGTCGACTACTTTAAGGGTAATCAAGGAAGACCGTTTATCCATACACAGGAATTCGGTTGGCGATTCCCAAACAGGGTTATTCGTGTGCTTGATGATCTGCGTACGGTGGATGGCGGAAGGGTCCTCGCCTAGATAAACCTTCACGAGTGGAGTGAGGTCGCCAGTAAGGGACTTAGTAGAATCAAGGTCCTTTGCTTGATGTACGGTAAGTCGAACTATGCCAATATCTGCCAAAAAAATAGGTTCAGCAAAAAAAAGATTGTGCCTAATGTCAGTCGAGCTACGAACTCGTGTCTGGAATTTGCTCCTTTCCTTCGATCATCTCCGGTTTCAGGACTGGATAGTATGACAAGTTAAAACGCAACAAGCCACGCTCCTTGCCATCCTTCAGTATAGGTTGTTCAATGCCTTCGATGGTTGCGTCATCCTGTAGTTTTTGCAAATCGAATGTAGCCGACCCAAGACGAGTGTCCTTCCTGTGCTCGTTATAATCCATGACATTCAACACCAGTGGTTCTCGCAAGGTGTTCACCAGGATAAATTTAGTTTCTGCCCACGTTGGATTATATCTATATAGGCAGATTAACTGGGTCGACTTGACGGCGTATGTATGCGTACTCACGTATTACTCCAGTGATTCGTCCTGGAAAGCTCTTGCCGATCATTTATGGTCACACTAACATATGGATCGGGTGATCCACCGCCAATCTTGCTACCCTTGAGTCCTCGAGCAGCTTCGATGGTGATCTGAACAACACCAATTGCCGCATCCAGCGGGACGCCTGACAGTAGTTGCTCCAAATTAAGCGTGAAAACGTTGGGATCGTACATCATCGGCCCGAGGTTGGCATGTACCATCTCGCGAATAAATTCGGATAGCCCAGGGATCTGTGCACGTCAGTAAGTATCAAACAGGTTGCGATAAAACTTACGTGGGCGATATCAAAACCAAACGTATCACCTCCTACGGGTTTCAAGACATAGTCAAGGGTGGGTTTCTCCAGGAAAGTGATGTCAACAATTTGAATATGGGGAAAGTTCGAGACCAGCTTAAGTTTGACTCGTATAAGGCCCGCGAAAGTTATGTCCTCTATAAGAATCGGCATCGCTGCACTCGCCAATCCCCTGCCTACTCTCACTGACAAGACAATCTTTGGATTGACCTTCTTCATTGCCTCGCGAGGGGTCATATCGGAAATGTCGTTTGGCATAAAGGAGATGCTCCAGTCCATCATCACGATATCATCATCAGTGTTGGGAAATGTGCGAACTTTGACAATACGGGGCGCCTTGGTACCGAGAGTGAAGGTACTGAGACGAAGAGAGTCCAAGAAGGCAGGAGTACTAATGCTGAGGATCTGATCCACGGTAGCCACGAGCGATTTAGAGAGTACCGGTTCATATATGAGCCAAAAGCGATCGAGGAAATTGTTCAGCCAGTCGGCACTTTCGTGTTCTGAGGCCAGACGAGTCTTGACCAGTTCGCGCTGGATATCATCTCGCGCGCAGCGCCTGACACGAGCCATCGACGTTGTGTAGTAAGTGCAGCAGACTGCGAGAAGGATAAATAGCCATCCCCATCCGAAGTTGAAACGCGTGAAGAAATGAGATGCACACACAGCCTGCGGAAAGTGAGCCGGATTAAAGTTGACAAGTCTCAACAGACGCACGAAAACGATGATACCAGCGTTATGGTACCAATCACCGTAGAATTGTTCAGGCAAGAAGCGTTCGAGGACCGCCTTATCCGTCGTTTGTTCGTCTTCAGACCGAGGAACGTCGACGTTTGCCACAGAACGCCATCCAACTTTATACCATTCCGGTATCTCTGGGGCTGGCCCGGACGGATAAGCGCCTATGTCAGAAGGTGAAGCAGGGACTGGAGCGGCTTTGTCCTGCTTCTCCAGCTTCTCTTCAGCTGGTCTGTCTGCATCTTCCACAGTAATGGTCGGCACGACTCCCTTCGTTCCAGTATCAATAGGCATTTCTGAACGCAACCGAACTGTTAAAGGCGGTCGAAATTGCCAGAGGTCGCTCGAACTACGTACCTTTGCATGCAGGGACGTCGCTGCCTGAACTCGTATAAGGCTTGAGCTTATCTTGGCTCTTGGCCACGTCAGAGGCTTTCTTCTCTGGAGGAGCATCTGGGTCAAATACGTGGACGGCAGCGCCCCTGGATGCAGCTTCGTCGACAATTCCGAGCACCTGCGCGTGTGCGTCCTCCTGGATCTGTTGCTGGCGGGCCTGCACGCTCTCTGGCGGCGCGTTTGTCGCCATCTCCAGAAACGACGGTGAGGAAGGAAACTAAACGGTTTTATAAGAAAGAGGAAGGTGCCAGTCGAACTACAGAAGACGAGAAGCGAACTACTGCCAACGGGTCAGGTAGAATGCAGCGTGCCCTTCTCACTTCTGCCTAGAGACGTCACCCTGATGTCACTGCTGCCTTTTAAAGCAGCTACCACCCCGACAGATACTAAAACAGTACACTCCTCCGGCCGGCCTAATACCTGCCTTCCACTTGGATCGTGCCTGATATAGAAAGGCCGAACTGTAACAGACAGGCTGTCAAACGGACCGTCAGCCCACAGTATATGAGGGTATACACCTGGATGATTTGATGGTGCGACAGAGTCTGGCTTGACATCACTTTCCAACTACCTGTAAGTAGTTCTATCCTGTAAATGTCCCAGAAAGTGCCAAGGTGCGCGTGCGACGGAGGTGCCGCTTTGAAAAGAAAGAATATTAACTTGGACAGTTGAAGTTCTTGTTCAAGTTTGATGACGATATGGTGGCAAGGCCGGAATGCGGAAGTGACCTTCTAACACAAGCAAGGAAGCATCCTGCAGAAACTAGTGGTCTCACAACCTTCCGGCGGCCCTCTCTGCCTCCACATGCGCAACAACCTCGTTCCAGTCTTGTACACGTTTCACGCGGACCTTGGGCGAGTTAACCTTCCTCAGCTCTTCCTCGCAATGGATAACGTCGCGCTCAAGAAACCGGTTGTCACCTTCCACCTCAATGCGCTTGGCGTACACCATGTCATCCTGCTCCTCCGAGTGCTGAGATAACCGCTTGTTCCACTCGTACGAACCGAAAAGCAGGACATGGGGTGGTGCAACCCCACCGCCAGATTCGGCCGTGTGCCGCATGCATGCCATGGCGTTCTCGACGGAATCATCGATGAGCAGCTTTGCGCCGATGTCCATGCATACCTGGGCCTTGCTGAGTCTGGTGGCCACCGCATGTCCGTTGTTTGCAACGAAATGCTTGTAAGTACCATCTGAGACGGCTTTCTGAGCATTTGCAAACTGCCCAGTGCATATGATGCATTCAAAGAGGTCCCCGAAGTGGCGATTGACCCACTTCCAGCTGGCATGCTCGACTTCCTTGTTCCGCGCCGTTACAATGATGAGACGATAGCCCATTCGACGCAGTGCTTCCACACCCTCCTTTGCCCCCGATACGAGTGGTACGTGCTCGATCCAACCTGTTTGATAGAATTCGCGAACTTTACCATGGGTAACACTGGGTGATCCCCAGAATGGGTTCTGCTCATGCCTTGCGTTACGAGATTACCTGAAGAAGAGACGCACTTACTTTCCAGTAATAGTAATAGTAGAAATTAGAAAGGTTTATTTCGTCTGGTGTGCCGTAGTTGTCATTGTGCCCTGTTCGTGTGGTTATGCTGGCAAATACAATAGCTGAATCACAAGGACTCACTTACACTTGGAAATTGCGGAATTCGTCTGGCATAGTACATCATCTAAATCCACGGCGAGAACGGGACCTCCAGCAACTAGAGAACTGAGATTAGTAGTGATTGACACTGTGTTAGCATCGCTTGGGGCATCCTCAGGTCTTGTAGGCTCTCGAGGAGACATCTAGAAATAAGGGTGTTCTCGTGCAAGGCGCCGAACACGATAGGAATCCGATTTTATACGCCCGCGGCCAGTAAGGATAGCGATGGGGTATTCTGTGACTACCGAGTTCTAGGTGGATGGCAGGCTCGGACAGTGGGTTGAGCATTACATAAGCTTATATGGCCACAAGGAATCACATGTGCACGGCTGGATGCTGACACCGTCCTTGTATGGGGATCCCCGCCAGCTCCGGCCTGGCTTTAACTTTGAGACTGGACACCTTTCCCCAATCACGATGGCTATCCTCTCCAAATGCCGTCCTTCAAGAGAGCGTATCGCCGGGCTTACACGTGCCTACTCAGCTCACAGACCCCTCATTCAGCGGGGCCTCATGACCGGCTTTGTGCTTCATGTCCTGCTGGCTGCCTATCGAGGGGTTGCGGCTCGTCCCAGTCCACGGCGGAGGGGTGGAGCGAAACTATCGGACGGTAAAGCCACCCGTGTGGCGGTGGGTACCCAACGAACGATCACGGGGAACACTTCAATAGCGATTTACAGGTTGATGCGGCGTTCTACCAGCGACTCAGAGTCATCCTACGGATCGTCATCCCAGGCATACGCACGAAGGAGGCGCTCTTACTTTGCATGCACTCAACCTTGTTGGTGTTTCGAACCGCGATCTCTCTATATGTAGCGGCACTGGACGGAAAGTGAGTGGCTCGGTGAACATAGTGCAACTGACGAACAAGATCAATGCATATACAATAGGATTGTTGCGTCAGTTGGTTCGCGGACAATCTTTCCAATTTTTGCTGAATATCATCCGCTGGTTACTTGTTGCTGTACCTGCCACCTGGACAAATAGTTGGCTTAGTTATGTCCAGAATAAATTGACAATCGCATACCGGACGCGTTTGACGAATGAAGTTCTCAAGCAGTATTTTGGGGAGGAAGCTGAAGGGCCAGAGGGGAAGTGTTATTACAAGCTTTGTAAGTGAGCGAACGCGGAGGCGTGTATCCCGCTCACAGTCATTCAGCAAGTCTGGATGACCGTATAAAAGTACCCGACCAGTTAGGTCCCGTACACTTTTTGTTTTTGCTTTCGTTGTTGACGCGCTTTCTTTAGGATGATCACTTATGATATCCAGCGGTTTTCCGCACACCTTGCAGCTATCTATGCGAATCTCGCGAAACCCACTCTCGATGTTATTCTCTATAATTACCAACTTGCACAGAATGTAGGTGCGGAAGGGTTGGTTATTCTGACAGTTTTAATTCAAACATCTTCCGCTTTACGTACGTTCATATCTCTCTTTTTTTTCTCCCAGTGATGCCAACGTTTATTTCTTGAATAGTCCGGGTGTTATCCCCGTCCTTCGGTACTTATACTGCCCAGTCTGCAGCACTTGCAGGCAATTTGCGGCACGGTCACTCTCGTTTAGTGGAATTCGCAGAAGAGATCGCATTCTTCGGCGGGCAGGAAACAGAGAGGGAGTTGCTTGAGAGAGAGTATATCACACTGGCAAGACACGAGGAAGAGGTTATGAATAAAAGGTGGTGGTATGCTTGTGCGGAAGAGGGGATTATCAAGTGGTTGTGGGGAAGCTTCGGAGTTAGTGGTCTTTCTTACTATGTCGGGGCCTCCACCAACATGAACTATCTTCTAGCTGGTCATATGCGCAATTCCGGTATTCTTCAAATTTCCAGGCGCAGCACACGTTGATCTAGGGAGGTCGAACCGAAGGTTTCTTCGTGTTCTTTCATACGCGACCTCGTCTTATTCAGCCTGTATTCAGGTTTTGTTACCAACCGGAGATTGCTGTTGTCATCATCAGGTACGTCGATGCATATCCTTGTGTTGTTGCGGTGATTGATGCGTAAGTAGATGCTGTCGGCCGTGTGATGTACTCATACAAGGATCTCGCTGAATTGGCTGGGTACACGTCTCGTGTTTTTCTCATTTTGGACGCCTTATCCGATGTGCGGGCAGGCAAATTTGAGAAGGCGCTAACAAACGGCGCAACGACGGGAGAGAACGGTGCAAGTAAGTCACGCAGTCGATTTGGCAGTCAATTCCTGCTCAGCCTTATTGCCTTTAGTCCTACGTGGTCGTGGCCAAGTTTTCCTGTCGGAGGATATCCAATTCGAGAATGTTCCGATCGTCACTCCGAATGGTGATGTACTTTTGCAGAGTTTGACTTTCAGTGTCAAACCGGGGGTAGGCATGCGCTTTCTCGTAGGTGCTCATCGGTTGAAATGACACATTACAGGAAAATTTGCTCATCGTTGGACCAAACGGTAGATTAAGATATATCCTTGATTGCAATTTGAATAATGATTTCGTCGAGGCTCTGGGAAATCTTCACTGTTCCGAATTCTTGGAGGTCTCTGGCCAGTTTACGGTACGCATCTAGTCAGAACCTCTGAAGCAGAATACATAAGCATTTTCCAGGCGGCGTTGTGCGGAAACCCCCAGCCTCCGATTTCTTACTGATCCCGCAGCGGCCGTATCTTTCTTTGGGCACCTTTCGAGACCAAGTCATCTACCCCCATTCCGAAGAACAAATGAGAGAGCGTACGTATGTCCAGATCCACCGCCCTTACGGTCCTGATACACTTTGTAGGTGGGGTATCGGATACCGATCTACTTGCTGTGCTGGCTGTGGTGCAAATGGATGGCATGGTGGAGCGTGAGGGCTGGGACGTGACACGAGAATGGAGAGAGACTTTGAGCGGTGGTGACCAACAGAAGCTTGCTTGGGCCAGACTCTTTTATCACAGACCTAAGGTAAAGTTTGGACCTGCACCTGAGGACCCTGTCTCATGTTTTGCAGTATGCTATCCTTGACGAGGCGACATCACTTGTCCCTCCGGATGTGGAAGGAAGAATGATGGAGCATGCTACTGCTTTGGGCATAACGCTTCTGACAGTCTCTCACCGGTCTTCGCTGTGGAAGTATCATTCGCATATCCTACAGTACGATGGTCAGGGTGGATATATATTGTGCGTCGACTCGTTTCTAACCGCAATGCTGGGGACTGACCACTATGGTAGCACGAAGCTCGATGTGGAGAAACATTTGGCACTGCAAGAAGAGAAGCTCGACCTGGAAGCAAAACTCATGGAAGTGTAGGTATTTTTGACTCCGGGGGAATGAGTTATGGTTAATTCCCGCTGCTAGACCGAAGATGAAGGTGCGCCTGGCTGAGCTCAGGCTGCTCGTGGATGCGCAAGGGGGGAATATGCCGTAGTTCTGAAGTTGGTACAGGTTTGGAATAGAAGGAAATCGTGGCCGACACGAGGCCGTGAAATATACTGTACACTACACACAATGTAAAGACAGATAGCTCATACAGTCGCGAAAACATGCTCGGTTAGAAAGACGGCACCAGAAACATGGTGGGGAAGAGGAAGTAGAAGAATGGACGAAGCTTGACGGCAATTGCAGAGTCGTAATCACGTGGTCACAGGCTGGCCGAAAAGCTCCGTCCTGCCCCGTCCTGTCGGATCGGAAGTTGACAGCCTCACTGGGTGTCTGTGCTCCGCAAATTTTCAGCTAGGGAGTCCCACCCTTTCTCCGCTCCAGCAATCCTCCCCTGTGATGCACTTCTTCTCTCAGACATTCAAGTACGAGTACGTGTAAACTTTTGCAGTGATAGGTCGCATATTCACGCTCAGGGCTTTGTTCAGTCATCCATGGTCCCATGTCATTATTGGGATGTGGCACAAATATCCAAACCCGCACTGCACTCATGTTGTCACGATCGATGTCGTTGATCGCTCTGTAGACCCTGAAACTGGCATAGTGCGGACGGAACGGGTGCTTGGTTGCAAACAAAAAACACCAGCATGGATCGTCAAGGTAGATTCGCACTCTCGTCCTTCAGATGCCGCTCGTCTGACCACATCTCGCTCAGCTCTTTGGGGGATCAGAAGATGCTTTCGTTCGAGAAGTATCTTACATCGACCCCACAGCGCAGACCGCAACCATTACTTCGGTTAACTTGTCTCTCTCGCAATTTGCAACATGTCTGGAGCGGATAGAGTATATGCCGACGTCACCACGCCAGACTTCCTTCTCACAAACAGCGGAAATACAGGCAAGGGTGGCAATGTGGCGAAGTATGGCCGACAGAATGGAGAGCTGGTTAGTGCAGCGGTTCGAACAAAATGCCAGACTCGGCAAGGCTGGGTTTTCAGATGTGCTGAGAGCAATGTGGGAGGCAAAACAACACGAGGTAGCATCATAGATTTCTTATTTCCACCCATATTCGCCCCTCCTCACCTTATAGATTCTCTCCGAAGACTACCGTCGGACCTATTACAATATTGGATGCTCATATTATTCCCGGATATCGGGTCATTATACATCTCTGGATATATAAAAGCGGCGCGGTGATACATGGAATTGTGAAGACTACTGCTACACTTCTTGCTCATAAGCATCCTCCCATCCTAGGGTCGGCACTTCATCACCTTTCTCGCTGTCTTCGTCGCCAAGGTGTTCTGCGTCGGTATCGGGTGAGGGGTAACGAGTCCGTGGTTTCTGGATACCAACACCATCGTCCCCTTCTTCCACTACAACCGCGCCGTCATCGGTCTTATCGTCTATAGAATACAAATCGTCGTTTTTGTTCAGGGCCGGGTTGGAGCTGCTTCCATCAACGAACAAGTCTTTGAGGGCATCGTAGTTAATCCTTTTGCTGTATTTTGGATTTTTCTTTATGAGATTGCGGACGGACTCAGCAGCAGTGCTGCCTGACGGTGTTGATTCATCTCGAGGTTTCATGGTTGTTTTCCGTCTCTGACCAATAGAAAGTCGTCATGCGAATACTGATTAAAAATATGGCGGCGAGAGGAAACGAACCTTGCGACTTTTGGGTTGCACTACGCCATTCCGCGATTGTTCCTCCTTCGCTATTGAAGGCCTCAACACAAATGTACTTCGTAACTAACTATAATCGTACCTGCAAGAGCTTCCAAATAATCTCGGTTGATTTCCACCCAGACGCGCTCTTTAATTTTCACCTCCTCTTCAGACAAAATGAATTGGGAAAGCTCTTCTTCGTCCAATCCTTTCAGTTCGTCAACTTCTGCGAATTGAGTTTGTCGTCGTTCTTCTGCCTCGTCCAAAGCTTGACTGAGCAAGAGACTTTGTTGGCTTTGAAGGAAAGTCGCGACTTGCTCTGCCAGCGCTCTATCGACAGTCTCATCAATGGCCGCGGCCTCAGATTGCAACGTTTCAGAGCCCTGTAACCCCTCGATGACGCCCGGGCGGAGCATAGGGTCAATATGAGCGTAAACGGACTCTTCTTCCTCCGGGTAGAAAAGCGGGGGAGCTGAAGAAGTGCTAGCAAGTATGCCCTGACTGAAAAGTGCAGGATCGATGACCGGTAGCAGGTGCGCTCCAGATGTACCTGTCTGATTAATCTCGGTATCGTCGCCCTTGGTGTCATCCTCTGCCCTCTTCCGTTTCCCAGTCCGTTTCGATTCCGGTACTTGCTTCCTGGTCCCATTCACCGCTTGCTCTTGCTCCCTCTCCTCCCGCTCCCTTCCTTTCGTGAAAGCAGGTGGATCCATCTCTTCGTCCAGCCATACCGTCCTAAAATCGGCCAATGTAAGCATGCCGCTGGGCGTCTTTTTGAATTCTTCGAGTCGTTTCTTGAGGGTTGTATCTGCAATCTTCACTACTTGGACAATTTCTTCGATGGATCGCCTGAAGTTGTTCATCCGAGCAGCAAGGAGGAGGGCGGCACCACATATCCCAGCGGGTCTTCTACCTTTGGTAACCCAGTCTCGATCGAAGCGCTGCACCAAACGCACAGCATCCGTCGCAACTTTGTGTGTCTCATCACCGAATTCCAACAAGGCAGCAAAACGAGAGATGTAGTGCGACGGGTCTACTAAAGGTAACTTTAGGTTAAGGGTTTGCACTAGTTGGAGGTAGATGTGACCAAGGTCAAAGACATTGACCTAAGACAAAGAATCAGCATGCAACTCAAAGGTAAGGTACACAACGACTTCACCTGAAGAAGGTCCGAGAAATCGATGAGCATGTAATTGCGGGTTTCTTTCTGTCTGCATGCAACATAGAGACAGACTGCGGCAACGTGAGTACTCCGCCGACCTTTGGTGAACTTGTGTTCTACAGCTAGTGTATAAAGACGTGTTGCGGCAAGAGCGACAATTTCTGAGAGGCGGAGGGCTGCAGCAAAACTTTGTATCCTTCTGCTTGCTTCACAAATGTTTATTTCACTTGTGTGTCGAATATCATCATAAGCGTACCATTTGCAATAGTTTGTTCCCGAGATTCACTGCTACCCCTGTTTCCAAACGGACCGCTCAGTCGTGCACGCGCTACATTTAATCAGGAAAAGGCATAATTTTGGGGAGGACTCGTACTTACTAGCCCCCTGTCCGACATATGCACCTTGAACCATAGCCGCTCCCGTGGATGTCTCACCAAATGTAACCTCCGACACTATGGTGTTTTCCTCCACGACAGTACCACACTGCACGCAGAAGCCATTTCCCGCAGCGGCGTCATATTCAATTACTGTTCCTCCACAATCAGTACAAGTGGTCTGAATGAATTGAATGTTGAGAAAATGCAAGTAAGCAACAAAAAATAAAAAGCTACCATGGTTGAAGCAGATTACTACAAGTGGGACAGACAAGTCGGCCGTTAATAAGTCGTATGGAATATCTTCCGATGATTGCGCGCAGTCGATGACAAGAACGTTGTAAGATCGCAATCTTGGAACATACTAGTAGTAATAGGTTCAAGTCGGTGATCGAGTCAGACCACCTCAGTAATCTGTGGCGGTTGTCACGTCACAAAGTCACATGATCGATCCCGAAGTTGACCTGGCACTTACATAGAACTTGAATTGATAGTGTCCAATGTCGTGAAGTGTGGTACTTCGAGATGCCGCTATTCGCCCAAACTCAAACCGCGTTGACAGCATGGCACAGCTATGTTGGATGACAGCGACAACTACAGGCAAAGCAACTAAACAGCGAAGAATACAAGTGACTGGAGTTACTCGGGGGTAAGAACGCTCGACGATGACAACGTTGGAGAAGGCAACCGTATAGTTTCAACCTCCTTTTCCCCAATGATGGCTGCTTGCCTCGCCACCAATGCCGACTCAAAATTTTGCTCCGGAGGTGTTTCCATAGGGGGACTCCCTGACAACTGAGATTCGCCATAATCAAGAAAAGATTCGCCAAATTGGAGCATCCAGGGATGGTCCAGAAGCTCAACCGCCGTCGGCCTCGCCATCGCATCGAGAATGAGGCATTGCTTGATAAAGTCAATCCCCAGGTCACTCAGTTGTCCGGGTTCCGGAAGAGGTGGGTGTTGTCTTGCAACACCAATATGGAACATGATGGCCCTGGGACCATTTAGTATCGTGGTAGGGCGAATGGCATGATGCCAACATACCATTCGTTGTCAAGATTATTCCATGGCTTCTTCCCTGTCGCAAATTCAAGCACTACGCAGCCAAGCGACCATATATCCATAGCACCATGCCTTCCCCGTTTATCGTTCTTGATAACCTCCGGCGACATATACATTGGCGTTCCCGTTAGACTGTTAAATCCTAGATTACCGCCAAGGGCGCCTGCCTTCACATTCCCCGCGTCCCCGCGCCGTGAACGCTGTAAAGTGCGATTCTTAGCGAGAATCTTGGATGCTCCGAAGTCAGCATATTTGATCACGCCTCGATGGTCCAACAGAATGTCTACCGGATTGTCAGACAAAACTTTCGTTGATAGTCCAAACTGAATGCACGCACTGTCGGGCTTAATATCACGATGCACAATCCCCTTCGAATGCAAATACGCCAAACCTTCGAGCATCTGCATGGTATACAATTGTATGATGCACTCGTCCTCAATGCGGCCATGTTCCAAGAGAGCCGCTAGGCTACCACCCTGACAATACTCTTCGAATATGTACACCTTATCCCGGTGGACTTCAATGCCATAATATTCCACAACATTAGGATGGTGGAGCACCTCCATGATGCTGAGTTCGTCTCGTATCTGGGAGTACAAGTTCGGTAGTCCAGTGAGTTCCTGAAACTTAATTTCCTTAACAGCCATGAGCGAGCCTGAGTCGAGGTTGACAGCCAGATAGACTGAACCAAAAGCACCAGCACCAATAAATCTCCGTTGCTGCCAACGGATCGATATATTCGAGCTGGATGATGCAAGGAAAAGAAGGGAGCGGTCCTCCAGTTTTTCGTCGTCGAGTACGCGACCGGCGATCCGGTTGTCGCAGTTTCTCTTCGCTCGTTCGTCCTCCAACGCAGAAAGGGCTCTAGAGATCCTGTCCCAATAAAGACGCACACCTGTATCTGTATACGCGTGTCCGTTTACGCCCAAGAGGTGGTCATCACTGATCGGCGATTGAGATCGAAGAGTGTGGTCCGCTCCATCAAGCGACGGGAGTCGTCTGCGACGTAGCTCCTCTTGTCTCTGCTTCTCCTCGCGTACTTTTGAACGAGCACCCAAGACGTCGAAGTGGTGCATGAACAATTCCATACACCGAGCAACTTTCCGCTGAAGCATCCTGAATTGATCGTGGGGCATTTGGAATATGTTGCGGCGAGTCTGACGGAGAGTAAACTCGAGAGCATGTATGGCCCATCTAAAAGTTTTGCGATCGGATACGTCGCAATCATCGCAAACGAACGACACCCAAGAGATGGCGAGACGGATCAGGGAGCGATTAAACTTGCTTAAAACTGTACGTTCCATGTACTCTTGTGCGTGTTGCCCGTGTTCTGAGGCGAACGAGTACCAGTTCTCTAGCAATTCCTGATACTCGGCAGTGGTACGCAACGAGTTGCGGACATGATGCACTGAATCGACGATAGATTCAGCCAGCTTGTTCGTGGCCCGAGCAATCTTGCGGAGTTCTCGATTGACAGCAGGGATATGTGCTTGTTGCTCAAATATGCAGTGGAGGGGAGGCAGTGCGTATTCAGCTGATTCGTCGTCGTCGTCATCGACGGGAAGGAAGATGTCGGCAAACTGCTCCTTTGCTATAGCAAGTCGCCTCTGCGTTCCGTCCGCAACTAATCGCACGCGGTTATCCTTCATGTCAAATTCGATTTTGGGAAGATCCAGGACAAGCACCAGGCCATGCCACATGAAGGCGTCCCGCGGAGACAGCAGCAGAAGATACTCCGCTTCTTCATCCTCATCGCTTTCGGCATACTCCGGATCACCCGCATTCATACCTACGTCTGCGCCCTCATTCACATGAAAAGACTCCAATAACATGCGGCGTATGGCATCCGCACGATCGCGTAGCGCGCTCGATGCAATGATGTACGTTCCTTCTTCCTCGTACGTTCTGGTGTAAACCAGAAAATGATCAGAAGCTATCAGAGCCATTATAAATTGCTCCAATGGAACGCCTTCGAGGCTGTATTCCGCGGAATTGCTAAACTTTTGGGAATGAGCCCTACGGAAGTGTATATGTCAGCAAAATCCCGAGGGATGACGAAGAGAAAGCACCTAGCAAAGCGTTGTAGTTTGCGGTACCTCAACCTCACATTGTCGAGGATTTTCCCGTACCAGGCTACCTTCTGCTCATCGCTCATCTGTGCATTACTGATGACATCTGCTTGGAGCATTGCAGCCTGTGATTTCCGCGAGTGACTTTGAGACATAGGAAGGCGGACTTGGGTATCGAAGTAATTTGCTACCCGAACCATCAGCCGATTGGTCAGTGAACTATACAGAAATGATCAAAACAATCCTACAGGAAATGAAAATACTGACCAAACTTGCTCTGCCACGAGAGATGAACCACCTGCGACCGTCATGCTCACATCATTGAACGTTGCCCACTGCGACTCTATGACATCGGTTTCTTTGAAGTAAATACCCTTGACACCACTCTTCAGTTTCCAATGGATCAGTCTGAAAAAGATTGTTAAAGCCTCGAGGATCGTCGTGTCGTAATCGTCACTTATACAGCGTGGCAAATTCCACTTTCCTGGATCTGGCGCGAGAAAAGCTTCGTATTGCCGCTTGAGAGTACAAGCGAGTCCCAGGCTGATTTTCATGTCTTCTGCCACTTGATCAATAATAATGACCTCAGGATCCTTGAGCTTTTGAACATAGCCTAACCGAACGCGGAGACATGCTTGGGCGAGTTTCGTTGGGAATGAGATGAGGGGTACCAGCTCACTCTCGAACGTAGGCAGGTTCATCTCAGCAAACAGTGGGGACAATCTGACCTGCTCCTGGCGAGCCGCAGTGATAAAGGCATGGACGGTAGTGAGGAAGCCCTTCTCGAATGTCTTTTGCAGGGAATCCTCCTTCAAGACTCTCTCCACGAATGTCGTCTCGACAGCGAGGCCACCCGGATATACGCAGGGGGGGCTAGATGATTGTGTGTCCGTCGCTATGGATGGATTTGCCACATCAAGCGATTCGCTCCCTGTCCAGCGCTGTAGAAGAGTAATATGACGTCGCAAGGACATAACGACGTGGGACCATGTGTAAAGAGTTTCGCATCGTGCCTGGAATTTGGGGTCAGCAGCAGCAGTTTTATCCGAGTAGAAGGATTTAAAGGTAGGGTAGAGACTCTGGGCTGCGTCAAGACGAAGGAGCAAAGCGTTGACTCGCTTGAGCGCCAAGCTTGGTTCCCGTTCCTCATCCTCTAGCCTGAAATTAATGATCTCCTCCAACACCGGATCTACCGTGCGCATTCTCCTCTCTTCCAAATACTTTCGCTCATCGGCTTCCGAGCGGCCGTTGAACTTCGCCCGCAAACCTAGCCATATGCTGAGGTGCAGGCTGTTCTGTTGCTCCTTCGACGGGTCCAGCGCACCTGCTATACGGGTTTTCTCAGATTTAAGCACGTGCCCACGGAGAACGGATGCAAGGCAGTATCGCCAGTCCAAGCGCATCCGCTCTTGTGCATTCCGGGGTTCCTCCGGCTCGGACTCTTGGGTATATGTAGAGTAACCGCCTCCGCCTGTCATGAGCCCCGGACGCCCGATGTCCTCATCGTCGCTATCCCCTGCATCCACCAGTTGACCCAGGCCTCTGTAGAAGTAGTTGCTATCCGGGTCGTTGCGTGGGTCACCGTCCAGCCCAGGCTCAGATCTGTAACGTTTCACGAACTGGGAGTAGACATCTGAGTACCTCGGTGCGTTAGATGGGGAGTTGTAGCTATATGAAGAGACAGAAGTAGAGGAAGCGAATCCCGGGGCATTTTTCTGTCTTATCTTGCCTCTGCTTCGCAGAGAGTTGGGAGTGCTGGACGAATGCATGTTTGGGGGTGAGGAGTGTGCTCTTGCTGAGATTGGCTTGTCCCATTGAACATCTTCACCATCGTTCGAGTCCTGTTCCTCAAGGGCGAACAAGGACGGAGTGTGTGAAAGCCCTCTTCGCATCAGGCCTTATGCTGAGGTTGCAAGTCAGAACCCGGTTGCTGCAGGTGCCAGAGCCCGTTTGCCCTGCTCGCCTCTCTCCCACGTGACCATGCGATCAGTTGCCAAGTACTGTTGATCAATCTACTGGTGCTACCAAGGTTTGGCGTGAACTCCCGACTTGCTATTTAAGCGGACGTCAGGCAAGATGGGCATCGTGGAGAAGGTAATGACTCTTAGTTCTCAGCCTTTTGCTCTAACCTCTCCTGATTGTTGCTTAGATCAAAGAGATCGAGGGTGAGTAACACGTTTGGCGGCGTTGTTTCCTCGTTTGATTAGTGACAGAGGAGATGGCTCGAAGTAAGTATCGTTATATCCTTGAAGCTGATCCTGTGGTTTGACAGCTCCTAAGCCCAAAAGAACAAGGTACTCGGGCTTTGCTCCCATGAGAGAGGCAAGGACCATTCTAATGTCATGCCATACAAGTAGGCTACGGAGTACCATCTCGGCCTGCTCAAAGCAAAACTAGCCCGATATCGGGCCCAGTTGCTAGAGCCAACGTCGAAGTCTGGTTCGTCCGGTACAGGATTTGACGTGCAAAAAGCTGGGGATGCTCGGGTAGCACTGATCGGATTTCCCTCTGTCGGAAAGGTGACACTCCCAGTCGACAGCGAGTCTCTTCTGTTCTGAACTTGCTCGTCAGTCAACCCTTCTGAGCAAATGCACGAATACAATGTCAGAGGCTGCAGCTTATGAGTTCACAACGCTTACGGTAGGCCACTGGCGCATTTGCAGATAATTATACTTTCCAGCCTAAACGGACCAGGCCATTCCAGGCGTCATGGAATACCAAGGGGCGCGAATCCAACTTCTTGATCTTCCAGGTATAGTGGAAGGTGCCAGCCAGGGCCGTGGCCGTGGTCGACAAGTGGTGGCAAGTTCGTGCCGTGCTGCCTAGCGACAGCTACCCTTTCTCACTTACCCTCCTGCAGCCGCCAAGACGGCGGATCTTATATTAATCATGCTCGATGCAACAAAATCTGAGGAGCAGCGTCGTCTTCTGGAAATCGAGCTGGATGCAGTTGGCATTCGGTTGAACAAACGAAAACCTGACGTAGTATTCAAGCGTCGCACTACAGGAGGCGTGAGTAATCTTCTGCTTCTGCATGCTAGGTAACAGACTGAGTCAGATCTTTCCAGATCACGGTATGATACTTTAATATACACAAATTGTCTCAGGTGTGACTCGATTGTCATTCCAGCTCACGACGACCGTCAAATTGACGAAGACGGATGAGAAAACCATACGGACCATTCTGGCAAGCTGTACGGGGTTCCTCTCACACGAATATAGATGACTTAGTCAGAAACAGACAAGTTACACAACTGCGACGTGATGATTCGAGAAGATGTGAGGTTGCTTAGAATTTACTATCACATATTCACATGCGCGCCTCCAGATTACTACAGACGAATTTATCGATGTGTTGATAGGTAAGTTCAGTTCGCCTCTCCTCGAGGTCGCTATCGTCTGATTTCCCCGCAGGCACGCGCAAATACATCCCTTGTCTATGTTTGTTTCCAGATTCGCTTTGGTTGTTATCATTGACTCCGGCTCCGTAGATGTGTACAACAAGATAGACGCAATCAGTCTAGAAATGGTGCGCATCGACCCCGCTCTACTGTTATTATCGAAACTTTGACAATTTGGCACAGGTGGACAAACTGGCTCGCAGCGAAAACTCGGTAGTGATCAGCTGTGAGATGGCCCTGAAGTAAGCATGTCTGACTGTCGAAGGACTGGATTCACGTATGAAGTTTAGCTTGGACTACCTTGTCGAACAAGTATGGGAGAGCCTCGGACTAGTCAAGGTCTACACAAAAAAACGAGGGGAACGCCCTGATTTATCTGACCCAGTGTGTCTTCGAAAGGGTGCAACGATAGAGGTATGCCCTACATCTGCTCAGTACACTCAGGGTATTCTGGAATGAATATCAACCCGTGTCCCAGGACGTTTGCCTTGGTATTCATAAATCGCTAGCCACCAACTTTCGATATGCTCTCGTTTGGTGAGATAAGATACCTTCGCATGCGCTGTCGACACTGACACTGTCTTTGACTTAAGGGTAAGGAATATACAAGTTCGACAGGTGATATTACTCAACTCATTCCTTTAGGGTCGGTCCTCCAAGTTCTCCCCGCACGCGCAGAAGGTCAGTTTAAATCATCAAGTTCAAGATGAAGATGTTGTTTCGAGTAAGTTCCTTTGCCCAGTGATTTCCGTCCCTCTCTAAGTCACTCCCCAGTATTCACCAAGTAGATGCTGCAAGAGGTGTGGTTGGTTATTAGCGACACAAAGATCGTTGCCCAGGTGGTTGTTTGACCTCACCGTTACCAAGCTCAGTTGCCCAGTGACTTCGTCACTATCACCAAATGTTTTGCGAGTCACTACAATTCCACAAACCTTATTTAGTATAGTCGGCTGAACCAGTCCCAATCGATGAGTTGTATTTCGAACCACCCTACAGCAACTCCACAGCGTAAATCTGCGTTGTTGTAGATACATCATGAATATGGCGCGCCCAAGCAAAGCTGGCCGTTACGGTTTTCTTTCCCGCACCCTGGAACTCGAGGCATCAGAATAATGTACAGTAGCTGTCTGTCCAATGTCTGTCAATGGGGTACGTGGCACGCGACCCCTCCATATCGAATTACCTTACTCCGATAACTCCACTGCACTCATTTTATCGATCGCCCACCACCGTGCGTGTTTGATTGTTGCGAGGTTTGCAGGCGAAGAGGCTTGGATCCTTCCTCAGCTACGATGAGTTCAACGTCCTCAGTTTCGTCGATCGACAGGACGCCTCCATCAGATATCGAGCTTATATTTCTGGGAACAGGAAGCTCGTCATCTGTACCTCATCTTGACTGCTTAACGGCGCCTTCAGATAGAAAACCTTGCAAGACGTGTCTCTCCACTCTGACCCAAGAGGGGAAAAAAAACATTCGCCGGAATACCTCTGTTGTGGTTCGCTTTACTGGCAAAGATCAGAAGAAAGTGTAAGCTCGGCGTTCACAGAGCCACCTTTTTTTAATCAAGCTGATCCCCACAGGACAGTCGTCATTGATGTAGGCAAGACCTTCCAAGCAGCAGCTATGGAATGGTTCCCGAAGTACGGCCTTCGGGAGATTGATGCCGTACTTATAACTCACGCTCACGCAGACGGTAAGTAGAACGTTGTCCATTACGCGACGGGGGCTGAGCATATATTACCAGCCATGAATGGACTAGATGATTTGCGAGGTGATAGGGACCGCGATTCTTTGATGGCTTCCTGAACAGGATTAACAGGATGGACACTTGGGGCCGCTATTCAACAACACATCGATGTGTATGTCTCCGGTAACACTTTCCGCGAAGTAGAGAGGGCTTTCCCCTATCTGGTTTCAAAAGAATTTGCTTCGGGAGGTGGTGATGTGCGTGGAGTGCCGTGTCAGATAATAAAAATTACCTAAGCAATTGAGCAGGTTCCAGAATTTAAATGGCACATTATAGAAGATAAAGTGCGTTTCGAAATCAAGGATACTGGGGTTTGGATCACCCCGTTTCTAGGTGAGAGTCAGCGAGTTCTTCTTTATGAGGGTAGGTCAACTTCATCCCATGCAGTGCAACATGGTAGACTATTCACCAGCCCGGCGACATTTGCCGCACCTTCCCCATGTACGACTCAGCCCACAACTCCAATCGTTTCAGGACGATCCTCGCCGAGAGTGGGCGAAACTTCGCTGCCGAAGGTCCAACCCTTTTGGTGTTTCGGCTTCGTAATTCAGAATGCAATTGTCTACATGTCCGACGTGTCACGTATACCACAAGATGCATGGGAACTCATTGAATCTGGGCAGAGGAAATCGGTGTTGGTGATTGATTGTCTGAGACTCCGTCCACACACGTCGCACATGGGGATTCGGGACGCGGCTGCAGCGATTAAAAGACTGGCTGCGGAGAGAAGCTATCTGATAGGTTTTAGCCATGATCTCCACCACGAGGAGTGGGTGACCGTCACCGAGGCTGCTGGGAATGATGCAATCGGCTTGTCAGGCAAGAGCCGGCCGGTCCGTGAGGGAGTTGCAATGATCTTGGAGGAGAAGGTAAGCGGATGTTGGGTACGACCAACTCATGATGGACTCAGAGTGTTGGTGTCGAGCGATGGATCCATACGAGACGAGACGTATGATTAGACCGCCATACCTTCCTACTTTCCACTTTCCCAATTAATAAGTTGTCATTAGTAAACAAGTACGTGACGTCGGCTGCACGTGACGCTGTAACAGAACTTCTCTTCATACCTGCGTTCCGTACTTTCGACGCCCCCGAAGTCACCCTGTCTATATTAAAGGTGAAGTAGGTTGCTGTGAGCTTCTCCGGAGAACAGGGGTCGTTGGCCATGAAGTTCTTTAGCCAATCCTTCTTGTACGAGTACGTGTCTTCTTTCAGTGCAGCCCCGGACGTATGATGCTCAGCTACAACACTTTTTTTTCCTCAGCGATCCCTGGTCAATCGTTTCTCTTGCCTTTTTCCTGCGCTATCCAAATCCATATGCTGCACACGTAGTTTCCTGCGATGTTGTCGACCGCCAACACACCAGCTCCGGAACCTTGTTGACCACAAGGCTTATACTAAAGCGAGGCGCTCTTCCGAGATGGGCCCCGAAGGGCATCATTTCGAGAGCAGAATCATGGGTCATCGAAGAGAGCGAGATCGACCCCTACGGTAAAGTTGTCAAGTGTCAGACGAAAAATCTCGATCATGTCAAGGTAATGCAAATCGTCGAGACACAACTGTTTGAGCAAGCAGCAAACGGGTATGCTACTCCTATGTATTCACGACCTAGCACCACTGAGCATTACACGGCAGAACACTGCAAACTACGGAAGCGTACATAACATCGAAGTTCGGCTGGGGTTTAACGAGGAGAATCGAAAATCATGGTCTTTCTCGGTTTAAGGCGCATGTCCAAAGAGTAAGGCTGTTCTTAGCTCGGCTTTATCATGACCATCTAATGTGTTTACTATAGTCCCGGCAAGGAGTGTCGCTGATGCTGGATCTTATCCGACAAGCACGCCTTCAACCAATGACACTAGGTTCATATACTTCCCAGCTTCACTCGGACCGGACTTCTTTTGCCCCAAATGCACCAATTTCGTCTCTTGACGTCAACGAGGACACATGTCGGGAAGACCACTCGTCACCCCCACAAAGCGGCAGGTGGTATGGCAGGTTCTGGGGCAGTAGGTAATAGTGCGCGCTCTCCTGAGAGAGGAGTGCTACATTTTTTGGGTTCCTGTGACTAGCTAGGTTTCGTACGCACCAGCATTATTGCTTGTTCCATCACATGTCAGTTGTACCAGTGATTCAATAAACAATGTCACCACTCTTTGGGTTTCATTGCTAGCGGTCATGAGCATACCATATCCATGAGAAGTCTGTGACAGGTGAGGACAGGTGCATATGACTCTTAGATTGTCAAGCCCGTGCTTTGCATTCAAGTATTGCCATCATTTAGCCGTCGAGATCAAGCGGAGACCATGTACTTCCCCACGTCAGCTGCAAGACAACTATGCACAGTCCCTACCGTCCCCGACGCAAAAGCAGAAGCCCTCTTATGCATCGAACCAAGTCCTCGAAAATCGCTATTTTGTGCCCTCACAAGAAACGAGCTGACAGTCTGGCGTGTTCGGGTGTGTGTTCCCTTATCAAAGCGGTGTCCTCGGGTTGACATTTAACTGTATGCAAGCCTTCCGCCCCTCTGGCGTATTTAGCGAGGTCAGAAACGTCCCTCAGCGAGCACGGCGAGAACGTCGCCGTGTCATGGTCCCCAGACGGGAGTCGCATAGTCATTCAGGTGAGCTAACTACTTCCACGGTGATTTCTACCAATACCACTTGTAGACTACCCGCCCATACCTGGTACTGGTCACTGTCGAGTATGTTCCAGAGATCTCCGCGTATCATGCCCCGGAGATTGCGCAAGGTGCTCAGCGCAAGTTCTTAGCTGGCCCCGGGGAGGCACAAGCACTTCAGTCATTGAGTCTTGCGTTTGAAGGAGTCATACGCACGGAGGGTAATGTCATTAGGTGCGGTATGCCATAGCTCACATACAAAGAAACCTGACCCAGACATTTATAGCGTTCTTCCATGTAAGCACTACATGTTATTTTCGACCGCTTCTCCCCCTGCCGTACAACGCATCCCTTGGCCTGCATATGATGACAGCGACAGTGGTGGCCTCCTTGTGAAGCAGTCGTTCGTAGGGTGCAATACATGGGTACTCAATGACGAAGAACTGCCGTGGTTAGTAGATCCCGATGGTGCGCCATTTATTCGCCACGAGTATATCCACATAGGCCACATCTCCCCGTTTTAGTTACGGTTACGGAGATCCAGCAGCCAGCGGCAGGGGTGGAAACATGGATCACTTCAGATGGACGGGTATACTTTGTTCGTTTACAAGAGAGTAGAAATTCGGACAGTGGTAGTGACGAGGGAGATGCAGCAGGTTTTGGTGAGGCCAGCTCCCTTCAGGAAGGTCACCGCAGCTCCACACCCGAACTCCAGCAACACTGGCAGGGTACTTGTGTCCACCACTACGAAGTCCCACGATGGGTCCAAAAGTCACGGCGGGTTGAAAGGGACAGCTCCGTGCGTCCAGCGTACGTGGAACCCCGACGTGCAACAAAAGTGGCTGTGAACGCCAGATTTTCCCTGATTGCAGTAGGAACTCTTGGGTGACTATTTTTTCGGCTTGTAACGAGAGAAAATCTTACACAAATCGCTAGTGGGAATGTTGAGTTCACCACTTTCCCCATCTCAGGATTTCCCCCGCAACCTGAAATTGTTGAAGTCCCTAATCTTTTAAACCGACCACGGGGGGAAGTCCTGACGTTGGAGTGGAGTTCGGATGGTTATGTCCTCGCTGTTGGTTGGCACCATGGCTGGGCGATCCTAAGCATAGGGGGGCGCTGTCTGGCATCCAATTTCGGTGTCGACGGTAACCTCGATAAAGGGAGGTAAGTCGTGCGAAGCTGGCTGGTGTCGAACACATGGAAATGATGAATGGTTAGATTACAGGATATGTTCATGCACGGCATACGGGATCTTGTAGGTCCATTTTGCCTGTGTTTGTGGGAAATATCTGACGAATACTCAGTTTTGGGGGCCTGGAAATTTCGAACTGGTTGTGCTTCCTAACTCTCGCCCGACTAGTCAGTTGCACTTTCCATCTATTAATTCTAATAGAGGACTACAATCGTGACCGCCAGAAACGGATGGCCAAATATTTATCCTCCCTTTCGCCAAAAGCGCAACGACATCCCAACTCTCGCCAGTTAGTCGTTTGCTCTAAGGTCCGGTATGCGGCTCATTTCTCTCAGGACAACACGCGATACGCGTTTCTCCAGTTGGACGACCGTGCACTCGTGTACCGTGGAGCTGACCAACCAGACATGAGTGTAATCAATCCGGAGTCTGATGTCTGGCAACATATCAAGGTAAGTCAGTATGAGCGCTCGATTTTCCACGCTGACTCTGGAATTGTCAGGTTCCTCAGCCGTACTTGGCCTCGAATTGGCCTATCAAGTACTCTGCACTAAGTAATGATGGTCGATTGGTCGCGGTTGCCGGTCGTCGTGGTTTAATCCATTACAGTGCAACCTCCGGTCGATGGAAAGCTTTTGCCGATTTCAGTCAAGAGCAATCCTTTACTGTGAAGGGTGGACTGTTATGGTTTCATCACGTCTTAATCGTTGCTGTTGAGATGGCTAAGTCATATCAGGTATGCGCGTTTTCTCTCTTTGGGACGAAGTTAAGTTATGCCTCGTAGATACGCTTGTATTCGCGCGACCTTGAGCTGAGCGACCAGAACGTGCTTTACCGCGAAATAATTGTGTCGCCAGTAGTTATCCTCTCCTTGGTGGATAACTCGTTGTTGGTTTATACTGCAGACAACATGCTCAGCCACTATTTGATCATTCCCACTTCTGACGCGATCCAGCTACATTACTGTGGTAACATCACCTTCAATGGGGTCATTGCTGCACCCTCTTCTGTTAGAGTGTTGAGCTGGATGATTCCAAGCGCACAGAAACGTGGGGTATCATGTCTTATTGATGCTTCGTCTGACTGGTATCCTTGCAGAGTTCGGTGATCCTGCGGATGATCTTGCAGTAGCTACTGTTCTTTTGATGGTTGGCGGCCAACTTGTGCTGCTCCGGCCGAGGAAGGCATGTTTTCAAAAATCAATATCCCGAGTCTATTGATGATATCCTTGAGCAGGGGGAAAATCAGGAGGTGAAGTATGACATGCAAATTTTTGCGGATCGGATCGAGTTTTGTTGGATACATTTGCGGGGCATTGGGGCTCTCGAGAATTCGCTATGGGGCTACGATGGGCGAGGTATGCGTGTATGGCTCAACGCCCTTACCATGGAGTCGCCTTCATCGGCTCCTCACCGTATCAAAGAAAGTGTTAATATTCCGCTCGATTTTTACCCATTATGTACGTACTCTGGTCATGACTTCTTTCCTCACGCTGATGCGATCCTTAGCCGTACTCATGGACAAGGGGATTATCATAGGCGCTGAATCCGAGTTAATTGCACGAAACAACCTTCCATTCGTGATATTCAGACAAGCAACTAGTGTAAGATGTTTCAACACTCTATGAAACTTACTAATAAATGCTTTCAGTCTCATCTGTTCCTTCATCATATTTTGCGGGTTCATCTGGAGTCAGGCCAGGTGCGAGAAGCCGTCCAACTTGCGACACAATATCAGAATCTTGTCTATTTTGCACATGCACTTGAGATCCTTCTTCATATTATAGTGGAATCCGAGGAACCAGGAGATTCGCCCGGTACATCATTGCCTGCCGTGATAGAATTTCTAGATCACTTCGATGTTGCATTGGATGTCGTTGTTGGTTGTGCGCGGAAAACGGAGGTCACAAGGTGGAGGCGACTCTTCAATGTTGTTGGGAGTCCTCAGAAACTCTTTGAGGTTTGTAATATTGGTATATTTGCAACGTTCTTATGCAACCGGCTACGTCCAGATATGCCTTGCGACCGGTCGACTGAAGACTGCAGGTTCCTACCTGCTGATTTTGCATAACCTTGAACAACTTGACGAAAATAACGAAGATGTCATCCTGCTTCTACGCAACGCTCTGGATGCTCAAAACTGGCAGTTATGTAGAGAGCTTTTGCGATTTCTGCGCTCTGTTGATGATTCCGGAGTCGCCCTTAGACATGCATTGGCAGAGACTGGTCTATCAGCAGAGAAACTCCGTCCATAGCATGATGTATAACAGCTTCATCGCGATGCGAGTGGCTAAGGTAGTCTACATAGTCCTAGTCACCATCCACTCTCTTTCGGTTGTAATTGTAGCATTGTGTCGTGGCGGAAACTAATACCCAGCCTCTACTGAGGCCAAGACACTAGACAAATGCTAACGCTAGAGCGCTAAAGCTCGGGCTCAAGTTCTACCAAATAATTGAATTGCACGACACCTGCTGTGACCTCTGTACTAAAACTCGCTCCTGATGGCAGTTAACCCTAACCAGGTTATGCCAAGATGGAGATCGGCGATGATATCTCTTACCTCTTACCTGTAAACTACAGACATCAAATACCAAGATGCCTGGTGTCGTGTCAATCTCTTATCCTACGTTAGTGTCGTCACCGCTTTCGTTGCGAACTTCCATAGGCGAGTCTGTATCGACTTCTGATGGTAGGGTCGCAATACCTAACTCCCCATTAACGTTCAGAACAAGCATTCGGGTCTCATCCCCAGGCACTCGGCATTATTCTCGTTAAGGATCTACCAAGTGTCTACAAGTCTTACAGAGAGACGCTATTGAAGTTTAGTTACAAATACGCTCATTTACCAGAGGATATCAAAGAGCGTTATACCGATCCAGACAGCAGTTACAGGTGTGAATTCAAGGTACTGCTGAGACACTTGCCTGACAGTGGTTTGCGGATAGCTTTGGGTGGTCGCATGGAAAGGTTAGCCTTTTTGATGATGTTGGAAGGGTACTTACAGATGTGACAACGCAGGAAATTATGAACGGAAAGCCAGGTGGGTTCTGCGAAGGCCTAGTCGCACGCATTTCTTCGAGTAGTTATCTAGACACTCTAAAAGGGTCTTATTATGCTAACCCCATCGTCGACGTCCCCAATGTATCGCCAGCAATAAGAGAACAACATCGGGAGTATTACCGAGAAAACATCTGTAAGCGGTTTCGCTCTGCAACAACAGATACTAACCTAAGGCAGGGCCGGACGCCAATGAGAAAGGTGTCGAGGGGTTCGAAAGTGCATTTAAAGACCTCGGAAGGTAGGATCGACTGTAATTGGCTGCGTACATGGTTTTGTCATCGTCGATTCCCCCAGGTTCGTCTTCCAGGTGGGATGTGAGCTGGCTGCGGCCTGCGAGCCTTTTGGTCAGTCGACCAAACCGGCGTCTGCGTGATGGGTATTTCTTACCGGAGTACCCTTAGTTTCAAAGCACTTGGGCGACACGTCATTTTCTCTAGCAGAACTTATTGCTCGTTCGCAAACCACCAAGGCACGGCTCCTACATTACTTTCCCCCTAACCCAGCAGATGTGAAAGAAGTGGATGACGAACCCATCGATAGCTGGTGCGGCTTTCATCTTGACAATTCGCTTCTGACTGGGCTGTGTGCAGTAAGTCGGTCATTGATGGAGCTAACTGTAGATTGAACGTGCGTTTAGGCCGTGTTCTTGCGAGAGGAAGATGACGGACAGCCGAGCGTGGTTCCCTCCCCTTCCCCAGAATCCGGCCTATATATTCGAACTAGGGGAGGTGAGTTAACCAAGGTTTCGATACCAGACGACTGTCTGGCCTTTCAGACCGGCGAAGCCCTTGAACTAGTCACTGGTGGAAGGCTGCGGGCGACCCCACACTGCGTTCGTGTTGGGGGAAGTTGTGAGAGGATATCAAGGGAGACTTTTGCTTTGTTCATGCAACCCGACACACACCAGAAGGTGTCTGCTACTGAGACTTTTGGACAATTCACAAAAAGAATACTAGAAAAGCACTACGGGAAAAACTCTACGTGATTTGACAGCTGACGAATATCAATACCATCCCACGAAATTCGTTTATACTATAATACAGACAATCGACGGACGTGTTACATCCCTTACGGATGACGAGACGATGTAGAATTGGAGCGTCGATGATCTGAGGACGCAAGGGCACCAGGAAGAACGGACATCACCGCTGCTGCTAGACTGTGCCGTTTTAGCGACGTGGGGTCACTCCGTCGAGAGCCAAACGACGATCGACTTTCATCTGGGTCTGAAACCATGCTCCAGTCTTCACTTCCACGCTGAGAGCCACCTGAGTCGTATCTCGATCGAGACCCAGCGCCCTCAGGCGTAGGAGACTCTTCAGCTTCTTCAACGGCGTTTGGTGGCCGCTTGATTAAGGAACGCGCATAGTCGAGATCGCGGTAGATGGCCTCAATAGCAGTCGCAACCCCATTTTCCTGCAACAGTATGTGAACATCCGAGTTCCGGAATAGCCACACACTTACCGAGCGAATTTGTTCCCCAACGAGCTTTGCTCGGTCAATTTGCTTCTGGTCCGTTGTAGCAACCACAAGGGCATCCTTTAGATTTTCGACGGTAAGCTTACGAACGCTGGCTCCAATCCCCAACGCTTCAACACGGTCAGCCCAGAAAAACTGATCTCCAAAGAATGGCTTGATGATAGTCGGTATTCCGGCTATAAAGGTAGTTCACAACGGGGGAATAATTCGAGAAGACACGGACGAACCACGAAGACTAGCCCCAGTTGTGCCAGCACCACCATGATGGCACGCAGCGTCGATGCGTCGGAACAGCCAGTCGTGAGGTATAGATGAGATGGCGTATATCTGCTTTGGAAGTGGTTCTTCCGGTTCACAAGCTTCCGATGTCTTGGTATGTAGCCTGTCCGACCATCCTTTGGAAAGAATGGCATAAACACCACTCTCGACAATGGCCTCGATGATACAGCGGGTCATCCCTCTCGGATCAGATACCACGATACTTCCGAAGCCGATATATACCACTTTCTTCCCAGCTTGGTGGGCGTCATCAATGAAAGAGATAAGATCCTGAGGGGGCGTCCACTTCTTAGCCCCTACCTCAGCATCATCCAGGAACCAATAACCTGCCCTGTCCGTTAACACACGGAACATTCGCAGAACCAGCCGGCTTGCCTGTGACACGAATCCATTCCGGCCAGTCAAGGGGCTGAGGCACAATCGTCGGACTAAAGTTGTACAAGAAAGGAATCTTGTGGGGTTCCATGCGATCAAGACTCGTATTCTCCAGGTGCAGTAAATTGCGACGCCAACGGTTAATTTGACCGGAGATTGCACGCCAGAACACTTGATCAAACATCACATAAGACTGACAGAGTAAGTTAGGGATGTGTGCTTGGAAAAATCTCCGCATACCATGTAGTTATAGCCACCGCCCATCTGACCATTTTTCAGCGCCGTTAATCCTGATGCATTGAAACTCGACTGCGTACCTTGTGGTCAGGAACAGCGAAGGCATGAGGGTAGGCTCTGCGTCAAGGATATGACACTGCATTCCTCCTGACAGTAAGAAAACACGAACCTTGTCCGCGTCCACGTCATAGTGAAAGCTCGGAAATATGGGATCCTCAAAGCTTCTGCGATGTGATAACCCCCCATTGCGCTTGGGCTCTCAACGAGAACATCAGTGCCTTGACAGGCTTCCCAGGACGTTTTGAGTAAGTCATCCAACCATCCACGAAACTATCACCACCTAAGTGCTACGTTGGGTGTACAGAGGGAGAAAGTACCTTTAGAAGTCCTTCCTTCAAAAAGGAAACGGTAAAAGTGCCATTTTCCACACAGATCCGCATGAGCTCTGCGGGGTCTCCACCAACATAACCAAATTCAATGCCGTGCTTTGAAAGGTAAGACCACGACAAAGAGAATGTAGTATAATTGTCTCACAGACTCAATCCACGCTTGAAACTCTCCGTGAGTAGCAATTCTACAGCGATGACCGTCTGCTATCAGGCCCTTCGCAAGGGCGATATAGGGCTGGACATCTCCTCTTGTGCCAACAGTAAGGAAGGTGAAATGCAACGACTCCTTGGGCTTGAATGTCAAGAACGTAGACGAGGCGGACGTAAACATGACGGCAGGCAAGGATTCTGACAAGGCCTCTGATGGAGGAGCAGGATCAGTATCGCTAGACGCTGAGTTCCGGGGTTCGAACTCTTCCAAGATCAGAGCATCGCGCTGGCCTTGGCTCAGTTTCGGGATCTCACCGCCACTGGGACGTTTCCTCAGGTCCTCCATTTGACGCTCTAGGATAGAAACGAAGGCGGTCCGTCGGTCCTCAACGCCAAATTCGAAAAACAATTCTTCGTGGCCTTTGATAACAACGGTAAGGCCGTAGTGGCCAAACCTAGTAGCCCTCGACTTCTCCACATTCAGGATATCTCGAATGGGTAATATCATCTATACACGATGTCAGTATCATTGGGAAGAGACGGTACACATGGACCTTGCCTTTGTTTTCGGAGTTAGTGGTCCACTGGATTTAAAACAAAAGTAATTTGACGACACATATAAACGCCCGTAAAGAGGTAGAACTCGAAATAGGTAACCTGAAAAGTCTTGAATCAAATTTAGCGGTCACCGTAACCCCTGCATAAAAAGCACGTACGACCAAGTAAAACCTCCCTGTCATCAAAGGCAAATGCAGCTCTGAATTTCTCGGTTGTCTCCGGGTCGACTACAGCTTCAGCTGTCTCCAATACACTGTATCCGAGCTCAGCAGCTGTACCAAGGGGTTGATCGGAGGACGACCGCCGAGGTGCTGAATAAACCTCCCGCACACTTCCAAGACTTTGGGACGATGTAGGCGTTGGACCGATTCCAGTGGTAGAAACAGAGCTGCCCGCGGCCTTACGGGCGCTTCGCAGCCAAGAAGGCACGCTCATATTCCAAGGAACACCCGATGGCAGGATCCTGATGGGAGATGAAGTATTAGATTCAATCGAAGGTGTCGTCGGTGGGTATGTGTGGTCTCGGACGAGTGCTGGAGTACTCGAGGGTATTGCAGGCGTGGAATTATACGTTGTGGGCGAAGCTAATTCATTAGCAGAGTAAGACTGAGGTGACGCTGTGATTGGGACGAATGTGCCGCGTTTGGATATGTGCGTGTACTCCTCAGCGCCGTTTGGCGGTTCGGGTGAACTGGACATACGAGCAATCGGAAGAGGAAGGGAATCTTGAAACGGTCGAAAGAGTAACGATAGTCGAGACGGAACAGCACCTTTAGCATCGGACGTAGGCAAGCTGCGAGCGCGATCGATTCCGGGAGCTACACCTGTGGATGGCTTGACGGTTGTGTCTAATACAGACTGGGGAGACGTGGGGGCCAGTGCACGGTGGGCGCGCACAGCATCGCGAATGTGGTCCAAAGCAGCTTGTATGTCATGGAAATATGCGAAAAAATAGGAATCCGGGGAGTCGACCTTGTCCATAACTTTGACTTCGATCGTCTCGCTGAAATCCATAGCTGTGGATTTCTCTACATCGAGAATGACTGAATAAGGTATAGCAATCTGAACAAAAGTGAATAAATGCAATTTCTTCAAGAAACTGCAAGGCAACCTTGACGGTGTCTCCCATATTCTGCGCCTTAAACATCACCTTGCGGATTGCTTTGACCCATTCATCCCTGCTCGGAACCGAGTCCGCAGATAACAGCACATTCTTCTGATTTGTCCGAAGCCGTATCTCCTTCTCACCTACTGGTTCACAAGCCATGACATATCGCAAATCGACAATCCCGTTCAGAAAGTAAGGATCCTATTTGGGAGGTCAGAATATATTCCAGTAAAAAAAACACATCGCAAGAAGCACCGATGAGGACTGGTACCAAGACAGCGCATCATTCTTGAGAACAAACCAATATTTAATCCACCGCTTCGTCCGGGTGGCTTTCTTGCTGAGACTTCCAGATTTCAAAATTTGGTCCTGCAAAAGGTTGGAAATGGCAAGTGCCAGTAATAAAATATCTGTACCTCTCTACTTGGCATGTGGGCAAAAAAGCATATGTGCGAATTAGTGAGATACATATATCCCTGTAATACTACTCGCGATGAGTTGCATTTTCCGCCGCAAACTCTGAACTCACAGACGGAGCGCAGCAACCAACACGGCATCTCTGAGGCATAATGAGAATTGGCTCCTAAGTGCATGATGATCACCTACCAGCCCAGACTTCATGGAAAACATCAATATCAAAGATCTCCCTGAGCTTCTCCGCCAAGCGAGCTCTGCGACTGACTTTCACAGTCGCCATACTACCAGTACGACTGGCTGCCCGCCGTTTTAGGGACGTACTCAGCTCTGCAGCCATAACAAGTGGCGACGCCTCAGGTTTCCGAATGTCGTCCGGCCGCGGAGTCGTCGCTTCGAAGTCGTCGGCATCGACGTCGTCTTCGAAAGCCATGCTCAGCTCCGGATCTAAATCAGTTTCTCCAGACACATCTGCCAAAACAGATCGTTGTTTCGCTGAGAGATCAGGGAGGGAAGATCCTATATGTCTCGACCACGCCACCGGACGATAGATGGCATGGATAGACGACGCTACATGTCCCTCTGTGAATGAGATGTTCAAAACCGTTGCTCGCGATATCCAAAGGGTGACGTACTAGAGCCGTCGTCAGAGTCGATATTCGGTGCCGTGGAAGACCCCGGATCGTCGTCATTGTCGGGATCGTCTACCCATGGAAGTGCTTGTAGTGCTTGGATGAGTGTCTGAGTCCCGGCACGCATCTGTCATCAAGAGATTGTAAGATTAGATTGCGAGCCCAGAGCAGAACCCTTTACGCACAGACCCTACGCCCTGGATCGCTTGCAAGGATGGCCGGTCCGGGAGAGTTGGCGGAGGCGAAGGAGGCCTTATGAACGGGGAGTCGTCGATTGAATTGAGGGCAGATGCTCGTTCAGGTAAGGTTTGGGACTGGGTTGAGTCCGCATGTCTCTGAGGACGCGACGGTGGCGTCGAGAGACCGGTGGCTTGATCTACTTCAGTGAAGGACGTTTCACCACGTCGTAATCGAGTGAAACAAAGTACCTTCTGCTTGATCCCGGCCAGGGGTGTCCTTACCTTTACCCTTCCTATTCGAGCTGAACACACGACGAGATTCTGGAGACGTCGAGGAGGACTGCATTCTTCCAGTGATGCTCTTTCTGAGGTCAATGGTCCTTGCTGCGACCCTCTTGATACATTCTTGAGGTGAGACATGGTCTTCTCGGCCCTGTTCGCCGCTCTCGCCCTGAGACGACGGGTCTCGTGCGTCATCTGTGGAGACCGGACTGGTACGAGACTTTCGTGGAACTAACCTCGACATTGGTGGTCACTGGTATTTCCGAGTGATATGATGAAGTAGTGACTGCTGGGCGGCACGGCACTGCACGTCTGCCTTGAGCGTTCGTCACCCCCGTTTGCTGAAATCACGTGATAGGCTGCGGGGAGAACGGCACGCTTGTGTCGCGTGGACGGCGCAAGTGGGAGTCGCGTTAATTGAACTTGTCTCAGAGGACGACAGTCACGACTTTGCTTCTCGTTTCTTTGCTTCAGCACTGAGAAAAATAACGATAATGAGGGGGGAGTATTGCATCGGAGGCGCATCTTTTCTATCGTAGGGCTTGCAAATTCTCGTGTTCTTCTGGACCTCACTGCCTTCTCAAGTGCCGTCGCTGTGCTACTCATGATCTTTGTCCATGTATGTCAGAGGAAGAAGTCTCATGGTCACAATCTTATCGACGCCCGCAGGTCGGACAAATCAACACCTCATCAGTTCCTTATGGAATTTCCATGGTAGCTCGTTCATGTTTTCTTTGCTCTCCTTGACTGACCGCGCTAACACAGGCAACTCTCAACGTCTCGGGCTATGGGTGAAGATTCTCACGCGGAGGTTTATCGCCTTATTGACGTCGACGTTCTCCAGCTATGCCCTCTATCAGGCTTTCCAAGATCCCATACAGGGCTTGTACACTGACGATGCGTCACTGCCTCTAGGACAGGGGCTTGGGCTTCGACAAGAATATAAATTCGGCTTGTATTCGTACTGTGCCTATGTCAATGGCTCGGCAGGGTCCTGTTCGAACCACACTGTTGCCAGCAGATTCGAGCCGTACAGCGCCATAACAGCGGACATGCTGCAGAACTACTCGCAATACTCGGATTATATCTTCGTCGATACCACGTTCAAGAATTCATCATACCTGGGGTACAACTCCCACGTCGCCTATTACTTTTTGCTATTCGGCACGCTCTTTGCGTTCCTCTCATTGTTGACGTGAGTGCCACCCGGCTTGTTTCCCGTTGTTTGCATCATCTGAAGCTTTGTTCCAGCGGAGTCCTCAGACACACGTTTCTTTTCTTCATTTCAGCCGCGTTGGCCATCTTGTCCACGATCTTCATCCTGATTGGGGCTGCTATATGGACATCCTTGGTCAAGAAAGCGGAGGGCGTAAACACTCTGCAAATTTCCTCCGGTGTCCCGGATGGCATAAGCATGTCATACGGGACTGGGATATACCTTAGTTGGGCGGCCTTTGCATGCTTAGCGGCCTCCATTGTGCCATATTTGATAAGGTATCCGGTTTCTAATCGAGGACTCTAGTCATCTAACCGTGATTTTATAGTTGCTGCACTTACCGTGGATAAGGTGATGCCGGGCACACGAAGCAGAATGATGATATGTTGGCGACACGTCTAACGAAAATGATACCACACACCCTGACACCCCACGCGAAACCCCTTTTATGTATGGAAATGACGGACAATGAAGCATACATAGTAATGCATATTTAAGGCCTGTCGACACGGTGTGTGAACAAAAAAGAGAAGCCAGTAGCCCACCGCGAGGGTCGAACTCGCAGCCTTCAGATTGCCTAGTGGTTAAGAGTCTGACGCTCTATCCGATTGAGCTAGGCGGGCGACAGACAAAGTGCGACGCTGCTGCTATAAGTATGTGCCCAAGGGCAATTGCCAATTGGAAACCGGGTGAACGGTATCTCCGTTTGAGTACAGCCTTGTCGTTGAAAGGAACGCCACACAGATCCGGTATTCGCTGGACACATGCGTTGCAAGGGTCCTCACAATACTGCTGCAGGACGGAAAGAGGCACCCCGACCTTTCCATCACTCTTCATCTGATGTGTCGTGGTGATGGAGCGAGGCAAGCTTGCCAAGGGCGTGGCGCACGCACGGACGGACGACCGACGGGGCTACACGATGCGAGGTCGTGGAAGGCAATGCCAATCACAGCCGCGCATCTATCGTCGGACACCGCCGGTGCCTTTTGCTGAGGGCACAAAAGGAGAATGAGTGGGTGGGGATGAGTCAGCGACGATGACGATGCCGATGACAAATCGATATTTGTCCGTATAAACAAACTGTCGTGTTCCGCAGTCGCTGCTCCTCGTCCACATAACTCCCCACTTGACTCCTCCCAACGCCTTCCGCAACCAACGACGTCTGCGCAGCGCTTGACAATGTCTGATCCTCGAGACGACAATTTGTTCTCCTCCTTTGAGCTGTATGGGCCAGAATACGCCAAGCAGCAGCAGCAGCAAGGCCTTGACTTTGTTTCATTTCACTCGCCATCTGACATCCTCGCACCTCATCCCGATCTCTTCGAACTTGAATTGGACTCCAGCCTCGCGGCCTTCAACGAAGGGGTCCACCTCCAGCTTCTCACCGTTGACTCCAACGACGCTTACTCCTTTTTGAGATCCGACACCCCAACGTGTGGCCCCCCTTCCACTATCACAGCTTCCTCCGAGAGCGCCTACGAAACGCTCTCTTCTCGTTCCGAGTCCTTTTATAATTTCTCAGACTCCTCCTATCCCACTACGAACTGTCCCTTCCCTCTCGATATCGAAATGGATTTCCAGCGCATCCGTGTAACGAACAGCGGATGTTCCGAGTACGGTACCAGCGCAGCTGTGCAGGCCAACCCCAACAACATGCCCGTCACTGTAGACCCAAGTGCCTTCGGTGCTTTGCCCATCAGCCCTCGCAGTTCTCCCACTGCGCCCGTTGACCACTCCGTCAAGCGGGCCAGCTACTCCGATTATGGCGGTGCATCCCGCATCGCCGCTGTTCCACGCTCCAGCACCGCCGACTTCTACCTGTCCTGTATGGGCACAGATTCCGCCGTCTCCCAGTCTGGCATGTCTCAGCTAGCTGTCACGCCCTGCCTCTCTCAGTCGAGAGCCGTCCGTAGTTCAGAGGAACATTCAAGAGACGATCCTCGCAAGAAATATCAATGCCCTACTTGCCCCCGTGGTTTGTCTCTTCTATCCAATGACATCCCCTCTACGTTGCTGACTGCTGCCAATAGCCTTTGCTCGTGCTTACAACCTGAAGACGCATATGGCAACGCACGATCCTAACCGGCTGAAACCTCATGTATGTCCCCACCGTAATTGTGGACGTTCGTTCAGTCGCAAGCACGACTTGGGTCGACACCTCGTGAGCATTCATCGGGAGGAGTCCGTTCGCTCTCTGCCATCCGCAGCGCCCAAGCCTATCGGTGTCGACAGTGGACCGAGGGGATGGTGTGACAACTGTGGCAAGGGTTGGGTTGGCACAGCCACCGAATGTTCGTGTGCAGACATTAAATAAAATACTCGTTTGCGATGACCTCTGGTTCCCTGGTGGGTTGTCTTCTCTCCAGTTCCCGCATCAAATTGATGTCGGATATTCAGGCCGGGCGATACTTGTCGCCAATCGCTTCGTCGTAGTTGATGATTGATTCGTCTGCTGCGCACATTTGTGACGTGTTCAGTCATCCATTCTACGCGTTTTTATTCGTGTATCCGTATCGTACCGTTCGTGCTATGTCACGGACCCAGCGACGAACGTGATCTCGAGCTCATGTATGGCAAAGGGTATTTTAACTGGTGCCTTCCGCGTATCTATGTTCTTTACTCGACTGCCCTCGAACATTTCTATATGATTTTGTATATACCTAAACTGTGGATGGTCGTAACTATTTTGCTACTTCGACGTCTCCCCTTCCGCTGCCTGCTTTTCATGTTTTACCTGCATTTCGCTGTCTGTTGGGTGAAGGTGTGGTGGAATTCGATCAGGTTGTGGGCGATCACGTGCCCTGCGTATCCAATTAATTTCCGACCGTCTTGCAGAGGCAATGTTAGTACAAACCATTGCAACACCCCCTGTAAACTGTTGATATGATTCATGCCGTGCTCATATGTGAGAATTAGCGTTCCTTTGCGCCCCGTACGGCTCCAAACTTTGTAGGACCCTAGTCAACACCTCTGGCATCCCCAGACTGACCAAGTTCTATACCCCCCTCCACCAATCCTCCCAAACCGTTGTCCAGAAGATTTTCTCTCTCATATCTGTTCGTCCCCAAGGACTCTGCAACTTCCTAGATGCACCCGAACTCGAGGCATTCCTGGGCCCCAAGGATGGCTCGAATGAACGGTGGAGAGTCGTGTACAGAAATTATGCTACACTTTACTTTGTTTTCGTCGTCGACGGCGCAGAGAGCGAACTCGGAATACTGGATTTGATCCAGGTATGCTTGCTTGTGTCCTTGTTGGCTTCCTACTTCTCGTGAAATGAATCTCAAAGTCCTTCTGGAGGTGTTCGTAGAAGCACTCGATCGTTCCTTCCAGAACGTCTGCGAACTGGACCTTGTTTTCCATTTCGATGAGGTACGTCTGGGTTTTGATACCGATAAGCGTGCGGATCGCTGACCACATCCGCCAAAGGTCCATCATATCCTCGCAGAAATTATTCAAGGCGGTCTTGTCTTGGAGACAAACGTCGAAGAGATTAACAGTTCTGGTTGGTTATGGCCGAGTCTACTGCACCTCTGACAATGACTCTTCCTTCCACAGTAAAGTCGGCACTCAAGGCAAGAAAGGACTCGTTTGTATCATCAAACCCCCTAGCCTTGGGTGGTAGTGTTGGGGGGTCACGGAATGGTGGCCTACCAACGCCCCTGAACTGGTTGACCGATAGACTGACAGGCGTAAGCGGGCGGTGAGGCCGCTGTTTGCACTACATATTAAATACGTTGCATACCGTGTACTATACAAGGCGACTATTTTGTCAATTCCTGAATTATCATCATCGGTTTCACTTGAATAACTACTACACAATTTCTTGCCCAAAGTTCCTTCACATGTACTATCTCGAGCAGCGTTCAGGAAAGCAATCACTTATGATGCTAGCGAGGCACCTAAATGTCAGCTTGGTGTTATGGTCGCGCCTATAAGAGGAATAGTGCGCGTACGTTTCTTCTTCTTCTTACCAGCGCCTGCAGAACTCTTCGCGCCCGTGGTATCTTGCGGCGTAGAAGCATTCGAAGAAGAAGGTCTGGGTGTGGTGCCCCGCCCAGCGGGCGCAGGCGTGACGGAAGTCCGTCGACTGGTCCCAGGGACAACAGATTCAGGAGGGTTGCTCTCAATATCTGGCACCAGCGAGCGTGGTGCCACGAACGTGAGCGTCGAGTGCAGTGCGGTCGTCTTCATCGCATTCATCATGAGCATATTATATTCCTGTTTCTTCGTGACGTTGGTACCTGCACTACCGCCAGTTCTTTGCTTGTCGAGCTGTGACGGTGTCGATTCGCCAGTTCCGCGAGTGCCAGAGAGCACTTCTTCTCCCGAAGGCTTTTTGCCGACATTTTCCGCCGAGGATGTATCGACTATGGGCCAGACGAAACCGGTACGAGGGGTGTAGTTAGGCCTGTACTTACGGAGAGTGTCGAGAGAGAATCGAAGTGAACTCAACGACGCCAACTGAACGAAAATCATCAATTACAACTCGCTGAAAAAATATAGGCTAGGCACCAAGCGATTGGATAGCAGTGTGTAGACGTCCGGTGATTGATAGATGCGGTTGTTGATGACAAAATACGCCGCCAGGGGACGAACTGGCCTCAAGATGTCAAAACTAGGTCCCATCGCAAGCAGCAGACAAACTTACCCTCCTGTGGAGACAATCTTTCTCGTTTATGTATGATGAACAAGGATGGCGGTTGTGCATGTACCAGAGCGAACTCTACACCTGTAAATCGCCTGATTGGAATTCACGTAGTCAAAAATATGCTATTGCAACAGCACGAGACGTACTTGAGTTCCTCAGCTTCGTTCAGTATTGGCACGCCGGTATGCATCGTTTGCATCCTCAAAACTTGGTTGTTACTCTGTTTATCGTAGAACATAGAGGCTGCGAAATAATCGAACACATTCTCTGTTGTGAGAGGTCCATTCGCCTGAGCAAGAGGCATGAGCCAAGCGCTCGATGAAGAATGAATCAATGGAACGAACTTGAATCCACTCGTACCAGATGAAAAATCTGTGACTGTAATCGTCCGTAGGATGTAGGTCGTTAAATTCCATGACCAACTTCGATATGCCACCAAAGTCGATTGAAGGTAACCGGTAACGGCCCGATCCCGCCCGCACGGCGGATAGGTGCGATAACGAAAAGTGGTGTAGTGTGCACTGATGGTCAGGTCAAGTATTATTTGGAACGGACGGGTTCTCGATGCACTATCTTCGCGAAACACAGTTCGTATTAACCTCAACCAGCCGAGCTAGACCTACATCACATGTAAACTAGGCATCGTCCCTAGGCATTTTCCAATCTGGCACTAGCCGTCCAGCAAGATTGCTGACTGGCCCAGAAAGACCAGCCTGACTCTTGAAACTCTCGAGGAAGTTTTTGATAAGATTGTAGTCCAAAGAAGTCTCGTCTTCATCTTCCGAATCTTCTGCATCACCTTTCTCAAGGGCAGCATTAAGTTCGGCTTCCATTGCGGCTTCGATATCGATATCCAAGCCAGCACTCGGAGGACCTTTTCCTTTCCCCTTGTCTGCGGGCCGGGATACTTTCGCTGTTCCGGCTTCAGGTTGACGGAGACGTTTGAGCTCCGAATCCATGGCCTGCATGACGGCTTCGAACGAATTAAGGTTCGGGTTAGCATTAGGACGGGGACCACTAGTCGGCATGCGTAATGCCGCTTCCGAGGTTGGGGTCCCGGTCTTCTGAATCTCTGGCTCTGTTTGCTGAACTTGCCGGAATTTCTTATCAAATTTCGGATACTTCGGAACGAACGCTGTTTCAACGGGCGTCACTACCGGCTAGATCGTTTGGGCAGGAACATACCTCCTCGACGAACTCGTTCCTGGAGGATGTCGTTCCACATATCATCGGATATTCCGAGTGTCTGGCGCGAGAATTCGATGAACTCATCTTGTTCTTCTGTCATATCGATTTCCACTTCTCCCACCACTTGTGGGCGGTCCTCTTCTGACTCATATTCATCTTCGTCGCCTGCGATGGGGTCAGAGGAGGAAGCTTCGTCATCGGAGTCAATCCCTTCGTATTTATCGCGTGGTAGAAGTGGTCGGCGGATCGGTCGAGTTGAAATAGCCTCTGTGGTTGCACTCTCAGACGGAATGTCCACGGTTTCGTTTTCAATCGTAGTTTTAGCGACACGTTGGGTGTTGAAAGAAGCAGGCATCTGACCATACTCAGTGGCAGGAAGTGGGGGGACAAGCTTGGCCATCGCCTCTTGGCGAGCGACCTCGCCAGCAGTGAACCCTTCCGGTTCCTCCTCATCTGTGTCGACAATTTCTTGAACACTGTCGCTGTCATCACCATCCGAAAATGCCTCACTAAAACGAAAGTGTTACGTTCCTCACAAAGTCCCAGTCATGGAAATACGCACTCTTCGAAGCGTGCACCTTCCAAGTCACCTTCTCCCTCTACAAACTGCTCTACTTTCGAAGCAAGGTCACGCAACCTTCCCGACTGTTCCTGAATGGACCGACTGTTTTCCTGCCCGTCAGAACCAATATCCATGATGTCCGGTTCGCCATCATTCACGGATTGTGTGAGCATTGCATCAAAGCTTGAGGCGTCAACGTTCAACCATTCATCTGAGTCTTCTGGTCCAACGTCGTTTGGAAGAACCTCACTAGCACGGGATAACGCCACGTTAAACTGGGTCGTGAACGATGGTCTCGACGACTCGCTGGATTGACACCCATCAGATGAAGTAGCTCACGGCCTCTGGGCGAACTGGGCACATACCTTGTACGGAGGGCTTCGATGTAAACTTCAGATGCTTTATCTTCAAGTTCCTTCCAAAGTTGGGACCCCTCGCGTTCGTCACGGAAATAACCATAAGATACTAGTCTCGAAATGAAAGATCTATATTCCAGTGTGCGATGTAGCGCATCCTTCCTAGCCTCACTCTGTTACCTAATGGTCAGAATTCCAGTGCAGTTGGGTTAGAGTAACCCTGACGATGCGGACTGACGGAGGATGCAATTTGGTCGGTCGTAATATTTGAGCGACTCTTTGACTCTTGATAGAGCATCTCGAAACCGCAAGCCTGGAAGATGCAGTAACTAAGTGATGCCAGACATAGCATCGCAACGATTAACTCACAAGTTTCATACCAATATCACGCCAGCGCCATGCGTTAGTATCTTCACGCTCCTCGAATTGCCCAAAAATTCTTGGAGGGTGAAATTTTTGGCCCATAAGCTGAGCAAATGCTGTTCGTGTCATCCGTACATTTCTGAGAACATTTGGGGACGGGGGAAAGCGTGCCATACGGTGCGCCGCCTAACGCTTGGCTTCAGTGTCAGCTTACTGGATACACGAGAGGGACTACCTACTCGGAGTTGGATAGCGTCACGGGTGTAGAAAGTTTCGACTGCCTTTTGGACAAGGGAACGATCGACGGAAAGTGCGCGAGCAACGTCGACAGGAAGGTAGGCCTTGGTCGTGTGTACATGTCTTTCTGCGGCGCTGGGATATCCAGATATTCGCTTCCAAACGGCGTCCTCCACCTCATTCGGAGCTAGAGTGCAAATGCACGCATCTCGAACGAGACGTAAAGCATCGTCAATAGCAATATAATCCTCATCGCTGTCCTCGAGTCCGGTACTAAGTTCCTTCTGTTGTATAGCAACGGGATGTCTTCGTGATTTGTTTGGCACCGAGACGTGAGACAACGGGATGAGATGCAGGCGACCACTGTATATCCATACCTAGTCATGGGAGTTAATTTGGTCTATGATCCTTACTCCTGGTCACCAAAGAGAGTGTGCGCACCCGGTTCAGTGCATTTGAAGGATTGACCCAGCCAGGGAGGAAGTCTGCAGCTTCGATAAGCAGAAATTCGCCATCCGAGTCGTTGACGCTGGATGACAAGTGCGATGAGCGCAGATATACGGTGGTGGTACTGCAAGACGAATACCTGATGACCACATCCCAACGGGATGATATCTCTCTGAGGAGCCAGACCACGCACCACTCATCGTCCACGCAATCCCCGATGCGCATACGGCCTTCAAAGGCAAATTTATTGTCTTGCTGGCTGGAAGCGGGGTCTGGAATGACCTTGAGCTGGAAGGAATCCCGATGCCAGATAAAATTAGGCAACAGGGAGGACGTGAAGTCATGGATGCACGCTGCTAGTGAGGCCGCAGACGCCTTGTCCTGTAAGGCGGCAGGTAGAACCACCGTGTAATGCAATGTATCCTCGGAAACGGATGGCGGTCGATTGAAGATATCCATGGGTGAACTTCACGGTGGACGGCGGTGTAGTGATAAGATGGATACGTCACTTGTAATGCCAGCTTTGTGTACCTCGTACCAACGGTCACCCAACTTGAAGAGGGCATGGCATCTCACACGTCCTTCAAAGACAGAAACCTCATTGCAGTCATCGGAGATGAAGTAGGAGTGCCCATTCCAGTTTGCAGCCGCACGCTGACATCTCGTCACAGGATTCGATCACAGGTCTCCTCCTTGCCGGGATAGGACACATCAACGAACAACAGAAGAAGAATTTCCTGGTAGTGGATTCCAGTGAGCTTCACTCTTGTCTGGATTCATACCCGGTGGCCAGGCTAACTTCTTCCTCTAGAGACACAGGTATCCACAATCGAGGCAGCTTTCCAGGAGTTCACAGAACGCAAGGACGTTGCAATATTGCTCATTAACCAGCATGTGTGTGCACAGCAGTGAACTTCCCCCGTCTCCCCCTTCACTTACGGACCGGCGCGTCCAGATCGCAGAGAAGATTAGACCTACCGTTGATCGGTATCAGCAGGCATTTCCAACTCTCCTTGAGATACCATCGAAGGACCATCCATACGGTAAGTCATTTTCCAATTTCATTCGGGTGCGCGTTGTTCATCACACCACTGCACTCCGCCCCTCCTTCCACACGCCTGGCTTCCGTAGATCCCGCCAAGGATTCAGTTCTCAAACGCGTGCAGAAACTCTTCGGCGAATAATCAAAAACCTCACTCTCAGAACCGCACCCCTTCCGAGGCTCTGCTACGTAGTAACCCTACCTTTCTCGTCCATTAAACTCAACGGAACATGCAGCCATTCATTTATATTCATTCATGTAGTACACATTATATGTACGCAACGCCGCCTCGTTCCAGTATTCGTTGTTGCTTATCTCCGCGAGAGCGTGCAAAAAGGCAGCGAATGTCCTCTATGAGGTGTGGAACCGCACAATAGGCTCCTTTTCTCGGACGTCTGGTGCTTTATCGACGTATACCCTGAGCGAGTTACGGGCTTCTGAGCCTTCGTTACCCAATCAAAATATTCAACTTGAGCAATGTCAGATGAGAGCATAACATCACGTACTTGGAATGTCAATGAGCAGGTACCGGAACGTGAAGTAGCCATCGTCGTTCTGTTCATTCACGTCAGCGTGTGTCACTGGGCAGACTGTACAGGTATGCATGCTCCAGGCGCCATGCGCAAGATGTCGACCTGACTTACCCGCACCAGCTCGGCGTGTACTTCACCTTCTGTCCATACTACGTCGGTGTCCATACTAGCCTCGCCAGATGGTCGCCATCTTCGCAACCCTTTGAAAAGCCCAGTGATCCCCCACAATGAGCGCTCCTCGTTTCTTTCTCTCTCTTCTTGTTTTTCTTCATCGACGGGATGAGGAACCTCTCTTGGAAGAACGACGTCTCCACTCAGAAAACGAAAGGCGCGCTTCGTCGAATCGGCCAAGGACCAGACCTTTTCCTTGATATCGTCGTAGGTGAGCTCGTCCAAGACCCACTGGGATTTATCTTCATCTGGGGCAGAGGACGTTGAGGATGACCCTTGAACGTAAAAGCTCAAGAACATGTGTTCACGTCCTGATGAATCCACTGCGATTTGGGACGCAACATGTCGGTGACGATGGCGCGGGCGAATAGCAGAAGGGGGGTTATTATGGAACGTAAGAGGAGCACGGAGGTACCTCGCGACCTAGTAAAGAATACGTCAATAAATACTCTGCAGAAAGCCAGCAGGAAGGATATTTGCCGGTGAGTCGTACCTGAGGGGACGACTTGATGCGTTCGCATGCTTCATTGTAGAGCACCGTTGGCGAATTTTTGGAGAAAAGTTCGGATGTCAGGGCATAGAGAAGCACAGCAGACAGACCGGCGCCAAGCAGTATGACCGTCAGATTTGTCGTCCGTTGGGTTGTGCGTAAGACTGCACGACAACGTCAACATTCATTCGCGTATTTGAGACTCAATGCCGACACGAAGGGGTGGGCAGTAGCATGAACTGACGGACCTTTCCCAGTTGTACTCAATTCAGACCATCGTTTCACTCTCTTTCCGTGTTGGGGGGAGATACCGAGCTGAAATGGACCGACCGACTCCTCACGCTGAAAATCCGCAGAACGCTGTTTCCGGTCGAGAGCAGAATTAAGGAGGGGCGACGGTGCAGTGTTGTGACGGGTAGCGTATTGCCTGCATGTTCCTTGCAGTTCTCGTATATTTCTACCCGAAAATGCGACTATGAAGAAACGGCGAGGATTTCCGAGAAGGAACCGAGAGCCCAGAGGCCGTAGACTAAACGATGGGATCGTCATGGACAACCAGCTGGACTTCGCTCAGGCTGACTTGCATCGACGACCAGCCAAATGACAAGCAGGGTCCCTTTGCCCACTTTGGGAAATAAGGTCGGCGTTCCATTCGCTGATAGCGGCTACTACGTACGAAATGTTGCGATCATACGCGATGCAATCCGCTCAGTGCACCGTACGTACGATATCTTAGGGTCTAGTAAGGCGACTGGGCTCGCAATAGCTTGCAGCGGTATACATGACAAGTCTTTCACACGAAGTTGGGAACGCCAAAAAAGAAATTTCCCATTAGCCGACTTGAACGACTGACCTCGTCATTACTAGTGACGCGCTCTACCAACTGAGCTAAACGGGATACATATGAATGTGCTTGAGACTTATATACTAAGTGCTTCCCTCCAAGTTCACCAACATTTCAACTGCACTGGTTCCGACGGCTTCCCTTGTATAACGCCTTATTACTTGGACTTTAACTCCCTCGGTGCTCACCGGTGCTGCCATGCCTCAGTGTGTAGTTGCAAAGTAGGACCTGGTTCTCCGCTGTTTGCTGGCAGTGCATAAACATACAAGCTTCGGCAACAGCGCTAGCTTTCCCGGCGCTGCACGGAGGGGAACAGGTGGAACGTGGTAGCTTCCGTGAGCGGTGATCAAGTTGGAATCCGAACAAGAATGCGGATTAACACTAGTCACACGTTGCACACTTATAATCTATAGGGGATACGCGAACTCGCAACATACAGTTGGGTTTTTCGCCTTCTTCATTCAATAGGTAATCCCCAGGTTCACGACCCGAACATTGCGCCGATGGTTGTGCGTATGTATGATGCCTATCTGATCAAAAGCCGCATCAGTGAAATGATGGCGCGTGATGAGCCTCGTTTTCCGCTGCCAGATGATAGGGGGCACATGTCCCTTATCTACAGATAAATCACATCGTGGGGGCTCCGATCATTCCATGCAGCTTTGTTGGAGGATAACGAGTCTATCTGCCATGAAGGAATCGATGGTCCTCCGCAGATACGATTTTCCGACCAAGCGCGGAATCAGAGCAAGCGCATACACTACACCTTCCCGATTTGGGATTGTTTTTGGCAGCCCGCGACGGGATCCGGGGTGGACGCGGCCACGATGGTTCCGTGCCTTTGCTTAGCATACAGACGCCACGCCGTGCGAGCTCCCACTCACAGCAGATCGGAACGCGGGATGCTGCAACGGGATTGTAAACTAGTCCAGAATTTCTCTGGCAGGGCCAGCCGAAGTTGCTTGCCATCACCCCCACCCACGTGGTGGCCCTGGGAACACCAAGTTGCGCCCGTCTGGAACACGTGACTCATGATAATCAACAAATTTGACATCCAACATGGGCTGCCAAGGGACAGTGCATACATGCGTGTATGCTGCCTGAGTTTTGAGATTTATTTCTCCACTCTGGGTCATATAATAATGAGTGATTGTGAAGAGTGAGTGGGCTTGGGGAATGGAGAGGTGGAGAGAGGTGAAACACCCCAGCCAGCCAATTCTATTGGTCGCACTTAGTAACCAACTTGGACGGTTTACGACACCGCAAGGCCCCAAAACCAGTGCAGGCGAAGTCGAAGAAATGCGGTTCGTTGTCTTTCGTCTGTCTCTTGCAAGTGGACGACTACCATCGTCCCCCCGCTATTTAACAGGCCATCGATACGACGGACACGAGTCTTCAAGCGTGCTCTTCTTGGTTGCTAATTCGGAGGTATCTAACGAGAGACCTCACTATTATTATTGCCAAACGCCGCCTCGAGAAGGGCACGTTGCAGATCAAAATCCTTCACAGTTCTGCCAGTCCTCCCCTTTACCTCGTTCCATCACCATAACTCACAAAACCCTCGACCGCCCCATCATCTGTTCCTTGCCAGACAGTCGTACTTGATCTCGACACGCGACCTATAGTCCTCACGTCCCTCTTAAGCCTAGGTTTCGCTCATCTTGATTTTTATACCTATCTTGTGCTCTCTTCCTAGATCTCTATTCCTCGTCCCTCTTACCCTGCAGTTGGTGACGACGAGTTCTATCTATCTGTCAATTACGCTCTCCCAAACATCTTATACTATACTCCACCGCATCCGTTGATTATTATCTCATCCATCTCAGCAACCGTTTTGTCCTGCATTCATCATTCGGACGCACATCGACTCTAATTTACTGGTCAGTCCCCGAAATTTGCTGTTTCTCTGGGCGCTAACCCTGCTTGATCATCTCAGATTTAAATGCAAAGGGTGGTCGCCAGTACTGCTGCATCGAAGGACAGTTTGTACGTTGCACACGAATCAGCCTTATCGATATTTCCTACCCGACCGCAGTCGAACGGCGTACTTGATTGGACTCCAACACGTGAACACCACCAACTCAGTCACGAGACAGGAAGAGAGGTTGGTACTCGTGTACTCCTCGCTTCTTCTTTCTCACAAGCTCCCAGCAAACTTGGAATCTTACTGCAATCCAGCATTCAGCCCCAGAATTGTCTTCGCTGCTCTCACTCAAAAATTCATCGAACATGCCCACGCGTACTAATCTGGGAGAAAATAACAACTCTTCAACGGACACAAGTTGTGCTTCCGATAGAAACTCGAGCAACGGCCTTCGTTGGCGGGTCAATGGCTCTGGCCAACTCGTCGACTCAGGCGCAACGCAAGAGTGGGAACTTGCTCAGGACATCGCCAAACTCAATCTGGGTTCGGTCAGTGACCTAGCTGATGAAGTGCATGGTCACTTGAAAACTCCACCTCAGTCCAAGCTCACGAAGGCAACTGCTGTGCAATTCAACGAAGCCAGTCCGCTGGAGACCGCTTCGCAGACAAGTATCGATTCCTCACAGCACTCGGATCATCAGATTTCTCCATCCCACTCCCGTGTATCCTCCACGGATACCCTGGACTCGCGCGAGTCTGTCATGTCTTCCGCTAGCCACACCCTACGTGCCCCCCCGCAGCTGAAGATCGCAACCGGCGGCGAGGCAAAAGAACGGCCGCATTCATTCAGTGGAGGACTTTCTACTGCTGACTTGCGCCGCTTGAAGCAAGCTGGCGAAGAACCGGCTGGGCTTAGCCAAACTGGTAACGGATTGTCGGCCCACCAGTGGTCATCTTCCCACTACCGTGACCTCCTTGGTAGTGCAGATAAGACCTTTCCCACTGATCAGCCGTCTTACCCGTCCTTGGTGAACTCTGGCACATTCGGCCGTGGTCAACAGCAGTATGACTATCGGCCGCCGCGCGGAACCGTCAACGGAGCTCTACAATCGGAATACGGTACTGCTCAGAGGGGTTTTTTCCCTCCCGCTCAAGGGATCCCTAGTGCATCTCAACATTTCGTACAACCTCGACCTACGGATGCCGCGCCCGTGAAGGCGTATCGTGCTTCGCAGCGTGGGTTCCCTCAAACTGTTTTGCCAAACCCTACAGGTCTTGGATATCCAACAGGTCACGTCCCCCACTTGTCGTTGGGTACTGCACAGCAACTGTATGATATGGTTGTTCCTCATGCGGATCACCCTGCGGTCACGCGGGTTCAACAACAACACAACGTGTTTCGTGCAACCCATCAGCATTCGGCTTCTGACCCTGCGTCACTGAGGGACGCTGCGGCGTTGGCTCTACTGAATAATCAGGTATTCGGCACTCATGGCCTGTATCAAGCTGCGCTGGCTCCACCTGCTATGGGGTTGTTTTATCCGCCTCCTGATAGTTATGCTCCAGACGTGGCTACGGTCAACAGGCTGCAACCTCAGTACTCCGGGCCCTACGGTGCTGTGTCCAACCATACCGGCCACTCAAACACCGCAGGATCAAATGGCGGTTCACAAGTAACTGGTGGACCTAGTGCAAACAATCGCAAGCTGGGTTTGTACAAAACAGAATTGTGCCGCTCTTGGGAGGAGAAGGGTTCCTGCCGTTACGGCACTAAGTGTCAGTTTGCTCATGGCGAAGATGAACTTCGCAATGTGCCTCGCCACCCCAAGGTAGTGTTCATTCTTTGTTCTCGGTTACCCGCCTTTCTGATCGTTGCGTTAGTACAAGACTGAAATCTGCAGAGTAAGTATGGTCCTCCAGTTGCGTACATGATTTCTCATCCATTGTTATAGACTTTTTGGGTATCTGGTGCTTGCCCGTATGGCAAACGGTGCTGCTTCATCCACACAGAACTTCCCGTCTCTGGAGCTACCCCTGGTGCAGATGGAGCTCCCCCGCCGTCGGCGACCACAGCAAACCGAGAGAGGTCCAACAGTGATCCCAACGAAGTGTCAAACTCGTTGCTGGCGCGGATTCAACGAAAGAATGAAGCTACCCCGGTCGACGTTGCACCTCCTTCTAATTCGTTCTTCACCCGACCTCCCACTGGGTCATTGCGTGTAGACACGTCTGCGCTCAGCAATGTCTCCAAACAGAACAAGTCCGCGTACCCGACGTTCGCGAGCAACGCATTGATGCTCTCGAACCCCGAGCAAACTACTATCAAATCTCCTGTGCCTCTCACGGCTGGCCCTGACTTCGGAAGGCACAATGCAACTAGGCTTGATATTGTGGGACTCAACCAGGTATGATTAATGGCTTGCTTCTGACCTCCTTGTCTTACGCATTGGTTGGCTAGCGTCTCAACAAGGCTTCGACTAATCCGACTGCACGTCACTCGTTTAACGGGACAGATATAGACCTCGATTTCACCTCACCGTCGACTCCATCTGCTGCCAACCCAGTCTCGTCTTTTGCGGTGTCCAATGACCGCATCCCTGGAGGCAACGCGGTGCCACGTAGTCACCATGTGAGATCCGGCAGTGCTGGAAATTGGGGCAGTGTTACACGCAGCACCAACTTGACTGCCACTTCTGCGTACCCACAATCCCCAGAGGACAATAATGTTTCCAGCGCCCCGTGGTCGACGTCGGAGCTTTCCGTTGGAAGCACGAGGCTCGCCGACAGTTGGATGTAATAACCCATCCGACTGTCATTAGAGGAGGCAGCTCCTTATGTTGGTCCGTGGAAATCCGTAAGGACACTGGAGGCACCACCGCTAGTTGGAAAATTGTTTCCTAACCCTGAACACTGGTGCACTTAGCCTTTTGCCTTTCCAATCCCTCGCACACCGTCACTTTTTACTTGTTATCTGTGTATTTGTTATGCTTTTCATATGACCACGCCTCGCGACGATATCAGAAGTCTCATGTTTTATGACCTTGTTTTTACTTCCGTTTGAAAATCTGTTCTGCCGCATCCATCGTTTGCAAGGATGGGATGTTACATATAATTACGAGGTATACATCGTATACAGATCGTGAAAGGCGAGCCTATTAAACACCTAGTTCCTCGAGATCGCGGATAAATGCTTCCATTCGGCATTTGGCATAGCCAATGTAATCAAACTCGCCCGCTCCTATTCCTCTTTCTAAATTATCCTTAGCTTGCACGATACCCCACACCGACCACATTGCGTGGGATGATGGGCTCCAAATATGTACTTGACGTTCTAGTCGTGCCAGACTAGTTTCACTGATAACATCATAGGAGGCAGAGTTGGACGACTTGACATGCGAGAGGTACGCTTCGTAGAAGTTGCGCCGTTCTTCGGGGGTGGGATAGCGAGATGGATGGAGAAAATGGGGTGTCGACGAGCGGTAATCTGCCGTCCATTCATGAAAATGGTTGGCGATGTCAAAAGCAAGCGGATTTGGGGCTGCATACTCGAAATCGACCACAACAATCTCCAATTGACATCAGCAACAAGGGACGGGACGGAATGACGAAAGCGTAGCATACTTTGTGGTGTTCTGGAGTTCCCTCTGGCAATCTTCGGGTCAACCTCAGAAGGTTGCCGTACTGAGCATCGTTGTGGGCAAAGACACGTCGACTGCAGCCTTCAGCTTTCTCGACATGAGAAATCCATCGCATGTATCTCGACCATCTCTGACGAAAAACATCCATGTTGAGAACAGTAGCATCTTCTTCTTTCATGTTCGGGTGCGCAAGAACCTCGGCGGCCAGGGGCAACCATGCCTTGATATTCCTCTTAACGCCTATCTCCCAACTCTTCCCTTCCTGGCTGCTGATTGCTAACGGACCTTCCACAGCACTGATCTTGACTGAATGAAGCTCAGCCATTCGAGCGCCAATCCAACGACTGATGGTCTTCTCCCGAAGATCACGGGGCGTAAGTGTGACGGAGTCAAAATACTCCTCAATGCGACCATTTGTGAAAGTGCCGTATATAACGGGTCCAATGCTGTACTGTGACGATAGAATATGAAGGATATTCAGTTCACGGGGTCGTGATATGAGGGAATCGGTAGAGAAGCCGTAGATACGCAATAATAAGGTAGGAACGCATTGGGAAGATGGGCAGGAAACGAAATACACAGAATTCGTCAAGGACCCAGACACCTTCCGGACAGAGAGCAATGTAGGGGTGAGAGACGCCCTGCACCAACCGGGCACCTGGAGAGCGACGATTATAGACAAGAGTTGCGCTGCAAAAGTCTGAGATTTGTATTTCCTGTAAAGGAAACAAAGAGAAGGGACATGAGTAAAGTCACCGGACCAGAGACGAGACACCAGACCGTCGATGACGTGACAGGGGGTCAACTGTACGAGAGGCGACCGTGCGCAGACAGTGAACGGCGGTCAAGTAGAGGGATGGCTTACCTCGGGTCTAGCTTAACGTGAGCAACACGAAGCCCATTGACAATATCAACCGCAAGAGCTGAGTTTGAGGTAGATAAGGGAGTGTGGAATGATGTTCTGGAAGAACCATCCTGCTTTAGGGCAGTGGCAGGGCGAAATGAAGGGGATGCTGTTTCGACCAATGACATCTGAGTATCGGAGGTATTTCTTGTCCCGGTGGAAGATGTGGACTCTGTGACCAGCGCCGTCTCAGCCATGGTCGTCCGGAGGGAAGCAAAGCTGGCAGCTGTTTTCCGGCACGCGACCGGTAAGAAGATTATGTAATCATCAGGACCCCCGACACTCAAGCTTCGCCGAATACGAAAGGGTTATTAGCTAAAGATTAATTCGACTAGGACAAGCTTGCAGACACAGGGGCGCTGCTACATAAAACCCGCGGGGAAGGCAACTCCATCCTTGCATGGCAGTTTCGCTACCGAATTGGTAGTGTTTAATCACTCCCACCGATCAATTACGTGCCCCTCGGCATTCAAAGAAATACCAGTCCATGTAATAACACTCGAGGTCGCCCCAAAATTCTAATTCTTACATCATTAGAATATCAATCGAAATCATTGTCTGGTTCTACCATAGCGCCACGGATTCACGTGTCACACACTTGACGCATGCAGGCAATATACTGTTTCCTTGCCGCAGTTTCTCGGCGAAGCCCCCTTGTGTTCGAATGGAACCTAGCACGACTTACATGTGATAAATGGGCTGCTCCGGAAAACATTGTGCTTCGTGCGGTACTTCGGGACTTCATTTCAGTTTCTTATTACATGTTCAGCGGGCTGCGCGGCGGACTCTAACCAGCCTCGTGCACACCATGCATTTCGGCCGCTCTTTGCAGGCGAACCTCCAGGCGACATGGAGATAACTTAGGCTGATGTACTCGTGTCCAGGGGGACGAGGGACAGGTTCAACGCGTCTTTATCATTATCGATATACTCCTGTTGATCTGAGGTACATGCCGTGAAAGGTATATGCAATGCGATCAGGTACTCCTTACAAATGTACGTGGCAATGAAATCGTGCATAGAAAGAAAGAGATGATTTGCCTACAATGTTGTACCAATCAGATAGAGTTTGAATGTTCTACACTTCAGATCCCGAGACTGAACATGGAGATTTCGCGCACTGCTTTTCTTGTGAGTTGCAGTCCGCATCTTCTATCGAGAACCGCTTCGTAAACAGGGATATCTACCGATACTCGGCTCAGAGATGCGATGAAACGACTACAGGGGGGACCCACTGACCAGGAATGCTAAGCCTAGAAGTGGGGTGCAGACAACCCAGATCATCTACAAGAAAACGTGTCAGTGACAAATAGCATATCACGTACACACCGACCTTGATCGCAACGGCTACAGCGTGCAGTACTTCTGATCTAAGGGATGTCGGTTCGATAAACTGTAATGAGCTCCAATCAATGGAGGGAGATGACTCGATCCAGTAGGTCGCTGGCATGCCACGCATGAGAGTTTCATTATAGACTAAACCTGCTACCGCCTAGTATTTCCATACGCGCGGGTCAGGCCTTAGCGAGATGCAACCTAGAGAAGCGTCCTCACCAGACCAATTGTGGCACCCGTAAACCGTACCAAGAAAAAGGCACTCGTGCCCGTAGCCAAAGTAGCGGGATCTAGCGCTCTCGCAAATACTTGGTATGGTGCATGGAACAGCATTCCTATTCCAATACCGGCTGTCAATGGAAGAATGATTTGTAAAGCAGGCGTGGTCATGTCGTCCAGTAGGGTGAGGAGACCTGACTGTGGCGTTAGCGGAGGCGGTCACTATCAATGTTCGGAGAGGATTACCAAATCCAACGGAAGAAATGAAGAGTCCCATGGTGATGATCCATTTTTGCCCATTAGTATCACCGGTCTTCTTCTGAAGATGTCCAATGAGCCAGGCGGCAGGCATAGAGGCAAGTGAGGATCCAAGAGAATATGGCAACATCTGAATGCCAGCATCCAGCGGTGTTAAACCATAAACGGCCTTTGTACGAGAGATATAAGGTCTGGGGTTCGCAAAAGCGCAAGAGTCATACCTGAAAGTATAAAGCAAGGTAAAAAGTCCCAGCGTTGAATGCAAAGTTATGCAAAAAAGTGATGACCAAGATAATCACTACAGTGCGCCTATTGAGCCGTGGTCGATGGAATGATATCCGTTCTTACCAACTGTAAGATCCTTGAAAGCTGAGGGCGGGAACAAAGCGTCTCGTTTGGTATGGACCTCATAAAATCCACCGAGGACGAGGACAAGGGGTCCTGATATGACGAAGGACAGAGTAGAAGGTGAATTCCCTGAAAAGGAGTCAGATCAAGAACCGTTCTGCCGGAAATGATCGCCTGACAACCGACGTCCATGGCAAAACTAAAGCCAACTGTGAGACACCCCGTGCCAGCCATAAAAAGCAACCTAAAAATCTATCATGAATGCGAAGAATGATCGAGAAGCTTTCCGCGTACAACCCAACGAAATCAAAGCGCTGGGCCAAGGCATGCCACGATGCACATTTAGCGCGTCCGAAGCGGATGTTCCGAAGTGACGATGTGATAAGAACCAGAGCAACAAAGCAAACGGGAAGATTCAAGTAGACTGATTGGAGATAACTTTAAGTGATAACTCTGCGCCCTATTGCCAAGTTACGACTTACAGGCCCATCTCCAATTAAATGTGGTAGAAGCACCAGCTGCGCATTGTAAGCGCCTGTTACGTCATTCCCCCACAGCTGATAAGATTACTTACAACTGAATAAGCCACCCAAAAGCGGGCCAGCAATAGCTGAGCAACTCCAGGTCACGCTGAGCGCCAGCGACCATTTGGCCCTACTTCTTGGTTCTACAATTTCTGAAGTTAGTACCCATACTGAACTGACAATTCCGCCGCCCCCAATCCCAGCCAAGGCTCTGGCTAAAATAAGGCCTTCAATAGACTACGATCAGCTGAGTCAAATGGTATGAACATTGGCAAAGAATTGAACGGAATTCACGTGTGCTGCACCGCAAAGTAATGAACCGATGGAGAAAATCAACATGCTTCCATATAAGATGTTCTGAGTGGTTATCAGCACCACAACACTGCGTTTGTCCAGCTGCCCACCTTACGTCCCATTAAATCCGACAGTTTTCCGTAAAGCGGCTGAAACGCTGTCTGCGTCAACATATAGGCTACGCCAACCCACGTATATTGGCTCTGAGATGCTGCCAAGTCACTAGCAATGGTTGGCAAACTAGTCGAGACAATGGTCTGCAAATATAATATGAGAGGAAGGCCCAGCGTAGTGCCACTATACGTACAGCATCTGTGGTTGCTAGAAACAGTGCCATAGCAGCCCTATGGCCTTGATTAAGCATGTCGGAAGGAAGCACATTCCGGAAGTATATTTACCCTATATGCACGAAGAGCAAACGCGAAGTAGAAAAACCAGGATCGGCCTGCGCCCCTTGTGAAGGGATCGGGGCAGCAGCTTGGATAGGGGAACCAACGGCCGCCGAAGTTGGCGGCACTCCAGGAGTGGGGGCGGGTTCACCGTTCGTCAACGAAGGGGCGGCTGGTTTCCGACAATCGAACGGCAGAGAAAACATGACTTATGGGTCAGGGGGTTATAGACAGGGATCTTAGTGTAAACTGTGTTGTCTGATCATAGTCCTCCCCCCCCTCCACTCCATTTTATACTTGGCGAAAGAGCCCCGGAAGTGGCTTCGAACCATGGTGGTGACCTATGTTCATTGACAAACGCCGCGATTCGACCTGAAAGGGTTTTGACCCTTTGAGCAGCCACGAAGGGCTGCATGATGACAACGGGACGCGCTTGAAATGACCAGCAAAGGTTGAATGAAGGGGCTTTGTGCCTAGGCCATAACGCATAAAGAAGCAAAGAAGACAGATTGCTGCCGGGGGGCACGTACTTTGAAAGAATATGGAAAGCCGGTATTGTAGGTTCTGGTCCCAGGAAAGAAATCCCTCGTCACATCTGCGCAAGGAACGGTTGGATCGTTTATGTGATGAGACCTACGAGACGAGATCTGGGAAGCTATCGCGGCCAAATCAATAATTTTTGAGTTTGAAACTTCGAAGGCCTTTCCAGGACAATGGTCAGATACGGATGGTAAAGGAACGTGAAGAGTCCTGGAGATGATAGTGGTTCCAAGTGGTTTCACCGCGGTGCTTTCAAGCCACGCGCCGATCTGAATGTAATCGAGTGTGCAACTCATTAGTACTACACCCGTCCCCTTCACATGTCGTCCACGCGACAGTGACGTCCGTTAATGTGGTCAGAATTCACACATATATCGTCCGTATTATTCTACCATTAACCATGCGTAGATAACATGGTGTTTCTATGCGGCGTGCAGCTAAGCTGTAGCCCTCCTCTTGGAATCCTTTTCCGCGTTGTCCGGAGAAGTATCGTCCGTTGCAGCGTCCCTTGTATGAGGTCCCTCTACCGAGTGGGATTGAGGAGCAATTGATGACATCAAGCGAATGTCGCGATAACAAACCATGGATAAATCAATGCCCAGTGAGCTCTCGTATTCTCTTCCGCACGCGAGACAACCACCCGTCCTCGGAGGACAGTGGTGAATGAGGAAAAGAAGCCGTACCGTTATCAGTAGATGCATTAGTATTATATGAGCTTCGGCCGTCAGGATTCCCCTTGTCCGCAGTGGTCGATGATGAAGTATTGCTCCGGCCCTCAACATCGTCTGCATACTGCTGTAGTATCTCCCGTTGCCGCTTCGATAGAGATCTGTCATCAGATCAGTTTATGACCCCACGAACTCATTACGACAGCACTTAACCTTGGAAGCTGAACAATGAACGATACAAACAGGTCTCCCTTGCCACTGTCAAAGACGGATGGTACACCATGATTACGGAGAACCATTTCTTCGCCATGTTGCGTCCCGCTTGGTACACGAACATCGACGTGTCCGTCGAGGGTAGGGACCCTGATGCGACCACCTAGAATAGCGACGTGCATAGGTATTCGAGCTTCGTGATGCAGATTAGCGCCTTGCCGCCGGAAAACCTTGGAAGGGGAAACGCTGACGCGAACGAGAAGGTCTCCGTGGTTACCTTTCCCAGCCAAAGGGGCATCACCGGCTGCAGGTACACGTATGGTCATACCATCTTCCACCCCTAATATTGCCGGTGAATAAAAACTTCTAATAGAAGACGCGCGACTCACCTGGCGGTATATCAACCTTAACAGTCTTCTTGGTTCTAATATGACCTTGCCCGTTGCAAGTGGAACACTGACTCCCTCGAGGGACAGTGGATCCCGTTCCAAAACATGCATTACAAGTGCTTGCCATCTGGAAGCCGCTGTCGATAACAAAAGTCTGCGTTCCAGTACCATGGCAGGAAGAACAAGTTGCCCGTTTCGCGCCTCGCTTGAGACCAGTGCCGGAGCACGTAGGGCACGCGATGACTGGGTTCACATTCACATCGAGCGAAGTTCCTTTGCAGGCATCCATAAAGCCAATATTGACGCGAGCCTCGACATCAGCACCTCTAGAACTCTGGTGAAATCCCCCAGAGCGAGTGCGGCCGCCGAATGCCCCGCCAAAAAGCTGGGAGAACAGATCGCCCTGACTAGACCCAAAAGCCTCTTTGAAATCATGGAATCCCGAGAAACCACCTGCGCCTGCATTTGCAAAAGGATTCCGAGCAAATGCGTTTGGGTCGAAACCCGGCTGTTGTGAAGCAGAACCATATTGGTCGTAAGCTGCTCGCTTCTTGTCATCTTTCAAGGTCTAGGAAAGTGTAAATATGCTTTGTAAATGGCACGAGGCACACACACATACATCATAAGCCTCCTGTATCTCCAAAAACCTCTGCTGAGCTCCCTTGTCTGGGTTGGTGTCCGGGTGGTACTTGCGCGCAAGCTGGTACCCGAAATGGATAAGCCAAAATGACCACGAATAGATTAAATGAAGCCCGTACAGAGAAATAGGCCTTCTTGATATCAGTGGATGATGCGTCCTTGCTTACACCGAGAACTTCGTATGGATTTTTCGCGCCAGCCGAAAGTGGTGCGGATGTATGAAAGCCTCGCTGTAAGGAAATATGGTTAGAGGACGCGTGTTTCACGGAAGAAATGGAAATTGAACCTTGGATTTGCATTTGCTCCTGGAGACACGATGAGTTAGTGTGTCTAGCGGAGGTAGACGAGAGCATGTTCCGGGGTGGTTTCGATAGCTATGCGTGAGCTGCTGTCTTGCGCAAGCGTAAAACGACACGAAAGAGGAAAAACCTTGTGAAGTGAACCGAACGATCATCTGGCGCCGGCGTCCAGTTGGCAGCAACCAAGCCAGTCGACTTTTTAAATTTCTAGTACCGCCTCAAAGGGTGTCCAGTCAAGCCGGTGTTTGAGTCTATTTGGAGGTCTGACTAATCACCCCCTAATTGGATTGTGCGCAAGTGGCGTATTACACTAACTTGAGGTGAAAATCCTAAAGGTACGTACGGCAACGATATCACTTCTCACAGTTCTCCCGATTGATCCGCACGGTCTCAAAGTTCAACGTTCAACATTCACATTCATTCCTAAAGCATGCAAGGGAGGGGACTGGCACACCCGTTGTGAATTTAATACGGATGTAGAATAGAACACACACGTAAACTAACTGCCTCCATCTCAGGACACCGCAAGTGACACGGCCACCTCTCCCCAAAGTCCAGCCCGTGCCAGCCTGGCGTACTAGGAAAAAAATATTTTGACGGTGAAGATGGTCAGCAGGTCTAAAGAACCCACGATCTATCGCTCACCTTACAAGGTCAGCTCAGATCCAGGGCAAGGTAAATTGATGTTATCCACCATGTTGGTCCCCTCTGAATCGCCACCAAGACTTGCCGTACGACACCAGTATCTCGTCACCCTTCTGAATGTGGTCTGATGAACTCCATACACTCATGCGCAATTCTCCCATGGCAGTGCGATACTCCACGAAGATAGCATTGGGCTTGCATCGGATGCCTCGATAGTCGTTAACAAATCTTGCTTCGTTTCCCATCTTACTGGCGTCAACGCCCACATTTACGCCGTCTTGCGAACGATGAAGTGATAGATCATAGTTCGAATCTAGTCTGTCCTGGCAATGCACTTCACCGATATAGTCAATGATGTGTGTCCTTGGGGGAATCTTCCTGGCGGCGAAAAGCCCAAATTGTCCTCGTGCAGGGTGAGAAGCATCCGAGATGGATCGAATGCGCACGACGGTGCTCATGGTGCTATTAGACGGCTTTGGAGGGGCTGGATGGCTTGTATGTCTTGCGCCATTAGTCAGGAATAGCCGCATATCAGTTCGTACAGAAGCATGGTATCGCGGAGAGGTGATGTACTGAACGTCTGGGGGCCACAACGAAGGTCTGGCCACGGACTGCTTGGCCATGTAGCCTATAACTGCGTTGACTGACACGTCGGAAGGGAGAGGGCGTCTGCTCATGGCTGGCGCTGACGGACCGTGGGAAAATTCCGTCTTCCACCAGTCCCGTAGTACCACTACGGGCAGCCTCAGTGCTTGCAGCCAAGATTAAAACCTCAATCATCCCACTTCACGAAAAATATTCATGGTGCGACCCCCAGCGAAGTCTGTCGCACGCGTCTACCGGGATGTCAATGCACAGTTTGGCCCTGCGTGGTATGAATATGGTCAGCGCGCTTGGCCTTTGTTTGCCGTTCATCAACTGAGCCTTTGCTACCACAGATAATCTGCAAGTGCAGTGGGGTTCTCAGGATCACTATGAAATCGTGCGCAAGGTGGGGCGTGGAAAGTACTCGGAGGTGGGCCAATGTTGGAGATCATGCCATCTGCAGATGCTGATACCCTTGATCCTACCAAGGTATTCGAAGGCGTGAATATCGTAAACGACGAGAAGTGCATTATCAAAGTCCTTAAACCGGTCAAAAAGAAGAAAATAAAGAGAGAAATTAAGATCTTGCAGAATCTCGCCGGCGGTCCGAATATTGTCGCTCTTTTAGACGTCGTCCGAGACCCGGCATCGAAAATTCCCAGTTTGATCACAGAATACGTTGACAATGTCGATTTTAAAGTGCTATATCCAAGGTTTACGGATTTTGACGTTCGCTACTACATGTTCGAGCTCCTCAAGGCAAGTTTTCTGTCGCAATCTCCTTGTGTACCCGTTGAAGTGTCATCCAGGCTCTTGACTTCTGTCACTCAAGGGGGATCATGCACCGGGACGTCAAACCCCACAACGTCATGATCGACCACGAACGACGAAAGGTATCTATTTTGCCATCGCACTTCGAAATCAGCTACTTACATGTTCTCGTAGCTGCGGCTTATTGACTGGGGCTTGGCAGAGTTTTACCACCCAAGAATCGAATACAACGTTCGGGTTGCCTCCCGCTATTTCAAGGGGCCGGAACTTTTGGTGGACTTCCAGGAGTACGATTATAGTCTTGACATGTGGAGCTACGGATGCATGTTTGCTTCAATGGTAAGACCATGATGTGCCAATCGTCTCTCCGGATTCCCTTCCTCTCTTCTTTTTTATGCTTTGGCTGTAGATATTCCGCAAGGAGCCGTTCTTTCATGGACACGACAATTACGATCAGCTCGTTAAAATTGCGAAAGTCCTTGGCACGGATGAACTAAACGCTTACATTGAAAAATATGGTATCCGACTTGATCCACAATACGACGAGCTCCTGGGAAGGTTAGTATTGCCGTTCGGATAATTAGAAACAAGCTCAGGTTTTGGTCAGGTATCCTCGCAAGCCATGGCCAAGATTTATTACTTCAGAAAATCAGCGCTATGTCTCTAACGAAGCGATAGACTTCTTGGACAAGTTGCTGCGCTACGATCACCAAGAGCGGCTTACTGCACGCGAAGCTCAAGCCCACCCATACTTCGGTGAGCACCAGTTTATTATCGACAATGTTGTACTCACATCCCAGTCAGATCCTGTGCGCAACGCAGCTGCGGTCGCTGACGGTGAGAGCGAGGACTCAGGCGCGTCCTCGGTGTGATCTATAACTTTCTAATTTCTGCCATCTTGAATCTCCGTACACATTGCATATAGATATTACGAATTTGACTTGCGGAATACCCGGTAAATCGCTATATGTCGACAGATATCTGTAATCCATACTCAGAACACCTCCTACTTTGATGCTGGCACTTGCTGTTTCACCCTTTCCTCTATCTTTCCCTGTATACCGCACACTTGGTGCTTTCCTCGAGTGCTTTGAGCTTGGGCTAGGCTCCATTTACCAACAAAGTCTGGCCAGTTGAACGTCCTCTCAACATTCCAACTATGCTAGGCCTACTGCCACTCAGAATGAGTCTGCTAAGATGCAAATCATGCTTAGCAAGTTATTAACCGAAGTACACATTCGTTAGGCGCCCCTAAAGCATTGCAATCTCCCAACGACGACCATGTCAGTTGGGGCCAACGTCGCGGTTGTAGAGGATGTGGATGCTGTCGCACCAAGCGAACCAAGCGAACAGCAGCCCCTCCTCACCTCTTCTACCAAACCATCGCACTATACGGTCGTTGTCACAGCCTCTCAAGACGACGAAGTAGCGGACTCAGATGTAGATGCTGCTGCAGCAGCAAAGCCGAGGTCAATTCAGAAGATCTTGTTTCAAACGCTTGTCGTACTTTTCGGAGTGTTCATTCTCGTCCTTTTTATTAAAGGATTTATCGATGCCGACGACGTGGAGGTATGAGACATGAGTTCATGTCTCGTTGTCTCCTCCTCATCCTACGCCCCCGCAATATCCCTTAGTTCGATCTAGGAACTGCCCTCAAGAAAGCTCTTGGTGGCGGACTCAGCGGCGCTGCAGGTGAGAGGGAGGGTGACACGCGGAGGGTACACCGCTGACTTTCCACTAAAACAGCCATGGTCCTCCAGGTGTTGACTTTGATGGTAAGTCCTTCGGCTCGGTCGCTCGATGGGGATTCAAGACGACAATTACATTCATCCAGCCTCTCCGAACGGTAATGAACTACCAATACCGCTACGGGACAACAACTACCGAAGCGATCAAGATCCTCAATGCAGATGGTGGATTTTCTCGGTTCTACCAAGGTCTCACTGCGGCGCTCATCCAGGGGCCCATCGCGCGATTCGGCGACACGGCTGCCAATGCAGGGATTCTTGCCTTACTGCAGGGTAATGTGTACATGAAGAAACTTCCCACTTTGATCAAGACTGTGTTCGCGAGTGTTGCCGCTGCATGCTTTAGGATGATACTTACACCTGTGGATACGGTCAAGACGGCCCTGCAGACGCAGGGCAGGGATGGATTGAAGTTACTTAGGGAAAGGGTAACTGGAGTCGGTGTTGCATCGTCTCCATCTTAAAGCCAGCCATTTCTTTTAGGTGAAGAAATACGGTATTGTCAGTCTCTGGTACGGCGCATTTGCCACGGCAGCTGCGACCTTTGTTGGCCACTATCCCGTACGTGTCTCTGTGTTGTCCACGGGTGAAGCTTGAAAAGTGAATTCATCAGTGGTTTGGGACATACAACTACCTGGACGCTGTTCTTCCACTGCCCGTCACTCTGGCACAAAAATTCCTTCGGTCTGCATTTATAGGCTTTGTTGCATCTGTTGCTTCCGATAGCATTTCCAACTCGTTACGTGTCGTCAAGACGTATCGCCAGGTAAATGCGACACGTATCAGCTACATCGATGCCGCGCGGGCTGTCATTGCTGCGGACGGACTTCAAGGATTACTTGGGCGGGGCTTGAAGACCAGGATATTGGCTAATGGATTACAGGGATTGATGTTCTCGGTCCTATGGAAACTGTTCATGGACTTGTAAGTTCATGTGCTTCGATTTAAGTGGTATCTTTGGAAGACTAATGACGGCTTTGACAGATGGAATGAGAAAACCAAGTAATGCTTGCTTATACCAGATAGCCTGGCGTGGGTATCAGTGATGTGAAGGGATTTGGTTTTTAGATCGTGTTCGTCCCTAGAACTACCTGGTATCATAGATCCGCGAATTTCACTATGGATATATCAGCAGGGATATGGTGACCGAATGTAGTAAAAGTTTGTCTCCAAGCTCCAAAGCAATACACCGACGGTTATTCGATGAATAATATAATTTGATTCAGGCTTCGACTATAGTGTGTTGTATCCCCGCACTTCATCTAATGTATACACACCATTGAAAGTTTTCGCGCATTGCAGACGCTATTCAGTACGCTCACGATACAGGCATCAATCATCGACGTCGTCGCTTAGGAGAAATGCCTTGTCGCAGTACACTCCCTACGGGTGGCATTGATAATTCCCCCAAGGACTCCGCGGCGTCTGCAGTCGTCGGAACTGCATTCTGGGATTTGACCCTTTGAGGGGTCTTGTTCTTTGGGGGCGGGGGCGGTCCGGGGTCATAATTCGGATTGTTGGGTGCCCAAGCAAAGCGGTTGACGCGATCATACAATTGACCACTAACGCAACTAAACGAGTAGCAATCCAGGTGAGGAGGTGGAGTCATGGTCTGCGCGATGGTCTGCAGATGGGTATAAATAGTGTAGCCAGCGTGTGCGTCATTGGCCGCATCTAGGGGGTTGCATTAGAAAACTGAAGGACAGGTCCATTGGAAAGGGGTTTTCGCAACACCGAGATTTATTGTGACGAAAAGACAATGTTGTCGTGTCACTTACAAATTTGCTGGGTAGACGAAAGAGGAAGTTCCCAGTTGCTTCGTTGGGTTCTTCCTTTATGAAGGGTTGTCCCGTGGTAGGTTTGAAGAAGTCTTGCCAAGCCGATGGGATTGGTATAGCGCCCCTTCCATCGGGCGTTGTCGACGGACCGAGCCATTAACGACAGGTCAACACAATTACGAACGCTAAGGCGATAATCCCTGTATAATTTTTTACAGTCCTCTGCACAGATAGTGTAGGCGATAACGTGGGCGTAAAGGCGAAAAGCGAGTTACCTTGTATGTTGACGCCAACTTTTATCCATTGTGAACCATTTAGTACGTCTCTAATCTTGTGTGGAATTTCTGCCGAGTGCACGGGTGTCAGAGAACTACGAACATGGTATGCGTGCCCGTACCTCTCATCTTGCATATGTGGAGGAGCAGAACGCAGTCAGCCGCCGCGAGCTGTATGAGGGCTACGCGGTTCTGTGGCTGATCCTTGCGATAACAGGGTTTCCATTCAAGGTCGAAACCAATTGGGCCATGTGGGAGGGCTGAAAGACAGTTGTTCGCGACGTTGGGATCGGTTATGTAGATTGGGGGGAGAGGAAGAGAGTGCAGCGGGTAAGTTTCCTGGTCACTCCTAAGGAGCGTTTAGTACACGATAGCCTGTGATGTATGATATATGAATATTGCATACTGGGAGGTTGCCATCGTCGGACGACACAGGCCACGGGGTTCATGGGAGGGGGGGTATAGTGGGGAGGGCGGGGGGTCGAGATACCAAAGAGAGGTTTACGGTAAAAATAGAACAAGGCCACAAATTGAATTGGTCAGACGGGCCGGTTCCTGGCGTAAGCAGGCGACCAAAATGAATGTATTTACCACGGATATAAATAGGAAATTCCTGCCAAGACATTGTTAAAAAAAGGTCACACCTGGAGAGTGTCACACCGCGTCACACGTTCTTCGTCTGATGCCCTTGCTGGTGGCGATCTGAGGTCGACTGGACCGTCGACATTGGGTGGGACTGGATGGGATGGACGGACGGACAAGGCAGACAGCGAGAGAGCAGGCGTGCAAGGAGGCTGATCGACCCTCAAATATAGATTCCACTCCACTCAGCAACTCGGATGGTTTGAGCCTCGACTTTGGCTTGGCATTCTAATTTTGAAGGACGGTCGTGCTCAAAGATAGAACGTTGGACTTGGCTCTCCTACAAAAACTATGCCTGCTCTCCTCACAGCCCCCCTCACTTCATCCCAGCCATGCACGCCCCCCCCTCCCAGTCCTCCGCCGACCTCAGCCGTCTCCTCAACTCCTCATGGAATCTCATCGAACAGGTACTCCAATCACCCCTTAGTGTTAAACCCCTCATATATATTGCATCTCCACAGTCTCCACCTCCCAGCCTACGGGAGATCCTTGGGGCCTACAAGGCAAAGGGTGACGGCGACAGAGACATGCTCTTGGCCATGCTCAACGCCAAAAGTGCCGAAGACCAGGTTCGTGTGGCCCACTCCCCCTTCATCACTGTGCCTCATCACATATCAAAATCTAGCGACTTGCTGCCGTGGCTTCTTTGCACAGGACTCTTCTTGACTTGTCTTCTCTGCACCATGCAACACCTTCCGCATCATCACAACCGCTTTTCCCCCCCTCCTCATATAACCGCAATTCACGATACACTCCCTACCCTGCTGACCTACACGTCCCACGTCATCCCCCCAGGGATTCCCAATACCATTCCCAACCGTTGGCCAAGCGGCGTCGTTCTCGCTCTCCGCCTTCTCATATCGACGCCCGTCCTTCCTCTCACGACTTTCCTCCCTCTCCGTACTCCTCGTCGCGAAGCGGTTCTGAGGAGTACTCTCCCCGCTCAAGGGCTTCCATGGCTATAGGTTCTTTACTCTCCACGGGTCCCCCCAAGGATTCTGTATCAGATGACTCCCAAGGTTGTGATCGGTCTCGTATACCTTGTTAAGAAGCCACGCCCGCCATTCCCCCACTGATCATATCACTCTGATTTATTCGGTTTCAATTGTGTACTCTCCATTGTACAGTAGTTTCGTAGCCATATCTTTGTTACCTCATGCACTCGTAATAGACGCACCCTCTCACTCCTGAAACCATGCCATTCAGTCCCCGCTGTCAATGTTTTTTCTCCGACAATGGCGGCTGGTGTTCTGTGATAATTATCACTTGGGCTTGGCTTGATGGCCTTCCTCCAGAACTTGGCATGTTGGAAAATCTTCCCAGCCCATACACGTGCGAGGCAGTGCGTCCTATAAGCCTGTGAGGGCCGTGACGTACGCTATAACTGCATGTGTGCGCTCGAGAGGGAAAGAAAAGATGGCTATCCATGCAGCCGATTCGCCGCTTGCGCGTGTAGCCCATCTTGCCACCTTTGTCTTGCCTGCATTATATCGCCCATCCCAAGCTCCCCTGGCCTGGATGTTTTTTTACTGGGCCGGGGGACAGCCTCGGACAACAAAGTAAACTCTTTCCGCTTCTACGATGTTAGATTAAATTTGTGGGGAACTAATGTGTGATTGCCAGGGTATCACGCCTGAGAGTGTCTCTCCGGCCATACTGACCCAGATCTCACTGGTCATCCGAAATTCGGCACCGTTGTATCAAAGCCGGCCTCTGTTTAAGGAAGCGCTGCGCTTTGTCTTCTCGTGCTCGAGGCATACGGAACAACCCTGCAGAGCCACCGTGTTTGTCAGAGATTACGAAGCCAACTACATTGATGGCATAGCTCTCCTACCTCAATATCAATGTCAATGGCTGAATTGAACCAGACAGGCGGCGGTCATTTTCGGTGCGCGGATCTGGTATAGTAAAACACTGGTACAGTCACGTGATTCTCGTGTTGAGCGGACCTGTCATCGTCGTCGTACTTTGTGTTGGGTCCAATGCCACACTCAGACAGTGATGACGAGTTTCCAAACGACTTTGACGGTGTCGACTTCAGCGCTGTCCCTGAACTCCAAGCCCAGCAACTTCCACCATCTCAAGCCGGACCCTCAACAATACCCTCTAGTCAGTCGGATCGTGCGGGTACCCCCACATCCGGCCAAGGAATTGGCATCGTAACCCCCATTTCCGGGACCAGGAGTACTAGTCGGGCGTCTTCTCATTTTGACTCTTTCGACGAATTGGACGTGGATCCGTACCTCCTCGCCGCAATTGACGAGATCGAATCGCGTGCCCTTCGGGAACATCAGTCAGGTACAGTCCCCGCGTTTCCCGAACCCCCTTTCGCGAACGTGTCGCCCTTGGGTGATTTTGGCAAGGGGAAAAAACGTGAGCAAATGCTACACTGGGACATGTATGTGCATGCACACTGACGCTTGAGCAAGGCTCCATTGCTGAATGTGATTTTGATTCACAAGTTCTGATAACACCTCCCGTAGTCTTAAGATTGGACGCACCCAAGTCCAACTCTGGAGAGAGCCTACAGACCATTCTTGAGGGGTATGAGAACGAAATAATGTGTCCAATGCATGTCTTTCAAGTCAACTATCCACAAAATACGTCATTGACCTTGTATCCAGCTGCTGCGACATCCTGTACGACGACCTTGCGTGACATCGAACACAATCGTTGATGTTATTTTTCAGCGTTGCTGCGTTCATGTGTAACCCGTGTGGCCATACAACTTGTGGAGACTGTGGCTATGGATGGATATCACGCAACGTGCGCATTTGCATTACTTGATCTCCCGTGTGCCTTTATTCGCCTACCTTTCAGAAATATTCCCCTACATGTGCTGTATGCCGCTCAGAACTCATAAAATCGAAACCTCTCCTCCCAAACTATGCCATTGACAACGTCGTTAAACACCATATCAGTGCTCTGGCAGAGAGCGGTCGAACAGAATGGCAGAAACAAGGATATAGGCTTATTGATTGGAAGAAGAGATTGGAGTAAGGTACCACTACGACATATTCCCCCCCACTAAACCTTCGCTCCCAGTGCATGGAAGAAACAGTATCCGAGTATACTAGCGGAAGAGAATGCTCGAGAGGTGCGAACACGACAACCCGTCGATCACCCTGCCGAGTACTACGAATCTCTTCGGCGTGCTTTGAACTACAGCCCGGCACCACCTCCTCCAACTAGTAATCGTCGGTCGAGACGGAATCGACGGCACCATTAACGACGTAATAGTATCACGCTTCTCCACTGGACTTCCGCTGCATCCTGTCAGAATTCGAACATTGACTTCTTGCAACTAAGGAATTCTGCACACTATCCTCTGGGACTTTTTCGGACCGACATCCGTATCTGTGACACTAAAGTTGTATCGCGCAGCGTACTAGTTTTCTTTCTCCTCATAAAGCTTTCATTTCCGATTCTAAGCTATGCCAAAACGCTCGTCAGCGCTGATCCAGGAATAGTCAGAATAAATAAGACGAATTAGAGTCGGGCGTACAAACTAGAGACCGTATTGACCGAAGTGGAGTATTGAAGCTGTGACCAGTGTCGTACTAAGGCGGTGTAAGCATTTGCGGGTAGCCTGCGGAACGAGTACGGTGACGTCGCAGCCCTTGCAACGTACACCCCGACAAAGCTGTAGATGCATCAGACATGGAGCAGAGCCCTTCGCCAAGCTATACAAAAAAATATCCATTCAAATAATGCCGTACGCAAAAATCACCAATAACCCAGGGGTCCATGTCACCGGGGCGGAAAAGGGGGAGATTACTAGGTATCATGATATTGATACTGTATGGGAGCTCAGTGTCGGGGAAGGATCTGCTTGTCATTCACAGGCCATGGGAAAGTAAAAACACGTCGCATCCTAAAAGCGACGCCAAAAGAGCTGTGAAAAGCACGGCGGGAAGAGGTATGGGATGCGGGAACGGATGCAGCTGAGCTCTAACATTAACTCAGTTGATCGGTGATCGTGAGAGTGAAACCCACCCTTACTCGATATCCGTAATGAGTGCTAATAACCAGGGCTTGATAAGAGCAATGCGTGGTTGTCTGGCTTCGTAATTTCCTACCTTGCTGAGAAAGCAAGTTGACAGTACGATGCAGCCTACACGCTGCAGCTGAGATCATAATCTTCTAGAACACCGTAGAGAATGTTCCCCTTCGGTGTACTGTACATAAAAATCGGCGACCTACACTCGCGTAGACTTCTGAGAACGTTTTCGCCATCAATAAATGTTCCTCGACAGTCGATACTAATCAGCAAGTATTTGGAGTAAGCTCGAAGTGTGCGACGAAAGTGATCTGTTGGATTATCAGTTTCGATCAGAATCGTGATGATCCAAGGACGTAGCTGGGATCCTGGCATGACTGTGGCGTTCAGAACCAATACATACGTGGTCCGCTGAAACAACGGAAAGACTCTTGGCAAAGAAGACATTAATATGATTCTATCACCGCTCGGCAAAGTTGTGTCAACCTATCCAATCAACATCGCCAAAGCATAAGTAAACTTCATGCACCACATCACAAGCAGTTGATCCACTCAGTTCAGTTCATGTAGAAGAATCGGCATATCTCCGATGTCGTCGGAAAGTGAGTGAAGCTTGAGCTCACCGTTTGGGGAAAGCTGGATGTTTGGAATGTCAGCGGAACCCAAACAACTGCACTGCCCATTCTTCGATGTCACTGTAACTATCTCGTCCTGGACAGGTACTAGCCAAAACCTGATCTCTTGCGGCATGCGGCATTCCTGGGAATAAGGGCCATAGGCGGATATAATTGACTGTTTGCGCCTGGCAGGGGAGAGCATGAAACTTCGTGTTCAGGGACGCACAAATCATGCTTTACGCCTGGTTCCGCCCAATAGAGGCAAGAACGTTACATCCCGAAAACTTCTTATTCTACACCTGGATCTCCTGCCAGCATCAGCTGAAATATTTTGCGCGCAGGGTACGGATAAGAAATCGGTTCCCCCGTAAGGGTCCGATCCACCCTGATAGAAAAAGAATTGGTCTGGTCTGTCCTGCGCTGGAGTCGTCGACAGTACGATGGGAATTGCGGGAGTATTAATTGCAGACATTGAAACGGTGCTCAGTCATCGTCGCGCTCGTCACCACAAAAGTGCCGACCACTACCCTGAAAATCTCCGCCGCAGCTGGTCGATATTGATCGCGAAATAATACCATCGAGAATTTCGTCGGACAAGTCGTACTCGGAGGTCCGAATGACAGTGGCGTAGACGGCTACAAGGCATGTCAGCACTCAGGAGCTAGAGTAAGCACCACTATAAACACCATCTTCGATTTTTGCCAACGACTCTGCGGCAACAGCCTGCTTCTTGCGAACCTCTTTTACAAGTGGGGCGCATTTGCCAAGTTCTGGAAACTTAGTAGATCAAGTAACCTTAAGCTTGTAGCCCCTGAGTTACTCGCCAGTCCTGCACTCTCGGACAATACCACAGATTTGTCGCGCCCGATCGCGTCCACCTTTGCGGGCAATACCAGATATCGCTAATCGCATGAGTTCCCCCGTCAGGTCTGACAAACCGCAAAGGTAGTCCTCCAGTGGGAGGGGAAAGAACTGAAGTCGTAAGGGAATGTTGACGAAGTTTAAGGCGAATGCATACAGGGACACCGTTTTCGTCTGACAGCTCCTGCTGAACCTGACTAAAGGACACCAGCGTAGAGTGTCCAAGGTACCAAGCGAAGCTGGTTGCCTCCACGTACCTAGCCGACGTGAGTGATTTCAGAGAAGAACAGATGAGAGAGATGGGCAGTTTACTCCTGCAAACATGGGGAAATGGCTCGATGGTGACGCCAAAACAAGTCACCCTGGAGCTCCATCTTTATCTTAGCGTATAAGGCTTGGACCTCACGTAGCTTTTCCATCCCAGACTCGGATGCCCTCTTCGACAGCGCACTGGCGTCCTGGACATCCTCGTTCATGATACGATGAAGGAGGAAGATGACCTTTTTAGAAAGATTGGTGATGTCGCGACTTGCCTGGATGACCAGCTCCTAAGCGGTGGGAAGTCCATAGGTTCTGTCTATAAAGTACCTTGATAAGAGACTCCCTTCTATCATTTTGAGCGTCGAATTCTTTTTTGAACCCGTCGAACATGTCCTGGATCATGCATACGTCCGATGTAGCCATGGTTCTGTCCTGTTCTCATTCTGTCCCCTGAATCCCTATGGAGGAAGTGTCACACCGTGACCGTGACAAGCGGGTGTTCATTTCTCAGCGCTTGTCCGGTAGCGCTGCCGCCCTGCAATCATCCTCATGGCATTTGCTCCCAAAGCTGGCTGTCCCATGTGTGGGACTATCGCTGACGCGGTCGCGGCTGTGCAGACTGCGAGCTCTTCCACGCCGCATCCAAACGTGAGCCCGGATGTCCTTTGGAAAGATGACAATTTTACTGCGTGCCGGGAAAGTGTGAATCCTGTGTCCAGCAAGGGTCACATAATAATAGCGTTCAAGTAAGTTTCAAATGTATATGGTTCCTCCTGGTCTAGTGAGGTCGCGTTTCAACTCATTGATCATTGTACTTGGTTGCAACCAATCCAATGGCACAGCTTCCACGTCCCCTCCTTGTACCATTTGGTACGTACCGCTCAGTACTTTGCACTTACCCTAAGAGCATCTGATCTTGCACTCAGTCATCGAGTGACCTCCCACTCTTAGCGTCCCTTAGGGATCTTGCTAAACGCCTCCTCTCCTCCATTTCTCCTTCAACAGCTCCGGGGCCGGGATACACGTCCCCCATTCCCGCACGTAACGACGCTCATTTCCGCATCGGGTTTATAACGCCGCCTTTCAGAGACAGTAAAATCCCTGTCACGGGCCATCTGCACGCGCACGCCTACATCGCTCCCGCAGATCTTCTCGGCTGGTGGAGAGGCCTCGCATATAGCTCACTAGCTTGGTACGCCATCGACGATCTGATTGCGGAAATTCGGTCTGTTGCCATTTATTTCTGGCTCTTTCCCCCACACCTGATAGGTTTGGTGGCTGTTCCTTTCATCAGGGAGTCTGTCTCCAACAACCGTGTCAAGTCAGGCTACGAAGGTCGCACGAGTGCCCCAATAGATTCTGTACCCGAGGCGGGAGCCAGGACAGGCTTTGCGAACGGTAATGAACATACCATTCCCAGCATAGCCGTTTGCGACAAGGAACTTGGGGAATCGTGAACGTTCTAGTCCGAGTGACGCACCCTGCATTGGCTTGCAATACTGATTGTCAGGGATACAGTTACCCAATTATTCTTTTTCCATCTGATACCTATATACCAACTTATAACCTCTTATATCCAATCAATTGACATGTCAAGTGTTGCACCGTGCCTAGGCATCTGAGGAACGCAGTCAGGACACACCAAGGTTACTGATAAGTCAACACTCACAGTATGACGACCCAGTCAACAGAGTTGAGAGTGCAGCCAGTTGATCCTCGGTGAAGCGGCGGGAGTCCTCGTGCCAAGTATCTTGGTGGGTCTTCCTAAAATTACTCGCGCACCTGTGAATGGTCGTCGAGATAGGGATCTATAGAAATGAGTCAGATTCCATGGAAGTAAGCATTGCATTTGATACAAACAGGATCATGCGCATGCTCTAACATCACAGTCGTCAAAAGTTCCGGCATCCACTTCTCAATAGTGTACGGAAAACTGTCAACCAGAGCGCATATACCGATAATAGCCGCATGGCGTTGTCGTAGAGAAGGGTTATATTCCAGCGATTCGCGGTTAGGCAAACAGCTCTTGCTCGCCAGTTTTACGAATCGGTCCTGTCGCCAAGCTCAACATTACAAAGACGACAAAACTTATTAATACTTACTCTCAAGTTCAAGACACTACGTCTTGGGGACAACCTAAGTATTCCAGAGAGTGTCCTGCAAGCATTTAATTCTTAGTCTGATAGTCGGGCAAGCCCATCAGCTTACGTTCCGGCCATCTCCCGTACTTCAACCACGTCATCATCGAGGCATTTACACAAGACCTGGGAGTTCCGATGAACGGGGCCATCTGTGAACGCGAAACAAGTACTCACATCCAAAATTTCGACCACCTTCTCTTCGTTGATGAGGGGCAATTGCCGGAAGTACAAAACTGTCAAAATAACCGTGACAAGAAAGACTATACACAGGACAAGATCATACCTTGCAGAGTAGGCAACGCTTTCAATCGCACTTTCCAGGACTACGGTGCGGCGGCATGAGCGTGGAACTGTAAGCATCGAGCAGGACGTACTGGCGAATTCTGTATGGCGGCGAATATGGCATCTAGAAGCGGTGAAATCAATGGGCGCGGTGGAATAACGCCACACATGCGAAAGAGTAGGACGCTGGCTCGCCGAGCCAATTCCTCGTTGTCACTGACTAACCAGACAGAGTGATGAGAACAATTTGCACAGATGTGAGGAACGGTATATTTACTTTCGGTGAAACGGAAAATTTCAGGCTAACAACAGCAGTCAGTAGCAGTGTGAAGTGAGAGCCAGTTACTCACAAGCAGCGGGAGTATATAGTCAAAGGCTGACATTGCTTCTGTGTCGTGTAGAGATTGGTATAACCACCGACAAACTGTTACCCCCACCCTAGTACATCACTAAACTTAGCTTGCCGACGAGGATCCGTGGGAACAAGCATACCTATCATATGTTGACTGGAAAGCACGCACACCTGGCAGACGCTCTTCACGCCACTTCTTCAAGTTCTCGACCAACTCTGCTACCCGTTGGGTATGGTATGTGCCGCGTATACCCATAATATCGTGGTCCAAAGGAAGTGTCCGGCACTCTTTAACAAAAGTTTCGACGTCGGGTGACGAAGGTCGAGGATCCCACTGAAAGTGGGATTAGTGGCGGGGGTTGACTAGAGAAAGCCAAACAGACCTTTATGCCTCCGCACACAGATAAAAGTTCGGCAACGTAGGCCCGTACCTGTTTAGCCATGAGTAGAAGCTCGCAGACAAAAACATTCTCTTACATCATCATGTTCACTATACACTTCCGGCCAGAGGCGTTCTAAGATGGCGTCCGTCCAGGGCACGAACTTCCATCCCATGCCGGTGTAGAATGCACGGAACAGCGACAAGACTTTCACGGAGTCGATTGCTAACTGACCGTTGAGATCTATTCGGCCAAGCAGATCCATCACATGGTTCACAAGCGGGATAACGCGTCGAGGGTCCTTGCGGTGGAACATGTACTAGAGGAAATGTTAAAATTCGGCTGCACCAGAAGCGGAATGTACGAATACATCTAAGAATGTTGACCAGATTCCAACGTTCTCAGTCTTCATGGTTTGGTTGAGCGTCTTATACACGAGAGGTTTGGCCCAGTCCCAAACGCGCTCTTGTTCCTCCAGACTCCAGTGTTTTGAACCTAATTCCAATCGACTCGTCAATTCGACGGTCACACCGGTGCCAGTCCTTACCATTGAGTACGCCTGCTAGCAATTCTGCAGCCGCACGTTGCTTGTTCTTGTCTGGATCAACCAACAGTTCTTCCACTTTCGGTTTCATGATGTCACAGATTTCACTTCCTAGAAGTTGGACTACACGAGAATCAATGAAGTCGACGCAAAAGCAACAGCGATACTCACATATAGACTTGATGCAGGAGATATGGTCTTGTACAACTACACTCTCCTGAGTTTCCTCCGCGTAGTAGCCAGAAACCTTGGTCCAGAAGTCTGCATTTAATGCCATCTCGCGCACACAGGCTATTGCATCTTTGCTTTCATGTTCCCACTGGAAAGTTGGTGCGAGGCGATGCGGTGGTCGATAGGCTGTACGAGTCTTACGGCAGGCGAGCCACCCTTCGAGCATATCATCAAAGTAAAGGCTATTGCACTCAGAACACTGTTAAAAAGACAAATATTTCCTACCTACCTTTGTGGGGAAAGGTGTTCAGAAGGTGTGACTGGCTTTCCTGCGAAATAAGCGTCGAAAATTTCTTGCGTACTGGCTTTGCAATCACTGACGGGCCATTCGACCTTGAGTGGGGTAGAGGGGTTGGTCAGGGCAAGGGAAGCAGGATCCGGACAGTATGTTCTGAGCTTGATGTATCGAAGCGCCTTCATGACCGCACGTTGCGCATACTGGAATTATGTTTAAATCTGGAGTGGAGCTATAACCAGCGCTTCACTCACGTAACGCTGTACTGCGTCAGACAAGATGATAGAGACGGTGGTAAAAGAACAGACACACCATGCTTGGATTACTATCATATAGTTTCTCGAGGAAGAACTGAAGATGGTCACGCGCTATGGGCAGATCGCTTCTGATGAGCGACCGCAATGCACGGGTGGCTGCAATTGCGTAACGCCAATGGGTGTCTGCATCGCTAGCCACTTTCAGCACTGCACTGATCTAAAAACGAATGAATTGATCCGCTTTCCACTAAACTAATGCATACCGTTTCGTTTGTGGCACTGTCGATGCGGCTGACACGTTCGACACGTTTCGCTCTGGCCTTGGCGACTATTGGATCTTCAAGGAGGCCCTGACCCACGCACTCATTCAACTTCTGATTTGCATCGGCAAGCGCTGCGTTTTCGACTTGGAATACAAGGTGGCAGGGTTCTAACAAACGAGAAGCGGCTGCAATACTCTAAGTACCAAGCACGCTTATTTTCAGAGTCGCTTACTATTGTCAGCTACACTTGCAACGCAGTTTTGTATTGATGGCTGGTTGGAACGATGAGTGACAAGTCCGAATGCATAGTTAGAATAGCACCTTCTCATTGTGGTGACAGCCAAGAAGGGTAATGATAAATTGGGTTGCTAGCGTCGGCTCTAAAAGAGTCGTGTTAGCGGTGATCCATTCCAAAAACCACTCCACTATACCCGATATTGCGAAACGGCCTGCGAGAACTAGTTAACAGACCAGAACTCGTGCGTGCCTTAAATACTTACCGACAGCAGCGATGTTCAACGTCCACAGCGCTCCCTTCATACGGTCGTCTTCTGTGCCGGGCTGCAACGCCTCGTACAGTTTCGGAAGTGCACGAACTCTCAGTCCATCGTACACCTCAATGTGAGGAAAGTCAGTGTCTTCGAGAAGGCTTGCACATTCTAACACACCGAAGTCAATGATTCGAGAAGTGCTTGGCTGGACCTGCAGCCGTGATTAGGGAAACTAATAATTAATCAACTTTTGTACCTACTGTCGCACTGCAAGGCAAGTCAGCGTTTGTTGTTTGGCATGTAAAGTCTACTTACCGGTGGGATAGTGCCACATACACCACTCCACCACGTCATCGAGCAAACAGTCTTCAAGTGGTCCTCGTGCACGCTCGATAGAATTCCAGTGAAGCCGAGTTGTATGGTAGAGCCTGTGAAAGTTTAAACATCTTCTGTCTGTCTCAAGTCGGAGACTTACCGCGCCCGGCGCACGAGAACGGAACGAGGCCATACTTTCTGACCCGCGTAATAACGAGCAACGCTGATTTCCGACGAATACTGCTCTGCGTTAACGTAGTAACTAGGGTAAATTCAGTGCATGCAGACTCTTGGTAATCCATGTCGACGGACCCATCCCGACTGTCACCATACTCCAACAAATAGACACGAATTGAAGAAATCTGGACATCTTTTAAGTCAGTGAAGATGCTACTGCAAAACATATTACCAGCATTTGAACAGCATCCACCGTATTCTCTTCCCACTGGTCTCGCAATGCCAGAGACGCTTGATGCAGGAACTCCCCAAATTGGCGTTTAAGGGCGGTTATGTATTGATAACGCTCGTCCGTAGGATCTGTAAGACAAAACCCAGAATTCAGAGAGTCGACTGATGCAATCATCTCCGGTATTTCATCGCTGCTGAGGTGAGAAACAAGGCTGGTTCCCGAGGTTGCTCGACTTACAGAATGTCGCTGGTGTCGAACATTGCCCTTCGGACTTCAGGAGAGATGTATTCTTTGTATAGGGTGGGTATTCCTGAGAAGGCTTGCCGCACAAAACACAGACATCTGATCGTATGGGCTTGAACTCAATCTTTTGCAGTCGATCGACTGGACTTACCGACAGAAATCATTTCGCCAAACAGCATCGCGTATTTCTGTAAAGGTGGAGGTGAAGCGAATCACAACGTACATTCTAACATCGACATACCTGCACTGAGAAGTTGATTGAGTTTTTCCAAACAAGGCTCGACCAACTCGCTGAATATCTGCAATGCAAGGTCGATTTCTTCCTCATTTGGGACGTGCCATGTAATCTGTTTAGTTTCTAATTAGTTTAGGGCAAAAATCCAAACAGAAATAGACGTCCCTTCACATCTTCTGGCTTGTAAAGTTTTCCCCAGTGAAGATAATGTTTCCGTTGGAACTCTGAAAAAAGCAACATATTACGAGACATGACCTCAGCATATGCGGGTCCCACACACCAGGATCGTCCCATACGTCGGGATTCACAAATTTATTTTCGGTGGGATAAGTATGAGTGAGCGTGATTAAAGCGCTGGATAGTAATTTCGCGCTCCAAGAAAAGCCACGCTTTGAAAACGTTTTATCTCGAAGTAGCCTCAATAGCGAGAGAAACCGTTCTTTATATTTTAACAACTATTTCGCGTGGTCAACCAACGCCAAGGAACACATTTAACGCACGCACCACTTTGCCATCACTAGCCAACAGCTGTCAAAGAAAAGATTTCAAACAAAATTGGCACTCACTTGTAGACAGTACCCCGAAGGATGGCGAGACCTTTTTAAGATATTAAGATGCGCGAAGTTCGGTAAGCTATGTTATACTCACTCCAATGTAATGTAGCGTCAGATGGAAGCGGGGTAGAACTCGAAGTCGTTCGAACAGAACTGGCACCATGCTCTATTTCGGCGCGAATTGATGCCTCGCAAAACGGGAAGAACTTGGCCAGGGTCTTCTCTGGATTGGCATTGGCAACACACTCTACGAGCTGATGGATCGCTCGGACAGCATTAGACCGAACGTTTGTGGTGGCGTAATCGAATATCATGTTCAGGACAAGGTCAAATAAGGAGTTCGACAAGTGAACACATATTTGACTGCAAGCCCCCGTGACTGCATCAACAAGCTGGACTACCAGACGCCACGTTAACGTACGCCGAGCCTCGAGTACGCCAGAAACCTCACCTTCAGATGCACCGCCCGCAGTGCCATTAGCGCCTTCGTCAGGGAGATTTTCGAGTAGTTGGATTACCCGCCTAATGAAGCTAGCGATCCAAATAGCAAAGCTTCCAGTCGTGTCCCTGAGCAAAGCGTCCTCTTCTGCAGGGGATAGCTCGTTGACGTCATTCGTGTCACCACTGTCTTCTCTTATAGTGATCCCTGATGCATCGGGAACGTCGATATCTCCGACGTCGTTCTCCAAAGACGTGACGTCGTGGAACATGACATACTGCGACACTTCAGATAAAAATGCAGTCGTGCACATCTAGACAAAACCCTAACTGAATAAATCTTACTCGGAAATCAAGAATGACGTACTGTCTTCGTTGGGTCGTTCTGATATACAAGGAGCGTGTTTAGTCAGATGGCCTTCGCTGTAAGTCTAATGCTTACCAGGTCGATTCCAGGAATAAGTAGCTGTAGTATAGTGATGAGATGCTTAGCTCCAGAGTAGTAGATCTCCCGCGAGTGAATGGCAGGTGCTATGGCACTGAGCGCTTTGATAACCGACAACGTCCGCTGGGTCTACAGCAAGTCAAACTGCCTGGGTAACCTCGGTTGTTTGTACGCACCTCGACCAAAGCCTCTAACGATGGTATGGCCCGTTCAACAATGGGTTGGAATATGAGGTTCGGCTCCATGGTAGACATGGATTTCAAGCAACTCTGAACATTAGAAACTGTCGTAGAGTCTTGAGAGAACATGGCAAGCAAAACGACCGTGCGAATGCTCTTCACGAGCTCGCGCCTCATTTCACGCGTCAGGCGGCGATTCTGAAATTCATGTGAAGAGAATCCAAACACCACGCGAAGACCAACTTACTGGGGGTGTTTTACAGTCCTCCTGCTGTTCTTCGTGCCACCCTGGAGAAGACTATTGGGAAGATAGCTTCAGGCAAGAACGATGCGACTCACTTTTGTTGAATTCATAGACGAGATACTTTAAGAACGCAGTAAGCTATCAAAATGACCATCAGCTTAAAAATCAACAGCCATAGATGACGGGGCAATGACAGGATAACGTACATCCGAAGTCCAGGAACCAGAGTTTGTCGGATGAAAGAAGTGCTCGGTAGACGCGACCAGACGAGCGAGGGAATCAAGTGCTTTGGAACCTGCAAGGTAGGTTTTTTGCGTAGGATTCCAACGGTGGAAGAAGCCCGTAACGTAGTCTCCTACGGAGTCCTGGGGAGCCTGGGGGGTGCAAACCCCAGATGTAATAGGTGTATATATTGGAGTAGGAGCACTTGAGGCGGGGGATGAGATGCCATCTTGGGCCATGGAATAGACGATTATTCGAGCAAGAGAAGCTAGCGGATGGTTGATTCACAGATTACCAGGAAAGTCACGAACGCTTACGAATCCGCCACGCAGCTTTAGGCAAGCGACCTATCTCGAAGCTCGAAGAAGTGTCCGCCGAAGGTCCGGTCGTTAGAGATCCGGCATCCTTTAGCAGAATCTCTGCAGGCACGAGCTCACATCAGTTGATGGGACCTAGAGTTTTGGTAACTACTTACCCATTGAAGCAAGACACTTGCACATGATAAAATTCCACTCATGCTCAGTAAATATTCCAACATCCTTGTACAAACCAGACCACTTCGGCGAAGCGGAGAGATCATCGCGACCCCAACAGGGTCTATCTTCACCCTCAGACCGTTCATCATCTGGTATACTCTCTACTTTAGCAGGATCACTGATAGTCGGATCCACATGCATTTCTGCGAGCGTGGACAGGAATTCCAGCACTCGTTCATCAAACATGTATGAGTTGATGGATTCCCACAAACGTGTAAGCATTGGAAGATATGTTTGGGGATGTGTCAAAGGAAGGAACGTTAGAAGATAGTATTGGGACGTGAGGATGCTCTGAAAAAATGAAAGAAAAAAAAACGTTGAGCGGTCCTGAGCTCTGTCCCGATAGAGAGAACTTACATCGAGGTTTGTGCCATTGATGCCCGGGACGAAAGTGGCGAGCATTTCATTGGTAGCAGCAGGGTGGAAAAACCGCCGGACTGTATCGGCAATATGACCCATGTACCATGACAGCTGACTGACGAAGTCCTTCAACACGAAAACTTACAAAAAAGATGAAAGTACCAACCTGTATTCGAACTGCCGACGAGTCAAGAACAAGTCCTTTCTAAGGATGTCATAAAACGGCTTCCACGGAAGCCGCATGTCCTCTACGGACAACTTCTTCTTGGACCGGGTCAAGTTTGATAATCCCTCCGCACAAATAGCAATTACTTGAGTGGACATTCCTGGAGTCACGCAGATTTCAAAATACAACTTCGTTAAAAGTATCCTTTTCTCCTTCGGGATTGGATATTTCAACGTGCTCCAGCTAATACGCAGTATGTGAAGCCTTGCCAGCGCCTAGACACCGGAGCAACTTACTAGCTAAGCATGCTATCCCACTGGACCAAACCTGGTTCGTAATCTTTCGCTTCCACGCATTGTGTAATGCGTAGCAAGATGAAGTCCAGCATTTGCAGCATCTTCGCGTATGGCTCAATCGTGTACGGTAACGAGAGCGCATATTGCTTCAGTTTCTTCATATACCTGTCTGTGTCGTCCTCAATATCTTCTGGCAGTTGTGGCGCATATTCGGGTTTCCGGCTACCAAGCGTCAACCTGGATATATCGGGGACGGTCATGGTAAAATGGGAAGATATAGTTCGAGGTCAAAAGTTGCTGAACGTGAGTCTGTACAAAGCAAACCCTCCGAGCGCCTTATGTTGTCCTTGTTATGTAAGACGTGGCTACATAAGAGCGCCCGTGTACAGATATCTACTATCTTGATAGTTGGCATCAATCTGCAACCGCGTTAAGCGCAGTATCTTGTACCTCCTCGACGGCCTTCTCCCTCACGATCCCCCACACCGTGTCGCGCTGGGAGCGAGCGTCTCCCAAACTCTCCCTTATCTCCTCCAGTCGCTCCACATACTCCCGTCCATCATCCTGCAGCTCTCGCAGCGTCGCCAGCGCTTTTTCCAGGCTATCTCGTTGCATCTCAGGCGAAGCAAATTGAGATGGATCGAGTACAGGTGCGTCGTTTTCGGGATACGACGTCAGAAACAACTTGTGGGCGTTGGGAACCGGGTCCGGCGCGCGTTCAAACCTGTGGTCCAACTCCTCCTCGTCTACGTTGCTGTCTGCATCCTCTCGTTTCGGTACCACCACCTCTTCTTCTTGAGCATTTTTGTCAGGATCATCATTTATTACTTGCCAGAGTCTCCCCAGTGCCCGTTTCATCACAGCCTCGCCCTCGATGAGCCTATTGGTTGCGTGTTCGAGCTCGTCCAGTAAACTCGAGCGGAATGAGTGTGTCACGGATCGATCCATTACGAACGATGTGAAACTTAGGTGTTGTGCCAGTGGAGGTGGGTAAGGGGCGACTGGAGGCGGCGACAGCGAGGGAAGATGGGGAAGATGGAGGGGAGATGGTGAGCGCCGCTCTGTGGGTAGCAAAGATCGTATACGTTGCCGTGCCCTGTCCTCTGCCTAAGTACTGTTGCATGAGTAGCTGCCACCCAATACAACTCAGATTCTGACCTCCCACTCGTCTATACCGGGTCCCCAGGATGCGATTTTACCCCTGCGCACCCATCTGGATCCCTTCATAGTTTTCTTCCCCCAATTTCCCCCAGCAACGCTGGTATTCAGCGATTCCGTGTCAGAGTCAAAGCCCTGAGAAGGATAATACCACGCATTATGGTCGTTCGGGACCAAAGGACTGTACAGGGTGAGTTGTTTGGACACGCGACCTACAGCGCAGACAGACGGCGTACTTTGAGTCCTCCAACATGTTTGAGGGTGCTGTAGTATGAACAGAGTTTCGATAACCCACCGGAATCGAGTTGCGCGGCAAAGCCCGACTCCTGACGTGCCTTGCTCTATGTTCGAGTACAGTACAACTCACTGTAATTTATTGACTACACAGACCGTTCCAACCTCGCGACTCACACAGAACGCCGAAGTGGCTTAGCCACTCCTCGCGACCACCATAGTCTATGGTCTGATCGCATCACAGTGCGTATCACCGGATACCCCGCCGTCGCGGAGGGTAGCACCCTCTTTCCGTGCAACACTCTTCTGTTCAAAACTTTCCATACCCTTGAGTCCCCACTTATCCATCATCGTTTTGTCCTGATGTGGGTGAGCCAGATTCCATAGCAGCAGTAAGCCCGATTGTGAAACTTACCACATCCCAAGGAGAACCTACCATGAAACCACTGAGTCAATGGAGGCTGAGATTCGTAAAATATACTCACACGGTGTCGTCAACATCTGCTCTCCAGTAAAAACGGCATTGGCACCAGCCATGAAGCACATCATCTGCTCTGCTTCGGACAGCGTATTTCTACCTGCAGCCAATCTGATAATTGTCTCAGGAAGAACGATGCGAGCAGTGGCGATTGTGCGGACAAGCGTGTCATGTGGAACTCTCTGTTCCGTTGGTCAGAACGGACGGACTACGGCCGCTTGCCGAAACGAACCTCGTTCCCTTCCAGCGGAGTTCCTGGTATCGGCACCAACGCGTTCACAGGGAACGATTCTGGGTGTTCAGGCATGCTAGAAGTAAACGTGTGACGGGGATACGTAAAGAAATCGTGAGCTTCACTTGCCGTGCTACCTCATAAATGAGCCCCACCCTATCACGATCCGATTCTCCGAGACCAAGAATACCACCGGAACAGACGCTGATTCCGGCGTCACGTACGGCTTGGATGGTTCCGAGGCGATCATCGTAAGAACGCGTTGAGATGACCTGGAGAGAAGTCAGCTACTGTCGAGTGCAAATTATTGCGAACGTGAAAAATGTACCTGCGGATAGAACTCCCGCGATGTGTCTAGATTGTGGTTGTATGCTGTCAAACCGCTAACGGGGATGTGAGGCCATTCCCAAACCCAGCATAAAAAGAACCTCACGCTTCTTTAAGTTGTCGCGCTTGATCAGGTGTTAGCATCCCTAACGTTGTACACACTTCCATGCCCATCGCCCGGACCTCCCGAACCATTTCTAAAATCCGTTCAAAACCCCGCTTGCGACCTCCTACATCCCTCCATGCGGCACCCATGCAAAACCGCGTGCTGCCATTTGCCCTAGCCTTCCGAGCTGCCTCGAGAACGGGACCGACTTCGAGGAGGGGAGATGCCGTGGTCGGAGTGGAATACCGCGATGACTGCGAGCAGTAAGAGCCTAGAGAGCGTCGTCAAGCATGTTAAGCACATGGTGGGGCGAGGCTGATCATTGGACTCACAATCCTCAGAGCAACCCCCAGCTTGAGGAGAAGGTTAGCTGTGGTGGGAAATAGGGAAGGTGGACACACTCTTGATATTCATCAACGTGCAGAGCTGGATCTTGCTTGGGTCATGGTGTTGGCGATGCACCGTGCTGGCCTGGTAGACGAGATCCATTAAAGAGCTGTCGTAGATCTTTTGAATTTCATTGCGGGTCCAGTCGTGTCTTGTTGCACTGCTAGGAGCAACTGTAGCAAGGAACCGGCTCGATCTTAAGATAATCGAAGGTCGAGCAACCGCATGGAACAAAACTTGCGACATGGTGAACGAGTAAATGCAAGGTGCCCAAGCAGCACTCTCTCGGATTCTTCGGTCGGAGATACGGGGGTAGGTCACTGACACCACTGACAGCCTGTGGGTACTACTCAGTATTCGTACCAGGCCTAATGCAGACGGTGAAGAGGTGTGAACCGTGAAGTCATCGATGCGGAGCTCACTACGTTCAGGCACTGTCAGGTCCAGAGATGCATAGCGAAGCTCTTCCAGTTATTACAACAAGTCTATCATACCCAGTGGTGCGAAAGCACAGAAAGCAAGTTAAGGGGAAAAAAGGAAAGGAAAGGAACACGTGCAATATGAAAAGATGATACACACCCGAGAGGAATTTGCATAAAGAGAGGAAGGTGGACGACAAACCAGGAAATGCAATATCGGTGCGGTGATATAACGTTAAACGAGAAAATGCTAAGATATAAGATAGTCCGATAGTTCAGGAAACGTTGGCTTTTCGTGCATGAGTGGCGTAGTGGTGTCATGAGCAGGTAACAAAAGGAGAGTGGCGACTAGAATAGTCTTCTTTACGCTCTACGCCAGTTCGAAGTCGGTGCAGGTGCAGCCTTTCCCTTGACGGGCGGAGCACCAAGCATGACTCCACCGGTGAGCACAGTAGTCTTTCCACCATCATACGGAGTCACCTCAGTCTTGGAGGTATCCACAAATACCCGCGCCTGTCTAGCTTTCTCCCTGCGAGAAAGCTTGGAGGATACGGAAGAGTAGCATGAACTGGAAACGCGAGAGTCCGTTCGTGCACTAGAAGAATAAGACAGGCAGGAACTGGAGTTTGATGAGCGAGAGCTGGAGCGAGAATCGGTGGATATCGCCGAGAGGGGGGACTCGGAGCGCAGAGGGGTAGGGAAGTGGTCGATGACCGGGGTCGTCCATGTTGGGGCACTGACTTCATCAGCGATCATGGCAAACAACTCGTCATCTTCCGCACTGTCACCCTCCAATAGCTGCTGGGCGAGCGTCTTGCATTGACCACGGTAATTGGTACAAGTCCCTTTTACGAGAGAAAGGTCAGGAAGGGCAGTTAGCTCCGCGGCGTGATCCTCGGACCAGAGATTGACGAGCTTCGACTCTTTGCCGAAGCGAACTGAGATGCATCCAGGGTCGACGAACAAATCAAATTCACGACCACCCAAGGAGGCAATCCAGTCAAACCACTGGACACCAGTTGCTAGGCATGCAGAATAGATCGTCCGTGGGGGCAGGCATGTGGGGGATAGCGTGAGGCACCGACGACCGGAGCCGCGGAGCGGGTCCTCGGGCACCCAAGAGGATGCAAAAAGAGCGGTAAGGTTAGCCTCGAGGACAAGCTGGAGTCTGATGACGGTCGTGGCTGGGTAGGAGAGGCTGAGAGGGCGGGTAAGATAAGCAATGGCCTGCGCAAGTGTTACAGAAAGGCTGGTAGCAGGGGATGCCATGACGTGCACTGGAGGTCTAAGGGAGGGTGTGGCGGGGACGTGTAGAGTATATGAACGAAGAGAGAACACGAAGGAAATCGACCAGCGATGTGTGAGCGGTGCGGGAGGTAAGCTCGCTGAATTGGGGAGAGGGAGTCGAGATTCAGGTCAATCGTTCGTCTGAGTGAGACCGTAGTGCGTGAATCCACCTGGTGACAAGTCAAGTCTGCACCTGGGTGGGTTTAATGAAAGAAAGACTGACCTCGCAGACTATTAATGCCGGGAACGGCGGACGTGGAAAGCGGAAGAAGGACGGGTAAGCGGAAGTGGGGACGGGTCTAGCCGGATGAAGACTTACCTCGCTGCAAAGTTAGCTATAAAGAAAAAAAAAATAGAGGGAAAGGGAGAAAACGGGATTGTCAAAATCCAGATGGCAAAAGCTTGGGGCGGCCATCCTCTCTGCGATTTATACCTCCCCCAGGCGTGTGGGTGTATGGCAAATAAACGGCCACGCTGTCTGCACTTGCATTTTAGAGAACAAAAGAAATCGAAGCACACTTTCCTTTTTCGTCAACAATAGATGGTTTATGGAAGGACTTGTTCGCCCTCTTTTGTTGTTACGCCCATCAGAAGACTTCCTTACATATATTCATACACTGTGGGTGCACTGAAATCAATTGCGTTATTACATAGCATCCTCCAGGTCTACAGCTTCGCTTGGGGCTCTGGACCCCTCCTATCCGCACGAACAACACCTTCCTGACAGGTAACCGCAACAAACGTCCCCGACCGGCTGTATAGCTAATGCGGAAAACGTCGATAATTAATAAACCCTGCAGAAGCAACGCACTTACCCTTCCATGTACAACTCCGCGTCCGTCCCCCGCCAGAGGACAGCTCACCTGGTTACATCTATGTACACAATAATACACCAACCGCAATGGAAAAGGACGTACCACGTAAAGCAACCCATCTTCACAGCAAAAATTGTCGCTATAGCACGAATTGATGAGCGCTCCAGTTGGCGGAACCAAACCCACGGTAAACCTACTCGTAATACCAAATCGAGTGATCCAAGGTCGACTACATGCCTACGAGTCAGGAACGAAGCGAAACGACAGATAATTATTCACATTCATAGCCAGAGCATCGGGTCCAGTGGCAAACCGCCGCAGCTTCAGGGTGTCAGCTGCGACGGCGATGCTGATCAAGGTTAAGAAATATGCAAATACCAGAATCGAAGCCATTGGCTCACAAATTTAGGTCTGACATGTACGCCAGTATACACTATAGACGCCTGAGTACCTCAAATCAGAACAAACGATAAGGTTGCTACACACACCTTTTGATAAGGTACTTCGTAGGACTCTGACCTTCCAGTCCGCGCTTGCATCCAGTACGTCGACGCAACTGTGTCATTACTTTCCTTCACATTCCATGGCACCCTCCTAACCGCAATGGGACCATTGGCGCGTTCCTGCATTTGCACACTTCCCGAGAACGCGCTTATGCACGGAGGCGGATTCTACTCACAGTAGCATACGTCAGATATATTTCCTTGAGCCTCTTGTCTATGCCACTTTGCATCGCCCGCCGCCTAAAAAGGTCCTCTTCCAGCTCGCAGTCCTCGAGTTTCGGAGCGTCAGGCATGGGCCATTGGTAGGAAGGCTGCCACGGTTCGGGCGCGTGGAATGAGCATAGCAGCATAAAGATGGCCTTGCCACTCTGGACAGCTTTCACGCCTCGCGTACTGTACGAACGCCCCTCACGCAGTCTCTCCACGTAATAGATGATAGGAACGGCCGGAGATGCACTAAGCAGGAAGTAACACTGGTTTAAAATATGAGGGGCGGCAAATAGGCCACTGGCAGTCCGAGCTTACATGAATCGACTAGCCTCTGAGTGTCAGCAAAGCGTCGACAGCAATATTATGCATGGGTGCTTACATGAAGGCCGAAAGCAGGATTAACGCATTGCGTTGCGGAGACGATGGCCTGGGAGATGACTTGACCGCCAAAGACGCCTTTCGAGCGCATGGGCACGAACAGACTGACTGAACGAAACAGATTGTTATCAATTTGTTCGACCTCTAGAGAAGTAGAAATTTTCGAATGTTCTGCTTGGTCGGTCCGCACCTCCATGTCGTTTACGCAGCAACAGACAGGGCAATGGTGAAGAATCTGTTGCAACCCGTGATGAAACACTACTTGGCCGGCATCAAGTACTATCAAACATGAGATCAAAACCTGATGCTTGGGCGCGAATATTAATGCAGAAGCACGTGAAAATCCTTATTTGACCGGACGTCCCAACTCCTACCAGAAGATATAGACTTCCCGTGACCCGAAGATAATATCATGTTTAGTTTATATGATCTCCACGTCCACAGTAAATCCGCACTCATGACAAACCTGACGGTCATGTCCGTCTTCGGTCCTGTGAGCGGTCCCGAATACATGCTTGTGTTCTTGATTCTTTCGCCTTTGCCATATACCCTCTCGCGTACGCCGTCGTAAATCCCGTAGTGACTCCTCGAACTTCTTGTTTTTCTTTTTCTTCTTCTCTTCAACCCGACGTTCCCACTCGGCATCCAATGCTTCTGGGGAACCCCATTTCTTCCATGCAAAATCCTCAACCTGAAGTCGCAGAAATAGCATCATGTTTGCAAATGTAGATTTATGCGGGTTCGCTTTAAGCAAATGAGGCAGGAGTTCGCGGTCCCGCAGCTCGGCTCCAAGAAAGTGAACAAGCAGCAAATAGTACTTGAATTGGACACCCACCATCTGTCAACAAATAATCCTGCAAGCGTTGGGATTAAATTCGGGATGCTTAGATGGATGGACAACTAGCGAACCTCTTTACACTCGGTCTTCGTCAGGAGGCTGTACTTTTCTGGATACTTCTCCTTGCACGTGTTGCAAACTAGACACCCAAAGACCTTCCGAAAGGTGTAGTCAATATCGACATTTTGACATTCCCTGCACTTTGCGTTGAGGATCGGATCAAGGTAAATCGCTGCAAGTGCCTCAGGAAGAGCAAATTCTCAGTAAGAGGAGCAACGCACGCGGCTCTACATTCTGCATTGCGCGTTCTCTTTCGCGCTGACGCTCCTTGGCCCTCATGTCTTCATCTACCTCTTTTCCATCCTCGACCAAGAAACCACCCTTGGAGTTGACCATCTTCGATAGGTCGTACTCGAAGTATGAACCCAAGCGAGAGTCGCGTTTGAGTGGCTTTGACGCTTCGGGACGAGTGGGAGAATTGGAGGTGGCAGGCGTCACCTCGAGCGGGCGTTTCTGATTCGCGTTTCGCTCAGATGAAGACTCTACATGTTCCCGCTGTTTCTGGCGAGCCTTTGCTGAGGGAAGAGCACTCCATCGTTGTTCGGAAATGTTTCTTTGTACTCACCTTTCAGCCGGTTGAGCTCGATCGTCCTCAACTCCTCAGGGATCATAGTGCTCACACGTCAAGTAGACAACCTGCGGAAGTGGTATACGGGGGCAGTTGGCCCTTTCCGATCTCAGGTCGTCAAGTTCTTGAGTGCTCAGCACGAATGACTGACTCAGATAGAGACAATATTAGTGGTTTTTCGTCGAGGACTGTACAGCCAAGAATCACTGGAACGGGTTAATTATTATGTAATCTATACAACACGAAATGTGCGGCAGACGACATGCATTGGTAGCCTCGGATTTGAACCCAAAAATGTAAGAACATCTACGATGCTTCCCCATCAGTGAGAGGTTTTTCATCCGTGGCTGTCTCTTCTTTATCCCTGTCCGGAGAGACGTCATCCATAATCCCCTCCAATGGTGTCACTCCCCTCTCCGTTGCTGACGGTATATCGTCGACGTCCATAGAGATGAGCGCACTCGCAGTCTGTGGAAACGTCGTGTGCCCGCTCGGTCCAGCTCCGTGAGTCGAGCCAGAGGGACCCGAAGTAAGGATGCCCACACCGATTCCAAACTTCCTCATCCCTCCGTCCTCGGTCTCACTTGAATGACTTCTGCTCTGGCTTCCCCGTTCTCTGTAGTTGGAATGATCCCTCCTCCCACCTTCTCCTTCGTCATCTGAATCAGAAAACTCTCCGTCGGCTTGGACGCGTGAGTCAAGGAGGCGTCTGTGTCGTCTTTCATTCGGAGGTATAAGATCCTCGTCCTGATTCATATCGTCCATCGCGTCGTCCATCGGCAACTTTGGAATATCTGCTCATTTCAAAACTACTCAGGGAAATTGTATGACAGAGTTGACTGCCATACCTGTCATTTGCACACTAGGTGGGCCCTTCAACCTGCGTAGATTGTCAAGGACAATATTTTTCACTCGCTCGAGATATTCCGGGGTGTTCATGTCCTCCGTATTTGACGCTTTCACATCAAGTTCATAATCTGGACCAAAATATTCGTAGTACTCGTTGACTGGTATATCTGGCCACTCATTGTCAAAAAAATGGTCGAACAAGTTAAAGATTACGAACCCCGTCCGAGTTCCACCCCGGCAGCCAAACCCGTTTCGTAAGCCCACGCTCGGCTGACGTTACGCATGGTGTAGCCGCCACCACCAAGAAGGAGCAGTGGCTTGTTGAAGGACTTGACAAATTTGACACAGTTCGCGTGGCCTATTAACTCAGTCAATTTCGTGCGAAAGCAAGATCATTCCGATTCGGACCTCTCATGGACAGATTTAAGCAACCCAACTTGTCACCTGATAGCGAATCTGTTCCACATTGCAGTACAATTGCTGAGGGGTCGTAGTACTCCATCACTTGTCGGATGACCTGCACGAGTATCAATGAGAGGAACCAGGAAAATGGCGATGGACTGACAGGTTCGAATACGGACTTGTAATTCTCATCAGAGATACCGTCCCGTAGCGGAAAGTTGAGGGCATAATGCTTTCCTTTACCAATGCCTATGTCCTTCTCCGGTATTCGCAAAGCTACATGAAATAGTAAAGGAAGGACCCACGCGAAGTTCACCGGTCCCAGGGAAATACTCCCCGTATTTGTGGAAACTGACGGTCATAACACGATCGGTAGTGTAGAACGCTTCCTCTACCCCATCGCCATGATGCACGTCAACGTCAATATAGAGGACGCGACTGTGATACCTGGAAACATGAAGTGTTCAGATCCTGCTCATGAAGAGCGACCGATTCTCACCTGAGGAGTTCCAGTATACCCAATACAATGTCTACTAATTATCAGGGCTAGTCTAAACTGCAAGGATCTTTGAAAGCGTACCGTTAACATAGCAAAAGCCACTGGCCTCGCTCTTCTTCGCGTGATGTAGCCCCCCTGCCCAGTTTATCGCAATATCGCATTTGTCTCGGCTCAACCGCGCAGCACCCTCTGTTGGCGTTCAACAATTATGGTCGCGAATAGTAGCAAGCTACTTACCCATCGAACCACCGGCAGAAATGGAGCAGTAATCAAAGAGACCGTCGAACACAGGACAATCATCACCAACGTTGTCTGCAACGGATTGTAACAACGCTTTAAGAATGATAATTCGAGCGAGGCACAGAGAGGCTAACATTTATGCTGCTCTTTGATGTATTGATTCATGTTGCTGGGCGTTATTCGACTGAGGAAGTCGACATACTCGTCAGAGTGAAACTGCGTCATCTCGCGTTTCGTGGCTGGTTTTGCACGCTAAGACAGCATAAAAAGATTAGGGTCTCATGTGGGCATAGGACTAAGACCGTGCACTGACAAAGATCTCCATTTTTTTGTAGAGGCCGTAGTTCATGACGAGGGAGTGACACATTCGTATCCTGGTAGGTTTCATCCTGCATTTTGTACAAATATTAACGGGTCATGTCAGTCCTCTGAGGTGCACTCACGGATGACCGGGTCCATAGTGGAAACCCCCGATGTCCGAGTCGAAGAAATAGCACTACAGTTAGATAGGGTTAGAGGACCAAGTCGAGGATACCGAGAGCTATGTACCACGCGTTTCCTCTGAGTATCACCTTCAACAGGAGTCCATTCCCCTGCCATCTTCCCTGACAAGAGAGATTACCAGTGATCCCGACGATTATTTCTTGGAAACGTCACAAGAGGGTGAGGTCGAGAATTGGGCTGAGGCAGATTTGAAACAGGGTTACATATGCATACGCTCCTTGGCACGTGGCACCTTAGGAAATCCCCCTGTCAAAAAGCCTCACTGCAACACTGCGACAAGTTTACATCCGAATTCGTATTACAAAAAAGCTCGCAGATGATGTACCAAGTAACTCTCCTCCGTGTTTCATATCTTAGCCTTACCTAAGGGTGCATCGCTGCCCTTGTGGACGAGAGTGGATGGTGCAAATCCGAAATCATCAGGTAACATTATACCCTACGACGCGGGATCAGGTTTCCCTACGGCAACCGAAACGGTGGGCATACCTGCTCGCTAGCTATCACGCGGATCTAGAGCGAGACGAAAAGTCAGCGACTGACCAGGGTGAGGAAAGTGTCACCCGTACCATAGACCAGTGATGGACCGCGTGCAATCCAGCGAACCATAACTTGAAAGAACACGAATTATGTCACAGTTCTCATTCGTTCTGAGATCCTTACCTCTCGGCCGAACGTTGTTTCGAACGTTTGCGGAAAGGGCGTTATTGCGTTCAAGGTCATTGGTTGATCTAATTTCGCGAGAGGTGCGACGGCCTTGACTTGCGAGATGGCATCTGCCAGTGCGATACGAGCTTTGGATAGGCTGCTCTCCATGGGAGTGTTACGACTGCGAGTGTCGTACGAAAAGACGTACGGCCCATCTCCGCCTATGCAGTCCAGGAGCAGAATGAAATGGTCTCGCGCGTGTCGCAAGTGTTTTCCTTGAGCTTTTTCAGCTACGCTGTAAGCCAAGGTAAATGGACGCCATACCTATGGTTGAGCCAGGAAGGGACTTCGATTGTTTAGTGAGTTGGTCATCATCAGTGAGGATGTCGGTAACGAGGTCGAGAGCCTGTCGCAGGACAGTGGTAGACACGAAGACCAGGTCAGCTAGCGGATCAAGGTGGTCATGATCACCGGATTCGACTGGAGTTAATGTAGATGGCAGTCCGGACATGATAGTCAACCGAGACTGTGCTGCGCTGGACAACATATCGGTGTGTGGGGATCAGTACTCAGTGATCTGTCCAACACACGTTCCAGCGAAGAAAGGAATAATCAAGCCGATATTTATATGATAGGAGACACAGCGGTAGCATTCAAGTGAACGGAATGATAGAAGTGTACCATACAGGGATTGCTGTATATTCCTCGAGCCAAATTTCGGACATCCCACTTTGACACGATAAGCTGCCCGAACTCAAGACGAGGACCGCGAAGATTTCTCTACCAGAGATGCTCCAAAGCGGATCAGAGACAGGAAGATGAACAAGAATCGATCAACCGTCGTCGTCACGCTGGCCTCGCAAGAGTAGAAAGAACCATCAATCCTGAGAAGCTGGCCTTGGTCTGCTGACATAATCCACTACACTTCTATACCCGGTTCTTCCCTCCGATGGCTTCCAAATTCTCCGCCATTAGACATGTTCACGTCCCTCAGGCAAGCTCGTTTGCTGGTCCAAGTAGGTGGATTACAACAGAAGCCTGAAACCCTTTAAGTGACCAGTCTGTTTTCTTGGACAGGCAAGTCACGCCGGCCAAAGGCGTTTCCTCTCTCTTCACGAATACCAGTCTGTGCAGCTGCTCAACTCGGTGGGTCTGCCCGCGTACCAATTGATGCCAAATTGACGGCAATTTAACTCGTGTCCTTAGTACGGTATTCCAACGCCTAAAAGCATACTAGCCAAAACCCCCGAAGAGGCATACAGCGTCGCAAAGAATTTCGGTATTCCACATTCATGAAGCACGGCATCGAGGAGTAGTAATCAATTTCAACAGGTACCGACGAGCTTGTTATCAAGGCCCAGGTTCTCGCTGGAGGCCGGGGTAAAGGCAAGTTTGACAATGGGTTCCAGGGCGGTGTCCATGTTGTCAGCAGGTACGTTTCTCGAAGCAAAGTTTTTCACGTACCCACCTGTCTTAGCCCCGAACAGGTTAAGGAATATGCGAGTAAGATGATCGGATCCAAGTTGATCACCAAACAAACGGGTTCCGCTGGCAGAGTTTGCAATGCTGTGCGCACTTTTCGAATGTCCCTGTATCTATATTCAATCCTTGACAGGTAATGCTTGCTGAACGCCGTGACCCCGCTCATGAGTACTACGTCGCTGTTCTCAACGATCGAGCAACACAAGGACCAGTGTTGGTTACTTCGAATCAGGGTGGTATGAATATCGAGGAAGTTGCTGCTAAGGATCCCAATGCCATCATCACGACACCTATCGATTTTGACAAGGGTTTGGATGCAGCCGTTGGTCTTGACATTGCCAGGAAACTCGGTTTCAAGGGCGAGACTGCCCAACGCGAGGCAGCGGGTATATTTGCCTCTCTGTATAAACTCTTCAGGGAGAAGGATGCTACACAAATCGAGATTAATCCTATGGCAGAAACCGTCGATGGTCATGTCCTTTGGTTTGTTTTCCTTCAAAGCCTGTCTGAGTTGCTCTGACGATAACAGCATGGATGCGAAGCTTGGGTTTGATGATAATGCCGAGTTCCGACAGCGGGATATTTTTGCCCTTCGAGACATCTCGCAGGAAGAGCCTTCTGAGGTTGAGGCTCAGAAAGCAAATTTGAATTTCATCAAGTTAGATGGGTCGATAGGTTGCCTTGTCAACGGTGCTGGTCTGGCAATGGCAACCATGGACGTTCTTTCGCTGCATGGTGGAAATCCAGCCAACTTCCTTGACGTGGGAGGGTATGCTCGTCTACTATCACTACTGTCCTTGCTTGGCTGATCATACCCTATAGCGGCGCCACCCCGGAAACTGTCAAAAAAGCGTTTGAGATTCTGCTTAGTGACCCGAAGGTGAAGAGCATATTCATCAACATCTTTGGAGGCATCATGCGGTGTGATTACATCGCCGAGGGAGTGATCAAAGCAACAAAAGAGCTTGGTCTCAGTATACCTTTAGTTGTCCGACTCAAGGGTACGAAAGAGGCCGAGGCAAAACAGTAAGCTACATACTGGAGATTTTTCTGAACTGGCTGACTTTCTTCTGTAGGATGATCAGAGAGTCGGGTCTGAAGATTATACCCTTCGATGGTCTTGACGAAGCTGCCGCCAAGGCAGTCGAGTTAGCCGTGTAGTTTGCTATCGACTCTATTTTATGAGTTTGATGTACACTTGATTCGTGCGTGTCATCAGGGGAGCTAGATAAGAGGTACTACCGGGCGCATGGGATAAATACTATATCGACACAATCAACACCATGGACGAGAAAATGGAACATGACTGTACACAGGTTGAGAATGTTGGTTTGAGGGATGTGACTGCTGGGTGAGGGGGCTGCCGGTTACGCCGTCCGCACGTATCGGTCCACGGGGTGGAACAGCTGGACTCATGTATGGTGGCCGGTGTGCCGTCGGCATTATTGGAGGGGGGTGCATCATGACGGGGCTCCCACCATAGATCGGAACATTGGCAGTGGCCGCAGGATGCATAACAGGGCTCATCATTGGTACGCCACGAGGGTGCACGGTCCCACTGGTTGAAGTCGATGTGTTTTGATTCGTAGATGCAGGCCCATACACAGGAGGCATAGCACCTGCTGCAGGATACGCAATCATCTGGGTAGGGTAGGGTGATGCTATGGGTCTCATTGCACCATTATGATTTTGTGAGCCTTGTATTGGAACCCAGACGTGTTGGCTGTATGCTTGAGACGGGCCATTCACTGGCACTCGCGGTATAGGGCTTGTTGTGGCGGGGTATAGATTAGGACTTGAGGAATGCACAAGCATCGGAGAAGGAAACCCCGTGTAAGCAGGTCGCATAGGAAGGTTGGGAGGCTGGACCGGGTTGGAATACGTGAAGGTGGATGATCGGGTAATAGGGCCACTCGGAGCCTGTGGGGACATCGGAGCAGCTCGATATGAGGTGCCAGAAGAGGTTGGCACTTGCTGGAAAGCTCTCGTAACCTCATGGATTGACATTTTCGAGGGCATAGCAGAGCTTGTTGGAGGCGGGGTTTCGCCACCTTCGGACTTGACATCTTGGATAGTGAACGGTAGAGCAGTGAGGTCGTCAGCGATCCCTTCCAGTGAATTCACAGCCGGAATTGGTTCCTTATCAGCAGCTTGTGACCATACTGCTTTCAAGTGTTCTGGATCCGGAGCCCTTGCAGGCGAGTCCTTGGGCGTGAAGTTCAGTGGAGACTTTGTCCACGATGGCCCGAATGACGCTGATGCCGGGTTGAGCAGTGAACGTTCGGTCTGTCATGCAAAACAGGCCAGTTAGTCTGAATAATGAAATTCGAGAAGTAAACTAACAGAACCCTCAGAATTCTTGCTTTCAATTTGCGCGTTAGTAGCAGTCTTTGGGGACTCCATATCCTTTGCAGGCTCGCGAGTAACAACATCTTTGGAGTTGGCAGGCAACAATGACAGGGAGCTTGAAGGAACCGAGGGCGTAATCGCGATGCTTGGCTCTTCTGAAGGCAGATGGTGTCCATCCTCCAGCTCGCTACCGACAATGAAATTGACTGAGCCATTAGGTTGTTGAGTAGTCGAGCTAGGATCGCGATAGAAACCGACAGCCGAACCTGGTGGCAGTTTGGGCTGGGTCCTTAACCGCAAGAACTGTTTTTCCGCTTTAGCAGAGGTATCATCCTCTGCTGACTCCGAGATATCTCCCGCGGAAGGTTCGGTGGTGCGCGCAGAACCGTGTGAAACATCGCAAGAGGGGGGAAGTTCCCCTGGCTCCACGGATTGTTCAGACACCTGACCTTGTGAGTTGGAGTGGACCCGGCGCCACGATACAAGCTCATCAAGTGCCTTCGGTCTCCCGGGTTGTGGACTAAACTTCGAAAACACTGTCGGGAGGTGTACCCTGGGTGCATTGCCCGCTTGCCTAGTGGGACGTGGAAGCACGATTTGGTACTGGTGGCTTGTGAATTTTTTGAAGAGTACGTCATTGATCGAGAAATCATGCTTGTTCATCTCCTCCACTGGAGGATCCCAGGACAAAATGTCCCATCGCACGCAATCGGGTCTAGTAGCAAGGTATAGCTGTTGCTCGGGCACTGTGTCAATGTGCCGAGAGACATGAGAAAACTTCACTTTGACACCCGATGTGAGTTGAGGAGAATGCAGTGGGTCACGCCCTGTGACTCCAAAAGCATCATGTTCATAGTTATGATGCAAGCGCGGGAGCCTCAAAGCCGGAGGTAGCCACCTTTCTTCTTTCGGAAGCGTTCTAGCGGCCGCTAGGGGTTTCTTTGACGTCTGGCCAACAGGCCCCGGACGACCATCAGCCACATCGCTGGGGACATCCTTTGCCGAATCCACCTGCATGTTGTCGAGCGCGCCCTTGATACGGGATATAACGACTTCTAGAGCTGATATAGGGGCCTCACGGAATGACGTGAAGTTCCTCTGTGGCCGATGGATTGAAGAGTGGCCGATACCCGATGAGAAACTGTCAGTGGAGGGTCGGACGGTCGAAAGATTCTGATTGAAAGCGAGGTGTCGTTCTGTGGTTGAGCGTTCCGCAGCGCCTACAGTCTGTCTTTCTGTAAACTGCCTCATCCCTTCGCGTTCTTGGGATTCAGTAAGAATCTGGTCACCGGGTACATCTCCCAAGAAATCACCTTGAAGAGGTTGCCCATGTTGCAAGGGGGGTTGGCCCCTTGAGGACGCCGCATGAGTTCCCTCTGCACTGACAAATCGGTCGAGGTCCGAAAAATCCACGACTTCGAGGCTTTCATCAGGAGCGTTGGTGTCCGGTGCTTCACCTCCATAAAGCATTGGAGGGCGGGACAAAGTCAGTGATGGAGTGAGTGACAGCGGTCTTTGTAGAGGAGTACGTGCATTGCTCCTCCAAGATTTTACATCACCAGGGCTGGACGGTTCTTCAGGAGCGGAATCGTGGGAAGTCGCGCTTTGGTGCGAAGGCCGAGTATCTTGCTTCAAGGAAGGTGTCCTCTCTAATATTGTTGGTTGGGATGGAAGCGAGGACGTCTCTAGGTCATGGGCCAATTCGGCCTCTCCCGTAGAGCTGGCTGCCATTTGACCAATCTCGACAACAGGGGCCTACTCTATCGGTCAGCGGAAGTTCTATCCGTTAGGTAATGATTAACCTGGGCTTCCTTATTAGCTTCAGCAACGTTCATCTGCAGCTCCAGTTCAGCAGCTTTCCTCCGAGCACGTTCTTTTTCCTTCTCGCGCTCTTCTTCTTCACGCTGCCATCTTTGCCTTGCCTTCTCGGCAGATATATGCATAGCCGTCTTGTGCACAATCTCCACATCTAATTCCACCACTTTAGGCAGAAATACCTCGGATGGTGCCGCTGCAGATGCAACGCCATCGGTCAGTCCTTTGTTTTCCCGTGTATCCAGCGGTAAGGAAGATGAGGGTTGCAGGGGCGATTCTTGCAGATGTGCGAGAGGAACTCGGTAAGTATTGTTCGCCGGAACACCGAAGTGAGACTCACTTGACGGACGTCGAGGTTGTAGTCCACTAGTACCGCGGACACCGTCAATCCCTGGTCCGGATGGTAGATTTGTATCTCTTCCTCGTGGTCCGTTTTGGCCATAGTGAGATAAGAGCGCTGGTGAAGCACCAAGGCCGATTGATGGCAGATCTCGCGAACCATGCACCGGTCGCGGAACGCGATTGCTCTCTGCAGATTTTTGCAGAAGGTGTATAGCGGGACCGTTCGGTACAGCATCACGACCGGGCGGTTCTAATCTACTGTCCCTCTTCGAACCGCCGTGAGGTCCGCTTAACCGACCCGGTGGATATACGCTGTCATAGGGTTCCAATCGGTTGGACCGCTCATTGAACAAAACCCTGGGTCCCTCCAACGGTGAATGACTAAATTGCGATGACACGGGAGAATCTGATGCTTGACGAGGTGACAGACTAGAGTAATCCTTCGGTTGGGTGGAGGGCGAGTGCCTCGAACGAGGCCAACTGCGATCAAAGTCGTCCGCAAATCTGTCTTCCTGGGTGCCGGTTTCACTCAGAGTCTGATTTATGACATCGGTGGAAGTGCCTTCCTTTTGGGTAACATGACTACTTGGGGGCCGTTCCGGCTCCGTTGGTATTACCTTGTACTGCCGGCCATCGCCAAATTCAATAACGTTGTCCAGGAAGTTATCATCATCCTCTTCCATCTATAGTGTACTTAGTAGATGTGAAAGGTAGGGGAGAAAACAAGTTTTACAAACCTCGTCCCAATGATGAGCATTCGGGTCAAGGTGGAGTCCCCTGAAGGCGTCCGCTTCTTGTGGAGCCGCTCCCTTGGATGGGAGCAACTCGTCAGATTTGTCGTCGTCAGCTCTTGCACTCCTTCCTAAGTGACCTTCAACACACTCTTTTCCAGGGCCAGAAAAGCCCAACTGACCTTGAGCCACTTCTGCCGCAGTGGGGAAGTCAACGGCATTGTCAGTGAACGATACTCCAGAACTAGGTTTCGAATTTCGCCAAGCGGGTTTGGTGGGGAGGCCGTCCTTCTTTGTGAGCAAGGCTGTGGAAGACGCTGTGCTTCGGGGTTGTGGTTGAATGACTTTCCCCACGTGTGGAAGTTGGGGTGCAGGTGGAACCGGCACAGACGGTAGTGGCTGTTGGGCATTGGAGGGGGTGGGAGTCGTGGATGTAGCGGAAGGAGCAGCAGAAGAAGGGCGGGACCAGCTGGGGCCAGTAGTTCCAGACAGTTGGGGTGTAGAGGTGAGTTTGGCAGTCACGAGCCTTGAGTGGGAGCCAGAAGGCTGCACGATTGGCCGGGCTGCCCAAAAGAACCATATCAGGAAGGGCCAAATGATCATAATGTGCACACATACGAGCGGGACTGCCGGACTTAACAATGCTTAAATGGCTGGACGCAGCAGAAGGCGCCGACGAGGTGGTAGAAGTCTTCTGAAGAAATTTCTTGTTGATATTTACTGCACTGAATTTCTTAGGGGGAAGATTGGGAAAAGCAGTGTGGGATGAAGAGTTTCCAGGAGGGGGTGATTGGTGCGAAGGTGGGGCAGAGACATCTGCAGTGAGGGACGGCGAAGGGGGACCTTTGACGGAGTGCGCTGGATCTGGGTGTGTGACAGGAGGTTGCATAGAGGTGTCCACGGGGGCATCTGCATTCCTGGAATCTCCTTTCGTGGGGCCATCCTTTGCACTGGATTCTGACGACCCTGTATCTGCTCTGTCGATACTGGCCATAAACACGCCCACTTCCTCACGGAGATGTTGCCTTTTGCACGCCAGGACGATTGCAATGCGAGCCGGAGAACAAACGATGTCAGTACTGCAATACTGAGCCGAGACACGGCCAACAGCGAGCTCAAGCAACACACACTCACGTTTTGCAGAAAGTGACAAGCTTTGCGAGTGGTCTGTGCGACAATGTCTCCCTGCAGCAGCAAGGAATAAAGAAAGCTGTCGGCAGCAGGAAATCAACCATTTTAGGCATTCATATGGGACCAAAAACCAGCGTGCAAATGCTAAAATCGAATGCTAACAGTACTACGCTACATGTTCTCCAGCTCTGCCTCTCGCTTGTGGATACGACTCACTTCTGCGTCCAGCGCGACATTGGCCATCTCTATCTGCAGAATGCTGGACAGCAGCTCTGTCCATTTTATTTCCAGTGCTGTTAGCTGCGCGCCGTAGTTGGTCTACCAACACCAACAAACTCTGAGCACGCGGTGGAAAGAGAGGTGGCGCGTATTACCTGCGTGTTTTTGCGTTGTCTGTTCAGCTCGACCGTCTTCTCCTTTAGCTCTTCCAACGCTTTCTCGGCTTGTTTTGCTGCCTCCTCTAGGCGGTAGTTATGTATTCGCCACGCATTAGCACCATACGACTGCAGCAGGGCGAGATTGGTGTGCCTGAAAGAGAATGTGTTTGACTAGGTTACGGGAAATCGAAAAGAGTGCAGTATGTACCGAATACGTTGATGCTCCAGCTGAGCGTGCGCATTGCGGAGCGCTGCTTGCCATTCCTCATCGGTGCCTGGTGACGTCGTGGGTGCAGGCAGTTGGTATCTGACGGTGTCAAGGGGTGGCAGAGGCTGGTGAGCCTCCACGCGTGCTAGTTCCGCAGCCAGCATCGGATTGTTCTACCATGCATCGTTGACACTCAAGGGGTAACAAGAGTGCTTAGTGTAATGGTGCGCACCTTGAATAGGTCATAGGGAGGGGGAACCAGTGGATGCAGACCTTGTGGTGGCTTTGGCTCTCGTGCCAGTTCCTGTTCCACCTTCTCCTTGAGAATGGGATACTGTTCGAGATCGCTGTCATAGTACGGTAGCGAGTCGAGGACTGCTGACGGTCTCTGAGTGCCATCCATGTTGTAAGTGAGCCGTCATCCGAATTCCGATCCGACACGCCTTCGCTTTGCCACCCTCGAGTCGTTGACGACCATCTGAACGATGCTCAGAACGCTCGCACGTCCCTGCGTACGCCTGTCATCGTCGATTGGCACTGTCGGTCGACGCTGCATCCAGTCCTCTTCTGTGTCCAAGGGTAGGCGTATTGTCGTCGCACTGTCGAGTCTGGCTCACCCTCGCACAGCTTCCGCCTCCCCGTTCACCGAGCCTACTTCTCCCAATCCCACCGCAACGAAATATGCCCAGACCACCGAGTCCTTACACACCTACGGCTCCTATCTCACTCAGTGCCTTCCCAAGTTCATTCAACAGTTCTCCGTCTTGAAAGACGAACTTGTTCTCCATGTCGCACCCTCGGCGATCATTCCTGTCTTGTCGTTCTTGCGGGATCATTCTCAGTGCCAGTTCAAGAGTGCCGTGGACATCACAGCCGTCGATTTTCCTGAGAGAGAAAAGCGCTTCGAGGTCGTGTACAACCTTCTGAGTGTCAAGCACGCAGGCAGAATTCGGGTTAAGACCTACGCTGCCGAGTCCGACGCAGTCCCAAGCTGTGTATCTGTCTTCCGTGGTGCAGACTGGTATGAGAGAGAGACTTGGGATATGTTTGGCGTGTTCTTCTCTGGTCATCCTGACCTGTGAGATTCTTGACTTGCTGGTTGACCTTCTTTAACTAACGTCCTCTCGATAGTCGACGTATACTTACCGACTACGGTTAGTCACATGCTCAACCTCTCCATCCTTACTTATTTTCTTTTCCAGGCTTTGAAGGACATCCACTTAGAAAAGATTTCCCCCTGACGGTAGGTCGTATGAAGCGAGCTCGCGTGTCACGTCATGTTCACATTCTTCCAGGGCTACACAGAGGTTCGCTACGACGAAGAGCGGAAGCGCGTTGTATACGAACCGCTGCAGTTGACCCAGGCATTCCGGTTCGTTCATTCACCTGTGTTGACCTTCGCTTCGATAACTCTTCATCTAGCAACTTTGAGTCGCTCTCACCCTGGGAACAAGTAGGTGGGGGAACTGAACCTATACGGCCAGCAGAACTCAAACCTGTCCCACCTCCTGCGGACAGCCCTCGAGAGTAGCACTTTTGCAAATCAGTACATTCCCTGTTAGACGCCGTTCAGGCCACACCATATAATACATCATCTCAGGGTTGTTGCAGTCATGCAGTTCCAACATACAATCGTCGTGCAGATATGCTCACGTGGCTATTCCTCATTCTTTCTGCTGATCTTCTCTCTTCGCCCAGCCCATTCTCGCTACAATGTAGTCCTGGCCGAGGATTTCCACAGCGACCCTCAGGCACTCTGCAACGGAGTCTTCCACCCAGTCATACCGATCCCATAGCTCTAGCCAGGCGGTTGGTACTGCCTGAGTTACCGTAGTGTGCACGAGGTTATGGTCAGGGTCCGATAAGTGCAAAACGAACTGCAAATAAGATGTCTTAGAGGTAGTGTCGTCACTAATCTGAGGGAGCGTCAGCACGGTGTTGAAAGGTTGAATGCGCAGGTAGATGGTGGAATAGGTGACAGGGTTTTCGGCTGATGACGCCTTCCGCTCTAATTTGGAATTATCTTTGGTAAGTTGATCCAAATTTGCCTGATAATCTCGGGTTAGCAAACGAAGATGAGGAAAACGCAAGTGCGCTACCTGGGCAAGTTTGAGGGCGGCTTCATAGCCTTCCACGGCGTTGATATCTCGCGAGTCTGAAGTATCCTTTGGCCGAGATTCGTTGCCCCTGTTGACTATCAGGTCTCCACCCTCCACTTGCTCCATGACCTAGAAGCATATCAGCAAGACGCTGATGCACGCCTACAATGCATCACTTACTCTCGTTAACGCCTTGTACACAAGACCCTCTACACCATCATAGCCTTTCATGTCGTGACTGAGCCATACTTGAATAACTTCGTGTTCGGAAATGGGGGGAGCAACAGCATTTAAAATTTCGTTCAGAGTAGACAATCCCACTCTTTTGAAATCCTGACCTGTGCATCCAGTGAGTTTGCGAGTGCCTCGGCGCGAGCGTTTGACGTACCAAGTTTGTCCAACTGAGCATTCTTTGCATACTCAAGGACGCCTTCACTCCATTTGCTTACTTGGTCGTTCTTCGGTAAACTCTTCACCTGCTCGTCCACAACAGACCTCGCCTGCTGGTAAGCAGCGGATGCACTCGACCACACGCCTGACCATCCCCATCGACCAGAAGAACTGGAAGCGGTGGTATCTGGTGCCTCGGACTTGCTTGGCACTGATGGTCCGGGTGACGCCGACTCAGATTTACCAGACAACGAAGAAGACGAAGAGACGGGGTGGACACCAACTTTGACACGTTCGGTGCTCTTGCGCAGTGAAGGTGTGCCAGCACGAGAGATGGGACGCTCCGTTGGCGGCGCCGCTATTCGGGTGGGTTCTGAGGACTTTTGCGTGATCTCATCGATGAAAGCCAGCACGTCAGCAGGATCTCCGTCTTGCTGTGCCCCTTTGCTAGTAGGAGCGGCAACATTGGGAGGATTGAGAGAATCGAGATCATCGAGAAACTGAAGAGCCTCCTCTTGTTTAGACTTCGCCTTTGAAACCATTCTGTATGACTTTGTGGTCACTTGGGTAGGATGTCAGACTTGCCGCGTCGTGGTTACTCACGAGTACTGGCACCAGCGGGGCATTCAGCTGTAAGTGATTGTCGTCAACGCCATGCCCGATTAGGAAATCTCTCCACCTTGCCACCTTGCTTCCACAGAGCGGTTTACGCTGTTGCTGCTAAGTAATATCTGACATAACAAGGAAAAATGCCGAGAAAGAAAAAAGCTGCAGAGGATGAAGAGGATGAAGTTTACCACGTCGGTGAGTGTCGCGTGGCTATCGATCGTCAACCAATTCTAAGAGTAGTCTTGCAGAGGTTATCACGAAGGCTCGAGTTAGTGAGGAGGGGGGTTGGGTGCGTGTTGTTTCTATCGAAACGTATTGGCCAAATATTACCTTTATAAACCATAGGAGTACCTCGTAAAGGTAATGCGTCGTTGTCATCGTTCACGAGTTGTCACTTACGATCGGTTAGTGGGCAGGATACGACTCGGACGCGGATAGGCGAGTATCCTGATATGCTCTTGGAATTCTCTCTCACAACGTTTGGGCACTAGTTGGGAACCTGCAGAAAATGTCAAGCAATGTGACCGTCTACTCGGCAGTTTCTGGAGGCATGTCGGAATAGACGACGAAGACTATGCTATTGGGTATGAAGTGGCTGCGCGGAAGGAATGGATTAGTGAGCCATTTGTTGTCTCTTTAACTCTTAATGTCCAACAATTTGTGCAGACAAAGAAAAAAAGTACTTCGCAGACACATTCGTCAAACCTGCAGATACGAAAAAGACAGAAAAAGAGACCAGAAAGAAAGATGTCAGTGCCTCCATTCTCCATTCCTCCGTTTACCACTCTCATAACCATGAATGACAGGATAAACGGAAGCCGCAGGTAACAGCCTCGAAGAGTGACTATAGTCATTCGGATAGTTCAGACGATGTTCCTTTGTCCAAGGGCCTTCCCAAAAGACGAAGGGTCACTCATTCCAAGGTAAGTAATCTAATTCGCGGATTTCTCTTGCATGGAATGACTCGTCTGTCAGTCTAACCCCAACACGGATGCCGATAAGTCGCTCCATCCCCCACCAGTGCTGGGAAAGCCAGGCGCCCTTTCGAGCAGCACGTCGAACGCGTTAAAATCGCTATCCTTCAAGAAAAGCAAACCACAAGTCCCTGCTATTCAAGCGAAGGATTACACGAAGTTAGCTAGTACAAGCGCAGCACCACCTCCGCCACCCACCAGTGGGACTGACAAAGAAGATACGGCAGATGATTCATTTAGTTCCCTCCCGGAGGACATACCAATGTGAGGCCTTTATTGGTTCTCTGCAGATAGTGTGTTGAGATGTTGTAGCTTTGAGCCAGCTACAGAACCTTCGGAGCAACTCATGGCAGAAGATTTCTTGAAAACAATTGACATTCCTGCGTAAGTGTGTTATGTGGTGTCATACTTTGTTCATGACAGAATGATCCCCAGTCTTAGTGCACCAATATTGTGAGTTGGGCGGTATCCCATGAAATGGATGCCTACTGATGCCATTCCAGGGAATCTGAGAGTACACCTGGCTCTGTCGTCATGCAGAAAATCACAGCCACCATAGCAGGCCCTCTGAGGATACCAAAGAAGTGGAAGTGGTCAGGAGATTTGTTCATCAGTACATCTGACAGGGTTGAGCTATTGTGCAACATCACCATCAAAAACCCCACTGGTTCTGGTGACAGCTCCTCTATCAGCATGCTGATGTCACAGATGGACATGTTACAGATGTCCAAACTCTACCATGTCTCTGAACTTTGGCCACTGCTTCGAGCATGTAGCAAACCTCAATACTTTGCACAACTTGAATCTACACAACTCCAAGATCAAGTGCTCATACAAGGTTTGATGCACTATATGACCCATCAGCAGCATGTAAGTTGTCCCCCTTACCCATGATATTTTACTGACTTTTGGATGTGTAGGTAGCAATGATAGTCCTCTCCTTGGATCAAAATGAAGTTGCAGTGCTTGTGGTATTTCCAGCTGCATTTGTCACCATGATCAAGCTCTTGCAGGTTCCTGATGACCAGGTTGTTGAGGGATCACTGCAGGTTGTGCTTATACCCTTCTTAATTCCTCTGCCATTGCTGGTGAAGATGGGGAATAGAGCCATTCAAGGCATCCAAACCCTGTCCCTACCACCTGGGAAGCTTCATTCCCTTCACAAGAAGCCCCTCATTTTCCAAGCAATTGTCTGCCTTGGGTTTCCTGCTAGTTTGCTGGAATTCTTGGACATTCCAAACAGAACCTATGCAGTTTGGTTTTCTTCCTCTGACTGTGGCCAGTCAACCTCTGGATTGGAAACTGCACTCCTCCAGCTTGTTCTGGGAGCTACAAAAAGCACACTGTCCAATGTGAAGGATGATGTTCGAGTGGTTTTCATCCACATTGGCTCTCTGTCAAGGATCCAAGCCTTGCCATCTGTTGTCACCAAGCTATCTGAATTTCCAGAAACCCAATTCTTCACATATGGAACTCACCCTAGTGTGGATAGTCAAAGGTGGGGTGTCCATGAGATTTTCCCATTGGGTAAGTTGGGAGTTCTGTTGATGAACCAATTATCTGAATGCCCCTATGCAGGTGGAGTTGTGAGCTTTACACCAGCTGTACTGGCTGAAGAACCAGTGCAATGCTACCAAATGATGCTCAAGATTTCTGAACATCCAATTTGGGATTGCTTTATCACTCCAAATGTGCTGGCTGCAAGCAACCTCCTTGCCATGTCATGTAGCTCTTCAAGGTAGGTATACAAAATCTAAGCACATGAAACTTGCATTGTTAAATATATACACAGCAGTTCATCATACCTGGACCCCATTCTAGAACTCATTGATTCTGGCCAAGTATCCCTGATCAGGTTCCCTGGTGGTGGTGGCAGCAGCCAGCTATGGCTACCATTTGCTGTCAAGGAGCATGCTCTTGCAGGGAATGAGCTACTTGAGGCCTGTTCTGCAGGTTTCAGTGGTCAGATGGACATGCCAGACTTACCTGGACCTATGCTCAGATCAGGGATTAATAATGAGCTTGTTCAGGATATGGCCAAAATTCAGCAACAACCTCTCGTTACGGATAATTACCGAAGATTTGTAATTATAAAGGCATCATCGGAAACTGACATACCCTATGACAAGGATGGGGTGCGTACATCCCCTCCCCTCCCCCGGATGACAACTGATGGTTGCTTTAGTTCGAGTGGCATTCCCTTGGCTCGTTCACTTTCAAAGATAATTTCTTCGAGGATTAAGGACCTGTAAGACAATTGTAACTAATAGGGCACAGTCAAACCAACTTTGCCTACATAGGCCAACTCCATACATCATTACCAATCTTTAAATCTGTGAAAGACGGTGCGATCAGTTAGGTTGTGTCCGAACTCACTCAATTTGCATTCCACCCGATGTCGTCATGGAAAGTTTTCACGAAGCCCCTCGACGTGTACCCACACCTGAAACCTGACAAGATACAAAGTGAGGGACGTGAAGAAAATCACGAAGCCAAAACAACCACCGCCGTCCAAGTGGTTATACATACGGGCAAACCTTCCTAATGCTTTCAAGGTTTGTTCTCCAGCGTCTCTGGAGGCACTGGCCTATAAGTACCGTTGCAGGAACGCGGCGCTGTTCCTCGCGAATCCTGGTCTAAATCTTAGAGTGAGCCGACAGTTGTTGAAAGCTGTAAATCAAGCCGCTGCCCATAATATCCTAAGGAGAGGCACAAAATATCTGGAAGACGGCCATCGCCGTCCCGCGGCTCAAGTCCTTGCCGCCTTCCCAGGTAGGATCCTGTAAAATTTCGATATATTCTTCGAGTATGGACTGTGGTTCAGCGCCGTTAACGATTGCAGCTTTTTCCAAAGGATATGCGGCGTTGGTTGCATGTACCGTTGGTAGCGGACAAACATACATGCCTGGCACCATGCATTTCCTTTCCCGTCTCGGTGCGCGTATATGAAGTCCGCAGTCTTCTCCGTCATGTAGTCTGCTTGATCGATGTGAAACCAGGGATTGTAATCAAACCAGCACTCACCTGGCAGATAATCGCCCCCAACGGTCTCTTGCCTGATACAACGGCTGATGTCCGTCCGTCCGTCAGCCACGCCCAACTTCGTTGCGACGGGTCATTACGCGTCAACATTCATCGGGTCAGGTCAACCTGTCAGAGAAGATCAACACGTTGAAACTGACTTAGCTAAATAGTCGAAAGAGAGAGTCCACGCTCCGTCTAGAAGAGGTCGGTTAATGTGCTAAATCAGGTACAGTGCGCGTGTACCGTAGCCACAAAACGTTAGGGGGTTAACGCGATGGTTGACTTGGGGTATCAAAAGAGAGCGTAGAAAGCTGAAGACCTCAGCAGGTCGGCAGCCCACTCATCCACGTTCTCAATCGGCATCAAAAAGCTACATTATAAACAAAATGTTCTCTCGCACCTTTGCCGCTTTTTCCCTTGCTTTGCTCGTCACCGCCAATGCACATCTCGAGGCTCGTGACCAGTACAACACGGAAACTATCCAGCGTTGTCAAAGCCTCCAGATGATGAACTTACCTGTTGATTTTTTTGCTGTCGCAATATTTGACGGTGACGACAATAATAGGCGAGCCAAAGCGTATCGTTGGTTCAGAAGTGCGGGTGAACGGTTACTGGTGCCGCCACCCAAGGTCTAGTCGGCACAGACTGCGTGTTGCAAGAAAGTTTACTTGCTATATCCTCACCTCTGTTCGAGTCTGACCAGGTTATTGGAAGTCAACATCAACGCTTAGACGTTACCCGTGAGGTTGCACCGGAAGATTGTTGTTGATAATAATAGCGATGTTCCAACCGTCGTTATCTCCATACCGCGCCATGTGTAGTCGCTCTTGTTAATTCAACAGCGCACTTCAACCCCCCTCATCTCGTCTCTGTGTGATTTGTCTGTCTTGTGTGGGCGTTTTCGGGTTGACGTCAACACCTGTTGAATTGTGTATAATCGCAGTTTTGCCATGCAGCTTGATAGTTTGGGCGGTTGTCCAAGCCGTCTACATGTGATTGCAGTGGAGAGCCACGGCAAAAGTGCACCGGATCCGGCACTGATGCGACTGAAGTCTGAAGGAGAGCCAGTGACTTCTTCTACTGCCTCTGTACCATGTCTACTGTTGATACATGGTTGCTAAACCCTGCGTTCCATGACTATCTCGCCATCCTTAAGGGTGCTCGAAATGGATTCATCTACGGTGTAAAAGTCAGGTTCCCGCACGCTTTAGTTATGTCGGTGCTGTTTGGGCGTGGCGAGTGAGTCAAACTATACCTCAGCATTCGGATGAGCAGTCTTCTCATGACCCATTGTGGTGACTTAGCTGGATAACACGTCTACGGGCGATCCTACGAGCGACGAAGGAACATGGTTTCAATTTGGCGAAGTTCGTCTCACTGTACAAGACTATTCTTTTATTACAACGCAAGGCCAACGGAGGAAAGGAACGTGGTTGCGATACATTCATCGCCGGATTGATTGGCGGGTACGTTGTCTTCGGAAACAGGAGCGCCGTAAATGAGCAGGTACGTCCCTCTGGTGCGACGTCCTGTGAGTCTTCTTGACACCATTGTTATGGTCAAGATCGTTCTTTATGTCGTTTCGAGAGTACTGGCATCTTTCCTCCCGCGTGCAAGGACCAACAACCCTACTTCATCCGCGTCGGCTACAGGCGCAGCTGTCCGACCCATGCCCCCAGACGCCCAATACTTCTCGGTTTTTGCAGCGCTATCCTGGGGCGCCGTTATGTGGCTTTTTAAGCACCGGGGCGAGACTATCCAACCAGGGATGTTCAACTCCATGACCTATTTATACCGAGACTCTGAGGTCTGGACTGACTTAAGGACGTTACTGTGGTACAACAAGTGACCCATATCCATGGGTAATCGCTATGTTTGTTGATGTCTAGAGATACTTTATGTGATCCTCAGGTTACCTGTCTACTCGATGGAAGATATCCTATGGTCCTTGCAATGCGACGGCATTTATACTCGGATTGCAGGCTTGAGTCCACGGAACAAGCAATTATGAAATGGACACACCTCGAGCATCTCGGTTGCCGCTATACAAGCTTTCCTGCACGTTTGACAGGATGAAAGTTGATCTACTAACGTTCGCATCTCTGCTGCTATATCGCTAGCTAGAGGGACGGAAGGATTAGGATTAGGATTAGATCTCCATCTCGACAGGAGAACCTTCACGGCTGCACTCACCTGCCTCTATCTTCGGAACAAGCTCCACTCGCCGGTCGTTCCACAATCGGGCAGTTTCGTCGGAATGCAGGGTGCACAAGCCATATCCAAATGGAAATATTTCTTCTGACAGTAAAACCTCCTGCAGCCTCTTTATCCTGTGTGCGTGAAGTTGTACAAGATCGTGGTAAGCTGCGACTGTTGGGATAACCGAGATATCATCCTTGCTGTAGGATGCAAGCGGCGGATGTAGCAGATAAGTACTTGCCTCTACGGCGACATCCTCAAGCCCGTTTTCTGTGGCAAAGCCGTACACCTTGAGGGGATGCAAGAACGCATTTGCGACCAAGTGCAAACGCAATGAACGAACGAGCGAGTCTGATAGACCGTATTTATCGGCCAAGCGGATCATTCCAGGTAAAAGTGGAAAAGGTATCACTGAGTCATGCTCGTATCGTTGGGAGAACGGTAGTTTCATCCAGCGCTCTTGTGCGGACTCGCAGTCAGGGAGGGAGAGCAGAGGTGGGGGAGGTGGCTGACGGAGTAGTTCCAATAGGGTATTCAGGGCCTGGGCAGGCTCATCAAAGTTCTACATAGCAACCCGCGTCCGCAAGGGTTTTGACCCCAATGGACGCAGATCCCTGATCGCAGAGTGCAAACATATCCCCTGTACATATACTTTGTCGGAATCAGTCATACATTGTCTATTGGCACGTACTGAAGATTTCTGACTTTTCAAGGTCACGTCGCCATACTTTAAACTCGATCTGGTCAGGGATCGACTTCACGACGAAGTCCGTCTGTTCAGTTATCGGTATGTCCATTGCGGAGGGGATCGATCAACAGGGTAGACGGATATACTGAATACCCTTTGTACCTGGTCTTCATGACATGTCCCTTCGGCAGCGCAGCAACGTGGCTGATGCGGATTAGTTGGTGCACAGCAGGCAGGTTCACACCTGCATTGCGAGAAATGTAGATCAGAACTCAATCAGGTACGTGGGAGATGTTATAGGACATGATGCAGAAAATGAGAGAAATGTTTCCCGTGAGTTCAAAATACATCGTAGGCCTAAATCGCGTATGACACAGTGATACGGCAGAACAAATGCGGTGCGGTTCGGTTATAGTGGAAAGATCTGCCTGGAAGAGAGAGAAACGAACTCAATGCTGAGCAAGCGACAAGAAGCAGAAATTGGTGGAGGTATCATCAAACAGAGGTAAGAGACGAGCAGAATCTAAATCACCGAAAACCCAAGAAAATATCCGTCACATCACTACGCATTTGGGCTTCTTCGGATCCTTCAGAGGCTTGTCCTGCTTGCCACCGGGGCCGGTCTCCAGTCGTTTAGTCTGCCGCAGCGCACGGACAAGGTTGGTGAAGAGAAGCTCCACATTGTACGCCGTCCGGGCCGATGTCTCCATGAATTCGCATCCAAATGATCGTGCCAGCGCTATGCCCTCTTCGCGCGATACCTCACGCTCATATGTCTTGTCACATTTGTTTCCCACCAACATGAAAATTGGTTTTTGCCGTTTAACTTTGAGCATTGACTGTCGGAAAACTTCAAGCCGTTCGAAGGTGGATCGTGAAGCAATCGAGTACACAAGAATAAAACCTTGGCCCTCTCTGAAGCGCTCTTCACTTACGAAGTCGCGGCGCAGTTTAACAATGATACCCACCTCACCCATTGATCACGGAGAGTTGCGTATTCCTCTGTACACCTTTTAGAACTGATATCGTAGGGGTAGAAAAGTGTAGCGTCACCTTGACCGGCAGTGTCAATAACTTCCACAAAGCACATCTTGTTGTCCACAATTAATTGCTTCCTATACGCGTCTTCTATTGTGGGGTCATAGGTCTGAGAAGGCACAAGAACAGTCAGGACAGGGCCAGAACACCGAATGAAAGTTGCCCGACCTCTGCAATGGGAATGTCAGGGTATAAGTCCAACAACGGATACAATAGCGGATAACTTACCGACGAAACAATTCAGAGTAAACTGGGGAGGATACTCAATGAACAGCGAAGGTGGAGGTGACGGAAGTACATACCTGAACAGCCAAAGCAGTTTTACCTACACCACCATCACCCAGAACAGCGACTCTCCAGCTATCCATTGTTCCAAAAACGCTTGGCAGAAGGATCTAGTTGAAATGGATGGCGAAGCGAGAGAAGAGAGTGGGGGATAAGCCACAAAAACGTAGAACGGGTCTGGGGTCGGAAGGTCGATGAGTTGTGTGAACCGCTTCAATGATACAGACACAAAGAGAGCCTTAGTAAAAGAACAAGACGTCGTAAAAATCGTGTAAGGTCGTAAAAAAAGGTTCGCGAGGCCCTTCGCAGGAGACTTGAAAGGATGTGGCAGTGGGGAGGGAAGAGAAAGTGAACAGGCGATGATGGAGGTGCGGCTGTCCCCTGGAGGCGGTTAATCCTTTTGCTGCTACAGCATGGGACGAATTTGCGTCTGCTTGCAACACACCCGTTTTCAAAAGGTCCGGTGTCTAAATCAAGCGGCCAATTCTCCACGCGACAAAAAAAAACATTCAAGACTAGTAGGGTAAGGCGGATACATGAACAGGGTATTCGTACGACTGTTACTATGCGGCATAATAGGTGGGGTATATGGTAGTACAACAGGGAATGCAATATAGTCAACCCACCACAACCGCTCAACGAAGCGCGAAGTGTCAAGGAATACTGAGCCATCCGAGGAAATCTCACGATGCCGAGTGAGGGGTTAGGCATGACCATCAGTCTCTTCGACTGAACTCCCCCTGCGTCAGGTCTAGGATGAAAGTCGTCTTGAAATTTTTCGGTGGTTCAATGATTTTAACCGGTCTCTTCGACAGGTTCTGGGGGAGAGATGCGAAGGGTCGCAGAGGGCGAGACTGAGGGAAGTTGGCAGCAAGCTTTGGCACAGCTCCAGGGGGTGTGGAGGATGTATGCGACGACCCAGCCAGGGGTGACGAGACATACGGAGAGGTTGCTCCAAAAGGACGACGCATGGACGTCATGGTGAGGGCAGCTTTCCGGAAAATACAGGTGGGTCAACTGCATTCTCGTATGGCTAGCAATATGTAGACCTACCCATTGCAGGAGAGTTCGAAGATTGGGAGCTATTTGGTCGCAAGGGTGCGGGGCGAAGCGAAAAGGGACCGTGAAGATGGCAAGTCGCAGACTGGCTGTCGTTAGCTTATACGTGGGTTTTTATAACACCCCGCTGCAATTCTCTGGGGCGGGTTTCGCGAGTGTCAACGGGGTTTCGGGTTGGCCAAACATCGCCAAACATCGCCCTGGAAACTTCCACCGCCCCAAAGCTATGTGCAAATGCCACGGATGCAACTTGAATCAGTGCCTGACGCGGTAGACATTATTGATCTGTGCAGACGTCTCCAGCGTCGTTGGTAAAAAAGAACTTTGGACTTGCCAACTATATTCGCATTATGGCTGGTTATTCCGTGTGGCCGCAGCTTACCCGATTCAGCATCTAATAGTGTGGAATGTTCCCCAAAAGTTTCGAAAGACCCGCTGCGGCAAAGGAGTGGCCGTTAATATTGCGTTCGTACATGTCAGTGCACACCTAGCTGATCGCAATACTGTTGGCAATGAGCATGATAGATAGATTGATGGTCAAGTGATTGTGACCTGTGTGCGCATCTACGCTTGACTGCTTGATAATGATTGATTAGGTGATAACAATCGGATCTCGCTTGACAATGAACCATAAATTCTGATTGAAATGCCACCACGATGTACAAACCGACGTATAAATACAATGCTATATGAAATATACAAGATTCACAGACAACTTGGTCGTCCTTTGCCTGCTATAGAAGGCAAAGAAGTAAGGTGGAATGATAGTTAGACAAGGTGCAGGCTTGGATTTCGTGGCTGCAGTGACGACGGGGGGAAGGCATATCAAAACGGGAAGAAGAGAAATCCTACTAGTTTCATTAAAATGTCAGTTGGTAGGATATGCAAAGGAAATGTGATGGGCGCCGATCAGATAAGGAAAACCGATCGAAGCGCGTTGAGCGATGGGCATCTATGTTCGCAGCCGACGGGTGACGCAAGATGTGGCGTTGGCTCGTGTGTTCAGATGTCAATAAGGACGTTGCCTAGCTGGAAGAACGTTGCGCATAATCTCAAGAGTGTGTGGCCCTTGCGAAGCTATTTACGTGAAGTTGGATGATTAGGTGTTTGCTTGCTTGCTGTGCTAGGAAACTTGGATGCAGTTTACAGAGTCCAATCGCGGAAAGGTGGCTGGCGACGGTGATAAGTGGACTTCATCAGGAGGAAAACCACGGTGTCGGAAGAAGTCGAGAACCTCGACGATCAAGGAACTGCCCAAACAACTGGCGTGTTTGAGAGCTCATTGAACATCTACAAGGAGGTTGCGCTCGAGGATATACTTTCCCTCTTTGTACCTCTGCGAGGCTTCGTATGCACGGTCCTAACGTTTAGCGAGTCGAGTTTAGAATGAGGATGGAAGGTACTTCAGCACTCACATATTTCCATCCCAAGATGGTAGCACACTTGACACAGTAGATATCCCGGACGGTATGGTTGCCAGTGGTCATGAGGCGGTCACTTGGTTCCCCTTCGACGACGTTAACGCTGCAGAGGATCTAAATATTTGGACGAACGGGTTGGGCTGAGGCAGAACACTTACACGCCTTCGAACAAGTAAGCGCGACCATGTTGACCATTGAATGCCTATCGGAGCCATTAGTCGACCAGGCGCTGGAGGGGACAGATGGGGGACACTCGCTCGTGATATCATCGAATGTATTGTAGCTAAGTGGGTCTTGCACTTCGAGCAGCCGTAGATGCGCTCACCAGCAAGATAGCGACGATATTTCATACCCATGGTGGATGTAGTCAGGCAGTAGTAGTGTAGTAAAGTAGCAGGGGTGAGGTAGCGAAAAGGCCAGCAGGAGAAGGGATCGTCCTTTATAGAGTAGACGTGTGAAGAAAGGTGAGAGAAAGGTAGGAGGAGGAACGAGTCGGAATGAGTGGAATTATGGTAATGTGCCGCAAGGAGCGCTGCCGAGCGACGCTGCCAGCCGTCCAACCCACACCCCTCCCTTCTGTCATTCTCATATTCCGTGTACCTAGCACATGCGATCGTACTTATTAGACAACGTCTGTTTCAGTCGTCCGCCGTGTATATTCACTCTGGCATTCCACAGGATTACAGACGGCACCTCGCACGCAAAATGCAATCAGGGTGCCTTCTAACTGCGCTCTAACACCTGACCTTTCCACAGTCAGCGGGCTCCGTTGAGCTCATTTCACCGGAACGGACACGCCGAGGCCTCGAGTCCATGCGGCATCATCCCCGCGTGTGGTGGTAAGCCAGCACCTTGCCAGCACCTAAGCTGTGCTTCACCCACGTGAAAGCATCAGTATTAGTGTAGTGAAGTCATAATTAGCCCCTGATGACTGGTGGCTGGGGTCCTGGCTGTTCGAGTGGCAGGGGTCTCCCAGTAAGCGCGGAGCCTTTCCCCAACGTTTCGGACGCAGAGATGCGAAAGGCTGCGTTCCTACTTGAGGTATTAGATCGAGTAATCCTTAGGAGTCGGACTACACAATGGACCAAGGTAGGCTATCGATCATTCGCCAGAACTTCGTTGACCGCTGCTGCTTCTATCACAGGGAAACGAGCGTCTGTCGTGCAGTTGCTGTCGCGTGCGCTACTCAGTATCCGCACCACCCCCCCACGCATCATTGCTTCCCCTGCCACTCGTAAGTGCCTTTGCTCCGCAAACCTTCTAACTACTACCTACCGTGCAGAGCCTCGTCGTGCTGCCGTCGCGATCGTCATTCGTGTGGCGCCTTCTGCCCCCCCGTCTCCGAACGACGCACCCGTACCTACTCTCAGCCAGTTTTTCGACCTTGAATGGGTAAATCACCCGTCTGCACGCCCAGAAATTCTTTTCGTAAGAAGAACAGGCTTTGCACCTGATGGCGTGCCCGGACCTATTGGCGATGCAGGACCCAAAGCCAAGAGCAGCGAAGAAGCCCATCTTGCCTTTCCTGGGGGCCGCACTGAAGATGGAGACGAAGGGGGTCTGTACACCGGTATGTACGAACGTGACTTCGCTTAAACTCGACTGTTCACCCTACGTACAGCTATGCGGCAGACATGGGGAGAAACTGGCTTGGACCTTGCAGAAAGGGACTTCATTTGCATTGGGCAGTTAGATGACCGAGAAATTACCACCTCATTGGGCAAGCGCCTACTCATGATACTTTCCCCATTCGTTTTCCTGCAACTCACGCCCAGTACACTACCCACCGATCCGTCAGAGGGGACAACGATTCATTGGATTCCTTTGCAGTCACTTGTAAACCCCGTGCTACCCCACGCAGTTCGTCCATCGGCCTTGGCAGGAAGGTGGTCCAGCGTGACGGTAGACGCTGCATCAAGACTAGCACCTCGCCATGCTGCTATCTTGAAGGTCCTCGTCAGACTCTTATTAGGGAGCATGCAATTCCCTGCCATACTCATCCACCTACCGGACCCCAACTCTTCACGGCCACAGAAGACATATACGGATACTGTATCCAGTCAAACGACGAGAACGTGCGAACTAAAGTTGTGGGGTCTTTCCCTGGGCATGACGCTCGATTTACTTGCCAAGATGGTTCCCGACATGGAGGGTGGTACTGGATGTCCCTCTGCAGCCTTACGATTACCATTCCACCCTGTAGGAGGTGAAGGTATGCGGATTGATGCAATTGCGCCAAGCTTGGCGAGCGTGTTCCCGCGGTTCTCGTATCCCGATGTCAATTTCTGGATTTGGTAAGCCGTTCAAAGAGTCGTCCTCCCATCCCTCTCCGATATTGACTGTTTTTAGGGTCTTTGGGAAACGTTACCGCGAAGTTATACGTAGCTGGGAATCCAGCATACGTGAGGGTGGGGCGAACGACAAACGGTGGGTCACCAACCATCGACTGCCATCCTTCCACTGACACACCGCTTCGTCAGCCTCAACTGGACAGGCACTGCACTAAGCAATTTCTATGCCGCTGTACGCAAGGCGCTTCTGGTCGTTCTGGTTCTCAGAGCAATTGGTGTCGTGTTCGGCCTAGCCTTATTAGGGTGGTGGGTAATTTGACCCCGGTTCCAAGGTCTCGTCGCTGGTCTTGCATCGCCCAGCCAGGCGTATCTGACCCATAGTGTTTGATTGGCAATCATTCAGCATCAGCTTTCACACTTCCAAGACAACCCTCGTCCTAGTATATTGTGTTTTTCCCGTTTTATCAGGTTCATGTAGGGTAGGTAATATGTCATTTGTCTATTGTACAACCGTGCAGTGTGTGTATTGCGAGACCCATTAGTTTCCTACAGGCTCAATTCTCTAACCCAAAGGTAGGCCACAGACTTCACAGTCGCTTCCTCCGTGATCATTCTCAAAAGTACAATGAGGACAAACTCTGGTGCGGGAGCTTGTCCGGACTTCGCGGGACGCTGCTTCTTCTGCAGCAATTTGGTCGAGAATTTCCTGTGGAATGTCATGGTCCACGTGCGAAGTCGATGCTGACGGTAATGGTTGAGAAGCTATGAGGGAGACTGGATGTGATAATGAGCAGGACGGGTGTGCAATACGACTTACGAGCACTTTCATGCGCGAATGTTATTAGCGTTTGCCAACCCTCCGTCTTCATAAGCGCATCCAGTGATCTTGAGTCTTCAACCAAACTTGGTGACGTAGCTGCCCGTAAGAGTTTCTGTATATCATCCTGATCACGAACATTGTCGGGACGATAGCACTCATATTGGTACCAAAGTGTCGCACCTTCGACATCAGCTGAGTAGAGTCTAAAAAGGCAATGAGATGCCAGTCGCTCAACCACTTTGCCAACTTCACATGATTGGACAATTGGCGGCTTCCTTGGGTCGAGACGCTAAGCTGATTCAGAGAACCAAACAGGTTCTCAACTTGTTGGTCTTCGAGACCTGGGCGGTTCTCAATGGCAAAATTGGTAGAGCGGAAGAGGGGAGACGGATTTTGAGGGAAACCATGCGTAACCTGGGGGTTTGCTTCATCAGTGAGACTGGAAGGATCAAAACGGATTGTCTCACATTCACGAGAAGGTACTCAACCGGGAAGCACGGCTTCGCACTCCTCTTCACGTCGATGCCATACTCGTTCTTGTATCGGTAAAACACGTCCGGGACATAACGAGCGGACTCGTTACTCCGATCTTCCTCCTTGACACGCACAATTCCAGGCTCCACGCTAGCTTCGATCATGTCGGCATCTACCATTGCACACGCTTGTTCAGACACCTGATAGGCAGATATGTCTACCTGCCCGTCTTCAGAGGCTGACAGTATAGCTGTGACCATACGTGAGCCAAAGTATCCAGTCGCCGAGGATCTCGATGGCGTCGGGTTGGCGTTTTGAATTGTGGCTGCGAAGATGGTTTCCAGAGAAGACACAAAGAACGACTGTGAGTGTCGCTTGTACACGTTCTTCGTCCTGTCTTCGGCAGTGGGTTCAAGGTCGGTAAAGATGTACCCGACAATTGTCAGTGGTATTGTTGCTGATTGGGCAAGTTCCCTGATGCGAGGCTCGTCCTCCCACGGGATGCCAAGAGTCAATCCGTCCAGTTCACCTTCTTGTGAAGGTTCATGAATCGCTTCGACAACCGCTTTGATGCCCATGGGTACTTTTTCATACGGTTCGTAATGACCTATCAGCCAGCCAAAGCGTTGCAAACCCGTCGCTCGCCACGCCTGCAAGAAACGTTCCACAATTTCCTGGGACGCAATCTCTAAGTGATCCACCATCCGAAATGGTTGTGACTGGAGGGTGATCGGAGACGGTTGACAGGCAGTACATATCCCTGCCGGCCAAGATGGATGCCCGCCGCTTGGACAAGGGACTTTCACCTTGTACGAGATGGGTGTCAGGGGTGGAAGAGCCTGAGCAACGCTTGAGGACGTCTTTGGATACATTTTGCGCAGATACGCATGGAACGACAGATGTTTGATATTGTTCTCTGCTTGATAGGCAGCATCGTAAGGCTCCAGGGGCATGCAGTAATCGCACATGCCATTAGGACCGTGCTTGCAAAACCGAGAGTCACGGTTTCTGGGAATTTTTCCGTCCTTCTGCCGCCAATATAAGTCTACAGCATGCTCCTGCACGCGCTCCGAGACGTTGATGGCGGAGTGGGGTGTCGAGGATGGTGGCTGGCTGGGATTGGCGGTTTCTGCATCGGGGGGTACAGATAGTGAGGCAGACTTGTAACCCACAAAAACTAGATCACCATGTCTGAAATGAAAGTATGAACATTTTCGCAGGGAGACGTAAACGTAGCATACTTCAAACCAAGCGACTGCAAGGTTCGCCCCTTAAGACGCGATATAGGTGTTTCGTTACCACGAGGCTGATTTGATATGGTGATCGACGATGGATCTGCATCTTGCGTGGTTTCAAGGATCTGTAGAACAGTTAGCAGATGCGCGTCGCTGGAGCCCTGGTCTGCATCATACCTTGTTCAACAGCTTCGAGATATCATCCGCGGGCTTCAGCTCGAAGCGAAAATTGCCGTCCTTTGACCTGATTCTGACCAACTTTCCTAAAGCATCAAATATGAGTCATGGAATAAGACCGATCTATCTCACCATGATAGTATGATCTGAGGACTGTCGGCTTTGGTGAAGCTATTAGCTGGACCGAGGTTACGTTCAAGGCAAGGTTACTTGGGACGCGTAACGGCCTTTAATCTAGCCGAGCTGACTAATCCACGGATACGTTCTGTGTCTCGTCTGGCAGTCGTTGGGGTACTTACAGCGGTGTGCGACGACGTCTATATTAATGTTGCTACTAAATCATGCTGACAAGCTCTGTGCGAGTCGTACCCAGATGCGTAGAAGGGGGCATCATAGCTTCTCACTTGCTCCTCCCCTCTCTCGGGCCCCTGTTGCTGCACAACTCTTCCCGGAACCACACCAGCCAGAGGACACACCATCCTAGTAGTCTAACGTCGCCCATGTATCACTATCTTGCAATGAAATACACCGAAGTCGTATGGCGAGGAGATAACGATTGAGGCGGTGGTTACGTAATCCGTCTTTGCAGGTTCCGTTTACCAACGCAATCGGGCTGGCTTTGTCGCAATCCTGAGAACGTATTGCGAATTGCACACCCTCGGATACGTTACAAGTCCTTCAATGCAACAGCGCTCTACCACCACGCATCTTTCGGCGAGCGCTGCAGCTGGATATGTCCTTGGCCGTTGGCAGCGCCGTCAACGTCAACCTTGAGGAGCTTGATCCCCCCTCTCTGGAAAGTATCCAGACTGAACTAAATAATTGGCAATATATCACCTTCTACGGAGACATGGACAACTCTTCCGAGTCAAATGATTCAACCAGCGGCCAAAATAATCGTCCCTCTCTGTCAGCCCCTTCGTCATCCATGACCACATCCGCACATGACGACCGCACTGCAAGTAATAATGTAAGAACCTCCCTTACCACCCGCTTTACTCGACTCTGCTGGAGCTTACCGTAATGAACGCACGCTCTTCGTGATCAGGTTCACCAACCACTAATCAACAACCCCTTCTTGCCCCCTCTGCTTGTCCCTCCCCCACAGATCACCCCCGAAGCATACAACTACCTTATCCACGCTTTGCTCGCGTTGCAGCGTTCAGCAGGACATCAGCATCCCCTGCCTCTGGGTCAGCAGCACACACAGGGTTTATCACCTACTTATGAGTGGCCGCCATCGAATAATACCCCTTCTGTGACAAGCATGGCTGGACAGCCCCCGGGGTACTCACAGGTGTATCATCATAATGCGATGCCTTCGTTTCAGAACTCGCCTCCGCAACCGATCGAAGCCTCGTCGTCGTTCGCGACAACATCGCAATCGGTAGTAGCGCCCACCCATGTGGTGGAAACCGAGCAGACAGACGAGGCCATATCGACCGCAGAGGACAAGCGACGTAGAAACACCGCGGCATCAGGTGGGTCACCATTTCGAGTCCTATGAATTCCATCCTGAAAGATCCATCACATTAGCCCGCTTCAGGGTTAAGAAGAAAATGAGGACGCTTAATCTTGAGCGTACCGTTGCTGATCTAACTGGTCGTACAGAAGAACTTGAGCGGGAGGCTGCAGATCTGAGACGGGAAAACGGGTGGTTAAAGGAGATAATCTTGCTCAAGAGTCGGAGTATCGGTGGGCTTGGTCCGACCGAGTCCCAGCCAGTAGGGTCAGCTAGCATTCGGGAATCGCAGCAAGGCAATGTCGATGGCAGTCCGTCCATCGAGAGGAGAAGCAGTCAGAAGGGTAAGGGTAAAGACAGTGGTTGATGGGAGAGAGCAGTCACTCCCTTCGAGGAGAGTCCGCAATTTATATGGCAGGGACCACCGTCCTATTAGCACCATTTGGATAAACATGTAATAGATATTTTGTATAGGTGGGTGAGCCCGACGCTGACAGCCAAAATTATTCTATGTGTAACGAAATCAAGGAACTAAACCTTCTGGGCACTAATTAACACTCGCAAGAGGCCGTCCACTCGTCTCTACAGTATTAGTAACTCTCGAACGTGGATGTAAGGACTTGGCTCATTGGCATGAATATATATTGCACTCTCACGTCGCCAAGTGTGGCGTCAAAGCGCTCGAGCACATCGAATTCGACATGTCTTTCGGCCGACCACCATCCGTTAACGTTGGATTTAAGACGACACCCCCAGACCGTGGATCGTTTCCTCTCGACCATTATGGTCAGCCCGTGGTTGATGCTGTTCTATTGAGTGCATTGACTTGCGACCCCAGGTGAATGCAGCAAGCAAATGAAAGAGTACATGGAATGTCTCAAGAAAAACTCGAGCACCTCAACACCTTGCAGGACATTCAATAAACAGTATTTGGAATGCAGGATGTCAAAGTAAGTTCTTGCTTTTCCTGATTTATGGGTGTTGGACGACCATTGGTTCAGGGGTTTGATGGAGCGTGACGAGTGGTACAAGCTCGGTCTAGGCGATGTCGAGGACGCTGCGAGCACAAAAGCTAGGGTTCCGTCACAATCTACAAGTACGTAGTCCTGAAGGGAATTGCACGTCATGTCAATTCGCCTTCGTTAAGTCTTACATTTTCCCGTGCGTGATCATATGTGTTGACTCGTCTCCACCTCTCCAACGTTCGCTTACTCACGGGACAGTAAGGAAGGAGCATAGTACTGCCGAGTGTGTTGGGATAAGCATACCTACCTCGAGCATTTAATAGACTAGTGTACCAAGCGTCGAGCTAGTCCCCCTACGCAGACCAAACTAAAGATTTGACAGACAACAATCGTTCTCTCTCGACAATACGCCCAAAGCCTTTTCCGATTGGAGATTTGAAAGGTCGGTTCCACTATGAAAGCATGCTCAACATTTAAACTGACTTAAACCCCCTAGCAGCCATTTCCTGACCGAATAAACGGTTTTGCAGAGTTTTCTGGAAAGTTTGGGCTGTTAGTCCTGAAACGGCCGACCAACAAGGGACTCCGTCAAGCCGCCCATATCGATCGGATTGTTCCGTTGTGACCTTCCGGCGAATTTTTTTTCCCTCTCTCCCGCGACCGGAACGCATCTTTCACTAATCCATATACAATCGGATGATTGGTTACCATTCCCTTTCTATACAGTGGTGTTTCGCCAACTTACGGTAACACCCGCACGTTTCCCCTCCCGTCTCGGTCGAGGTAGTACTTACCATATCAGGCAGCCCAGGGATTGCACCAATCGGATGCTCCCATGCAGTGAAGAACGTTCGTCCCCCTCACAGCCCGACGTAGGCGGCGCCATTAGAATGCACCCCAAAGCCCACCTATATGAACACCGATTTGTTTTTCATTGTTCTGCAGTGAGACCCGATGTCCCATATCGCTCTTTCCGCTCTCGCTGTACTAGGCACCTTCCTCGTATCGGCATCGCCTACACAAGATCCTTTCTCTCTCGATTCCAACAAGAAATTTTATGATGTCCAGGTACGTACGCCTCTTCTGATGAGGTAGCTGTTGCTCACGCGCAGTCGCCCAGGCCCACCGTGGCGGCAGAGGGAACACTGTTGAGAGCACTCTGCCAAGCTTTGCATGGTACAGTGGTGACAATAGACCTTGCCTTCGTCTATTCCATAACTGCCTGTAGGGGACTCGTCGATGGCTCTACCACTCTTGAATTAGATAATGGCATCACCCTCGTAGGTATTTCCGCGGTGCACATATGATAGTGGTCACGGACTTTTTCCTTTTTTTCTAGGATGGAGAGGTTGTCGTGTGGCATGACGTAGGTATTATGGCCAAGAAATGTCGAGATACCAATCCCGTGGTAAGCGGAATTTGTGACGATGCATCCTAGTTTTCCAACAACCCTCAGGTTCCAAATGATCCCATGTTCCCCTACGTAGGGAAGTTAGTTGCTAATCTCACTCTGGCCCAAATTCAAACCCTCGACTGTGGGTCACAGCGCCAGGCAGACTACCGTGAGGAAACGTCCTTCATCTGCTTGTGGTATGATAGGAATAACATTTGAGTGCAGCTCAACAACTACTCTATCCCGGCGCGCGGATACCGACTCTGAAGGAGGTGTTCGACTTCGTTTCATGCGCTGATCCTTCACATCGGATTTTGTGGAACATCGAATCGAAGATCGACGCCCGCTTCCCTAATCGCACCGCTGGCGTTCAAGACTTTGTCCAGAAACAGTATTCGATTTTTCGAGACAGTCCCTACTACCGATCCATAACGGTATGTTTCCCTGGAAATCGAATTTGTGTCTTTGTGAACCATGCCAGCAGTACCAAAGTTTTGACTGGAGAACCCTCATCGCTATGAAGGCAAGAGGACTGCCGATTGACGATGTATAAGTACATAACCTAATCTGGTCCCACTAATAGGAACTCGACCCAACGATAACTACTTCTGCATTGATTGACGAGTGCGTAAAGTAGTTGCTTCAAACACAGTTAATGCTGACCCAAACCAGGGACACTGTGTTCGCACCTGAGTGGTTGGCGGGTTTGCAACTAGACAGTTTCCCAGGGCCGTCTCTCGGGGAACAGATGGCCCAGGCTGCGCACGCCGTTAAAGCCGACATCTTATCACCTACTGCAACTGTTCTTATCCCTTCTCCTGAGGATCCCTCTGAGAGCATAAAATTCACCACACAGAGCCTAGTAGACGAGGCTCACCGACGTGGCATGCGTGTGAAGCCTTGGACGGTAAGTCATATTTGTCGCTTCTAATTGTTTGTTACGCATTCTGATTTTATGTTAGGTAAATCGTCTGGATATCGCTGATGAGCTCCTTCGGTGGGGTGCGGATGGGATAATTACGGATTGTGAGCCAACTAAGTCACACGGCAAGAAGTTCACAGTGCTAACGAGACGACGATTCTACCATGGGCAGATCCCAACGTGGTTCGCAGGTGGGCAAAACAGCAAGGGCTTCCCGTGGCACCTAAATACCCCAAGCAGCGTGTCTTTTCCTGCTTGGAGAAACACATGCGAAGGGTCTAGATGCGTCAACAGGACGTGGTATGTATGCTTTCTGACGCACGGGTAGAGGTATAGATATGGACGACCAGGCATTTGTACTTTAATATCCAGGTTACACCTAGAAATTAGACACACGATCATAGAAATACTCGTACCTGCGTCTTGGTTTGATGGTGACGTGTTCATTGACTGTTGGCGTTTGAACTGTCATGGAACCTTGCAGAATTCGATCAGCGAAGTGTCAATTAGGATTAAAAAAGTCAAGATGTTACCTATGATCTCACGACAGCACAGCACCTCTGACGTTTTCTCTAGGCAGACGTCGATCACACACGTGATCAGCATACGTGGATTGCAGGCTCAAGCACTCGTGCCGCAAGTCGTGGCGGGTCGGCGACCGGCAGGGATTGCGCGTCTCCAAGCGGGTCGACGACGCCGTGACACCCTATCATCAAGTACTTTTGTGGAAGACGTGCAGCTCAGGGTAGGTCACTCCACATGCCATGCCACTGATCGCAGTTACGTTGCTACATACGCGTCTCGCCGGCACTGCCAGTGACGCAGAGAATACTTGGGGAATAATAGGAACCAAACAACAGCTGCGGGGCTGCTGTGCAGTCATCAAGTCGCATATAAATTGCCGGTCATTGTCCATTGTCACTGATCTCCTATTGATCTTCTGAGATGTCGCACGGGGGCGAAAAGTTTCAAGTTATCATTGCAGGAGCAGGCATTGCAGGGGTGAGTACAGATTTGTAGATATCATTGTGACCTCGTCCAGCTCAGCGTCATTAGGCTGCTATGGCTCTCTTCCTGTCACGCCTAGATATTCATCTTACTATCCTCGAAAGTCGTACCTGTCGGCCTAACACAGCTGAAGGCGGGATGATTATGCTCGGACCAAATGGCATGAACGTCCTCCATGGACTCGGATTGAGCAGAAAACTATTTCAGAGAGAGACCGGTATCCAAGTGTCGCATATTACGATTAGAGATGGCTCGGGTGACCTTATTGGTCAAGTGCCTCAAGGCAGCGTGGAATGCCATGGCTCCGCATCCACTGCACTTCTGCGGTGGGATATTCATGAAGTTTTGTTGGACGCCCTTGAGGAGAGGCGAATTGACCTTCGGTGGAGCTCGCGCGTCGAGTCTACGGAAGAACTTGACAGCGGTATCACCGTCCGCTGGTCGGAAGCCGGTGAAGTGAAGGAGAAGAAGGCGGATCTCTTGATCGGAGCAGACGGTATTTGGAGCACCACTAGACCCAGGTATCTTTCGCTTTGATATAGGCGACAATGTGTGTTTGACTTTGTCTCGTGAAGTATGTACGAATGCCTGGGGTTGGCGGTGCCTAAGCCAAGGTACAGTGGCCTCGTTGGAATTGGGTTTATCCTTGACACAGACTCTGTACCGGGCCTTGCAACTTTCATTACCCTGGAACAACCGATCGTTATGGTCCATGATCGTCTCGGTTTCGTTGGTATAATGTTATATGACAAGAAGGGCCAGAAAGTAGGCTGGTGGGTAATTTGGCTACCATTGCGGCTCTCGGCGCTCTTGATCGTGATTTTGTTGGCATAGGTGGACGACGCATGAAGCCTCCGAAAGGTCTCGTGAGGAGTGGAAACTTCCAAGAGAACAAATACTTCATGAGGTGAGGTCCCAGAAGCAGCCTGGGAAACCGAACTGACTACCTAGCTACGTAGCTTTATGAACGATACTCTACGTGTGCGTTCCCCATACACCAGCTGATACAAGCATCAGAAAATTCCGGAGATCAGCCCTTTATCTGGCCGGTATACGAAGTAGAGAAACTTGGCCACTGGCATAGCCGAAGGACGGTGTTGATAGGCGATGCTGCTCATGGTAAAGACCGGCCTCACTCAGAATGGATGTGGTCTAGGCGACTGACGAACTCTTAGCCATGCCACCGCACTCGGGTCAAGGGGCATCGCAGGCCCTTGAAGACGCTGGGTACCTTGCCCACCTCCTCCGCCAGTACCTCAACCAGCACCGCGACTCGGTTGGAGTGTCCGCGACGGCAGATTTGCATTCCGTCCTCGATACCTTTCAGAAAGAGCGACAACCTCGGGTTGATGAGATTGTCAACGAAGCCAATCGGCGTGGAGACATGAAACGCGAAACTGGTAGGGTGGGGATGTTCGTCCGAAAGTGGATGATGAGAATTATCTTCTTCTTTATGACACAACGATGGATGGACAGATGGTTTGCATATAAGGTGCCAGGCATCGAAGATTGGGAGACATCGTGTCCGGGAGAGTAGTTAGTCTCGCTATCTTTGTTCATTAACTCCGACATGTCTTCTCTGACGACTTCCAGCAGTACGTATGTACCATGTATTTTGAATTCTTAACACAGGATGCGTTTGGTCAATACACTCACCCACTACTGTTTCTCCAACATCGCGCCCTTAGTGCCTCTCACAATTTGCTTGCAACCATGTTTTATCTTTCAAGGCTACCAGTGACTTGGCATGTTGCGTAATAGACGGCCAAATAAAGTCAACGTTACCGGGGAAGACCGGGTTTGACAGACATTGAACTCCGACAAGCAAAGACCTGCCAGTAGAAAATTCAGTGAAAAGGTTGTTGGCAGCAGGATAGACATGGCCTCGTCCTCAGTGGTTAGGAAAGCCATCAACGTTCCTCCTACGGTCCGCACTCTTCCCAGTGGAATACCCAGCGCACCCCGTCTCAATTTAGCGGCGCGCGCGCCCTCGGACGGTCACCATCATGGCCGTGGTCCTACCCTGCGCTCAGACACTCCAAGTCGTTTCACGGGTGGTGGTCTGAAGACCACTCCCGCGAGTCTTCTCTACAAGACTGTTGTCTGTGAGTTATTTGGACGACAGTTTCTGTAATGGTAACAATTCAATATTTGCTCAGCACCAGCAGTGTCAACCCAATACCACCAGCGACACATTCACAGTTCTGCCATCGCAAAGGATGCACCCGAAGTCCCTGACTACTCTGCCTACCGCTCACGGTCGGATAGCAATAACCGCGCTTTGTCTTATTTCATGGTTGGCTCTCTTGGTGTGCTCTCCGCTTCCGCCGCCAAGTCCACCCTCACCGGTTTCCTGGAAACAATGGCCGCTTCGGCTGATGTCCTGGCCATGGCCAAAACTGAAGTTGATCTTGCGAGCATTCCAGAGGGCAAGAATGTCGTTATCAAATGGCGAGGGAAGCCTGTTTTTATCCGACACAGAACCTCGGATGAAATTGAAGAAGCTCAGAGTGTTAACTGGAAGAGTCTGAGAGACCCTCAACCAGACGAAGCGCGAGTTAAAAAACCGGAGTGGTTGGTCATGCTTGGTGTTTGCACTCATCTCGGTTGCGTCCCGATTGGCGAGGCAGGTGACTATGGCGGATGGTTCTGCCCATGCCATGGCTCGCATTATGATATCTGTAGGTGTTACTTTTGGAATCAGATTGTGTCTGGATCTGATGTTTCAATCTGCAGCTGGTCGCGCGCGTAAGGGACCTGCCCCTGTAAGTCCATTTGGCTACGAGGTATCCTTGATCTGACCTCTTTTATCTAGCTTAACCTAGAAATTCCTCCCTACGAGCTGAATGAAGCCGATAACAAGCTTGTTATCGGATAACAGTCCATACTACTACATTGATATATAGTCCCATGTACATGGGTAATATTATCAGATGGCTATCATAAACCTCAAAACGAAAATAAGCTCCAACGAACTGAAAGAAATGCGAAGTCGCGTTCGGTAAGGGTACGCGAGGGTATATGTAATAGTATACTGCTCCACTCATGATAGCAAACGGGGACGCTGTGAGTACGACAAAAGTGACCCACGCCTACCAAAGAAACGTGCAATTCCGCCTGTCTTGCTATCCTTCGCGGGCAATTCGTCGCCCTTGAGAACATTGCGAGACGCGCTGCGGGCAATCCTGCCCCATACGCTCGGCGCAGTGGCAGGTAGCGCTGCACTTGGCATCTCCGTGTGAGGCGAGGTTGAAACAAGAGATATTGACATGGAACGCAGGCGCCGACGAATTGGAATTGGGGCAGAAGTGGAGACACGCTGGTCTTCCAACGGGATGGTCGGCTCTTGTTCCAATTCCTGCAACTGCGAGGATTTAGATCGCGAAGATTCTGAAGATGCGGTTGGGGAAGACGAAAGGGGTAGAAGTAGTGATCCTAGGATATCTGGTTCCGTCTCATCTTTTAAATCCATAGTCTCCAGCAGCAGATGGCTGGCGGTTGGTGGACTGCCTGTGGCTATAGCGACACGTGGATTAGAAAAGTGTTCCTCCTGTATATCTTCAGGCGCCACCAGGTCGATTTGTGGGTGAAGATCTTTGCGTGACAGAACGGAACGTTGGAAGGAGTCCACTTCGAAACTTCCCCTGAAGCTGAGGGGTGGCGAGAAGTTCCTTGCACCCTGAGGTACTCTTGAATTGATCGTCCCGCGTATAGATGGGGCACTGGACCCGATTACGGACGAGCTGAAATCCCACGAATCCACCGTACCTTGGCTCGTGAGACTCGGTGGATATTTTCGTCGCTCCTGGCGAACTGCGAGAGGTGGAAGATCAGCTAAGATCGTCCCTATAAGGTATGACTTCTTCTTCGCGCTTCTGAAGAATTGTGTCTGCAAGAGCTGTGCAGCTGTCGGCCTGACAAAGTCTTGGCATGACGACGTCATGTGGCTGCATAACACTCACCGCTTGGCAGGGTCCTTTGTAAGGCAGGCGTCAACAATGTCTTTGAAAGTTTGAGAGTATCGATGAACGCCACTATCTCGGTCTAAGGTAGGTGGCTTCCCTTGGACACTGCATCGCAAGCAGAATAAATATCAATTGGGAATATGACAAAAAAAAACTCGCACATCTGCAACAAAACAGAATGAGGGCTTTCACGTGATCTTGGAGGCCGCCCCTGTGTCAACTCGATACAGGTTATGCCAAACGACCATATGTCGGCTTTTGCGTCGTATCGCTTTCCTTCGATAAGTTCCGGGGCCATCCAGCACGGCTGTGGCGCCGTCAGAACATGAAACGCGAAGGTGGTATCATGCGCACCGTCCCAACAAAGGATTTCCGCTTTCCCACTTGAGGGCGTGTGCGCCCTGTAACTGAGCTCCGTTGTGCTTGAACACGATCAGAGTTCGTCGTCCCCTCCTCATAATTTAGAGTGGGTCGGCAAGAGAAGTCTGTGTCTTCGGTAAGAGATGCTGCTACGCCTAGATCACCCAAGAGAACAGTGCCATCATCGTCGATTAATAGGTTAGCTGCCTTGATATCGCGATGAATGAAGCCGTTCACATGCAAGTAACTTGAGGAATGGCAGATGAGATTCCACAAAAGCACGAAATGCCGTGTGCATACTTAAGGCCTTCAAGAGCTTGCTTGAGGATACACTTGATCACTTCCTCTTCCATGCCACCTGGCCAGCCATAACGCATGATGTCCGCAGCACTCCCTTTGTTCATGAGGCGAAGGGCAATGTATAATTTGTGGCCATCTATCCACGAACCACGAACACGTAGGACGTTCGGATGTTTTGAGAGGGACATAAGTTGAGTTTCGCGCTGCAGCAAAGAAAGAGATCGGGGAGGGAGGACATCGAGGTCAAGAACCTTGAGAGCACATTGAATCGAGGGTTGCGGAGGAAGGAGATGGCAGACAGCGTCGTAAACAATAGAGGATGCTCCGAAACCTATGGGTGCGCCAACGGTATAATCACGAGGGCAGTCACTAACGTACTTGAAATAAGGTTGACGCCTCTACGTGAGCAAACTTGAAGTATACCTGAACATCTGCCACTCATCCTGGACAGCGCCAATAAACTTCCTGGACGAGCTGGCCATGGCTAGCCCACAGGATGGGGGTGGTAACAAGAAGCAATACTTGACCTGGAGATAAGGGGCCCTTATAACAGTTCTTGCTGGGTGACAAATGTAGAATAGGTCCGGGATAGAGTTGGACAACGCGGTTCCTTGGCGATGCCGGGACTTGGCCGGACCGGTCACCAAATCACTAGTAGTACGTATATCCCTCAGCACTAGTCCAAAAGCACTTTAAATCCTAAAACCTGCGACGTTCGATAATTAAATCCCTCAATGCATCGACAAGCCCGTCTTCTTCCACCAAGGGTGAGGGATTGACGGGTACTGCGAGCCGAGTGCCATTCAAAGTATCCTCGCCAGTAGGTATCAAGGCCCTCGTAACATTGATCTTCTTTGCCCTGGTCGTCTTCTGGGGGAACAACGGAGTGAGTTTGCCAACCTTACAAGCTCCACAGACTTGCAGAGCGGGGTCATCATTACGCAAAGGCGTGGCAATTGTGACACAAAGACTTACTGCACTCCTCTGGCTTGATGGACTTGGCGTATCTACCGTACCTGAAGCAATACTCGTCACGCATTGCGCCCCATTCAATGAACGTTTCACTTACACTTTGGAGCACAGGTTACATTCTGTCGGACAGCTGTCAGCAGCCACCAGCATTATGACAGAAGGGGAAGTAGACTAACTCCACTGATAAGGGTATACGATCTGGTAGTTGTGACGAGTCTTCGATTGGTAGTGGTCAGTACATCGTCTGGACAGCACACGTACTCCTCTTACTGAAACCTGAATGTCGGGGTACCTCCTCATGATTTTTCTCGCCCTCCAATAGACCGTGAGCTACTTTTGCACCAATATTTCAGATCTGAGCCATACCATGATTTGAACAGTCGCCCGTGCCCTTCCCGCGGATTGTCACTGATTATCCAACATGCCAAGTGACACATCTCATGGGACAGAGTATTACGAATACGTTCTATCGAGAATGTCTCCATCTTCGACAATCTTCCAACACGTCAACTCACCATTGCAGTCCAAAATCTTAGTGGCAAGTTCGATCTTCGTGGTTTGTATACCATCTTGCGATCTGCATACGTATTGGTCTATGATTGCTCGAGTCAGATAATACCCACCGGTGCCAGCGCGCTCGCCCGGCTGTGGTCAGTAGCCGTGTGTTCCATTCTAATTTTGTATTCTTGGGAAGACCATCATCGAAGACGGTGTGGTTAAGCTCTGCGAACAGATCTGCTGCATATTTCTCCCTCCCTGACTGCTCCGCTGCGTCTTGCGTTTTCTTTGATGTTTTTGTAGGTGACTTTTCAACAGAGGTGGGAGCCGCCCTCTTGGACGGAGGGCACACTGGCACTGGTATGGTATCATTGTTCCTTTTCAACGCTGTGGGAAACTTGCGCTTTGGGGTATCTTTGGCCGGATAAGTCATTGTTTCTGGTCTTCGAGATTCCAGGGAATTCTCATTGAACCTAAATATTCATTTGGATCTGGGGTTGCGGGTTGGATGGAGGGACACGCACCGAGTGAGAATTGCCTCCTTATCAGAGCTATCGTCACTCGTGTCGGCATAGAGTGGCAAATATTTCCGTGCAGCAGGGCTTGTTTTCCTCGGAGATTTCGGAGGGCATGGTCGGGTAACCATCGGAGACAGTAGGTCAGGAAGCTCTAGAGACGTATCGCTGTCTATCAGCTCAATTATATTCCTGCACCCTGAATTATCCGTGTTTCTGTCGAACGTTAGCGGAACGGTTGGGAACGTGTGGACTGGCATAACCGACAAGGCCTTACATGGTACCACGCGTATCGCAAAAAACACTATCAGGCAGTGAGAATGAGACGCATGGCGACAAGCTGATGGTTATTCCAAGGAGTTGTGATCACCTACATATCAGAATCTGAGTCTGACGAGATCTCTATGAACTTCCATGGGTGGGTTCACTTTACATGCCCTAGGACGCACGTAGATATGGATTAGCTAAAGTCGCGACGATAATGGAAAACTTACCGCAAATCCTCTTCATCACTTGAAAAGCTAGCGTGGCTTGAGTTCCCAGCCATTTGATCTGTGTTTTTGGCTAAAGGAACTGTTTGTGAGATTGACCAGGACGCGTCGCGTTTGGTCCCGTGACTCAAATTCAACCCTGCTGACTTGTGGGGAGTTCAGGAGACTTGGTTAAGTGACATTCACTGCCCGCCTAGCTCAATCGGATAGAGCGTCAGACTTTTACAATCCGTACGAGTCGTACGTGGCGGTGTGATCTGAAGGCTGCGAGTTCGACCCTCGCGGTGGGCTATAACTTTTTTCCCCTTCTTCCTTTGTAATCATCCAAAATAGACCACAGCTCACCGTTTTCAGGAGGACGAGGAATTTGGAACCAGATTGTTGCGCCCAGATCGTCGATCACTAGATAATTCTGGGACTTGTATGATCATGTTGCGCATAGTGTGAACACTTTGGTAACCTTCAAGGTATCTTGCTGAGCACAGATCACCACAGAAATCTACAATATTTTGTAATACACGACAATACGGTTTATTCGAGATACAAAAAGCATGAGGGAACCTCAGCATTCATACACCAACCCTACGCGGACGTCATCGTCAGTAAAAATCCTGTTAGATGAGTGTTCATATTCGGGCTCACCTATGGACGACTTTTTTCTGCAATCGAGCTGGTCAGCAAGTGCGGGAGCGATATCCATATTTCCGCACTTACCTGACTCGAGTATCTGATAATTTCCCGCTTCTCAAGAATGTAAAGAGTGCGTTCAAGTGCATGGCTCGAGTAGCCCTGCTGCGTCACGAACTCACGGACTAAGCTCTGATAGCTCGTGCTCCACCCAACGGGAAGCCGTCTTCGAAGTTCTTTCTCTATTCGAGACATCTCTTCATTGAGTTCACCGCGTGACATGCCATCCACCGAACCAGCTGACACAGCGTCCATGGTCGAAAACTTGAAAAGTCGTATGGCCTCTTCCACGTGGTAGTTTTGTACAACCGTGGAAAGTGTAATTTTGGCCAGAGATTCGGATATACGAATGATAGCTTCCAGTTGGCTGAATGTCTCTTCGTCAATGATGAGATTGGGTATCTTTTACTGGGGACTAACCGCACTGTAATGGGTATAGAACTCCGTTCGTCGTTGTCGCGCTCCACTTGCTGTACCTGCTTTCGCAAGCTCACGAAATGGCTACTCAGCATCTCTTGAGCGTCGGGTGAAATCCTGGGTGCACATTTACTAGGGACAAGTTAGCAAGTAGTTAGAAGAGTTAACATTAGCCCATTCACTTCTTACAGTAGGCAATATACCGCCTCATTTTGTCGATATCAATTTCACCCACAGCCTCGCCATTCTCGTCGGTATTCTGATTTGGTCTATTCATATGGATGTTCATGACGTGTTTAGCAATCATCTAGTTGCGAGGGTCTCAAGGTACTCAACCCATCGAACAGATTGAGAGACATACCCTGTCCCGTTGTTCATTATGTTCATCCTTGACAATGAAGATCATGTCGAACCGTGACAAAATCGTGGTTTGGAAGTCGATGTTCTGAAAGAGAAAGATAGTATCGGCAGAATTTAAACAGTGTACGATTGCTATACCTCGCCAGGACTTCGCCCTTCGTCGTAGCGACCCCATACAGGATTTGCCGCAGCAAGAACACTTGTCCGCGAATTCAGCACAGTAGTAATACCAGCCTTTGCAATCGAGATAGTTTGCTGCTCCATAGCTTCGTGGATTGCAACTCTATCCTCATCGCGCATCTTGTCAAACTCGTCAATACACACTACTCCGTTGTCGGCAAGCACCATGGCACCGCCTTCTAAATAAAATTCACGCTGTCGAGGTTCCTCAACTAAGTTGCATTCAATTACCCCATTGCAATGACTTACAGAAATGGCATCGCGTTGGACCGAGGCTGTCAGACCAGCCGCACTTGAGCCCTTACCTGACGTATATACAGCAATCGGTGCGACCTTGTAGCGGTATTAGTCACGAGTTCATGACTTGATCATGAGAAACTCGCCTTCTCGACAAATTTTAGTAATTGACTTTTTGCTGTACCGGGGTCGCCCAACAAAAGAACGTTGATGTCTCCTCTTAGACGCATGCCATCAGGCAAGACCTTTTTAGAGCCTCCAAATAACAAACAAGTGATAGCTTTCTTGATGTCTAGATATGTCCTCAGGTCTCTTCTTTTCGTGCGCGCAAACAAACAACTGACCGAGGCAGCCAAATATACTAGGGGCCACACTCTTCGCAAATCGTTCGTAAAAGTTGTCGCTCCTCGCCATTTCAGCAAATTCTTCCTCCTCCTCCGGGCTAAACTGGGTCCCAAATGGATTTGAGGCGCCCCCAGCCGACGGTGATGACATTTCAATGTGTACAAGGCGAAGATAAGGCTGTCGAAGTGCAGCGGGGCCTGCAGATTTCTGAAGAAGGGTCAACATTAGTCGAGTGAGACGTAAACACCGCAAACTTACGTTGCGTGAGGAATTGAATGTTGAGTAGATTCCTGTGGCAATTATACGCGAACCAGGGACAACCTTCCCAGTGAGGTATCTGTCCGCAGAAAGTAGCATATGGCGAGGTAATTCTCCTACAGGGACCATATCTGGGGCCTCTTGAAGCTTAAGGGTTTGCTGATCTACAAAGGCGGACTTGTTGTGGTTTATCATATAAGGGTCCAAAGGGCAATCTTTCTTTTGATTCTCTAGCTCGGGGGCGTCACAGGTTCTAGGAAGGCCGCGATCCGATCCACCCCCCAGCCCACCAAGTCCACCAGGGGGGTATATTATCTTGGTAGATTTACATGCTCGGCACTGAAGGTGAAGTTTGGTGGCTCGGGAAGACAGTACAGAAGCAGATATCACGATGCCAGGCACGCGGACAAGTTTGTTCATAGTATCAGCTGTTAGATCACGGAATCGTTGCATGTTCAACCCGGATTGCATCATGATCTGAATTCTGGGAATGGCCTGTAGTGCAGCTTCCGCTCGGTCATCCGAGCCACTGGCGAGCGGGAATAGTATCGTCCTAGCTGCCTTCGTAGCCGCATTTTCAAACTGACGCAGGGGTGGTCAATTCATCACAAAGCTGAAGAGGGGAACGACTTACCAAAGGCAGGATGTCCGCCGGCCTATCTTGCATGGCATGGGCGAGTTCATCGTTATACAAGCTGAGATGGCGAAGGTCCACCTCAAGTTGATATTGCTTCAACAACAAGTTTGCGCGCAGTTTATCTCTACGGGAGAGTTCAATACGTTTCGGCAATTCATTGCTTGCATGCACTGACCTGTAGACAAATTCTTCTCCAACCCTATACTGTAACAAAAAGTCCAGAAGGAGTTTCTCCAGTTGCGACGGCGTTTCTGTAGAGGGAGCGCTGGACCGGTCGCGCACGGATACTGAGAAGACATGGTTTGCGTCGAAACCAGACATGGATGGGTGAGGGAGTCGTTGCGCGCGGGACGCGATAGCCAAATGAATATAGGGCAGGCTCTTTCGCGCTCAACGGTGGAAAATGAAACGTATTGGCTATCGTAGTGCCCACTAGTGTCTCCCGTTTAGCTCAGTTGGTAGAGCGCGTCACTAGTAATGACGAGGTCAGTCGTTCGAGTCGGCTAATGGGAATTTTCTTTTTCCACCAATGGTGCCCCTTTGGTAGCCACCCACTGAACTACATAAATAACTTGTGCAGGTCCGTCCTACCACAGCATGGCATCCATGGACACCGACGAACAATCAGTTGTGCTATCTTCTAGCGCAACTTCAGGCCTTTCACTCTCGCTGTATGGCCTTTTTGCTACCCCGGAAATTGATTCGATTTGACAGCAACACTAGACATCCCTTACCCATCTTAAATATATCAGAGCACTTGACGCGATTGAAGTTGCAAACGAAATCGACTGCACCTTTTGGTCAGTGAACCCTCTCGCGGCTCCAACCGTTGCCTACCTTACGTAGAATTGCTATAGTTTTGGGCGCGTTGCTCGGTACGCAAAATGGCCGAGAAGTGGAGATTGTCAACAGCTTCGAGCTCGCCACTGAGGCTGGGCATGATGACATCGTAGATCACGGTTTCCTAGTCCAAAGGAGAGATCAATGTAAGTCGCGTGCTTGTTGCTGGGTGAGTTCCATCGCCAACGCATTGCAGACAAGCAGGTTTTCCCCTCTCTGGAGTTCATCGGATGGTACACTGTCGCATCTACAGTCACTTCACAACACATCGCGCTCCACGAACAGGTATATCCACCATGACATCTAGTTGAGCAATTAACACTCGTTTCGCAGTTTACAGGATACTGCTCAACGCCACTTCTCCTTGTTCTTCAATGCTCTACGAGCTCATCATCCGGGGCGGACGTTACAAGTCAAGCCCTTCCCTTTAAGGCGTATGAACCCTCGGTTGAAATCAGGGAGAGGAAGACACGGTCTGTATTCATCGAAGTACCGTTCATGGTAGAAACTGGCGAGGCCGAACGTATCGCTGTGGATTGGACCGCCAGGGGTGGTGGTGGAGGCACCAGTTGTGAGTATTTAAAACGGTATAACTAATGTCCACCTCATATTTGCAGTGGAATCGCATTTACATACACAACAAGCCGCTGTGAAGATGCTGCATGAAAGAATCTTGGTGTTGGTGCAATATGTAGCAAATGCCATAGCAGGTACGCACTCCAGTAATGCCTTTGTCTGCAGCAAATCATGAGGCTTACTTCATTGCTGTAGGTCAAGTTCCGAAAGACCATACCGTTCTCCGATCAATCTCTGCCTTGATTGCTTCCCTCCCTGCCAGCGAGGACGACGCTTTCCGCGAGGAGTTCAATACTGTGAGTGCAGTCTTTTCTCGAATTAATATAGTGCTACCTGCACGCTACTCTGCTTGTGTACCAAGCGATGTATTATTATCTGACCTTTGGCGAAATCCTATACAGGAATACGAGGATGTCAAGCTCACGGCTTTCCTCTCCGTACTCACTAAATCCACGAACACCTTAAATAATGTGAGTTGCCCAGATCACTCTACTAAAATCACATTGACCTTGCGGGTGTACAGCTCGTGGACAAACACCTGATAATGAATGGTGGCATGCGTGATGAACGGCCGCTAATACCTGGCCCACGAAGGCGAGCGGGAAGGCCAGGCGGTATGCCTGGAGACTGGTCCGCGCATGCCTGAGTCTCATGATCATGTGGAGTCTGTCAACAAGAGCCTCCCAACACCCGTAGAGTCGATGAGCCATTAGTCAAGTACGACATATACCGGTGGCATGAATAATACAGTTCTCTGGTTGATTTCCAGGCCCCAAGGTACTTGCACATCAGGGAAAGACTACACTTTACAACACATCATGCGCCTACCAAGTCCATTCCCGGCATATAACCCTCCTTAAGACTCCTTTCTAACCTCCTGATCTCCTCGATGGAGGTTGCTTTTGCAATTGCCTGCTTGACTCTCTCCGCTTCCTCCTTCGTCATCAAACGACCTGCCTTCCCGGAAGGCATGGTCGGTTTGGGCTCGTCAATAGTAATAGCGATTTTGGTGCCGTGTTTGGAGACGGTCGTTGATATCGTGGTTGCAAGGGCAGTGAGTTGGCCCTCAGGTGTGAGGAACAGTGATTTGCCCTTCTGCCGTTCCTGCATGTACGATTCCCTTGGTGAGTTGCGCCCTGCTAGCAAGCCGGTGTCATCCGCGCACCTTGTCCCGAATCCTCTGAAAATCTAGAACTCTCAGCGACGGTATTCTCCATGCAAGCCACTCGCGATACCATTTTTTCTCCCGCACAGGATTCCCAAGTAAGGACAGATACTGCAATGCCCTCAACTCTTTCAATGGTTCGAGGTCACCCAACTCTGAAATATTGTTCCCATTGAGAACCAGCGTTGTAAGATTCGGAGCAGATAGATGAACGGAGGGAGAGATGGACGTGATTCGGTTGTTTGCGAGAAGCAGAGTCCGTAGTCGCTTCAGTAGGGGGAGATTACCCAGTACAACGATGGAATTGTCCGTCAAATCGATCGCGTCGTGCTGATCCTATACATGAGAGGTGACATGAGACTAGCCTGAACAGAATGCTACTGCACTTGCCTTGGTGACACCGAGGTTTTCGATAGTAGGTATTTTGTAGCCTTAAAGGGTATGAACGCGACCGAAGGGATATTTTCGCAGCACTTACCCCGTAGATCCAGCTGACGTTCTTTGACGGGGTTAAAGCCGGCAGCTGCTTGAGCCAGGAGCTCTGGGGTGAGCTTGACCATGGTGTGTTTTGGAGGCGTGTCTTCGGCGTTTCAGACTCAGCCGTCGACGCGAAGACAGGCCAAGTCAAACAGGCAACGTCCACCTTCACCGACCACGCTTGACATTGTCCCCCATGAAGCCCGTATACCAGAGACTCAGTTTGTATGCAATTACCTGTCTATTTCCATACTGGCCACCCGTGTGTTCTGACAGTCTCCCCAGATTCTTTGACGGCGAGGCCGCATATACTTTCGTCCCAATCGAGCCGCTCGGTGCGCAATCTCTCACCATACACAGGGCTACTGGAGACATTGTCTTGAACCGTAAGCATAACATGCATGTGTTCTGGCTGTCTTCGCTGACACAGGCAAAGCCCCGAACAAGGCCGTTCCTTCCACTGCCACGAGGTACGAGAAAACTGTCTATGGAATCCTTGGAATGATATCGCTCGCTCTTTGTAGGCCTTAGTTTGTTGTGTTTACATTGCAGCTGACCCGTGACCTTGTAGCTGAATACGTCGTCATCATGACGGGTCGCGAACACCGGGCACGTTTCTTGGGGCATGACATATATCGTGCAGCCGACTTTGACATCCTCCCCCTCAACCCGAGCGTCTCTGTGCAGTACCCCTCTCATCCGGTGGAGGGTCATCTGCTGGCGCTTGTACGAGCACACCTGTTTGGAGGTTACTTTTTATTTAGTTACACCTTCGACCTGTCGCGCCGCCTTCAGGCTCAGTGGAATGAAAGTGGGAGTGACGCTACGAGGCCCTTGTGGGAACAAGTGGGTTGATACTCAGCGAATGATTCCCTGCTGACTTCTAGCAGGCAGACGATAGGTTCTTCTGGAACAAGTGTGTGCCTCCCCCCTAAATGTCCTTTGTTCTTGCTGAACTGCCGCTCTAGGTTCCTGCAATCTAGGTTAATCGACACTGAAATCGCCCAAGACGTAGGTGATGTTCTCCTCACGTCTGCAGTTCTAAGTAATCAGCAACGTTACAGCTTAGCCCGTACATACTTCCGATCGTTTACGGCAGTCGGTGGTCTTTTGCTTGCAATCATTACTATGCAACTCATATGACGACTAGCATTCGACCTGCGTACTGCTTACATTCACGGTCACAAAATCCAGTTATGTCTCATAAGTAGGAGGTCACGATACCGCGCAGGGACACGGTACTTCCGCCGTGGTATCGATCATCAAGGACACGTTGCTAATTTCAACGAGACGGAGCAAATTGTACTCGTCGAAGAGTCCGCTGCGGGGCGCATCTCCAACTCTGAAATTTTCACCCACAAGCTTAGCTTTGTACAAACCCGCGGCAGTGTACCAGTTTTCTGGGGAGAGATAAACACTCTTAGATACAAACCCGACCTCCAAATTATGGATCTTCAAGATACAGTTGGTGGATGTCGCAGGTCATCGGAAGACGCTCGTTGATTCTTTGACAGGTTGATGCCATGCGCTTGCATTTAAAGGAACAAATTTCACTCTATGGGGAACAGTGTCTTATCAACCTAGTCAACCAGAAGGGTTATGAACAGCCTGTGAAAGAGGCTTACGAACGCATTGTCGCCCAGGTATGTTTCCTATCTTGTCTCGTATATCACTCTCAAGCGTCCTTTTCAGACTGAGCTGCCTGAGGCCAGGTACCGCTACTTCGATTTCCACAACGAGTGCAAACATATGCGGTGGAATCGCATAAATATCCTCATTGAAAGGTTGCAGGAAGACCTCCTCAATTTCGGGTAAGGAAAACTGCCCTGCATGATGCGTCCCTCCGCATGTCAATCTTCTTGTTAGATACTTTCATCTCAATATGAATACGTCACAAGTCGAGCCAGCAGTGAAATTGCAAAACGGCGTGGTCCGTACGAACTGCATGGACAACTTAGATCGGACCAACGTAGTTCAAGCCGCTCTAGCCAAGTGGACTCTGAATTACCAGCTAAAAAGCCTTGGTGTCTTGACGGAAGGCGAAGAACTGGACGACTTCCAAGCGCTTTCCCAGGATTTCCGAGAAAGTGGGTTTGCTGCTTCCCTCTTCATTCAAGCTTGCTGACTTGCACTTGTGCTCCAGTTTGGGCTGACCACGCTGACTTGATTTCAAGGGCATACGCAGGGTCTGGTGCTCTGAAGACCGACTTTACACGGACGAACAAACGCACTAAGCTGGGCCTTCTCGAGGATGGTTACAAAAGCGTAATGCGGTACATCAAGAATAATTACTTCGATGGGACAAGGCAAGATGGTTTCGATCTTGTAACAGGCGCGTGGACACCACGGAAGAATCCCATTACAGCTGTCTCGTTATTGGCTGACACGAGGCCCCTGATAATCCGTTCGGTGAGTTTTGTAATCTCTCGGAAGGCTCCCTAACCACTCAAATGATCTTCCAGGTGCCTTACATCGCGTCTTTCTCGTTGTTCATGATCTGCGCGGGCCTCACTCTACCAAGAACTTCAGGCAAGTCCATTTGTTCCGTGTTGTCACACGTCGCCCAACATGACGTCCTAGATTACTCCCTCCTTTACTACTTCATGCTCTGGTTCATGATCGCTATGCTTTCTATAATCTTCATCATGTTACACGGCATTGAATACGTTTCTTGGCCACGGTTGATACCTCCAACGGACATAATCCACTACAATGGGCCTGGTTTCCGCTCGGCACATCATGGAAAGGGATTAATGGGACCATTGGGCAAGAGATTCGCCACTCCTAGGAAAGCCATCGCTGCCAATGGGATTGGGCGGAAAAGGGCTCCAACAAACTACATGGAGGAGATCGAGAAGGGAACAAAGTCAAGGGTTGATTAAGTCTAGTGAATGATTGCCCTTTACTTCATACATTGGTACCCTAGAATGTCATTGTTTTGGATGTTAACTTGCATACTCGATCGATCTAACATTTCCACATATGGCAAAACCACGCCACAGCGGAGTTCGGAACGATATATGTCCAAAATTTCGAAGACTCTTCCACTCACATCACGTCTCAGCTCTCCTACAATGTTTGGAAAAAAGCGCGCGTCCCCCGGTGCTAACCAGGAGATTAACCCACTTGAGGGCGTCGAACTTAATGACGAGGACGCCAAAAAGCTCCAAGATGTCCAAAAGCAGATTGAACGAGTTGACATATTGATTGGTAGGCGTTTCATTCCACCGGCCCTCTCGAGAGATCAACGTCTGTCCTGTAGAACGTTACAGTCAACAACAACTTCTGCCTGTGTATGAACGGAGGCGCCCCGTAGTCAAGGCAATTCCTAAATTCTGGCCTGTCGCGTTGATGAACAACCCGTTGATCTCTTTTCAAGCTCAACACAATATCGACCGTATTGCTTTGAGTTATCTAGAGGACCTGTGGGTGACTCGTGATCCTAAGGAGCCAAGATGTTTTACCATCGAATTTGTATGCGCTGTCATTGGTTCGTTCGGACTTTGGTCTGACGCCGTCGCATTAGTACTTTAAACAAAACCCTTACTTCACGGACTCTGTCCTAAAGAAGGAGTATAAATATGTCTGCCCACCAGGCGCCGCCGACGAGACGCCCGACGCTGATGGTTTGAAGCCTTCCATGTTGGATTTCTCCTGGGAACGCGACGTGCAGCCCTCCGTAAGTTAATCCAACCGTGTATGTGCTTTGCTAAGCCTGAGGGTAGGCCATCAAAATCAATTGGAAAGACCCCCAGAACGCACTGACTAAATTACATCCTCGCGTCGAAGATGAAGACGAAGAGTCAGATATGCCTGCTGAAGCTGGCAGTTTCTTTAACTTCTTCGAAATCACCTCTGACCCCTTCGATGTGAGCTGTCTTGTTGCCAGCTGCGCTGCACTATTCTCCTGACGTCCTGTACTACAGATTGGTGCAACAATTGCTAATGAGGTCTTCCCCAATGCCACTGACCACTTCCTTGGCACCATTCCTGGTGACGATATGGACTCTGACGAGGAGAGCGAAGAGGATGATGATGACGACGCGGACGAGATCGATTTAGAAGAGCCTAGACCCAAAAAGCAGAAGAAGGAGTGATACTACATTCCCTCTGCACCCCCAGTATGCAAAGGACCAGTGGTGTTGCCTTATTTAATTGTGATCATGTCTTTGATATCATACGAAATGTTGTAGGCTGATTGGCCCTTGTCGACTGATTTTTGTGACCCACAGACACCTTGTGAAGCGGAGTTAGTGCATCTGCAAAACTACCCGAGGGAGTGAGCAGGTTATACCTGCCTCCGTTTGGAAGTGACTTGTCGTAAGACTCGCTAAGACATTTGCTGGCCAATGAGAGAGCTCGTTCAAGTGCGGAAGAGCTGTTAACAGCCGCGTCGCGTAGCTGTTTCCCAGATGTGGAAGGCTGTGAGGAAAATAGACTGGTTTATGTAAAGTAAAAACGTCATTCACACTTCATCGTAGGGTGGTCTCGTTGCGTGAGGGTAGAAGTGCACAATGCTTGAAGAGTGTTCGGATAACTATACTTCACACTGCGTCTATTTACTTGGGTAACATGGAAAGTGGCCTGATCCAGAATGCAATGGGGTGCTCCGGTTGCAAATGACATCGTCAGTGAATACACTAGCGAAAACAAATAATTTACTTTCATCCATTAATCCTACTCAGAATTTATGGATATAATAAGGATAATATGTGGCCCCAGACTTGAAGCTTGAAAGCTTGATCGGCGGGTGATGGCGTGTCAGTTGGCCATATTTGGCAACCACCGAGAATCAAAAATAGGTGAACTCGTACTACATTATCCTCTTTACGACCCCTGGTATACTTTTCATACCTCAACAACTTCACGGGAATCACCCAAAGGTCTCGAGTCTACAGATCCGCAGAGTCCACGTCCAGTCTGACTCCATATCTAGACCCCGCATGTCAAGCCCCCGGAAACAGACGACCGCGAAACATACACCTCAATTGCGCCATAGGACTAGCAACGTCGCCCCGGACGTGATGGATCCACACATGTCTCGTCATAAAAGTGCTGTCGCATCTTCCCTGGATGATGTAATAATTTCTCCCCGCGTTCCCTCTACAGTGCGACCCGCTCGAGGGTCTCCAGACGTGGTCGAAGGTGATGAGGTGGAACTGAGTCTTCTAGATGGTGATGAGAGGCTAAGGGCCGAAGAAGGCTTTGGCGACGACGAGCTGGCGACAATGAAGTCCAAAACAATTTCTGCAAAGGACAGGCGAGCCATGGTCTTGCTCATTATACTTTGTTGGTGTCTTGCACTTCAACTCACTGGCACCTATTGACGTGTCGACTCCAAAGATTTAATTCAGGGTGTTCCAGTACGCAGCGTCCATATTTTTGGGTATGAATGAGAAATTCTGATGTTTGTCTACAGTTGGGCCTCGCGCTTGGTAGGACTCGTCTCTACCAAAAAAATATCTCACTTAATGTGACACAGGCTCAATTCCATTCATTTTAAGGGATCATCTGTCTTACTCCCAGCTAGGAGTATTCGCTCTTTCCAACTATCCATATTCACTCAAGCTTCTATGGTCCCCTCTTGTCGACTCGATTTTTATCCCTTCGATTGGCCGTAGAAAGTCATGGATTATTCCCATGCAGCTCATCATTGGTTCTATGATGCTATACATCGCTGCAAATGCTGAGAGGCTATTCGAACATGTAGGTTGGCATAGATCGTCCCATTAAGAGTACGAACAATTCGTAGCCTGCAGATAATATCTACGAGCTCACGTTCGTGTTTACGTCCCTCGTCTTCTTTTCCGCCACCCAAGGTACGCGTCTTCATGAGTTTAGGAAGCTCGCACTTACAGGCTCCTTTCAATAGATATTGCGGTTGACGGTACGTGGAGAAACTCTCCCTCGACATGATGTATCTTAGGTGGCTCAGGTTGGGCTTTGACATTACTCTCCAAGGAGAACTTGTCATTCGCATCAACCTGCCAGACGATTGGATTAAATACGGGATTTTTTGCTTCCTTCACGGTATTCCTTGCGTTAAATAGTGAAGTGTTCTCGTAAGTCGCGAATTATCGTTTACTTGCCGGACGTTGACCAGGGGCTCAGCCAGAAATGGGGGATACCGCGTTTGACCTTGACTGGATACCTTCAATCATGTAGTATTCTTTGCTTTGCGGTGACAATATGGCTTGTTTTCTTCGAGAAAGAGGTGTGGAAGGGTGTGTGTTATTTGCTTGGTTATGCTGACCGTGATGCAGGGTCGAGAATCTCTCGATAAGTCTGAGATGACTGTAACGACAGTCTACAAGACCATCTGGGACATATGCAAGCTGAAACGTTGGTACCATGGATGTCTATTCCATAACTATTACTCACCCTGGTTGTAAAGACGTCCGCTCCCTCATTATCATGCATTGCTTCGCAAAGGTCGGGTTCCAGGCTAATGAAGCCGTCACCAGCTTGAAGATGATTGAGAAAGGGCTTGGGCGCGAAGACCTTGCGATTGTCGTTCTGATTGATTTCCCCTTCCAGATTATCGGCGGTTGGCTGGCAGCAAAGTGGGCAAGTGGAAGTCAGCCACTACGTCCATGGATATGGGCGTTTGGACCGAGATTGGCTTTCGCCCTTCTGTCGACTCTTATCGTTTATTGGTTTCCGACACCACCCCTGTCTTACAGCTTCCTGGTATTCTTGGTAATTCATACTGTGCTGCAGGGGTTTGCATCGTATGTGGTTTGCTGATGTTCGCCGATGGTGAAGTTAACACATCGTAGCACAATTCAGTTTGTTGGTATATCAGCATTCCACACTAGAATCTCCGATCCCTTGATCGGGGGAACCTACATGACGGTCAGTTCTGTGGATCAACGGGGCTGACCGGATGTTAACGAAACCATTCCTTTATAGCTTCTCAATACATTTACCAATCTCGGAGGCACTTGGCCCAAGTATTTCGTTCTGAAGGGTGAGCTAGTACAGATGACATTTTGGTGAAATGAAACAACGAGCCACGTCACAGGGGTGGACTTTTTCAGTGTGGCACACTGTACTGTCAAGGACACAGACACAGAGTTCGTTGTCAAAGGTAAGAACATCATCAACACGTGCGTTCGAGACACTTACCGGAGGTTCAGCGGCGGAATGTGTGTCTGAACTCGGAAAAGAACAGTGCTCGAACATTGGTGGCGAGTGTGTAACTGAACAAGATGGCTACTATTATGTATCAGTGATATGTGTCACCTTTGGGGTGATCTTCCTCGTTAGTTACATCATCCCGACTGCACGCAGACTCCAAGGTGCGTTCCTTACTGACTGCAGTCGTCTTGTTGGTCACGATTTTTCCGCAGCCCTGCCGACTCGCCGGTGGCGAGTGGGGTCCGAGTGAGGGTTAGATAGAAACAATTCATAGAGTCATCTGGGTGGAGAACAATTCTGTAGCATGATGTACTGTTCAGGAGCGATCCCTGAGTTGCCTGCCCTAAATCTATTTAGCGTCTAATCACTTCGGGATACACAAGTCTACGCTATTTTCCACAAGAAAGTTGCAATTCACCGACTTCAACGGGAGCCGCGACTTATCATTCCAAAACACTTCTCTTTAGCCAACCTACATACCGAAAAAAATGACTACCACCATGCATTTTGGCCCCGAGTGGATGCGCGCAAAGCCCCAGACTCCAGCTCGCCAACAACCTCCGCCATCGCCTCAGCCGCAACAAACCGTACCAGCTACACACCAATCTACTGTATCAACTTATTCTTCTCTCGTCACCTCAGCAGTGCAGGAGCAGGAGAAACACGATGAATCCCGTCCGTTCAGATACACTAAGGAAGAGATGCTCAGGATTTACAAAGAGGGTGGAGGGAAGGGCGGTCTGGGACTCGAAGTAGAGCGATGGGAGGGGATAGTACACGAAGCTGGCAGCGAACCTGCGAGTCTGCGCGAAATGGACGAGGCCGAGAAGAAGGTCAGATGAAAACCTGTAAATTATATCATGCACTTTTCACTCACACGAACATGCAGCTGTTTGCGGGGCCACTAAATTCTGAAATTCGTCGACGTCAACCAAGTGATTTAGTAAACACTTTGTCTTCAACATCCGATAGACCCAGAGTGAACCACGTAGGTGGCGGGGGTGGTCCGGTGCGCGACCGCCTTGGCCCGATGATGGGCAGAAGAAGGGAAAGCGCAGGTGAACTCTAGCTGGTTTTCGCTCTCTTGTTAGTCTGACACCCATTTGTTTGTTAATCAAGATCAAGCTGCATTGATGCCTCGAAAGTTGTCACTGTCCAACACGCAGGGTAGTTCGTTGGCCTCCCCTCGTGAGGCACTTTCTTCCCCGCGCAATAGAATGGGTACCTTTGGTTCTGGTTTTGACGGCGTTCTTAATAACGGGGACTCTTGGTCGAGGAGACGTCCTTCTACGAGTCTTGTTGGAACAGCCGGTACTCCAGTACGACTGGAGGGCAAAGATGTGGAGTCGAGGCATTCGAACATCAAAGAAGAGGAGGTTCATGTTCCCTTGGACGTTGATGAAGATGACTCACCGGGAACAAACCAACAACTCCCGTCAGCCAGTCCAGATCGGTCTCGGGCGGTGTCTGCGGATGACAGTCAGCCACCCACATCTATTGTTAGTTCTGTTGTCCAGGGTATTGCTGATATGAACTTGGGAGAACCAAACAATTTGGATATGAGCCTGCAAATCACAACGGCTACTAGCGCTCCGGTAACCGGTCCCCCGCCTGGTTTACCAGATTCCGCAAGCGTCGAATGGTCTTACTTGGACCCTCAGGGTCAAGTGCAAGGTCTGTCTGACCCTTGGGAAGTGTTCGATGCTCTTACCCTCATCTTGTAGGTCCGTTCCGTGCTGATGTTATGCAGAAGTGGTTTGATGAAGGTTACTTTACCCCCGAATTACTCATGAAACGCACACATTTGGACGTCGAATGGATTCCCGTTGCAACTCTTGAGCGACGCTCTAACGGAGGAAAAGTCTTTCTTTCGCAGCCGCTCTCGGTTCCTGGTCCACCGGGATTGACTCTCTGCACGGAGTCACCTCACGGCTACTCTCCCGCCCATGAACATAGCACCTTTGATGGTCACCAACCTGTACCACAACGGGCAGTACGAAGCACGACCTTGGATCCATCATACCTCAGTAATGTCTCTCCTTCAGACTCTCCGTCCTCATCCTTGGGAGCTGCCACATTCGGTGACGGCTCGCCGGACCCAACAGTATTTGGCAGTAGAAGCGGAGGTAGCGCGTACTCCGGTGATATTAGCTATGGAGGCCGTGGACTTGCACCACGGGTGCAACATCAAGATCCAGTTGCAGATCCCAGAGTACCGTTCAATAACAGGGCACCTGGCAGGGCTACTTCGCTTGATACATTTGGCAGTTACAACGAAGGAACACCGTGGTCGACAGGTCTCAGCCCATTGAACCAGGGCCTCAGCACGAATGAACGACATCCTTTCTCCGATGGCTATAGCAGCGTAACCTCGAATATGATCGGTCCCAATATTCCCGTGACCCAAGTCCATGGATTCAACCAGGAGCCGTTCAACGATGCACCGTACAACGACATCGGCGGCCTCGGCGGTCACCAACATCCTCCATTCGTAAAACAGGTTATTGAGGCCAATGGAATAGCGTTTAGTAATGGCATGATTAATGGTCTCAGCGAATCGCAGTACAATTCTCCGACTCGGTCTCAGTACTCCCAGCCGTCTGCCTCGTTCCCACCCTCTGCGCAACATCAGGCTGTGTCCCCCTTTGGGGAGGCGTTGACGCAGCCCTCAGTATCTCCTCACGTACCTCACCCCCCGACCTCTGCCGTACAAGCTAATAGTGGTACATCACCCTGGCCTGACCCATCTCCTGTCTGCCGTACGAGAACAGTTGACACCTCTGCTACCTCATCACCGGCTGTGACGTCTGCTCAAGCTCAGCAAGGATTTAACTGGGCTCGACCGATTCAACCTCCTCAGGCCGTACCTCAACTGAACGATCCATCTCCTTGGCTGACGGCGTCTTTGGGGGGTACTGATGACAGATGGAAAGAGATCCCTGATGGGCAAGGCGCAGAGGATGTTTGCGTTGCCGGTTCTCCTGTTGATGGAGGAGTCCCTACTCTTTCCATCCCGCAGACACCGGCGGATGAGCTTCCAGTAGCGTCCGCAGTTCCAATACCAGCGTCTCAACCAGTCCCCCCCAGTAGCGAGCCCCAAGTGACAAGCAAACCTAGCCGTAAGTCAACAGCACATGATGCTCATGCATCAGTTACTGTTACTGTACCAAAGGGTACACCGGCAAGCGTTGTCAAGGGTCCATCTCCTGTTTCTATAATCTCCCCGCCTGCACCGAAATCTGTGTGGTCCAGTGCGGACGAGGAGAGGAAGGCGAAACCTGCTGCGACAATGAGTTTGCGCGAGATTCAAGAGGCAGAGGCGAAGATGGCGGAGGCACGTAAGGCTTCTGAGAAGGAGCGGGAACGTGCCCGCAGTAACATTACAACTTCTCTCGTTGCTTCCGGTTCCGAAGACGCCCAGCCGTTTACTGCATCCTGGGGATTGCTGACATCCCAAGCGGGAGGAAGAAATATCGCAGCACCGAAGGAGCCCCCGACGCCTGTTACCCCGAGCGCACCTGTTTGGACGACTGCTGCACCAACCGCTACCGTGAAGAAGTCGATGAAGGAGATCCAAGAGGAAGAGGAGAGGAGGAAGAAGGTAGTAGTGAGAGAGAGCGTGGCGTCCGCCGCTGCCCGCCGGCCTTACGCTGAGACTACCTTCAAGGTTGGTGTTAATCTGTCTTGTCAGTTTCTCTGTTGCTGACACAGTACTACACTAGACTGCGCCTTGTGTACAGAATACTGGCAGCGGTGCATGGACAACTATTGGGGCAAACGGTAAACCAGCCACGCCTGTGGTTGTTCCCCCGCGACCCGCGGCGACTACGCCTGGCTCAGCAGTTGCTGTAGGATCTCCGGCTACAGTACCTCGACAACACGGTGCTGCTACGCGTCCGGGAACGTCGGCGGCTACGCTGGCACCTACTAAACCCGCTGCAACACCACGTGTGGAGGATTCTCCTGTTACTCCGTCGCATGACTTTTTGAAATGGCTGAGTGATTCATTGAAGGGCTTAAATAGCTCCGTCAATTGTGAGTAATGTTGTCGGCACGATTCTAGCTAACTCGTCTCTGAACCCCCTTGCAGTGGAAGAGATCACTTCGATGCTTTTCTCGTTCCCGCTTGACCCGGACCCGTCAACGATCGAGATTATTTCTGACCTTATCTATACCAATAGTACGACGCTTGACGGTCGCAGGTTTGCTTCGGAGTACGTAAACAAGCGCAAGGCCGATGCTGCGGCGAGGCGAAATGCTGCCGGCGTAGGTGGTAACAGTGGCAAGCCTATTTCAATCGCAGACGTTGTGAAGACCCAGCCAAAGACCGTCCAGCAGGAGTGGGGTTTCAAGGTAGTCAACAAGAAAAAGAAGGGGGGCAGGTCGTAAGCAGGCCGTGATGTGTCGGCCAGAGTCACATAGGCAACCCCAGCGATATATTACTCGGGTAACCAATGCATCGTTCCCTTCGTTGTGCTGTATCCTGTGTGATACCCCTCGAACACTTAATAATATCTTACCATGCATCATATCTACGCAAGATTCAGTGGTTCCTCCCTCAATCCCACTGCTACGTACACATTCCCACTGTAACCATACCGTGGTTTTTGCAACACTGCGAACATCGACATGACATTTGGAGCCCACGAAGTAGCTCATTTGTGCATATTATTCAATCCTCGACTGAGACAGAGCTGGAGGATACACCACCGCGACAAGATTGAGGGTGACTATTGACAAATATCATCTACTAATAGTGTACATTTGACAGAAAACTCGAAGATCACTTGGGAGTGAGGTACATATGTGACGTGGGAACAGCGCTATGCTTCTACATCAACCCAGGCATCCTCGTCTTGTTCGAGCTCGTTGTCGGGCATTTCGACAAGTAGGGCGTCCTCTGCCACGTCTGAACTAGTCGATGCTGAGGACGCGGTCGTCGGCGACGGCGGTGACGATGACAATGATTGACTGAGCAAAAATGCATCAGCTTCAGTGTCCTCAATCGGATGTGATTCCGACGACCTTCCAACCTCCACGGAAGGACTCGTCGGTATAAATCGCAACGAAGAAGTGATGGCGACTTCATCTGGGGTGCATGCCGCGTCAACCTGACCGTTGGTCGTCACCGAGGCTGCGACAGTCTCTACATCCGGCGACACTGGCTCCATCATTGTACCTGTCTCGTGTGCGGAAGTAGAATGGGTTGGAATAGTTGCCGGTTCAACCATGTCCGTGTCCGGTGCGTCTCCTATATCCAGCTCGTCGTGCCTCTCTGTCAGTGGCTCGCCCTTCTCCATTCCGTCGTCGCGCTTTTCTTCTTTCGCCTTGTCAGTATCGCCAGCAGCTGCTGACTCTGACTCCGTCGGGCCACTTGTCATCTCATCGTTCATCTTCAGACTTCCGCCTTCAATAACTTCGTCACCCTCCTCGCCCTCTCGCTCTTCCAATGACGCTACATCATTCGCAGCTTTGCTTATTTTCCAAGTGGCGACCTCTTTCTTCCTCTCAATTTCTTCTTCCAACCTTTCTAACGCCCTCTCCACTCTGTTGACAATCGCCCTCCTAGCTTCCCTCACCCTCGCCGAACCATACGATGCAACAGTGTCCAGCTCTGACAACAGCTCTTGCAATGCATGATCGTAGTATCGCACAGGCGCATTCCGTGAGGTGTAGGCAAGCTTCAGCTCCGGTAACGAGGAAGGTTCGAAGTCGAGTTCGTCGGGGAACACAAACTCATTCTCGAGCTTCTCGAAGGATGTTTCGATCTCTGCGATTCTGGATATCGATTTTTGAAGAGCGCGCGGATCTGTGGCGCGTTCAACCTCGGAATCTGTTCCAAATTCACTGGCAGACTCCAGTTCGTTTGCAGGAGAGGGTGCGTTTGCGCCGACTTGTTTCGATTTCCCTTTCGTTTCGAGATCTTTATTAGGGGTCGAGATTGGACACGAAGTGGACGTTCGGGGGTTGGGATTGGTTGTAGTGAATCGATAGCGATGAGACTGCGAAGGCTTATGTTCCTGTTTCATTAGTTCGGATGATACACATTGGCAGCCGGTACTCAAGGCGCTTACCAGTGTCTCCTTCATGCTGAATCCGTCCTCCCTTTCCCTTGCGTGGAGCTCTGCCGAATTCTGAGCATAGGGGCAGTTGCCCTGTCCAAAGTATGGGTTGCCGCAATTGTGGTCAATAGGTCCCCAATTAAAATAGGTAGGGGCGTGCCAGGGGTATCCCTGTCCCGTGGCGGTGGATGAAAGTGGGGATTCGTACGTGTCATCGAGTTCTAGCGCTCCAGGCATTTGTATGGGCAGAGCATCGAGAAATGCTTGTCTCTGAAGCAGTTGGCGGTACTCCTGTTGTCTCCGGGCACGTGCCTCCATTGCGCGTCTCGCTTCCTCTGCCTGGGCAAGTGCTGCACCGAGGTAGTGGTCGCGGGACAAGGAGGCGGTGTATGGCGTGTGATACTCGTAGCGGGGCCGGGGGTCTATCACGAACATCATCGTCAAGCTGTGGGTTGGCTTGTGTGCTTATTCCCCGTCCTCCCCTTCCCCCCTCTTTTATATCAGCTATAGGGGGAAGTTCGACGCGTCACCTGCCAATTCCAGAAACATCCCGAATGTCCATATATGGATGTGGTACGCGCGTCGCCCTGTATAAGCAAGTGGTTCCATTGGTTTCTAATACAAAATATTACATTCCACCCGTCGTATCATTTCATGACTGATATTGGTATATCTTTACACTCGAAACTTCCCAATCTGTCGCACGCGAAGTTAGCTGAGATGCCAGGAACCGTAAAATGTACTCACAGGCCTCGGCAAATGACGCGCCGCTATTCAGCACAAAGTCAGAACACGATGAGTATCCAGTCAACTGTGCACAACTCTCCGACTGCCCAGGGACGCCAGTTCCAGACCAGACGGCCCCAGCCCAATCACCGCTGCGGTATTCCACGGTTAGGTCGGCAATTTTTCGTCAAAAAAGCATGCTACCCACCAAAGTGTCGTGTCAAATATCACGCTGTGGTTATAGAAATGCGACGCCATGTTGCAATCCGTCGAGGGCCAGTTGGCCATCGGCGTAGACCAACTTTGAGGTTGCGGGGCGCCAGCAGTGATATCCGAGGGTATCGATCCTCTAGGGAAGAAATAAACTTGTATACCAGAATCTTGCCACAGCACTACCGGAATCCCTCAGTACTTTGCATTGCCAAGCAACAAAATAGAGTCACTTACTTGCGTAAACACCACCCGAGATAGAATTAAACCCAGAACCAAATGTATAGTTGTAGTTGGAACGAACGCCACATCCCTCGTTATCAGTTTGATCTGCGGCGCAGTTCGTCCCACCGACCACCGTGCCAGCTATATTAAGCTGCGTCGTATCAGACGTCGGTAAAGAGCACCCGTCGCTGGTGTGAATCGTCGCCTGGTTGTTTGTATAGTTGTTCACACCTTCAATGATATCGATTTCGCCACCAGCTGGCCAGTTTGGACCGTTTGACCAGAAAGCTGGACAATGATATAAAACAGTGCAAGAACGCACGTTTGTCAGAATAGTCGCACAGACGACCGTAATGCCAAGGTATGTCGCTCACCAGGCCATGTCGCACATCCCGTTGGCATGTGGACGGCGTCCAATATAACGAGACCCTCCGTGAATATCAAATTAGTGGTGATACGAACGGAATTCCTGTTCGTCGACACCGTAGGAGTCGTATCGACTCGCATGACGGCGTTACCTGCTGAATTGATTTCGACCAGCCCTGCGTTCTGTGCGTCACTCTGAGACAGATACTGTACGGTTCCATGCGTTGGATCCGATGCGGTATAGAAGGACCAGCCATTGAAGAAGGTGGAGCCACCGTAAGTCGACACTGGCTTCCAAGGAGATGATGAAGCAGAAGCGGTGGGAGCAGACGTAGGATGACCTCGTACTGCTCGGAGAGGCGTGACCATTCGCAAGGGAGGTGCCCGAACTGGTGGGCAAGGAAGTGCCGTTCCCTGCGTCCGAGGAAGAAACACAGTAGGCCTTTTGTTCTGGGTTAGATTGCGGCTCGGAGACAAGGATGCCAGTGAACGCGATGCGGAGATCGCGAGCAAGGCCGGTACTGTGCCTTACGGCGATCTTGTGAGCACGAGAAATGAGGGATGAGCGTGTAGCGCAGGCAGATTGAGGGGTAAGTGCGAGTGTAGCCGCGATGAGAACGGCAATGCGAGTGAAGAGCTGCATGAAGGCTGCACGGCAGGGGAGAACAGAAAAAAAAAAAGAGAAAGAGCAAATCCAAATGCCCTAGGCTCAGCCTGAGGACAGTCGATGGAAAATTGGGACGAAAAAACGGTATAGATTGACGCTGGGCAGAACAAAGGAGAAAGACAAAAGCCAGAGCGCCGAACCCTCACAAAGACAGACCAAAGGACGTCCGACGGATGGCCGTGGCCCGGGCTTATCTATTTATTGTGTGCGTAACATGTACACGTTGCAACGACGTTTGGGGCTGCGGACTACCACGACGAGACCGTGTGTGGACACAGCTCTTTGCAGAAAAAAAAGGTGCGGACTTCACGGATCAAAGCATATCTCATTGAATGTCGAACGTGCAAAACGACATCCATTCTCAGCGTGAACTTGGCATTTACGCAGTCGTCGCAACAAGCAGGGGAGAGAAAGAGAAAACATGTAATTACTGCTAAAGAGGGGAAACCCACACGCATCGAAGACCGCCCCTTGGTCAAATACAACAAGAATGCACATAAAAATGGAGACCACACTTGATGAATGGAACCCTCACAGCGACAGTACCTACCTCAATGTCCATGCACAGCTGCTGCCGTTACCGCTAGTGGTATGATCCGGTGGACGAAAATGCCTCTCGAACACTTCGTCTCAACTCCTCGTGCTCTCGACCCGTCGAACTTGCCACCGATGATGTGCCAATATGTGAACCGGTAACGCTCCGCGGAACACCTCCATCTGTGTCCTCCTCCACAATCTCCTGTATCCGTCGTGCCAACAACTGGATCTCCCCATGGCCATCCCCCGCTTCGGTATCCTGATACGACTGCGTTTGCGAGTGATGTGATCGAGGGGTACCAACAGACGCTGTCGGTGTTGGCGTACGCGACGTCGCCAATTGTCGGATAGCCGGAATCAGCAGGTTCGAATTCCGGATGTTACTGATCAGCTGCGGATCTCCTGACTCGAGTAATTGCACAATCGTCCACACAGCGATGTGCTGAAACGTCGCATCTACGCTTGTCAAGAAGTTGTACAAGTACCGATGCATGCCACCATCGGGTTTGTCCCACACATCATTAAACGCCGAGTAATCGTCAGAAGCCGTTCGTCCGTCTGAGTCGTGTGTTAGCATGAATGCGCTTCGTCAACGTTCAACCTGTGCTTGCCTTTGGATGACAGATTACCAAGAGCCGCCGCACTGTTTCCCTGCACCTCCGAGCTAGGGGAATTCGTTAATGGTATCAGCACTTCACATATACCCATCTCTAAAAGTCGTCCCTTGAGCTCATCTGCAACAACATCAGTCCACGTACGAGCAACCCTCCGCAATAACCACCCACCACTCAATGCCAAAACGGCAATGCAAGCCGTCATCTCGCTCTGTACATTCATCGGCACCTCAAGCACCAGCTCCTTGATCGTCTGTACAGCCCCAGCCTTCACAATGGCCGTCTTATTCTTCTCCGAACTTGCCGCCAAATTCCGAAGCGTAGAGATCGCATGACATTGTACCTCCTCGTTGTCCTTGAACGAAAGCAGCGAAATTAGCGGTTGCAGGAATCCCGACTCGATGATGGGTGACTCGTTTTGAGGGTGAATAGACACGTTCCGTACGCACGCCGCAGCTGAGAGTATAAGCGGCAAATATGTCGACTGCAAGAGACGTAAGAGGGGAGTAAGGCCATCTGCCTTCACGATTTCCAGTTGATACTTCTCTTCAAAGTATGTCAGCACTACACGCAATGACGAGGAAGAAGTGGTGTACCGTCACTAGCTAAATTCCTCAAGGCAAGTGCTGCCTGGCACTGGACCTTGAGACTTGGACTGTCCATGAGCGCAACGAGACTCGAGACAAGCTTAGGTTCCGTCTGAGCAAGCTTTTTTCTGTTCACGCCGTCGACCGCGATGTTACTCAGCGCTGTCGTGCAGTAGTATTGCACGTCCGTATCCACAGAGTTCAGTAGACTGACAAGCACAGGAATGGCACCGGCATTGACAAGCTGCTGTCGGTTCTCATCTAGGCATGTTGTTTCAGCAGCAGTAGTAGGGAACCAGTCAGGATTGACATACCGGAGTGGGTCATGTTTAGGAGTGCGCCTGTCGCGTTGCGTTGGACCCGCATGTCCTTAGAACGAGCTAATCGAGTAAGAGGCACGAGAGCCCCAGACTTTGCTATCTTGGTCTTGTTGTCATCTACACGTGTAGCGGAGAGAAGTGCAGAGGATGGAGGCAAATAGAAGCCGTGGAGGAAAAGGGGCGATACATCATTAGATCATCGATTAAAGAAGGCACTCACGGAAGGAAGCACAACAGACATAAGACAGGGATGGGACACTTACCGTGAGTAGCGAGGTTGGTGATACACCCGACGGCGTTGCACTGAACCTCTACATTCGGGGAGAGCATCTGGCGGATGAGAGGTTCCAATCCGCCCAGTTTGACAATGAGGAGCTTATTCTCGGCTGAGGTGAAGTGAGTAAGGGATGCGGATCAAAGGAAAAGGAGGACGGCGGAACGGAACGTACTGTTCACTGCCAAATTGCCGAGCGCAGCACTGGCGGCACGTTGGACTTCGGTATCCTGGCTACTCAGGAGGAAAAGGATGGGATCGAGTGTGTCCCGGCCAACGGGACGGACCTCCTTTTCGGTTATCTCTGCGAATGCGAGAGCGGCGCTACGTTGTAGGTCGACATTGTCCGAGAAAGACAAAGTGGTGAGAGCAGTGAGGGGGGAGCCTTGAAAGAAATTAGTGGTAGTACGGTCTGGAGGGTGTGTCAGAGGACGTCTGGGAACGAGAGAGGAGGAGAGGACTGACTCTCGAGATATTGGAGAAGGTCAGCTACTGCTTCCCGCTCGTTCTCCAGCAGGAGTGGCTCGTACTGCTGAGATCTCCGTGAACGGACTGTTTCCAAGGAACAACGTTTGTAAGTTTGACACGAAGAGGGGGGAACAACACTTGCAGCAGGATTCACAGCAACTGCTCACGACGCCCATGACTGAGCTGGCAAGACCAGGACAGGGTAACCAAAAAAAAAAAAGATGGAGAAGGGACTACTAACAACCCGTTTACAAAATGAATACACCGCCAACAGCGAGCTCGACGGCTCACCCGTGGGAAAATGGACCGCACGTTGCCGAATGAGGCTTACGTCATCGACTGCACCAAATAATCGTGTGCTGGGGTGGACTGACACGGGCTTGCGATGGCCGAGCCGTCGTGGCAAGAAGCAATTCGCATCCGACTCGTCGAACGAAATGCTAAACAGACGGCATTCGCGTCCATCATCGAGCAATGTAGGCCATCCCCAGATCAGCAGCACCAGAACACCTCACCCACCCAACCCATTCATGTCTGTCAGATCGCAGACTTGCTCAGCAGACGAAGCTGCTCAAAGAACGCAACGCGTCACTCCTCAAGGCAGTTGGATCTGTCCGCCCCAATCCATCTAGTTCGACTGTCTACATACCCGGCACTGCTGGATCAGGCGAAGAGTATGTCTTTCCTCTCCCCCCGTTCTCATCACATTCACCGCTTCCATACGACAGCAACCCCGTCCGCGTAGCGTACATCGCGTCTCTCGAGTCCCAAATCTCGTCCCTTCGCGACGAGCTCGCCTCGGTATACAAGACACAGGGTCAGAATGCACAACGCCTCCTTGCCATGAACGAGACCCTTCGCGAGAAAGAGGAGCTCTCTCGTATCGACTCCGAGAACCTTCGCAAAGCTCGTGATGACATAGCCCATCTCAGGCGCAAGGTAGACCAACATAACGAGATCATGGCAGAGAAGGACCGCACGGCCCAGGTGAATATCACATACACTCTCCACACTTCGATCTTATGCCCTCTGCCCCGCCCACAGGTCCTCCATGACGAAATCAATACACTCCAGCTCGAACTGGGCCAAATCGAGGAGCGAAATCAGATCCTTGTTAAGGACAACGCCAAGCTTTTGCAGCGCTGGCTCGATGACAAACAGGCACAGGCCAACAAGCTGAACGAGGCAAACGACCTCTACGAAGACTTGCGTTCTCGGCACCAAGCCGTGATAAACTGGCAAGGCCAACCACAACCACAAAACACGCCTGCAGGGACCGCTTCGCGGATAACAATGGCATCTCAGTCGGGAAACGGAGTGCGCGAGGGGGAGGGGAAGAAAGAGACGACGACAGCTGGGCAGCGCTCTCAACCGGAGACACAGCAGGATCAGAGTCCGAATGGCTGATAGTCAATGCATGAGTCCCTTAGTTACACGATAATCACACCCCCTCGCGTTGCACATCTCACTATGACTCATGCAGTGTTCATATAACGAGGGAAAACGTTGTCGGAAATGAAGTTGAACGAGAAACCGCGCATCTACCATGGCAGTGGTGAGGATATATAGGGGAGCAACCGTGACTGTGGCGCAAAACAGAAAAATAAAGGAAGAAACGGTAGCAAAATAACAAGAAAAAAAAGCACTCAGGGGTACACCAGCTACGCACCACAACAGACGCCTGGAACAACAGGATCGACAGTTCCTGCAGTACCGTACAAAATTGGTAGTTCGTCTTTTTGATTCATACTCTTCAAGTGGTTAGAAAGAACAAACCGCAAAACGGATAACTTCAGTGCGAGAAATAAAGCTTCCATGGCTACATTCAATGAGAGCGCAGATGACGCTTTGAGCGTGTTTAGAAGGCAAATGATACACATTAAGCACCCTGGCCGTCAGAGCCCTGTTGAGCCTGTTGACCGTAATATCCTTCGTACTACGTCAGCACTGCAGAACAACAAGACAAACGTCAGAACGTACCACCCCAGTAGTTCGAGTAATAACTGGGATCACCGGTGGGCCACTGGGCCTGAGCACCGATGGCAGCACCAGCGGCAGCAGTAGGATCCGCTGTGGACTGTCCAGCCCCAAGACCGGTGCCCACGGCACCAGTACCGGGCTGGGGAACACCAGGGCTTGCAGGGTTGGCAGTACCAGCAGCTTGGCTGGGGAACCCGCCGTACGCACCGAACCCATATTGACCGTAGGTGCTAGGCTGTGGCACGCCATACATAGGCTGGAGAACCGCATCAGCAGAGCACTATTGTGTGAATTGTCGATTCGCTTACCATGTTACCATACGGAGCCGCGGTGGGAGAAGGGGTCAGAGCACCCGGCTGGACAGTTGCGCCATCGGCTCTATCTTTGCCCCAGCTGCACTTGATAGGGCGGCCATGCACCATCTGACCTTGGAGTTGCACGATGGCCATGGCAGCATGCTCGTGAGTATCGAGTTTTACAAAGGCAAAGCCCCGATCAGCTTGCATGCGGATCTCCGACAAGTACCCGATAGATTGAAAGAGCGGTATCAAGTCGGCCTGAGTGCAATAGGGAACCAAGTTACCAACATAGACGGTGGTATTGTATGAAGGCGTCTGCTGGACGACGGCCTCATACGAGAGGGGTCCCCCTTGGAAGTTAATAGGTGCAGGTGCAGTACCAACGCTCGCAGCAGGTCGAGGCGCAGCAGGGGCACCCTGGGTTTTTTGATTGGCCCAATTGACACGGATAGCACGGGAGCCGAGCCATTCACCATTCATCGTAGCGATCGCTTGTTCAGCGTCTGTCTTGTCCCTGAAGGCCAGGAAACCATATCCCCGCGACTTTCCCGAGTTCATGTCCCACATTACGCGAGCATCTGACAAAGTGCCAAAGGCACTGAAAGCCTTGGCGAGAATATCATCGTTGACCTCAGGGCTAAGATCACCGACAAAAACATGGTAGTGACCAGAGGTGTCCTCTTTGTTTTGTGAGCCCTGATAGGCCCAATTAACCCGAATCTCGGTGTCGAAGATCTTGCGGCCATTAAGAGTCTGTAGGGCAGTTTCCGCAGCACGCATATCGAGGTACTCGACGAAACCGTAGTTTAGACCGCCGTGTTGGTAGTTGCGGTCAGGAATAATTTTAACGTGCTGGACCGGACCAGCGACGGCGAATATCTCCGTTAGCATGTACTCGGTAACCCGAGGGCTCAGGTTTCCGACGTACAGATGAGCCCGCCTCTATAGGAAAAAATAGGGTGTGAAAATGGGATGGCGTACTGAGATGGGTGAACAAACCGGAGCTTCGGCAGGGCCTCCCATTGCACCCATTGGATTCATGACTTAATAGACAGACGAAACCTGGGGAAGCGGAGGTGGATAAGCGGTTCTATCGAGGAGATCTGAAGCTTGGCGGCGTATGTGTGCGTGCGTGTGTGATACGTACAGGAGGAAACAGAGAGAGAGTCCGTCACAGATCAGAGAGAGAAAACCGAGAAACGGAAGGAGAAAGAGAGATGAAATGAGAAAAAGAAAAGAGACGACAGAACAGAGAGATAAAAAAACTGGCTCGACCCTCGCGTCGTACTCGACAGATCAAGAGAACGTATTATCTGCTGACTCACAGCCACACAGCCCGTCCGCCTCCCTCCCACCGGATATCCCCGGATCATGTGTTTGGAAATGACTACACATTGATGATTACTCTACCTCACTGCTTCGTAGGTACGTTCAACAATACGTTGCCACCGCTACTTGGAATGTACGATACGTTGCTGTTGTTGGCCAGCGACTGCACGATCGCTTTGCTAGCCTCAATTTTCCTCAGCGCGAGGAATGCATCGCCTGCCTTCTCCAACGCTTTTGAAACTGTAGCCGCAGCCTCTGCCTCACCCTCGGCGCGAATTACCGCCGCTTGTCGCTCTTGCTCGGCCTAAAGCACTATCAGTCATATGGCCAGCTAAACACCGCAATAAATAACCTTTTCGACAATAAACTTGGCCCTTTCCGCATCTAAGACTCGCCGTCAGCTCGTCAAGACATCTGCAAGAGGATTACTGCCCACCTTGCTGTGCTATTTGCTTCGCCTCGACAGCCTACGGAAACTCGGGTTTACTCATAACACACACAAAGGCGTAAGATACAAACCTGCGTGAATTCCTGTGAAGATGTTGAGCCGTGCACATACCCCTTCTGACCAAAAAAAAACTCACTTTGCCAAATGTTAAATGTGTAATGGAAACATCTTCCAGTTTGATGTGGAATTCGTCAGCACGTTGCAACAAGTCCGACCGTATTCTCGCAGATACCTATCCAACAACCATTCACAAGCACGTCAACGGCAAGACACCATACCACATACCACCTCTCGTTGGGTAATCAGCTCAGCAGCGTCGAACTGGGCGACGATGGCCTTCAAGACCTCATTTGCAATCGAAGGTAGTACGCGTTCATCGTAGTCCAAGCCCAAATTTTGGTAAATGCGGGAGAGATGGCCGACGTCTGGCCGCGACAGCACACGCAAAGTTATGGACACCATTTGCAGATCTTTTGAGCCAGTAGTCGACGAGATATTCTAAAATTACAAGCAAGTTGCGGAGCCGTGGATGTGACTCGTGAACGTATGGCTTACCCTCGGCTTAATGCGACAGTCGAAGAGGATAGCTTTCTGCAGCCATGGAACGAGGAAATGCGTTCCCTCGCCAGTCGCCTGGCGAGCTGTCAGCATGTAAAAGCCCTTGATCAAACGGCAGACCAACCTGATCCTTTACACCGGCAAACCGGTCGAACATGACTGCTCGGAAACCTCCCGGAACATCGTATATGCTGCTCTGTATCAAGACTACTGCAACACCCAGGGGTACTGCGTTCAACAAGTCAGTTTCAACCGTGCACTTATAGGCGGGCTTCTCACCAATTACTCGGTTCAACCTGAGTGGCAAAGACATCTCGCAAGCTTCGGAATGGACCTTTGGCTTGGAGGAATTTCACGAACCTCACACAAATACCCGAGCAAACAACACACTGGCCAGTGGCGTGACGCAACGTACGCGGCAAGTACGGTCACACAGAAACTAAGATCTACAGGTCCACAGGAGATACAATTATCAACTCTCCCCTTCTCTCGCTCCCGCCTGCTTCCATGCGTGCAGAGTGACTACCGAACTGCATCGCACGTTTCTTTCTTGCACTTGCCTCTACCAGTCCAAGCTTGTGTGCAGCAAGTCTCAACAGTGTCTTATCTCCCTTCCCAACATCCAGGCGTGGGTCTAGCTTAAGATACACCGGTAAACCAGCCAAGAAAGACACCACCGACAACGATAGGAAAGGATGTCGTGTCTCTTTGCCGTGCGAGGAGATGATGCGGTCGTCCCGTCCGAGATTACGGGTTGGGATGCGGTCGAGTTCTAATTGGAGCTACGCGATATCAGTATGATGGTTGCACGAGCATTTCAGTCAGAATCTTGTACCTCGTCGATGACACCTCCCCAACCCCTCGCAGTGAATGCCGTGCGATGCCGACCATATCCACCAAGCAATTCATCAGAACCAAGTCCGTTTAGCAGTACCCTTGCATGGCTCGTGTATGGTTGGTAACACTCTGATGGCGAACTGCGTATGCGACCCACGCCCCGAGATGCAAAATACAGCGCCATTGCCAAACTCTACATCTCGCCTTTGAGTCAACGTGACAAGCTTGGATTGTCAGTGACCGCTTACCAGGTCCATAACGGTCCTGCTAGGCCACATAACTGCCTCTACACCAGATCTTGCTGCCAGACTTTCCTAACCACCTGAACAATGAGAATTTGCCAAGTTGATTATCACTTAAAATGACCTCATAAGGGACATCTACTTCCACCTTCAGACGTTTTTCAGTGATATAACAACTCATTGGGAAAAAAAAACTTACAAAATTCCATGTTCTCCCCGGACATAGTTTCCGCAGTTCTTCCACTTCTTGTAAGCCCGTGATACGGTCCGGCACTAGGTACGACGTGGTTCCTCCATCAGCAACTTTCCGGTACCTCTTCCTCTCCCTCTTTGGAAGCATGTCCGATTTACCTCCTAGTTGCACTTGGATCTTTCGAGGGTTCTCGAAGGCAACGTTTATCAAGTCTATTGTCTCATCTCCAGGAACGTGACTAGCAAATTCGTCCACGAGCTGAAATTATGTATTGTCGACATTGTACGCACCGATGAGCTAGAAATGCTAGCATAGTGGAGTCAATTCCACCGCTGAAAAGGACGGCTACCCGGGCCTTCCTCCCTTGACCAAACTGAAAAGGGATATCTTTTACTCTCAACATTACACTCCGATCCAGGTGCGCAACGAGTTCATTCACTGCGTCCGACCATGCTTCTGGACATGCCCCGCATCCGAAGGGGTCCAAGGAAGGTAAATTTTTCGGGGGGAGTGCAGTGTTCACCCTGGATATTTCCGCCTGAACATCTAATCAAAAGGCTGGATCTCATGGGAGTCTTGCTACTTACAAACTTTGCGGCTAAGGCCCTTCGGGGTATGATAGATAAGGAGCCATCGAATCCCTTTACAACCTGCGATGAACCTCGGGTCAGCCATCGCTGCATCAGTATGTGTATGGTACGTACGTCGTTCGATTGGCGCATTCGGCCGACGTCAAGACATAAGATACTTTCTGTGGATAACTCCTCAAATTGATATGCGGGGTGATTGCCTGCGGACACAGACGAGAGGAGAAGGTACGGGAAAGATGGGCTCGGCCTGTGTAGTAGCAATGACCGCCTGCCTAGTGGGTCGCGCGCAAAATAGAGCTTCTCTGAGCTAGACTACAAAGCTGTAGCACGGCTCCGATTTTCGATTGAATGAGACCTACATGATAAAAGACAAATGCATATCTACTGAAAAGGTTAGCGATGTAGCAGTCGGGGGTTACCAAGAGATTACTGACGGTCCCTCGATATTGCCAAGTAAACCAGGCACCGAATCAACAGTACAATCAAGTCGGAGTCGAGCAAAGAGTTTTGCACCATCGTTCTCCTCAGGGCCAATCTGTGTTCGGGAAGGTCGATATGAAGTCGCGATGTGGCGTCGGAGATATACATACGTCAAGCCCTTCGAACACCTGTTGGTCACCATAATCAGGGCCATACAATGCCGAACGACTTTTTCCCAGAGGTACCCACCTCTCCATTCCAACAGAACACGTCCCCCTCTTTCTGATGGGGCTGGACCACTGCAGTATGGCCCCTTAGCAGGAGCTCGGATGCAAAGAATTCGATTTGAAGCTCGGTGCCACGCGCTTGTCCCTCCGAAGGATTCCGGCGTAGAGCAGGCAAGCGAAATGTGTACGATGTCTGCGCATCTGGTCCTGATGATGCGGGTGGGGTCAGCTGTCTGTAAAGCCCGCACGAATGACTTGGGCCCACCTCTAGCGCCATTTGCACTCTTCAGTGGTTGCGACAAGGCCTGGAAAACTTCTGCATCGACATGGTGGCCTGTAGCAGCTATAGAGCAGTATATGCCACACATGGAAGTCGGAACGATGGTAGCGGATATCGATGCCCGCCGCTACTATATAGTACTTCAACAACTGTACATTGACTCTTCGATCTAAGGGAACTGACACGTCTAACATGTTACACATCAGAAACAAGTCGTATTTGCTATCACTATAATACGAAATAGCACGAGCGGACGAAAGGTACAACATGCGAAACGCAAGGAAGTCTAAAGGGATGCACACAAGTCGGGCACGCGGCCTGAATTTTATGCGGAATATGTGCTGGCGGACACGGTCCCTCCCCGCCCAGTCCAATTGATATCTATACAAATCGTGTGAAGCTAGTCAAGGGAATCAATGAAGAAGACGCACGAATGTCCTGGTCTTTCTTGAGCCTGTCGTTTTCTTTACCAGGAAGCACACGGAAGGTGTGGGCACCGAAATAATCACGCTTTAAGTACCATCACTCCGTCAGATTGTGTAATCTAAGTATGCGATAAACATACCTGGGCTTGGATAATATTGGCAGGAAGGATCTCGCTCCTGTAACCATCGAAGAATGCCAAAGCCGTGCTGAATGCAGGAGTTGGAATGCCCCAGAGAACAGCCTGGGCAATGATACGCCTCCAGCCCGGCTGTGCGTTGTGAACAGCTAAGTAGAACATAAGATCAGTGTTAACACAACTGAAAAAGCTTAGCAGTAACCTTTGTTGAAGAAGTTATCGAATAGCAATGACTCGAGATCTTTGTTCTTCTGATAAGCAACTGCGATGTCGTTTAAGAAGACACTCTAACATGAGATGTATCAGATACAATTCGCTATAGGTAGGGTATATTTACCTTTATGATGCAACCACCTCGCCACATGCGCGCAATACCAGCGTAGTTGAGGTTCCAATTCAGCTGATATCACGCAAAACGTAAGCGCGCGGAATTAAGACTTCCGAAGACATGTGCACCTCCTTAGCAGTTTGTCTCATCAACATGAAGCCTTGAGTGTAAGAAATGATCTTAGAGGCATAGAGTGCTTGCTCGAGGTCGTCGATGAACTGTTGCTTATCCCCGCGGAAGGGTTCCTTCTGAGGACCAGCAAGAACTTTGCTTGCACGAACTCGCTCTTCTTTCGCAGCGGACAGGAAACGTGCGAACACCGCCTCGCCGATCAAGGTAACTAAGAAAAATTGTCGACATATTGCATTGATTGGGTGATTGATAAGGGTACTGACCGGGAATTCCTGCGTCCAGGGCGGCTACGGCAGTCCATTTGCCAGTACCTTTCTGGCCTGCCGAATCGAGGATTTTAGTGACAAGAGGGGCACCGTCGTCATCGTTGAACTTCAAGATGTTGGCTGTAATCTCAATGAGGAAAGAATCCAGAACACTCTTGTTCCACTTGGTGAAAATGTCTCCAATCTCGCTCTCACTGAGTCCGAGGCCGCGTTTGAGGATGTCATATCCTTCGGCAATTAATTGCATGTCACCGTACTCAATACCTAAGATAAGAGACTTAGATTTCGGATCTCTGTCGGAGCAACAGATAAGTTACCGTTGTGAACCATCTTGACATAGTGACCGGCACCTCCCTCGCCAACCCAGTCACAGCACGGCTCTCCGTTAACCTGTGCGGCGGTTGCCTGGAATATCTCCTTGATGGCAGGCCATGCAGCTGGTGAACCACCTGGCATGAGAGAGGGACCATGTCTTGCACCCTCTTCACCGCCAGAGACACCACAGCCGACAAAGAGGAGACCCTTTGCTTCGAGCTCCTCGCAGCGACGTATGGTGTCTGGGTAGTGTGAGTTTCCACCATCGATGATGATATCACCTGGCTCAAGGTGAGGTACGAGCTGCTGGATAAAGTTATCAACGGCAGGCCCTGCCTTGACAAGCAGGATGATTTTTCGGGGTCTTTTGAGCTTCGCAATGAGCTCATTGATAGAGTGAGCTCCTTGAACGTTTGTTCCTGTGAGGGTCCATTAACAGGGGTATGTGAACAGGATGATATCATAGCCACCTTTGGCTTCGTTGTTCAAAAAGTCGTCGACCTTGCTGACCGTACGGTTATAGGCGACTACGTTATACCCCTTGTCGTTCATGTTCAAGATCAAATTTTGGCCCTTGAGGTGCGAGTTACGTCGGCGGGCACAAAACGATGTCTAGGCTTCTTACCATCACGGCCAGGCCAATGAGGCCAATGTCGCCACTGATAAGAGACATCAGCATCATTCGAGGCGGCAGGAGGGGGGGAAAACGTACGTTGGAGCTGACATAGCTGAGTAGTGGATGATGGGTGGTAGACGGGGGATACCAAGGTGGGATGACGGATGATATATGATAGACCGATGATGGATTAGATCACGTATCTATTAGGAGTTAGCCAAGGCGTGAGACGACCAAGGCCCGATATGGCTGTCAGTGACCGTGATGACTGATCAATATATTGTCTCGACGTTGCGGCCGACGACGAACTTGCCTGAATATATACATATGATAACTAGTCGACGTGTCTGGATGCTCCTGTGAGAGAGGATGTCTTCCGTGGGTCACTGGTGGGCGTCCCGAGAGCCACTACTGTGCACTTCAAGAAGAATGCACTTATGAAACGTCATCCGGTTGCAACCGTAGTTAGCGGCGGTCCGCAGGCAGCTTCTCAGCTACCCTCCGGATCCGCGTCTAGGTCTGCGTACCATGTTAATTTCCCCCTCTAGGCTCTAGCTTGCTGTTCGTGAGACATGTGTTCAACATATTCTCCCCCTGGTCATCCACGAACACGCTGTCCACGTACCTTGACTCTCAGGATCGAGGAAATGTCACTGTCATACTTACATCACTCTGCTCATCTAGCTGTCAGTCCCGACCAGACCATCGTCTGTGAGGGATGGCTCCTCAAGAAGAGAAGGAAGAAAATGCAGGGTATGCAACCTTCTATCGTACACGTCGATCCTGAAAGCAAGCCTCGACACAGGTTTCGCTCGTCGCTATTTCGTGCTGCATGAATCTGGCATCCTCTCGTACTCTCTCAGCCCAAAGCACCCAGTTCGCGACCAAATCGCTATTCCCCACGCTGCTCTCTCTACTGCAGAGGGGCGCAAGGATATCCACGTAGATTCAAACAATGCAACTTTCCATATCAAATGCCTCACCACGGAGGATTTCAACACGTGGATGGCAGCGTTTAGGTTGGTCAAGTCCCGTCAGGAAGCCTAGCCATTATGACCTTTGCCTAGAAAGTTCATCACAGCAGACGGACGTAAATCTACGGCAGCCAGCAGGATATCGAGACTCGGCCACTCGCAATGGAACCGGTCCAGTATCATTGCTGAAGACATGGGCTCGGTGTGTCCATCTGGTTGTTAACGTCCCCAGGGTCCCTGATTATCGACAGGTTATTGCCGAACTGGAGACTGCAATTGCACTCCTCCAGATAGATGACTCGCACAAGAAAAGCAGCTCCCTAAAATCCAAGTCAGACAAGGAGAGGCCCAATCACAAAGATAACAAGTTTAGCATGTTCAAGAAAGGTGAATCCTTGCAATACATTGTGCGTCTTCCGTGCAATGACACCCTGCCGCGAAGCTGGGGGACACCATGAAGATGGAACACTCGCCAAACCGATGACCGAAGCCGATTTTCATGCGCGCTACCAGCGAATAATCGCAACGCTTGAAACACTGAAAACTCAACATGCTATGCTACTTCGGTCCCTCAATGGCATGCAGGGCGACGCGTCCCAGCCAGCAGCTAGAGCGTCACCTCTCCCCGCAACAGCCGAAGGCAAACCCGAAGAGTTACTGCCTCCTTCGCGTTTCTCTACGGCGCTGACGCGTAGATCGAAGAGGGCATCGTCGATAAGTAGTCTGAGTGATGGTGCCCCGGTGGAGTGGTTCGATGCTCAGGATGATGTTGGAGAAGAGTTTGTGCTGGAAGAGCCGACCCCGGATGAAGAAAGGGGTCCTATCGCGCTGCAGACTAGTTTCTCCGGCGATAAAGAATATGAAAGCACGTCTAGTGATGATGAAGAGACCGCACCGCATCTATCAAAGCCAGAGCCAGACTTAACGCTGCAAGCGCGCCAAGTCGCCCGGAGGACCTGTCTGCCGTGCGGTCCAGTAGGTGATGAGGGTAGTTTGTTCACTATGCTGAAGAAGAACGTGGGCAAGGTATGGCATTCTTTGCTAAAAGGTTTGAGAATCTGCAATTTGGCATAGGACCTCTCGACCATTACTTTCCCGGTATCTTTTAATGAACCTTTGACTATGCTCCAGCGGGCAGCGGAAGAAATGGAGTATCATGAACTTCTTCAGCAGGCTGTTGATAGCAAGGATCCCGTCGAACGAATATGCTTTGTTGGGGCGTTCGCAGTATCTGGCTACGCACACACAAGACATCGTACTGGTCGGAAAGGATTGTAGGCACGCGCACGTCACTCTACATGCATATGGTTGACCCTATAGCAGCAACCCCATGCTTGCAGAGACCTTTGAAGATACTCGCATGAAGTTCATCGCAGAGAAAGTTTTACACAACCCAGTCGTTATTGCTTATCACGCCGAAGGCAATGGATGGCACCTAGACGGAAAGTCTGCCGGCAAGACAAAGTTCTGGGGTAGTTTGATTTTGATAAGTCGTTGTTATGAATGTTGACGACTTTGTACAGGGAAGAGCCTGGAAGTTATACCCCTCGGGACAACTCAACTTAAGATCGAGGGAGACGTCTACGAGTGGCGAGTGTGATGTTCTGTACGTTCGACAGTTTCGGCTGATCTCTACCTTGTACTTAGGAACAAGCCGTCGTCTTTCATACGAAATCTGATGATGGGAACGAAATATTTTGAGCACTGCGGCAAGATGACGATCAAGAACCTCACGAACGGACTCAGTTGCACCATAGAGTTTAAACCGGCTGGTTACTGGGGCGTGTCGAATGAAGTTGCGGGTGCAGTTGTATCACCTTCAGGAGAAGTATAGTGCACGTATCGAAGGCAAGTGGGATGAGCAACTCGCTTTGGCCCTTGATCCCTCGCACCTTCGCGTGCTATGGCGTATTTCGCCGTTCCCGAAACAGGCCCTCGATTACTACGGGTTCACAGCATACGGCATCACTCTAAACGAGATCACAAGTGACCTAGAAGGTAAACTTCCGCCAACTGACTCGCGACTGCGCCCGGATGTTCGGGCTCTTGAAGAGGGGAACGTTGATTTGGCAGAAGAACAGAAGACACAGTTGGAAGAGCGACAGAGGGAACGCCGAAGAAGGGGGGCCGACAGAGAACCCCGGTGGTTTAAACAAAGTGGGGAGGATTGGTTATATGTCGGAGGATACTGGGAAGCAAGGGCAAAGGGATGGAAGGACTCGCCGGTGGAGCCTTTGTGGTGATGAGCATCTGGCGTACACGTGTTTACCACATGTTAGTACATACCTAATTAACAAGCCTGGAAACCTTCAATTAGTTCGGCTGCCAAGAGGTCACTGCTAAACAGTTTTACTTCAGGAAATACAAATCAGGCTGAGTGGGAAAGGCAGGCTCTGACGAGGAAACATGATGTCCTTTCCAGCCCTTCGGAAGGGTGTCGTCGCCAGACGCGCTGTACAGCGATGTCTCGCAACTCATGCGCCGGTCGTCGAGAAAGACTGCACTTCCATCACGCCGCCTTACGAAAAACTACTGGGGAAACTCGAGCGCGTACGGGAACTACTCAACCACCGCCCACTCACCCTAGCGGAAAAGATTCTATACAGTCACCTAACTGATCCCGAAAAAAGCCTTGCCGGTGGAGGGAAAATCAGGGGGGATGCTTACTTGCAGCTAAACCCTCAACGCGTAGCCATGCAAGACGCCTCAGCACAGTCAGTTATTCTCTTCGATGGTTGAGAGGAAACTAATTGCCGCACCGCAGAATGGCCCTGTGCGTTAAGCTATACACTAAAATCCGCCCTAACATTTGCTGATGTCCACTATAGCCTACAGTTTATGAGTGCTGGTCTACCCCGTTGCGCGGTTCCTACGAGCATCCATTGTGACCATCTCATCCAGGCTGCTGATGGGGCTGCATCTGATCTTGAGGTACTTCGCTGCCGTTTATTTAAGATTATCCTGCACTTTAAAGATACCTAGAGATCCATCATTTCGAACCAGGAAGTGTTCGATTTCCTGGAGAGTGCCGCGCGTAAATATGGCATCGAGTTTTGGAAGCCGGGTTCTGGAATTATCCACCAAATCGTCCTAGAAAACTATGCTGCTCCTGGAATGCTCATGTGAGTTGTACCTTGCTCCCTCTCATCTACTCACTCAGCGTTGTGTTAGGCTTGGAACCGGTAAGTAAGGCGTACGGCGTAAGCAGGCCATTAATTTGTCCCGCAGACTCACATACACCCAATGCTGGTGGTCTGGGCTTACTCGCTATAGGTGTTGGAGGAGCGGACGCGGTGGACGCTATGACAGGAACACCTTGGGAGCTGAAGGCACCTCAGGTAGTCGGTGGGTTGCTTTTCAGATCAAATTTCCACAGGCTTTAAGTGATGGTGTAACGCTAGGCATACATCTGACTGGTGAACTTGATGGCTGGGCAACTCCGAAGGATATAATCCTCTACTTGACCGGGAAGCTCACTGTTCGGGTGAGTACGAATCCTGCAGGGCACACTATTTAGTTGATCAGCATTTAGGGAGGCACTGGTCGCATCCTGGAATATTTTGGTCCGGGTGTTCATACCCAGTCTTGCACCGGTAGGAGTCACTTCCTGGATTTTATGGCCTAGACACAAACTCTGTTCAGGACTTGCAACTGTCGCGAACATGGGAGCTGAAGTGGGGGCGACAACGTCTACATTTCCCTACACGGCTAATATGCGCGCATATTTACACGCGACCGGCAGAGGTCCAGTGGCCCGTGCTGCCGATGAAGCCGCTGCCAAGGGTTACCTTAGTGCTGATGAGGGCTGTGATTATGATGAGGTCATCGAAATTGTAAGTTTTGCATGACTTGGCTTAAGCGGATTTTGATATCATTTCTATGTAGAACCTCTCGAAACTGGAGCCCATGATCAACGGGCCGTTTACCCCTGATTTGGCAACCCCTTTGTCGAAGTTCGGTGCATTTGTTCAAGAACGCGGGTGGAAGGATGAGGTTTCTGCGTGTCTCATCGGCTCATGTACCAATAGTTCTTATGAGGACATGGTTGGTTCAAGTGGTTTCAGGGTAATATCAGCTGACGACTTTGAAGACTAGGGTTGCTGAAGTCGCTGAGCAAGCGAGGGCTTGCCGGGCTCAAAACCCAGGTTCCCTTTTTATGCACACCTGGTTCTGAGCAAATTCGTGCCACCATGGAGCGTGACGGAGTAACGACCAGTTTGCAGGAGGTAGGCGCCATGGTTCTCGCTAATGCTTGCGGTCCATGTATTGGTCAAGTAAGTGGTCGGTCTACACCGCCGCTTCCGGTTCGTATTCTAACTTTTTCTGTAAGTGGAAGCGAGATGACGCCAAGGGTAAAGAGAACGGTGTGTGATAGAACTGGGAAAGTTTTTCACAGTAGCTGACATGCACAAAGCCATCCTCACATCCTTCAATCGGTAAGGTCTCTTCTGCAGATTTTCCACCAGTATCTGACCATCCACAGTAATTTCAAGTCTCGTAACGACAGGGAATAGTTACACTATGAATTTCCTCGCATCACCAACTATCGTTACCGCAATGGCCTTCTCTGGGAAGCTTTCGTTCAACCCGACGACCGATTCTATAACTTTACCAAATGGAGAGCCTTTCAAATTCTCTTCCCCTAGAGGTCAAGATTTGCCTTCGAATGGGTTTTCCCTCGGGAAACCAGAGTTATTACCCCTAGCCCCATACCAGAGCCTCAGCCAGAAACTGAAGTGATCATTAAAAGTGACTCTCAACGTCTTGAACTTCTGGAACCTTTCTCAAGTCACTTTGGACCCCAAAATCCTAGAGGCCTCGAGCTCCCTGCATTAAAGGTGTTGATGAGGGTAAGAGGCAAATGCACAACTGACCATATTTCTGCCGCCGTGAGTGATCCTTCCCTATCAGAAGGTCAGCAGTGTTGATCGATTGTCAAGGGCCCCTGGTTGAAATACAAGGGACACCTCACCAACATCTCAGAAAATACTTGTTCGTCCCGTTCTATCGAATTCGAAAGAAGTGTACTGACTAGTTTGCATCCTCAGTGATCACGGTGAGATAATGATACATTAATTTTTCTTCTTTTCTGAAACTGTGACTTTAGGCGGTGAACGATGAAGGCGGTGATATCAATGTCGCTTTCGATCATGACCACGGTGCAATGGAAACTGCCAGTGATACCATCCCGACAATCGCCAAGAGACTCAGATCCCGTAACCGACCATGGGCGTTGATCGCTGACGAAAACTATGGCGAAGGCAGCGCCCGTGAGCACTGCCGCACTGCAGCCCCGATTTTACGGTAAGATTTTTGCTCTACATTCCAGCTCTGCAGGCAAGCATTCCTCATTTCCTTAGGGTGTGCCATGATTGTCGCGCGTTCTTTCGCTCGCATTCACGAAACGAACCTCAAGGTGAGATCAGACATTCCGTAACCTACGATATTTGTTCTGAGAATCATCTAGAAACAAGGTGTCCTCCCACTTTGGTTTGTTGATACGGCCGATTATTCTCGTATCGGGTCCGGAGACACAATCGAAACTGTTGGTGTAGCTACTCTCCTTGGTGGGGATCCAAACGCCGCCATTAAGCTTCGCATTTTGAAGCGCAGTGGAGAAGCCATTGAGATACCCGTCAAACATACGATGTCTGCTGACCAGCTGAACTGGTTCCGGTCAGGATCGGCATTGAACTACATCCGCTCACAGATGGCATGACTACGACTACGTGATCCTTAGAGCCAGTGTACTAGCAGGGACATGCAATATATATGCACTTTTGGTACGAAAGGTTCCCCGAAGATTAAGCCCGATGAAAACTGGCTTTCATGACCCTCCCATGTCGCAGAACAACTCCGAGAAGAGGGTTACTCAGTGGTAGTCGCCATTTGCCCAAGCTGCGAAAGCTGCGCAACACTCAAATGCTGCTGTCCTTGTAGCGCACTTAAGACATTCTTCGCAAGTAGTACAGCGGACGTCGGCATCCCTGCCAACTGGGCAACTTTGAGCGCATGACTGTCGCGGTTGACGCCCGGCCTGAGGCAATGAGAGTAGGTGAAGTAGCCATCCTATATGTAAATGAGAATATGTTCTTTGCGAGTGACGAGTCAGCAGAACATACTTCAGTTTCACGTACATCTGTGCAGAAAAATCCGACGCCCCGAAAGACCCCACCACCATGGTGGTCGACTTCGGAGTAGGAGAGTAGATCAGCCAATTCATGGAAATGGGTCGCAAACAGTGCTCGACATCGGTTGTTTACGACTAGATGATGCACGGTGGCAAATGCGATGGCTAAACCGTCTCTGACCGTTGTGCCCCGGCCAACTTCATCCATGATGACCTTCAACTTGATAAGTTGTCTGATTCATCGCCATGGGTGCATGTAGCTCACCAAACTTTTGGGAGTCGCACGTCGAAGGATTTCAGCCGTCTCTAGCATCTCGACCATAAATGTACTCCTATCTCGAAACAGGTCGTCTTTGGCCCCGACCCTGGAAAACAGCCTATCGACTACACCGATAACAGCATGTTCAGCAGGTACAAATGATCCAGTTTGAGCAAGAATCGCAATTATTGCAGTTTGCCTTAAGAATGTTGATTTTCCAGCCATATTGGGTCCAGTAATGATATGTAGCTGTGAGTCAGCTTTCAGCGACACAGAGTTTGGCGTAAAAACTCGACCAGAGGTAAGAAGACCAAGTTCGACTGTCGGATGGCGACCATGTATCACTTCGTACCCAGTACTGAAAGACGTGACATCAGATTGAACAGAGCTGCCACAATGGATACTCACCCATCTTTTACAACTGGCCTAGTAAGCCGGAATTCTGCCGCAAGGTTAGCAAAGCCGATCGTAACATCCAATTCATCCATGATCACTGGCATTTCGTCTCAGTTGGGGAGCAAAAACCTTAACCTACGACAACTTCAGCAGGCGTCGAAAAATGTCGTCGAAGAAAATGACCTCGTCACGCAAAGTGTCGAAGATTTCTTTCTCAGCATTTGAGATAGCTGTGGCGATTTCAACGATTTGGTTACCAAGTTGCGACCAAGGCTATCATTGCTCAGCATGAGAGAGGGAATCGGTCAAAATAACATACCAGATAGAAGAAGCTGCCAGTGGAAGCATTCTCCGAAATACTGATGAACTCCGGAGAGGATTTTATCTTACTCTGATCCCGTTTCGCCCGAGCAAGGTGAACATGCATACCCTGACCAGGGGATGTGCGCAGTGTCAAGGAAGGTGCATCTTAGGCGATCTCAGTAGTATCTAACGCATGCGTGAGCCTGACATACTATATTGAACTTGTAATTCTCGCTCTAGCGTTCGCCGACGGTCAAGGAGGTTGCTTAGCCTCTGGTGTAATTCCGCAAGTTCTTCTGCAAAGCTATGGCAATGGCTGAGCATCCTGCCGAAGACACGGAGCGATCATATGGAAACTCACTCAGGTCTAACCGTCCATTTGTAAACGCCATTGTATGCAATCGTTTTCACGGCTTTATCTTCCTGAGAAACGTCGTCTTCCTCTGGTGCTTGCGTGGAGGGATCCGCACTTTCGACGTCATCCAATGCAGATGCGATGCGATGCGATAAACTCTGAAGGTCCGCAATGCTAGACATCATAGCATCAATGTTGCCCCATTCGCTAGCGGTCGAAGTTCCGCGTTCGAGAGTCTCCATCTTCCTCTCGAGTTCAAGCCGTCTTTGTATTAACATCCAAACTTCAATGGTCCGATGGATCGATAGTAAATCCCTTAGTTCTCCTTTCCGGAGGAGAAACATTTGAACAATGCGAAGAGTGTCCTCGCATTCCTTCAACGATTGCACGATGTCTTCGCGGAGGTAGGGCCTGTCATAGAAAAAAGCCACCAGTGATTGGCGTGTCCCAATCTCCCTGACTGATGTACTGGGTGAACCTGATGAATTTGTCAGCGCTATTGAAGTCAACGTCAGTAATGTGGCGACACCCACAAAGTCTGCGACTCAGTAATCGTGTCCCACTGCTGGTCACTGTTCTCTTAACCACGCTAAGTAAACTACCCGCTGTCCCTCCTTCCCTTGCGCTCTCTCTGACTTTCAAGAGCTTCGGTGGTGTGAGAGTCGATATGCATGCGTTCCTCCATACCCTCCCTGCTGGGGTTCGAAAGTTGAGGCATATGTTCCAAGAGGTTTAGGCGCATGTAATTCGTAAGGATGTTAACAGCTTCTAGTTCGTGGGCCGTGTACGTGCCAGAAATAGAGGAATCTGACGGGGGATCATCAAGAGGAGCCCGCACTGTGGCGGAAGGGGGTGTATACGCGACAAGAATGTCTTCGTCCTCTACTGCTTTTCGGACTGGATGATCGGCACAGGATTTCAGTTCGTCCGGGAGAACGATTTCTCCGGGACATATCCGGGCCAGATGGTCTTTCAAACCTTCTAAAGGAAGGGTTTTGGTAAAAAATTCCCCCGTAGACACGTCGATCCAAGCCAAGCCAATGGTCCCTGTGTCCTTCTCACTATTGGATGATAGTGAAAATGCAATTGCGAGAAGGTAATTGTTCTGGCAGTGATCCAAGAACGGTTCGTCTATGAGGGTCCCTGGGGTGATGACACGAACGACACGGCGCTCGAATGCGGGTTTTTGGCCTGGCTTATGGAGGGGAAACTCTTCGCACATGGCGACGAAACGTTTGTGATGAAGGACAAGGACCTTGAGGTATTTGTCAAGATGCATCAGGGGGAAGCCGCACATGGTGATATTCTGCTTGTCCCAGACGCGAGAAGTCAGCTTGATGCCCAAGAGACTCGCCACCTCTTCTGCTTGATCAAAATATGACTGAAGAAGCATGTTACGATTAACCAATCGCTTCGCGGACAGTTACACACATACCTCGTAAAATTGGCCCACTCTTGTGAGTAAGATACAGTGGGGGAAGTTTTTGAGATTGGTCAAGATTTCCTTGGCAAGCGCGTTTCTAGGCTGCTTGGAGCAAGAACTGGCATCTGGGTGGTTTCCATTTGGCGGGTCAGTTACTCCTGAAATCTCTTCACCAGCATTTACATGGAGAGAAGGCCGTTTTGCTTTTCGTCTCCTCGGTCTCGGTATGGGCTCAGAGATACCGGGAGCAGGCGACGGATGGAAGGGGGTATTGTTGCCGTTGGAAAGCACGCTGGCGGACAACGCGTCGCACGTCACTGGCGCGGTCTCAGACGCGGACAGCTGCTTGCGAGGGAGTTCAGAATACTTTTTCTTGGTGATCGTCACGGATGGTCTCTTGGGCTCAAATGCTCCGGCAGAGGAGTGAAAGACGCGTATTAGCCTGACGCGGTGTGCCATTAAAGTCAATCAATTAGTTGGTACGCGTCTGACAGGACTCTGGGGCTTCGCGGCGTCGCGGTGGCGCCGAAGGGTCGGAGTCTGAAAAGTGGTTGGGACGAGTTGCTCCCTCTCTTGCCTTGCCGTTCGCAAGTCTAGCAAGCTCACTGACACCAGACAACACCCTTCGTCCATCAAAATGTCTTTCGCTGGCAGACGCAGAGGAAACAAGATCAAGAAGGGTGTCCAGTTCACTCTCATGGTCGTCGGTTCGTCTCCTGCCCCTCTCTTTACACGCAAATTTTGACTTTTTGTTCGCTTCCATAGGTGCTTCTGGAACGGGTCGTACAACTTTTGTCAACACCCTCTGTGACTCTGAGGTCTTGGCCCACAAGGTGTCCGACAACCCAGACACGGCGCACATCGAGGAAGGCATCAGGATAAAGCCCGTCAACGTCGGTATGTCCGTTTCCTGGCGGCCTAACATTACCGCGTTATGTCCAACCCTTCACTTGTAGAACTCGAGGAGGATGGTGTCCGCATCGCGCTCACCATCGTAGATACGCCTGGCTTCGGTGACAACATCGACAACGAGTTCGCGTCAGTACTACCCTCTCGCTTACGTGGATTGGTTCGACTCCTTTTTTCGTAGTTTTCAAGAAATTGTTGGCTACCTCGAGCGCCAATACGACGACATCTTGGCGGAAGAATCCCGTATCAAACGTAACCCTAGGTTCAGGGACAACCGAATCCATGCTCTGCTTTACTTCATCCCGCCAACTGGCCATGCGTACGTCAGCTCAAGTTGCGCGTGACGTCTTTTGCTGATATTCCTCTCTCAACAGTCTGAGGGAGATGGATATCGAGTTAATGCGCCGCTTGTCACCTCGCGTCAACGTGATCCCTGTCATCGGCAAGGCGGATTCTTTGACCCCAAGCGAACTCCGGGGTTTCAAGAAACGCGTCAGTATTGGCACACAGAATTTGTTCCCGCACTGACTTGCACGACAGATCATGGAAGACATCGAACATTACGACATCCCCATCTATAACTTCCCCTATGACATTGAAGAAGACGACGAGGAGACCATCCAAGACAACAGTGAACTACGGGTTGGTATTTCGACACATATCCGTCCTGCCAACGTTAATCGTATCGTACAGGCCCTCCTTCCCTTTGCTATCATAGGTTCTGAGGAGGTGCTCGATGTAGATGGACAGTCCGTTCGCGCCAGGCGATACCCTTGGGGTATCGTTGAGGTCGACAATCCGAAGCACTCGGATTTCAGCAGACTCAGGAGTGCCCTCTTGAAGTGAGTTGATTCTGCACCGTCATGTGAACATTTACAAGAAAGAATGGATAGCTCTCACCTCTCGGACCTCAAGTCGCTCACCCACGACGTGCTCTACGAGACGTACCGTACCGAAAAATTGTCCAGGACGGTGCACGCCGATGCGCAGTACGAGTTTTGGTTTGTACCCCGAATCCATACTGACCAGTGGTGTCTACAGTGACTCGTCTATTCTCCCTGAGGAGCTTGCCACCCAGAGCGTGCGTCTCAAGGAGGAACAACTCCGCCGTGAGGAAGAGAAGGTTCGTGAAGGGTGCTACGCTGGTTTCCGGTAACTATGGCCTGACTGTGTTCCTCTTTTTTTTTCTCTTTTTTTAGCTTCGTGAGATCGAACTTAAAGTACAGCGGGAGATCAATGAGAAGCGACAGGAGCTGTTGGCCAAGGAAGAATCTCTGAGGTATGATCTGTTACAAGCGATGATTGACAGGCACTGAAGAAGACCATGTGACAGAAATCTGGAGAGCCGACTGGCTGCCCAAGGTTCACAGGGCGAGTTCCGAGACTGATGGAGTTTCGATTGGTGAAAAGCATCGGACTGTGTGGTCTAGAGTATACCCTGTGCCGCGTCCATTCCTTACTGACTTGTCCATTCCCTCGTTTGTGGTTACTTCTAATCTCTGCGACTCTATTAGCGGATAATGCAGACGCTCCTTGTGTTGCCTTGTCACTATTTCTTGTCTTTGTGTTCCTTGCTCCATACAAAATGCCACTGTCACACTTGACGCGTCGGAGTTGAATCAGCTGTGAAATACTTGTAACTCCGACGTTCCTCATTTGGATATTGAGTGATGCGGCCAGTGAGAGCACGCACGCCCCGTCGTTGGCACCGCGCAGCCCAGCGGTCAGCACACAGCCGTATACGCATCGGCGCCGCTCTGCATGGTCTCCAGGCTGTACAGTGATTAACACCACCGTTTGGACACTGGACGCGGCCGAAGTTCGCTCTTGTTCGCATTCCGGTCTTTGCTCCAACGGTTCTGTTTTTTTTTTTTTTTCTTCGTGGCTTTGTGGTTTCCCACCGCGACCTTCGATTCCGCGGTATGGTCCTCGAGCTCAACGTCAACCCCCGACCGCCGTCCATCGTCCATCGCTCTCGCCAGTGGCATGATCACGTGTCGGGACCTTCCCAGCCCTCGTCCCCCTCTCCCACTGCTGCGTCCTTTCCACACGCCCAACGCCGTCGTTCGTCCGCAGCTACCGTACCCCCCGCCGGCCCTCCCCCAACCCAGCCCATCCCTAGTCTCCCGGCGACATCCTCAGCACTCACAAATGGTGCGGATATGTCCGACGAAACTCGGCTCGCGTCAAGACACAGGCCTAGCGTCAGCTCTAGTCAACATACTTACAGTCGACCTGCTGCGTCTGCCAACTTGGTCGCCGTCGCTGCCTTCCCTCAGGCTCAACAAGCTTCTGTTTCGCCATATCCCACATTCGAATCCCATCTATCCTCGACCGCAGTTTATCCGTCGATTCCCTCTGACCCTACCCCGAGGATTGGACCATCTCATTCGCATTCGCATTCAACCACCCAGGACATCGTTCCTGACCGTCTGCTGCTGTCTCCGGCAGAACCACACTCGAGGACTGAATCACGGCCCTCCTCGCGTCGGGCACTGACCAGAGCACTTGAGTTGGCGCGTGAAGCCGTTCAGCTCGACGCTACCAATCACGACCCTCATGCTGCTGTCATCGCTTACGGAAGGAGTGTCGCTCTTCTCAGTGAAGTCATGGAGAGGGTAAGGCGAGGTGAGGACAGCACAGACAGTCGGAGACGAAGTGGTCGTCGGCGCAGCGTAGTTGCTCAGGAGGAGGAAGTCAAGCGACTGAAGTCCATTGTAGGTCGTTTATACTTACGCCTTGCCACATATGCGAGAGGGCGCTGACCATTCCTCAGCACGACACGTACGCTGACCGGATGAATATCCTCAGCTTGATATACAGTATACCACCAATACCACACTCACCGACGTCCTTGTATGCGCTTTCCACCTCGACAGAGTCTACTCAACCTCCATCGCCCTCCTCACCGTCCCTGTCATCAGATTCCCATAGGTCCTCGTCTTACCGTACAGACCATACCCAAGATGAGCTCCACCCCTTGATGCAAGGTGACCTAAGTGATGAGCAGGATGCACATGAAGGCATCGGTTCTGCTATGTTGAACGCTGCCCACTTGTCCCAGGATTACTCTTCTCCTACCACCCCTGTACATCCCTATGCTTCGCCTGACTCTTCGCCAAGCAGACACCAGACTACCCTCAACCGACCCAATCAACCACAACACGCACCCGTTCCTGTTGGCAGACCTCGCGCTTCCTCTGTACAACAGCTGCCTCCCCGTCCGATACCATCCCCTCTTCCGCCTCCTGAGATCGCATTGCCTCCTCCGCCCGCAATACCCCCGCAAGCAAGTCGGCTCCTCGAGGTCAGCAGGACACGTGGAAATTCGCTTGGACATAAGAGAACGGGATCTGGAACAAAACTTACCTCCGTCACCGAGGAAGGCGTTAGGCTGGATGGTCCTTCGCAGAGTGACGATGCCGAGCATGATGACAGGTCGGGATCCGTCCCATCCCTTCCTCGGAGACCAGATACTCCGCACACGGTGAAACGAGACTCTCACCCGCTCCCACCTCTCCCGTCACCAACTCAAGTCCACCCGTTCCGTACGCCCACCGTCGCCGCTGTTCCAAAACCATCAAGTTCCCCAGCCACCACGCAATTCCTCACTTCACGGCCCCGTGGGGAGTCAATGATAGTGGCGGGTGCACAACCGCTCATCAACTCTTCGACGGCGATGAGTACTTTACAGCAGCGACGGAACAAAATGTCCGCTCCACCATCGACTACCACTACAGACTCGTCATCCCCTACCGAGTCCTCTCCATCGCCTTTTTTACCACCACCGTCAAGACCATCAGATTCACCCACACCCTCAACTTCTACTTCCACTTCGGTTACTGGACGAAGTCGTGCCTCGTCTCAGCCTGGTCGTCGACCGTCTGTCGTTAACGGTCGGATATCTCCGTTCGAACCTCACCCTCCGCGGTTACCTCAGACAGCCCAACCCAACCCACCCCGCAAAGTATCCAACGCTTCCAAATTAAACCAAAGTATCAACGTCAATGTAAATCTCCCACCTCAACTTGTTGTACAAACAGATGTCTTGTCCCCTCCACCTGCCCTGACCCTCGCTCCACCATCTGCAATGCTCACTCACCTTCCGACCACCCCAACTTCTCCCCTTCCACCTGCTCCGCCCGCTGACAGTCAGCGAAAGCCGTATCATTTGATGAAGCTCCTGGCGAGCACAATGAACTCGAAGTCGGGTGGTTATATTACCCGCCGTCTACACGTACCACAGGGTGTATGGTCGCAAGGCGGAGCGAAACTTTCGAACATCCCTGAAAAGGTTCGGGTTGTGGAGGTCCTCTGCTCGGCTCTCGAGGAAATGCAGCAAGTTTCTGTTGAGCTCTTTGGGGCTGGAAGTGTTTGCAGTGGATTTGCACTTGGCATTGGTAGTGTTGGGCGCAAGGAAGCAGAGGCCTGGGTGGCAAAGTTGGAGGACTTTTCATCGATATGCGATAGTGTGGTTGCAAACTTCGGCAAAAAGCTGGGCGTTGGGGAAGGTTTTGTGTTGAAGAAGAGTGGTGGAGTGCGTAACAATCAACAACGCTTTGGAATGTCCTAACATTGTAACTCAGGTTACTTCATGGGGCGGGAAGTTGACACGTCAATTCGACAAGTTCACGAATGGCAAACAGTATGTCTGACCTCAGATGTGTTCAGTGATTACCACTTACTCACTCTCAATTTAGCCTTGATTCGCCCGCAGCATATGTAACCGGCCTTGGCAGGCTGTTTACGGATGCACAATTGCTTGACGAGCATTCGCAGGCATTGCTGGCGCAACCCTTGAGCCCGATATATGCTACATTCCCCGCTGAGGCCAGGAGTGCCGCCGAAGTAAAGCTCAAACGTGCCTCAGAGTTCTTCGCCAGCGTCGTGCTAACGTTTGTCATTCGTGATCTTGCTCAGTTATTGGACAAGTACGCGAAGAAATGCGAGAAGTGGCTTGCGGAATGAAGTACTTATCGCCCCTGAGCAGGGCTATAGCCTTCTTTTTTGAACGCGCAAAATGTATTTTATTTTTGGGGACATGACCAGTCAGAACACCCTTCGTTCTTTTCGTCTGATGGTCTCTTGATTATGGTTTGGTTTATCGCATACTACGATATACATTCTAGAATTTGTGCCATAGTAGTCAATATATAGGGCCTGTGCTATTCGTTCATGGAGAACGGTATACTGTAACGCAATGGAAATGCTATCGGCAGCGCGCACTGTCACGACGCCTATCAGAACGGTTTTCTGGTACCGAACCCGTTGTCTCTGGCGTTGGTGACTTGCCTCGCAGTCGAGAGATAACTTGTATTCGCTTAGCTGCAGGATGTCAGCCCACAGATGGTATGTACAAGTAGCTACTGCCAACTCACAGTAGTCGAGTCGAGTGTGTATGTCAGGGCATTCCTCGTCAGAGTCCGCCAGAGGATCCGAATTGCGAACCATATGCCAGGCATCTGCTCGAATAGCCACCTTGGTCAGCTAGGCTTCTCTCAAAGTACGACTGGCAGGATCAGAACGCCTACGTTGCAACATGTTCACGCTGTGGGACAGCCGACTTTGATGATAGCCCTGAACGCGGATGACGGGGTGGGGCATGAGAAACATTTGGTCGTCGACACCGGTGCACGTCCACGGCGGGTGCAGGACGATGGACTTCGTGTTGTACCGATTGCGAAGGGGGCCGTCCGCACAGGTATCCCCCTGGTCGGCAGGAACTCGGTCGCAAGTGAGCTAACAATAATATCAACATTATCGTTATTTGGCAACGAGTTCGCTCGCGTATCGAAAGAGATGGGTGGGTGCTCACCGTCCGAAAATCGTTCGCTGGCCATGGGTTTCATTGGGTGTTCTGCGTTAGGCGCACTTTCAGCCTTTCTTTTCCTGTCTCCGGTGCTGTTGGATTGTGGTTGGCTCGGGTCTGTGGCAGCTGGTTTCAACACTGGGCCCTTCCGTTGCTCTAATTCCCTGTCTTCCATTGCCGTAGACTTGCTAAAGCGGCGTTGAAGGATAAAACTGATATATGGCAAGTGCCTTGGATTCTTTCGTGAATGCCGAGATTCTCGGCGTATCTGAGACTCTGAGTCGAGCGTCAAACGGTAACTCGCTGGCTCGACGAGGACGACAATCACACCAGAGATCGGCTGGGCCCCTCGGAAGGCTGGTGACAAAACGTTCTACAGTGATTTGCAACCATGACAAGGGTGTCGTATGTGTTTTTCTTGTACCAGAGGCTATGTCGAGCCTATCTCCAGCGCTTATATCACACCGCAATAGATTATCATCGTTGATTGAACGGCGTCGCACATCCTGACCCTCTCGTCTTCAATTCTCATTCTCCCCACTGCTGGACATTGGGTTGGCCACTTCGTCTCTGGCAGGCGCTCTGGGTTCATCCCTGGCTTGAAGCGGAACGTGAACATTAATATTATACGTGAGATGCTGGCCATCTCCTGGCACCGCCATCCATCCAAGCTTGGCCGAGCCTGGCTGGGCTTTCTTTTTCTCGTCACGCTCCCGTCCCATGCTCACGATGAACAATTATATGAAGGACCATGTCTTCCCTTAAGATTGGAATCGTGGCTTTACGGGTTTGGTGACGATGCGGTGGTCTGCGATCCATGTTGTGTCGTCATCCTACCAGCTGATGACCCGCCGTTACTGGCCACTGTTGGTATGTCGGTTTATCCCTTTGGGTGTCCCTCTGCCAATCCTACTTTCTCCATGAAGGGTCCTCACCGAGTGTGACATCTTCGCATGCATTCACCACCCCTTCGATTGTCCTGCCTAGCACTGTTCCACAAACGTACTCGGGACAGGCGCAAGAAAGTGGTGGTATTCCAGGTTGCGTTAGCTCGCACTCAACTGCCTCATGTACTGCTGCTACACCCGTTACACCCTCTCTTGCATTCACTGCACTCTCCCCGACGACGCTTTCACCAACTTTGGCATTCTCACCCCTCACCTCGCCTCCACCCGGCTCCACGGCTCCGTACACAATGTCCCGTCCAAATAACGCTAATGTTCAGACGTCAGAATTATCCGCGACGGTCGTCGCTGTCATTGCCATCGCCTCGTTTCTCGGGTTGGCGTCCTTGTTACTGGGGGTACTGCTGTACGCCCGAGCGCGTCAGTCATCCCAACGACGTTCGCGAATACGGATCTCTGACTCAGAGTTGGGCAACTCGAACACATCCAGAGACTGGTCGGCTTCAGGCAAGATTCTGCCTCGTCGGCGGAACCCCTACGAAGGTTTGGTCCCTTCCCACCACATCCTCCCTCATCCAACTACACACCTTCTTTTTCTTGTGGCAGGACACACAGGCCCTGGTCTTGCCTTGTCCTGGCTCACACTGCCCCACTGTCAGACTCACTACACAGCAAGTACAGGGGGGCCACCTGGTCACAGTGACCACCACAGAGGTCCCAGGGACCCTCTGGGTGGTGTTGATGTCATACACCACACTGCATAGTCTAAGAAAAATGAGGCTGCGAGTCAGTTCCACCTGACTCATGGTACTCCACCACTCACCTTTGTGCAGCCTCATCCCATCTGGCCTGGGCCCTCTGCCTCTGTCTTTCTGCCTCCTCCTCTGCCACCTTCTTCCTTTGAGCCTCCTCTTCCTCCTCTGCTCTCTTCCTCTGCTCCACCTCCAGTCTCTCCTCTTCTGCCTTCCACCTCTTGGCCTCCTCATGCTTGGCCTTGCACTCTGCCTTGCACTCTTTCTCCCTCTGCTCAGCCTCCTCTCATCAGTGCACCTTCTCCACAGACTTCTCTCACTTGGTGTCAGTGGAGTCATCAGTCAGGATGACCAGCTCTTCATCCATGACTTGGGAGTAGTCATGGATGTGACTAGGGATTGGTTGGGGGGTTTTGCTCTGGCACTGGGAAGGCATGGTGATGGGAGGAAAGGACAAAGGTTCAGTATCCTGACATGTGTTTTTTAAGCAGTACTTCGAACTCTGATGAAGCTCCACTGTGGCTAAAGCCATTATCCTTGAGGCATCAAAATGGTTTCAAATGATCAACTTGTGTTGATCCCATCCCATACATGTGGCCTTCAGGGGTTCAGGCCCTAAGGGGGGGCACTGTCATAATCATGCACTCATCCTAAGTCCTCACTCACTCCACACCCCTTTCTGCCAGTCATTCACTCACTCCACACCAACTCCACCTGCCCCCTGATGTTTATGAGTCATCTCTGCTCTGACTGCTGTTGGACTTGTACTGCTCTCCTACTGGACTGAATGGACCATTCTCTGAGGGGTCATGTGACTACCTTTGGACTCCTTCCTGACAGCTTGCAGTCAGGTACTCTGCAGCACATGCACCACATGGTCCAGCGCCTGGACTGTTTCCTTTTCTGGATGTTCTATGTTACCCATTCATATGTCCTCCATCTACCCTTCATTCATCATCTAGGAAGTTTTACTTGAAAATTTCTGGGTCTCCATATGTCAGTTCCAATTCTGGTTACTGTACCTCCATAGTAGTATAAAAGCATGCATCATACTCTGCCATTCCTCAGTACAAACATCAACTTAGTTCCTACTCCCTCTGTCTCCATCTTCTGCCTGTCAGAGTTACCTCCAACTGTCTGTCTGTACTCCCCCTCTGAAATACAAGGGCTGAGATCATGCAAGGGGGTAGCACACAAGCTAAACCTGATGCCCTCACTTTGCTCTGCCCTTACCTTCAGCAGACTTCATTCTTGCCAACACTCTGCCAGTCAGAGTCCTGCTCTTTCTGTTGGACTTGCTTCCAAACCTCTCCCCAGACCTCATCCAGCATTGGAGTTGGTCAGAGTAGGCCTGGACTTGACAGGTCAAAAAAAAGCACAGATAGTAGATTCCTTCAAAAAAAGCCACAAATAGTCACAATAGTCACAACATAGTCAAAATAGTCTATGTGTTATTTTTCTGATGACTGGTGGTGGCAGGAGATCTCAGCAAGGGTCTAGTACAGTGGACTTTGCTATCCAGCTTTCACATTTGTACCTCAGACAACTAAGATATAACACCACAATAATGTCTCCTATCAAATACTGTACAATAAACTTTGCTGTCGAGCTCTCGCAGTTGTGCGTTGGACGGACACCACAATAACGTTTGCCATCAAGTACTCTACACTAGACTTTGCTGTTGAGTTCTCGCAGTTGTGCATTGGACACTTACGAAATATTGACAGTATTGGACCCCTATTACACGGCAGTCCGGAAATGGAAAGAATCCCCGTGGTGAGTTGGCTCCCACGCATTTATGACCCCGGTAGAAGCCTTGCAAGCAAGGTAACCTCGAAAACTGCCAAAACGAAGCCAAAACGGGGGATATCAAAGCAAACTGCCGTTTTCGGCCTTACCCGGTCAACGAAACGAAAACGGCATCGAAAACGCACGATAACGACGCATGAAAACGCGCTGTGAATTCCCCTATTAGTATGAACTGGCTTGGCGAGCGCGCGAGTCGGGTCGTTTGAGGTGGCCGTCAAGTTGTCGACCACCACCAGTACGTATGACAACGCTGCCATGGATGCACCAGGCCAAGTTCCTCCTCAAAAAATTCGGTCTGGGGTCTTTGCATGTTCGGTTCCATCAGCTCCTCTATGACATACAGGTACTGACATCGCTTTCTGCAGGCAGTTAACTTCGTGTGCGCCTTCCACCTGTTCAAAGAAAACGTAGGCAGCCCATGTCTCGTAGGTCGTTTTACTCCTCATCCTACTGTGAATGGCTCATACATACCTCTTAGATGGATGGTCCTTCCATGTTTCCGACGTTTGACGTCAATGGTGAAATCGCCGTAGAATGCGTCTTAGCGTACCGTCTGTTCCCCGACTTGGTCCGAGGAGAACTGGTTTCCCTCAAGTCACCGTTCAACCCTAACAGGATCGTGTGCAAGAGGGTCATCGGGCTCGCCGGAGATACAATCTGTGTTGACCCCACGGGTTCGAAGGCTCCCTCAACAGAACATGTCGTCGTACCGGAAGGCCATGTCTGGGTAGCAGGAGACAATACCTCGTGCTCAATAGACTCCCGCGACTACGGACCAGTATCCATGGCGCTTATCAGGGGCAAAATTGTTGCAAGAGTATGTGTTTGGTTAATTTTCCTGGACGACATAACGCACTCGGACTACAACAGGTTTATCCTTTCGATCGATTCCAAATATTCATTCCAGGGGTCACGTATGTTGACCAAATTAATAGTAGCTACAAGTGCGACGGTGATGGTAAGGGAAATAATGCAGGGTCATGATAAAGTCAGCGGACGAAGTTCATCGAATAACCTCCTTGCCCGTTTGGTTCAAACTTGAAATTGTCCGTAGAGAGTCCGAACCGCCCTGTACAGCGTCGTCAATACGCGCAAGTTTGCACTCGGGTGTCTACGAACCAAGAACACTGTTGCCAAGACATTTCAACTTGTCGATCATTTCATCGGTCTCTCTTTTCTGAGCGGCTTTCACCCGAGGTTCCAACAATTGTAACGCCCTCTTGATTCGCGATACCTCTGGTGAGCCCGCGGGAAAGAGCTCTAAGAGTAGTTTGTAATCTAAACCCGGTTTAAGTCACTGGCTATTGAAAAGTCTGAATCCCTGACCATCCTGAGCTCGGGCTAACAAAGACCACGAATCAATTTTCTCGCTAGCGGCTGCTCTGCGTTGAAGAGCTTTGATGTAGTGCGGATCATCTTCTAGAGCTGTGGGCAGAAGTGAGACGCGCATCTTTCATCACATGTAGTATGCGATTGTACCGCTTGTACAAGCGTCTATGACACCTTTGTTATCGTCCTGAGACCTGGAGTCAACGATATACCTAACGGAGAAGAAATCCAAGGCTCACCAGCTTAATCAAACACGCAGCTATATTGGCGTTGACCACGGCGCGAGCTTTCGAGAGCTCCACTTCGTCTTGGGTGGGAGCTTCTGGTGTACTCTCTACTGCCTTGTCGTGCTCGTCTGGGGTTTCGGTGATGTCGCTGGAAGAAGGGTCGACATCGTTGGGTTGGTTAACAGTGGCAGGGCGCTTTCTCGGGGGCAAATGGCTGAGTGCTGTCCTATAAGCAACCAATGCCTCGGTCCACTTGCCTGCCTTGAACAGGTCATTCCCTTCTAGTTTCAGGCCGTTTGCCTTGTCCAGACATTGCTGGCGGCGCAGATCAGTTACCGCTCGACACGATCGCTCGAAGGCCCGTTCAGTGTGCTGACCTTGACCGGCGCCGCGTCCTCTGAAGACGGTGGATTGTCGCAGGGTTCAGACATGAGGCGTTACACTCTCGAAACGAATGATAGCAGTGCTCGATCAGATCGGGTGACTACACCTGGTAAGACAAATATTGTACTTAGTATCCATCACATGACTCCGAGTCATTTCCGATTTTCACTCAAAAAACTTGAGTTCCAGTTCGGCCCTCCATCATGGCTTCCAAGGTGTTCTGGCTTCGCTGCGAGACCAAAGAGTTTGAGCGTCGCTCAGCTCTCACTCCATCCACGACTGAACAACTGATCAAGGATGGCTTTACCATCTATGTAGAGCGCGATCAGCAACGCATCTTCGATGATGAAGAGTTTGGAAAGTATGTGTGCTACTTTCATCCGATCTCATTTTATTCACATCGCACCCGCAGAGTGGGATGTGAGTTAGTCCGCAACAGTTCGTGGCCCGGTGCGCCGCTCGATATCCCGATCATTGGGTTGAAGGAACTGCCCGCATCAAACGATCCATTGCCGCATACCCATATCCAATTCGCGCACTGTTACAAGGGACAGGCTGGGTGGTCATCCGTACTGTCCCGCTTCCAAAGGGGCGGAGGTACTCTCTACGATCTGGAATTTTTGACGGACGCAACTGGCCGTCGCGTCGCAGCATTTGGATTCCATGCAGGCTTTGCTGGTGCCGCCGTCGGTGCGCTTGCACTGGCCTCACAGAAACAAGGGCAAAAATTGGGCCTCTTGGAACCTTACCCAAACGAAGCGGCAATGGTCGAAAATGTAAAGACCGCCCTTGGCGGCAGTGGTAAGGGTGTCAAGGCGCTTGTTATCGGTGCCCTGGGCAGATGTGGACGCGGAGCGGTAGATCTGTTCCGTAAAATCGGACTTGATGAGTGAGTGTTCTAGTTGCTTCGTTACTAAGGTTGATTGGCAACTGCTGAAGGGATGACATCCTCAAATGGGATATGGCTGAGACAGCCAAGGGTGGACCTTTCGAGGAGTTGCTCGGCGTTGACATTTTTGTCAATTGCATATATCTCTCCTCAGCGATACCTCCTTTCTTGAACAAGCAACAGCTAGAAGCTGCTGGCACGCAAAGGAAATTGTCTGTTGTGGTAGACGTCAGTTGCGATACTACAAATCCGTTCAATCCATTACCCATTTACAATGTCAATACCACATTCGCCGAGCCCACAGTTTCAGTCGATTTATCGTGAGTGGGGGTCTTGTTCGATCGCCTGTATGATGAACAAGTCTGATAATGATGCAGCCAAGGACTACCACTTTCAGTGGTTTCAATTGACCACCTACCGACCCTTTTGCCACGGGAAGCATCGGAGCAATTTAGCTCGGACCTACTGCCATCCCTGAAAGAGTTTCCTCAGAGGGAGACTTCACGGGTTTGGACAGATGCCAAAAAGTTGTTTGATGATAAGGTCGCAGAAGCGGTTGCAGACCTGGCAGGGTCGTGAGCACCTCACCTCACTGTCGAATGATGTGCGCATATTACGGATGTAATGTACACATAGAAGAAAAGATACTTAGATATTTGGTGTGTATCTTTGCGGCTGTACCGGGGGCTATGGTCGGCTGTGCGATGCGGAAGGTTGGTGCAGAAACCAGAGCAAAATCGCTCTCCTTCGTTCGTTCTTGTCGGCGCAGGTCGCCATAAGTCTTTAGCCACGTATCGTCGGTCATTCTAGCTACCCCAATAAGCCTCATGTTGCAGCCCGTCGGCTCTCCCATTCCTTTGATATGCGTCTCTCCAGCCTCACCCGAAAAGCCCCAACCAGCGCCCTACTCTCCATTTCCAGATGGCGAGCCAGAGGCAGACGGCGACGGTTTCAGAGCCAAACATCTGTCTCCACCACCTAATGTGTCTCCGAGACATCAGACTTCTCCCCTGCGGCAGTCGACGTCTCTCGTCCCCAAGGGTCTAGGTCGTGAGCAGTTCGATATCTTACTCAAAGCGTCTCGCGAACGGAGGGCAATTCTAGGAGCCCCAAAAGCCCCTGACCTGCGCAAAGAACTGGCGATAAAAAACCAGAAAAGCAAGCAGCGTATGTGTTTCGTGCGATGTGCTACGCCGGTCTGGTCGCTCACACTACCCACCCCAAAGTCAAACGACGAGCTCGGTTTTTGTCCAAAGTGTCTGAACCACCCTCTCCCACAGCGGCCACTACCCCGAAGACTCCGCCAGAGTCGCCGGCGATCCTCCACTGCTCGTTGCCTTCCCCAGGGCTGGAGTCTCCACGTGCAGTATTCGCATCGGTGTCGAGAAACGGTTGCGGAGAACAACCGGACGGTGGGATGTCTCACCAGGGTTGGGTCGAACAGATTGACTTCCGCATACCCATCGGCAAACAACGTTCTGCTGGCAGAGCAGGTTCTGCTGACGTGAAAACCCCCACGAAGCTGAGGAAGTTCGCACCCTCTCTTGATGAGATTACTACTCGCATGAGCAGCGCTACTCTCGGAAGGTCCTCTAAAGACACAGTCGCCTTTTCGAATCAACAGACCAACCACTCATGCCCCCAGCTCCCAAGTGTCCCCGCGGAACCCCGACCGAAACTTAACGTTGGAAGGCTGCACATGCCTCTTCGGGAGCTATCACCTGGTGCTTCCTTCGCCGACGGCGGGGAAAGGTGCTTTGTTCGGGCTCCACCATCAGCTCTCCTTACTCCTGCATTGGAAGTCACGACAACATTTGTACCTCGCACTGTCAGGGCGGCGCCTTTCCCTCTCAGCGAGTCGAACCTCCAAACCTTCAGTCGTTCGTACACTGCAAGAGACATGATTAGGACGCTCAAGCGTCGCAGCCTGTCACCACCGCCTCTTGGAGGACTGCGAGGCGAAAAACCGTGTTCTTCAGAAGAGGTGGAGTGCCCCAGCTGAGCTTTATGGCTGTGGAAGAACTAGCTTTCAGCATGACGTGCTGTCAATGCCAGGAATCTTTTGACTGACCTGGAGTCTTTTATTTTCGAATGGATGGTGGCCAACTACTAACTCCCCCTCTCCTAACCACATTGCTCATGCCCAAGCTCACCGTTCCTTTATAAATACGCTCACTAGACATCCCTGTCGTTTGTACATGTCTAACATGTCTCAGATGACAATGCATTCCAATTTATGGAGCACGGTGTATGCGGCAAGTTGTATAGTTTACAAGTATATGCACGGCTGTCGTGTATCCAAAGATAAAGGCGCGTAAGCTTCCAGCCTTACTTCCATGATTCCACCGTCCGCCATCGATGCTCGCGGCTGTTGGGCACGTTGTTCGTATATGAGGCATCGGGGATGTCAGTAGCCACTGGATCTGGTGGTGGGGTTGGCGGCTTCCCACGCAGTCTGCCGATGACATCTATGCGGCGGCCTGCAACAACTGTGTAAGAATTCAACAGACGTTGGGAATCGGAGACTACTCGCTGTAGTCAGCCCTGACGCACTCGTCCATGAGCTCTTCGTCAGAGTCGGCTAGGGGATCGGTCTTCGTTATCACCTGCCACGCGTCTGAGATGGTGTTTAGTAACGCATGACTTTCCAACAGGTCTGAAATGTCACTCACGTTCTAACATCGACCGTTGAAGAGCGTGTGCGCTACTTCCCCCAGCTCGAAGTTCTGCAGTAGCGGACAGGGTAAACGGCCGGATGACCAGAGATAGGAAGAGCACGAACCCGGGGGATTTGATCCTGGCACGGATCGCTGTGGCGGCAAGTAATGAATGTACGGCTTTTCTCCAGCACCGTCATCTGACGGCCGTGCTACGCGGGATCGACTAGAACTGGAATCGGCTACGGAAGAGGGGGACGTTTAGAGTGGAGGCTTCTCTTGGGGCAAAGTACATACTTCGTTGCATCGATGACGCAGCTTGCGCACTCTTTGCCTTCTTTTCGTTTTCCTGCGAAGTTACGAGGCGTTGCAGGAAAAGGTTCCTTTGGGCTGACATGGTCTTGCCCCATTCGATCTCCTCGATAGTATCGACGTTTTCCGCTGCCGTTTCAGCATCCGAGAGACGACGCAACCGCGGCACTTTGCCAACGTTCTGACGAGAGTAGTCGTCGTCATAGGGGTTTGGTTGATCCGGCCCCTCCAGATAATGAAACATCAACCATAGAAACGCTCTTGCACGATCGGCGGAGGAAATCTTCATGGGGAGGAAAAGATCGAGAAAATTGAGGGGAGGATCGAAGTGAGTAGCAGCAAGAGGCTAGTCATTATGGGGTGTGTGACCCTACTGTGATTGGGTCGAACTGGGCCATAAAACTCACAGCTGCGTGGTTTGCAAGGACAAAGATTAGATTAACAACACTTGTTGGAGGGAGCTGGCGTGCACGCTTGGATCGGAAGTGTAAGTGTGATGATGGGCAATGGGTCTCAATTAAGACGCGCACCGCATTCTCGAGGATCTCTTCCGGCGTTGATGGCGCCATGGATTTAAGTTCTGATGGTAACAAGGCTGCTTTCAGACAGTTCTTGATCCGCGGTGCATCTTGAGCATTACCGTCGGTTTTTTGGAGTGAGGGAACGGGATGATAGGTTCTGAGGGCCGTCTTCATCTCGGGGAAAACTGACGATCTAGTTAGGGCGATCACGCGGGAAGCAGGAGGAACGGATCCTCTGACGTACATGCCATAGTTGTGTTGATCCGCCCAACGTTTGTGAGCAAGGATATTTTTGCAAGCTCGACTGCAAATGCAGGGGTTTCGATCATCTTATCTTTGAGAACTTTAGAACATTTGCTAGAATTGTACAGTGCATTGACATAGAGATCGCAGAAGTTGACTTTGCCGGAAGAGCCAGGTGTTTGACCCGTAAAGACGGCCTGGGTATCACAAAAGATGTGATGGAGGAGATCGTACTGGACATCCTCTCGGGTGAGTGGTTCGGCATCATTTCGCTTTATGGGGAGGGCCTTGCGGCTCAGGTATCCTACGCTGGATGGTCGGGTGACATGAGAGAGCTAGTCGATCAGGCAAAGGGATCGAGAGATACGCACAGCGGGACGGGATCGTTTGGCCAGCCAGAGCTATGGGCAGATGACTCTGATATAGAGGTCATTTGGATGGGAGATGGGAGTCAACATGAGGCAGACTTGCCTATTCATGATTGCGGCAAGCTGGTCAATTGACGGAAACTCCACGTGTATAGTGCTTATGGATCGACCCGATGACTCTCTATTCGCACGACCAACTACAACCGTGTCGGAGAGTTTGTGTGACTACGACGGGTGTTTTGTTGGCCCATCGCCCGTAACGGTTCGCGAGTCGACCGAAGGCTACATAATTACCTAACACCCGGTTTTTATAACTCTTCCATGGACCAACTTCAGTTCGACGATGCAACCAAGGTGGGCACACTATTTACACTCGCTCTTCGCACAGCTTTGCAGACGACCTTACAGAAAGAGCTCGCCTCCTTTCTGGAGCGCGAACAGGCTCATGCTCGTGTCAACGATTCCATCCGAAACTTGACTGGCATGTGCTGGGACAAGTCAGCACCCCAATCCTTTCCTTTCCTTCCTCCATGCTCATGTCTTCTTTCTAGGTGCATCACGAGCACTCCGGGAAGTCGTTTCGCTCGTGGTGAAGAAAGCTGTCTGTCCAATTGTGTAGAGCGCTTCTTGGACACCAGCATCTACATCGTCACCCAGGTGCAACGGCAGCAACAACAGCTGCTACAGGCACAGGGCGACTCTTGACATCCCCCTGAAATGGTTTCCTCACACCAATCAGTATACCCAACTACCGTACACATCCAACATTGCCCATCCCGACAGTAGTCAGTCCGTGCTATACTAAAAAAACTGCTTCGCCAGCTTTGACCAGGTGTAAGCCACAATGACAGGTATGAAGTAACAGTATGCGCCAGCCACTTGAACCTTGCCTTGCAACTCCAACGGGACCTGCACTGGTTTCTGTGCGACTGACGTGTCACCCTCGAGAAATCGAGTCATATACCGATCCTTGCAAGTCCATAGTTCCCGAAGCCATTCGTCAAAGCGTTCCCTTTCACCTTCGGGGATCCCAGTCTCATAGAGACTGGGAGTCGCCCACCCATTGGCTATAGCGGTAGGCCCGCACTTTGAAATGTTTCCGATGGGCACCTCCTTGGCAACGTCGAATATACGCAGATGCATATGAACAACTGGGGGCGGAACCCGATCGCAGAATATCGAGCGTAGGGTATAGTATGATTGTCCGTACCCTCTAGGTGGTATCCCTGGAATACTACGTCGAGCGTGTGTCCGTAACTGCCATGGAACAAACCCACCTGGGTAAATAACGGTAATGTCCAGCAGTTTCAAGGTAGGTAAACGAGGTACAAGCGACCGGAGAGAATAGAGCAATCCTGTCGAGCGGGGAAGCAGAACGTTGTGGAGGTCCGGCTTTTGGTGACACCGAGATCACCGAAATTAGCCATGAGGCGTTCGGCGCAGTACAAGGCCGAACGTACGATTCCCAGCTTGTCCGCATAACTCCTGCTTATGGGTCTCGTGTTTTTGCTTACGAGAGTTCCCTCTGGGAAGAGAATAAACATGAAAGGCTTATTCTCCTCCTCAGCTTGCCTGCCGAGTTTCGAGAGTTGCTTGGTGAGTTGTACTTTGTCGGACAGCCCAGGCACGGCTTAGGAATATGAACCTGAACATTTGCATTCCCTACCATTGGTTCAGGACCGCAGCCCGGAGAAAAATTTAGTGCTACGCACTGTTCCAAGGACGGGGATCCACTTGAGACTCTTCTTCAGCACGATGAAGACGTCCTTGTGGGCTTGCATGAAGTATGTGAGACACCATACGTACCACCAGTCGCAGTACACCTGTGTCAGTAATGCCGAGGGTTGTGTTGGCTACTCGGGAAACGGCAATGACTGTGCTCACTTGGTGATTGGAGGTGATGACCATCTTGAGCGGCAACTTTAATGCGACCACTTTTCCAGACGGGTCTCGTTGTATGATTTGTTCTATCTCTTCCATGGTGAATTTTCCCTGGCCCTGGGTTTCGAAAGTGATAGACAGATACGTGGGTGCAAACCACTGGTTCATCAGGTCTGCGAAGAAGGGTTGTCAGAGAGGATGACGTGTAGAGAATGACGACGACTGGCTCATGAGCATTGCGAAACACCCTTTCGTATGCCGTATGCCCTCGTCATACAGCTTCCTTGACCATTGCGTGGGTACAAGTTTCAGGGGTAGCAGATAGAGCAATTGAAAAGCGTGTATTAAAAAGCACCCAAAGAGGAACGCTGGCAAGAAGGCAAGTGCGTTGAGCCATTGAAGCCACGACCTGCGTGGTCTTGCGTTAATTGGGAGCTGGTGTAACGACCTAGGAGTGGTCATGGAAGGCATTGGGCGAGAACGACGCGCAATACGTCATACCTCATATGCTCGGCTGTGTTCTGAAACGTTTTAGTTGGCTCTCAGCACAGACCGGAACTCGTCTAGTGGCCTGCTAAGGTAGTACGAATTACGGACGGCGACTCCAGCCCATTTTCTTTTCTTTTTCCCGCTGCAAGGTAAGGGTATTTACATGATCATGGTGATGAATATATTATTACCTAATATTTTCTGGAGGCGTGGCTGTGCTGTCCCTGTCGCTGTCGTCGTCGAGCTGCAATGTGCCGGAATTGTTAAGAGGCCTCGTCGCATTTTTCTTTTGGTTTGCAGGCGACCGCAGGCCAACTGAAAACCACAGCTTCTGCTGGTTGTTCCGTTTTCTTTTTTTCGTCGCGGCTGGGACACGCCAGGACGCGTGGAACATACGAACGAGCTCGTCGTCGCGTCACCCTCGCGGAGACTCGTAGAACGACCCGCCACTCCCCCACAACCACGTCAGAATACCCAGCGGGCACAGCTTCCAGTGGCAGGTCCGCACCATATCTGTCCTTGCACAGTGTTCCCAAAGGGTGATACCCCCATGCCTCACAAGAACGAAGCCAGCATGACAACCGAGCATGCCTTCCATCACAGAAGCCCATCATCCTACACGCGAGACCTTAACAAGTTAACCCCGAAGCCTGCTTCCCCTTTGTACAAAAGCTACTTCGACGTCCCCTCCAGATCCCAGACTAGCCCTTATCACGCTGCATCCGACTCTGACACTTTCCAACGGAAGCAATTTCGCAGACTCGAAGTCGACAGCAGCAAGGAAAAGACAACAGAGAACGCGCTTGCGTTCCCTACTTCTGGCGTCCTCGATGACTCTTTTAACTTCTCGGGCCGTGGAGATCTCACTCCTCGTCTTCCTCGTGTCCGCACCCGTACTGGCCCTTCGCGGTCTAAATTGCAGGACGCTCCAGTCCCTCCCTTGAGATTCTCTGGGACGTCCTCTTTGGAAGAGCCTCCTCAGACACCTAGTGATTTCTCGTCAGGTCGCGGTTGCCCTCTCGACTTCTCCGTTGTCGTCGCTGCACCAGTTGCAGGGGTGGAGACTCTGGATGCGTTGGTCGATGGAATGAATGGATTGGGCGGGACTTCCATGGAGGATCTTTTATCCGGAAATTTATCCAGTCGTTCCCGCTTCGCCCTCCCTGCTTACCATCCGTTATACCAGCCTCCCCTACCTACCCCACCCCCCGGTGTCGTCTTGGGAAAGGGAAAAGGAGCAAGGAAAGAGAAGAGGGTCAGTTCGGATGACGACGACAAGCCCTCCACTTCGCACTCGGCTCGGTCAAAGCTCCGTCACACGCTCTCTCAGAGATCAGCTTTCACAAGAAAATTATCCTCATCCACTATTACAGTTGACTCTGTCTCCACCGGTGTCACCACGCCGCCCCCATCAAATGACTCTATTGATGACCTTCCTAGTGCCGTACCCCCGCCGGCAGAGCGCCCCAAACCCGTCATCCCATCCATATCGGAGATTATCCGCAGTCATGCCCCCTACGCGTCCCAGCAACACTCAGGTCCAAATTCTTTGCCAACCTCGCCTCGCGGCGGCAGCAATGACCATGCTCATGCGGAAGAAGAAGACTCTGAACCAGAGCCTTTGACAGCCGATGAAGAGGCAGAGTTCCGTAGCAGATCTTCTATGGATAGCATCGAGCATGAAGTGAGGCAGACATACCACAATCAAACGTACTCTCCTGTGATGGCGTCGGCCGGTGGTCCCCGCTCCCCGCCATTGGCCTCTCTCCCGTCTAGCGGCTCCGACGGTGGAAGCATTCACCTTGGATTACGGAGCACCGCCTCGGACACCTACACCAATACATCCTCAACAGCGTCTGGGCATGCCTCGCCGCTGATCGATCCCTCCCAACTCTCCATGTCTCCGACCTCGGTATCCCAGATGATCGCCGAGTACCTTCGTTCTGCGCGGTTGACCACCTTGCTCAAGCTCACTCGATACCCCCACGCATCCATGGACAATCCCCTTACGGTTAGCCTTGCTGATATGGGCGATCCGAACGGATTCCCTCTTGTCGTGTTTCTGGGTTTGGGCTGCGTTAGACAAATTATCGGTCTGTACGATGAAATGGCCGACTTGCTTGGTTTGCGGTTAATTGCCATTGACCGGTACGTATGCCGGTGGTGAAGTAGTTTTGTATTTTCAGATTGACACTCCCAACTTTTCTCTCAGGTGGGGTTTGGGTCGCACTAATGTGCCGCGTTTAAAGTCCGCGCGAGGGATCATGGAATGGGCGTCTGCTGTGGAGGAAGTGCTTGACCAGCTCAACATTTACGAGTGCAGCGTAATGGCCCATTCAGCTGGTGCTCCATATGCTATGTCGTTTGCCAACCGCGTACCCGAGCGTATCCGAGGTGATTTATGCCTACTGGCCCCCTGGATCGGTGGTAGCGAATCTGGTGAGGTTACTTGGCATGTTGATTGTTCAGCGCTGATGATGATGCGCAGGCGGTTACAGGTGGTTGAAATATGTCCCCAACGGTATCCTACGGACTGCTCAAGCAGCAGAGTGGAAGATACAAGCATGGATGTTGGGAAAGCCCCCAAGAATTACCTATCGAGGTATTGGTTACACCGCTCCGCCATCACCTGGTCTTCGTAGCAGGAAGCCCAGTCCCCCTGGAACTGCGGAGTCCGATTCCTCGTGGCAGACTGAGAGCTTGGGTAAGATTGGCAACGTGTATCAGTCGCCGGACACAAGACGACGGATGAGTGTGGCCTCCAGCGTGTTCAGTGACTACGACGATTTAAGGGACTTTGACGGAAGGTTTAGTAGCCAGAGTACGCTGGAGGCACGCTCTATCAACCAGCAGAGAAGGAAGTCCTCAAGGGGTATACTTGGGAGACTCAAATCATCCAAGTCTACTTCGCAGCCTCCGTCACCGATACCAGCTGAAATCATTCCTCAGACAGGCGTGGGCAAGAAGCTCAAGACCCTCAGGTCTATGGGCTCATTAAAAAGCAAATCTTCCGCGTCTGGCATGAAGAAAGAGAAAGTAGAGGTGCCTGGTCCGCAGTTGCCACAACCCATCACACTGGGTGGTGATCTGGGTTTGGGCGACTTCGAATGGAGCAAGTCCACTAGTCCGAGCCTAGATTTACCATCTCATGCGACACCTGCACCAATAAAAGCCACTCGATCAGCGGGCAGCGCTGTCGAGAAGCCGATGTTGCCCAGGGAAACCGGTAGACGATCTATCTCGTTCGGCGCTTCAAATGCGAAAGTTAGGCTGGGTCCTTCCAGCCTACCCTCGTCTCCTCGCAATAGCATGTTTTCAACCCCTTGCTCGAATATCGTGGTAACAACGTCGAATTCATATCAGGCAGCTCTAGGCAATGCCTTGATCGCAGCCTCGCACGCTGAAGCGTCCAGAGGCACGCACAGTGACCTCCTACAGATTCTCAATCACGACAACCGCCCGTGGGGATTCTCCTACTCAGATTACCCTCATAAAGTGCAAGTATGGTATGGTGACAGGGACGAAAAAATCGCAGAAAATGCCGTGCGATGGATGGAACGTGCAATGGGTGAAGATAGATGTCGTGTGAGGGTCGTCAAGGGTGCTGACCATGCTCTGATGTACAAGAGCTCGGTGGTTGTGGATGTGCTAGAGTGCGTCAGAGAATTCTGGTGATCCTTTTTCTTTTTGGTCCGTTTCTGATGTCTTCACGTTCGCTGCACCTCAATTTTTCATTTGCTCGTTGGTGCACCATTTATTCCTCCCTCACGAGTTTGATTTTGCACGATGACTATTCATGATTTTCCTATGTGCGTTCTATGTTTCTTGTGCATACCCAGTCATTCCCCCTCTTTGAGTACTACAATTTCACTGGATGGAAGGGATTTCACTGTACTGTTTTGCTGCATTCGACCTTTGATACCTTCGCACTTCCGCCCGCTATAATGTTGTTTAAGCATTATTAATGACTGTTACTTTATGCGTGCCCTTCGCGCGTTCCAATTACCACAAGACAAAATTCCAAATTGGTAAAGACCGCCTGAACATTTTCATTTGACCTCGCCCGCTGACCCTTAACTGCGAACCACCGCTGTTCGTAACCTTGGCGACAACGCCGTGACATGAATGACGGGTGGACCAGGATCCGGAGGAAGCAAGGGGACGTGGTGGGACCATCATGGAAGAGAGCAGGGACAGGGAGTTCCCAAGGAGAGAAGAAGAAGAGACCACAAGGGAAGGGGAAGGAGAGAGTGACAGAGACAGCAGAGGCAGATGATGAGCAGGAGGTGGGCAGAGAGGAAGATGAACCAGTGACCCTGCTTGAGGGTCCCTCAGGTGTGGGAGTCCACATGTGGTGGGCAGAGTGGGAGTGGGAGCAACAGTTGCAGGCCATGGAGAAGCAGGCCAAAGCACACAAGGCTGCTGCTCTGGCCTTTGAAAGGATGGCAGATGCAGCAGAGTGGATGGCAGAGGCTGCAGAGTGGACAGCCAATGAGTGGGCACTGTACTGCACCTGGGCAGAGTGGGTGGAGATGAGGAGGAGGGAGGATGTGCAAGAGGCCAGGATGGCTGAGCTTGAGTGCACAGGCAGTGGTTGGAAGAGGCCTCTGTTGGAGGTGGCAGAGGAGCAGTGTGAGGAAGCAGATGAAGGTGCAGAGGGGGATAATGAGGAAGAGGAAGAAGTTGGGGGAGAGCCAGAAGGCAGAGAAGGACAGGAGGGTGGCAGAGAGCAAGTGATGGAAGAGTAGAGTAGATTTCTTTTTTTTTTTTGTCTTTTGTTTTTTGTTTGTATATTTTGTACTACTACTAAATAGACTTGTGACCTTGTTTGTGATTTTGAGAAGTGAAATGGACAAGCAGAGAAAACTCTAAAGTACTTAAGGTAGTTTGGTAAGGGGTGGAGTTGGCCTGTGGAGGAAGGTTGTATGGGTGGAGTACTATGGTGGAGGTTGATACAGGCCAGGTTTGTGTGGATATCATTTGTGGAAAGCAGAGACTATGTCAGAAGTGTGACCTAGCTCAGTTGCAAGCAACCAAGAGGTTTCTTCATCAGTGTTCTCATAACCAGCCCAGTGGACTAGGTACAAGAGTTGACAGTGGCAGCAACAGCAGTCCACCTTAGAGTCAAGTATCTCTGATACTTCATACTCAAGGTCACCATCAACATCCACTGGTGGAGGCAGAGGTTGTTGTCAGTTTGGGAAAGGGTTAGCCACTGTGGCTTCCAGTTGTGAGATGTGGAAGACTGGATGTACCAAGCACATAGAATCAGGGAGCTTAAGGGTGATGGAGTGCATGCCTGGCCTGGCCAAGATGGTGAATGGACCTAAGTACTTTTTGGAGAGTTTTTCCAAAGGACAAGTGGAGCAGAAGTACTTGGCTTTGATGTAGGCTTGTTCTCCAACCTTAAACTCAGGTGGAGGTATGCATCTGGCATCTGCTGGACCCTGGTAGTGCTGCTGAGCAGCAGACATTTTGGAGTGGAGGAAGTCATGAAGGGCAGAGAGCTCAACAACATAGTCATGAGCCCTTGGAGAGGTGAAGTCTTGGTCAGGAACCACAGACAGGTTTGGGTGGTATCCTTTGTTAGTGAAGAAGGGAGAAACTCCAGTTGTTGCACTTGGTGTGTTGTTGAAAGCAAACTCTGCTAGAGGTAACAGCTCAGCCCAGTTGTCTTGTTGGTAGTTGCAGTAGACACAAAGGTACTGCTCAAGGGTTTGGTTTATTCACTCGGTCTGGCCATCACCTTCTGGGTGGTAACCCAAAGTAAAGTGAAGACACATATCAAGGGCCTTTCCTAGAGAGTGGAAGAAGTGTGAGATGAACTCAGGACCTCTGTTGGAGGTGACATTAGCTGGCACTCCATGCTTGGAGAAGACATGGGTAAGGAAGAGCTTAGTGAGTTTGGTGGAGGTGATGGAATTGTGGGTGGGGATGAACACTGCTTGCTTTGAGAGGTGGTCCACTACCACAAGTATGGCAGAGTAGCCATTGGAGTTGGGGAGGTGTTTGATGAAGTCCATGGAGATGGAGTTCCAAGGTCTCTCTGGGATGGGGAGTTGCTTCAGTAGACCATAAGGGCAGTGACATGGAGTTTTGCTCCATCCACAGGTGGTGCAGGACCTGACATATTCTTTCACATCGGAGCAGAGGTTAGGCCACATGTAGTCCCTGCAGATGAGTTCTAGGGTGCAGTTTTGCCTGAAATGGCCTGCTAGAGGATGGTCATGCTTGAACCAAAGCACTTGAAGGTGGAGGTCATCAATGTCAGGGACAAAGATGTGACCATCAAGGTGGAGTAGACCATCGGAGTCCAGGGACCACCGAGGCTTAGTCAGAGTTGGAAGATGGCTGGCAGAGACAGGGTTGGATAGTAGGGCAGAGATGATGTTGGAATGCAAGCACTCAACATTGAAGACCATGGCAGCACAGAGCATGGGTGCCACAAGGGTAGTGGTACAGAGGGATGATGCGAGCTGCTCCTGTGTAAACATAGGGCAGAGATTGTGAGGATTTACCTGCACATAGTCCCTATCCCCCCCTTTTGGGTAGATGTCCCAACATCATGTAAGTGCATTGGGTTTGGCTCCCAGGCAGCCAGGTTGGAAGCAGATGGAAAGGTTAAACTGTGAAAGGTACTCTGACCAGTGGGCCTGTTGATGAGTGAGGACCTTAGAGGTGGAGAAATACTCAAGGTTTTTGTGGTCCATCAGCACATTGACAAGTAAGGCAGAACCTTCTAGGTAATGCTGCCAATGGCAGAAGGCCTTGAAGATAGCCAACAGCTCCTTGTTGTGGGTATCATAGTTGAGTTCTGGTGCAGTCATGGTGCAGGAGTAGAAAGTGACTGGGCAGAGTTCACCATCAGAGCAGGTGATTGACAAAATGCCAGCAATGGCATAGTTGGAGGTGTCAGTTTCAACTGTAAGCAGTGTGTCAGGGACCCAGTGTGTGAGGACAGGAGCAGAGCTGAAGGCATCCTTCAGGCAGAGGAAGGCAGAGTGACACTCCTTGGAAAAGTTCCAAGGAGCACCCTTTCACATGAGGTGAGTGAGCAGAATGATGATGTTAACGTAGTTATTAATGAATCATCTGTAGAAGTTTGTGAAGCCAAGGAAAGACTGGATGTCTTGCACCTTCTGCAGCTCAGGCCAGTTGCAGACTGCCTGAACCTTCTCAGTGGACATGGTGAGACTGGAGGGAGAAAGAACATAACTGAGGTACTTGACAGAGTTAGAGTGAAACTCACACTTCTCTGGCATGGCATAAAGACCATGCTTTCAATGGCAGCAGAATACCTCTTTTACATGTTTGCAGTGCAACTCCATGTCTTGCAAATAAATTAGGATGTCATTGAGTTATACCACGATGCAGACATTAAGCATGTCTGCAAAGATGCTATTAACAAATCACTGGAAAGCTGCAGGCACATTAGTCAGACTGAATGGCATTACCTGCCACTTGTAAGAACCATAATGAGTGTGGAAAGCCATTATCCATTCATCTCCAGCTGCAATGCAGACTAGATGATAGGCATGGTGGAGGTTGATCTTGGTGTAGACTTTAGTGTGGCTTGGGGAGTCAAGTAGGTCAGAGATGAATGGCAGCAGATAGTGATCTTTTTTCGTGATTTTATTGAGTCCTTGATAGTCCACACAGAGGCAGAGTGAACTGTCCTTCTTCTTTACAAAGAGGACAGGGGCACTGTGAGCAGAGGTGGACTGCTTGATGAAACTGTAGCCAAGGTGCTTGTCAATGAAGGTGTGGAGAGCTTCAAGCTCTGGTGGAGACAGAGAGCAGATCATGCCAATGGGTGGAGAAGCTCCTTCCTTGAGGTCGATCTTGAGATCAAATGAGGGGTGTGGTGGAAGTTCAGTAGCCTTGTCTTTACTAAAGACATTGGCAAACTGGTGATACTCAGGAGGGACCGAGGAGAGGTCAGGAGGTGGAGAAGAAGCAGAGGATGCATGAAGCTTCACATCATCAGTGGAGAGCTGTAAGTGAAACTGTCTAGAGACAGGGAGAGCACAGGCTCTGACATATGTGGCAGCATTGATGAGTGAGACAAGTGGAGCAGAGCATGGTGAGTCTGTCAGAGGTGCAGATGGAAATGTGGACTGAGCAGGGGGTGTCAGATCTGGAGTGGAGGTCACAGCAGAAGGAGACAAAGGAACCTGGGGTGTTGGCATTCCCTGTAATGATGGTTTGAATGATATACTGCCCAGTACCCAGTCAATCAATGGATTGAAGCAGGTGAGCCAGTTGTGTCCTAATACCAGTGAACATAAAGAATCCAACAGAGTAACATAAAATGAAACAGAGTTGACATCACCAGAAGGAGAGTGGAGGGAAAGATCTACTTCTTGGGAAATGACAGTATTTGTACTACCATCAAACAAGTGGAGCAGAATTGGTGGAGAAATGGAGGAAACAGGAATAGTGTATTTTTTGATTATGGATGGTCTACAAAACAATGAGAAGAGCCAGAGTTGATCAATGCAGAAACAACATCAACAGAGTAATCAAGAAGAGTTACAGATGGAAGTAGAGAATTGGGACTAGAGAGAGCAGACACATTGAGTCAGATGTCCAGTTGTGCACAGTTGGGACCAATGCTTCCTCCAGGCTGTGCAAGCTCCCTGGAGGAGCAGACTAATTTTTTGGCTCTGCCTTCTCTGTGGGTGGAGGAGGTGGAGTTCCAGCCATAGCTGCATGGGCTTTGGCTGCATGAGAGGTAGACTTGGGACAGTCCTTGGCAGAGTGGCCAGCCTCACCACAGAAGAGGCAGAGGTTGTTTTTCATCCTGTGCTGTCATTCAGTGGAGGTGAGTTTGCCATCCTTGCCCAGAAGATGGGCAATATCAGACTTGGATGCATCAGACCTGGGTGGATCTTTCTGTTTGCCCTTGCCTTTGGCATCAGACTTCAGAGTGGAAGTGGAGGATGACAATTTAGACTTGTT